TACAATTAATAAAATACATGTTATTAGTTAATTTAGAGAATTTACATATAATTTCATTATGCTTTCATGTAAATATTTGAAAGATCATAAAAATACAGCATACACATATGATTATATTGTAAAGCCAGAGTTATTTTATAAGGATATAATATATAAGTAAGAAAATTAACTTTTAGGTTATTAGAGTTTTAAATATTTAATTTAAAATTTCTACTTTACTAGAATCCCTTATGATTCTAAATATTTTGATAATTCTTTCTATTTTCTATTTATTTGAATGAAATAGACTAAATACCATTTTTATAATTACTATCTTAATTTCAATTGTCATAATAAATAAATTTATCTTCAATTTTATTTATTTAATTATATAAGAAAATAAAAAGAAAAATATAATGATTTTTTTATTATTTGTTATAGAATTTGGAATAATAATAATAATAACTTATCATATGAATTAAGGAGAGAAATTAGAATTTAAGTGCCCAAAAGAAACTCATTATGGTTATGCAAAATTTGTATGTTTGAATGAATTCTGTACCAATAGTAGAATTTTTTGTTTCGAATGTATAAAGAATGGTGATCATAATACTCATATTAAATATTAATATGAAATTGATAATCTATTTGAATTTTTTGATAACCAAAAGAAAAAAACAGAAGAATTAATATAAAAATTATAGTTGATCAATGTTGCAATCACTAATTAATTTTCTTAATTAGAATAAAGATTGAAAATTAAATGTTGTTTCCCAACAGCAGAATTATAAAAATTTGATACATAAAAACTAAATCAAGGATTAAATTAAATGATAAAATATAAAGATATTACTAAGAACATATTAGATGATATTAATGAAAGTAGTAATGCTTTATTAGATTAAATAAATAAATATACTAATGAATTTACATTAGATGAAACAGACAAATAGAACTAAGCCTAATTAAAAATATAGTAAGTAAATGAATTATTTTTATAAGGTATTAAAACAATTATTAATTTTTAGGTTAAAAATTATATGGAATAAAGAAATATGAAGAAGCAATAGAATATTTTGATGAAGCACTATAAATTAATCCAAATGATTGTTAATCTTTGTATTTAGCATGTAAAACAATCATCCATAAATGTTTTAGCTGAATGCTTAACAATGATTAAAAATTACAAGGATGCAATTATTAAAGCTGATAAACTACTCTAAATAGATTAAAATAATCCATAATATTTATGTATAAAAGGTAAACAAACCCTTTTAAATTTTTTAGCTGAAATTTTAAGATGTCAATAAAGATATGAAGAAGCAATTTTATATGCTGATAAGGCTCTTTCAATAAATTCAAAGCATCTATTTTCCATAAACAATAAAGGTATGTAAATCATATTTAATATATTAGCTGATTGTTTAAAAATGCTTAAAAAATATGAGGATGCTATTTTCTGGGCTGACGAAGCGCTCTAAATAGAGTAAAAGAATCTTTTCCCCTTGAATGTAAAATGTAAGCAAATCTTATAAAATATATTAGCTCAAAGTTTAAAAATGATTGGGTAATACAATAACGCAATTATATGGGCTAATAAAGTTTTATTTATTGATGAAGATAATATTAACTCATTAATTACAAAAGGTATGTGAATCTTATAAAATATATTAGTTGAATGTTTAATCAAGATTGGAATATATAATGATGCCTTTATATATCTTAATACAGCATTAAAATTATATCCAGAAAATTCCACTTTAAGATAATTAAAAAGTAATTGTTATTTTTAATAATAGTTTAATTATTAACTATTTAGAATTAAAATAATCAAGCTAATTAAAGTTTACAAAAAATTGTGAAAATTTCTCCTTTTTTTAATCAATCAAAAATAAAAAATGAACGCTTTTGAAATTAATTTAATTATCTAATTTTTATAAATATAATTTAAGAAACATTTTCTACTTTAATAATTGAGAAATATTCCTTTACTTTCTATAACAAATTAAATTATACTTTTACAATAAGTACATTTATCTATAACCATAATAATGATGAAATCTTTAAATTTATGTTAAAATAAGAAATTAAATTCTTATTAATTCCACTTTGAACAATCTTTTTCATTGTTTCTAACTAATTGATATTCATAGAATTAAATAACAAAAGATTGATTCTTAAAACAATAATTGACTANCTAAGAACATATTAGATGATATTAATGAAAGTAGTAATGCTTTATTAGATTAAATAAATAAATATACTAATGAATTTACATTAGATGAAACAGACAAATAGAACTAAGCCTAATTAAAAATATAGTAAGTAAATGAATTATTTTTATAAGGTATTAAAACAATTATTAATTTTTAGGTTAAAAATTATATGGAATAAAGAAATATGAAGAAGCAATAGAATATTTTGATGAAGCACTATAAATTAATCCAAATGATTGTTAATCTTTGTATTTAGCATGTAAAACAATCATCCATAAATGTTTTAGCTGAATGCTTAACAATGATTAAAAATTACAAGGATGCAATTATTAAAGCTGATAAACTACTCTAAATAGATTAAAATAATCCATAATATTTATGTATAAAAGGTAAACAAACCCTTTTAAATTTTTTAGCTGAAATTTTAAGATGTCAATAAAGATATGAAGAAGCAATTTTATATGCTGATAAGGCTCTTTCAATAAATTCAAAGCATCTATTTTCCATAAACAATAAAGGTATGTAAATCATATTTAATATATTAGCTGATTGTTTAAAAATGCTTAAAAAATATGAGGATGCTATTTTCTGGGCTGACGAAGCGCTCTAAATAGAGTAAAAGAATCTTTTCCCCTTGAATGTAAAATGTAAGCAAATCTTATAAAATATATTAGCTCAAAGTTTAAAAATGATTGGGTAATACAATAACGCAATTATATGGGCTAATAAAGTTTTATTTATTGATGAAGATAATATTAACTCATTAATTACAAAAGGTATGTGAATCTTATAAAATATATTAGTTGAATGTTTAATCAAGATTGGAATATATAATGATGCCTTTATATATCTTAATACAGCATTAAAATTATATCCAGAAAATTCCACTTTAAGATAATTAAAAAGTAATTGTTATTTTTAATAATAGTTTAATTATTAACTATTTAGAATTAAAATAATCAAGCTAATTAAAGTTTACAAAAAATTGTGAAAATTTCTCCTTTTTTTAATCAATCAAAAATAAAAAATGAACGCTTTTGAAATTAATTTAATTATCTAATTTTTATAAATATAATTTAAGAAACATTTTCTACTTTAATAATTGAGAAATATTCCTTTACTTTCTATAACAAATTAAATTATACTTTTACAATAAGTACATTTATCTATAACCATAATAATGATGAAATCTTTAAATTTATGTTAAAATAAGAAATTAAATTCTTATTAATTCCACTTTGAACAATCTTTTTCATTGTTTCTAACTAATTGATATTCATAGAATTAAATAACAAAAGATTGATTCTTAAAACAATAATTGACTACACAACTCAATAAAAACTCTTAAGAAACTATACAAAATTTGTATATCATAAAATTTATAAATTGGAAGTGATAATAATCAATAAATAATTAAAATAAATTTGTTAATATTTATTTAGCATCTATAAGAAATTAAATAATTTTAATAAAAATCAAATAGCTCTCTTCCATCCAATAATAACTTCATTTAAATCCCAAGCATATGGCTTATATTGTCGAATATTTGTTAGGAAATATTGATCACCCTCTTTCTTTAAAAGTACTTATCTTGCATAATTGCAATTATCCCAATCTTCATCATAGTTTTATTCTGCCAAATCAACAAGGTTTCCATTTACATTTGTAACCACAGCAACATGTCCCCACCATTATTTGCCACTCTTTTAATAAATAACAAGATCTCCTTTTTTAGGTGGAATAGAACTGCCTTATGGTATTGATTGAAACTATCTCTATTATTAAGTCATTATATCAGTAACAGTGTTAAGATCAAATATATGATATGCACAACCAACATCACCAAATACAACTCCTTTAGTCAAGATAAGATATCTTCTTGCATATTCTACACATTAGAATCTAAAGTAATTATGAATAGTATAAAAACCTCACTCCAGTAAATACTTATCTATTATCAATAGTGATATAATTTGACCTAAAGTTGATGCCTCTATTATAATAGGCTGGAACATTATCTACTATTCCAGCAACAGCAGGTTCTTTATTACAAAGATTTCCCATAATTTATAGTAATTCTAAATTCCAAAAATTTAATATTAGAGCAATTATTATTTTGTTTGATATAAGATGAGTGTTTCTGATGAAATATATTTGATAGAATGTAATTTATTATATATATTGATCATATTTTGTAACTAAATAATATCATAAGAGATAGACAAGAGTTCTAATTATAAAAATTATAAATAATTAGTTAAGATGGGAGGAAATTGTTCTAATTGTAATTAATGTCAAAAGGATAGATTAGAGATAATTAATGAAATTGAAGTGACAAAAAAGTCAGATAGTTAAAGAAGAGTATTATCTTCAGTTTCATAACAATCATAAAATAGTTAATTAGATGTTGTAATGAATAGTATTATCTATAGAATGATTTGAAATAGATTAAATGTGCACCAACTGAATAGAAGAATACAAAGTTTTCAGTGTTTGCAGAAGATCAAGAAAAAGATAAAAAGGATGATAAGAATTTGAATCAAAAGGCCGTTGTAATATAAAAAATTTGGAAGGGACACAAAGCTAGATAGAGTTATTAAGAATTGAAGAAATCCTTATCAGAAAAGAATTAAAAAGATGAGGGTAAGAATTAAGAATAACAGTGTGATTAAGTAACAATAGCTAGTAAAGATAAAAAAAAGAATGTTCAATATTTCAATTGTTAAGAGTTTGGAGGTAATATAGATAATATTAATGTATAGTAAGTAACTCAAACAATTAAAAAACACGTGAAAAGCGTCCTTTATTTGTATTTAAGAGTGGAGCTACATATGAAGGTGAATGGATAGGGAATAAAAGAGATGGAAAAGGAGTATAAATATGGCCAGATAGTGCTAGATATGATGGTGAATGGGTAGATAATAAGGCATGTGGGAAAGGATCATTTTATCATGTGGATGGAGATGCTTATATTGGAGAATGGGATGATGATAGAGCAAATGGATATGGAATTTATAAATAAAATAATGGAGCTGTTTATGAAGGGTATTGGAAGAATGATTTATAACATGGAAAGGGTGAAGAGAAATGTAATTGATTAATATATATTTTAGGGATTGATTAATCAAGTTATTAAGGAGATTATTTTGAAGGGAAAAAATAAGGAAAAGGCAAGTATATTTGGCCAGATGGTAGTTATTATGAAGGAGATTGGATTGATAATAGAATCAATGGTTATGTATTTATATTAATTGATATTTACTAAGGGAGAGTACTATTGGGCAGATGGAAGAATATTTAAAGGATAATGGAAGGATAATAAAATGCATGGAATAGGATATTATCAATGGGCAGATGGTAGATCTTATTAAGGTTAATATGTGGATGACAAAAAGTAAGGTAATGGCAAATATACATGGCCAGATGGTAGATATTATGATGGTGATTGGTAAGATGGAAAATAACATGGAAGAGGTAAATATGTATTACCTGATGGAAAGATGAAAAATGGAATTTGGGATTAAGGTAGAAGAGTAAATTGGTTGGAAGAATGATTGAACTTGATTAATTTGATTAACTAATTAATAATTGTTTTTATTATTAAATCATTTTAACAAATTCCTAGAGATAATGACTTTCATTATTTCATTAGTACCTTCTAATATTTAATGGACTCTTAAATCTCTTACAATTCTATTAATATAATATAAATAATTACCTTTCTATTTAATATTCACTTAAATATCCATAACCTCCATGAAGTTATAATGCTTCATTAGCAACATTGAAACAACTATCAGTTGCATATCTCTTTGCCATAGCAGAATACAATGTTTTATCAGGATGATTATTGTCAATCATTTAAGCAGCTTATCTAACAATTAATCTAGATGTAACAAGATTAGTGGCCATATCTGCAAATTTAAATTATAATCCTTAAAATGAAGCAAGTGGTTATCCAAATTATTTACGATCTTTATTATAATAAATAATTAATTAATACCATGTAAATAATCTTTAGATAAATCAAATGCAAATGATGCACCACCAAGAGAACATGATGCAATATTAATTCTACCACCATCCAATGCACTCATAGCCATTTTAAATCCATTACCTTCTTTACCAAGTAAATTTGATTAAGGAACACGTACATTATCAAATAATACCATAGATGTAGGTGAAGCATTCCATCCCATTTTATCTTCTAATTTACCAAATGATAATCCTGGAGTTCCTTTTTCAACTATAATGCATGATACATCTTTCTCTGATGTTTTACACATTAATAAATATACATCACTAACAGAACCTCCAGAAATAAAACATTTAGATCCATTAATAACATAATCATTTCCATCCTATTATTAAATATATATAATACTTTCTTTGCAAATGTTTTCATATTTTTACTATCACTACCACTATTAGGTTCAGTTAAACAATATGAAGCAAATGCATCAAATGTACCAAAACGAGGAATCCATGTCTTTTTTTATTCTTCATTACCAAATTAATCCACCATATATGCACACATATTTTAAATTGTTAAATATGCTGTTGTTGTTACATCTCCATAAGAGAGTGCCTCAAAGATAACACTTGCTGTCAAACGATCTAACCCAACACCACCTTATCATCATTTTCTAATACTTTACCTGATTCCTATTTTACATATATTGTTGAGAATCCCATTGCTGCCAATTCTCTCAAGACATCCTTTGGAAAATGATGTTTCTTATCCCATTCAGCTGAATATGGTAACATTTTCTCTTTAGAAAAGTCTAATGCTGCTTTCTATATTTAGAGATGTTCTTCATTGAGAAATGTACTGTCACTCATGTATTTAAATCCAAATCTTGGAATGTGATTCACCATCAATCTATTACGTATTATTTGCATTTTTAATATCTAGAAAATATTATTAATTACACAATAGTAAATGCACAATTCAGCATTTCTCTTCAGTGTTTTGGAGGACAAACTTCATAAGCTGTATTAAGGGAATATAAATGTTTTGGAATCAATCTAATATTTTCAATTAAAAAACATCAGAACTATTATTGTAGTTGGAAAACATAATTACAAATAATATACAGAATTTGTTACCTATCATGTATTCTCTATTTTATTTATTTAGAAAGTTGATGAGAATCAAACAGACATCATCAAAATCTTTGATAGAATAACCACACTTATTTCAAATGAAATAAAGCGTTCATCTGTTTTAGTATGTTGTTCTAATGGACTAAATTGGAGTGCTGCAATAATTATAGCCTACTTAATCAAAATTAAATAATGGTAATATGAAAAAGCTTTCTATCATCTTAAATCATTGAAAACATTAGTGAATCCTTCTTTGCCACTAAAAAAATAACTAATATTATTCAACTCTAAAATTCACAATTAAAAACAAGAGAACTAAGAAAATAATATTAATTATTCTAATCTAATCATTCCTTCAAAATTTTAACAACGAATTATTGAATAGACTCAAAAGTAATAATATTTGGAAGATTCTATTAATTCTTAAGATGATATTCAATCCATTGGTTCTTGTTAAGGTGGATAAACACCTATATTCTATTCACCAAATAAATAGAGTATGGTCTAAAAACAAAAGCAATCCTCTAATCCTAAAAGTCCAGAAAAAAGAATAAGTAGACACATCAGGAATTACACTTTCTAAATTGATGATGCTACTAAACAGTAACTTTAAAACAATGAGCAACAAGTTCAAAGTTCTCCTTAATTTAAAAATTAAGAAGAATAATTAATTCTTAGACATAGAAGAAGAAGAATTACTCATAGAACAAAAAGTGCTTTGAATTAAAAATGATTATAATTTTATATTAAATAGTCTAAATGGAAATTGTAAAATTACAATATTTGGGATTCACATACATCTTTAGAGATAACTTAGAAGTCTAATAACTGAATTTATTCATAGAATAAAACATAACTAAAGACCCTTATAAAATAAAATGGGTATATTCTGATGAAATATATAATCTAAATAACACTAATTCTATAAATTATCTAAGAGAAATTATTAAAGAAAAAAACATCTAAAAGGTGGTATTATAAATTGAAGACCAATGATATTTATTATTATTTTATTAATGAAAGTTAAATTTATTTTTGGAAGGATATATAAATCTAAATCATACTTTCTTATCTATAAGACATACAAAACCTTTATTAGATAGATATTTAAAAAAAGGATTTAGAATTAATATTAGAAATATTATTAAGATTTGAAGCATTGCATTAATTTCAAAAGTAAAGGATTCTGTTTATATATCTAAGAATGTAATTTTTAGTAATTAATTAATCGACTATAATTCTAATAATTCTCACAATTCTATGAATTATATTTTTGGAAAAATAATAATAATTAAGAATAGATTAATCAAAAGATGAAAACTAAATGGAATAAAAATAATAGTATTTATTATAATCCTATTCAAAATTGTTTTGAAGTAAACTTATTCAAATTTTAATTTGGATGTTAGTGAAATATTGATTATACCTAGTAAAATAGATAATTGTTCAGAGTAAATAGTAAAAAATGAATGGATGATCTTTATTTTTTACTAAATTTTTGAAGATATTTAATAAAGATTAAATCATTTAAATGATTTAACAATGTTATAAATAATCATAAACAAATTCTTTATTAATAGTTAATATTCAAATTATGTATTTAGTTAATTTAGGATAAAAGGTCTGTCCTTTTTTTTTAAGATTCCAATTAGCAATTATGATATCTTCATTTTAACTTTATTTTTTGTTTTCTTAATTGTCTGTTATTTGATACAATTGATTATCATCATCTTATAATACACATTCATATTCTCTATCAAATTTACTTATTCCTTATAATGAAATGTCCTATTTGGGATCAAAAGATAGTATAGGAGAATCTGGATTAACTTCTTTCAATTTCTTTTTTAATTCATCTTAAGTCTTCTTACTATATAAAGGTTGGTTAATTTTTTAATTGACTTATATAATTTCTGTATATTGTTATTTTGGAGTATGATGAGTAGAGAAATTTGTATAAATATCTGCAACTACTTAAGTTGAATCCATATAATTTAGTTTTTCATCAATAGAATAAGGATTTCTATTCTCATAATAACTGTTCTATTTTTTCCTTATTTAACGGTACCATACTCTCTTATCTGAGAGTAAATGATCATTCAATGCCAAATTTAATTCATATTTTTATCGAAAATCATTTGATCTCTAATATAAGGTTTTATCTAAGCTTCTACCTGTTCGATTACCTAATATTAATGATGTATCAATCCTATTTTATTATAACTATTAAAATTGATTGAGAATTCTTTCATCTTTAGTAACAACCATTTTAACTTCCTTTTTCATATTATCAATTAAATCAGATTTTTATTCTTAACGAATTCTATTTTTTAATTTCATCATCTTCAATTGATATAATAGATCTTATTTATTAATTAATTCAGGTTATATTTAATTGGGTTTCTTCTTTTTTGGTTCAATTAAGACTCTTTATTATTTTATTTTATTTTCTAACTTCATTAATCCTAATTAAGGTTTTATTGATTAATAGAACTTTTCAAATCTAGATGGTTCAACATTCTATATCTAACTCTAATCACAAGATTAAGTTTTCATCTCTGATAGTTTCTTTAAAGAAAACTTAGGACCAACTAAATCTCTATCAGACATAGGACTTTTATTCTTCATAATGTCAATTATGGGATCTTAGAAGATATTCTTTTATGTGTATTTCTCAATAGTGGTAGGAGTTGCCAAATAATACATATAATTAAATAATAATCATATGAATTAATTTTAAAAATGTCCAGATGAAAACTTTGAATTTAATGATCCAGATTATCTAATTCTTGCTAACACTTCTGAACTGGTTTATGTATTCATATTCATATCTGTATCTCTATTAAACTCTTTACGAACATTTTTCTCTTTTATTATATTAATTATATTTTACCTTTTGAATTTTGTTAACCTCCACCTAATTTTTGTTTTTCAAGTCTTTCCTTCTCTAATTTTTCTCTATGTTCTTCTGCTAAACTCTTTGATCTAAATTCTTAATCATACCATATCATAAACTCTTTTATTTCTTCAGGATTTCTTTATTTTTAAGTTACTTCTCCCAAATATATACTATCTAATTATTAATATTATTAATATTACCATTCTTTGGTTATTATTATTGAATAGGTAAAGTTTATACTTTTTTTCTTTCATTCAAATAACTAGTTAATTTTCTATCTCCACCCTTAGCAAAATTTTCCTCCAAAAATAAGTCCATATCTGATTTTTCATCTAATCTTTTTGGCAATTATTTTTATGGCTCCAACTCTTTAATATTCTTTGTCACTTCTTTCATTTTCTCTGGGGATTCACTTTTGCTAACATTTGAATTATTTGATTCTGGCTCTTAATACTTAATTCCTTTCACTACTTCATCATATAACCCTCTTACATAGTGTTCCAATTTAATTTATTTATTGACTTTCTTGAATATTGGTGCTTTTTCATTCCCTTAATTTTTAAGTTTAAGTTTATCCATTAATTTATCAAGTTTCTCTTTTACATTTTAATTTTCAATTCCTCCTGTCTCTATTACACATCCATCATCCAATTAAGAAAATAGATCAAAGAATTCTTCAAAATCATCTTAGAATATCTTAATAAATGATTTAAATGCTTTAATCACTTTTTCCCTGTTAATTTTACTCTTGTCCTTCTTACTTTTTTTCTCTTTTTTACTCTATTATTTTTCTTCTCTTAACAAAGACTATGCTTTTTGTTCAACCTTTTGAATTTTCTTTAACTATTTTTATTTGTCACTAGAATCATGTCTTTTCTAATGTTTATTATCTTAAGACTCCATAAATTAATTTTATTATAAAATGCATTAATTAATATTACTAACAAAAAATTCTTATGTTATCTTAAATTATATTATATCCATTTTCATTATTAATGTAGACAATGCCATTTAAAGTTGCTTTTTTAATCAAATTTTATACTTAAATATCTTAAATTATTATGATAATTATAAATTTATTTATTACCAAAAGTAGATTTAAACTAAAGTCTATATTAATTATTATTTAATAATCTTACTATTTGTCATCTTTATTTTATAAAGTCAATAAGAATTTCAAATTTTTGCTGCCCTCTTTTAGAAAAGTTCATATTACCAATTAATATGATATATAATTTTTACATCATCATCTCATTTTTATCAATAAGAGTTTTTTTTTAATATTTTTAACTAAGAATAATGAATAAACTTTATTGATCATAGATTTATTAAATGGAAATTGATTTGCAAAATTTTTTAATGAGATTTCAATTTATACTAAAACAAAAATAAATTGACATTCTTATCATAAATTCTGTAATTTTGAATCTTTATCTATTTCAATTATATTTCCATCAAAATAAAATAATGATTTATAATAGCCTAAAATTGAACCTAAATCATATTTGAGAAATAATATAAATTTTAAAACAAAGAAACTTAATACAGTCTATTATGAATATAACTCTTTTCAATATAAAGGTTCATTTTCTATTAAAGTTATAATATATATATATTTCGTTTGATTAAATGAAAATGGGCTCAAGTTCCGGAATAGGACTCTTACCCACAACCAATTACATTGGTTTAAACTTGGAGTACAACCTAGCCAAAAGGCCGAGTGATTACTTTCGTAATGCTATTTTTTTTTCATATAATTCTTTATATATATTTTAGTTATTTAAAAAATTATGGGTTCATACTAAAACTATTAGCTCGGCAAATAAAATTTATAATTTTAAGAAAACCCATAATTTAATATTTAGATTAACCAATAAATAAATATCTAATAGATATGTTTACTCACTTACCAAATTAAGTATTATAAACTATCCAAGTTTAAACCAATGTAATTGGTTGTGGGTTAGAGTCCTATTCCGAACTTGAGCCCATTTTCATTTAATCAAACGAAATATATATATATTATAACTTTAATAGAAATTATCAGGTAAAAATAATTTACCATATATATAACAGATTAATTATAGAAAACAATTTTTAATAGAGTAATTAAAAGAAAACAATATTTATTTAATAGAAATTAAATATCATGAATGATCTTAAAAACTATTTAGATTTATCAATAGGCCTGAGAATAAACTACTCATCAAAAATGATGTTATAAAATAACTAATTTATAAAAAAAAATAATGCGCTCAAAGGTTTTCAAATATTTAAAGATCTTTGTAATCAAAATTTGGATGCAATTATATTGAGATTAATAAATTTAAAAATCTCAAAATAATTGTTCTAAATCATAATAACTTTACAAATATTAAAAGCAATTATAATTATCTTATGAGATTAATATAATTTAAATATATAATTTAAAAATCAGGTTATCATCTAATTTTTTTTATACAATGATTTAAAAATTCCAAATAACAATATAGATGCAGTAATTCCGATTCCAGGATATATTATAAAAGGTTCTTTATAGAATGTAAAATCATCAGACGAGGTTTGGTCAGAATTTTTAGAAATAGGATTATCTTTTGCTTGATTGTTTAGATCAGTCTAATCTTCAGGGTTAGGTTATGGAGGTTTGTTTTATTCTTTATCATTTGTTTCCGCTTATTATGAACATTGTGCCGAGTCTGAAGTCGATATTATTATAAGTTATAAAGATTCTTTTAAATCTTAAGTCTATGTTGTTGTATAAATTGGATATTCTTTTTAATCTTAAGTCTATGGTGTTGTATAAATTGGATATTCTTTTTAATCTTAAGTCTATGGTGTTGTATAAATTGGATATTCTTTTTAATCTTAAGTCTATGGTGTTGTATAAATTGGATATTCTTTTTAATCTTAAGTCTATGGTGTTGTATAAATTGGATATTCTTTTTAATCTTAAGTCTATGGTGTTGTATAAATTGGATATTCTTTTTAATCTTAAGTCTATGGTGTTGTATAAATTGGATATTCTTTTTAATCTTAAGTCTATGGTGTTGTATAAATTGGATATTCTTTTTAATCTTAAGTCTATGGTGTTGTATAAATTGGATATTCTTTTTAATCTTAAGTCTATGGTGTTGTATAAATTGGATATTCTTTTTAATCTTAAGTCTATGGTGTTGTATAAATTGGATATTCTTTTTAATCTTAAGTCTATGGTGTTGTATAAATTGGATATTCTTTTTAATCTTAAGTCTATGGTGTTGTATAAATTGGATATTCTTTTTAATCTTAAGTCTATGGTGTTGTATAAATTGGATATTCTTTTTAATCTTAAGTCTATGGTGTTGTATAAATTGGATATTCTTTTTAATCTTAAGTCTATGGTGTTGTATAAATTGGATATTCTTTTTAATCTTAAGTCTATGGTGTTGTATAAATTGGATATTCTTTTTAATCTTAAGTCTATGGTGTTGTATAAATTGGATATTCTTTTTAATCTTAAGTCTATGGTGTTGTATAAATTGGATATTCTTTTTAATCTTAAGTCTATGGTGTTGTATAAATTGGATATTCTTTTTAATCTTAAGTCTATGGTGTTGTATAAATTGGATATTCTTTTTAATCTTAAGTCTATGGTGTTGTATAAATTGGATATTCTTTTTAATCTTAAGTCTATGGTGTTGTATAAATTGGATATTCTTTTTAATCTTAAGTCTATGGTGTTGTATAAATTGGATATTCTTTTTAATCTTAAGTCTATGGTGTTGTATAAATTGGATATTCTTTTTAATCTTAAGTCTATGGTGTTGTATAAATTGGATATTCTTTTTAATCTTAAGTCTATGGTGTTGTATAAATTGGATATTCTTTTTAATCTTAAGTCTATGGTGTTGTATAAATTGGATATTCTTTTTAATCTTAAGTCTATGGTGTTGTATAAATTGGATATTCTTTTTAATCTTAAGTCTATGGTGTTGTATAAATTGGATATTCTTTTTAATCTTAAGTCTATGGTGTTGTATAAATTGGATATTCTTTTTAATCTTAAGTCTATGGTGTTGTATAAATTGGATATTCTTTTTAATCTTAAGTCTATGGTGTTGTATAAATTGGATATTCTTTTTAATCTTAAGTCTATGGTGTTGTATAAATTGGATATTCTTTTTAATCTTAAGTCTATGGTGTTGTATAAATTGGATATTCTTTTTAATCTTAAGTCTATGGTGTTGTATAAATTGGATATTCTTTTTAATCTTAAGTCTATGGTGTTGTATAAATTGGATATTCTTTTTAATCTTAAGTCTATGGTGTTGTATAAATTGGATATTCTTTTTAATCTTAAGTCTATGGTGTTGTATAAATTGGATATTCTTTTTAATCTTAAGTCTATGGTGTTGTATAAATTGGATATTCTTTTTAATCTTAAGTCTATGGTGTTGTATAAATTGGATATTCTTTTTAATCTTAAGTCTATGGTGTTGTATAAATTGGATATTCTTTTTAATCTTAAGTCTATGGTGTTGTATAAATTGGATATTCTTTTTAATCTTAAGTCTATGGTGTTGTATAAATTGGATATTCTTTTTAATCTTAAGTCTATGGTGTTGTATAAATTGGATATTCTTTTTAATCTTAAGTCTATGGTGTTGTATAAATTGGATATTCTTTTTAATCTTAAGTCTATGGTGTTGTATAAATTGGATATTCTTTTTAATCTTAAGTCTATGGTGTTGTATAAATTGGATATTCTTTTTAATCTTAAGTCTATGGTGTTGTATAAATTGGATATTCTTTTTAATCTTAAGTCTATGGTGTTGTATAAATTGGATATTCTTTTTAATCTTAAGTCTATGGTGTTGTATAAATTGGATATTCTTTTTAATCTTAAGTCTATGGTGTTGTATAAATTGGATATTCTTTTTAATCTTAAGTCTATGGTGTTGTATAAATTGGATATTCTTTTTAATCTTAAGTCTATGGTGTTGTATAAATTGGATATTCTTTTTAATCTTAAGTCTATGGTGTTGTATAAATTGGATATTCTTTTTAATCTTAAGTCTATGGTGTTGTATAAATTGGATATTCTTTTTAATCTTAAGTCTATGGTGTTGTATAAATTGGATATTCTTTTTAATCTTAAGTCTATGGTGTTGTATAAATTGGATATTCTTTTTAATCTTAAGTCTATGGTGTTGTATAAATTGGATATTCTTTTTAATCTTAAGTCTATGGTGTTGTATAAATTGGATATTCTTTTTAATCTTAAGTCTATGGTGTTGTATAAATTGGATATTCTTTTTAATCTTAAGTCTATGGTGTTGTATAAATTGGATATTCTTTTTAATCTTAAGTCTATGGTGTTGTATAAATTGGATATTCTTTTTAATCTTAAGTCTATGGTGTTGTATAAATTGGATATTCTTTTTAATCTTAAGTCTATGGTGTTGTATAAATTGGATATTCTTTTTAATCTTAAGTCTATGGTGTTGTATAAATTGGATATTCTTTTTAATCTTAAGTCTATGGTGTTGTATAAATTGGATATTCTTTTTAATCTTAAGTCTATGGTGTTGTATAAATTGGATATTCTTTTTAATCTTAAGTCTATGGTGTTGTATAAATTGGATATTCTTTTTAATCTTAAGTCTATGGTGTTGTATAAATTGGATATTCTTTTTAATCTTAAGTCTATGGTGTTGTATAAATTGGATATTCTTTTTAATCTTAAGTCTATGGTGTTGTATAAATTGGATATTCTTTTTAATCTTAAGTCTATGGTGTTGTATAAATTGGATATTCTTTTTAATCTTAAGTCTATGGTGTTGTATAAATTGGATATTCTTTTTAATCTTAAGTCTATGGTGTTGTATAAATTGGATATTCTTTTTAATCTTAAGTCTATGGTGTTGTATAAATTGGATATTCTTTTTAATCTTAAGTCTATGGTGTTGTATAAATTGGATATTCTTTTTAATCTTAAGTCTATGGTGTTGTATAAATTGGATATTCTTTTTAATCTTAAGTCTATGGTGTTGTATAAATTGGATATTCTTTTTAATCTTAAGTCTATGGTGTTGTATAAATTGGATATTCTTTTTAATCTTAAGTCTATGGTGTTGTATAAATTGGATATTCTTTTTAATCTTAAGTCTATGGTGTTGTATAAATTGGATATTCTTTTTAATCTTAAGTCTATGGTGTTGTATAAATTGGATATTCTTTTTAATCTTAAGTCTATGGTGTTGTATAAATTGGATATTCTTTTTAATCTTAAGTCTATGGTGTTGTATAAATTGGATATTCTTTTTAATCTTAAGTCTATGGTGTTGTATAAATTGGATATTCTTTTTAATCTTAAGTCTATGGTGTTGTATAAATTGGATATTCTTTTTAATCTTAAGTCTATGGTGTTGTATAAATTGGATATTCTTTTTAATCTTAAGTCTATGGTGTTGTATAAATTGGATATTCTTTTTAATCTTAAGTCTATGGTGTTGTATAAATTGGATATTCTTTTTAATCTTAAGTCTATGGTGTTGTATAAATTGGATATTCTTTTTAATCTTAAGTCTATGGTGTTGTATAAATTGGATATTCTTTTTAATCTTAAGTCTATGGTGTTGTATAAATTGGATATTCTTTTTAATCTTAAGTCTATGGTGTTGTATAAATTGGATATTCTTTTTAATCTTAAGTCTATGGTGTTGTATAAATTGGATATTCTTTTTAATCTTAAGTCTATGGTGTTGTATAAATTGGATATTCTTTTTAATCTTAAGTCTATGGTGTTGTATAAATTGGATATTCTTTTTAATCTTAAGTCTATGGTGTTGTATAAATTGGATATTCTTTTTAATCTTAAGTCTATGGTGTTGTATAAATTGGATATTCTTTTTAATCTTAAGTCTATGGTGTTGTATAAATTNTTGTATTTGAATGAAGTTCTTTTTAATCTTAAGTCATTGTTGTTGTATTTGAATGAAGTTCTTTTTAAACTTAAGTCAATGCTATTGTATTTGAATGAAGTTCTTTTTAATCTTAAGTCATTGTTGTTGTATTTGAATGAAGTTCTTTTTAAACTTAAGTCTATGCTATTGTATTTTAATGAAGTTCTTTTTAATCTTAAGTCAATGCTATTGTATTTAAATATTCTTCATCATTATTTAAAGAATCTTTTATTTTGGATTAATTCTCAACAGCCTTATATTGAAAATTTGAGATAAAATTGTTTGCTAACTGTGAAGTTCCACAACTAATCAAAGGTAATAAAATTTATTATTCTGCCAAACAGTATAATTATTAAGTTAATTATTCAGTAATATCTTCAATGATTTTTTCTATAAATTTGTCTTCTTATTAATTTTCAAGTTTTTATTCATTTTTTGATAAATATCTTAAGAAATCTTATACTTATTTAGGAGTTTAATTTTCAATTAAAACTTAATTTAATTCGTCAGTAAGTTTATAATATGTATTTTACTCGATATTATCTAAAAAAACAATTTCACTTAATTTTTAATTTAAATCTGTTAAGGATTCATTAACTCTTGCTTAGTTTTCTATTAAAGGTTTGTTACTAATTCCATTTTTAGTATAAACATTAGAGATTATATTCTGTTTTAGCAAATAAAATCAATTAGGATTTGAATTCAGTATGCAAATAATCAATTAATTTTTCTTATTATAAAATTACCAATACTTCTTAAATAAATTTACAACATAAAGAGTAAATCCAGCTTCCAAATCCTACTTCCTTAGGGACTGAAAATTTTATAATGAAATTTTCAAGATAACTAGTAAAAGTATTTACTAACCTAATTATTTTTAAGAATTTCGAAATATATTTATTTATATCCTCAACCAAGTTTCTTTTTTAGATTTAATTTAAAACTTAAATTTTTCTAAGAAGTTTAATTGTATCTTTTTAAGAGAATTTTTCTTAAATGATTTTATAAAGAAATTACTACAATTAAGACTTAGTATTTTCAAGTGTTGCTGAAAACATTTTGGTAAGAATCAGATTACATCCTTTAAGGGCTAATGACTAAAAAGATTATTTCCATGTTTCATGAAAAATAGATTTTATTTTTAACATTTTTATGCTTTTTTTTTAGTCTATAATTTGAAAGAAATCTTTAGTTTTGCCGGTATCTTTAATTATATTCAATCCAAAAGTGAGAGTAGTGCATAAAATGCTGGCTGTCTTTTAATAATCAGTAATCAGCCCAAGAGAATTCTCTCTTATAGTATGATGTTATTAGAATAATGAGATCTGAAACTCCTTCTTAAAGAATCATATTCCCAATAATACCTCCAAGTCCAGTTGTCATTAATAGACCTCCAACTATCAATTAGGAAAAGGCTACTGTACCAAGAAATAACATGTTATAAAATGGAATAAACTTATTTTCATTTAAAATAATGATATCTTTAATTCCTCTTGCTTCAAAATCATAAAATTCTTGTAAATCATCTAAATTTTTTGTTAAATTATATTCCTTTATTTTTTTCCTATTGACTATTTTGACACTTTTTTATTATATATCTGCTTTTTCAATATATTTACGAGTTTACTCTTAATTTAGACTATTAAAAATCAATTAAAATTCTAATTAGAATTTTCTTAATTATTAGATTAGTATTTTACTCTACATAATATTTTCTATTCTAAATCTTACATTAACTAATTTATTCCCTTCAAAAGAATAGAAGCTATTTATTTTATTAAATTATAAATTGAATTTAGCCGTATCTTTACAAGTATTCAATATTTTTAGAATGTTTTCTTTTTTAATATTTGGAATTGATATAGTTTAAATATTAAATTTATTTTCGATCTATTCAAATAATTATTTAGCTTATTCCTTATTATATAACATATGTAATTGTTCGTTGAGATGTTTCAATTTAATTAAATATTCTTATTTAATTATCTAAGAGATATCTTCAATATCACATGTTATCACAAGATTAATTGATTCAGAATCGATAATTTATAATTCTTTTTTAACTTTTTCTTTATCCAAATCTATAATTTCAATATCCATCTAAATATTATTTTTTAAATCATTTTACCATTTTTCTGTCTCTTTACTCATAAAGATTATATCTATTAAAATTTCATCATCTATATTATTAACTATTTCAATTGCATCTTAAATAGATTTTGCTTCATAATTTTTTTAAGGTGTTTTTAGAAGAATATGTTTTCCTACTTCTTTTTTATCTTTTAAAATTTATAATACAAATTCTTTATAAAGTCCCATATTTATATCTCTTTTATAAAATAATAAATTTAGTTTGGATACAGCAATTTCATTTAATTGTAAAGTGATTTAATTGTTGATTGATTAATCTTTATCATAAATCTATTCAATAGTCTTTATTGCAGAATCTTAATCAATGTAGTCTTCATAATAAGATAGATCATTAAATATCAATTAAATATTATTTGATTTTAAAGAAGAACAATATTTAATAGCTTATTTCTTTTCTAAGCCAAGATGAATTAACTTTATTTAGATTTCTTTTTAATTACCATATTCTTCTTTATTAACAATATTTATTAATCTTTAAGATTTCTTAATTACTTTAATATTTGCTTCTATGCTATTTGCACAAGTTTCAATAATTTAAAGTTTTTTTATAATTTATTATTGTAAATCACTATCTTGAAAATTCTTCAAATATTTGGATAAACTCACATTTAAACTCTACCATGTTATAAATTCTTTATTTAATAATTCAGCTGTCTTTTATAAATAGTTCAATGCTTTATTTTTATCTTAAATATCTGTTTAAAGATAAAGGTAGGCTAATTCTTAATAAATAATAGCTAATTAATCACCATCAACTTTGATGATGGCATTTAAAGCATTTATTTTATCTTATATTTGGGTCTATTTTTTAAGTTGAGATTGTTAAATATCTATTTTATAATAAGGATTGCATATTATTTCTTTCTTTTCACAAAGGTTATTGACATGATCTTCAAATTCTTTAAACTTATCATCAGTATTTTCTTAAATAACTTAATTCTACAATAGAAATACTGCCCATTTTTCTTCAATATTTAAATTTGTATAATGTTTCTCTAATTAATTTAATTAGTTTTAAGATTAGATAATTTATCTTTATTGATTTAAAAGATTACAAAACTTTTCAAAATACATCTCTTTTTTTTCTATTTATTTTAAATTATAATCCATATACTCTTATAATCTTTTAGCTTCGAATTCATCCCTTTTTTTCTTTAATTTTGAATAATCTATTTAATCATCAATTAAATGTTTAATATTACATTAATTTAAAATCATTTATCCTGTCCCTTTATTGGCTAATCTAGCAGTTCTGCCAAATGCTTATTCTTCAATTCTTTAATTAGTAGGCATGAATGTTAATATTACATGTAATCCTCCATATTCTTCAATATTATTTGTTTTGATATCAGTCCCTCTACCTGCAAGATTTGTAGCAACAAATATTTGATGTGGATAAATCATTTCAATATCCTTTTCCAAAAATTTATTATTCATATCATAAAGTTTGATATTACTATTATTATATTTCAATTATAATTTTTCTTAAATTTTATGAGCATCTAATATTGTTTCACATATAATTAGAACACCTCTTTTTTTATTGCATTCACTAATAGCTGATTAAATGATTTCTCGCAACCATTTTTTATTATTATCTACAACAACTAATTGTAATTCCTTAAATAATTTATAGTTATTTTAAGGAATAAAAACTAAATTAACACCATAAACTTAAATTAACATTTCTTAAGCTTTTTCTGAACCTAATGTACCTGTTAAACCAAATAATCTTTTATTGTATTTTTTAAAATATCCAACATTAGATAAAAAATTTGTTAAAAAAGTTTCAGATGTAATTTTAAGATTATGTTTTATTTATAAGAATTAATGTAATCCATTTCCCCAATAAGTAGAATTCTAAATTATTCCTGTATTTTAATAATCAACTGGTTTTATTTAACCATCACTAATAATATAGTGAATATTTTCTTAAAATTTAATTGCTTATAAAGCATTACATATCCAATTAGGTAATTAAAGATTTAAATATTATTTAAAATAATTAGGTAGAATGATGATTTGATTTTCTTAGATTATCCATTTAATATATTATTCTATATCTATTTTAATAAAATCATCTAAATTATCAATAATTTCACCTATTTCTTTTGGAATAGGTAATTAGTTCTTCAAAATAAGCTATTCTAAATCTTCAATGATTTATATATTTCCATCAGATTTCTAAATTTATAGACTTAACTTATTTTCATTTTTTACAATTTTTCCATAAAAGTAATAATATTTCGAACCAATTTTAACTATTTATTCATCAAGTAATTTAATTCTTTACTAAATAAATAAATAAATAGGTTAAAAATGACATATACCAGCAACTGTAGTGGATAATCTAGCAAATTTTGAACTCTCATCTATAAGCATACTATCAACTTCATCAACAATTGCTATCTCCATTTTTCTGTCACCCATTGTATTTAATTAATTATGATGATGCCTTAAATAATCAAATTAAAATTAGGATACATCACCATAAACAATATCTTTTTTATAACATTATTTAACATTTTTAATGTATTTTGATTTGTCACTATTTTCACTACATTCAAGACCAAAATACTTATATAGATTTGCCATCTTTTTTGAATCTCTCTCTGCTAAAACAGGAGAACTGGTGTGAATATTGATTGCAAATCCTTATAATCCATAAAATATGGCGATGATACATATTATAATGGATTTACCTTCACCAGTACTCACTTATAATAATACTCCTTCATCCTATCCTTACAATAAAATTATCAAAGCACTCATAATTTATGAGTAAGTTAAATTCAATTATTAGTAAATTAAAATAGCTTATTTGATCACAGCTATTGATTCAACTATAAATCCTATATTTTTGAAATTCTCTTTCTATTATTATTTTACAATTTTAGCCCATTCTTATATATCTTTCTTTATCCAATCTGATATTTCTTAACCCTTTTCCTTTATTTATTTAATCATATTCATATAAAAATCTTTATTTATTTTTAACTTTGTATTTATTTATGACAATTCATCTACTAATATTTATATATCCTTTGCTCCAGCTTTATTTTAAATATCTTTCAAAGCTAAATTATATACTTAATTATTCCAATTATGATATTCATCTTAATCTAAGATACTTTTTATATCTTTATCTGGTTAAATTTTATAATAATAAAGAGTCTTGAACAATTAAACTATAGATTTCTCTTTCTTTGAATCTAGATTCAATGGCTAAACATTATCAAGAATTTCTATCTATTTTTTAAAAGTCCAACCTTTAATTAGTAATTATTTGATAATATTCTTTAATAATTTGTCATTTTTATATTTTTGAAATCTAAGAATTATAATTTAAATTTCAAAATATTATTTTAATTCCTTTACTGTATATTATTGTTCAGATTTCTAAATAATACATTTATATTTTATAATAAACTCTAAGAGACTTTAAAATTCTTGAAAATTGTCGATCTCTTTTAATTATTCAAAAAAATAAGCAGATTATTCACAATTTAATTACTCATAATTACTTATAAGGTTTGTCAAAATTTAAATATATGGACTATTCAAAAGTTGTTTATTTATCTTTTTAATTATCATCTAATTTAACCATTCTTATTTCAATTTTATCCATTATAATTTTACCTTAATTTATTTACTATTATAAATAATATTTTATTTCAATAATTAAGTTATATTTTCTAATCCTATTGTTTTGATAAAAATAATTAAATCATTAAATTCAATTTCTCTCATTCCTTCAATTTAAATTATTGTGTTTAAAAATTAAGTATAATGTTTTTGATTTTTTTCATCCTAATTAATAATATTTTTGATTTTAATCATTGAACATCCTTTATTTTTTATTTCAAAACCCTTCTCAAGTAATCCTATATTCCAATCTTCACAATTGATAAATGTTTCACCTAAATCATACTATTATAAATAATTTATGGTTTCAAGTAGATCGTCGTCTCTATCAATTGGCATTTTAATTTGTTCTAATACTTTTATTATTATATCACAAAAATCATTAAATAATTAAGAATTAAATCCTTTTTCCCTAGCAATTCGTAATCCTTTAAAACAAAAATTACTAATTATTACAGATGTATTCATCAGATTGACCTCTAGAAATTTCACCCAACTTTATTACAAATTATCTCCAAATTAACAAGCACAATAAATACATTCACTTAAAGCTAAAATGTATTTTTATTTGTTCAATAAACAATCTATACAATTTTGAAGATTCTAATACTTTTTTTATTCTATAATCTTTGTATATGCTATAATTATTTTATTTGTTATTTTGATATCATTTAGTTAAATTAATGCTTCTATTTAATTTACTATATCTTCATTAAAAATTAATTAATACAACACAAATTTAGATAAAATTTTTGAATAAATATAAATCTAATCTTTTTATAACTTTCCTAATTAGAATGTATTACAAAATAATTTTATTCTTTATTCTGAAAATATAAATCCTAATTTCATAGACTTATTGATTCTTTTAAGTAAATCAATTGAACACTCATAAGGTATTGTTTTATCTAATTATTCAATTATTTTCAATTTATCATTTAATATTTCATTTCCTTTTGATGAAAATAAGGCACATTCTAATTAATCTGAATAATTATCAATTAAAAATGTTAAAATAGTATTTGGAAATGATTTTTTAGATTAAGCTATTTGATTGAGAAGTTTAAAACATTGAGATGTCTAATCTTTGTATGAAATAAACATCACAATATTTTATATTATATTATCTGGTATTTAATCTATATTTTTGCAATTATTTAATAAAGAAATAGCTAATTATAAAAGTTAATGATCCTTACATTCTTATAAAATTTAATTAATTTAATCTAAAGTTTCAGGTAATAATTCAATCTATTCATTAATATCATTTAAAGTTAACAAATTATTCTTATTATTAGTATTCAAATCCTAAGTCAATAAAAATTAATTGATAAATTAAGTTGTTTATGCATCAAGTTCACATAATTTTAATATTTTACTAATTTTAATTTTTATTTCATATTTGATTTCTTTTTATTTTATTAATATTATTAATATTGATTATAATTATGTGTCTAATATATTTTGATGTAATTTTATATCATTAATAATTGTTAAACATAAAGGAATTAAAATTTATTTAGATATCTAAAGTTTTGATATTAAAACTTAAATAACTAAATTAAGATGTTGAGCATCTTAATAAAATATATTATTTGCATTAATTTTAGTATTGATTGCTTAGAGTAGACTAAATTCTAAATTTAAATCATTTGTATTTTATATATGCATACATAATCTTTCAATTAATTATGTGGAAAATAATTTACAATTTTAACTAGGAATTGCAAAAAATTAAACTATCAATTAAGGAATATTTTAATTATCTAACATCTCTTCTAATTTAAGTATAAGCTCTTCAGAAAATTCTTAATTATTCTTGACCATATTAATAAATATACGTATAATATTTTCATTAATATCTTAATTATTCAATTTTGTCTAAAGTTTATCAACAACTAAGTTTGGAATGATTTAATTATTACTAGATACACATTCTAATATTTTAATTACAGTATCATTTAATTCATCTAATGTATTTGCAATAATTTAAAATATATTGTTTGATATTACTTAACCTTCTTATACTTTTTAATATATATAGTTTATTGCATGATTATAATCATTAGATTTCTTTTTAATTGCTTATCCAGCTCTTTCTAATTATATAGATGTAAATATATTTTCAGATAATGTATGATTCATTTCTACTATTTCTAAAATTTCATAATATTTATCAGAACCCTCTTCCATGTTTGATATTTTATCAATAAATTTTTATAATGTAGTATCACTAACAATTTAACCCATACGAATAACCTATTCTAAAATCACTAAGCATTTTTATTATATATCTGATTTATTTAATTAGATTTCAAGTACTACTACTAATCTATCTGGTATTTTTTAATATTTTGTATAACCTATAAGAATTTCAATAATTTTATTTTAGATTTATAAATCCTGAATCAAAATATTTTCAAATTAAATCATAAATTCTATTGGTATATTTTATTTTTCTTATGTTTAATTATTTAAGATTGTTATTATATTTTATTAAATTTATTAGTATTTTTAATTTTCAGAATAGTCATCTAAATGACAAATCTAAGTTAAAATATCAATATATTGAAATTCAATAGCCTGATTAATTTACTTTTTCAAAATAGCTTTTGTATACACAAGTGCATAAATAAATGATTATCCCTTTTAATCATTAAAAATATCAAAAAAATGCAAAATTAATTTATCATAATTCTCTTTTGAAATATCTTAGTCAATTTCAGCTAATATTTTTACAGTTTACAATTTTAAATTTTCATCTTAATCTTTTAGATTTGATATCAAGTAATCGATTGTTATTTATGAAAGTTAGATATGATGTTGTGATACTTAATTATAAATAATTTCAGTAACAATTAAAGAAATACTTGGATTATTAGTATCATTATCTTCAATAATCATTCCTTTTGGATTTATCTTTTAAGAAACTTATAATTTTTATATTAAACAGTCAGAAATCTTTATTCTAAATTTTGAGCCTTTTTTTAATGCAGTTACTAAACTTAAAATAATCAAGTTTTATAATTAATCTTCAAATTTAGATAAATTATCAATAAGCTTATTGTATTTATTTTCTTAATGACCTTGATTCTTTTTTAAAAACTATATAATAGATTTAAGTAAGTAAAATTTGTATTATAAATCTTAGTCTTAATATTAAAAAAAAAGATCGAATAATCTTTCAAAATCATTTTCATTAATATTTAACTTCTCATAACTTAAAAAAATACTAACAATTTCAGTTAATTTCTTCTTAATTTCATTTTCTTTTTTTATTGTATCAGATGTAATCTTATCAATTATCATCTATATATTAGCCCCTAATAAGCGTTCTGCATTTTCAATTGTTAAAGTCTGACTAAGTATATATTCAATTCCTTCAAATTAATTCTTTTCTATTTTTTTCATACAAACATTAAACACATCTTGAGAATTATTCTTATTAGTTAGACAGTAAATCTTTAATGCAACTACACGAAATTCAAAATTTTATTCATCAAGATATTAAAGGCTTTCAATGAATTTTATTTTTGTATCATTTAAGACAATTAAATTGTTGGAAACAAGATTGTGAATAATTTAAATAGCACATACTCTTAATTTTTAAAATTCAGATAACATAATTCCAATTACTTTTTCAACAACTATGCTATTTTTATCTCCAAAACAGCTTAATTAACTATTACCGATTAAACCACTATGATTAATAGAAATTTTAGTATGAAATTGATCAAAGTCAAAGAATACCTTTAGAATCTTTTTAACAAATTCTTCAATTGAATCCAAATTTTCTATTTTAATTTCACTTCTGTGAATTGAATTAACATAAATATTATCAGATAAATCTTATAAGAATAATTTTTTAACAGTATTAATGTCCTCACATAATTAAAAGACTTTATTAATAGTTTAATTATTTAATGATTAGCTTTCAGAGATAATTCTAAATGTTTCTATTATCATTCGATCACATAAATATTCACCAAGAATTCCATTTGAAAAATATTTTGATCCAAATAATTTATCTGGTAAATATCCATCTTTATCGTCTTCTTCAATCTTTTTATGTTATTATGCATATTTATATATCTATTTTATAGTATCATAAGTATTATTAAAAATAGTATTTGGAACATTATTTTTTTTTAATTCTATTTATCTATTTTCTATGACATTATTAGAAACTTCAACCAAATCATTTGGTATAATATTCTCCTGATTCTAATTAATTGTAGTTATTTATTAACTATCATCAAAATCATAAAGTATTTCATAATTATCATGACGTTCATATGTTAATATTACATGACTATAAAAACCTTATTATTCTTTTAAAATATTTTATTCTAAATTCGAGGAATCTTCTTTAATTTATGGATTAGAGATATTTTACAGTTGAATAAGATATTATCTTATCTAAAAATCTAGATCATTTAAATTTAAAATCTTATTTAAATATTCCTCCTTTAACTATTATTATTATTGAATTATAGACAATATTTTAACTAATTCATATAATGAATCTTTATTCCTAATCACACTAAAGATATTAATGAGCTTTTCAATTTAAATTTTTGATCCCTTTATAATAGATTATCTTAATATTTGACAGCATGTAAGTATTTATTGTTAATCTTATTTTTCAACTAAAAAATAATTAAGTAAATGATTAAGATATTCATCTGGAATTTGTATTTTATGTGATATATGCAATAATTCTTTAAGAATATTTCTTAATGAATTATGATTTTTATAATATTATTCAATTTCACTTAATACTTCTTATTTATCGAAACTCTTGTAATGTTATAAATTCACCTTCTCATTTTTCTAATCATTCTCTTAACTTATTAATTATATTTAATTATTTATTTGGTCTGCTTCTAAAATTTAATTTTAAATCATCCACAAAAATTCTACAAAAATAAATAATAATTATATATAATAATTATTTTTAAATAAATATTACTAGATACCTTAAATATAAATCAGAAAATTTCAGAGAATATCAATTTTTATCTACAATTTAGATTAAGATAAGTATTACATAATTAATAATACATTAAAATAGATATTACTATATCTACTAAATATAATTATTATATTTATATATATAAATTGTTATTACACAAAAATAGTCATTTATTTCATAAATAATTATTATAAATAAGTATTATTAATAAATCGATAAAACAATAAATATATATATAAATATTTACAATAAATCAATCCCATTTATAATTTTATGATCTTCCTTCTTTTTTATATATTTCAGCTTCTTCTTACTTTTACTTTTTTTATTCAAATTCAAGTTATGATAATGGTGTCAAACCTCTTTTTTCGTAGTTTTATAATCTACGTTCTGCTGCCTATGCAATTAAATCCTAATTTATGTAAGAATTGATAAACATTTTAACTAAGTTCATGATTGGAATCACCTCCAATAAGTCTATTTGATTATTCTATTGATATGATATAATGATTACTATTATAACGATTATATTCTTCTTAATTAGAAGGATTCTTAGTTTCAGATTGAATAAGACATCCCATAATTTAAAATTAATAATAATAATCAATTTTATTCATGATTTCCTACTTGTACTTCTAGATTGCTAATTCTTAAATGAAGCTCATTTAATTTAATGGCTAGAGCAGTTTTTTCACCTTTTAGATGTGTTAGTTAAGTTTAAATTCTTGAATTTTCTGCTAATTGATATCCAACTTCTCTTTTCAATTCATCATCTAAATGACTTATAGATATATATGATATTACATTAATTCATTTTAAAGTGTTTTGAGCATATCTTCAGTTTTATTAGATAAGATGGATTCAAATTCATCTTTAAGTTATTTTAATGATTAATATTCCTTTCTATGAATTTCAACAGAATCAGCTACTTCATACATAAGTGATTCTAATGATGATATCTTACCTTTTAAGGAAGCATTATTTTATGAATTATCAGTTGAATTAGAAGTAATGCTAAATGAACTATAATGTGTTTTTTACATTTTAATATATAATGATAATAATCATCTTCTTTTTTGTAATGATTTCATATATCTAACAAATTGTTTTTCTCTTATGGTTCCATTGCCCTCAGAATCACAACTTTAAATAATACTTAATAATAGTTCATCCTTTAGATTTTCATTGCATTCTGAAGACAATTCTCTTAAATCATCTATTGTTATATAACCTTATTAAAATTAAAGTAATATTACCTTTATAATCTTAATCAATCTAATAGAAAACATTTATAAAATCTTCATCTGTATCTTTATCACCAGGATGTGTAGACATCATTCTAACAAATTCTCTAAATTCAATTATACCACTTTAATCAGAATCAAAATCTGCAATCATTTGATATAAGATTTATTTTTTAGGTTGATATTTACCAACCATTAAAAATGCTTTTCTTAAATCCATAGGTTATATAACACCATTATTATTTGAATCTAAAAAATCAAAGATTTCTTTATATAAAATTATATCTCTTTTTGTAGTTGTAGCAGTAATATAATCATTTGGATCAAATTTTGGTTCAGGTGGTATAAATGATTAATGTGAATTAGTTGGACTTAATTATTATGGAGGTGAAACTAATTATTATGTATTTATTTTATTTTAAGGTAAAGATGGAGCTGAAATTGTATTTTTCTTTTTATTCATATTATAATTATTTTATTATTTATTAAATTATTTATATTTCATTATTCTTCTTTCAAATTCATCAATTTAGATTCATCTCCTAAATCAAAATCTTTCAAACTAAAATCACATTTATTTTATCTTCCCATTTCTGAAGTTATACTCTTAGTTGATGTTATAAACTTCATAAACTTATTTTGTCTATCTTTCCTCAATGCAGGTTGTTTAGACTCTTCAATTTATTTGATTAGTTCATATTTAAGGAAACGAGACTCTTTATTAAATTATCATATATTACACTCTTTTTATCACAATTCATTATGGTTATACTCTTTATATGTAAACGATTATTAGATTCCTCAATGAAACTATAATAATCTCATAATAATTTACTCAATAATTGATCTTACTAGTACTTCAGAACTAAATGATCTACTTTATTTAATAGGACAATCACATATTAAGATTTCTTTATACTGATCATCATTTAATTATGTCAAACTATTAATACTAATATTATAATACCACTCTTTATATCCATTATAATATTAAAATAAATCTTTTTCTGACTAATATAATAATATTATTCTATACCTCAAATGCTCTCACTCTATAATAAGTAATACATTTGTAATTGCTCATTTCTAAATTTTAAGTGTACATATTTTCAAAACCAACTAAAAACGTACTATAATCTACTTACTTTTACATAAATTATCATAAACTTATTATGTATGAAATGGTTGTAATGGTATTTTCTCAGGATTCGTATATAAACAAACTTAAATATATGATAAATTAATTACTTACACTCTCTCCTGATTCTTTTGATATATCTCCTAATTTTACAGTTATTTTCACATTCAAATATTCTCGAAATATAACTAATTCATTGTTTAATACATGATATTCTTTGTCTCTAGATAAACAACACATTCCTTCTTAATTACCCATATGATATTATATATATATATAATAAATAATAAAAACACATTATATACAAATATTCATTAGTTAAAATGAATTCTTCTACCCCATTCAAGGCTATCCATTAAATTTTAAAATTGTTATTCTGTAATTTCTGTACCTATTTAATTAGACATAGTTCTCTCTCCTTAAATAATATCTTATGCAAGAATCATGTCATCAGAACTTGCATCTACATGATTTTCTTAATCAAACCATGGATGTAAGGGTATTTCTAATAAATAGAATTAATACCTTCTGCAGATAATCTTTAATGAGGATATGGTTTAAGCAATCTCTTAATCAGATCTCTTTGAACTTGATTCAACTATAAAAATTCTTAAGAATATTGAAATTAAGGGTCCAATGAAGTAATTTATTCTATAGTTTCACTAATGGTTTCAGCATAAAAAGGTAAGGTTTAACATAACAACTGATAGAGTATAATCCCAATCGACCAGATATCAACTTATTATATAACAAAAATAGTATATACCTTTTTCATCATAACCTCCTCCTAAAAAGACTTCTGGAGCCTAATATAAGATGGTTCCAGTAGCAGTCCACATTTCTGTAAACGTGTCTCTATATTTGAATCGTTTTGAGACTCCAAAATCGATTAATTTAATTTAAAGGTTTGGTTCAGTTTAAATTAGAATATTTTCTGGTTTTAAATCTCTATGTGAGATTCCTCTAGAATGAATTTAGCCAATAACCTAAGCTAATTGTTTAATAGTATCTTGTTTCTATCTAAGAGTGAGGTTGCGGCACACTTATTCCAAATTAGGGCTATCACAAAATTCTATCACTTGATAATGATGCTTTGTTTATTGATCAATGAATAAATCATATGTTCTACATACTTATGGGATATCTTGTAATTATCTCTATAAATTGAATGTATGTATAATAGTATTGACAATTTCTGGATCATCAGTTCTAAAACATTTAACAGCATAAATTTGTATTGATTTAGGCATTAATGATTTAGTACTTCTTTATTTAGGTATTTTATAACATTTTCTAACAACTGAATGTGCTCCTTCACCTTTAATAATTTTATTAGTAATACCTATTTTTTCTTATAATACATATGCATCTTTAAATCTTTCAACCGATTATACTTATTCCTATTAAACTATTACATTTTCAATATCAACTGATCTTCTGATTTTGAATCCTTATTTGCCAAACAAATGAGTCCTTAAATCATTCCTTATATTTTCCTAATGCATTTTAATATTAGTCAACATATATATAAATCCAATTAAATTAATTATGAATCGTCTTCACAATGGTGTGATTGGATTAGCATTGAAAAACTCCTTTTTCTTTAGTACAGCTAAAAAGGCAAAGATGGAATTGACAGTCAGAACTCCATATAAAACTATCATTGACAAGTTTGATGGTTTCTCAAGGATTGTTGCTAAGACTAATGAAGTACTCTCTCAATCAAATTTAGGCTGCACTTATCATATAAAATCGTACACCTGCTGCAGTCTATATTTTACCACCTGGACCTTTGAAAATTAAATTTACTTAAGATGTAAAAGGAATTACTGGAGATTTCTTACATTTGGGAGGTTATGTATTTGTCAATCCGTAAAATAATTATTCATTAATTATAGAGATAACACTTGCGAAATCAATTTGTTAGATGTTGTTGATAGAAAAGAAGCAAAAGTAGATCAATTTGATAAAGCAGATGTAAAAGATGCAGATACAGTTGCAGGAAGATATGCTGGAAAAATAAGGAGAGCTGCATAACGTACCTTTATTAAAAAAGCAACAGCATGATTTATAATACATAAATAATTATAATGTATTTGAATTAATATGTATTCTAAAATATTTCAATTATTCTTGTATGAATTCATTCTCAAATAATAAGATCTCATAGAATAATAATTAACATTTTTGGTATTCAGAAAATATTTATTCATGAAGAATAAGAGTATAATATGTTATCCATATAATTTTAATAAAATATATATATGTCAAAAGTTAGTAATTTGAAAATCAATATACTTTTTAAGGATTTTTTTTGTGTAAAAAACACCTTTAGACATTTTTACAGGTATTTATTATATACATAATTTCTTAATAAGTATTTTAATTATTCAATACTAATAATCAAAGCAATAAAATATTGAAATTTGAGATTTCAATAAAACTATTTTTACTTATGGCAAAACGTTTAATTAAAACAATAATGATAAATTAATACAATTTGAGGGGATGATTGATTTGAGAATTTGATTTTAAGAATGATTTTACTATAGTATTTTATTAATTGGTGAATGATATATTTATATATATTATTTTGAAAAACGAATATTGATGATATTTTGGAATAGATTAATGTCATGGATACCTGCTATAATTCTACTAGGCATCTTAATATTCATATATAGTATATATTTTATGGTAATTTACATCCTTAATTATACTAGTACAACATTCAACCTAATTTCGATGGATTCAATTTAGGAATAGTAATATAACACTTTATGATATTAATGTTCCTTATATCAATGCTTCGTGCAATGCTTTTAGAACCAGGAGCTATATGTCAAGTAATTTTATGTAACAATATTGAGGAACTTATTGATGAAACATGGAGATAATGGGATGAATATTAATAATAAGAGAAAGAGAGGATGACTGAATAAAGACAAAGGAGAAGTCAAAGATCAGTAAAAACTTTTAAAACAGAAAATGATGAAGATAGAAGTGTAGTAAATATGGATGCAGATGAAAATTTAGATGATGATTATAATGTCAAAAAGGATATTAATCAAAAAGGTATGGAAAAGAGATTCTGTAAAAAATGTTGTATTCCAAAACCTTTAAGAACACATCATTGTTCTTAATGTAGATGTTGTTGGTAAAGAATGGACCATCATTGCTAATGGATCAATAATTGTGTAGCCAAAGACAATTATAAGATATTCATTTGCATGATCTTTTATGCTAGTAATTTTCCATTATTTTAACAGTAGAGGCTGTCTTTTGGTTTGGGTGTCAATTTCTTAATATAAGGTATTCCTAAATGTGATTGAAACTGATATGCCAGATCTTATACTATTTTTAATTGTGCTCCATTATTATTTCATTCTTTTGATTGCAGTCCTTATAACCGGCTTTTTCATATTCCACTTGTATTTGATATCTCAGAACAAGACTACTTTGGAATAGTTGGAGGACAAACCAGATGTACTACTTAATCATTATTTTAGAGATTAAAATATAATTAAGGAGTATGGTAAAATTTCAAGTCCATAATGGGTTCAAATATTCTATTATGGTTTTTACCAATTAAATGATATTATAATATCATAAAAAACAAATTTAAATAAAGAAACTAAGATAAATTAAATTATTGTCATCTTTAGGTATAAAATCCCAAATCTCTTTCTTGTTAATTTATTAATTTCGTAAGGTTTTATTTTATTTCTAATTTGCGTGATGCCATAGGAGATTTGTCCATAGACTTTTTTGAAAGTGATTTCAATAAAATTGATGCAGAACAAGTACTTATTCCTTTACCTTAAAAATTAGAAGAACTTGGAACAGAATAAATTGATTATTACTATTTATTCTTAATCTAATAATTCTTAAATAAAATGCTATACTTAATAAACATCCAATTAAACTTTACTTTTTTCTTTTGATTTCCCTTTCTATTATCTTTCAGTTTAACAATTTCTTTATGACATAATTTAATCATATTAGTTTAATAATTGTTGAAAATTGATTTTATTATGAGAAATTTAGGGTATTACTAATTTTGGTATGATAATATTTTTATTATTAAATTAATTTCCATTAATTTTATCATTTTATTTATTAATTACCATTTTCTTTGGTGATAATTTCATCAATTATCGATTTGTAAATTTATTTATATCTTTTATTATCATAGAAATATCTTTATCATTTTATTAATAATATAACTAATGGATAGAATTGGATGTGTTAAGATAGTTCATTTATCTTTTTATAACTGGTTTCATTTTTTAAGAAGATACATTAGAATTAGTATAAATATTATGTTCTGAAGTTTCCCAACTTATTATTTTATTTTCATATTCTTCAATTTCAGATGATAAACTATTAAAAATAACAGAAATACTCAATATTTTAAGTAGTATTGAATAATATTCTATAATTATTGGTGGCTGCCACGTTGTTAACAGGTAATTTTTGTAATTTTTACAGTTTATTGTTACGCTTCTAAACAATTTGATGTGCTGTCACGATTAACAAATTGGGTATTGGAATCTGAGACACAATTGATTGATTATACGCTATAGTACCTTGAATTAAAGTTTATGCATTATTTATTTTTATTCCAATAAATCGTAACATTTTGTTAAATATTCATTATCATCATTGAAATATAACAAATCCTTAAATAAGATAACATGATCAATTTGCAAATTGCCTAATATTTCTGATATTGGTTTGGCAAAATAAAAATTAAAGGCATTATAATACCTATTTTATTAGTAAATTACATACTTCTTCTATAAATTATCAATTTAGAATTATGATAAAGAACTCTAACATAATCTACATTCTTTGTTTTATTTATAATACATAAATTTAATTATTATTATATTCTAACTTAAGTTATATTTATCAAAATTTTATATAGAAAAATACAATTCATTTTGTAATCCCTTTTGAGAATTTCTAATAAAGCTTTTCAAATCCCTCCTTCCCAAAGAACTTAAATAATTCAACTAAATCTAATTTTTTATCTGTTTTTCTCATAATCCTTCTTATTTCCTTTTCCTCTATTGGTTTAACTAAGGCTTATTTAATTATATTCTCTGCACATCTTATTTTTTAGTCTTGAAAATTAAAAAATGTAGAAAGATCAGCTTCATCTTTAGTCAATAAAGCATCTTTATGAATTGTAACCATTGCCATTATAAGATTTGTGTATCCTAATACAGTTCCCTTAATAAAAATATAATCCCAAAATAAAACACAATCTAACAAATCAAATAAGTATACAAATCCACTTAATAAAATCTTACTTATCCAAATTGAAGGAGATATATTGTAATTGATAAAATGATCATATACCTTTGGTAATTTAACTTATATCAAATTCATAATAATTTCCTCCATAATGAATAGTAAAGGTAAATCATCTTTAAATAAAAGATTAAACATATAAAAAGAAGAATCAAGTAATTCAGCAAAAACACAAACAGTTTCTTATTCTTTAACTCCTGACACCATCAAAAATAAAGCTATTAAATTAATAAATTAATAAGATACCTGCAATGTAATTCATTCCTTGACAATATCCTACTTTAGGATATAAACTAGCTAAATTTGTAAGTACATAATCTAATTTTAAAATAACAGACTCCTCTTTGAATACATCACTAATTAAGGTTCTATTTATGTCTTTCTTTATACAATCAGATGCATCACTTATTTAAGAATCTATTTTTTTATTAATTATGCCTTTTTGTAAAGTGATAACTTTCCAATATGCCCATCTATATTTTTAAGGAAGACCAATTAATCCGTATTATTTAAATTCATATTTCTCTTAAATGAAAAATCTGAACATATAATATTCATAATCATATTTAATGAGTGGACATTCTTCAAAAAACTATTATATATTTTTAGGAGTTGAAAGTGAATTTCTATAATTTGATGAAGTTCTAGTATGTTCATCATAAACTTTAAATGAATTTAATTTTTCTTCCCACATTTCATCTAATTTAGGATTCTTTCCTACATTTAAGTATTTACCAATTTCATATTAATAAGTAAATGAATGAGATCTATCATCTTACTTTGGTTTTTCTTGTTTATTGAAATCCAATGTCAACCTATTAAAATTAATTTCTGACTTTTCTATTTGCGTACATGAAAATGATCCCATTAATTTAAATAATTATTTATAAATATCTATAAGTCTGTATAATAATAAATAACATTACTATAATAAATTGGATGGAATCAAAAAAATTGAGTAAAATTATTGAATTAATATTTCTGTCCATTGCAGTAAGAATAAAATTCTAATATATTAAAGTGGTTATCCGTGATGGCATGTTTAATTAGAACAGATTTTAATTTCCCATTTGCTTTTTTTTGCTATTATTTATGGATATCAAGAGATGACAAAGCTAATTCTTTGATGGTAATCAATTATTATATTTATAATGTAGTTAATGGTTTTGAATGGAATCCTCATCTTGGTAGATTTAATATGGCTTTTATCAGTTGGATCCATTTGGACAGCAACAGAAAAAAATAATCCTGTCTGGGGACATTTGCATGGTCTTCATGTCTTTGTTATATTTATCAGTATTGTAAATGTCTTATTGAAAGTAATTTAATTAATTATATAAATAGGTTGGTGCTATTGCAGCCATCAATTCTTATAGAGGAAATTAAACTTAAGTTGGTAATTCTAATGATATAAATTATAGCTGGTTCATTATAGAATCCACAATAAAGTGGCTTAAATGATGTTTCTTAAAATAGACAAGTCCCTTATGGTTAATATTGATCTAATAAAACATTCAAATTATTATATAATCTTCAAATAATTATTTAATTTAACAGTAAAATTACATATCAATGTCTTTACAAGCATAAACCAAATTAATTGGTTCTGATCAACTTTCCTTATTATGTACAGGATTTATTAGGTTTATAGAAGAAGTAATTAAAATCAACACATTCTTAGATTTTTTTACCTATTCCCAAGTAAGATACAAAATAATTTCAATATTGGACCAAGTTTAAGGAAATAATTGATCCAATTAATTAAACCATTGAAATCTCTAAAATTCCTATATTTTTCTAATGCATTTAACAAAATTAGGAAAATTATTCATCTACTTCCATTTCAAAATTATAACCGAAAAACACTTAAAGTCCGTAAGATAGAATTTATAATATAAATGATATTTAAATTGAATCTTGTGAATTTGAAATCAAATTGAAAGAAATCACAGAAAGAATTAATAAAACATTCCATCAAAATAATACACATTTAGAAATATTATTAAAGATGAATGATACAACTTAGAATTCAAATTTAAAATTAGAAATAAGTAATTAAGGAACCACATCTATAAATCGAAGGATTGATTTTAAAAGAAGAAATACAGATTATTATTCATTAAAACCAATAAATAGATGAATAATATATAATTACTTATAAATTCAATTCAAATTATTTATTTTTATCATCTGTAATCTGTATTAAATAAAATTATTCTTATTAAGCAACCGATTCTTTATATTTAAATTCTTCTATATTTATATATAATCAAAAAATATATTAGAATAATTGTTATTCATTACAGAAAATCCTTTCATAAATTTATTATCTTAAACTCTTTTTTGAACACCTTGAAATAAAATTGAATCATCTTTTATTTTCAACACTCTTATTAATAATAAATAATTAATTAATAATGAATGTAAAAAATTATATATTACGTAAACTTGTGGGTGACTCTTCAAATACATTGACTATTGAATAAGTGTAGAGAATTTTGGAATCACAAAAGGATGATGATAGAATATTTAGGTAAAATGACATATGCGAAATAGAGCAATTATTAATTCATCATTGTCCAATTAAAAACTATAGATAGCCAATTCTGAATTCCGTATTAATTCTTTAACAGATTTTGGTAATCTATTATTGAACTAATTGCAATCCAGTTTAGTAAATATATTAATCCATATCATTATATTAGTAATCCATAAAATCAAAGAATTAACTTTTATCTATAGATTAGTTTCCAATAGACATCAATTAATTTAATATTGAAATTTCATAAACTGATTTAATAAAATAATAACTTTAACACATCTATCGATTATTTAAAGCTACTATTAGATAAAATGGTGATGGTTTAAAAGAAACTTTAAATTATCTTGCCAATTTAAATTAAGCTGAGTAAATTATAGAATCTTAATATGCATAATAATGTATTCTGAAAGCACCAGAATACATTTAAGGAATAGATGAAATTAATTTATGGTGTTAGAAAAGTACTACTTTATATGAGGCAGTAATCTCTACTAGATAGTTATTACAATAAAGTAAATCCACATCTTTAAAAAAACAATTGTAAATTGTTGATAAATACAAGACTATTTAAAGGATAAAATATACATTAGAAAAATTAATGATTTTAAAATAAACTTTTGGTTAATTAGCTTAAGCAATGAACAAATATGATGATAATGCTTATGAAATCATACCTATAATGAAAGATACACAAAATAATATTAATAAATATAAATTAAATGAATTGAAATTATCATGCATTAGTGATAATTTCTTTGAAAATAAAATTGAATCTTTGAAAGAAAGAATAAAATAAGGAATCTTAGCAAATTTTATGAAATTCGATGAAAAGAAATATTATTCTCTTTTGAAAAGTTATTATTTCATTGAAAAACATTATCAAATGTAATCTTATTTGACTTAAATCTGGGCTTTGGTTAAGAAGAGTATTAGTGTAACATTTAAAAATGCAATTAAATTATTTCAATAATCTTATATCCCGCATAAAATCTATCAAAATTGCCAAGACGAAGACTTACTTTAATTCTATAAATTATTATATAGTGAATTGGTAGAACAAATGTTAAATTTTCATTATTGCAATAGGTTCCATCAAGAAAATGATTTTAAAATTGAAGAAGAAATTGGCAATACTTAATTTGAAGAATATACCGAATAAATTAGATAATCATATTTAGAAATGAGATAATTAATATGGGCATAGATTCAAAAGAAGATTGTTAAAATCATCACTGCTCATTAAATCAATATTAAATCATTAGTTATTGAACAATTAATATACTTCTTAGGTTATAATTGCTTATTAATAAAAAGGGCTGAAGATTTTAGTCATTCAGATTCATAAAAGTATAATTATTAATACTATTTAGTTTAACTTAATGCATAATTGATGTCTATATGAGATTTGTTTAATAGTTTCATAAAGCAAATCTCAAATCTATAAGCACATATTTACAAAATGAATTATACTAAAGATTGCCTTTAACAAAGGATTCCAAATTAATTTAATAATTAGAATAATTAACAAATTTAAACTAAGTTAATAAAAAGGTTTTTGAATATTTAATTGAAAAAAGAGAAGAGAATTATCAATAAGAAACTAAGAAAACAGTTGATTTCTAAGATTTGATTAATAATGATAAAGAGATGTAATTATTTTATTTATTTGAATATCAAAATCCTTTTGTACTTTAATAGGATGAATTTGATCTCATTATAAAAGCAATTTGGATTAAAAAGCATACTTCTATATCTACAGGTGTTTTGAATTAAATAGAATCGGTTTTATCATCATCAAGTATTAGAATCTTGGAATTGCTTCCATAATATGCTTTACTCTCCTTTTATCATCCATCATGTCAACAACAAATAATAGCTTGTTTTCTTTAATTACTAGAACTTTATATGTTTGTTTCATATAATCAATTAGTTGGAATGACTTAATAAAAATAACTATTAGAGAATTTTTCTTAAATAATAAAATTTGATGAAAGTAAAGAAATAGAGTTCTATGTCTAAACTTATGATTCATTTAGCGATAGTTTAGTTCTTTAAGAACGATTTTGTTATTTTAAAAGGTTTGTTTAAAAGTTTTGTAAAGAAGGAATCGATTTCAAAGAAATTGATTTATTTTCATCCAAAGAAAAGAGGTAATTTGTTGATATTGCAGAAAGAGCCATAGCTTCAGAATCCTTAGCATATTTACTTTCTTAAACAAAGTCTGTATTTTCTTTAATTGGAATAACTTCACAAAACTTTGATATTTTTAAGGAAGTCTATAATTAATATAAGGAGTTCATTTATAGAAATTTTGTGTAAACCTATATTAAGATTGATGGAATTGTATAATATGTACCTCAATAAAGGTGGGATCTTAAAGATCTACATAATGAAAATAATAATATATATTTGGATAGGTTGATATAATTTATTCTTGATTAAAGAGAAAGATTAAAGAGCATAGGGGGAGGTGTGATACCACCAAATGCTTAAAAAGATATATTTTCATTTTTGGCAGAACATTGCTTAAATGTGTTATTGGAAACTTATGGGAAGATTAAAAAAGTAACATAATATTTGATGAAAATTAGTTAAATTCAATTGGAAGAGATTAAATGATTTTTGAATATACTACTTGTTGTTAATCAATAGAATCAAGTTAGAAGAATAATAAAGAAGTTGTGCTTAATCCTAAGATTACTTTAATGCAATTGGAATATTTGAAGGTTTTCAATTCCTAATAATACGATGAGATTGATTAGTATATACAAAAATCGAAAGTAAATATGATTTGATTATACCATTAGACTTTAATTCCATTAAGATTGCTATATAATTTGATGAATTCAAGTTCAAGTTATAACAAATTATCAAAATAATAGAGGAAAGATATATCAATAAAATTCTTTAAAGATTATTATGATACATTTAAATTATTTTGAAAATATTTATAAACCAGCAACAACTGAACAATTAGATCATTATAAATTATTATTAATCATGCTTTAATTTTCTTATATCTGACTTTGATTTGCCAAAGATTCTTATGCTACTTATTACTACTGCAAAGTTTAATTCATTTTATCAATTAAATTCATTTTATTAATATCAACTAAACAAATAGAACATCTTCCAACATTTTTTTATATTTGCATATGATTCTGTATACATTGCTCGTGGAAACAATGCCCACAAAAGATTTCAATAATTATTCCGGTCTAAAATGATTCTAAACAATATGCACATCTGTCTTATTCGAATTTCATTTCATTTTACTTAATCTGATGGATGAGATTTTAAGACTTTAATCTTTCAAATTCAGATAAAACATTAAAATTCCTTCTTCTATGAGGAAAAATTGGTTCTGGATCTAACCATTCAACAAACCTTCTGCCAAATATTCTTATCAAAATAGTTCTAATCAAAGCCATTACCACTATACTCCCAAGTATTGTTAATAGAAGTATTATAATAAATTAAAATAGTTATTGCTAATTTTATTAACTTCTAATTTATATAAAGAAAATTAATTACAATTTTTGAATGCTGATAATTTAATAGAATATCTGAGAGAAATCTATATCTGCATCTTCTGTGAATTATAAAGTCATTCTAAATTAATTTGCTCTTATCCTATAATAAAGATTCTTGGTTAATTTGCTCAAATTGTAACATAATTTTACATTTATTAGAGAGAATCTATACAAGGGAAGTCATCAAACAGACCAACAGATAAACAAATACTTAAGTCTGCTTTAACTTCACTTAAAGATAAATTTCCTATTCCTATTTATATTAAGAATTCTGGACCCATTCTTCCTTAAAAATATATTGTACAAAGTTCTCCTTAACCAACATATGATTTCACATTTTAAAAGACAATTCTAGATTCAGCAGAAACATAATATGATTAATTTGGACAATATTTTGGTATTCCACAAATATCGTGATTCTTATATAAATAATTTGTAGCATTATAAAGAGGAACTTCATTAACAATATTACATTTTGGAAAAGTAACATTCAATTAAGGATCCGGATACTCAGATATATTCTTTACTTCTATTTTGCTTCTATCAATTAGTTCAGAATAATTAAATGGTGCTTTTAAAAGTCGTAAGCATTAATTATTTTCCAAATTAAATTAACAACAGTTCTTAAACTCACAAGAATGACACTAAAATTTTAAACGAGATTAATACAGTTGTATAAGTATTACAATGAATTTTTTTGCAATATGTTTGTAAACCAATATCAATTTCTTAATTATCTTCACTTTTATTCTCAGATTTGTTGACTATATTTCCACAACATAAATCTCTAAATTATTATTAATTCATACATTAATACTAAGGATAACAATAATCTCATAAGAAATATTTATTTATTTTTTTATATTATTAAGAATTTTTATAAATCCCATTTCAACATTTACATAAATATGATTATTTAAATAACAATCTAATTCTGCATTTCGTTTTTAAAGTTGATTTATTGAAATAGTTTTTATCCTATTTAATAATGTTCGAAGTTACGTTTATTACTCAAAAAAATTCATTCGATTTACATTTATTTTATGGAGTTTTAGAATGTATTTAAAGAAATTTTTTTTATTTGGAAACTTTTTCCAATTCTTATTTAGAAGAAAGCATAAATAGTATAATTAGGTCTTTTCAAAGAATCTTTAAAATATGATACAATTAAAGATTAAATACTAATATAGTTCATATACTCTCTATATTTAAAAACTTTGATATATTTGTTTTTAGGAGAATTAATGAATATGNTCTGCTTTAACTTCACTTAAAGATAAATTTCCTATTCCTATTTATATTAAGAATTCTGGACCCATTCTTCCTTAAAAATATATTGTACAAAGTTCTCCTTAACCAACATATGATTTCACATTTTAAAAGACAATTCTAGATTCAGCAGAAACATAATATGATTAATTTGGACAATATTTTGGTATTCCACAAATATCGTGATTCTTATATAAATAATTTGTAGCATTATAAAGAGGAACTTCATTAACAATATTACATTTTGGAAAAGTAACATTCAATTAAGGATCCGGATACTCAGATATATTCTTTACTTCTATTTTGCTTCTATCAATTAGTTCAGAATAATTAAATGGTGCTTTTAAAAGTCGTAAGCATTAATTATTTTCCAAATTAAATTAACAACAGTTCTTAAACTCACAAGAATGACACTAAAATTTTAAACGAGATTAATACAGTTGTATAAGTATTACAATGAATTTTTTTGCAATATGTTTGTAAACCAATATCAATTTCTTAATTATCTTCACTTTTATTCTCAGATTTGTTGACTATATTTCCACAACATAAATCTCTAAATTATTATTAATTCATACATTAATACTAAGGATAACAATAATCTCATAAGAAATATTTATTTATTTTTTTATATTATTAAGAATTTTTATAAATCCCATTTCAACATTTACATAAATATGATTATTTAAATAACAATCTAATTCTGCATTTCGTTTTTAAAGTTGATTTATTGAAATAGTTTTTATCCTATTTAATAATGTTCGAAGTTACGTTTATTACTCAAAAAAATTCATTCGATTTACATTTATTTTATGGAGTTTTAGAATGTATTTAAAGAAATTTTTTTTATTTGGAAACTTTTTCCAATTCTTATTTAGAAGAAAGCATAAATAGTATAATTAGGTCTTTTCAAAGAATCTTTAAAATATGATACAATTAAAGATTAAATACTAATATAGTTCATATACTCTCTATATTTAAAAACTTTGATATATTTGTTTTTAGGAGAATTAATGAATATGTATAATACGTGAAAATTTCAAATTATTTATTTTGCACAAATTTATTAGAATCATAATTATTTATTTATAGTTTATTAAACGAAATAATATATATTATATGAAGATATAGATTCTTTAGATCTAAATTATTTAATTTAAATTCTATTTATAAAAAATTATTTATGAATTATTTTAAGATATTCTATTGTTTAAATTCTAATTATTTACATTGCATTAATTAGACAAAACAATATTTTTATATTAATCAAATTACAATTTCTAATTATTTAATGAATAATATTTCATTCAATAAATGGAAATTAAATAATTGTTGATTTAAAAAATTAATATCTTCAATTAATTAATAATATTTCTTTAAATAAAAGTAGATTAACTTATTTGGATTTATAGAAATTAATATCTTCAAATATCAAATAAAATATTGTTTTAAAAAAATGTATTGTAGATAATTTGAAATTTTCATAAATGATATTCTCATTCAATAAATAAATATTATTTTGTTTAATAAATATAAAATAAATTATTTTTGATTATCAGAAATTAATATTAATACATATATAAGATTAAGTAAATAAATATATATAAATTTATTTAAAGAAATTAATATCTTACTCAATTTATAAATATTATTTAGTTAGATATACACTCACTTTAGGATACTTTTTATAAATCTATTATTTCAACATTTACCAAATTCCTTTTAGTTCTGAACTTTATGGAGGAATAATTAAACTATTAATTTAATTTAAAAACACTTCTAATATAAATTTACTTTGATGAATTGGTCTATTATGCCTAATTAATACAAATTACTCATTTTTCAAATTCAATAGCTTATTGATTAAACCTGTCATAAGTTGGCCCAATAATAATTGATTGATTACTGTTGCCAACTTTTGGATGGCAGGTCTTTTGAGAAAAAGTAGTTTTATCTAAGCTGATACCTTACATCAGCAAATGATAATAACTGTTAAGTATAAATTAGACTAATAGGTTTTCTATTTTAGGTAAAATAGCCTTAACTTCTTAGTTTTGTGTACCTAAAAGTTAAGTCACAAATCCTTTTTATTTTTGGAATGTTATTAGAGAGACACCATCCTATCCTAATTCATATTCATGAGAAAAATTAAAGTATGATTTAAGAATTCCAAAAATCGTTAGATTTGAATAATCAATATATTGCTTTAACCATTAGATGTGATTTTGAGTTAAATGAAATTATTATAAAAATGAGCTGTTGATTTGAATTTATATCTATTTCTAAAATATATAATTTTCTGATACTTCAGTCATTGCTGATATTTAATTTTTAGCTCATCCTATCTCAATTAGTTTCTTAATTATATGACAATTTTTTAATAATCCAAGTCTTCTCAGGTGTATATTTTTTTGGAAATCTCTGTTTTAATATTTGAAACAGGAATTGATGTACTTGATTATTTACAATTTTAGCTTCTTAAGAATTTAAATTAAGAGAAGGAGGACATCACATTCTTTTTTGCTGCTTTTTCTAATTATTTTATTTTATAAGTATAATAATTTGGCTTGAACCTATGATGCAGTTAGAATAATTAGCCAAGTTGTATTGATTTTATGGTTGCAATTTGTAACTTCAAATAAATTTTTTTACAATTGTGAATATTATTGATTTATTAATTCATCTCCAAAGAATTGTTGCTTTAATTCAAATTAATAGAATAAATACATTATGGATAATTTGATGGCAAAGGTTATTTAAATTAATAAACATAAATTGTATTGGATTTGGCAAAAAAAAATTCCTATTTCAAAAATACATGTTTAATTCAAAAAAATACGATGTAATTAAATCCATTAACAAAAGAATACATAATTAAATTTTTATAAAAACAAATTTCATAGTGTGAATTCAAAAAAACACAAAATAGAAAAAAATAATAGCTTGGATTAACAATTTGTAAGTTTGAGTATATGTCATTTCCATATAATCAACTTCTATTTATAAATTGTTTCTTAGCAACTAAATTTTAGGAAATATCATTTGAAGAAGCAAAAAGGTTAGTGGGCTTATTTAAATAATCATACACCTGACTTGTTTTGAAGGGATACTATTACTAAAAATAGTTAGATTATAGAAATAGGAGTAAAAAATATCAATTACAATTTTATTTATTTCTTAATTTTTCAGAAAAGGCCTACATAATTTCGATCCCCACATTAACTTTAGAATTCTATAAATTGCAAATATTCTTAAATATTTTATATCAATTATAATCATGCTAATTTTAGATTTCGTCAAATTAAAGAACATTATGATTCTGATTAATTTGTAATGCTATTTGAAAATATTACTGGCATATTATAATCAAGCTAAATGAACAAAATGTTTTCTTAAGGTTATCTGTTACAAAAATTTGTTTAAATTAAGTTTATTTTAAGCAGCTAAAATGCAGTTTCCTAATTTTTAATATATTCTTATTAGATCACCCAAAATATCAATTAAATTAATTTTCATCTGATTGAAGAATAGAATTACATGATATTTTAAACCCCAATTTTCAGAGATCTAAAAAAATGATAGACAAATCAACCATTTTTTTAAATATTATTATCAATTTAATTACGCAAAACTGTTTTTAATCCATTTTTTTCATGTGGTAAAATAGATGCTTCACTTAAAATATTTAGAAGAAGTCATTTATTCTTATAAAATTTAATGCATATCAAAAATGCTATTAATAAATATTTAAGAGCGAAATTATGAGTTGTTCTTTCTATTATGTTGATAATATGATTATATATTTAGGAAATGAATTATTTGTTATAAATTAAAATCATGCAAAATAGTAACTTGAAAAGAAGAATACAGTTATGTGTATTTAAATAATATAAACAGGGAATGTGAATGTATATAAATAAATTCTTAATAAGCAGATTAAATTCATTTAGCAAAAATTAATATATATTGAATATCAGAACTCTATGTAAATTATTTGTTAGATTTTTTGTATTTAATCTCTGAAAATTTAATTAAATACATCACTATCTGTTTCTATTTGGTTTATTAATACTTTAAAAGTAAAGAACAAAATTTATCAATTAGAACGCATAGTTGCAAGAAGAAAGAAGATATACAAGAATATGATTAGAAAATTAAGAATAAAATTCTTATCAATGAAGCTCCAAAAGGAAATTAACATATCAATTATAATATAAGTAATATATCTTTTTGGATTCAGATTGATAAGAGCTGCATCAAGCCCTTAAGTGATTTGGAATATTCTCTAAATGCAAAGAGATTCATAAGTTATCAGTAGGTTAAGATATGGTTTTCGAAAAATATAAGCTTTATTTGAACCAGAAATTTCTACTTAACACCACAATGTAAAAATTCTGATCATTAATTATATTTATTTTGGTTAGTAACAACTAATTATTATCATTAAAATAATACGTTATTAAATATTAAATTATATATCTTAATAACCTTTATTATTTTTACAGTATTTTTTAAAGAAACTGAATTAATTTTAAAAGTTTGAATTTAGATTTAATTATTTTAAAGTTGTTTTTAAATAGAATAATATTATTTGCTAGAATGTATAATCATGACAACTAAAATCCTAATATAAAAATTAAAAAGAAATTATTGTTTTAACCATCAATCTAAGAAGTAAAAATTTAGAATAGTTTTAAGTGAAATAATTTAAAAAAAAAATATTTTTCTATTGGAAATAGAAATACTCATAATTTATGAAATTAAGACTTTATTATTTATACAATTATTTTAGAATTAATTATCTAATTTACTATGAATAATTAACATGGGAATCATCCATAAAATTCAGGTTGTTGTAAGGAATTTTACTATACAATTAAAGCCTTTATAAATCGGAAGAGAAGTTCTATATAAGTTTATACAAAACCTTAAGTAGAATAAAATATTAGTATAAAAAATTAATAATATTCAAACCAAAATCAAATTTTATGCTATTACTGTAATTAAGTAATGGATGAAGGAGTTTTTTAAATTCATCTGTAAATGTGTGAAGAATAATTCAAAAATTAAAATTTAATTGAACAAGAATGTGAATAATGTGGTAAAATCATTATTAAATTTTACATAAATGATCATTTAGATATTTGCGAAGGTAATTTTTGGATTTAGGTTAAATGTCCATATTGTTCTTTAGCATTCTTAAAAGCTGATCTAAAAAATCATATTTCTTAATGTACTACATTTCAATAATAATAAATCAAAGAACAATAGGGAGTTGTAAATTGCACAATATGTTTAGAAGATATTGAAGAAAATAAAATATAATTAGATTGTTCTCACTTTTTCCATAAAGATTGCATAAATAATTGGATTTAAAAATAGAATAAATGTCCGGTATGCAAAAAAAGACATAATATTATATCATGAATTAAATTTAACATTAATTTCAAATAAGTTATGTTTTTAAATAAAATATTGATTTTTTAATGTATTAAAGGTCTACCTATTTCGAAAAAAGTATAAGAAGCTTTTAATGTGATTAATAAACTTCTTTATTTTAAGTTTATTATAAATATGAAAATAATTACATTTTAAACCACTTAATTAGGTTTTAATTTTTATATTACAAAGTATTATAAAGGAAGATTAGTATTATATAATTTAGGTAAAATTCAATATTATGTTTCAGTTAAATATCTGATCATCAAAAGAATTATTGATGGCAGCTTTGTAAAAATTTTTGATTAGGGATATTTATAAAGATGATTTCTTGTTGTTTATTTTACGAACTTATGATAAATACTGCATTTGTTTAAATGATTTTAAATTGTACAAAAGCTTAGATTGATAAACAAACAAAAAAATTTAAATTATATTTTACAAGAAATAATTTTCATTTACTATTTATTCTGAAGTTGAAGTAATTTTTGAGTAATATTAAGATATACTATGAAATTTAAATTAATCACATAAAAATTAGAATAAATAAAATTGACTTTATAAATATAAATTAATAAAATTATTTTAGTAATAATTAAATTTTTTATTAAAATTAACGAGTACAATTACTAATAGTAATCACTAAATAGTAAATTATTATATTATTGATAAAGATTGGATTTTATTTTTGGTTTAGTGAAATTAATTATAATGATTACATATCTTTATTATGGCCATGGAAAATTGTTTATGAATATATAAAAATAATAATGTTAAATTTATGAAAAAAAATAACTGTATGACAATTTATAATTAATTTAATAAAAATTAATATTAATGATTGATGGTCCTTTCAGTAATATACTTTGCACTCATCATAATAAGCCGATTACAAGAATAAAGATATAATAAGGTATAAATTCAGCTGAAAGACTTTTGTGTTCAAAATGTAAAGGAGCAGGAGAATCAATTGATCTACTTACAAACATTTTGGATTAGTTATAAATAGTATTACAATCAAATCAACTAAATTATAAGAGTCTTCAATTAAAATTATAAAGGCTTAAGTTAGAAATAGGAAATATAATAAATTAAGTATTTTCTTACATGGAAAGTGCAATTTAATAAAGTGAATTTGAAATTACAAAAATAATGAGATACATAAAATATAAAGATTTTTGTTAGGAATTTTAATTAGAGGATTTGCAAAAACTAGTAGAATTTGTTTTTAATATGGATATTTAAAAAAGTGTAATTTATAAAACAACCTAATAATTAAAAGAAGTCTAATAAAAGTATAGATATTAGATTATTAAACTGTTTGATTAGTTAAAGGATTTGATAAAAGTTGATTTACCAATTAAGCAAGAGAAATCAAACAAGCCACCTTTATATAATAAATAATTTGAAAAATAAATATTTGAAAAAAAAAAAGAGTATGGAATTGGCCTTGTAAAAGTAGCAAAATTAAATTAAACTGGAGATCTTTTAATCTAAGGATAATATCCATTCTAATAATTTAAGAATTTGGAAATTAAAATAATAGATAATAGTTTAGAATTTCAGTCTTAATTTGTAGTTGATGAAGGGGATGATAGTGTTAATTTATCAGTGACTGCTTTAGCTTTAAATGAGAAATCTAATTAATTGTTTGTTGGATATCAAAATGGCATCATTTCAACCTTTTAAAATTCAGGAAATGTTTGGAATAAAAACGATCAATAAAAGTTTCATGAAGGTGAAATATTATTTTTGATTATGGATTTTTTTAATAAAGAGTTATTGTCAGTAGGAGGGGATAACATTTTGAAAAGTTATTCATGTTAACAGGTTTTAAAAGTGAGTAATAAAATAAAATATTTTACGAAAGAGATAAATGACATCTAATTAAATAAAGATTTTAAATATTTACTTGTCATATTAGAAAATTAGTTACACATTTTTAATAATCATAATGAATTTTCTGAATTTTAATAAATATCTTTTGAAAATCAAGAATAAGTAACATGTCTAAGTCAAGGGAATAGATAAATTTATATTGGTTCCAATTTGGGAAATATCTATATATATTCATAAAAAGAAATTGGATGCTAATATTTTAAAGTTAATTCTTTAATTTTTTAGTCCTAACCTTTAATATAAATATAATATTGTGAAATAAGCAAAATCTTGCTTCTTTAATTTGAAGATGGAGTAATTCTTTATTAGAATGTTTCAGGTAATACACTAGAACGTTTATAAGAGATCAAAGGGAAATTTGAATTGAGTATCATTCATAAGCAACCCAAAATAATTTTATTTTCTGAAACCAAATCAATGGCCTATGTGTATTTAAGAAAAGCCTGATGTATAAAATTTATGCATTTTTTTTAAAATTGATATATTTAACAATAATTTTCATTTCTTAATATTTAGGAATTTATGAAAATGAAAGTAATGATATTTTAAAAGTGCTAATTTTAAAGTTACTCTAAGAGTATATTAAAGATTAAGTATACGAAAGAAAAAAGAAAAAATGATGTAAATTTATTGAATAATTAATTTATTAGTAACAAGAAAATTAATGATTACTTGAATAAAAGGAACAATTATGGATTCAAATAATGGGATTTATAATTTGCTCAACAATTTTTAAGATTATTAATCAAGTTGCAATATTCTAACAAAAAAGTATTTCTTTACTTCTTATATCAAGAAAAAAAATATGAATAATGAGAATGACTTTTAAATTGCAGATCTAATCAAATTGAACTTTTCAATTCTTATTTTTTAATGTATTGAAATAATATTATAATTATTTTACATAAAACTTAAGTAATGCAAAATATAAAAATGATTTGTTAAAAAAATACAAAATAACTTATTTGATTATGTGTTTATGGTAATTGAAAAAGAACTTCTTGTTTAAGGAATTTTGACTACTATATTATTAAAGTTAATAATTAAATTTTTAGTAAATATTATTTTTAAATTGCAATTAATAATCATTTTAATTTAATAGGTTCAAAGTATTTATAATTTCCTACTTAATCATCTATTTGGCTTATAACCCAATACTCAACTTTTTCATAAAATCTCACTTTCTTATTTGATGACTTTGATAAATTATTTGTTCTATTAGTTTAAATTTCTGTTGAGTATGATCTTATTCTAATCTAATTTTCTGATTTCAAGGTTAATTTATCTTTATTCCTAATAAGTTTGATGTTGAACCTCTTCAAATTATTTTTAGAATTTTCATCCTAAACTTTTTCTAAACTTTATTTATCATCCAAATTACAGATTTTCAATAATTTAGCAGCTTGAGATTTTGTTTAAGAGACTTATTACTTAATTGGTTTTATTAGCTTATCAGTTTGAATCTTCAGTTACTACACTATTTTTGATTAGATTGTTGGTTATATCAATTATGGAGCTAAAATAAGTTCATTCTTTGATGGAAAGCAAACTTTTGTCATCAAAATAGTTTAAAATGACTTTGTAGAAGATTATTTACGATATCGTAGAGGAATTGCATTCATAATATTAATTACTAAACATTATGATTTAATTCATAATACATATCCAGATATAAATTATGATGACATCAAATTAAAAGTTTATATTCTGCAAGATTGTATATTTCGTCTTCAACACTAAGACTAAATATTTTAATTCTTTAAATATAAAGATTAGAAGATTTATTCTAAATTTATTGTGTTTAAATTTAATGATAAATGATTTCCTTTCAATAAAGGCCATTATTCTAAATAACATTTTTCTCTTTTAAAATACTATTAAATATAATATCATCATAATCTTTATTTTAGTTTCTGGCAATACATTATTTGATATTAATTAAATTTGAATTATTGTAGACATATTTCAATTTTTGATTTTTAATTTTCTTATCTAATTTTATTTTTAATTAAGTATTCAATTAATTATTTAACTTCCTTTAAATATTTGATTAAATTCATATTCTTTTCTCAAAAGAAAGAATATTTTAACTAATATTGATATTCTAATATATAGTTATGTGAGAAAGAAATTAAAATATATTTAAAATACAATTATGATAAGTTATTTATAATCAAAATTTTATTCAAAGTAAATAGTATTAATTATATTTAGCTATTCTTTATAATATTTGAGGGTCAATTTAATTAGATTATCAATAGAAGAAAAATTCTGTTTAAATATTGGTTATATTTTTAATCTTTTGATTTATGGTAGTTTTTTGGTGAAATTTAAAAAAATTTAAGGTGTTATGGATTTCAAATAAGATTACTTAATATATTATGATAATCTAATTAAAGGTGNTTTTCATCCTAAACTTTTTCTAAACTTTATTTATCATCCAAATTACAGATTTTCAATAATTTAGCAGCTTGAGATTTTGTTTAAGAGACTTATTACTTAATTGGTTTTATTAGCTTATCAGTTTGAATCTTCAGTTACTACACTATTTTTGATTAGATTGTTGGTTATATCAATTATGGAGCTAAAATAAGTTCATTCTTTGATGGAAAGCAAACTTTTGTCATCAAAATAGTTTAAAATGACTTTGTAGAAGATTATTTACGATATCGTAGAGGAATTGCATTCATAATATTAATTACTAAACATTATGATTTAATTCATAATACATATCCAGATATAAATTATGATGACATCAAATTAAAAGTTTATATTCTGCAAGATTGTATATTTCGTCTTCAACACTAAGACTAAATATTTTAATTCTTTAAATATAAAGATTAGAAGATTTATTCTAAATTTATTGTGTTTAAATTTAATGATAAATGATTTCCTTTCAATAAAGGCCATTATTCTAAATAACATTTTTCTCTTTTAAAATACTATTAAATATAATATCATCATAATCTTTATTTTAGTTTCTGGCAATACATTATTTGATATTAATTAAATTTGAATTATTGTAGACATATTTCAATTTTTGATTTTTAATTTTCTTATCTAATTTTATTTTTAATTAAGTATTCAATTAATTATTTAACTTCCTTTAAATATTTGATTAAATTCATATTCTTTTCTCAAAAGAAAGAATATTTTAACTAATATTGATATTCTAATATATAGTTATGTGAGAAAGAAATTAAAATATATTTAAAATACAATTATGATAAGTTATTTATAATCAAAATTTTATTCAAAGTAAATAGTATTAATTATATTTAGCTATTCTTTATAATATTTGAGGGTCAATTTAATTAGATTATCAATAGAAGAAAAATTCTGTTTAAATATTGGTTATATTTTTAATCTTTTGATTTATGGTAGTTTTTTGGTGAAATTTAAAAAAATTTAAGGTGTTATGGATTTCAAATAAGATTACTTAATATATTATGATAATCTAATTAAAGGTGAAATATTTAATATATAATTTAAATAAAATTGAATGCAAGCAGAGATTAAAAATATACCATTAAATTCTGGAAAATACACAACCTAATAGAGACTTGGTAGTGGTTCTTTTGGAGAGATCTATTTAGTCATTAGTTAATCTAATGAGATATTGGCAGCTAAATTTGTAATTATTTTATTTGAATCTATTTAGGAAGAGGCCAAGTCAAAACATCCTTAATTAGTTTTTGAAGCAAAGGTGACAAAAGCATTACAAGGAGGAAGTAGGTTTTTGTAATAAATAAAATTAGTTGGGATTCCTGTTTTACATTGGTTTGGATAAGAGGCAGGATTAAATGTTATGGTGATTGATTTACTGGGGCCAAATTTGGAAGACTTATTTAATTTATGTCAAAGGAAGTTTTCATTAAAAACAGTCATCATGTTGGCAGATCAAATGATTCAAAGGGTTGAATATATGCATTCCAAAAGTTTCATACATAGGGATATCAAACCAGACAACTTTCTTATAGGATTAGGAAGGAAATCTAATACAGTGGTAAATAATCAGATTACTAAATTTAGTACATACTTGATTTTGGTTTGAGTAAGAAATATCGAGATGCTAAGACTCATTAACATATACCATACAGAGAAAATAAAAATCTTACAGGAACAGCAAGATATGCTAGCATTAATGCACATCTTGGTATAGAATAATCAAGGAGAGATGACTTAGAAGCTATTGGCTATGTTATGGTCTATTTACTTAGAAGTTATTTACCTTGGTAAGGAATCAAAGCAAATAATAAATAAGAGAAATATCATAAAATTATGGAAAAGAAGATGACCACTCCAGTTGAAGTTTTGTGTAAGACTTTACCAAGTAAGATCAAATATGATGTTTTTAGTTGAATTTTCAACCTATTTAAATTATTGTCGATCATTAAGATTTGAAGATAAACCTGATTATAGTTTTCTGAGAAAGATGTTCAAAGAACTCTTCTAGAAACATGGATATGATTGGGATTATTAATATGATTGGTGTTTAGCTATAAATGGATAAAAAACAAATACATATAATAATGGTAAAATAACGATTCAAGTAAATGCTAATTAATATGATGCTGATGAAAATTAACCTCCAATTACTATTTAAATTAGTAAATACATTTATTAATTTAATAGATGAGAAAGTGTAAGATAAATAAGTTGTAGAATCTAAGATAATAGAAAATAAATATTAAAGAGTTTAGAATCCAGATAATGATATAGATTAAACAGAATAAATTGCAAGAAATCTTATGGGAAATGAATAATTTAATAAATAATAAGAATAAATTAAAAAGAATCTTTTGGGTGATAGTGAAATTAAATTATCAATCCCTAATAATACCAATTAAAAGAATTAGGCACCAATTGAAACAGTTTTCAATCCAAGAGTTGTTATTTAAGTATTAATTATTTAAAATACTATAGAAAAAAACTATTTATGAAAGATTAGGACAAAGTATGGCTATCGATTTTACTGTTGATAAGCTGTTATAAAAATTATAGAATGATCCAAAACTTAAGAGTTACTTTGTAAAAACAGACATGAAAAAACTGAATTCATAGATGTAAGCCTTTCTTACCATGCTTTTTGGAGGGTAAGAAGAAATAATGATTTAGACCTTCTAATTATATGGGAAGAGATATGCTAGAAGCACATAGAGGATTAGGAATTGATGATACTCATTTTAATCTTGTAGTCAAGCATTTAAGTGATACTCTTGTAAATTTGGCACTTCCAGAAGATATTGTGGCTGAAGTAGTTGAGGTGTGCGAATCTCTTAGAGATGATGTACTTGGAAAAGGATGAATTATATTAATTAAAAAAATTATTATAGTAATATGTCGAATCAATAGAAGTGCAACAATTGTGGAGCAAAAGATCATATTGCTAAATTTTGTTATGAAAGAACTAAAAAAGTACCTGTTAGTATTAAATTAACTACTTAGACTCAAAAATTGAATTCTAGAGAAAAAAAAGAAATGAAAATATAAAAAAAAGAAGAAGAAATTATTATATAAGTCTAAAAAAAAATACCTTAATCTAAATATGAGGAGGATAAATATATTGGTTAACATACTTAAATTTGGGGTAGCTATTGGAATGAAGTTTTGGGTTGGGGATTTGCATGTTGTTATTCAAATTAAAAATCTCACAGGAATGCTTGGGAGAAAAGGGAAAACGACAATCCCTCACTAAAGAGTATTCCATCAAAAGATAAATCGAAGAAACACCTCTAGCATAATAAGAGCTTAAATCAGGACCATTAAATCTTAATGAATTGTACAGAAAATCTAATCTTCGAGAAGGTGCTCCAGTTGATATTATTTACAATTAAAGTAATGCTACCAATTGATTTTTGGGTGTTTGTGTTTGTGTTGAAGTTAAATATTTAATTTAATAATTATATAAAGTATTATTTTTATAATTTCTTTTGTTCTTTAGAGGCGTCAAAATTTTCAAGTCTAACTGTTAGAATATTAATACATAACTTTCAAGATATATATTAGTAGTTTAATTAGTTTGATTACATTATAATAATTCTCCTTTTTTAGAAGTAAATTTCATTATTTAAAATTTGATATCATGATCAATAAATTGTCACTAAAATTTAAAGATAGAGATTTGGAATCACTGTATCAAACATTTCTATTAGAGAAAATATAGTACCCAGTATTTATGGTTTTAGCAATTTTTTCAATTATGATATTGGGAATAAAGAATATAGATGGGTTTATAAATAACAATCAGAGCTAGTTTACACTCAAATTAATTGGGTTTTGTTTATTTGTGGTATTAAGCATCATTAGCTTCTGTTATAAAAAATTTACTAGAATTGCATTTTATGTTATCAACCATTTCTTAATGTTGTATTAAATAAACTAAAGAGAAAACGTTGTGTAACATACTTATCTTTTTGGTTAAAATTAGATGTTTGTACATTCAGTCGTTATGTTAGTTAGTGATTATCCAGATGGAATAATTACAAACTTTACTTGGACGGTTATTAGAATGACAATCGCCAATACATTAGATACAAAATTGGATTATCAAGATTAAATATATTCAGTTGCAGTATTCTTTTGTTTATGTCTTTGTATATACATTAAAAATGTACATTTGCGAAAGGCGTATATGTTCTCGATTAGAGACAGTTCATGGGGTATTAATTTATAATAACCTAACTTAAAGAAGTTTTGTTACCATAACTTATTTCCAAGCCAACTTTCATATTTACTTGCAATGAAGAGAAATAATAGTTTTAGATTTCCAGGATGATTCAAATGCACTTTTTGATGAATGTTGAAAATCCTTTGTTGCACTACTTAAGAAATACAAGATTAGGAAATAAGACATTAGAATAATACATTTGGGACAAGGCCAAATAAAGATCAAATTCCTCAATTAGATACACAATTGAAAACTTAACTGTCCATTACAATAAGAAATAATAACAAATAACTTTTTCTGAGTGCCTTTTAGACACGGTGACTTTTATACTTGTAATAGACTCAGAAGATAAAAGTTTTATTGAATTAAGAAAGAAACAGTAAAGTATTTAAGAACAACATACTAATTAAATTTTGAAGGTGTTTAAAAGCCAACAAAGTATTATAAAGAGAGGGTTGAAGGAGAAAAATTTTGATTTAATTTTTGATTTAAGCATTGCAATGGTATAAATGATTTAAAGATGTCAATTAAATAAGAGTTGTTTGAGATTAGTGAATCTAACAAATTTGTTAGATTATATAATTAAATAATTCTAATAAAAAGAGGGATCTGAATACGATTTCTAGTGTAATTAAAATATCTTAATTTTAACAATTTAACCTTTATTGGTTTCATATTTACTATATTTATTTTAAAACATGAGGCAATTCAACCATATTAGAGTAGAATTATCCAGGATAAATGGACAAATATAACTACAAATATTAGGATAACTTTAAAAGTAAATGGATTCATTTTATGAATAAGTAGAAAAAATCTTAATGAAAAAAAAAATAATAATCTAGTCTTGTAAATATGTTTGTAATAATTAGGTACAATACTTTTATTTAATGAATCTCCAATGTTGTCCTTTAATTCTACAATCATTCCATAAAAATCTAATTGAAGAAGTGATTCACTATTTTATGTGTTTATTTAAAAATATATAGAATTTTAGAGATCTGATTTAAATTTAAGAATATTAAATAGTAGTGATGCATAACAAAAGAATAAATACAGAATATTATCTATTTATGAAATAGAAAAAATCAATAATTAGATGCGCAATTCTGTGTCAATTAATGAAAAATGTATTAGAAGAGGCAAAAAAAGTAATATAGATTATAACATAATCCATTTTTTAAATCATTCTATGATGGATTGGATCGTTTTAATCTCAATACAAAGTGCAAACCTTAAATAAAATAAATATACAAAATTGAAGAAAAATAGGAGAAATTTCTGTTTGAAGCTTTATCGCCAAGTTAAATTAAGCCATTCAAAATCAAGCAAATTATTTTTTACAATAGTCTTTGATTTTTAAGATAAGTTATTTAGCTACTTGAAATTGAATAGAAAAGTGAATTAAAAGGGAAGAAATTTTTTGAGTTAGAATAATATTTGCATAGATAAAACTTTATACATTTGAAATATTCAAAATATATTATAAGATGATGTATTCCTTGATCCTAAAAGAGATATTTAGTTTTTTAATTTTGTTTAATTGATATTTATACCAAAAATTATTGTTATTATTTAGAGTTATCACAATTAAGTAAATAATGAATCAAATTTTCTTTTTAGATTTGAAAATAGAAATAAATTATTTATTGAAATTGCTTTTAGAAATTAGTTAACTAAATTAATGATCAATGTATAATAAGGTTTTAACCAAAGTTATATCATAAACTCACACTAAGAAAGAATATTTATGAAGGCTTTAAATCGAATTAAGGATGTAGCTGAAATTTAATAACATTGGTTTTCAAAAATAAAGCTTTTGTGTAATTAAAAAGATGTATAAAAACGGAAATAAATGTGACAATCATTTCAATTCTTCTATCTAAATTAAATTAGGAATAAGATATTTGGAAATAAACTTGGTTTGTATTAATTTTTTTCAAATTTCTCTTACAATGAGGATAATATGATAAATGAATATTATAAACTATTAATTATTCAGTGAGAAATATGCGAAATTCTGCTTTGGGACCAAAATTAATACTAAGTAGAACACAGGTGGATGACACAGAAGACATACCTGAGGAACCCGAAGATTTTGATACTATAATAATAGAGAAAAAGAAAATCAAATACAAAGAAATGAGAGAAGATAGATTTGATGCAAAAGGTCGCAAAATTAAATAAGGAACTGGATATGGAATCCAGTTTGATAATTTCATTACAGTGTGTGTTTTTGATCCAAGCGAAGAAGTAGTATAAATAAAAGACACTTTATCGAATTGCACAAATGGCATTGATCAATCAAAAATAAATCCAAGATTGGATATAAAATATAAAGCTGAAAACAATGGTGATGAAATCATTCTCTTTTCAATCCTTAAAAAATAAAAAAACAAATGATTTGATTTATTAAATATATTTGGTCATTACTTTCTTAAATTAGACTAGCTTATTTCAATAAACTCTCCTGAAGATTTAGAATAAATAATTGGATCTGCTGCTTCAGCCATACTCTCAATAGCAGATTCATCAACACCTCTTTTCATTCTATTAAATATTAAATTATTAAATTACCTAAAATTTCCATTTTCTCCCCATTATTATCCCCAACTATTCTATAGTAACCAAAACTTCACTCCATTCTCTTCACTCCAACCATAACATAAAACAGAATGATCTACTTTTTCCTAATTATATATAATGTTATAATACCCATTCTGGACGATCAGAGCTTGACCATTCATGTTAAGCAACTGAATGATATATACCACTTTAATAATACATAAAATCTTATCCTGGTTCAAAATTCATAATTACAGGACCATTATTAAACAATTCCAACATTATATCTCTTTCATTACTTAATCCATAACCACCTCCAATATATTTATAATTTTTAGCTCCATATACTTTAGATGATTAAGAGAAATCAATCTTTTTGCATGTTCCAACATCTCCTTTATATGGATATTATTCCTCTGTGACTAAATATTATTCAGATGCAAATTTCTCAACTAAAAATGGATATCCACCATCACATCCTTAATTATAGTAATTACAATCCACTGAATATTAAGGTGATAATGTTACTTTTTCACCTTTCATCTTTAATCTAGCTGATAACATTTCCATTGTTGATATGGCATAACATGATCCACATTATTTTTATTATCTAGGAGGATCAAGATATCTTTCTAAAGTATAAGTTTTTGGTAGATCTGAAACATCACTAGTCTTTAATTAAGTAAATGAAGATTTCTTTATTGTTTTACCTTAATAATGCTTTCTTCTTCCAGCCATTTTATTCAATTCTAATAAACTCTTACCTTCAAAATGATCATATGCTTTAGCTTTCCATAATTTTGGAATACTATTCAATTTATCTACTGCTTCTTTATGATTTGTAAAGTCCTTTGTTAATTTAACTCTATCCCCATGTCTTGTACTCTTTTAAATGAATTCTGGTTGGACAACACTAATAAGTTTATAAGAATCTGTTGCATCAACATTTCCGTCAGCTTTCTTGGCTCTATAACATCCTTTTTCCCCAGTCTTTAAATTATTATACCATCCAATTAAAGTTTCACCACATAATGATTTATAATCGACTCCATTTGGTTCATATTTAGAAAATGCCAAATATTTAACACCATTGTGTTCAACCTCAAAACCTTCATCATAAACCATAGTCCAAGTTCCACTTTATTTTCTGTCTTTATCTACAACTTTATAATCATTTCCTAATGTTAATTCAAAAGAATCTGAAGCACGAAAATCTTCCCAACCAGCTTTATATGAAGAATGCTATGTGTCAGGAATATGATGTCCACAAGGCACTGAACCCATGCCTTTTAATTAGACATCAGAAACTTCCATTTTCCATTTGCCGACAATCTAATGTCTTAGACAATGAACAGGAAGATCTGCTTATACAATAGATATTGCTAATACACTTATCAAAATAAGCTAATTCATCAAATTAATTAAAACGATTAATATTTACTTTATTATAAAACTCATTAGTTTTATACTTCCTCTTATCCTTTTTATGATTCTCCTTATTCTTATTATTATTCTTCTTATGTTTATTCTTATTCTTCTTATTCTTCTTAATCTTCTTCATCTTCATCTTATTAACCTTATCCATCAAATCCTTAAAAGTTATTGGCATTCCAATCTTCTAATCCTTTACCTCCTTCTTCAGCTTCATCATCCTCATCAATATATTTAGTCCAGTCAACCTATTATAATTATTAGATTGCTCATACTTGTAAATATTATAATTTATGAGTTTCTTTTATCAATCTAGTCCAATATGAGGCGGCTTAATCTTTTTTACTTAAAATGAATCTCACATTCACACCATAATTAGTCCATTTACTTTCCTTACTTTTATGTATTCTCATACTTCAACAATAACTTCAGCATAGAAATTGATTTCAAATGCATAATTTACACCTTCAGCATTAGCACTAAATTTCAAGGATGTTGATGTCAATTCAACTTTCTCTTCTTTTAAGTCTCTTACTTCAACTGTCAAAAAAATGTTGTCTTTTCTTTAAGCCCACTTCACAATTGGATTGCTTATATAACTATGTATATTTTATACATTGTCTTTTACATCACAAATTAATTATTTTATTTTACATTTTTGCATTAATTTCTCTATTTTCATAACATTCGCAAATATTTATTAAAATGATAACAATGATGAGTAACATTATCTCAAAGAAGTGATCATATATACACAATTTTCATTATTTCTAAATGATAATTTAAAATAAAAAATAATTTCAAAGATGTAGAATCCCATGTTAGAAGATCTAAAAAATATTATGAAAGAAGGTTGGCTTGAGAAAGAATCAAGAGTATTTAAATCATGGAGAAAGTATGATCCAAATTTTATTTTAGACGATGGTTTGTATTAACTACAACTACATTATATTCATTTAAGGCTGAGAAGTAATATTCAAATCCAACAGAAATTATTTAATTATCAACTGTTAGCACCATTAAAAGTTGTTAAGAAGAAACCAATAAAGAAAATACATTTGTAAATATTGATTAAACTATATACCAAGAAAATTGATACTCCTGATTAAACATTTTTCTTATAAGCAAATAATAATTAAGATAAGGAAGGTTGGATTGGAGCAGTTGGTAAAGCTATGGTTAAATTAAATATGAAAAAAAATAGAAATGATGATGATGATTGATGATTGATAATTTGATAAAACTTTATAGATTTCATAAATATGAATCTATAATTTTTAAGTAATTTGTTTAAAATAATTTCATGATTTTAATCTTTTTGGTTTCTTAATCTTTCTATTTTTATAACCATAATTTGAATGTAAATTCTTTGTACATCAAACAATCAAAGTATGGTATTACAGTCATTTGATTTTTATATAATTCATTAATACTTGTTTAAGGGATGTATTATTAACAGATCTCATCACCAAATACAACTTCTATAGATGCAGTAAAATCTGTTAATTTACATTTTAGATAACAAAATATTTTTGGAAGTGTAACAATATGTTTAATTCCATTTTATCCAGAACATTCATAAACATCATTATTTTATATTAATTTAGTGAAAGTACATTAAGGACACTATTAAGATAATCTAGCTATTAATATTTCTGATATCATTGCTCTACAATATTAATAAGGTAATTCTTCTTATAGATTATATTATAATTTAATTATGTCTGTAATCAATTTAAGTTCTTAATTATAAGTAAAATTCTAATATTCAATACCCTCAATAATTAATTATTTTTAGATTTATTTTCTCTATTTACCTGGTAGGTTTTTATTTGGAACATTTGTATAAACTTTAGTGTGAAATGAAGTTTTAAATTCTTATTTACTCTGATCATAAAAGATATGATCTATCCTAATTGTTTGACCAATTTTATAATCACTAATTTAATTATTCCATAAAGTTATTTTTCCAGAATCTGATTCATCTGATATTCTTAGATCTTATAGTTTAACATTTCCCTTTTAATATCTAACCTCAAACAATTCATCTATCTACACTAATACATTAAATCTACTTTTATGCATTTTACCTTCTAATAAAGGCACAATATCATCAATCAATTCATTTTTATCTATTCCTTTTTTAAGACTGTCAGATTATATTAATTTTTAATTCTAATTTTCTAAATTTTTATGATTAATTTTAATTTTAATAGGATTTTTTTTATAGACATTGATTTAAACATCTTGTTCTAATTCATTTAATGCTAATGATAAAGGTTTAGAAAAAGGTTATTTTAATAATGTTATTTAATTAGCAAAATCGATATCATCATCTGGTAATACTCTAATCTAAGTATTATGTTCATTTGCAACAATTTTATTATTTATAAATTATAAATAACTAATAAAAATGATTGCTTCTTCTGAAATATAAATCTTTTAACACAATCTATCACCTATTAATTCTATTGTTTAACTATTATTATTATCGCTTGTAACAATTATTTGTTTAACACATTTTTGTGTTTTCATCTAAAAGATTGCTGGTTTATCTGTTAATATTTTTACAACAGTATTGAAATAAGTACAATTGTTAGACTAATGAATATCACCCAAAAAAATTGGTTATTGTAATACTTATTCAATTTGAATTTCTTAATTGTTAGGTTAGAGCCAATTTTATTTTTTATCTATAATTTATTTTATTATATCCTAATATTTCTCATCTTCTTAAGTATAAACTTTAAATCTAGTTCTTATTGATTTTAATTCAATCACATCGGTATATATTTTTAATAAAACACCTTCAAATACATAAACATCACCTACTTTAAAATTCAATAATTTATGTTAATCCCATAAAATTAATGGTATTTTATAATAATCTGTATTACTATCAATAGGTAAAGTATATAATATTAATTTTTTATTTTATTATCTTAATTCACCTATTTCTGCAATCATAGCAGCAACTATAATTTCTTCACCATTCTTCAAATTATAACTTAATGCATGTTATATTTATTCCAATACAGGAACTTTAGTATATAATTTAAATTATGTTGTTGAAGTGACTTTGATCTCATATGTCTACTTAAATTGATGTATTTCCATATCACTGATATCATAAATACATTAGACTTCAAGATTTTCATAATAAAACTAAAACTTCTCCTTTATTCTATTCTTCGTAAAGAATACTTAACACATTCCACTCTCATCTCTAAATTAAAGACAATAATCTCCAATTATTTATAATTATTCTTTTTCTATTATTGGTTTATTAAATAATTTTGCTCTTATTGTGATTGAAGTTCTACCTAATGGATATTATTTTAAATTTGCTAATGGTACAATTAAGTTTGCTTCTTTAATTTCATCAACAAATAATTCTTAATCAGATTTTTATTCACTCTATAATTAAAGTTAAGTTATAAATCTCATATCTTCTATTAAGGTCTATTCTCTAATCCTATTAATCGATTGTCTTTGACTTATATCAATTGCTTCTTCTTCAAATTATTAATAAGAAGTCTATAATTATTTGCTTAATAATTCATCAATAATATGCATAGGTACTAGTAATTGGACTGAAAACATTCTTATAAATTATTGAATTTTATGTTCATTATTTTAATTCATATTTTTCTTTATGAATTAATCTAACTTTATTCAAAATTAATATTCATACCTAATTGACTAATTCAATATCCATAATTATGTTGCCTTCACCTCCATTCTTTTAAAATTCATAAGGCAAATAAATTGGTTGAATTTGAAATTCTTTGAACATCTTTTCAATATATCCTTTATACATAATTAAATATATATATATATGAATTTATATTTAAAAAAAAGAGGGCATTTCGTATATTATAATTAATTAATAATAACCAAAAATAAGTCAATTCAAATTTGTTAGTATCATGTATATATCCCTTAAAATACAATTATTTTCATGTTTGAAAGAATAAACCTAAACTTAAATTGATTAATTAAATACAATTGTTACAAAATGATAATTTTAACTTTTTAATTCATATATCAAGTTCTTTTTGATTTTCATTTACTCCTAAAAATACTATATTTTGATTATTCTCAAATTATTTGATTATTTGGTATTTTTATAGAAATACATTACGTGTAATAAGTAATTAAGAAATACACTGAACCATAAAAATAACGAACTGAATTGTTAATAAGTTTAAATAAACAAATAAAGAAGATTTAAGTGATCAAATCCTTCTATATTCATAATTATGAAATTTGTCTTGATATTTTTCTACTGATTCTAATTTTTGAAGGATTTTAATATCCATTCATAATTATGTCTCTCACATTTTTAAGTCTCTAGGCTCTTAAATTAGACTGTGAAGGAGTTTCAATGGTCATATTGTCTATTTTAGGTGAAGACAATTTTATTTAAGGTTCCTGAGTAACTAAATTTAAATGTTATTAAGAAATAGCTTATTTTTCCTTACTTTTCTTCTAAATGGAACAACCCATATATTATCTAAATTAAAAATAACAATAATATTAAGTATCACACTAACAAATTAAAAATAAATCAAAATTATTGACATTTTTAATGAATTAATTTTGAACTGTATTGATTACATTAAATTTCTGGATTTTCTATTTTATTAAAGAAGCATTAAACATAAAAATATGAAATACTAATAGTCTTATAATTGACTTAATCCATAAAAATTTAATATAAATATCTTATTTAAGTGAATTTATAATTAATACATTTATGAAAATAAAAATTATGTCATTAATTCTGTTTTTTACTATATTCACTCTAAAAAACTTCCTTTTGGTATTGTTTATTATATTATTTCTATTGTTTAGATCACAACTGTATAATCATATTCTTATTTACTTTGATATATCATTAAGTTTACTTATATTTATAAATAACTAAACAGTTTCATGCTAGACCAAGTTTATAAACTCAATCTTAACATATTTTTAGAAATTTGTGATATTTATTAAAAAGAATTTATAAAATAAACCTTTATATATTTTAGATTCCAAATTTATTAATAATTAATAGACATTTTCATATGAAAAAGGATAAAATCAGGATTTATATTTTTAGTATTTGAATGCAAACTAGAGAATGAGTTACAATAAATGATTAAATAATTTTATTGATGTTTAATTTCTAATATTAAATTCTTATTGATATATTGTTAATGCTTATAATTATTAAGTAATTTTAATTTCATACATTTATATCCATTAATAAATTTGAAGTTCCTTTATCAATATTGCTATCAACAAGGTATTGATACTTTGTGTATCTTATAAAGTGATTATTGGCCTACATTTATTATAATCTTCACATTATAAAAATAGATATGGAACTAAATTTTCAAAATTTAATCTTTATTTAGAAATCCTAATTAATTTGGTCCATTTAAATCCAAAATCTATGATATTTAATTTAATTTATTCTACTCTAATATAAAATTAATATAATTTTTCTTAGAGATAAAATCCACTTACAAAAGTGACTGATTTGCTTTAATAATTATTATATGTTAGAAAACATATCATGATATGAATATTCTATTATTATTAATAGAAATGTAAAAATGAAAAGATGTTTATAAATGTATTGGATATTATATATAAAAAAGTAAAATCAATAATTTTTGATATTACATGACTCATATTAATTAGTTATGTTAAAGTTATGATAGGGTTTATGAAAATTTTAATTAAACATCTTTTCATATAACAATTGATTAATTTTAATTATAAAATGAGTAGAAACATTAGAGTATTAGATCTAAAGAATGTGGCAAAATAAAGGCTATCTATTAAGGCTCCAGTTCAAATTCGTAAATTTGATTTGTCTAGAATTAGGGAATAGGAATTGGAATTTAAAAGTTTGGTTGACTCATTTGAATCTGATTAAAGGTACTTGATTAAAAATAATGTAGTATTAATTCTCCAATAAATGGATCATTTATTATAAAATCTTAACGTTCATTGTCTAAAAAGAAAAATGTAAATTCCAAAGAAGAGTAAAATATATATGGATTAAAAATATTGATGAATTAGCGTTCTTCTTAAAAGTAATTTGATAGTAGAAGATCAAGTACAGATATAATTTATTTGGAACAATAATAAGAAAAGAGTAATTTGGAATGGTTAGAACATTGCAAAGAAATTGAACCTCCATAGGCAAAATGCCAGTTTTTCCATTAAAAATCAAAGTATTTAAAACTATAAGTAGATAGTCAATATTTTTGGGAGGATGTTGCAATCTTGGATCTTGACATTCAATAAAATAAGTTTATAGTTTAAAAGTATCCTGAAGGTCAAATTAAGAAAGTGGATAGACTCTCTCTGTAATTTGTAAATTAAAACTAAGAAATTTATTAAAAAGTTTAGCAATCCAAGTAAACATATAATTAAATAAAAGTTAATAGAGATAATTACTTAAGAAGATAGAAAATAAGAAATTATAACAAATCATGTCTGTACATAGTACTGAAGTATCATAATTCCCTAAAACATTGAGATAAAAATTATTTAAGAAATACATGAATACTTCAATGACAACATCTTTGTTAGATGAAATATAAAATGAATATATTGTAGCTATGAAGAAATGTGCAGTAGGCAATTATGATAACAAATATAAATTTGTGCCTTAATAAAGATATTAATACTATTCTTTTAATAGAAAACAACTGAAAAAGTTGGTACATTTCTATAAAAAGTCTGCCATATGTGCTATGTAAAATATGATTTAAAGAATTGAAGGTTAAACAATTTTTACTTATGATTTTCGATTGATTCATTTACCTTTAAAATTAGAGGAATTTAACCATCTTATTGATTAATAAATTACACTCTAATTAAATGAATTTAAAAATCAAAGATTATTTATGCTCTCTAATATATAAGATTGTTTATCTAAAGAACATAGTTTTGTAACTACATAATAAGATTAATTCAAAGGTGGATAATTGGATAAATTACTTACTAAAATTAATTATATCTATCTAAATTTTCTAAAAAAATAGATTGAAAAAGAATATAATAGTTTAAAGATATTCTTAAAATAATATACATATGATGATAAGAATGAAGTTAGAATAGAATTAAGCACCCTTCTTGAATTAAGTGTCAAAATTATTATACCAAAAGGTGGCAAAATGTCAAGGAAGGATATAAGACTTTCAAATGTTTAGATGATTAAATAAAATGATCCAATCATTTATATTTAATATTCTTTAAACGATATTATAGAATAATTATTAAAACCTTGTAGATAATTATTAACATTTGTACAAAAATTCTAAACTATTAGAAGTGAATTAATGACATTATTATTATTAAAAGAAACACTTAAAGATATATTTGATTAAAAATAAATTCATGATTTAGAAGAGGAAATTATATAAATAATAACAATAGAATATTAAAAATGCTATAATTTAGTTGAGAAGTTTTAATAATTTAAGAAATTTTTGATTCCATTAAAATCAAAAGAAATTGCTGAAATTTTAGGAATTGAACCAAAAGAAAAGTCAATAACTTCAATTAATAAACAATCAATAGTGTAAAGATTGCAGTAATCAAAAAGTGCACTAATGGAAATAGATCATTTGTGTAATACTAGAAGTAGACTAGGATTATTTTCAGTTAATTTAAATGATTTAAAATTAGTATTGAAGGAGAAAGTTTAAGAGTAAGCTAATCAAATAACAAATGTATAATTTCATTCATATTTTTATTAGAAAATAATTGATCTTATCAAATTTAATACTGCAAACATAAAATAATAATTTGATGAAATATAATCTAAAAGTTCTACATTACCTAATACAGAGGAAAAGTTAGTTGAATTAAAATTGTTGTTAGGGGAGTTGAAGATGGAATTTTCAAGAAAGAAAGTAGAGATATTATAGATGTAAAATATATTAATTTTATAATTAGAGGATAAATGCTTGAAGTATTAAATATGTTTTATGTTCCATTTGATTTTAATCTTATGGTAGACTTCTTTTAATTAAAATATTGGCCTTAAGATATTACAGAATTAGTACAAATGAATAAGAATATGATTGAAAAATAAGAGAAATAATTTTTATAGAAACTTTAAGTAGAAAAGTATGAATTTGAAGAACATATTTATAAGATTTCAGAATTATTTAGTGAGATTAAAACGTTTCATTCATATGAAGAGGTTAAACATAAATTACCTGCTGTTAGGTAACTTAATTTATATTTTGATGATGCAAAAGAAATGACACATTCATTTCATTAAAGAGAAGGATTATTTGGATTACCAAATTCTACTTATCCATAATTAGATTTATTAATTAGTGAATTTTAACCATATTAAAAGTTATGGGAATTAGCTAGTAGTTTTGAATAATAAAAAGATTAATGGTTATATGGATCATTTAAAAAGTTGAATTCTTAAGATATTTAAATAAAAATAAATGATTATGTCAATTAAACAATAAAGATGACACAATATTTTAAAGATGTCAATAATGAATATGCGTAACAATTTCTTAGAGGACTTAGAGCAGCTATGGAGAGATCAAAAGAATTCATTTGGATTATAGAAGCACTTGTTATAGAAGCTTTTTAAAAGAAGCCTTCATTTTGGAGAGATTTATTTAGAGAATGTCATATAGCAAATTTTGATCCTAAAGAAGATTTTCCTTTATAAATATTGATAACAAGAGGAATCTTAAATGTAAAAGAGTAAGTTTTAGCAGTTTCTTAGAGAGCAGAGAAAGGATGGAACATAGAGAAGAGATTAAATGAAATGTAAGATAAATTATCAGTAATTGTGATAGAGATTGTACCTTATAAAGATACTTATATATTTAAAAATTATGAAGAAGTTTAAATGTTATTAGATGAATAATTAAATGTGTTAGGTATTTTAAAAGCTTAACCACATGTAAAAATGGTATTAAGTAAAGCTAATTAATTGGAATATAAAACAGTATTGATATAAGATACATTGGAATATGGTATGAAATGTTAGAAACATTGGATATATTTAGATCCAATTTTTACTAGTGAAGATATTAAGAAGAAATTAGCAAAAGAAGCTTAATATTTTAGAAATGTAGATTAATCATTTAAGATGTGTATGGAAAATTTTAATTAGAATAGGAAAATATGGGAATGTATAGATTCTGAGAAAATGAAAGTAGAATTTAGTAATAATGTATTAATGCTTGATCAAATTTAAAAAAGTTTAACTATTTATTTAGAATCTAAAAGAGTACTTTTTCCAAGATTTTATTTTGTTTCAGATGAAGAATTAGTTGAGATTTTGGCATAAACTAAAGAGCCTATGTAAGTATAAAGACATATTTATAAATGTTTTGAATCTATTTAGGAATTAAAGTTTGAGAGATATTCTTTAATTACAGGATTCTATTCATCATTAAAGGAATGTGTTCCTTTAGAATAAGCAATAAATGTAGCATAAGATGATAAATCTGGAAATGTTGAATTATGGTTATAAGATTTAGAGACTTAAATGAAAGTATCGATCTCAAGAATATCTAATAGAACATTAAAAGATTTAAATTGTACAAAATAGGAATTTATTACAAAATGGCCAACATAATCTATTTTATTAGCTAATTAAATAAAATGGACTAGAAGCACAGAAACTGCTATTAGATAATAATAAAAAATGAATCTAAAATTATATTTAAGTATATTACATAAAGAACTTTAAGATACTGTATAATTAGTTAGATCAGATTAAAATAAATTATAAACAGCAACATTAGAAGCTATGGTTGTAATTGAAGTACATTAAAAAGATATAGTAGATACTTTATATAAGAAGAATGTTTAAGATGCAAATGAATTTGTTTGGATTTCTTAAATGAGATTTTATAATGAAATTATAGAATAAGAATTTGTTGTTAATGTTAAAATGGTTAACTCAGTATTATAATATGGTTTTGAATATTTGGGTAATTTAACTAGATTAGTGATAACTAAATTAACAGATCGATGTCAAAGAACTTTATTAAGTGCTTTAAATATGAGTTATGGAGGAGCACCTGAAGGACCAGCTGGAACAGGTAAAACAGAAACTGTAAAAGATTTAGCAAAAGCAATAGGAATGCCTTGTATAGTATTTAATTGTTCTGAAGGATTAAATTATATAGCAATGGGTAAGTTTTTTAAAGGATTAGCTTCTTCAGGATCATGGTGTTGTTTTGATGAATTCAATAGATTAGATCCTGAAGTATTATCAGTTGTTGCTCAATAAATATATACTATATTTTAAGCAGTAAAAGAAAAAAGAAAATAATTCAATTTTGAAGGTGTAAATATTAATTTAACTTTGACTGTATCTATCAATATTACTATGAATCCAGGTTATGCAGGTAGATCTGAATTACCAGATAATTTATAGATTTTATTTAGACCATGTGCAATGGTAGTACCAGATTATGCAATGATAGCTGAAATTTATTTATATAGTACAGGATTTGAAAAAGCAAGAGAATTGAGTTAAAAGATAGTTACATGTTTGAGATTATGCAATGAATAATTATCTTCTTAAGAACATTATGATTTTGGTATGAGAGCACTCAAAGCCATACTAAGTGCTGCTAAAAATATGTATGAAGGATATGAAGATGAAATATGTTTAACAGCAATTATAAATGTAAATAAACCAAAATTTATACCTAATGATGTTGATCTATTTATGGCAATTACAAAAGATTTATTTCCTGATGTTAAACCAGTTGAATCTAATTAATTAGAATTAGAAGAAGCATGTGCTGAATTAAATTGTTAAATGGATAAATTGTTTTTATAAAAAATAGAAGAATTACATAATAATATTAATGTTAGAAATGGAGTTATGTGTATAGGTGAAACATTCTCTGGTAAAACAACTACTATTTAAGTTTTAGCAAAAGCTCTTAATTGTTAAATCTTTAAACTCAATCCAAAATCTATTAATACTGATTAATTATATGGATTTTTAGATCCTGATACAAGATAATGGTCTGATGGTGTAGCTCCAATTTTAATTAGAGAAAATATTGAGAAATCTTAAAGAATTTGGATTCATTTTGATGGTCCTGTAGATTCATTGTGGATTGAAAATTTAAATACTGTTTTAGATGATAATTAGAAATTATGTTTAACTTCTGGTGAAATATTGAAAATACCAACTACTATGTGTATGGTATTTGAAGTTGAAGATTTATCAGCAGCTTCTCCTGCTACTGTATCTAGATGTGGTATGATATATTATATTCCTTTTAAATGGCCATCCTTAATTGCTTCATTATAATTACCAAATGGATTTGATTTAGATTATTTTATAAGGAGAATGAGATTGTAATATATAATATTTAATATTTTAGTTTAATTGATCATACATTAGCATGGACAAAGTTGTATGTTAAATTTCCTGTTATGTATATAGAAACAATTCTTGTTTCTAATTTTATAAATCTTACAAAGAAATGTTTAACTTTTCTTAATGATGAAGAAAAAACTCCAAATAATATGGATAATATGATGATTTTTGCTTTAATTTGGTCTGTTGGAGCAGCTATGGATGAAATTTATAGACCATAATTCAGTAAATTTATTAATTAATTAATTAAAACAAATAAATCTGATTTATAAACTATTTATTAAGATGAAGCAACATTTGGATTTCCTAATAATGATAACATTGATTATTTTTTACATTGTTTTTCAAATGGAAAATGGGTTAAATGGATCAATGTAATAATATTTTATTTATTATATAGCTTAGTAATAAAAAGTAAATCAATCCTGAAATGTAATTCCATCAAATAGTTGTTTAAACACAATCATCTATTAGAAATGATTATTTAGCCACTATAGGTCTTCATATGTTATATTGTGGACCAACAGGTACTGGAAAAACTCTATCAATGGCATCTAAATCAGGATTTTAAATTATTTGTTCTGGTTCTACAACAGGTAATTCTATTTAAAGATTAATTGAAACTAAAATTAATAAAAGAAGAAGAAAAGGTTATTATGCATCTGAAGAAGGTCACATTTTTATATTTATAGATGATTTAAATATGCCTTATAGAGAACCTGAAGGTGCTTAACCTGCAATAGAATTACTAAGATAATGGATGGAAATGGGAGGATGGTATGATTTAGATAATAAGGAATTTAAATATATGTGTGATATCACATTTCTTGGAGCTATGCAACCAAATGTTAGTGGAAGGAATTAAGTAACAAAAAGATTTTTAAGATTCTTCAATATATTATATATTGGAGGATTTGACAATGAAAGTATGACTAATATGTTGGAAGTGTTTATTTATTGGTTATCTATAAAAATAGAGAATGGTGTAGAATTTTTAAATATTAAAGATTAAATAATAGTTACTACTCTATTTTTATTTGAGAAGGTGTAAACAAGATTGTTACCTACTCCTTCTAAATCACATTATATTTATACAGTGAGAGATATATTTAAAATAGTTTAGGGAATGAGTAAAGTTAATAAAATTATTAATTAATAATATTTAGTTAAATTATGGAGTCATGAATGTGCTAGAATATTTAGTGATAGATTAGTAGATTAGAATGATATAAAGATTTATAATGATATAATGAAGGAATCACTTTAATAATTATATCCTGATCATCTTTAACATAATCTATTTCTTCCATTTTTCAATAAATAATATGAAGAAGCTCCATTAATGAATAGAGTATTAGAGAAGGTTAAGTGGTATTTAGAATAATACAATTATCAATAATAATAATATAAAATGGAATTGATATTATTTACTAATGCTATTTTACATGTTGCTAGAATATCTAGAATATTATTAAGTGGACATGCATTATTAATTGGTATGGGTGGAAGTGGCAGAAGTAAAACATTCATAAATATAATTTAGCATCATTATCAAAATTGGCTAATTTCATATTATTTTAGTAATCTGCAGAAACTATTGATTCTAAATAATGGGATGAAAATTTATTATCTGTTTTAAAAGATTCAGGTATGGAAAATAAAATAATAACATTAATTTTTTAAGAATCTCAATTTCATTAAGATTATATGTTAGAAGATATTTGTAATATAATGACTCATGGAGAGGTGTCTCATTTATTCCCTCCTGAAGAAAGAATTAAAGTTTAAGAAGAATTACCATATTAATAATTTATCAAAAATTGTAAACATAATATGCATATTATTTTATGTATGTAACCAATAGGTGAAACAATACGTAAACGTTTAAGATCATTTCCAGCAATTATTAATAGTACAACTATTGATTGGTTTATGAGTTGGTCAGATGAAGCATTAGAATCTACAGCTTTTGGATTTCTCAAATAAAATTCTTTAGTTAAAGTTGCTGTAGATATACATCATAAAGTATTAGATCTTACTGATAAATATAAAGAAGAGATGAGAAGATACTTTTATGTTACTCCAACTTAATATTTATAAATGTTAAAAATTTATTAGAAGATATATGAGGAAAGAGTATTAAGATCAAGAAAGGCTATAGATAGAATGGAAACAGGAATTGAAAAGATTTTACATACTGAATAAGAAGTAGATAAGATAAGGAATGTGTTATTTGAATTATAACCATAATTAGAAAAAGCAACTAATGACAATTAAATTTTATTAAAGAAGATTAAGAAAAGATAATAGGATGCTGATTAAAAAAGAATGATTTGTGAATAAGATGAAAAAGAATGTAGTGTTTAAAGAGAAGAAGCAAATTCTTTAAGAAATTTATGTTAAACTTAATTAAATAATGTTATTCCATTACTCAAATAAGCAACAGATGCTCTAGAGAAAATATCAAGAGAAGATATGATTTTATTGAAATCATTTATTTATCCTCCTCCTTCAGCTGCAATTGTAATGGAGGGATTATGTTATGCATTTGAAATTGATGATCAAGTATTATCTAAAAATAAAGATCCACCAACTATTTAAGATTTTTGGGATTTTGCAAAAAAGAATTTATTAAATGATAAATTAATTAAAAGAATTAAGAAAATGAAATTAGAAGAAATTAGAGCTATTAATATTGTAAATATAGAAAAACTTGAAGTTTTTTCATAAAATCCATTATTTGATAGAGATAAAGTATTTAATGCTTCTACTGCTGCAGGCAATCTTTCTGATTGGATAAGAGCTGTTTTAAATAGTTATTAAGCTGTTGAAATTATTGAACCAAAGAAATAATAATTAGCAGAAGCAGAAGTTAGATTGAAAGATGCAGAAGAGAAATTAGGTATAAAAAGATCAGCATTAGATGAAGTTATGATTGAATTAAAGAGATTATCTAATGAATATCAAAAAGCAAGAATTGAAAAAGAATAAATAGAATAGAAAGTAGAAAGTATAACAATATAATTGTAAAGAGCAGAAAAATTAACTAATAATCTATCAGATGAAAAAGTTAGATGGAAAAAGAAAACTTAAAAAATTAAAGCAGAATAAAATACACTTGAAGGAGATAGTATTCTATGTTCAGCTTTAATATCTTATATGGGAGTATTTCCTATTTAATATAGAGAAAATGCAATATAACTATGGTAAATGAAATTATTATAGGAAGGTATTTAATCTTCTTCACCATTTCAATTATAAAAATAATTAAGTGATCCATTATAAATAAATAAATGGATACAATAGAAATTACCTAATGATCAATTTTCTATTGATAATGCCATTATTATGAAATAATCATCCAAATGGCCTTTAATTATTGATCCTTAATTATAAGCAAATCAATGGATTAGAAATATGGAAGATAGCAAAAGTTTATTAATTTTTAATGCAAGATCACCAATTTAATAAGTATAATTATAATTAGAACATGCAATATAAATTGGATATGCTGTCTTGGTTGAAAATGTTACTGAAGATATTGATCCTCTATTTATATAAATTTTATCATAGAAAGATTTTGGATCAACTCCTTAAATCAAATTCTTTGATAAAGTTATTGAACAGTCTAATGATTTTAGATTCTATCTTACATCTAAATTAGATAATCCACATTATTAACCTTAAATTTGTGTTATGGTTACATTATTAAATTTCTAAGCAACACTTTAAGGATTAACAGATTAAATGTTAAATGTAGTTGTCAAAATTGATGAACCAGTTAAAGAAGAATTAAGAATTAAAAATATCTTTTATTTTATATCTAATTAAGATAAATTAATAAAAACAGAAGATTAAATGTTAGAATTACTTTCTTAAGCAGGAGGTGATTTATTATAAAATGAAACAATCATTATTGCATTATAAAATACAAAAGATGAAGGTAATAACATAGAAGAAAGAATACGTAAATTAGAGACTGATAGTTAAGCATTCAATGTTACTAGATAATCTTATTAATAAGTAGCTGAAACTGTTGCAAATTTATATTTTGTAGTTTATTATTTAGCTACAGTTGAACCAACTTATTTATGGTCATTAGATTTTTATGTTGCTCTTTATTCAAAAGCTATTAAAGAAGCTTAATAAGGAAAACTTAAAAGAAATTAAAATATTATTGATAAATTTATACAAATGCTTTATAATGCTATAAATAGATCTTTATTAGAAAAAGATAAATTAATTTTTAGATTTCTATTATGTTAAAGATTGATGAATGTACCTATAAATTTGGTTAGAACATCAGTTATGGGTTGTTCATTAACCTCTACAGAAATAGCTATGCCTAAAGAATACTCATGGTTAACTTATAAAATGTGGTTAGCATTAGTTGATCTTTAATAATAATATCCACATATATTTAATGGACTTTGTGATTCATTTATAAATAATAAACCATTTTGGGATCATTTCTATTCTAGTTCTCATAGTTTCAAGATATAAATATTAAATTTAGATTAATTTTAAAATAATATGATTGTTAAAATTATTAAACCAGAATAATTTATATAAGCAACAAATGAAATGATTAGAACATTTATGGGATAAATCTTTTTAGAAAGTATTCCCATTACATTTGAATAATTTTATTTAGAATCTGATCAAAATACTCCATTACTTTGTGTTACAACTCCAGGTGCTGATCCAAGATCTGAAATAATTGCTCTAGCTCATAAATATTGGTTTTAAGATAAACTTAATGTTATATCATTGGGTTAAGGATAAAGTTAATTAGCAATTAAATTAATTTTGAAAGCTATTTAAAATGGAAATTGGGTACTCTTATAAAATTGTCATTTGGCAGCATCATTTATGCCTGAATTAGAAAAATTATATGAAAATTAATTAAAATAAAATATCCATTAAAATTTTAGACTTTGGTTAACTACTTTACCAACAAATTTATTACCATAAAATGTAATTATAAGAGGTAAATAAAATTAATATTATATTTATAGCACTTAAGATGACTTATGAATTGCCAAGAGGAATAAAGAATAATATGTTAAGATCATATTTATCTTAAGATCCAGAAAAATTTGAATTATGTAAAAGATTAAAAGAATGGAAGAATTTGTTTTTTTCTTTGGCTCTTCTTCATGCATGTTTACTTGAACGTAAAAAATATGGACCATTAGGATGGAATATAGGATATAATTTCTCATAACATGATTTAGAAATGTCTAAAGAATAAATTCTATACTTTCTTGATTAAAATAATGATATTCCATGGGATGCTCTTCATTATTTAATAGCAGAAAATAATTATGGAGGAAGAGTCACTGATCCAGTTGATAGAAAATTGTTAAATATTTATGTTTCTGACTTTATTAATAAAGATATTGTAGAAGGTTTCTCATTTAATGATGTTTATAAAGTACCTATAGAAATGTCCTTAAAAGGATATATAGAATATATATCAGGATTTCCAATTGCAGATCCTCCTCAGTTATTTGGTTTACATCCAAATGCTGAAATCTATTCTGCTATTTTAGATACAGAAAACTTAAGTTCTACTATTTTGTAATTGCTTCCTCGAACTTTAGGGGATTAAAGCATACATCCAGATAAATTAGTTTAAAAGAAAGGGAAATCTATATTGAATGAATTACCTGCTTAATTTGATATTTAATTAGTTGAATTAAAATATCCATTACTTTAAGATAATTCTATGCATACACTTATTTAATAAGAAGTTAATAAATATAATAGATTAATTTCTCAAATATCAAAATCATTAGAATAACTTATGTAAGCACTAGAAGGCTATATTAATATGACAGATTAATTAAATGATATTTACAATTCAATTTTTGATAATAAAATACCTTCAGATTGGATCAAACTCTCTTATTTGACAACTAAACCATTAGGATCTTGGTTTAGTGATTTACTTAAAAGAATTCAATTTTTAGACAGTTGGATTAATAAAGGAGAACCTACAATCTTTTGGCTTGGTAGTTTTTTCTTTATTCAGGGATTCTTAACTGCAGTATTATAGAATTATTCAAGAAAATCTAAGATTCCAATTGATTAATTAAAATTTGATTTCGAATTTATGAAAAAAACTCCAACTGAAAATTCAAATGGAATTTTTATTGAAGGTTTATCAATTGATGGAGCTTAATTTGATTTAGAAGAATAAACTCTATTGGAACCAGAACCAAATATATTATTTTTTAAATGTCCAATAATTAAGTTTTTACCAACAAATTAACCAAAAAAATATAATCATTATTCATGTCCATTATATAATACTTCTTAAAGAAAAGGAGTTTTAACTTCGAATGGTTTATCAATTAATTTTATTTGCAATATTAAAATACCAATAAAAAATGAAAAGAAACATTGGTCTAAAAGAGGAGTAGCTTTGATTATCTAAATTGATTGATATTATATATTTATTGGTTATTATATATTTAATATAACATTATAAATTTAGAATGATTATCATAAGACAAAAATTGAAAGGATTACAGAAATATTTGAATACTTTAATTAAGATAATATATAATTAATAAATATAAATTAGAAAACTTCAAGAGAAAAATATCAGAGCTAGGCCATACTTATAAAATATTAAGAAGCAATATCATTTCCAGATTATATAAAATGTATATAATACATGAAGTATGATTAAGCCTTGCTTGATTGAAAAAAATAACAACAAGAAATTGAGAATTAAATTAATCAGAAGCTAAAGTATGAACTTTCATAATTTAATATTATAGAAAATAAATCTATTATGCAAAGTAACTATTCTTGATAGTTATGATGAAATGAATTCCAATTAAAAATTAATCATTAAATTTTATGAATACTATAGCCTCATGATTAAATATAAATTGTATTTTATATATTTGTTCCATATTTTTTAAATTCTAATATATCTTTCTTTACATGCTTATAATATATATTTTAATAATCATATTAATGAAAATAACTTAAATATTTGAAAAACCTTATTGTTTCAATATTCAATCTTCTTTTAATTTTCTAATAAAATCTCAGTAAACTAATTAAAATTATTCAGAAAACATAAAATTTATAATTATGAATTCTTAATTTATTATTCAGCAGACCTTATATCCTTCTTTTTTATAAAATATGATTAATTTTTTCCACAAGAAGATTGAGAATATTTCTTTAAGGGATAAAATTTTATTAAATATAATAATATTTGTTTTGATTACGTATTAACAGTTTAGGTTAATTAAAATGCCACCTTTCAAATCAAGATATATCATCTCTTGAAATTTAAATTTTTTAACATAATCTTCATCAAATGAGCCTCTAAATGGAAATAGATAAACTCATTTCTTATCTTAATAGTTAATCAAGCATCCTAGATTATAGATAAAATGAATTTGTGAAGAATGAATAAGTAAGCTTTTTGCCAACAGGGGAGATTCTTATCATTTGTTCTAAGTAAACAATCCATATATTAGTAGGGATCCTTAAAATACTATGATTCTAAGATAATAACCAATATTCTTAAAATTAGGAGTAATATATTATATAAACTATATAGATTACATCACTTTAGGAAGATTTGAAACTCTAAAGTGAATTATTAAGACATAAATAAGAGGTTATTCACTTTTGTGAAGATGAAAAATTTTTAGGTTCTAGATTCTATGTTAAAGGATAAATAAAAGGGAGAGTATTTAACCATTTAACTATTCAAAGTCTTCCTATAAATGAAAGGAAACTAGTTTTTAATGAAATCATCAGTTTTTTAAGTCATATTCATAGTTTTGGTTAGAGCAAAAACATATTTAATTATAAGGTTATGATTGAAAGTTTAAGAATCTAATACAAAACAAATGAAACAAGAATTCAAACTAACATTGAAGATTTACTTTATTGGTTACCAATGAATATACCAGAATTAACAATTTAAGAATCACTTTGCCTTGGAAACTTAGAACCAAACAACTTTATTTTCGATTAATAGTAAATTAAAATAATAAATATATAAAATTGGAATTCGGTTACTATTGGAAACTCTTAAATTGAGTTGGCAAATTTTCTATCTAATTATGATGTACCATATATAAAACAAGTGACTGACTATGGATTACAAAAGATTTACAATTTTTTAGGATTGCCAAACAAAGCTGACTTGATTAATTAATATTGTATTGAGAGAAAATTAGATACAATCATACATCTTAAATATAACACAATCATTGCTTTGTTATAAAGAGCCATCTTCAAATAATAGTGTATTAAAACTAAGATCAATCCAGAGAAAAGTAATATATTCTAATAAGAATTGGAAATTATATCTAAATGTGCTTGGAATATAGTTTTGGAATTAACAAATGATGATCCTTTCTAAATCAAATTAAGAATTGAAACTGATAAATTATAATGGAGTAAATATCCAGTTACTTAAAGATGCATAAGTTATTATTATAGAATTAGAGACTTTTTAAAAGATGAAGTATTTCCAATTGAAAAATCTCAGTTTGATATTATCTATTCTTTTGATATAGAAAATCATTGGAAACCATTGCCAGGAATTGTACATTTATAAAAGAGGGCTAAATCATTAGGATTATGGAATCTTTTTATTAGTGATCCTATATATGGAAAAGGATTAAATAATTTAGAATACACATTCTTATCAGAATTGATGGGTACATCATATTTTGGTCATTAAATTTTTAATTGTTATGCACCAGAAACTGGAAATATAAAATTATTGATTATGGCAGGGACAGATTAATAAAAAGAAAAATATTTAAAACCTCTTTTAGAAGGTGAATGTAAAGCATTTTTTGCTATGACTGAGAGAAATGTTGCTTCATCTGATCCAACTAACTTTGAAACTACAATTACTAAATAAGGAGATGGATATATTATCAATGGAAGTAAATGGATGGTTACAGGTATTCAAGATCCTAGATGTAGATTTGGTATTATAATGGGCAAAACTACTGTTAATTCTAAATCACCTTTCACAGAATAAACATTATTCTTAGTTGATACACAACATCCAAATATTAAAATTTTAAAGCCATTATCAGTTCTTGGTTATGATGAAGCACCAAACGGACTTGGAGAAATAATATTTGATAATGTTTATATTTCCAAAGAATAAATGTTAGGTAAAGAAGGAGCTGCCTTTGCTATGTCTTAAGGTAGACTTTTGGGAGGAAGATTACATCATTGTGTTAGATTATTAGGATTAACTCGTAGATCTATTGATACACTTTTAGAGAGAGGATAAAGAAGATATCATGGAGGAAAAAAGTAAAAAGAAGATACATCTTATTAAGAAAAGATTGGTAAAATAGAATGTGAATATTAAATCTGTAAGACTATGATTTTGAATGCTGCTATGATATTAGATTCTCTTGGAGGTAGACATATGTAATCACTTAAAGCTGTAAGTGAAGTAAAAGTAGCAATACCAAATAAATGTTAATGGATTAATGATGAATGCATTCAATTATTTGGTGCTTAAGGGATAACTACAGATTATATTTTGTAAATTGCATTTTAGGCTAGTAAATCAGTTAGATTGATGGATGGTCCTTGTGAATTACATAAAAAGTAAGTAGCAAGATTCACTTAAGGAAGTCATATGTTCAATGAATTAGTTAATGTAAATGGATACATAGCTAATCTTTGATTCAGATTGAACAATTTAAATATATAACAAAACAAATATAAATAATTATTTTAATTTTAATGGTTATTTTTATGCTTTTTCATTTCTTAGATTTTTTTTATGTCTATTTCGGATTGTTCATTACTTAATCAATATCTCTTTAGATATCATCATCTATTTCTACATGTTTACCTTTCTTTGTCTAAACTCGTATTTATTTTTATTAAGCTTATTATTATTATTTAGTCTATTTTCCTTATTATTATTAGACTTAATCATCATTATTGATTTGTTTCTACTATTATTATTTAATTTATTATTAATGTTTGGCAGCAGGTTGAATTGATTCGGATTCAAAGTCATCAACATTATTATCTATAGTTGATTTCATTTATTTTTCATCAAACTATAGTTTGTTAGGATACACATTACTTTCTCTGACTTCTTACGTTTCTTATCATTTGTTTCAATCCCATTTTTATCATTATAATCTCTCAAATCTATTCCATATTTTTCCTTTGCTGCATTATATTGATCAACATAAGGCTATTCAAATTACTTAAAATCTATACTTTTTTCTCTTATTCAGTCATAGATTACCATTTACTTCCAGCCATCTAAGATATTTAAATAAGTTTAATCTCTATGAATATTTCTCAATATAATAAATACCTGGATTACGTTCAATCACTTTCTCTCTATACTTCTAATTAAATAAAAAGAATGGTGTCAATGGTTTTTTAGGTGCATTTGGATCTCGTTCCTTCTTTTTCTCTGTTTTTGAGATCTCAGGCACATTCTAATCTTTCAAAAATTGTGAACAAAACTTGTTCATGTGAGCAAAGAACTGTTAGAATTTCTAGGCAATTTCAATAACCTATCATATCGTGATTAACTAGCATACAAATTAGTTATGGTCCATAATAATATTTATTTAATTAAAATTAATCGATGCAATAATTCAAAAGATTAGTCCCACTCATGAACAGAGTTCTTATTAAGAAGTTGGAAGTTCCAAATAAAACCTAAAGTGGCATTCTTCTTAATACTGGAGATACAAAGAATCCAGCAGGAGTAGTTATTGAAGTATATCAATTAATATTAATGAAAAGGCTGGAGAAGGCTATTATGACCACAAAGGGGATTTTGTTAAAATTTGTGTTAAAATTGGAGACACAGTTTTACTACCTGAATTTGGTGGATAAAAGGTCAATGTAAGTGGTTAAGAACTTCTCATATTTAGAGACACTGATTTTTTAGGAATATTGTCTAGATGATATGTATTATATTAAAAATTAAGAATTATAAATTATATTTTTTAGCATAATTTATATCAGTTATGATTATAAACTTTGCCTTTATATAATACAAAATCAATTTAATAAACAATTATTATTAAAATACAATCTAAAATGGGAATTTGTCATTCTAAATCAAAGCTTAAAAGAAGTGGAGCATTTCATTGTATCCCAATTGACTTTGATAAATTAAAGAAATACAATCAAGAACGATAAAATAATGATCTTAACATTGTAAAATAACAATCCTTTTGTCAACTCATTTGTTAAGATGCAAATAAATTTTCTAATCCATAAACATAAACTTATAATTATGTCTAAACTCAATAAATTGAATTTAAAAAACATTGACATCTTAAATTTTGTTCAATCTATATACAAAATTAATTCATTAAAAATTCTATATGTTTTCTTTTCATTAAATATTACCAATCTTCTGCTACTTTATTTAAATTCTATATAAATGAACCTTAACATTAATTTTTGTTCCTAAATTTAGAAAATAACAGAACCAATCATGTTTTTGGAGTTAAATTATTTTATCAAAGTAATTAATTACAATATCTTCCTGCTTCTTATATAAATAAACTAAAATAAGAATTAATTTGAAATAATCATGAAAATAAATATATCATAAAAATTAATAGATTATAGGGTATTCATATTTCCTAATTAGCTCAAAACTATTCAAATAAAATCTATTTTATTTATGTAAGATAGAGCAGTAACTGAAGCATTTAAACATAAATTACCATTGACTCTTCCATCAGATACATAACCACCAGCTTTTTCAATTCTTAATTTTTCTTCATAATTTTCAGGTTTATGATCAACACTCATATCATAATTTTTGTTTTCTCTGCATAATACAGATCTAGAATCACCTGCATTAGCAACATAGAGTGTGTTCTTATAAAATAGGGCAACATTGGCAGTGCACCCTGCAAAAATAGCTAATTTAATTATTAATTTTTATTACTACTTCCATTATTATCTTTCATTTCATTAATTTCATTTTGACCTTCTGGAGTAAGCAAGAGCTCATCCATTTTTAAGAAAGTCTCTCTAAGAGCATCTTCAAACTTTTGATCTTTAAAATTATTATTCTTTTAAAGTTCTTCAATAAAAATGTTGCAATTTATCTTCCTAAAATAATTGAAGTTTATTATTTTTAAACAATACTTTATCCTTAAACTAAATTTACTTAGTTATAAAATAAGATTCACAATTATTATTTATTACATTTTCACTTTAAGATTTCAATTTACATAATAATAATTTTATAATTTTACAAAAAAGAGATCCAAATCCATATATTATAGAAATATGTGGTAACTCTCTAAATACTTTGTAAAAATCACTTTACATTTAATAAAAATAATGTATATTCTTAATCACAATATTTGGTGACATAATTCAAGATAATACTTCATTTTGTAATCAGACTTATATTTTTCTAGAAGTTTTTCAAATAAACAAAATATAATTTGAAAAATGCTATATTATAATTGAATTTAAAATTAAATATTAACAGCTAATTGACATCAGTATGTTATAATAATCAAGTCTTTTATTATAATTATAGAATTCGTGATTATTATAATAACATTTAAGATCTAATAAATCCTAATTTAAAAATATTTTAATGGGTGCCAAAATCCTGATTCCTCCTGATCGAAGTAAAAATACTAGTGTTGATGAAACCAAATACTTTATATATGCATCTTCAGAAATGCGAGGTAAATCATTTATTTAAGGATATAGGTTGGAAAGGAGACATGGAAGACGTTCATATTCATGTATGTGACTTTGCACCGGATGTCTCTCTCTTTGGTGTCTTTGATGGCCATGGAGGCAAAGAAGTTGCCATTTTCGTAGAGAGACACTTTATTGAAGAACTTTAAAAGAATAATAATTTTAAAGATCAAAAGTTTGAAGATGCTCTTAGAGAGACTTTCTTAAAAATGGATGAGCTTTTGCTTACTCCAGAAGGTCAAAATGAAATTAATGAAATGAAAGATAATAATGGAAGTAGTAATAAAAATTAATAATTAAATTAGCTATTTTTGCAGGGTGCACTGCCAATGTTGCCCTATTTTATAAGAACACACTCTATGTTGCTAATGCAGGTGATTCTAGATCTGTATTATGCAGAGAAAACAAAAATTATGATATGAGTGTTGATCATAAACCTGAAAATTATGAAGAAAAATTAAGAATTGAAAAAGCTGGTGGTTATGTATCTGATGGAAGAGTCAATGGTAATTTATGTTTAAATATTCTTAGGTAATCTAAATCTATCTCGTACTTTGGGAAATTTAGAATATAAAAGTGACAGCAAATTAAGATCAAATGAATAATTGATCATTGCACTACCAGATATTAAAAAGGTGGAATTAACTCAGAAAGATAAGTATTAGTTACAACTAATATAGATTCCTTTTGATGGGAAGTGATGGTATTTTTGAGACTCTTGATCATTTTGATTTACTCAAATTTATTAATTAAAAACTAGAAGATCAAATAGTTACTCCATAATTTTTAGGAAAAGTAGCTGAAGATTTGCTAGATACTTTAATTGCTCCAGATCTTTCAGGTACTTATATTAGTATATTGTAGCCGGAACTGGATGTGATAATATGACAATTTTAATAATTTATTTTAAATGAAAAAGTAATATATATATTTTATTCAAAAAAATAAATCAGTTAAACCGATAAGTTTTTTTAATCGAAAATAGAGATATCTTTTAGAAAAATACAATAAGAACTATCTATTAATCTTTTTTAATTTGCCTTTGACTTAAAAAAAAAAAGACTAATGATCTTTTTGTGTATTTTATTCTGCTTAGGCTTTTTGTTAGAAATTGTTAAAAATGGGTTTTATATTTAAACTTTTTTGTTAACAAAAAAGGATATCCAAACTTTGTTATTTAGATTAAGAACATTATTATTTAATATTAAATTTGCATAAAATTTTCTTCTAAAATTTTAGTTAAATTTAAATAATAATAATGATTTTAATTTATATTTTATTTTGTAAATGGCCACCCATATCATTTACTTGTTCCCCTAAAGTAGATCAGGTTAAAGATCACTAGACTATCTAGACATGCATTTAGGTAAGGTATAATATTTCTTTAAGTTTTTCTTAGCTTAGAATCCTCCTAGAAAGGTTGAGATATTGTCCTTAACTGAACCTTATTTAGTAATCAAATTATTGTTTCTGTCAATAAGATAATTATTATTCCTACTTCTGAGATTAAAGATAATGAGCTTATGTATTAATCTTTTATTATGAAATCGCCTTCCAATGACAATTTGTTAATTGTTATGCTAATTGATCAATGTTATTTTACTGAAATTAATAATGAATTTAGCTTAATATTGAGAAAATTGTAATTCTTGAATCAGAAGATAACCAATATTTTCTATTTTCAGATAAATATTAACAAAACTTTTTATTTTTACAATATTAAAACAAAATTAATTAAAAAACAAAAAAAACTAATTAAAAATATAATATAATTCGAAGTAAATTATAATTATTATTTGATTTTTTATTTAAGATGATCTGATATTATATCTTCTAGATCGAAGAAAAGGATAATCATATTTAAAAGGAATTAATATATATATAATATATATTATCATATTGTTCATTTTCCTTTAAGATAAATGATTAAGGTTGTCATATTGTCACATCCAGTTCCGACTAAAATAAATTATTTATAGTACCTGAGGTGTCTGGAGCAATCAAATTATCTAACAAATCTTCAGCTACTCTTCCTAACAATTATGGAGTAACTGCTTGGTTACCAAGTTTTTAGTTGATAAACTTGAGTAAATCTGCATGATCAAGTGTCTCAAATACACCATCACATCCCATCAAAAGGAATCTATTATAGAAATAAAAATGTTACTTGTCTTATGGAATTAATTCCACCTTTTTGATATCTGGTAGAGCAATGATCAATTACTCATTTGATCTTAATTTGCTGTCTCTCTTATATTCTAAATCTCCCAAAGCACGAGATAGATTTAGATTACCTAAGAATATTTAAACATTAATTACCATTGACTCTTCCATCAGATACAAAACCACCAGCTCTTTCAATTCTTTATTTTTCTTCATAATTGTCAGGTTTATGATCAACACTCATATCATAATTTTTGTTTTCTCTGCATAATACAGATCTAGAATCACCTGCATTAGCAACATAGAGTGTGTTCTTATAAAATAGGGCAACATTGGCAGTGCACCCTGCATAAGAAACTGTTTAAATAATTATTAATAAATATTTACCATCATCATCTCCACCTTTGATTGAATTAATTTCCTTTTGACCTTCTGGAGTAAGCAAAAGCTCATCCATTTTTAAGAAAGTCTCTCTAAGAGCATCTTCAAACTTTTGATCTTTAAAATTTTTATTCTTTTAAAGTTCTTCAATAAAGTGTCTCTCTACGAAAATGGCAACTTCTTTGCCTCCATGGCCATCAAAGACACCAAAGATTGAAAGATCTGGTTATAAGTCACATACATGAATGTGAGCATCTTCCATTGTATTTCTCCAGCCTTTTAAATTATATATCAATTATACCTTGCATTTCAGAAGCAGCAAAAATAATGCTCTTTCCTTCACCACTGGTGGTTGATTTGTTTTTATTAGGTTAACTAAGGTATGGTCCCATTTAAAATAAATTTAAAATAGGATATTTTAGAAACTTAGTTCGGCTTATAATAATCACGAATCTGATAATTATAATAAAAAAAGTGATTATTATAGCATCCCGGTGTCATTTAGCTGTTACAATTAAAATTTAAATTCAAATTAGTATTATAAGACTTTTCATGTTTTTTTGGAATTAATTTACGCCTTATAATTTTCAATAACTGATTCTAAAGAATCCAATTTATCCAATAAGTAGGTCTTTAAGTATTTCCTATAGAAATAAAAAAAATAATTATACTAATTGTATTCTCTTATATCTTAATAATCTAAGAGACCAATTAAATACTTGGTCAGTAGAGTCAATTATTTATCTTACTTATTGTCATAGAATGGAATAATTGGTACTCCATTATCAATTTAATAATAATAACTGTAAGCAGAATTATCAACTAGAATAATTTTAGAGAGAGATCGATTTTTAATTATAGAAAGATCTTTAATGTATTGTCCAAGACTTGTGAAACAGCAATGCTCTCTGGACAGAACATAGGATATAATTTTTTTTGGATCAATGTATTCTACTATCTAATAATTAGATATGAAATTTTCACTTTTTTTGCATACTGAGCATGAGAAGCAGTAAAAATGATAATCTCAAAATGAGGCTACAAGTTTTCTAACATATTTTGTAATCCAGGACGAATTGTGAGTCCAACTTGTAGGATTTCTGATGGGGATAATTTGATATTGAGTTTTTTATCACATGGTAATCTTACATCAAGTGAACAATGAACAAGAGTTTCATCCAAATCTAATAATAAAGTATATTTTCTTGAATCTATTATAAATTTATTTATTTACCTTTAGGATCTTTAGGTAAAATGAGAGGTTTAGGTTTAAATATAATTTTAGATGTGGCGCATTATTTAAATGCCATTAAACTTGATTAAAGATGATCTTAGAAAAGACGATTGAAATAGCTGTCCTTACTTTCATATGCTTTAATTAAGTCAGAAACATAATAGACATAATTGTTTTCAGGTAAATTTTATGCTATTCGAGGAGTTAACATTAGTTCAGAATTCTATTTTGTAATTGGACGATAGAGAAATTTGAAAGAAGAAGGCTTCTGACTTATAATTTTTTGATTTTCAATCATTCTATTTTGTTTATCAGATGTTTCATTAGGTTCTGTTTTCTAAATAAAATTCTGTCTAAACACTTTAGCTACATTATTCATTATTGGAGTTGGTGTCTAATTCTTGTCAATTTAAAGAGAATTCTCTTTTTAGAATTTCCTATAAGTTCGTTTTTCTTAGTATTTTTATCGAATAGAACTATTAGATGGAGTAATTAACGCAGTTGATTAAGGCTACAGAAATTTAAGATTTGGCAAACTCTTTTGATGACCTCTCATTTGTATATTAATTATATTAATTTTATCCTATCATACAAACTTATTCAAAAATCAAGATATTAAACAGCAGCACTTATTTCTATCAAATCAAATGGCTTTGATATAAAGTAATCCATTCCATTACGAAAACAATCTAATTTAGAATTTAATCCTGCAATTGTAGCAGTAGCTATAGCAAATCCTTTATCTAAATTCCCTTATTGCATATTCTTCTTAATACGTTAGACAAATTCAATACCACTCAATCCCTAAATTTATCACAAAATAATTACAGGAAGATTGATATCTATAAAGTACAGTAAATAATAGCGATTTCCACAATGACATGGACGACCTCGCTTTATTTCGATAATATCTAATCCTTCAGAACCAGTGAATCCATAATCACATTTGATATCATATTTCTATAATACTTTCTCTAAAACAATAATCTAAAAACTGTCATTATCTAATATCAAAACTTTGGAACAACAATTATTCCTAAGTCGATATTTAATGACTTAAGTAAGCAATTTAGGGTTAAATTCCGGTAATGATATTTAATTAATAGTTTATTCAGCTGCACCAAAATCAATTGCAGTGAAAGTTCTTTGTGATTCATCTGGAGAATCTACTTTACCTACAACACTTAAATTATTCCTATTCAAAAGTTTTGTAATTTATTAGATACTATCTTATTAAATTCCTTATTTGTAGGTTCCAGAGAAACTTCCACTTTGTTCACGAGATTGTTTGTGTATTGTTCCACTATTAGGAAATACTCTAGAATTAGAAGTTTCTTATCTAATTTTTGAAAGTTGTGAAAAATAGGCACTTTATAAATCTATTGGATCTGTTGGTTTTATTGAAAACTATTTAGATAATTAAGTAAATGATAATAGTCTCGATTCACCTCCACCTCCTCCTTGATTAATATTGTCTTATAAAAGGAGTGACAATGATGTTTCAAAGTATTTTTTCTTGCCTAATACTTTTATAGGTCCAGTATCTGAGTTTTAACATTTCATTTATGTATTTTGAGATTCAATAACAAATGTGAATGTACAAAATCCTTAGCTGTCAATTAGAAATTCTAGTCCTCTTTTAAAGGATCCAGATAATTACCAACAAAGTATAATACACATTTATAATTCTAATGGATTTTATAAATCTATTTCATTTACAGATTTTTGACTCTTTAATTATTAATTTACTTATTTAGTTAAATTCATAATCTTTTGTTTAGCTATTTCATCAAAATCAGCTTTAGTATCTTTAATTGTTATCATAATTCCTTGTAGTGTATAACTTTTAATATCAAATTTAATTGAACTCTTTGATGATGATTATAAACAATAATGCAATAAACATGAAATAATCTATTTAATCTATTTAAATTAAAAGGATATATATACTCTATCTTGATCACTAAAAATAATTGTATTTCCATCTTATAGTTCTATATTTGTAGTTAATTTGATTTATTTTAATTTTAATAAAGGATCAAAAGTTTATAATAAATCATCTAATAAATCTTCAATTCGTATTGCATTCATTTTAAAAAATAATTCATTTTAAAAAAAGAATATGTAATCCCTCATAGAATATAAAAATAATGTATATCTCTATGAATAATATCTCATAATCAATAAAGCATTAGAAATATATTCTTCTTTTTCCTTTCGGCTTAAAGACTAATTATAATTTATATGAGTGTTTTTACCATAGTTGTTTTATTACTACCTTCACTCATTAGAAAATCATTATGATGAGTAAGTAGCAATATATAAGTCATAATGCAATTGACATAATTGATAGATTCATGAGAATAGGTAGTGTAAATGTTCTATAGAATTGAGTTTGGTTCTGAATTATAGATTTTAGGTAAAACAGGAGCTTATTCAAGATTAAAAAGTATGAATCTATGTCCATCAATATTAGTTATGAATAGTTTAATTTGAATACCATCTAAATCTAAGAAATCATTCTTCACTTTAAAGATTGTTAAAGTGAAGAATCTCCATCTAAATCTATAAAATAGAATTACTTTTCAAAATCTTTAAATAAACAAGTAATCAATTCTCTAATTGTGAATTAACCTTTAATCTTACATTTATGAACTTCATTAATATTATTGCAAAGAAATGATCCACTAATTTAAGTAAAACATTTATACTCGCTAAAAATGGAATCACTATATCCAGATTAACCTAGTAATTCATTAATTTCCTTGCATCCAATAATAATAATGGATTCTAAAAATAACAATTCACAATCAAGTTTATCTCCAATGTTCTTTTACAATTTGCCCAAATAAAACGTTTGATAGATGATACTTAAATCGCCATTGTAGATCAACACTGATTAATTTGACAGCCACGACCTTTTATTTTTTTTGTACTCATTAGTACATATTTGTCATGATAATGTCATCTTCATTTAGATTATTACTGTTCAATTATAATGGCTTGATTTCTGATGAGGACAATACTTTGGATTGTTCATCCTATTGTTTAATCAACTCTTAGGATTTTGCTTGAAATGTAGGTGGAGCATCTGGTATTTACTTCAAGGGATTAGACAATAATTTAGGTTTTGGTTCCTTGGATTTAAAAAACTTAATTTTCATTTGTAACAAAACAAGGAACCAGTATACATAATATATAATATTCTGTGGAGTTTCAATTAAATTCTAAACATCATGTAAAATACTTAATAACCCATAATTCAAAAGAAGAGCAATCTTAATTTCATATTACATTTCTAAATGGTTAATTAGTATCAAATATAATTGTGTATTAGATACAGAATATTGAAACACAATTAGAATCAAACGTAATAAAAGTAATAAAGTAAAACATCTATTTAATTCTTTGTTCAATAATAGATTGTAAATTCTTACAAATCCAATTATTATGGTTAAAAACACATTCAAACAGGTAAGTACTAGTATTGTTTAATTACTATTTAATCTCTTAAATATATCATATTATTTACCAAACCTGTTACAACTACAAGCAACAAGAGTTCTGATAAAAGTATTTCAAATATTTTTTATTTCATTTATATCATTAAATGGTAAGTATAACCACAATATGTAGTCTTCGCGAGACCCATATCATTAAGTACCAATGATCTTTTTTGATGGTCAGAAAAAGAATGTAATCAAAGTTTTTGGGAGTATACATATATATATTCTCTTTTAGATAACTGCAAAAACAATCATCAATTTAGTATAGGTTGGGATGTTCCATCTTTAGGGACAGTCTAAAGAGTATCCAATAAAGTAGGTAATGAAACAGGATTTGTAATTCCTGATTACACTGTTATCACTTACAAAAATATCAATAAAGATCTAAAAACCTAGAATCAATAAACAAATCAACCATAACCTAATAAATTTGCCACTTTAGCTTAAAAAAACTTGGTTTAAGACAACAATAAAAACTAATAACTAATTTAAAAAAGCATAGACAATAGTATAGAAAAGTTTAAGTCTGAAGAGACTCTTAAAGAATAAACAAATTAATAAATAAGAGATATATTAGCTAAATAAAGAAGAGAAAATTAACAAAATTCAAAATACAAAGCTTGATTTAGCTATATAATAATTACTATTATATTATTGTTCTTTGATTAATTTAAAAACATCTTTAATTCTAAAAAATAATTTATATCTAAAATGAACAAATAACAATATAAAATATAATACTATAATAATTTACATATTTTCAATAATTTAATGAATTATAATATTTTATGTTAAATTTTAATATTATTTTAATTATTTAAGATGAATGAGAAAGAAGATACTATTTATTAATCATTTATTAATTCAGAAGATAGTATTCCTTATGATAATCAACTTGAATAATGTTAATAATGTGTATAACTATAAAAATATGTTTATTAATTGGAATAAGAAATCTCAGAGTTAAATAAAATGATGTAAACATAAGTAAATATTGAAAGAGAAATAGTCAAAGAACTAAAAACCTCAAAATATTCAAATACCCAAAAAATTATCGTATTGTAAATTGTAAAGTGTCAGTGTAAGACATTGCAATCATCATCACTTAAGCAAGAGTCTTCATGAAGATTAAGGCCATAATACAAAAAGTATGTTTACTAGTTCTGGACATCAAAAGAGAAAAATTTTTGATGAAGTTGAAGAAAAGACTAGCACCAAAGCCCTTTAATTTTATAAATTGTGAAATTTGATATAAAATAATCATATGAATGATTAATTCAAAAATTCTTGATATTACTAGAATGTGATCTTTAAGGAGCAATCCTATAATTAATATACGAGATTGATGGATGATGGCAATTCACTATTTATTCAATTATTCTATTGGGACTTCTGCCAACTCTGCATCTACTTTGATCTTAACGAAATGATTATAATTGTTAATGAAGAGATTCAATCATTTAATCCTTATTTAATAGTTAGATTTTTGTATTTTCCATATCTATTTTTATTTATTATTGTTATTTGATTTAATCTTACAAACTCAATCTATTTTTCAATAGCTGATCTTAAAAAAATTGATTCTCCTATTCTAATTTTCTTATCTATCCTAATAGTTCTGAGATATTGCTCTAATTTTTCTTATTCAAATCCTTCAAAATATTTATTTGATCTAAATTATATCAAAACTTTACTTTGTAAACTTAAAATCAATTAAGATTATTGGGAGAGTTATTACTGTAATTTAGTAATGGTTTCTCTATCCTTATCCTTGTTCTATTGTTCAAATAAATTCACAAGACATATTTAATTATTAGCTAATCTGTCAAGAAACAAGAATTACTTAATTTCATTTCTACTTTTGAATCGAAAATGGAATCCTAACTGATTTTTCTGTTTGAATAGTTATCAGTTGACTTATCATCCTTCTTTGATGGACTTACTACTTCTTCATGGAAGAAATATCTTTTCTATTCAATTTTTTTTTAAATCAAATACCTCCTTTGCTTAAGGAGAATTTGGTTCAACAAATGAAGGTGATGCTAAAGCTTAGGTGGAATCTACAAACATTTCATGTATTTAGTGTTTTGTCAGATAAACATGAGAATTCATATAGGAAAAATTGTTAAATAATTAATCTGCATTTGCTATCAAATGATTAATTTATAGCAATATCAAATCTTATATCATTGTAATACAAGAACTCACGCGGATATTTAATTAATTAATTAAACTATATAAAATTAATGGATATCTTGCATCATAGGTTTTTAATATGTCAATTCAGAATAGTTATATAATATAATTAATCATAGAATAGTAGAAGAAGCTTGTATTCTTCAAATATAATCATATATGTATTCTATAAATTTAACGATAACTTGTATAATTCTCAAATTTTAAAAATCTGAAGAGTATATTAAGGACATGTATTTGTTACTAACTTAATAAAAATTAACTATAAAATTGAGTAGATTCACAATTATTTAAATTAACTTGAATTTTGATAAAGAAGAAACAGTAAAGATACAATACACTAAAGTGAATGAAAAATAGAATGCTTGTCAATTTTATGGTACTTTATATCTCTGATATCCTGTGATGGGAGATGTTTTGTTTGGAAATGATAAATTTAGTTGATTTTATCTTTAAATAATTGCTTTATATATTAAAAAAATTGTTTATGATTATTTGATAATAGATATATTTTAAATAAGTTCTATGATTATTATAGATAAGGTAATCTTGAATTTAGAAAAGATTAGAAACTATAATGGAAATTATTATATTATATACATTTAAAAATTTCAAGTAATTTCTATTTAACTTAATTTTTAACAATTAATACCAAAATGGTAATCTATAATAATAATCTTTCTTAAGATGTTTATTAATTACATTAAATGTATATCAATTATCCTTATGTTTATTATTTAAAAACTAAAATGGTTGATAATTTTAATATTTTTATATTATTTTCTTGTAAAATAGTGTTTTAGATATTATATTTATTAAGCATTTATAAATAAATGAAGGTATATGATTTTTGGCTATTTATTGAAAGTTTATGATTAAATTGAGTAAAATATTTGAAGGGTGGAAAGTGAATAAATTTAATTATAAAGAAATTAATATAATATATTAATATAAAATAATGAAATCACCTGTTCGAAAAGAAAAGAAACATCAAACTCATAATCCTTCTTCTTAATAAGATTAATTTTAATAGAAATTACTATATCCAGGATAGATTATAGCAGGAAGATTTAAATTAATTGAGAAAGTAGGTCAAGGTAGTTTTGGATCAATTTTTAAGACTGAAAATATAGAGACAGGTGAAATATGTGCATCTAAATTTGAGAAAAGAGAATCAACAAAAAATAATATGAGTTTATTAGTGAGGGAAATAAAGATTTTATTGGAATTGAAAGGGATTGCAGGTATTAAATTGCATTATGGAAGGATTTCCATAGATTCTACATTACGGAAGAGATGAGAATTACAATTTCTTCATGATTACATACTTGGGTTAGAATTTAGAGTACTTAATTAGAAAAACCAAGAAGTTCTCATAAATAAATTGTCTAAGGATAGGATTACAATTATTAGAAAGATTAGAATAATTACATTAAAAGAATTTGATTCATAGAGATTTGAAACCAGAAAATATAGTAATTGGATGGTAAGACATTGATGTTGTATATTTAATTGATTTTGGATTGTCAAAATATTATAAAGATAATCATGGAAATCATATTCCTATGATTGAGAAAAAAGGTATAATAGGGACTGCTAGATATGCAAGTATTGGAGCACATTTAGGTGAGAAATCTTAAATGTAATTTTAGGTAGAGAGTAATCAAGAAGAGATGACTTGGAATCCTTGGCATATGTACTCATTTATCTGAATAAAGGGAAATTACCATGGATGAATTTACCTATCCAAGATAAATCAATAAAATATAGCAAAATACTTGAATAAAAATAATCTATTTCTCATGAGAAATTATGTGATAATCTACCTAAGTGCTATTATTTATTATTATAACATGCTAAATCTAGAGAATATACTGAATAACCTAATTATACATATATTAAAGAGTAATTTTAAAAAGCATTAGGTGATTTAGAGTATATTGACAATATCTCTTTTGATTGGGAGAAATTGCCTGAATTAAAATCTAAGAAATCAAGAAGATCTAATTCATAAAAAAGACCAAATGATAAAAAACCAAGGATTTCTATTACTAAAGAACATTCAATTATTCAAGAATCTAAATAATAATAATATTAATAATAATAATAATAATAATAATAATAATCAATAAATCCATTATAAATAATCTAACAGACTCAACAGAAAAGTCAGGTATCCTTTCTAAATGTGCCTGATCTAGACAGTTAATCTCCAGATAAGTAATCTGGACTTGAAAGAAAAAGCAGAGGGGTATTATATCATTAATCATTCAGTATTTAAGTAGAGGAAGTGCAGGAACTACTAGATTGATGAATTATGATCTTAGTTAAATTGAAGAAGATGAAAATGATGGAGACAATTAAAACCATACTCCATTTATTAATGTAAAGAAATAGAGAAAGGATCTTAAAAGTTTTTCAGTCTTGTCTCAAAATTAAGTATTAAAATTCACTACTTTCTGTAAACAAGCTGGTAAAACAGTTAGAGAATAATAAATCGAAGAAGTCAATTAATTTTATGGTTCTTTTGATAATTTAGATCTTATTGCCAATGATGAAATCAATATCTAGATTCACAATATTGGAGCTTTTTCATTTAAAAAACATTGAATCCACTAATCTTGATATTGTATAAATGAGATATGTATTGATACTATTGTAATATTATTAAACTATTAATCAAACCATCATCAACTTTTTATTTAAAATTAATATATTAATTATAATTTATAATGATATTTTATTGCTGCAGAATGCAATCATAAAGATCCAAATGGAATACTAACAATATGAAACGTACAAATCTATGGTCCACCTAATAAACAGAAACTATTAAAAAAGAAGATCTTTCAGAAGAAGAGGAAGTCTAAGACAATGAGGATGATTAAGAATTGGAATTATTTAAAAAAAGAATGTAGAGTGCTCCTCCAAGATATTACATTATTCGATTAAGCGAAGATGAGGATTAATCATCTTCAAGTCATTAGTTATCATAGGTTGAAGAATAACTTGAAGAATAATAAGAAGACGACGATACAACTAGATTATCAGATGAATCTTCAATCGTTTAAGACTATGATTAAGTACCAGATGATAGACCGAATATAAAACCAAAATCATTGGAACCTTTCTCCTTTAAAAAACCCTATTATAGAACCGACTAATTGTGAGATAACATTTTTTATATTCATGATTATTTTATTTTTTCATCATAAATAAATATACTATGATTTATTGCGTTTCAAGAACCTACTCCAAATCAAATGAAACATAACATCATAAAAACTCATCACTTAGCACCATTAATTCAAAACCTCCAGAAACTAATAATAATTCAATACATGATTTATATGTCTCCAACAATATGATGCTTAGTATGTTAACTGTATCAGGACAAGATTCTAATAATTAATCATAAATCACTTCAAATACTTAAAAAGAAGATAATCAATTCTATTCATATCGATAATCATTACAAAAACAATTATCTGAAAGAAAAATTAAAAGAAACTACGATTTAGAACCAAAAACTAGAGAAAATAACTCAAGACAATCAATTAATATACCTGAATAAACTGAACCATAGTAAAGCTAAAGATAAAGTAGTAGAACTGTGCCAAATCTATTCAAGACATCATAACTTTATACCCAAACCTAAAAATAAATCAATCCATTGTTATTTAATTCTTCTTCAAATGAGATCAGCTTTGGATAATATAAATTTAAAAAAAATGAAATTCTATAGGATGCAAACTCTATTTCAAATGCTCCAGAAGATGATGCCATGATTCATTTACCTATGAAATTTCAACCATTTCAGTTCAAATAATATAAATAATGATGAAATTTATAATTTGTATTAAAAATTCTCATTTATTTTTCATTATTTTTACTTATACATTCATTCATTAAATTAATCTAATTAAATTTGACTTTAAATTTCTTAGTCAATACAACATATTATATTTAAAAATATTAAATAATAGAACATTTAATTCACCATTTTTTCTTTAGGAATCCTGCCACTTTACCAGAGATACCATTATCATCTTATTGATTTTATTATTATTGTCTTTAAGTTAATGAATTCTCACTAAAATATTAATTTACAATAGTACTTAAGCGAAGTTTCAAAAATGTCTTTCATTTCTGTCAAATTCCTTATTAAATCCTAATAGTTTGAACTATAATAATAATATAATAATACTGATCTTTAAATTATTTCATGAACTTTAGAGCATCTTCTAAAGTGTTAAACATCTCTTCAGCCTATTAAATTGGAATCTAAATATTATTCTTCATTGGAATTGATGCTTTATCTTTTTTTACTTATTATGTTTATTCTTCTACTTAAAATTATGTTTTAATTGTTTTAGTATTTGTACTAGATAAACTAGAATCGAAGAAATTTGTAGTAATTGAAGATGAATTACTACTTTAAATTGTTTAAGATGTTGGTTATTATTATTATTATTATTATTATTATTATTATTATTATTATGGTTTTTATTGCTGAGATATTTATTTTGGTTGTAATGGATTTATAAATTATTACTAAGATTAATTTGATTTATCTGGAGAGGTTTCATCTTTGTAGACTAGATCTACATCACCTTTCGTTCTAAATTATGGTTTTTCAGATGTAATCTTTACAACCTTAGCATCTACTCCATCGACTTTATCTGTAATTTAAGCAAAAAAAACAGGATTGAATTGTTTATCTGAATATATAGATGGTTAATTTGATTCATTTTGATCATCTAAATTAGTTGCAGACTTTTGATTCAATAAGATAGCTCTAATATTGATTGCAGACTCAAGAAGAGCTGGTAAATTAGAAACTGGTGGATATTTTAGAAATCTTTAATAACATTAACTTGAATCTTCCATTTCCATTACTATTATATAAAAATATTAATTACTTGGCTATTTAACATATAATATCATTGCAATTGCTATACAATCAACAAAGAACAAAGTTTCTGTTTTTTATTCATAAAAATCATAGAAGATTGCATCCCATGCTTTAAATGATTCTATTAAATGTAATTCTCTTGTAAACATACATCTATTTTAATTTATTATATTTTAATACCTAATCCATTTTAATAAAAATATTTGGAATTCTACTTATAACAATTTAAGATGTCTAAATAAAGGCATCTCAACTTATTTTAATAGAATATCTTATATTTTGGATACTCTTGTTAAAATGGCACTTGGCTTCTTACTTTATAATTTGATCTTTTAAGCCTCAGTATAATTTGGTCTGAACATTTCCATATGTTATGCATCATTCATTAACTTCTAAAATAGTGTGTATATATCAGCCTCAGCATATTCCCATGAATTAAATTCTAGTAATATTTGTTTATCTTCCTCTGTTGCCTTCATTATATATAAATTCATACCCCTTGTATCTTATCAATCTCATCTGAATAAAGAGCTTCTTGGAAATAAACATGAATCAAAGAAGCTGCAACTTCATTCATACCTTATCTATATGAAATTTCACTGTTTTCTTTGCTCCATATAAATAAAACACTAGTCAGAATTTGCAATATTTTTTTATTAGCAAAAAATTAAATTTCTTAATATGTTCTTTCAACATCCTTTCTTATTTCATTTCTTAATTCAGCATCTTCCATTGGATTTTATGTTGCTGTCTTTATTTTTGATCCACCACCTAATGGTCCTCCTAATGGACCACCTAATGGTCCTTTTTTAGATTATTCTTCAATTTTAGTTGTTGATATCACATCTTAAGATCTTGAATACTTTTGTTCTAATTATTTATATGTATCTCTTGTTTTTGTTAACTTACCTATCTTTTCATAGACTGTATCTTCTAAAGAGTAGATTCTATGTTGTTATTATATAATACTTAAAAAACAATCTCCATAAATTGAATCTCTATCCAGTATTGTCTAATTAACAAAATTTGATCAATGTTTCAATATCTGAGATGTCATTGTTGATCATATACTTGTGAAAGCTTTTTACATTAAAATGATGACCACTTGCATTTATAATATGAAATGACATACATAAATTTTTTGAGTTGTGTAATAGCTTCCATAAAAAATAATATTTATTTATATTTATTCTTCATTTTTTTAAACCAAAAATTATACAAATTTCAATATATTTTGATAATTCAATTCTCTTTCTTTTATATTAGAGGAAAGTGTTTATTAAGTACCTAGTTATAATAGTCTTAAATTTAATAGATATGTGATTGCTCTATAATATATAAGTATAAATCCATATATGTATTTGTAATTTTATGAAATATATTAATTATAATAATCCTATTTTTAATTCTATCAAAGTAAAGAAATATATTAATAAAAATAAGATTATTCTTCATTCATTAGATTTAAATGGATCAACAAAATTCATAATTCAGACCAACTTAAGGCGTTTAACCCAATTAAGGTAATTAGATCCAATCACTCAATTTCATATAACATCGTGGAGAAACCAATAATGTAATTTGTTAAACTAGCATAGTAATAAATATCTACTTAAGCTCAACTTGTAATTAATAAAGAACCTTAATTTTAGTAAGGTGGTGGGTAACCTTAGTTTATGTAATAAATTCAGCAATAACAATTTATAAACAATGGTAAGAATTATTTCTATATATATTAGGTAATCCTCCTCTTTAAATTTAATCTATATATAGTACTGAAATAGAAATAAGTATATTAATATAATAATTTAAGAAAATTATTAAACAAAAATTGATGAGAAATAAAAAGAGATTTCTTAATTTTAATAAAATTTGACTGATGTTCAAGTTGAAGTAAATGATTTAAATACATAAATCGAGAATTTGGAATAAGAATTACAATAAATTAATAAAAGTAATAGAAAGTTTGAAGATTAATTGTTTTAATAAAATTATTAAAAAGAAAACGAAAGAGCCCAGTTAAACAAAAATATTAAATTATCAAAAAAGGAAAAATAAAATCTTTAGTTTGAAATAAAATAAAAATAAGACTAATATTTAATATAAGAATAGTTGATTTAAAATAATAATTAGGCAAATGAAATTTAAGCAAAGAATTTAGAAATGTAATAAGAAAAAATAAATCAATTGGAAAAAGAAAATGAAGCATTAGAAAAATAGTTAAGTAGGATATCACTTTAGTAGAAAGATGTAGAATTAATAGATAAATTTGAATCTTTAAAGAAAGAATTATTAGATTTCGATTAGCAAATTCAATAGAGCCAATAACAACTGAAGGAAAAAGAAGAAAAAAAAAAAATACTTAAATAAAACCTTTTTTCCAAAGATTAAACAATTTGTATGATGAGGGAATAAAAAAGGAAGATTGATAAAAAAATCAAAATTAGTTAAGAAGATATTTAGCAATATAAATTAGAAATGAGTAGATAAGAAAACAGTCTTTAAGGAAAAACTAAAATAATAGTATAATAGGAGTAAATACTTCATTAAAGTAAATTGGAATTACCAAATGTTTATTAAAAATTATAAGAGGAAGATCATAAGTTAATTAAATAGATAAAAGATAATTCTATTGAGTCAAAATAATAAGAGAAAACAAATTCTAAAATATTATTGAACCAAAAAAAGAAAGAATAAGCTGATTTATTAGAATCTAATAAATAAACACGAGCCAAATAACTATAGGAATTATAACAAAGGTTTAGAGATAGTCATGGATAACTTGAAATATGTTTTTTAATTGATTGTACAGGGTAATAATAATATTCATAATTTATAGATCTATGGATCCTTATAAAAAACAGGCAGAGTTATGTGTTGAAAAAAGTATGATCTCAGTCAAAAATTAAACTTAAAGAGACACATTATGGTCCCTTATTTGTTATTAGGATAAAGCTGAATTAAAATAATTAGGAATTTATAAATAATTGTAGTTTACTGATCAAACTTAATAAGTCACAGAATTTTTATAAAGAATTAGATGTACAGGAGGAGGTGATGCTCCAGAAGATTTAGATGGAGCTATAAAGCAAATGATAAATAATCTTTAATGGAAAACTAAATTTAAAATTGCCATGCTAATTTGTGATGCTCCATGTCATGGAACAAATTTTCATGATTTTGGAAGAAACTAAGATCATTATCCTGATGATGATTTGACTCAAGCTATTGAATTAATGATTTAGAATGACATATTCTTTATTGGAATAATCTTTACTTCTATTACAAATAAAATGTTTGAAGAGATTAGAAAAATCTATTAAAGACATAATAAACAAGAATATTTCTTCTTATATGATTTAAGAAATGCATAACCTGATAAGATATTTGAATCACTTGTAGGTGTTTTGACAAAAGTATCCTAAACTGCCACTTAAACTAATGTCAGAAACACTAAAGTATAAACTCGTGGTAAAATAGGTATAGAAGTTGCTTCTAAAGAAAATCAAATACCATAAAGTCCTATTGAAATGCTTTGCAAATTATTATTAGAAAAATAACCAAATTTAAATGATTTTGTTAGTGAAACTTTTAGAGTATTTAGAATAGAATTTAGTGATTAAAAATTTAATTAGAAATATTTAGAAATCTAGACTATAGGAGTTGATGATTTCAAGTAAATTGAAGAAGGTTAATGGTCATGTCTAAGATCAAAAGCTCCATTTGCAAAAGGAGCTATGAAATCAGCTTATTTGATGATTAAATAAAATTAAAATGCTGCAAAATAAAAAGAATTTTATGTTTGCAAAACTCCTTTAGATTAAAAGCCATTTAAGACATTTTAAATGGCTGTATAGGAATGTTTAGTACATTTAATAGCATAGAAATGGATGAAGAAATTCAATCGTGATTTAGATGAGGGTATAAAATAAAAAGAAATAAAAAAAAGATATCCATAAGTAATATATTCAGATCTTCTAATATTTTTGGATGTTTAAGGTAAATAATATATTAAAAATAGGAAATTATTGGATTGCTGAGAGATTTTTTGAAGGAGAATTTGTTAAATATAATAATAATTATGGTTATGTAAATTAAGATTAAAGTGATTTAAATAAAATTGGTAATAGTTTTTCTGCATATACTTTTGTTAAGAGTAATTTTAATTATTTGATTTGTGATATTTAAGGTGTAAAGTGTTGTTTTACTGATCCAGCTATATGTACAATGAAAAGTAAATTATTAATTTTAATTTTAATTAGATTATAAGCTTGAACCAACAGATTTAGGTAATGAAGGTATTGCATAATTCTCAGTTTCATTCAATTTAGTGAAAAACACATGTTAAGAGATTTTGTAAATTTTAGAAATTAATATTTGAATAATTCAGTTGTTGATATATATAATATATATATATATATTTTCGAAATTACAACATCTTTTATAATCATGAATATTCAATAAAATTATAAATTAATAAGTAAATGAATAAATTCCTTTTAACTTTCAAAGACAAAAAGATAGAAAAGGACTATTAAGATAATAAATTAAATACTCTATAAAAACCTATTTTCTATTGGCTTCTTGCAATGTCATTTGCTTTAAATTTATTTAAAATGATTTTAGACTATACCTATTATTCAGTAAATAATAAAAGTTGGATGAATTTAGGCTTTGTATTACTAGTCATTGTTGAACTAATTTTAGTCTGTTATAAAAAGTAATATATAAAGTATGCATTAATTATTTCAAACCTTTCAGCTGGATTACTATAAATTAATTTTGATGAAAATAACACTTTTCCTTAAGAATATTATTCATATGGAAGTTATTATGCCATGCTATCAGTAGTTGTTTATTTTATGAGTGATTTTCCATACAGTCTTTTTTAGGTAATTATTCATTTGAGTATGAAAATCTGTTTTACAACAATTAAGAGTCATCGAATAGATATGTTAGGAATAATTTTGGGACTTATAACAAATGTATTTTTAGTATTAACATTATATATTTGTGATTGGAATTCTAGAAGATAATTTTTACTTAATTTGAGAGAAGTAAGATGGGAAGAGTCATTACCAATAATAGTAAAGAAACCTTATTATTTATTTACTTATAAAGATAAAAATATGTCATTTTAAGTCAATAGATCATATAATCATGAATTCTTTCCTTATTATAATTAAGATGATTGTTGTGGGTGTAATTTTAGGCATTTTTTAAGAAAGTGCAAAGTAGAAAATAATAATTTAGAAATTTATTTATTTGATAAAAGAAATGAAAACTTAGACTTTGATTTAGTATATAAAAATAAGAGTCATAAATTTGATATAAGGGTATGTTCTATTGGATTAGATTAAGTTAATTATCTTATTATATTGGAGAAACTCAAATTGTTAACATAAAATTATATTCCAAAATAAACGAATCTTCGTCAAAAAATATTTCAAATTAAAAAGACTCAAATAAAGTATTAACACTAAAGACACTTTTTATTGGGTGTATTTTCAATGTTTCTTTATAATAACAAAGAAATTACTTCAATAAATTTAGTTGACATTCTTTAAAAATTTAGTAGTAGATATTTTATCATCTCTAAATAAAGAATATAGATTGTTTTTTCAGATAGATCAATTTATTAATTAATTACATATAAACATTAATTAATAATATATTTAATTTAACTATTCGATTGTTTAATCAATAATTAGATGGATCCACATTCAGGGATTAAATTGCTATTAAATTAAGGTTTATACATAATTAGATTAAGAATTTTTATGACTAATAGATTAAAATTTCAAGAACAATACAAAGAGAATTTCTTCATCTAAGAAATAGAAAGAAATATTTTATCAGAAGAAATTGATGAAAGATTGGAAATAAGTTTCTTAAAAAAAGTGAAAAGTTCTGAAACTTCAAATTGATTTTATAGATTCATTGATTATACTTTCTATTATTTATTAAAAAATATATTTAGTTTGAAACTTATTTTATTAAAAGGAATAAAAATATTAATATTAATAATAATAATTAAAAGCAATTGTAAATATAATTCAAATAATATCAATCAGTAATTTTCAGATTAATTATCTTATTGTCTGAATGACTCACTATAAAGATTTCTTTAATTTAGTAAATTAAGTCGAGGTCTATTCTTTTTTAGATCTGGAGATAAGCATCTCTCCTCTGCAAAAGATTAAGCTCTTATTCTTTAATTAGTTAAAAAATCAAAACACTACTAATCTACTGTTACTTATTTTTGATTCTAACTAACTTTATCTAATTAGAGTCGTCTTATTCTTATCAATGGAGATATATCATTTACTAAGTATTGTTGATTATAGGAAAACTTTAAGGATTCAGGCTAAAAAGATGTATTTTCAACATTTTATTTAGAATTGTTTGAGATTCTAAATTATTTTTATGGCGATTTGGTTTCCAACCTAATACCATGTATTCCTTGCTCTAAAGAGAAACAATATTGTTAAGTAAGTTATTTTGGTAATTAGATTTTTCTTAGATTATCATTTGCAAATAATTTATTATTGAGACATTCTTCACCTCTTTTTGAATTTAATTTTTTAGAATTACGTTTTATTGCAGTTCCAAAAAACCCTTGATGATTCATTTAAGTATTTAAGGATTTATTTATTAATAATTAGTTGAATTGATAATTATTATGATAACATTAATTTATAATTAATGGATTAATAATTAAGAAAAAAGTTAAAGAAGCAATAGGTCTAGAAGATTTAATTTCATTAATTAAATGAATTTGCTGGGTTTTAGGTTGCAAAAGACATCTATCCATCAGATTCAGAACCTTATAGGAGAAAACCTTAATAATTGACATAATAGCAAGTATAACATCGACAACAATTATACATGAAATCCAAATTTTAATTCGTCTTACTTGAACAACCTATCAGTAAAAAGAGACATTCTATATTATCAAAGAAGAAGTTAGGTGGGATGATGTGTATTAAGTAATTTACACGACAACTTAAGATATTACTTGTCCTATTTGTATAAGTGATCATGACATTATAATACCTTATATTACACCATGCGGTCATATTTATTGTCTTCCATGTTATCAAAGACATAAACTTTAATGTAAATAATAATTCTTTAATAATATAGCAAAATTTAATTAAAAATGCCCTCTTTGTGGTGAATTGGCAGTAATGACTGAATTGAAATCTGTTAAAATTATCAAGCACAAAATTAAAAATCCTGGAGATTCTGTACTTTTAAATCAAATTAAAAGATATAAAAATGACACAGAATTGTATATTGATGGTAAAGAATCAGAAGTTTATGCAAGAACTCTAATCGCAAATGAATCCTATATATTGAACATTTTTTAAGAAGAAATTTTATAGCTTCAAAAGTAAATGACATTCACTATTTCAGTTATTTAGAATTATGTGAAACTGAAATTTAAGAGCCAACTTAACAATCTATTTAATTTCTCTTAGAAAGATAAGATAAGTTACCAAAAAAGAACCTAAATCTTTAACCTGAAATCGTACTTAAATCATTCCCTCAAAAATAAAATGAAGTTATTTATAGATTTTTTTAAGACTCAAATGGTCTTCTAGGCTTTTTACATCCTATATGTAATAAATATATTACTCTTTAATATGGAAATGATCATCTTCCCTAAAAAATTGGATCATTCTTAATATAAAAAGATTAATTTACTTAGAATGCTCAAATATAAGCTAAATATAAGTATATTATATTTATTATCTAAGATTTCTTTCTCATATCCCATTGCATACTGAAATCTATTTTTATGAAATTGATTTAAAAGCTATCTTAAATCAAGAAAATCTTAAGGATTATTAAAGAGAAGTATATAATAAACAAAATTTTAGATATAAGAATTTAGAGAAAAGTAGAGAAAAGAGAGATTAAGATAAGAGGAAAAATATAATTAAATATAAGCTTAATAAATTTAAAAATAATATTCAATTGAAAATGGAGGTGAGTATTATTATGAAAACTTGTAAGTTGATGAATTTTAATTTGTTGAATAAGATTTTCCAGAATTGCCAAGTGTTAAAAATATAAGCTAATAATAAAATGATATAGAAGATAAAAGAGAAATAGATTAATAATAATAACAATAATAATAACAATAATAATAATAATAATAATAATAATAATAATAATAATAATAATAATAATAATAATAATAATAATAATATAAAGAAATTAATCTAGATTTAGAATCTTAATTTCCAAGTTTAAATGAAGAATGTTCTTAAATAAAAGTTAATCCATTTTCAAAAACTTGGGGTTAATAATAATAAAAAGTAGAATAAAAAGTTGAAACCGAGCAATTGATTAAGAAAGAAGCTACAAATCAAGTAAAATTAAGTGATTTAGATTTTCCTGTCATTGTTAAACAAAAAAATAAAAAAAAGAAACAAAATTAGAAAGAGTGAAATATATATATATATTAATATTTATTAAAATAATGTAATAAGGACTAGCTTAAAAAAGATTATTGATGGATTTTAAGAAAATTTAATAAGAAAATTAGGAAGATTTCATGGCCTCTCCTTAAGAAAATGATATTTTTCATTGGGAAGCTGTGATTTTTGGGTATTTGTTTAAATATGATTATAAGACCAGAATAAACACCTTGGGAAGGAGGATGTTTTGAATTAAAATTAGCTTTTACAAATGATTATCCTACAAAACCACCTGAAGTTAAATTTGCTCCACCTATTTATCATCCTAATGTCTATCCAGATGGAAGAATATGCTTAGATATTTTGAAGGAACAATGGACTCCAATCTTAGATGTTTGGGCAATATTAACATCTATTAGATCTCTCTTGTGTGATCCAAATCCTAACTCACCTGCAAACCCAGAAGCAGCTAAAGTAAAAAAGATTTTAAAATATAGCTATATATGTCAGACCGAGCCGAATATTATAGAAGAGTAAAAGAATAAGTTGAGAAAACATTAAATGGCATTGAAGAAGAAAAATGATTAGATAATTTATTAACACATCTATATCAGATGGCAAACCAACCATTTCTAAGAAGCTATCTTAGAGACCATGCATTTCTTTGACTTATGTCTTGAGTTTCATCATAGGAAGTCTTCCAAGTCCAATAGGTCCAACCTCCTTTTGCAGATGTGATAGTGTCTCTGTATTTATTTCCAAAAGATCTGAAGCTTTCTTCACTAGCAAAAGGTGCATTATCAGTAGTTGCTATACTCCATTCTCCAATAAATATTGGATTTCCTTTCCAAATATCAAGTTAATGTTGAACTCCTGGGATTCCAATATTCAATATTTAGTCTTCATTCATATCCTCATAACCCCAAATCAAATACTTATGCCATTCTTACCATACATGAGTTTCTTTCAAAGCAAAATCATTGAAATGATCTGGATCTTATTCATAAAGTAATGGAGCAACAGTAAGAATGCAATCATTTCCTGTGGCTCTGATTTCTGAAATAGCAGTAAGGTAATATTATTTAAGAGTGGCTTCATCAGTTGTTCCTGAAGGTTCATTTAGTAATCCAACTCCTAAAAAGGCTATTTCTTATTTGTATCTTTCTGCCAAAAATACAGCAAGATCAACTGTATTTCTGACATTTTCAGGATACAAGGCCCAATAAGATTGACCAGGAACAGGGGGAGCACTATGATCCAAACCATTTTATGATCCTTTTGCAGCATGTATCTGAACAAGAACTGCAACATTATGCTTTACAGCCCAATTTTTAATTAATTAGTCTAAATACTTGAGTCCATTGGGTGCAAATACTTTCCAATCTGATCCACCTGTTTTATCAAATCCAGCTATCCAAAAACCTATGGAGACTCTAACAGTATTAATTCCATATGATGCCAATTCTGCAATGTCTTATTCTGTGATCCATTATGATCTATGCTTTTCAAATCTGTCATCCCCAACATTATGACCCAAATAGGACATTAATCCATATTCACCATAACCATGATAATACTCTGGGACTCCTTCCCAAATCACAGAGCTTGATGTCATCCAATGTTCTACTACAAGCCATCCACCTAAATTTACTCCTTTGCTCTTTACTTTCCCTGATCTAATATCTGGTTAGATATGAGAAAATACAAGTGTCATCATCAAACATAGAAATATGATTCTCATAAATTTATAAAAATATTTATACACAAATATGGCAGAATTAGATGACAATTATAATCCTTGGGATTTAGAAAGCGATGACTATCGTATGCCAGGTTAGGTTATTATAAATTATAATTCACATCACAATGAACCACAACCAGTATCTAATTATATTTATACTATGCTAAAAACCCAGACTGTTCGGTTGAAAATTAGAGTAGATCCTCTGACACTGGAAATTATTACAGTAATGCTCCACTTGTAACAAATAACCATTTTAAATATTATTCAGTTTACTGAAAAACCAAAGTGTACTCCCCTTGTTAAGAAAGAAATCATTGAATTAGAGGAAGAAGAAGCCAGAAAAATGGGAAGTCCTTCAAGTCATGAAGCCATCTCATTATAAACACCTAAAAGTGTCCGAAGTCAATAACCCCATAAAACAAAGGCAGTTGAAAAAATTAGAGCACGTCTATCAAAACCCTAAATACTTAGTAAAAACTAAATTAGTCAAAGACAATTGTAATAATTTATAGATGGATGGGGTTTTTCATTGTTGATGGCATTTGTGACTATCTATGCATTATTTGGAGATGATATTAGAATATTATCTGTGAATAAAGATGGAGATGAGTATTTCTTTATTTTGACTACAATTTGCATTGTGTGTTTTACCATTGAGATTGTATTAACTTGCATAGCCAATCCAGCCTATCTATTTAATGTATTTAAATTTTAATAAGAATAGTTTTACTTTTGGCTTGATTTGATCTCTACCGCAACAATGATACTAGACATCGGTTGGATTACAGATCGTTGGTATGGTGATGAAGGAGATGTTTAAAATGCTGCTACTCTCAAAGCCTTAGGAAAAGCGTCTAGAACAGCAAGAAAAGCAGCAAGAGTCATACGAATTATAAGACTAGTTAGATTGATTAAATTATATAAACATGCAAGATTACAAATGGAAAAAGAAAAACAAAAAAAAATTCTTTAAGAATTGTTATTGAAAGATGAACACAAAATCAATTCATCATAATAATAATAATAATAATAATAGTAATAATAACAGCAGAACAAAAAAAAATCAAATTATTTAATTAGAATTTCAATATTATAGTAGAATCGTTAAAAGAAACCAAAATCAGAAGATTTGATTTAATAATTCCCTTATATTAATAAAAGTTAACATTCCAGATCCCAATCTTAACATGATCAAAATAGTAGTAATAATGAATAATAACAATTAAAATAATCTAATCTCTCATAAAGTGATTAAATTAAAGAATCTCATGTGGGATCCCAATTATAGGATCTAGTAATGAGAAGAGTCATTACTATTATTATTGCAATTTTAATAAGTATACCAATTCTTACTTTGGATACTTATTCAGAAATTATTAATAGCTATGACTCTGGAATTTTTAGAATTAGTTAATTTAGAAAGAATTTGTCAATAACAGATATGTTAATCTAGCAATATGTCTAATTTCATAATCATGAAATATACCCTATTCAATCAGTCTTAGTACTTCAAGATGATTTAAATAAGATATATACTGAATATAATTATACTACAAACCCTGATTGGTTTTAACATACAGAATTGTTCAAAAGCCAATATCGATTTTCAGATCAATAATACTTTGTAACAACTGATACTGATAATTAATTGATCACGTATTCTGTTTCAGATTTGGTCGAATATAATAAAATTAATGCTATATTATCTATTTTTTAAACAGTGTTTGTTTGTATAGTATTGGCATTAAGTGCTGTTTTGTTTAATAAGGATGTTACAGAATTAATAATTGAACCTATAGAAACTATGATTTAAAAGATAGAATTAATAGCTAATAATCCATTGGAGGCTGTAAATATTGAAGAACAGGAAGATCTCATTACATAAGAATTAGAAAAAAATAAAGATTTTTAAAAAATTAAACAAAGGCAAATTGAATAGACTACTGAAACCTATTTGTTGCAAAAACTAATAATGAAAATAGGAGCACTATTGGCTGTTGGTTTTGGAGAAGCTGGATCAGAAATTATAGCAGAAAATATCAAAAAGGGTGGAAGTGTTGATCCTATGATACCTGGAAAAAGAGTGCTTGCCATTTTTGGTTTTTGTGACATTCGTAATTTTACAGATGCCACTGAAGTATTATAAGAAGATGTTATGGTTTTTGTTAATGAAATAGCAGAAATTGTCCATTTTACAGTTGATAGTTATGGTGGATCAGTTAATAAAAATATTGGAGATGCTTTTCTCTTAGTATGGAAGTATCCTGATATGAAATATCATGTAGATCCATAAACAAATAAGTTAATTTTACATAATGATAATAATGTTAAACAAATAGGAGATATGGCAGTTTTATCATTCTTAAAAATCATTATTTCCGTATCTCTTTCAAAAAAATTGGAAAAATATAAAAGGCATGATGGACTCAATGCCAGAATTAAAGATTATTGTGTTCGAATGGGATTTGGTTTGCATTTGGGGTGGGGTATAGAAGGTGCAATAGGATCATCTTTTAAAATTGATGCTTCATATTTAAGTCCAAATGTAAATATGGCATCTAGATTAGAAGCTGCAACTAAATAATTTGGTACAAATATTCTAATAAGTGGAATTTTAAAGAGAAACTTGACACAAAGTTGTTAAAATCATATAAGATTAATTGATATTGTAACAGTCAAGGGAAGTATTGAGCCAGTAGAATTATACACTGTAGATTTATCAATAAAAAATTTATTAAATAAATTTAAGGAGCCAAGGGATATTTTTGATATTAGTAGAATGAATCCAAGGGAATAAAAATAATTTAGAGTTGTTAATAGATATAAGAGAAATCTTTTAATTAAAAGTGTGGAAAATGATAAGATTCAACTAGCAGCACTTTTTGAAAAAGATGAGGATCTAATTATAGCTCGAGAACCATATTCTTAAGTATTAAAATCATTTTTAATAGGAATTCTATGACACATGGATTTCAGGATTTAATTATTATATCAGAGGAGAATGGGATGAAGCCTAATAGATATTCATGAAAACATTAGTAAAATTAACGAAATAATTAAGACTATGATACCTGAACATAAAGATGGTCCATCTAATACATTATTGGAAGTTATACATTCAGCAGGGGGTAGAGCCCCTAATGATTGGAAGGGATTTAGAGAGCTGACAGAAAAGTGACTTTATTTTTTAATAATTACTAACATTTAGGTTAAGATATCAATATGTTAATCTTAAAAAATATTTTAGAAGAATTCATATCAATCAAATTCAATATCTATTGATTTTAATAACTATTGGCATATGTCCTTTCTCAGTTATAAAGTTGATAAATAATTTGATATTCCATCTTCTCCAACATCTGTTTCATCAAAATTACCTAAGATTATTTATTTATTATATACCTTTGATAGTATTAATGGCTGGATCAGTAAAGTAATTATCAACACCTTAAATATCATTAATAATATAATTAAATTAGCTAAATTAATAAGTAAAGTAGGAGAAGGCCTAGGAGATAGCATTCAATTCACTATTTTCTTCACATATATAACCATCATTATTGTTATATTTTTTAAAGTTTCCTTAGAAGAATCTTTCTGCAATCCAATATTTTTCTAAATTATAATAAATATTACTCTTGTTTTCTTCCAATATTAAGAAATCTGTATATTAAACCATCATAATTTTATCATTTTGACTTCTAAGTTTTTCCATAAAAATTTTCATCATATTTTTAGCAATTAAGTGTGATCGACAATCATTAACAGCATCTTATAAGGAATTGTAAGTCCCTTATTCAATTGGAATTTTAACAACATAAATTTCTTCAGTATTATTTTTTTTTTTCATTAGAAAAACCTTCTTCATCATTCCTAAGGCAAAAGGATTTTTTGTTCTAATACATTGCCATTAAGCTTATTCTATTAAATCAAAATCTGATTCTTCAAATTTAATTAATTGAATATTTTCTATTTTGTTTTTTAATGATGCTTATTTAAGTTCAACTGTATACACCTTGCAATTAAAATCCTCACATTAAACTTAAGATTAAAAATTAGCAATATCTCCCCTTTTACATAATGCTTGTAATGCTCCATCTGTACAATCTTTAGCTCTTTATACAGTTTCTTCAAATTTTTTCTAATCTTCTATTGCATCTTCAATTGAAATTTCAGGCAAATCTCCTTTTTAATTTTACCCTTCTTTTTATAAATCTTTATTTAACATAATTACTTCCTCTTTTAATTTTTTCATGTCATTTAAACCTTCTTCAAAATTTTACATTCTTATTTATTAATTGACTTTAGTTTTGGTCGTTTGATTTACAATACCTGTAATAAAAGAAGCCATTATTTATATATTTAGAACAAGATCATGATCAGAGTTTGGTAAATCAAATCCTTTTACTGAAAGTGTTTTAAATAAATGAGAACTTTCAAGATTAGAATATATTATTTCTAATTAACTACACATCACATTTGTATCTTCATTAAATCTTATTATTAATAATAAAATTCCTCTTTTAATTATTTCTTTGATTATACTTTCCATATCATCATCGGGCTTAGTATCATAATTAACTGACCAAAAACCAAAAAACTTAGAATATTTTTTGGGATGATGGTATTTTTTTCCATGACAGGGTGAATTAGGTATTAAAATAGCAAGCTTGTGTTGTTCGGTCCAGTTTAAAGTAAGCATTTCTTGAAGGGCACTTTTTAAGTCTTCTGGTTAATCTTTCTGATCTTAGGATAATTTTTATTTATTTAAGAATTATGATAACTCCTCTGATGACTTAGTAAATTATTAACTTTTTATTTATAACCCAGACTTTGTATAGCCATAAGCAACTATTCCCCAAACAGAGTCTCTATTTGTTGTCATTTTAACAGATGTGCAACAAGTTTGAGTAGCCTTTATGATTGCCTTCCTTGTTTTTTCATTTGATCTAAATATCTATTAAAATAATTTACTTAAATATATCCATTACAAAACAACACTATATTTTTCCAACTTTACTTAAAAGTTCATTAGTTTTTTTTTTTCCCATTTCATTTAGTAACTTTTATTATTATTAATCCTATTTTCTTTTTTGTAATAATTTCTCTTACTCTTCTTTCATTTAAGTTTATAATAACTATTTTTTATTATCTTAGTGTTATTGTAATGATTTTAAATATTCTAAGTTTTCCTTTTTACTAACCTCTGAACTTTATAACAACATCTATTCTATCTTTATATTCAACTCTTTTGTCTATTATTCAAAGAATAATGATCTGTCTTTAAGCACTTTATTTTCAATTTAAAGCATCTCAAAATTTGTTTCAAGTTTTTTCTTATCATTTACAATCTTATCTATTCTTTCTTCCAAATCCTTATTTTTTTTAGTTAACTAGTCTATTTTTGTATCATATTCTGCAAATTATTTAGAATTATCTTCAGAATATTATTAATCTTTAATTTATTGGCTCTTGACCTAATTTAAGATCTCAATCTATTAATTTAGTTATTAAATTTATATTTCTTGTCTATTGATTAATTTTTTTTATTAATCAGTTTAATTTTTTAAATTACAATTCTCATTATTATATATTTAATTTTACTTTTCATTTTAAGTATTGATTTTATCTAAAGAATATATTTATTACTCTAAATTAGTCTTCTAATTTATTAAAGAATTAATTTCATTCTAATTTTTTTTTTTTATTTCTTCATTTTATCTCTCCTTTTCCTCAAGCTATTAAATTTTTATTTAAAACTCAGATATTTATTAAGTCAATTATAATTTGTCATCATTAAATTGTATTTTCGAACTTTCTAATTTTCTTTTTAATTCTCTCTCTAATCTCCCCAACTCCTCTTTATTTTTTTCAGATTCTCTACTAAAATTCTCTGTAAGATCATTTATTTAAGTCTAAAATTTTTTAATTTCATCATTTTTTTTTTTTAATTCTTTTTATAATTTCTAGATCTCCTCATCATTATTTTTAGCTATGTTTTGTTGAATCATCTATTAAGGAAATTAACCTTAATTATAAAGATTTTGAGATTAAGGAAATGCTAACGTTATAGGGTTGGTACCTTAAGAAGAAATTGCATTACTCATTCCTGGATGAGGACCCATTCCTACTGGAGGAATCATTCCTGGATGAGGAGGACCCATTCCTGGAAGTGGAGGACCCATTCCTAGAGGAGGAATCATTCCTGAAGGAGGCGGACCCATTCCTGGAGTTGATATCATTCCTGCAGAAAGAGAACCTATTAATTGAGGAGGAGGGCCCATTCCTAATGGAGGAATCATTCCTGGATGAAGAAAACCACTTCCTGCAGAAGAAGGACCCATTCCTGGACCAATTTTCAACATTCCTTGGGTCATCCCAGGACCTGGTCCATAATTAGGTTAAAATTAGAATTAATTTATCTATCCAGGAGATTAAGGAGGGTTTTAAGGCTAATATGAGAAAACTTTTTACAAATTGATTATTAAGAACTTGGTTTTGATTTTATTGTTTTTATAATAATACTTCTTGATTTTATCCTTAAGGTTCATTGTTTTGGAGATTCTTAAATATATATATTTTTTACTAATGTATCCAGTGTCTATTGATTCATTTGTAAATCTATTACGATTTTAAATTAATAAATATATAAATTAATTAACTCTATTAAATTTTTGAATATATTATGAAATATTTTAATTATAAATTCTTAAATAATTATGATTTATAAATATTCCTTAAAATTAAAAGGATTTATATTAATTTATATTTGATAGAGGATCAATCAAATTAAAATCAATTGAAAATAAATATAAAATGCAGGAATAAGTTGTTTAGAATAAGTTGTAAAAATGGATGAAGAATGCATCTTAATAGAAAATGAATAAAATTACTGAGAGTAAGAAATATAATAAAGATACTGAAAAGAAAACATTAATAAATGCAGAAGAATTTATGATAGAACTTGATATACTAGATTAAAAATAAGAAAGGTTATTGAAAATTCCTAAGGGTTCAATTAATAAAGTAAACAAAAAAGATTAGTGTAAGATTAAAGAGAAGAGGAAAGAAAAATTTTTTTTTTAAGACATAGTTAAAGAAGTTGGTAAATAAAATAAAATGAATAATAAAAATTAAGATTAGGAATAAGAAAAATATTAAGAGGATGAAATTAATTAAGAGGAATAAAAATAAGAAAAAGAAAATAAAATAAAAAATGATAGTTGTTGGATTGATAAAAGGAAAAAGGATTGTTAAGATTTATCAAATATTTAAAAGACTTCTAAAATAATGATTATATAGGATGATTCAGATGAAAAATAAACTGAAAATACAAATCAAGTTATATTGGATAACAATTAAATAAAAAAGGATAGTTAAAATGATAAAATTGATTAGTTTAATGAAATAAAATAAGGAAATATTATTGAGGAATAGTTAGTTTAAAAATTAGAATCTTAACGTTAGTAATATGAGAATTAACTTATGAAAATGAATTAATAAAAGCATCCAAAAATTTAGATTTAATAGAATGTTAATCTTAAATAAGATAAGAAAATGCCAATAATGATAGTAGATGCTTTTATGTAAACAGATGATACTAGTGATATATATGGTTAAGAAATTCTCAATTTAATTTTATTAGAATAAAATACAGTATATTAATTGAGTTAACTTCATGAGAAGATTTTAAAGCTTCTTAATAATTAGATTTGATTTATATAATTTTGGTTTAATATTTAAGTATTTTATTTGATAAAAATTCTAAAATTTTATTTGCTTTATTTATTAAATTAAGTAATGATAATTTTTGTTTACTATAACAAGAAAAAGATTAAGATTGTTTTATCTTAACCTTCTTTATAGTTGCTCTATAAGTTTGTTTAAGAAAATTTAAAAGTAAATAAAAAAACCATAAACTAAAGTTACCATTTGACTTTGAACTTAGAGACAACATGAATAAAATTGTATTTGATTTATATGATGGATTAGAATTAAATGTATGTGAAGTTATTACAATAAATTAATAAATGAAATCAAAAACAGTTAATGATTAATAATCTTTTAGATAAGGTAGAGAAAGAATTCATTCATTAAATTTACTAAGTTCATAAAAGAAATCATATTCAGATTTTTCATCTCCAAATGACTAAACTCAAATTTAATAAAATAAAAGGGAATAAATAATTTAAAAAATGATGGAAGATAAATTATATAGAGAAGAACAACAGAAATTAAACAATGAAGGAAATAAACTTATTAAGTAGATATAGAAAAGAATAAAGTTAAGGGAATAAGTTATTAAATTGAAAGATGAAGCATTAAATCTTTCAGAATTAGAAAAAAAGAAGGTATATACATTATAGTAAAATTAAAGATAATATTGGCATAGAAAAGAGAACTAAGTTAACCAATTAGATTAGATATGTTGACTGAGCATCAAAAAAAATATGAAGAAGAAAAATTTCAAAAATTATAATAAAGACAATAATAAAAATAAGAACAAGAAGAAGAATTCAAAATGAAGTTAATTAAGTTTCCAAAAAGTTAAACCCTTGTTCGTCTTGAAGAGGAATAAGCTAAATTAAAGCTATCTCAATAATAAGCAGCAGAACAAAAAAAATTATTGAAATAAAAATAATTAAGATATGGAGAATCTGTAAAAGATAGTTTCCTTAAAGATATAGCTAGACATTCTATTTCACCAATTAAATAAACATAAGAATAAAATAGCATATAGAAAACTCAATTAGATATTGCTAAATAAAACATAAAAAAATTATAAAGTTTATTGGGAGAAAAGAAAGTAGATAAAATATTGATTCTACCTGAAAGAAGAAGTGTGAATGATATTAGATAAAGAGGATAAAATTCTTTAATTGAAATGAAAAGAAGTGATAAAATTGAACATTTAGATAAACCATATACAACAGATCATAAAAATTTAATATCAAAGAGAAAAATGTTAAAATCTGGACTCAATTCTGCAAACTTTCCTTCAACTTTGAATGATAATAAACCAATCCATTTTGAAGAAAAGTATTAAAATGTCTTGAAATCCATTATGGAATTAGAATAAAAATGTAAGGAAAGAGAAAAAAGATTTATGCTTAATAAATCTCAATAATTAGAAGAGGAAGAAAATGAAAAGTATATTGAAAAATTAAGATAAAAATTAGCTTTGATTTGAATAATATAATTAATTCTATTTTTCCTTAAATTTTTATTTTCATATATATTTATATATATTATAAATAATAAACCAATCCTATAAAACCTAAAATGCTAAGTAAATATCGTTGTCGGCCATACTAAGCCTAAAGCACCGGATCCCATTCGAACTCCGAAGTTAAGCGGCTTAAGGCGAGGTTAGTACTAAGGTGGGGGACCGCTTGGGAAGTCCTCGTGTTGACAACCCTTTTTTTATTTTTTAATTATTATTATTATTCAAGAAATTAATTATTTTTAATTAAGTATTTTATAATGTCTTTTTGAATTATTGATTTTTTTAATAATATAGAACTTTTAATTAAATATTAAATTTTAATCCTTTACATAAAATAATATTTGTTTATCTAGATTAAATAATATAAGTTTGAACATAACCAGTCTAATAAAATTTGAAAAAGATAAAGCAAATTTTAATTTGTATAAATAACTTTCAGTTTCAGTTTCAGCATAAGCTTGACCCTAAAAGCATCAAAATATCACTTTTGGATGATGATTTATTAAAATATTCAAAATAATCTATATTATAAATTCTAATTTTGACAAATAAATAAAACAATGAATTAAGATATATTAAAATATTATCTATATCTTAACAATTTACAAATTCTTTTTTTAATCTTATGGTTAATCTAAAATATCATTAAAGAATTTCACTATTTTAATAGATCATAGCATTTTAAAGCTTTTTTTTCATTACTGATTGCTTATAGTAGTTTTATTATAATAATTTTCTTTTCTTTATTAATATCAAATTAATTTATAACTATCTTAAATAACCTTTTCAAATACTTAGATTTGCTAAAAAATCGGATTATATTTGAACAGTTTTAATTAATTAGATATTTTGAATCTCTTTAGTAAATAATGTATTGGGAAGGTTTTAATTTATTCTTACTATTTACATAAAGTAATAAGTAAGGATTTATAAATTAATTAAATGAAATTTATAATTACCCCTTTGTCTAATTCTGTAATAACATTAAAACATTATAATTACTAGAAATTCATATTTTTCACCTATCTCATTTTCCTAAATTTTAAGTTAATAAACATATAATTGTTGTCATGAAAAGCATAAAGGATTTAAAAAATCCATATATTTATTGATATACTTTGAATATAAAATAAGGTTGGTGGATTATTTAATATACTTTAAAAAGACTTGAAANGTAAATATCGTTGTCGGCCATACTAAGCCTAAAGCACCGGATCCCATTCGAACTCCGAAGTTAAGCGGCTTAAGGCGAGGTTAGTACTAAGGTGGGGGACCGCTTGGGAAGTCCTCGTGTTGACAACCCTTTTTTAATTTTTTAATTATTATTATTATTCAAGAAATTAATTATTTTTAATTAAGTATTTTATAATGTCTTTTTGAATTATTGATTTTTTTAATAATATAGAACTTTTAATTAAATATTAAATTTTAATCCTTTACATAAAATAATATTTGTTTATCTAGATTAAATAATATAAGTTTGAACATAACCAGTCTAATAAAATTTGAAAAAGATAAAGCAAATTTTAATTTGTATAAATAACTTTCAGTTTCAGTTTCAGCATAAGCTTGACCCTAAAAGCATCAAAATATCACTTTTGGATGATGATTTATTAAAATATTCAAAATAATCTATATTATAAATTCTAATTTTGACAAATAAATAAAACAATGAATTAAGATATATTAAAATATTATCTATATCTTAACAATTTACAAATTCTTTTTTTAATCTTATGGTTAATCTAAAATATCATTAAAGAATTTCACTATTTTAATAGATCATAGCATTTTAAAGCTTTTTTTTCATTACTGATTGCTTATAGTAGTTTTATTATAATAATTTTCTTTTCTTTATTAATATCAAATTAATTTATAACTATCTTAAATAACCTTTTCAAATACTTAGATTTGCTAAAAAATCGGATTATATTTGAACAGTTTTAATTAATTAGATATTTTGAATCTCTTTAGTAAATAATGTATTGGGAAGGTTTTAATTTATTCTTACTATTTACATAAAGTAATAAGTAAGGATTTATAAATTAATTAAATGAAATTTATAATTACCCCTTTGTCTAATTCTGTAATAACATTAAAACATTATAATTACTAGAAATTCATATTTTTCACCTATCTCATTTTCCTAAATTTTAAGTTAATAAACATATAATTGTTGTCATGAAAAGCATAAAGGATTTAAAAAATCCATATATTTATTGATATACTTTGAATATAAAATAAGGTTGGTGGATTATTTAATATACTTTAAAAAGACTTGAAAAAATGAATTTAATAGATAAGACTAATTGAATATCAAATAACTTCATGATATGATATTCTCATATAAGGGATGGTTAAATACTAATGAGATATACTCATTTGATGTTTATTTTTTTGTTTTTGGTTACTATTTAAATTTGCAATATATCTAATCCTGTAAATTATTTATAATTATCATATGGGAATTCTCTTAATTCCTAATAAATATTATATCCTTTTATTGATTATAACATAACTTCTTAAAATGTCTACAGAGATTTATTTTGATTAGTTTTTAGAATAGTTTTTAGATATTGATCTATCATTTTAACTTAATATTACTCTCTTAATATTAATAACTCATCATTAAAAGAATGATCATTCATAATTACATGAAAAAATAGGCTTATTATGGATGTATCTAATTAAGAAGAGTAAAAAAAGATCTTGATTACTAGATTTAGAGAATATTAGTTATTCTATTTAATTAATCACTCTATTAGATTTCAATTTAATCAAATCTAACAATAGTATTGTTTGAATTGATTTCAGTAGAAATCATAATATATAAATTAATTTATGAAGTACTCAATATAAGGAAGGTATATTCTATACAAAGATCAGTTGATTAATGGATATTTATGCATTGAGGATAGATTAATCAAACATATTTTAGAGTCATATGACGAATTGATAATATAATAATACCCTATAAAATATGTCTACGAGAATCAGATTATTATGGCAGCTGCTATTGATACTAATGTTTCACTTAGTATATGGGATCATATTGAAGACTTCACTAAGTAAGAGTTTCTTTGAATAGATTGGCTATCATAGGTGGAGTTTCTCTTATTATTAACAAACCTTATATATTTGATATGGATTTGGATTCTAAGGAGACATATATAAATTAGATTGAACAAATGAACTTAAAGTCTTAGACTGATTTTATTCAAATGGCCAAGTTACAGAATTATTAAGATGTACTTAATTATTATTTACAATATCAAGATAAATGATTTATTGAAATTGGGAGCATTTTGTTTTGATTGTCATTTAGTACCATCATATGCAGGAACATATTGCAAAGACAATGAACAAATAATTTAAATAATTTAAAATCTACCAAGTAAATCATGCTTGTTTATCCACACTTAAAGTGCTTTAGATAAAGATTTAGGAATAACATCTCCATTTAGAAGTAAACCTTTTAATGAGAGATTAATAATTTCATAATTAGATTTGGTTGATACAGATGGAGTATCTGGATCATGTACAAGTGATGATGAAAGTATTTAAAATAATGATCTTGGATTTCAATCATAAATTAAATATTTAGATGAAAGTAATTCTCCAATAAAAGAAATTGGTAATCATTATATTTAAATTTAGTTAAAAAATATAAAAATTCAGATGAAAAGAGAATATCAGATTTTGATGAATAAAATGATATTCCATCATCTCCAAAATTATAAAGCAATATATTTAAATATAAGTCTAAATAAGTAACTGAATAATCATAATTATCATTAATAAGTAGAGCTGAATTAATAACATATTAAAGAACTCCAAAAATGGAATAAAATTATAAGTTTCCAAATGAAGAGGAATTGGATAATTAATAGGAATAGAATAAATCTTATAACAATATAGTTACAGAAAATATACAAATAATATAAGAATAAGAATCTCCTTTAAGTTTAACAAAAGATTAACAGGAATCCACTAGAAAAAACACTCCTTAAATGTCTATATAATCATCTGATTTATCATCACCAGATAGCTCTTCTTTGAAATCTTTACATAGAATTAGATCTAGAGCTTAAACTACATAAGGTTTATTGTATAGAAGATAATCTAAAAATGGATTTTCATTAGTTTTACATTAAGTTGAGAATTAATAGAATTAAAATATGTTATTTAATTTTTCAGAATCTAGACCAAAATAAAATAATAATAATAATAGATTTAATAGAGATTATTTATGTTTTTTAGCATTTAGACCTGCTACTTGGGAAAAATTTGCTATAAATAAAATAAAGAAAGCACTCAGATTCTAATGTAAATGTAACATCATATTTAATGGATATTCATCCTCTTTTGCTTTAGTTGAGATTAAAGAAATGATTAATAATCAAATCTATAGTGATATATCATATCCATTTTTATTATTGGATAGTGAAGATATTCAGGATGGTTTTACAAAATATAAATCAGATCCTCCAATAAGATAGAAATATGATAAATATTTATTATAGAAAGCAGTATTGTAGAATAATTGGATAAGTAGTATATCAAGTTCTCACTTATATGTTAATGAGACATTTAAATTTGTTTAAGCAGGAGATTTCAGAAGAGCAGTTGGAGGTTTATGTAGTTTAGGTTGTACTTATTAAGCATTATGGACTTTATTATTTTGTAAAAAGAACTAAGATCCAAATTTCATAAAATAAGTTTTTTAATAAAAAGATTTAAATAATCTAAGATATAAAAGAATGGTTGAAAAACTAGTTTAATTATAATAATTAGTATCATCTGGACCAGCATAATATTTAAATTTATAAAATAGAGGAAGCATAGATATTGGTAAAGTAGCAGATTTAGTGGTTTTCGATCCTTTGAAAGCATGGAAATTCAACTTCGATAGAATTAACCATCAATTTGCATTTTCAATCGATGAACATATTTTTAAAAATAAATTATTTTTAGGATCTGTAGATTATGTTTTTATTTAAGGTAAATATAATAATTTATATAATATTTAGGATAATTAATTCTTAGTTAAGATAATAATTAAATTATCACTATTTGTAATAGGTAAGGATAACAAATTTTCATTTGATTAGTTAAATTATTTACTTAATAAACATTTTATTTTTTATAATAATAACAATATGTAATGATTATTTGCATAAATCTATAATCATAAACATAATATAAAATAAGATATTATTTGATTTCTTTTGCCCTAATGATAACATTTACAATCTAATTTATATCATTTTATTAAAGATATCATTCTTAATAATATTAGTTTAGTAATCAAATGTAATTGTTCTTCACTTTTACTATGTGTAATTCAATACAATATTTAGAAGAATCTAATAATGCATCTAATATACATTCAGAAATATTAGATTAAACTTAAATATGATTTAGTTTCCCTTTAATAAAATTGCATTATCTAATTAAACAAATCTTAATTATATCATTTCATATTTACATGAAAATAATGTATTAATAATATAAATAAAACCCATATTATCGCAAAGACTTTCTTTTATAGAACTTCCTCTTTGGATTGTGCAATTTCTAAATTTATCATCAAATTAATAATTGCCATCAAAATCATCAAAACATTTTTTGTATCAATTTTTATATTTTTATGTTGAAGAGAATTATTGCATTATTCAAGTTCTTATTTTATCATTTTTGTCTTTTTTGACATTGATAAATATGGAAAGTGTTACAATTATAAAATAAATTTTCATTTTATTAATGGGTTCATGCAATTCTTGTAATAAATACGAATAAGGTCTCTCAAATTAAGAATAATAAGAAGAAACTAATTCTACCTAATAAGTTAAGATAATAAAATAATTGAGAGATAAACCATTGAAGAATGATTATGAGGATTATCCAGTTGCTGATGAAAGCTGTTTAGAAAATAGCTCTTAACTTCCAATTTTTATTTAATAAAAAGAAATCAGAGACAATGTAGTCTAAGAAAGAATGAACAGATTCATGAAAGATATTGAAGAGGAAGTAAAATATCGAATAAAATAGATGTAGATTATATACATCATTACCTAGATAATAAGAAGAATAAGTATAAATGGAAGGAGCGAAATAAAATTAATTATGGTCAATGTCTATTAAAGATTAATAAAAGGATTCAAATGATATCAAAAGTGATCACCTTCATCAATCTATTTCATTTTAAAACTCTTAAAATTTTGAAACACTCCGTAATATTCCTTGTAAAACTTACCTTCCTAAATAATACTCACAATTTGCTCCAAAAAGAGATAGCGAAACTAATACTTAAAATTCTTAAATAAGTTTAACAATAAATTCTCTAAGAACTAAAACTGCTACAAATAAAAATAAATTTATTTCAATTCCTTAAGAAGATGAAAAAAGTTCTTAAGCAAGTTTTGTGAGTCTTAATGAAAGCCAATAAAATTTTGTCTCCTAAGAAATATAATTTAGTGATAATTAACCTGAATAATTTTCAAGTAATGCTAGTAAAAAAAGAAGTTCAAAGAGCATTTTAAAAAATAGTTAAAGGTTTTTATGTCTTTAAAGAAATTTATCTTTAAAATCTACTTATACAAATTTTAAATAAAAAAAAGTGTCCTTCTCTTAAGATACTTAATATTTTACAACAAGAGCACTTAGAAGAAATCCTACTACTTTATTTAACTATTGAAATATCTTATCAACTATCATGATCATATTTTTATTAATTAAATAAATATTCTTACATAATTAAAACTTAATCCTAAAAATAAGAAGAATTTATTAAATCATTTCCTATTTTCATAAACAAATAGGATTAATATTTTGATAAAATCTATATCAAAATATCTAATCCTACTCTTTTATTTAATACTTATCTAAATAATATTTATTAAATATTAAGACTTATAGAATATTTAAAATTAGATTACCAAATTTCAATAAATAGCTACATTTAATTGTATTTTTAATATCTTATGAATATATATTAATAAATATTGATAATGATAACTTCAACAAAATATTTATAATGATATTAATTTTTTAAAGTTGCTTTCTCTTTATAAGAATATATTAATCAAACCATTTTATATTAATCAAATTTTCATGCTATAACAAACTTAATTTAATTAAATTACATGTAATTCAAATAATCAAAATAATCAGATAAAACTGAAGTTTATTATCATAAAAATTTGTTATAATTTTAATTTTAAAGATAGATAATTGAGGATTGCCAAGTCATTTAGAATTATTAGTTTTATTAAATTTCAGAATTTCATAATACTAGTTGATTTTATAATACTACTGATCATTATATTTATAATAATAATAAAAATGATTAATCAACGTTCATAAGGTCCTTTAAGAGGGTAACACTTTCGATAGGCCAACTTAACATAAATAGGAACTAAAATAATAGATTAAAAAAGTGAATCAATTTATGTAGATTCTGAGGTTTCTTTAAAAAAGCGTAAAAGCAAAAGCCCTCTAGAAGTAACAAGAGGATTATATAAATCATAAACTTATAAAGAAATTTGCCCATAGGACTCTTTTAAAGAGCCTGATAGATTTGATTCTCCTTTAGATTAATCTTTGAATTAACCTTTAAAAATCACTTATAAAGTTTCAGGGTCACTACTTAGATTTAATGCTCATTAAGTGATTAAAATATTTATTTAAAAACTGTTGTATTATTTGAAGGTCTAAAAACAACAATAAAGTAAAATGAAATGCTTTGAAAAGATTATTGAGGATAAAGGCAGTAATACATAAATTGAGGATCAAGAAATTAAGAAATCAAATAATTGTAACTTGCTTAAGAAAGACTCATATGAAAGAATGTTATTAAATTTAATACTAATAATGATTCTTTTAACATATTGTGTAATTGCACCTATTAGCAATAAGAGAATTGAACCTATTTTAATATTTAGTAAGAGATTATATTAAAATTAGTCTTTATTTATTCAGTTTATAAAGTGGTTGATTTTAAATAATGGAATATTATAGATATTTTGATTATTGGAATAAATATAGGTGGCTTATTTAATTAAGTATTTCTATTTATGAATATTATAAATTTGATAAAAGTGTATTAGATAATGTAAAGTTTAAATGTATTGACTTCAAAAAAATTTATAAGATTCATTAATTCAATATTAATAGTAGCGATTCATTTAAATAATAGTGTACATTTTTGGTAATTCTAATTAGATAATGAATAAAAATACGATATTTTATTAGGATAATAGATTTAATTGTTTTTTAATTTTGAATTAGAAATGCAAGAAGATTAAAATATATATTATGTTTCTTTAAATAGAATTATGAGTTTCTTAATTTTGATATATTTTACTTAGTAATTTCTTACATACATAAAGATTTCAGATGAAATGGCAAAAAAAGAAGAGTTTTTTGAATTATTACTTAGTAAGAATACTATGAATAAATAACCCTTAAGAAATTAACATTAAGTTAGGTAATTATTATGGACTGAAGTGGAAAGTTAGAAATATTAAGAGACCTATTTAAGTTAGATAGATTTTAATTTGCCTAAGGAATTGAGAAAATCACTTAATATACATAGTTATTTGGATATCATTTAAAAGTCTAAATTTATAAAGCAAAAATTTACTGAATCATTTTAAAAGAATTTATCTGAATTTGTAAAAGAGCAAACTATAGAAGAAGGTGAAATTATACAATTACAAAATTAAAGAGTAAATAAATTAATATTTTTATTGGAAGGAGAGGTAACCTTACAAATTAATTAAAAAAGAGTATAAGTATTGAAAAAATTAAACATAGTAAATTAATATGAATTTTTTGCTTGTTTGTCTTCTCCTTGTGAAATAATTGCCTAATCAAGATGTAAAATAATTATAATAGATTATGAATCATTTTATGATTTAATATGTATTCATGAAGAAGATTTTTAAAAATATAAAATGTGGTAAGACAAAATGTAAGAGTAATAAAGACGTTGTGTTTATAAAGTAAATGATTATTTATATAATAGATTTGTTATATTTGTATGGATAATCATGTGACTTCAATGTGTACTGGTGTAACATATCAACCTAATTATATGAAAATTATCTCAAATAGTACGTATGCATAACCAAGTCCAAGAGTTAAGTTTAGAAGATTTGAAAGAAAAAGAACTTCATCATTAGTTTAATAAAATTTAGTAAGTATTACAGCTTTAAATTGGGCATAATAATTTAATTTAATAGCTAAAAATACAGAACTTATTGATTAATTCTTAGGTAAATAAGATGGAGATGATGAATTTCAATTATTTGCAGAAGATGATCACACTTCAAAGCATCAAACATAAACTTATACACATTAATAAAGTGTAAGATCACCTAAAACCAATAAAACAGGAATTACAGGGAGAGAGAGAGAAAGAGTTTATACAGATTCAAATATTAATAGAACTTTGACTATTAGAACATTAAAAGCATCAGAAAATAATACTTCTAGATTAAAATAGAATAATAATAATAATAATAATGATTCTATTGTAATAAGTAATTCCCCTTCACCAATCTAATAATAGAATAAAACTACTTTAATGTTGTTTACAAAAGAATAAATTAAAAGATAATCTAATATAAGTAGTAGCTTTACTATAGAAAGAGCTTTAGATAAAAAATCATCATTACATTCATAAAAGCAACTTCCACAATCAACTAGTATATTGTAAAGTAAAGAAGTAATACAATAATTACAGAGTAATATTGGAAGTCCAAATATGTATAATACATCAATAAGAATGAATTAAAATGATGCTAGTTTAAATTTAAGAAGATCTGAATCACAACCTATTGTATATTATTTAGATATATATATTTTATAGTTTTCTGAATTAATTGGTTCTGCAAGATAATTAATTTTGATAAAAGAATTTGAAAGTATGTAAATTTTTGAATGGTATTTCCCAAATCATAATTTTAATAAGGTAATTGAGAGATTTCAAAAGTATTTAAGTAAACAATTTAATAATAGATGAATTTAACTTATTAATATCAATAATATATAATATTAATACTTTCTAAAAATAATGAGAGCTAATAGTCGTCTAGCATCTGTTATAGGAAATTTACGTGAAATAAAAGAAACTAATGTAAAAATGAAAAACTAAAATAGCTTTTATTTAAAGTTACAAACACTTTCTAAAAAACAATTAATGAAGATGCTGATATGATAAGACAGAGATGTTTGTAAATTTTAACTATAGAACCAGAGAAAAGATCAATCATCTAAGCTAAATATGTTCAAAAATATTTTGAGAGAGATTTTGCATATTTTTCGTAATATTGTAAATAATTCTAGGAAAATAAGAGGATAATTACCAGATGATCTTTATATTAGAATTTTCAAAGATTTATAAATTGAGAAAAGTGATGCAGCTGAAGTTGTATTTAATATGGGTGATATTGGAAGAAAAATGTACTTTATTATTGAGGGAGAAGTAGCTATTCTAATTCCATAATAAGAATAATAACATCATAATAATCATAATCATTAGAGAAGTAAAATTTCATTTTGATTTTAGAATCATTGATTGCTAAGAAATTTGATGATTTATTGAAACACAAGTATGCTCAATATACACTAATTGCTATTAAAAGCAAAAATGACTATTTTGGAGAAATTGCTATTGAATAGAGAATTCCTAGAACAGCTTCAGTTGTAGCCAAAACTGAATGTATTTTTGCTACATTGAGTTATGATTCATATTAAAAAGTACTAGGTTAATATTAAGAAAAAATCTTAGAAGAAAAATTATAATTCATCAAAAGAACACCACCATTCAAAAATTGGAGCTAATCAGGTTAATTGGTTTTATTACATAGTTGTTAAGAAATTAGTTTTGAGGCTGGATCTTTTATTTATAAAAGAGGATAGAAAGGAGATACTGTATATATAATTAAAGAAGGAGAAGTACTTATAGAGAGATGGGATAAATAATAATCAGTAACTTAAGAAGGTGATATCTATTAAAAAAAGAACATCATAGTTGTAGGGTTATATTCTACTGGATAGATATTTGGAGATTATGAAATCTATTAAACTAATATGAAATGTAGATATCTCACTAGAGTAACATAAGCTAAGGCTAGAGTAAAAACTATTGTTTTAGCATTATCAATATCATAATTTATTGATAATATGAGGTTGAATGAAAGAGATGCTTGGATTAGAGATTATTTTGAATAAAAGTTTAGCAAGAAATGGTTAAATAAACCAGAAATCTAAAATTAATATATCAGCAAGAGTCCTATTCCATCAAGCAATAAATAATATATCAAAAGTAGAGAAGATGGAAGATAAGCATACAAAGTCTCTTTATCAAATAATTATTTTGAAGAATTAGAATTAGATACTAAAAAGGATTCTAAGGATTAATAGTTATTATCTCCAACTTAATTGCATTCTTAAAGCAAAATTAATAAAACTATGAGAAAATTTTTAAATTTATAAGGAAATTTGTTTAAAACCTAATAAAATTATGAAGCACCTTCGATGGATGTTATTATAAGACAACTTAAAAAAAAGGTTATTAAGAGTAGAGAAAACTTAACAACCGAATTAAATGCTGAGATTTCACAGAGCAAATTTTATTCTGTAAAGAAACACAGTGCTCCTAAACTTAAAATTGGTTTATCATTTAAATCATTTAGAGAAGGAGAACGTAATAAGTCTAAATTTTTAGACTGATTTATTATTTCACTTTTACTCTGAGTTTCACAATACATCATTTAATCCTTCTCCAAATCCTGAATTTGAATCATCATCATCATCTTCTTAAAATTCTTATTATTCATTAGATTATTATTATTATTCATTTGATTATGATTATTATTATTATTATTATTATTATTCTTATTATTATTATTATTATTCCTATTATTATTATTATTATTATTATTATTATTGTTATTATTATTATTCTTATTAATTTACTCTATTTATTTCCTTATGTTACTATTATTCATCACTTTATGACTGAGGTTATTTTAAATTTTAATTTTCATCTTTTGATTAAATTGTTTTTTTCAAACAAATTAAGGTTTTTCCATCAGTCATATGTGATTTATAATAATCAATTGCTTATTAAAATTAATCTAAAGAAAACTAAAGAATATTATCATAAATTACTTCTTTTGCAATTTTAGTTTTTAATGAAGTTTTAATAAAATTCTTTAACTTTTTTAAAGTTACTATTAATTCTAATTTGTTTTATTCTTTTAACCAAATGTTTAAAAAAAATCTAAAATAAATCAAATAAAATACCCCTAGATTGATTTTTTCTCTTATAATAAATTATTAGCTTAAATTCCTCCAATTTACCAGCTCTCAAGAGTTCCATACATCATTAATATAGATCCTTTTGGCATAATATTTAAAATCTATCCACTTTATTCTCCTCCAACAGCATCAAAATATATGGATGCTTAAGTAGCTTCACACATAATTTTTAATTGTTTAAGGAAATCTGGATCATTTTGATTTATAATTAATTCAGCTCCACATTCATATCTTAATTCATAAATTTATTCTTCTCTCCTAACAATATTAATGACCTTAATATTTCTTTCCTTAAATAGTCTATTCATCATTTTTCCTAATTAAGAAGCACCTGGATTATTGATTACAGCTTTTGCATTGTTTTTCTTGCAAATATCCAACATTCCTATAACAGATAATGGATTCACAAATGAACAAGCTGCTTCACTTGATTCCATATCATTGTCTAATTCTATACACAAATTCGTATCTGTGATACAATATTCTCCATATGTTCCATATTCATGATTTGTATAAAATGCTACTCTTTTTCCAGACATACCCCAACTGGCCATTCCTCCACCTGTAAGTACTACAGTACCAGAACCCTCAAATCCTGGGACACATGGGAATTGTTTATTTGATGAAGACTGTCCTTAAAGAAATTTAATGTCTGATGGATTGATTGGTGCATAATCCATTCTGATTAAAAGTTGACCTTCTTCAACAGTAGGTATGGGAACCCTGTTAACATAAGGTTTAGCATCCTTAGATTCTTTCCATAAGCAGCTCATTGTATTAGCATTGGACATTATATTTATAATTATTAAATAAATAAAACTATAGTATTAATAATTTTTAATTATAGATGGTTGTTTATATATATATATATATGGATATTATTGTATAATAATTATTATCATGTATTTATATCTATAATTACAATATTCTTATTTTATAAAATACAATATTAAATATTAATTAAATGTTGTATGCAAAATTATAATCATATGTAGGAGAGGAATTCCTAATAAAGACACTTCCAGCTAGTCTCTCTAATTTTCCATCAACAAGAGGAATTAGAGTGATGAAATGTCCAAATAATCCATTGATAATTGGAGAGTTGAAACTTTCAGAAGAGCTTTATCAATTTTCAATAATCCCTTATACAGAGTTATAAATTGAAAATTAGGTTGTCACAAAAGAAACTATTTTGAATAATTTTAGCAGAATATACATACCATGTAAAGAATGTCGAATCAAACATTATTATACTTTTATTCTTCCATTAAGAGAGCCCTTAAAATATGAAGCATAAAGGGCAGCTTAAACATAATTTAATAGAGTTCATGATAAGGTGTTATATGCAAAATGGACTTAAGAAGATAAGGAGATGCTAAAGAAATTGATTCTATAATTTGGATATGGGAGATGGAACAAATTATAACAATTAAAGTTTGCAAACAGGACTAAATAAGAAATAAAAGCATTTGCAAATTCACTTTTAAGATCAATAGTTGAATTATTGGTAAATTATGATTTAGGTGCAGGAATAGTTAATTTAATCGAAGAAAATCCAGATGATCCTTATATTGAAACAAATCAAAGTATTAATAATTTTAATATAATATTATAGAGGATTGGGAATTGCAGAATCTAAAATAAAAGTTAATATCTATTAGTAAGAGAATTTTGATGTTGGCAAAAATTAGAGAGTTTATAAAAAAGTTTAAGGAACATCAATTAAAAAATTTAGGAATCAAAGATAAATCATAATGTATAAATAAATACTAATAAATAGTAAAATGGGATTATCTATTGGGATTTATTCCAAGTAGTTCTTTTTATTCATAGAGACCATCTATATGGTGGACAAGAAAACATGATAGTGATCTAATTAGGGGAGTATATCAATATGGATATACAAATCATTTAATGATAAAGGAAGCTAGTGATTTATGTTTTAAAGATTTATCTACATGTATACTAGATTATAAGATTAATTTTAGCTCAAAATTATTAAGAATTTCCATTTCCAGAAACATTAAATAAAAGAGTAAAGAAATTAGTTTAAATAATATAAAAATTTGATGGATTTTATGATTTTGATAATTTGGCTTAGAGTGATGATGAAGAAGAGAAATCATGGTCTATTGCTGAAAAGTAAGCTTTATTTAATTTATTGTGTGATTATGGTGTACCTATTGGTGTAGATGGTAGATAAAATTGGTAAGAATTAAAGGATAAATTGATACTTAAGATTAATAAATTTGATAAGAATTTGAATCAATTAGAAAAAATGGTTTAAACAATAAGAACTAGATGTGAATAAATGTTAATGAAACATAAAGAGAGAGAATTTTTAGAGAGTGATTCAAGTGAACTTGAAATTGAATAACCTCCATCTTCTATTGGAGAAATTAGAGATGAATAAGGAGATGAATTCTAGATTTCATATTAAGACAGTTAAAAGTTTAGTAAATAAACAAATATGTTACATTTTATTAGAAAGAATATACTACCATAAAATTAAGCATTATTTTAATAACATATTTAATAAGTAGAAAAAGAATTATTTATTGATATTCCTGAATATGATCCTAAAATTCATGATATTCAAATTATTATTACACTATCTTAAACTGGATTTAATGGACTTTAGCCTATTACACTTAATAATATCAATATTATAATGACAACTGAATAAATACTCAATAGAATTGAATAATTATGTTCATTTTTTAAGAAAATTAGAGATCAAACTAATATTAAAAGAAAACCAGAATTAAAAGATGATTAATAAAAAAAAATAAAACCTAATACTAATGGAGGAGTAAATGAAATCTAATTACCTTATTAAGTTAGTACTAGTCTAAAATTAGTAAGTCTTGGTAGAATCATTCCAAGTCCTGCATATCATAGTGAACATAATCTATTTCCAGTAGGATATAAAAGTATTAGAACACATGCAAGTATGTTTACAAAAGGTAAAAGATGTTAATACACTTGTGAAATCTTAGAAGGTAGTGATGGTAAACCTTTATTTAAAGTAACTAGTGAAGAAGATGTTGAAAATCCAATAATTAAAAATAGCTGTACTGGTTGTTGGGTATAAATATAATTTTATTTATTAGGTTCATATTTATAATAAGATTAATGAATTATAGGAACATAAAAAATCTAAGGTTACAATTAGTGGCACAGATAGATTTGGATTATTAGAGGCCAATGTATAAAGATATTTGGAGGAATTATAAAATGCAGAATTATGTTCTAAATATAAGTTTAAATATAGAAATGTTACATAAGATTTTTGAATTGTAAAATATAAATTATTAAAATTAATTTACATTATAAAATTATTTAATAATGATTAATTATTTAATTTCAATACTTTCTATTCAATTTTAATGAAGATTTAGTTGTTCTGTGTAACTTTTTTAAATCATCTAAATATTTCCTTTATTCATCTAATCTACCTGTTCTTTAATATAATGATCTTTCACCAATAAATGAATTATCATTCTTAATATACTCAATATCTTAATGTTTATTAATGGTTTCTGATTATCTATTATATTCTACTCCTCTATTTATTTAGTCTACTTTTTAAAAATTAGATTTTAAACATTATAATTCAAGTTATCTAATATTTGAATGTTATTTTTTAATTGTTTCTATACTTTAACTTAATTCTTAACTTAATCCATCTATAAGTTCTTGATTTTCTTCTCGAATCTTTTATTCTAATTATAAGATTTTTTCTTCAATAAATTTCATTTATTTTTGATTAAATGACAATAAAGACTAAACTTTATCTGTTAATATATTTAAACCCTTTTTAGCATCAATTAATTAGATTTTATATTTTTCTTTTGAATTGATTGCTTAAATTAATTGATTTTAAAATGTTTATTCTGTTTATTCAATATTTTATTATATCAGTTCCAATTTGTTTGCTATATCTTATAATTATTCATCCTTTAATTTAATAATTGATTCTTATTCTGATTTCTAATTTAAAACTTCTTTAATTTTATTTTCGTATTCCTCCTCTAAAACTTTATAAAATTAAACATCTTTCCTTAACTTATTGATCTATTGAGTAGTTACTTCATTTAATTATTGATGCTATTTTTTAACTTCAATAGTTTCAGCTTACAATTCCTATTTGGTTTTTGATAGCATTGTGTGAAATCCTTTAACTAAATCACTCATTAATTGTGTCTTAAATTATTCCAATATTTGCATTCTTATCTTAACTTCAGCTTATAATCCTGATAATTCAATTCTTAATGATCCTACTTAATCATGCAATTAATAAAGTTAAGAAGGAGATATATTCCTTTGTTATGATGTCTCTTTATTCATTACTACTTATTATAGTTCTTCTATTTAATTTTTATATTGCAAATTCATTTCTTATTCATATTGTATTTATTAACTAATTTCTATATTCTCATCTGAAAGGTCTTTAATAGCTTATTCAGCTTTAACTAAATTTTCAGACAATAATTCAAACTTCTCCATTTTGGATTAAATCTCATTCAAAATTAAATTCTTTTCTTCTAATTCATCCTATAATATATCTTTTTAATGTTATAACTCAGCTATTTATTTTACATATCTTGCTTCTGAAGTAGATAGACCATTAATCAATTATTTATCATTCTCTTTATTATGCAATTTATAATTCTCCTCTATTAGTTATTATAATTATTATTCTGTTTCCTTTATATATCCAGTTTCAATTAATGTATATAAACGATTTTAGAGATCAATACAAGTCTAATATATATTTTCAATTTACTTCATCTTCATTGTGATTCATTAATTTTAATGGCAATTCACAATATAGAAACTAATGAAGATTATTTAATCTTATAATTATTCAAAATAATGATACCTGTCTAAATAATTTTATTTCATTTCCTCCATTCTTTTGAATTCAAAAATTTATTATTAAATAAAGAACTCAATATAATCATTCTAATTTAATGGAAATAATCCATTTTTTTATTGTAAAGTGGATCAATAAAAATATATTACTATATTGTGTTAATACATAACAAACTTAAATACAAAATTAAGAACTCAATTTTGTATTAATTAATCAATGAGTAGATTCTCTATTTTATCAAATGATATGGATAAGGTACATTCTGTCTTAGGAACAAGTCTCTGGTTAGGAAGTTTGAAAGCAGCCAAGAATTCTTGTCTTTTAAGATAAAATAATATCAAGACTGTAATCACAGTAGCCAATAATATCACACTTAAATTAGAGAATTTTAAGCATCATGTAAACAATAATTTTATTATAGATTTTTAGTATTGAAGATAGTGCTTCTTTTCGTATAATTGATTATTTCTAACAAATAAATGAAGTTATAGATGAAGGATTAAGAAATGGTTCAGTTTTGGTACATTGTGTAGCAGGTGTTTCTAGATCAAGTGCATGTGTGATAGCTTATTTGATGTAGTCTTAAAGATGGTCATATGAAAAAACATATTACTATGTAAAAGAAAAACGATTAACAATAAACCCTAATCCAGGATTCAAGAAATAATTAATTCAATATAGCAATAAATTAGAATATTATCAAAAGACTAAGAGTTCAAATGAATCAACTCAATCTAGTAAATAATTACCTTCTCCTAGAAATATGTATATTAATTAAATTTTATTAACATTAGACATAAATCTCCATAGGATTTTATCATGTAATTATTGAAAAATAACATTAAATCACCAAATAGAAAGATTGAATAATTAGATTAATCTTCAACTATGGAGGATAAAGAAATATATAGATTTTAATTAGCATAAAAATTGTTTGCTAAGAGTCTTAAGAATAATAATAAAAAACCTGTTTTCAAATTTTCTGACCAATTATAAACTAATTCACAAACTGCCAAGTATAGTATCTATAATACCATTGATTACTTTCCATAAACTGATAGACTTTTTTGAATATAACTATTATTATTTAACAACTATGTTTATAAATAAATGTAATTATCACAACAATCATTATCTATTACAGGATGGTTACACGAATATGATTAATAGAATTCACCTCAAATTTATTAAGTAGTTAATTGTAATTCCATTTCATTTAATATTAAATTATAGACATTGTTAATAGGAAATAATAATCTTAAAAGAGAAGTGTGAGTTTGTGTTAAAGAAGATAAGATTAAGAACCTAATAAATCAAGTATATCATTTTATTATTCCTGATTTAATTGATTAGAGTAGTAATAAAAGTCAAATTTTAAGACGACCCCCAAAAGTTCCAACTACTTAAAATAAGATTTAAGAATTAAAAAAAGTCATGCAATTTCTACAATATAATGAACAACATAAATATGATACACATAGAATATTCAATTTAAATGATCCTAAATTTTAACCAGAAACTAAGTTAATTATTCAACAAAAGAAGGAATAGTTTAAAATTAAATTGAAGTATTTCTTATCTTAAAAATAGTCAATAATAAAATAAAAGATAATTACAACCACTCTAAGAAATCAATTCTACTAATACTTCTACTGAAAGATAATAACATAATAAAGTAAATAATCAATTGAAAAAAATTCGTTTTAAAACAGATTAATATTATGAAATTCAAAAATCTAATTCAATAAATAGAATTTAGAGTATCAATGACATTATGCCTAAAATTTTAAAAAATAATGACATTCCTAATATACCAAATAAACAAGTCATATAAAGAGGATTAGAATTTCTATAGTAAATGGTTGAAAAACAAAAGGAGAATGTCTAACACTATCTACCAAAATAATAAAAATATATCAAATGATATAATATTACTACTCTATTTTTATTCAATTATACTTTTAAATAAATACAATTATTGCTTAAAAAAATAATATCTATAATGGAATTCCTTTCAAATATATAAAGTATAATATAATTGGGTTAGTTCTTTTCTTTAAACTTATTTTATTTTCTATTATATTATTTCTAGATTATTCAACCTTATTACAATTATCCTTAATATATATTAACTTTTAACAATCAAGTCATAGCTATAATTTTTTGATTCTAAATATCATTCATATTTTTTTGACTTATTTAAAAATAAAATTTCATAACCATACAATATTAAACTCATGGTATTTAAGAATAATATCTTATCAAATATCTTTGACGGAGTCACCTTTTTCTATTTTACATATAAAATACATTTAGACTAATGAATATCTCTTTCTAATTGATAAATACTCTGAAAATGTATTTTAAACGTTGAACAAAAAATTATAATTTATAAATTTAAATTATACAAGTTTTAAAAATTTGGTTTATTTTGGGAAAAGTAAATCAGTAAATTTATATCCATTTAAAATTAATTTCAAACTAATTATTAAGGTTTTGTTTGATTACATAAACATAGGTTTCTATTTGAACATAAGAAAAAAAAAAAAAAATGAAAGTATACTAAAATTATTATTTTTAGAAATCTATTATTAAAATAATGAATTCATAAGTTTATTGATTTTAAGATCTATATCTATAATTATTGTATATTTAATATATAATATTTTAAATCAAATTGAATCGAATTAAGGGAGGGAAATGATGTTTTTTATTAAATGTGCTGTATTTTTCACATAAAATTGTGTCAATATTTTAATAAAGATGAGCATAACATTAATTTAAAAGTCAAATTGTTAAATTTACTAAAATAATATATTAAAATTACTTATATGAAGAAACTAAAAAATATTAATTTTGATAAGCGTTCATACAATAGGTATTATTTAAGATTAAATGCTTAATAAGAGAAATAATAAATAGCAAAATTACAAATAATGTTTAGGAATGTTACTAAGCAAAATAAAGTAATTTCTATATCGAGATGAAGAACTATTTTTAACTAAATCATGAAAGTATTTTTACTTTATTAATAATATTATTAGAATTTATTATATTGATTATTAATGATATTGTACTTAATAATGCATGAATTATAAGTATTACCATTATCGTTGATTATTACTTTAAAAATACTTGTATAATTGAATAATAGAACAAGTAAATTGCAAAATGAATGTAATTATATGATACATCCTCAATTGGTTCATTTTATTAATGATATTCTTCAATTACATTGAGAGTGCCATCTGAATTTGATAGAATATTTTCATCAATCTCAATTACTCTATCATCATCATTAAAGTTTTTATTTATTGACATTTATAGTTATATTAATAAATTATATTCATAATTTTTAAAAAGACAATTCGATGGATTGTTCTTCTTCAATAATTTATAATGGAGATTAATAATTCTAATTTAATTTACTTCTTTGACTTTGTTGTAATTATTAATCATCTTATTCATCTGGTAATTTTAAACATAATAAATCTTCAACTTCTTTTGTTAATGTATCTATAGTCTTTTAATCTACTTGTTCTTAAGGTGGAGAGTCATGGATAAAAAGATTGTATAACTTGTCATCAATTTGAATTTTAGATTCGTTTTATTCAAGGTCCAACCATTTTTATTCGAATGACTATAAATATGAATCTTACTCAAAGTTACCTTTTTCTCCTCCTTCCAATTTCTTTTTTATAAAACTTATAGTTTATTAATGTTGCTATATCTGACTTATTCAATTTTAGAATCAATCTAAGTAATTTCATTTTCAATTGACAATTTCTCTTATTACAATTTAAGCATTTATGGCAATAGAGAAGTATCTTATGTTATAAATTGTTTTTTCTTTTTATCCTCTTTGTCTTATATTTATTTTTTCATTTACACTAATTAGTTTATCTAATTTTGTAATTCTTCCTTTTACGATTACATGCATTGAATCTAATCTTATTCATGAATCATCTTTAATTATTTCAAGGATAATGTTTAACTTCTAACTGTATCACATTATAACATTTAAATTGATTATTGCTTTTTCAATTAAGTTCTACTAATGATACATCCTGCATTTGAACTAATCATGCTTACATTGTTAATGTTCTTGTCTTGTTCTTTCATTATACATGAATTATTTTTCTTCCGTTTGAAAAGACCCTTACTTTAATCAGGTATATTGAGCTTCTAACATATCTATTGGTATTAGGTATGCATAATACTTTGTCTATTTTTTACATTCTCTCTTTAAGCGATTTCATATTTGAATTAATTAACTATAAATATGTTAAAATATTTATTAATCAATAACACAACATGTCAATTTTATTTTAATAATATTTTAAATTAAATCATCTACTTAATAATTATTTAACAACAATATCCATTGTAGGTCTCTTTGTTTCATCCTTGCTCCTCAATTCATTCACTAATTACATAATATTCTTAGGCACATTTCTACCAGGTAATTATTCATTTTTCATAGTCTTTTAAACAATCTCTTGCATCTCCAAACAATCCCAAGGAACTTCTCTTGCAAATATTTCCCATAATAAAGTTCCATAAGCAAATAGATCTACACCTTTGTCATAAGCCTTTAATATTCCCACTCATATATTTACTCGTTTAGCAAATAACTCTGGAGCCATGTATGTTGGAGTTCCACTAAATTGTTAATAGCCTTAGTTTAATTCTGACTAAAATTAATTAAATCAAACTATATTACACATCTCTTTGTTAAACCAAAATCACAGAATTTCACTGTCTATCCTTATAATAAAATGTTGTGTGATTTGATATCTCTGTGTACAACACCAGCTTAATGCATATATTGTAAAGTTCTAGCAATTTAGATGGCAATAGAATATTTCAATTGATCTGAAATTTAATGACTAATTGATCAGTTTTGCCTTACTTGGTTTTATGCAATAGATGATACAAACTTCCTCCTTAAATAAATTCAGTTGCTATAACTAAATTAGGTGGCTTTGTACAACAAGCCATTAATAGAACTATATTTGGATGTCTTAATAAAGATAACATTTCAATTTCATTATTGATTTCATCTAATAATTGTTAAGTAATATTTGGATTAAAAATCTTTTTTATTGCAATCTAATTTAAATTTATACTCTTACTTCAGTACCCCTAAAATATCCTCTATGAACAATAGAAAATCCACCTTAGGATATAATTTCATGAACTTCAAATTCATTTGACTCTACTTCCAATACATGGTTAGTATGTTACAATTCTTATATTTATCGAATAGCTCTGCTTTATGTTTATGGTCTTTCTGGAATTATCTTTTGTTCTTATTTAGGTTGTTGTTGATAAGATCCTGGACTAATTTGAAATAGCTTTTGCAAAATCTAATTTAATTATGGTTAATGAAAATGTCCATTTAATATTTAAAATTTATTGATTAGAGGATTATCAGTTAAGTTTAAGCTCTATAAGTTAGACATGCTTAATAATTCTTCAGGTATTTCTTCAATACAATTTTTACTTAAATCTAATTCTTCTAAAGTTGTCAATTAAAGTATTCTTGGTTCTATAGATGTAATCTTATTATAGCTAAGATCTAAGTGAACAAGTTTCAATTAGTAAATTTCAGGTGGAATGCTAATCATTTATTTGCCAGATAAATTTAAACGAGGTTCACCTGATCTTTTAATTCTCCTTATAATCAATTAAATATCCTCCATAATATATATAATATTATAAGTTATAAATAATATTGAATAATTATGAATATATTGTTATTAATATAATATTGATCATTCTTTTTAAGTTATTTTTACAACTGATATATGAATTAATCTATATATATATATATATTGAAATTAGTTTAATAAAAAAGTTATGCTTAAAAATACTTACATAGTTATTAATTTTAGTAATTGATTTAAATATTAAATATATGATTAGTTGTATTTGTGATTAGTATTTAGAAATATAATAAAATTTACAGAATATTTTTACTAATGAATTATGATGATCCATAATTTACATTATTGAATATTGACGATGAATATGATCTTTTGAATAAACATTAAACAAATGGTTTGAATCTTGAACCTTGGAATGGGAATTCTGATAAAGTTTATTTACCAAAGAAACAACTAAAATTACCAAAACATATTAACTATAAAATAAAGACTCCATCCAGAACAACTACTCAATAACGCAGACGTTCTATTGAAAGCATTTAACCATCTCATCAAGAAAGCTGTCCTAAAATAGAGATGAAGACTCCTACTTAATCGTTTTAGATGACTAGTTTATCTCCTAGAAAAAACTCTACTCATTAATATAAACAAAGTTGTTTAAAAATGATGTTCAAAAAATAAATACAATCTAATTTATTAACATGGGCAGACTATTACAAACTTATTTAAAGAAATCATAATTAATAAGTTGTTAATTATAATCTTATAGGTTATAATATTTAACCATTAAAATTAGAGGAACGACAAAATCTATTCAATAAATTTAGAATGAAAATAAAATAAAATACTAAAAACAAAACTGATTATTGAATTCATTTCAATCATTCTTCTAAATGTATTTGAATTTAATGTACAACATTCTAAATAGAATTCCATTCATGAAATAACCATTAATCTTTCATTTTTATTCTAAATTCTGAAGAATTCATTTTCTATTTAAAATACTCATATAATAATTCTCTTTCATTCTAAGAATACTCTAAAATTAAATGAATTAAATGTAATTAATAACGAAACAATTTACGACTGTTTTCTTCTGATTCTTATACTAGTTCTATTAAAATATCAAAAAATTGTTATTTATTTTCCTAATTACTATAATTTAAGTATTAATTCATTCCATTTCTATCTTACATTAAGAATGTTTAAAGAACTATTTTAAAAAGAGTTGTTTGGATATCACTATTTAGATTATTTTATAATAAAATGCAAATAGGTTTAACTAAATTTTGACCACAAATAAGCACTTCATGTAGCTTAGATAACAATCTACCATCATCACATTCAAATAGATTCAACATTATTTCAACTCCTCTTTTAATAAAAATCATTTCTTATTTATTTAATAGGAAATAGACTGTTTCTGCCACTTCACCATAATAATTATAAATCAATTTATCATCCATTAATGTCCAATATTTAAGGAACTATATCATAAATACATTATACTTTTGCAGCATATATAATAATTTATTAGTTCATATGTGTAGGATGGATAGAATACCCTTAAGAAAGAGGTATCATCTTATCTATAATTCTATGCATCTTATAGTTATCACTCAATTCATCCTCATAGATTTATGCATCCACAGACTTTAACATCCAAATAGCTGCATCAATTGTCTACATAATCACATCGAACTACATCCAATAATTTAAGATTGCTTTCTCTCTCTAAAACATCTTCAATCTTATCAACTATCATTATTAACATTTCTCCACACAATTATTCCCCTCTTTCCATTATATCTCTTATTTTGGCACTTATTTCTTGCATTTATTTTTACTAAAGAAACAGTGATAAAAAGTAATGTTTTCTTTATTCTTTGAATTATTTTTCATTTCTTTATTTTCTAATATGTACATGAAACTGTTCTCTTTTGAGATTTAAGATACTTGTCATATCATTCATCTGAATTATTCTAAATTTTAAATTTAAATAAAAATTCCCAAAATTTTATCATAAATTCGTTTAATTATTATAAATTACAATTATAAAACTAAGAGAATTAATAAGAATTTATAAATAATTGATTCAATATTTTTGTAATAATCCAATTAGATATATTATATTGTTTATAATATTAAAAAATTATTAAATTATTTATAAAGAATAATAATTTATAATCAATTTCATTCTTATAATCTCTATTTAAATAAAAAAAGATTATAAGAACTTTTTTAGTTTAATAGTTTGAATTTATAAAACAAAGCTATCTATATTTATATAAGAAAATAATTATCTATTAAATAAATCATTTTGTTTATATAACAAATGGATTATATAAATTAATGGATTATTTATTAAATAATATTGAAGTAGAGATAGACTTAGATTAAAGTGACGATTAATCAAATTAGATATGTTTTAAGGTATATAATAAAAATTTGTAAACGTTTTGGATGGTTGAACATAAATCTGAAGAAATACAAAGATTTGGATTGGATGTTTTTAATACATAAATGCCTGAGGAGAACAGTGAAAGATTTCAATGGCTATTAGAATTATGCTATAAGATTAATAAGTCTTAAAATAATGATCATAGTATACTTGAATTCTTTAAATCGAAACCAATTTAGATGAAAAGAAAGTAATCAAAAAAAAGAAGTCTTTCAACTTTTAGTTAATTGTTAAAAATGTCATGTGTTGAAGAAACTAGAACTCACAGTAGAAACACTGTAACAGCTAAGTAAAAACAATATACTTAAATAATACTGGAAAATTCATCTAGATTTTGTGATTTGAAAACAACTCGAGATTTTATTGATTTATTAACCTTGTTACATTATAGAGATATAAAAAAAGTAGGATCTGGGGCATAATCCTAAGCATTTAAAGCCCTTAATTAACAAGAACATTTAGTGGCTGTAAAAATTTCTCAAAACACTTAAGAAAATCTATATGCAGCATTAATGCAAAGATAAATAAATTAAGATGTGGCAGAAAATTTTGTAGGAAACTATTTGTTTTAATATTAAATCTTAGAAGTAGAGGACATATTAATAATAGAAGAAGAATTAGCTTAAAATACATTGGAAGATTTGATTGATAGAAAATAAAATCTGAATGAGAATTTTACAGAATATGAAATTTTATAAATCATCAAAGATATAGTTGATTAATTATATAATTTACATATTGGAAGATGTAAATAATTTATATTAATAATTATTAGAATCAGCTCATAATGATATTAAACCAGAAAACATTTTGATACAAGATGGTAAATTTATATTACATGATTTTGGAGCAATTAGACCAGTACCAAAAGATCAAAACTAAGTTGAAATTAATTAAATATTTGGTACAATATTATATATGTCCCCATTAAAATTTGAACACTATCTCTCAACTAATTAAAAATAATAACTTGATATTCATATAACACATACTATTGATTCAATCTCTAATAATTTTAAACATAATCCATTTAAATCAGATATTTATTCTTTAGGATTAGTTCTTTTATAATTATTACTTCACAATGATAAAATTAATTTAAGAAAACAAATTGAATGTCTTTTTTATGAATAAAGATAATAAAATTTACCTGGTTTAATTGAAAAATATGAAATATATCTTTATCCTGAAAAGTTCTTCTTATTTGATTAAAAATTAAAAAGAATTAAACCATTATTAAAATTATTACTAGATGAAAATGAAGAAACAAGAATATCTACAATTGAATTAGCTACTTTATTTAATTCTTAAATTTGTACTTCTATTTAAACATCTTTTACTTAATAATTTGTACCAACTATATGGAAATCAGAATAAGGTGGCACTTGTTAATTGGCTTATAGTTTAAAATCTCAAATATATTAAGGTGTTTACAATAAAGAAAAATAAGAAAGAGAAGGATTTGGTATAATGTATAAAGCATCTAAAAATGATTTAATTTTTAAAATTTAAAGACATAAGAAAGATAAGAAATCTATATGTGATGAAGATTAAGACTTTGAAATAAGTTAAGTTACTTAATTATAAGAATCTAAACATATTCTAAGTGCAAAGTAAAGTTTAGTTTAAAATCAACTTTAAATTCTTTATTCTGGACATTGGTTAAAGAATTTACCACATGGAAAAGGAGAATTACATATATATAATACAGTAAGTGATCTTAATTACAAAGAAGTTAATATTGATTATGGCAAACTTATAAATAAAATAGATGATCATCATGAAGAACATTAATTATAAATCAATTCATAATTTTATTTTGGTATATTAGATTCAAGGACAACTATTAATGGACTTTAAGTTTAATTTTTTTTAAATATAAGTGAAAGATTGACAGAAGATGAATTCATTGTTGGTAAGAATTATTATAAGTTTGAATATGATGCAATAACTTAAAAATATTATGGATATTAATAACCATATGATTTTACTGTTATTGATGTATTGAGTTTAAATGATAAAGAAATTATTTGTTTAATAATAAGTAGATTTATAAGAAATCTTAAAAGCAAAATTTCTCATTTCGAAATTAGAAGATATGTAATTGAAAAATAGATATTTCTTAAAGATAATAATAATAATTATATTTATATACGATTTGATGGATAACATTATAAGGAATCACATTAGAAATAATAAAAAGAATAATAAAATCGTAAACCTATTTAACCATAAATTATTTAAAAGAAATCTACAACTGCTTGTTGTGTTAAATAAAATAAAAAGATAAATTAAAATTAATAAAAAGAAATAGAAATATAGTCTGATGTATTAGAATCTTAAATTGTTTTAGAATGTCTTAATTAATAAAAATCAAATGTGAATGAATTGATTTTATAGACTACTTCTTTATCTTCTCATGCATTAGAATGGTTATTTGCTGATGACATCATTTCTTAAGTATATTATTATCAAATTAATTTAGATTGAAATATTAAGTTTTAGCAATTCCTTAATAAAAGATAGTTAACTTAATTTGATTTTGATGAGTTAATCTGTTACATAAGTAAGAGATTTAGATTTATCATATACTTAATTATCAGTATAAACAATTACAGCCTTAATTAATTCAGAAAATTTAAATAAACTTCATAAATTAAGGATGGCTGGATGTTAATGGTGTTAATAATTTGAAGATTTTATTACTTGTGATAAATCTTAAAAATTAATTCTATTAGATATTTCTAATAATAAATGGGTTGATTCAAATCTTCTTAAATTATTTACACCTGTCTATTTACCTAATCTTAGTTAATTGAATTTAAATAAAACATCATTAACAGATAAAGATTTAAAGAAGTTTTTAGAAACACCATTAGGTAAAAAACTTAATCTAATGCCATAAACATCTAAATAATGGGAATAACAAATTATTGATTTTAAGATTTCAATACGTGCAACTAATAGTCTATTTGAGAATATTAGAAATTTAGAAAAATATGGTTATATGTCTTAACATGACATGGAAGAGAATAATTATATTAAAGATGAAACTCTTAAAAGGATAGCTCATTCACAAGGTCTATAGAATATTGAATATTTGAATTTAAAGAATTAGGATATTACTCATTATGGAATGAAACATTTTCTCTAATCTTAATTTATTACTAATATCATATCAATAAATTTATCTAATACTAAAATAAATGGGGATGTGTTAAAGTAAATTTATTCATCAAAAATATCACATTTGAAAATCTTAAAATTAAAAAATTGCAATAATATTTTGTTTGATGATTTATAACTCTTTTTAAAAAATTATAAAGCAGCATATCTTTAAACATTTTACATAAGTAGCAAATAAATATCTACTAAAAAGCTTGTAACAGAGTTAAAGAATCTATAATCTTTAACTTAAACTTAAATCATTTTTAATGAGTATAAATTAATATTAGTATAGTTAAGAAAAACAAACTGATATATCTAATTTACTTACCGCAATTCTGACTTGGGTAGCCATTTTAATAAGCAAATAAAAACTATAAAAATTAACATTAGACTTAAGAGATTGCAAAGGGATCAATAATGGTTTTGATTTATTCTTAGAAGAGATCCAATAATTAAAAGGAGAATAATATTGTACATTGATATTTAAAATCTCTAAGTAAGATATTGTCTAATTAAAGTTCCTCAATGCCAGTTTCTATAATAAATTAGTTGGAATAGAATTACAAATCAATTCAATTTGTTTAATGATAGTTATTTTATTTATTTAATGAAAGAACGTTTTAAAAAGAAAGACAATTTCAATAGTAAAATGATTCTTACTCAATTATTCTCATTATTATGCACATATTATAGTGGTTTGATAGTAGTATGTCTATTTTTGGATTTTGCTGTGGGATTATAAGTAAAGTATTAAATGAATCAATAATAATTAGTTTCATCTAGGGTAAGTTTGGGATTTTGGAATCTATAATTATGATACATACTTCAGTGTCAATCTATTGAGTAATATTTTCAACATTTTAGTGGTTGTAAGTGGATTGGTAAAATTGAATTTTTTAATTGTAGATTTTTATTGTAGTAAAAGGAAGCAAAGTGTTAGATTTTATATTCTCCTTATATCTATGGCATTTCATTATTTGTTGTATTTTAAGCTCTTCTGAATATAANGATAGCTCATTCACAAGGTCTATAGAATATTGAATATTTGAATTTAAAGAATTAGGATATTACTCATTATGGAATGAAACATTTTCTCTAATCTTAATTTATTACTAATATCATATCAATAAATTTATCTAATACTAAAATAAATGGGGATGTGTTAAAGTAAATTTATTCATCAAAAATATCACATTTGAAAATCTTAAAATTAAAAAATTGCAATAATATTTTGTTTGATGATTTATAACTCTTTTTAAAAAATTATAAAGCAGCATATCTTTAAACATTTTACATAAGTAGCAAATAAATATCTACTAAAAAGCTTGTAACAGAGTTAAAGAATCTATAATCTTTAACTTAAACTTAAATCATTTTTAATGAGTATAAATTAATATTAGTATAGTTAAGAAAAACAAACTGATATATCTAATTTACTTACCGCAATTCTGACTTGGGTAGCCATTTTAATAAGCAAATAAAAACTATAAAAATTAACATTAGACTTAAGAGATTGCAAAGGGATCAATAATGGTTTTGATTTATTCTTAGAAGAGATCCAATAATTAAAAGGAGAATAATATTGTACATTGATATTTAAAATCTCTAAGTAAGATATTGTCTAATTAAAGTTCCTCAATGCCAGTTTCTATAATAAATTAGTTGGAATAGAATTACAAATCAATTCAATTTGTTTAATGATAGTTATTTTATTTATTTAATGAAAGAACGTTTTAAAAAGAAAGACAATTTCAATAGTAAAATGATTCTTACTCAATTATTCTCATTATTATGCACATATTATAGTGGTTTGATAGTAGTATGTCTATTTTTGGATTTTGCTGTGGGATTATAAGTAAAGTATTAAATGAATCAATAATAATTAGTTTCATCTAGGGTAAGTTTGGGATTTTGGAATCTATAATTATGATACATACTTCAGTGTCAATCTATTGAGTAATATTTTCAACATTTTAGTGGTTGTAAGTGGATTGGTAAAATTGAATTTTTTAATTGTAGATTTTTATTGTAGTAAAAGGAAGCAAAGTGTTAGATTTTATATTCTCCTTATATCTATGGCATTTCATTATTTGTTGTATTTTAAGCTCTTCTGAATATAATAAAATGTGGTTTATAATGAATACTATACTAAGTATTATGACCATATTTTTGGGAGAATATCTTTGTGTTAGATTTGATTAATAAGATACCTTAATTATAGATAGATTATTTAAGAACAAGAAAAAACCTATTGCAGAACATAAAAGAAATGATGATATTATTAAAATCAATATATAATGAAAAAATTTCTGGTTTAAAATATTACCATATTCTAGTATTTACATTAATATACTCTTAAATAAACAGAAAACATTTTTTAAAGTGGAAAAATAAAAATATCAATATTATTCTTGTTTAATCTTTATTGAAAACTCATTTCAATATCAAAGTGTTAAATACTTAAAGAGTATATTAAATTATTAAAAAGTTGAAACTATATAATCAAACACATTTTTGATGCTATTGAAAAAGGTTGCTGATTGAATAGATCAAATTATATTTAAGTTTAGATTGATTATTTATTAGATGTAATTTAAGTATATTTTATAATAGAATCTAATAATTTTTTAGATGTTAATAATACAATTAATTGAATGAATATTTTGATATTTATTGATAAAGATTCAGAGAATGATATGTTTTTATTATAATGTTATATGATTCTGATATTTGAGTAAATTTTATAATATAGAATATTTATAAAACATAAGATTGAATATTTATATTTATTATAAAATAGAATGGGTAATTGCTGTGATGTTAATAAGAAACATAATTCTCCTAAAGTTAATATAAGTGTACCTTAATTTATCGAAAATCAATCAGAAACAGTTATTAAAGAATAATCTATGAAATATAAAGAAGAGGGCAATCAATATATGCAGTAAAAGTTATTTAAAGAGGCCATCATTGCATATACATAGGCAATTGTACTATATTTGATAAAAGATAGAATTTATATAACAAAGAATCTATATATTATTCAAATCGTGCAGTTGCCTATCGAACTCTCTCAGATTATACTAATGTAAAGAAAGATGCAATGCAAGCTTTATAATTGGATAATAAAAATGTTAGAGCTTATTTTGTATTGGGAACAGTTTATTTAATTTTGGGGTAATAAGATAAATGTTTGATTTAAGCAACAGATGGTGTTAATTTTTTGATATAAGGTATAGAAATAATAAATTAATAAAGCTTAAAAGCATATTTAGTTAAAACCATAATTGTAGGAATGTGTTGATTACAATTATTCATAAGGACTTATTTTGAAATCTAAATTGGAATAATCAGAAAATTATAAAGGCATTATATTTTGTATATATTCTTAGAATTCTTAAAATTAAAGGAGAAATTAAATAAATTCTATGGCCATTAAATTAATTTAAGTAAATTATCATATCCAGGAACTAAAGAAAATTATGTTTCTCCTTCTGTAGAATGTTATACATGTATCATAACCTAAGATTTGATGCATGAACCTACTTTAATTAGTAGTGGACATACTTATGAGAGATGTTCTATAATTGAATGTATAAGAGTAAATGGACCTTATGATCCAAAGACAAGAAAAATTATTATGGGTGATTTCATACCAAATATTTAATTAAAAAATGCAATAATGGATTACTAAAATAATACTCTTGAATTTTAATGAAGAAATATATATGTTCATTTGATTATTTATATTTTTTCTTAGATTTCTTTTGGTATGTTCTATTATACATTTATTTGATCTATTTCACTAATATATTTGTGATAAGTTCCCCATAATAATATTCCATTCTCCCAATATCCTCCAGCTATAAGATTTTAATCACAATAAAATCCAATACTATTAGGGTTACCATCTGCACTCTAAAATCCTATATATAATTGATGATTATTTCTAATAATATCAGGTTCATTTTCAAATTATAAATATTTCTCATTAACATCAATTTCCTTATCTAATTTATTTTTGTTATATAATTCCTTTAATTTTACATTATGAACATAACCTAAACTAATAATAAAGATTTTTACCTGAAATTAAAGTATCCATAAATTAATATATCCTTTTGAAAAATCTTAATTTCTTTTGATGATTTAATTTTTATCTAAATTAATAAATTATTTACATCTCATCTTGTTCTTGTTTTTCATATTCTTTCTATAAAAGTTTAAATTCTTCATATTACTTTAATTACTCTTAAGTAATAGTACCATAGTATTAAAATAATTGATTATTTAATAATGATACCCATATACCCCAAATGAATTCACCTTCCTCCCAAATTCCATCTTTTATTGAATAATTTCCTTCAAAAAGTATTCCTATAATATTTATCTATCAAATATACCTCTTCCATGTAATGTTTAATTATCATCCATTAAACTACCAAAATATAATTAATCTTTATTTATTTTTTTAATATCTTATTATTTAATGAATTATAAATAATGATATTCTTCTGGAATTTCAAAATAGAGTAATAATTATCTATGTTGATTAACTACTTTAGGATTCATTACATTTTATAGAATTTAAGATATCTTTTCTTATTCTTATTCATCCCATTAAAATCTTTTTATATTAGATGTTTTTAATTCATCATAATCCTTTATTGTTTTTAAATAGTTAGTTTATACAATAATTGATTTCATTTATCTCTAAATTTATTCATCTACTACTCCTTCTTTTGATATAATTTCTTTTGCTTAATTCTCTACCAACCATAAACCATATACAAATTATCCATTTTTAAATAATCCATCCTAAATAAATGTTTAACCAATTATGATTCCTCTTCCATGTAACATTCCATTTACATTTTAACCATAATAAATAGATTAATCCTATTATTCAAGTGTTGTTATTTCACATTATTCTGTTTCAATATCAATTTATATACTACTTAAAATAGAATTATGTTCTTCTCTTAATTTTTCTTACCAATCTGCTAATTTTTGAATGAAATCCTTATTTTCAAAGTCTATTTATTTATTAACAAATTTAAATACCTTATAAATATTATGAAATTTCTTAAATTTCATCTTCAGTCCAAAGTAATTTAATTTGAAATTCATTTAGTACTTTTTTTAAAATAAGGTGTCTAATCTTTAAAAGTCTTTAACTAATAGATTATTGAATAATAGAGAATTCCTTTTTATTTATTTAATTTTGTTTGGAAATATAATTATCAACTAAAGTTCTGTAGGAATTCAATTATTCAAAAACAATTTATTAAGTGAATTCAATATCTTATAATAATTACTATGATGAATCTTTAATTGATTTTTCAAGGTCTTGAAAATCATTTGCATTCATGAGTTAATGATTTTAATGAGTTTCTAAAAGACATTCACAACAACAATAATATTATTTGTAACATTCTCTCTCAAGACATACTGACTATATAATTTACATATGTTGTAGGCATAATTATTTTTCCATTTATTTCTTTTTTTGAAATATATTTAATGTAAAATTTCTTAATGAAATACATTGTTGTTTGTAAACTAAAATCTTAATTAAATTTTTTTTTTAAATCAAAAACAAAATCATGAGCAAAGCCAGATAAATGAACAAAAAGAAGAAGTTCGTTGCAGACGGTGTCTTCCAAGCTGAATTACACTCCTTTTTAAGCAGAGCTTTGACTGACGCTGGGTATGCTGGATTTGTTGTCAGAACAACCCCAGTCTAAACAGACATTGAAATCAAGGCTGCAAACACTGCAGGAGTCACAGGACCAGAAGGAAGAAAATTAAGAGAACTCACAAGCTTAATCCAAAAGAGATTTGGATATGCCAAAGGTATTATATTATTTTATATCTTCTACTTTAGAGGCTCTTTAATTGATTGTCGCCAGAGTTCAATCAAAAGGTTTATGTGCACCAGCCTAAGCTGAATCACTCAAAACAAAATTACTTGCTTAAGTACCAGTCAGAACTGCTGCTAATGCAGTTTTGAAATAAATTATGGCTGATGGTGCTATTGGTGCTGAATGTATTATCTCTGGTAAATTGGGATAACAAAGAGCCAAGTCAATGAAATACAGAGCTGGTTACATCATCTCCACAGGTCAACCAAAGAAAGATTTAATTGATGTTGCTGTCAGACATTGCTTCTTCAAATAAGGTATCATTGGAGTCAAAGTAAAGATCTACAGACCATATGACCCATCTGGTATTATATTTTTATTAATCTTTTAATAGGCAAGAAAGGAATTCCCATTGAAGTCCCAGATAAAGTCAGATTCCCAGAATAAAAGGCTGAATAAGAAGAAGAGGAAATTAGAGAAATTATTCAATGATATCAATGTATTCTAATATATAAAATAATTAATCATGTCTTCAGATTATGTATATAATTCCAAATTTCATTTTAGTTAACGGTAAAAGAAGTCATTCTCTAAATGTTGGCAAGTCCTACATGGTAAAATCAATATAATTCATTTGTTGATGAGTACTGCATTTATTTTGATGATGATGAAGAAAATTCAATACAACAAAATAATATATTCAAGCAATTTCAAACTGAAATGGCAGTTGTCTATGACTCCTTTTTCAGTTCATTAGGCTTAGATAATTCTGATGAATTACAAATTTAGGTAAATATTGTAATCCTCTTTATAAAGGTTATCAAACAAATACTTAATAGTGATGGTGAAGAAGAAATTGATGTACAATAATTGTTAGCCTTGGGAGATTTTTAAGTTTTCAAAGCAGAAATGTCCTATTAAAATAAACGCAGAGAAATTGCAGCCTATCAATAATTAGTAGATGATGAAGAAGAAGAAGAAGATGATGAAGAAGAATAAGAAGTTGAACAAAATCCTTTAGCAGAATAAGCCCAAAAAATGCTCATTCTAAAAATCAAATTGGAGTATGAATAACTATAAGAAGTACTTGAATTAAAATAGGCTATGTAAATATCTCTAGATACTCCCAGTATATCTATTTATCAATAACGTTAGACTAAAAGAAACTAGAATTAATTTCATAATTACTCGAAGTAGTTTAAGCTAGGTTGTAAATTCTCGAAAAAGAAGAAGAAGGAATGCAATAAAAATAATAAATGACTTAAGATAATGATAGAAAAGCTAAATTACTTGCTCAACTCAATGACCTACCCTTAATTGATTTATAGAAAGAGCAAGAAATATTCACAAAAATATAAATAGATGTTGATAAAATATGATAATCAACCTCATTATTAGGATTTTATAAATATATGGAATTTGCATATTTTATATTATTATAAAACCATGATGGCAGAATTGTAAGCAAGATAGGCCAAATTGGCCTTGCAAAAAATGACTCCAGAAGAGCGAGCAGCTTATGAAGCTAAAAATAAACCTCCTCCTCCTACTAACTCTGCAGATTTCTAAGCTAAGCTTGCCATGTTAAATTAATAAGAAACAGGACCTGCATAATCATAATAAACTGCTCCTCCAAATACTAAAGTTATAGTCAATAAAGCCGCTCCTCCTCCTCCTCCACCTCCACCACCTCCTCCTCCTCCCAAAGGAGCAGTATATGATTCTCATATTATTTTATAAGCCACCTCCTCCACCACCCAGGCCTCCTGGTCCTCCTGCTGCTAAACCAACAACAAATCCACCTAACCCACCACCAGCAAAACCAGCATATTAACCTCCTCCTCCTCCTGTTTAAAACAACCCACCTCCTCCACCTGTGTAGAACCTTCCACCTCCTCCACCTCCACCTGTGTAGAACCTTCCACCTCCTCCACCACCACCAGTATAATAATAAGTTCAAGCTCCATCATATCAACCTCCAAGTCAGCCAATTTAATAAACAAGTGATGTTACATATTTCCCAGTCCCAGGTTAACAAAAGTAATAATCATAAGAAGCATCTTTTCCAGTTCCAAAAAATTAACAGAGTATCTAATATTATATTCTTTAGGATAGACTGTGGGAGATGCAAAATAAGTGGAATTTCCGGAATTGAAGCAAGATAAGAAATAAAAGATTGAGATCAATTATTTTTTAGCTATTGTTGGTGTTAATCTATAATAATAGCTACAAGCAACTGTATTTGATAATATTGATAAAATTAAACAATTAGAAGCTCCCTCTAAAAATGATAATCAGAATCCAGAATTCTTTTCGATCAAAAAGGGATTCAGAAAATTAGATAAAGACCCTTACTAAGCTGTGATTTATTTTTAAAAATCAGACACATCAGTTGTAAAAGTTACTAGAAATTTTGAAAGATACCTCAGGAATGACAATAATACTTGGACACATAATTAAAATAAGCAACATTTATAATTATTAAAGGAGAAATATGAGAATGAAATATAAAAATATAAAGCAGATTATTCTCATAACATTTAATAAAATGTTTTGAAACAAATAGATGAAAATAGATTTTAGGCAGCATCTAAAAAATTAGATGAAATAATAAAAACTAAATTTAGTAATAATGATTATTCTGCAGCATAAACATTACTTGTATAAATTTAAGTAAAATTTATTAAATATTTTAAAGAATTTAAAAGATACAAAAAAGAAATATGATGAATTGAATCCTGCTGCTAGATAAGATCTTGTAGGTTCTTTAGAATCTATGATGATGGCTATAGAATCAATGGCTTTATGAATGTTAAATATCATTATTATGATGCATAAACAATATATTATAAAAAATGATAGCATTAATATTATTTAATTTAATGCTTAAAGTATGAATAAAGTTCATTTACTTTGGTTATTGATTAATTTTTTGTTATATTTTATGAGTTTTTGAGTATACTATTTTACTTTTTATTTTAAATACACTATTTCTTAATTTTATATTGTAATCTTGTCTTCTAAAGTTTTAATTTGTTCTTATTTTAATTAGACAGAATTATTGTAATTCTATTCCATAATATTTAAATATTTTTTTGCATTATTTTAATTAATATTATATCTTCTCAAAACTTTAATCTGTTAATTAAGTAATTAAACTTAAGCATTCAATTATTTAATTGTTTTTATTGAATTTTTTAGATGATTTTCTAAATCAATAGGATCTTTTTTCTCTGAATGAAAAGAATAATTAGAATAACTTTTTTTTAAATGATTGAAATTAACATTATTTTCATCAAATTAAAAAGATGCCAATTCTTATTTTATGTCAATAGTATCTTCATTAATATCAAATGCTGTTGTATTAATATCTTCTCTAATATGATGATTATCTCCTTATTAATCAATTGATGAAAATGCACCTACTTTGCCATTTCCAATAGATTCTTATTTTTCATATTTTTATGTTTATATAAGTAATTCTAATTCTGTTTTCTTTACCATCAGCTCATTAATTGTATTAGTATAGATTTTATTTTAATTATTTAATTTTTAATTTTACATTTTAAATGCAGAAGTTTATGACTATAATTCTTAAAGTTCTTAATGAGTAGACTATTATAATTTAATAAATATATATTACGTTAATTTATTCTAAATATTGATTTTTCTCTTTGTAATTATTTTATTATAATTATTCTAATTCGATTTATAATTTAAGTAATTATCTATTTTAAGTAATTTGAATTTCTTCCAATTTAGAATTGGTTTCTTTAAATTATTTATTTTAATTTATTAAAGATATTTACATGTTTTCCTTAATTTCTAACTACTTTAAAATGAATATTTTACTTCATTTTCTAATTTATTTATTTTATCTTCTAAAATAAAAATTTATTCTAAATGACTCTTTAATTTTTAATCAACTGTAAATTCATTCTATGCAATTTAATCTAATAAATATTAGTTCCACACTTTTTCTTATTCTTACAATTATTCATAATGTTTTGTTTATAAATGCTCCAATCTAGTTTATAATTCCTAAATATGACTAAAATTAAACTAAATTTAGTTACTTCTTATATTGAATAACTTCTTCTTGATTATTAAGACTAGGTCTTTTGGAAGAATGTTGTAATTGTAATTCTAGATGTTCTATCATCTAATCTTTTTCAACTATAATATCAATTGCACTCTTCTCTAATTGTTCAATTTAAATTTAGAGTTCATTAATATGTTCCAAGGCATAATTATATGCTTAGATCATGCTATTAACATCTAGGTTTCTAAAAACTTATAAAGAATAAATGGTGTTAGGCATTCAATTTAATTACGTATATAATAAATATTATTTACAGATGTAAATAGTAAATAATAATAATATATTAATATTATATAAATTAATTAGCATAATAATAGTAAATAGAAAAATGAAATAACTTATACTTATCCTTTATTATATCTAAAAATAATTTAAAGAAAAAACAAAAAAAAAATATAAGTATGCTTAATAATTATTTTGTATAATTCTTATATTCCATATTATCTGCAAAAATATTTTAATGATCAAATGTTTGTCTTCTTTATTGGATGATTAGTATAATTGATTGATATTTGTTATAATAATGATTTCATAGATTATTAAATCTATATTTGCAATAAAAAATAATAATATTTTTAGTTTTTTAAGGGAATTTAAATTATTTTAAGTTCATATAAAATATTTAATGTTATTTATTAATGCTAAGTTATCAATTGTTTATATGTTTTACATTTTATAATTATAAATTTGAGGTAAAAATTTCCACAAATGAATAAATGAAATAATAGACAAAAAAAGTATATTTGAATGCAATTTGGATAGGAACTCTGTATATCATTTATAATATAGACTAATTCATAATTATTTAGATAAAATTTCAACAAACACAATTAATCATAAATAGCAGTATTTAGGAGAAAAAAAAGTATGATGTTGGATTTTCCTTTATGTTGATTGATATATGTAGAAAACAGATTAACTATACTTATTTATAAGAAATAGAAATTTTGGGGAGATTTTTTATTTGACAAATAATTATGATACTCTAATAGTGGAAATGCATTAATTAATCAAAAATTTGCATTCACATTAACAGGACAAAGTATATTTATGTAGATAGAACTATTTCAAAAAGAAATAAGAACAATATTTTTTTTAGTTTACTTTGTGGCAAACAATACAATTAATTATTTATCAGAAAATTTGGTTTACTTTTAAAAAAACATATAAATTAGATTCATTAATAAAAAAAAAAAGTATTTCAGAATGGATTAAAGCGAGAATTTTGAATAGGATCAAGGACCAATTGACTATTATAAAGAATCGATTAGACTATATTACTACAATATTGTTTTACATTCTTATGTAAATAATTAGTATTAAGTATTAGTTAGAGAGAGTGAACTAAGAGAAAAATGAGATTAAGTCTAAATTGTAAAAATTCTAAGTTTTAGAGGATTAAGAGAGTGATATATCATTAGAGGATAAACGGAAAAGGAATAGGAGAAGCGCAGTTGAAATTCCTAGAAGTCATGTGTGCACAATCTCTAATTGCAATAAATCCTATGGATCTGAGGGTTCATTGATGTAACATATGAAGATCAAACATGGTATGGTGGTGAATCAGGATAAAATTGGTCAAGTTCTTGATCAGTTTAGATTTCAATATAGTAGTAACTCAAACTGATTTTAATTAATATAATTAATGGATCTATGTTTTATACATTCTAGAATTAGATGATTCTTCAAAGGCAATTCTACACTAAGAAATCTAAATAGATTCTAACAATAATAGATTTAAAAAATCAATTTGCTATTCTTAGAATACATTAAGGATCAACTCTTTTCAAAACATAATAAGTATTAAATCATAAAGTCAAACATAATGCTTTAATGTTTATATTGCTCTTTAGCAAATATCTTTGAATGTGAATCTTTCATAACTAGATCAAAACTAAAAATAATAATCTAAGGTTTTAGAAATAATTCAATTTGCTTGATTTATTTGTTAAATCATTCTAGAAAATGTATTTAAATCAATAAGCAAATGTTATGTATTTGTTTAATTGAAGAGCTTTATAATTTTGTTGATTAACTTTATAGTTTTCAAATTACATAAAAATTAGATAGAATATTAACAATAAAACATATAATAATAATGATATTTACTAAATATTATTTATTTAGTCATAATTACTAAAACTAATATATTTAGATGATTAAAATTAAAATATATTGAGTTTAAAATCAAGTATAAGTTATTTAAATTAAAATCATTTGTTTTATATAAGTATTTTACATTGGAATTGATTATGAACAAATATAATAATTTTTAGTTACTTTATAAATAATTATATTATAATTTTATATCTATTTATCATAATAATGTGGAATAATCAAACTAGTTCTCAATAATTTTCATAATTCTGGTATGTAGACTTGTAACTTAATAGATTAAGTTTTATTAGAATTTTAGTAAATAATATATTTCCATGCTTACTGGTTACTAAGAATTCTAGATTTTATCTAATTTTGTTAACTATTTCTCCAGTTTTTTAGTTTATTTACTTCTAAAATCCATTCTTTTTGATTTTCCTCTATCAGCTTCTGAACAATCCTCATCATCTCTTTGATTATAGTCGTCATAAGAAGTATCTAAAGATAATTGTTTTTAAGACTTTTTCTCCATAAAATAATAAATAAATAATCAAATATTATCAGGATTAAATCTTATATATAATAAATCATGATATTTATTTTAAATCAATTTGAATTAAAACAATGATATATTTATTTATAATATAAGAATTTGAGTATATTTTCATTTAATTGTTTATAATTTTATAGATTATCAACAATTATAAAGATAATATATTCAATTTCTTAATGATTAAATATACTATAAATAATTGAAGATATAGTTAATGAATATATGTAATTTTTTTAAATATTCACATATGAAATTGATATAATTATTTTTTAATAAATGTATTAATCTAGTATTGATTAGAACATTATATAATCTACAACAGTTAAAACAATCAAAGAACTCAAAAAACTAGGAGATTCAAGGATTAATTTAGAAGCTGAGGATAATGAAATTAATGATTCTACTGTAAGTGGAAAAAACTCTCCTGGTGGAGATACATCAAAAACTTAGCATACAAAAAATTCAATAATTAAAAATCCAAAGTTTAAATTCAATGCTTAGACATAGAATCGTATTGTCTCTATGAAATAGACTATCAATAAATAAACTGAAGAAGCTACAGAATAAAGTAATGGATTCAGAAGAGCCTCTTTAAGATAAGGTTCAATCAAACCTTATAAAGCTAATACTTAATTATAATTATAATTATAAGAAAATGATCCTGTTGATTTGAATAATGCAATTAATTTAGTTTTAACAAAATGCAAGAATATTAGAGATGAATTTGAAGAATTATAACTTACAAATACTTTGATTAACAAATTTATTAAAAATGACAAACAATTTCATTTTACATTTTAAGCTTTTCTTGATGATTTAGTAGTAAAAGGAAAACTATCTCAAAATTTAACTAATATATAAAAACCAATTTTACAAAAAATTGAATAATTTACTATAAATCATGTTAAAAGATGTATTTAAAAATCTTAGATTAATCAATAATATGAAGAAAAATCAAAGCATGTTGATACTTTATTTAATCGATACTATAGAGAATTAGCAAATATTGAATAAAATATAAAATACTTTTGAACAGATAAGAATAGTTTGAATGATGATCTTAGTATTGTTTTTATTAAATTTGATATATCTAATTATCTCATTGTTTCATATTATCATTAAAATAAATATATTTTCATCATGATTGATATAAATTATTTACTTTAATGTATTCTATAATTTCTGGTGTTAATATACCTAAACAATCTAGATATTGAGTACAAGAATTCTTAATCCTTTTTCTAATTTCAGTAGAACTAATTCCGAATTCAAAATCTTACACCATTTCATAATTAGGAGGTAGAATTGCATTTTAATTGATTTTATGTGAACTTCTATTAAGAATAATAAATTTAGTTTCTGCAATTAATTTTAAACCTTCAACCCAATTAGGTAAACTATTTACTAAATCACTGCCAATCACAAAATAAACATCTTAATATTTATCTCTCATTTTTTATAACATATAATATGTAGGCACCAATTATCCATTTTATAATTCATAATCATCTATTACAACTAAATCTATATTTTTAAATTGATCTTTAGTTCTTTAAATATTCAAATACTTTCTACAAGCAATTATAACATTTTGTATCTATGAAATCCATCTGTTAATTATTTATCTTTTCTATTACCACATGGTACTAAAACTATTTTCTATATGATTTTTTAATTTATTAATTCTGCTATCATTAATAAATGGCCAATTGTAGGAGGATCAAATGATCCACCAATAATGCCAATTTTAATTTAGTTTTAATTCATTAAAATAATTATAATTATTATTAAATCAATTAAGCTTCATTTTCATTCTTTGCCACTAGTAAATCAATTCTTTCTAAATATTCTAATTCATCTTATAGTTTATTTATAATTTATATTTATTTTCTTTCTCCTTTTTTTAAAAACTTTTAAACTTTTTCTGTTACATTCTCAAAAGTTTAAAAATTCTAATTAATCTTAGGAATTATTGGACCAGGAGTATTTCTCAATTATTCCCAATTAATTGATGCTAAAAATGGATGATTTTTTATTTCATCAATTGATACATATCCTAATCTTTATGTAAAATCTGGATTTAATAATTATTTTAACAAATCATAAGCTTAGTATGATATTTATTCTTCTGGATCATTACCAATTTCAGGCCATTCAATATCTCCTTTTAATATATTTTGATAAATCTTTTCAACAGATTCATCATTAAAAGGAGGAATACCAACTAGAAATTCATATAAAATAATTCCAAGTGACCAAAAATCTTAAGATTTATGTGAAAATGATTAACCACTTATAATTTCAGGAGCAATATAATCTGGAGTTCCAATTATTCTTCTATCAGCATTCTCTGGAATTATATTTGACTTTTTAAATGATCTTCCCTTTTTCATTTGATATATTGGTGAAGGAGATAAATCACTTTATGAAAAACTCTATTGACTACATTACTTAATCATTTTTTTATTGATTCCTAATTCACTAAGACCAAAGTCAGCTAATTTAATATGTCCTTATTAATCTAACAATATATTTTCTGGTTTTAAATCTCTATGTATTATATTATTATTATGTAAATATTCTAAAGCTATAAGTATTTCAGAAAAATAATGTCTAGCAATGTTCTCATCAAAAGCCTAGAATAAATTTAATAATTTACTCCTTCATTGATGAGAATTTTAGAGAAATCTCCTCCAATCATATATTCTTAAGCAAAACATAAAGATGATTCATGTTAAAAAGAGTAATAAGCTTTGACTACATAATCACCTGTTAAAATTTCAAATATATTTCTCTCTTATTTAAGTTATTCCAACAATCTTTCAAATCTTTTATTACAACAATTAATTATTTTCATTGCATATAAGTCTCCTGTTATAATTCTTTTTACTAAAAATACACTACCATATGCACCTTATCCTATTTATCTTATGAAATTAAAGTCTTTTAAACCTATATTTCTTTCTTTTATCTTATTCTTAACATCTAATCTAATTATTTCAGTATCAGAGAAGTATCCTCTTTATAATTCCATAAAACAAGCAGATTCAAAATTTGAATCATCCTCTCTTTATGTTGATTTATTTACTACTACAATAGTATCTATAATATCATCTGTTTCACTATCTGAACTTCCACTTTTAGCAAAATAACTTTTCTTTTATATTTCTTGTTTAAGTTTTGGTTTTTCTGATATTTAATCACCTTCTGATGAAAATGTAGACTATCTCTTTGGCCATTCTAACAATTTACCTCTTTTTCTTAGATTATTGATTATAGAATTTGATTTGACTGGAGTATCTGGTCTAGAAATACTTTTTCTATCTGATTGTGTATCTTCTGAAAAACTTGACTTATGTCATAATTTATACTTTGAAGAATTCAAATAATCAGAAAATGAGTTCATTTTATTATGAGTTTCACTATTAGATTTAGGACTGTCTTTACTGAACTTGCTTAATCTAAAGGAAATGCTGGGAATGCTTTGAAATTTTGCTAGGATTACAAAATTTAATACTTTTATAGCATAAGTCTAATCTCTAATTTATCAGACTATTCATTTGCTCTATCAAATTCAAAATCTAAGGGTTTCTTATAATTTGTTAGGCTTACATGAATTCATTTTGAGATATAAGATGATCTAATATAAATATATATTAAAATACATTTAGCATCTACCTCTGAATTTAATGTTCTTTCACCATAAGAAATTAAGACTTGAAGTATTTTATATTCTTAATAAATTTCCTATGTATATTCAGGTGACATCTAATCCCATTTCAATCGAAGACTATTAAGACTATTTTAGATAGAAATTCAATACTATTTTTAACCCCTTGAATGAATTTAGTGCTTTTTTTTATAAGCATTTTCACAAACTTTGGCAACTTGTAAATTCAATTTGATTTCCTTTCTTCTATACTCAGCACGAGTTTTGCAAGTTTCGTTGTGTAATTTAAGAAAATCAATCTTTATTGGCAAATTGCAGATTCTACAGATAATTTTATGTTCCATTAATTTATTTAAGAACTTATTATGCAATAACCAGTTTTTTATGATTGTAAAGAATACACTTTATAATAAATGACGAATTTTTAAATCGAAGCAGAATATATACTATAACTTTCCCAAATTTAAAATAGTGTCAATTTTTTAAAGGATGTTTAAAACGAAACGATTTGATTGTTCCAGAAAAAGAAGAGCCACTATGTATAATTTGAAATTAAATGAAGAAATCAATCAAAATATTAATTAGATTAAATAATAAACAGAACTAGCCTTATATGGAATTTTTAATCTGGAATTTAATTATAGGAAATTCTTAAAAATACAAAAACTGAATTCTCTATTATATTTTAGAAAGAGATTTGAGCACTTTCATATATGTATTTACTTTTGGGGTTGTTATTGTAGTAATTATATGATTTTGAGTAGGAAAATTGTAATTAGGAAATATAAAAGAAAAAGCTATTGATTTACATAAATTATTTTTGATAAATATTGAATTATGAATATTATTTTATCATGTCTCAACTTAAAATAAATAACAATTAAAACTCACTCAATTTATTAAATTAATAGTTGGTTCCACATTTATAACTGATCTTATTAAGCTCGCTTTAGATAATATTCAATCTAACTTTTAGAGATTGTTAATCAAATTGAGAACTTTCTGATATTTTATTGTTGGTTATAATATAAAGAATTGTATATTTATAAATTAAGGGTTGTAATATAAAAGAAAGATCATTCTAAGTTTATGATTCACTTATTTCTGTGAATAAAAGAGGCAGTTTATAAAGGACTAACGATGGATTTTGAGGAGGCTCTTCTTTGAAATATTGGGTTCTTTTTAATCACATAAGGACTTTCGTCTTGAGTATTCTATTAGATTTATATCTGAGTCTTTGTAGATGAATGAGGTTAAGATTTATAAGAAGTTTTAGAGTTCATGCAGCCCATTATTTATTTTAAATATTAATTTAAAACAATAAAATTGAGACTTATAAATCTGAAAAAATATAATTATTCATTATGTTTAATCAGTATATTTTAATTAGTCACCAACAAATAAACGAAAGTCATATTTGAGTTTTCGACTAAGTTTCTGATAGGCTTTTAGCAGAATAATTAAATTATTCAGTTTCATCATTCAGTATTTCACATAAATCTAAATTCTTAAGTGCTGAACTATTCTTTTTATGAACACTTTACAAAGGGGAATCATTTTCAATTAATTGCATCATTTCATCGAATTCATATTTAGATTTAGATTAACGATGATTCATGTGAAATTCTCTAATTTAATTATTATACTAAAGATAATCTAAAATTTCCTTATAAAGGTCAGAAATATCTTAGTTATGATTAATAAATAATTTTGTATGAGATAATTAATTTGTATCTTCTTAAAATGTTTTATGAGAAAAAATATTGTTCATACAAAAAAATAATCAATCAAAAATATGACACTTACTAATTTTAAATTCTAGAATAGGATTTTTGTGATTGTAAAGTATTGATTAATAATATAGCCTATCATACTTGATTGCTAAATCTTAATTTTCTAATTCTTATAATTGTTACTCAGTTTAAAAATTCATTATAAAGTAATCTTGAGGATTTGCATCCAAAGTTGACACTCTTGCTCTTTCCTTTTATTACTGCATTATTGGACTTTTATTATGTATAGAATATCTTGAAAATTTAGATGGTTCATAACTTATAGAATAACCTACTTTTATGCTTTCTTTTTCTTTATTCTAATCACTTATGCTATTTTATTGTTAATTTTCATCACTTGAATGATAAAGTGTTTTATCATTTTAATCAGGAAATACAAAAGTTTAATGTTATTTTTAAACAGGTGTTTAAGGTTAATTTATTAACTTTTATGATGATTCTTGTTGAATATTATTTTAAGTTTTATGAAATTAGGATTTCGATTTATTAAGTATTTTTGCAGATTTAGATGATTTTATGGATTTATTTGACTACATTCTCTTATTAATTCTAATCTTTTTGTTCCAATCAAAGGGCATAGTATCATTTTAATTTTCAACCTTAAATAAATCTTTCAATTATATATAATTGGGTTTAACTCTAACTGATAGTCCTTTGACATATTTCATATACCTATACTAAGAATAGAGGAACAAAATCACTTTAATATTTGCGAAGGCAGATTCTCACACAATTCTTCAGGAGAGATATCTTGTTTCATAAGACCAATTTTTTCAATTCTTTCGCTGTCTTGTTTTTCTATATTCATCCAAGGTAATTAGCCATTGAGAAAATAGATAAGTATATAACCCAAAGATTCAAGGTCATCTTTTCTGTTTTGTTCTTTACCAAGATGTGCTGCCAAGCTTGCATATCTTGTAGTCCCTATGAAAGAAATTTTCTCTTTGCTCTTTTTGTTCTATTAAAGATTCTTTGCTATACCAAAATCTATTAAATAAATTTTGTCTGAAAGAGATGCTCCAAGTATATTTTCTGGCTTTAGATCTCTATGTATTATATTTCTAAATTTTAAATTAGTTATACTTTGCATGAGTTTATTCCAAAATACTTATCATTTGATAAGCAATGTTACATACACATTCATAAGAAAACCTTTTAAGCTTCTTATAATAATGAGTTAGATCCTTGCCTAAAAGGTTTTGTATCATTATTTTGAGATTCATCTCTTATCCAAACCAATAAATTTTAGGCACTTATTAAACATCTTGCAAGAGTTTCAAAACTTCTACCTATATATCTTTTAGTTTTTAGTTATACTTCATGAGTTAAACTATTAAAGTAGGAAACTTCACTCTTTTCAACTTTTATCGCCACTTTCAGATTCATCGATTATGATCTGCCCAAATATACTTTTCCAAATGAACCTTGCGATAATAAACTCAAAATTTGATAATCTTAAGCAATTATATCTCCAGGTTTAAAATCTTGCATCAGAAAAGAAAATATATTTAATTATTTAACTTAATCAAATTATTAAGTAATAAGCACTGATTCATTTTAAGTTTATAAAAAAACTGTAAAAACCTTTCTTTTTATTCGATTGGAAAAATTGATTTTACTATTTATTTAATATTTTTAAAAAACATCTCAAAATCTCTGCCATTCTCATTTTTTTAAACAATTTTATGTATTTATATATATATACTAATATCAATTAACTAAATCAATATAAATTAACTAAATCAATATAAATTAACTAATGAATCTCAAAAGTATGGACAACTATTAGAAGGTTGATTATTATATATCTCTTTCTTATCTTTAATTGATTAACATCTTGTGGACCAAGTTAATCTTTTCTATTAAATGAATTTTGTATGAAAGTATTTAACAGATGTATTAGTAGGCAAATGAGCAGCAGGAAATTACTCATTGTAATATGGTTTTAGTGTAAATTCAATTGATGGTGAATCACAGATAGGAGGACTCAATATAATTATAGAAATTTCAGCACTTGGAACTTTATTTTGAACACATCCCATAGATTTGTTATATGATTTGCTAAATTTAATTATTATAATAAATAATCCATTTTTATAAATCAATAAGAATTATTATTATTTAAGGAAGTAAGAAATATTTGCAGAATCTTATATCATTTTAATTCATATATCTCATAGTTTCTTTTTCAAGTAATTTTGTTTTAAAATTTGATAAAATTAAAAAAAATCAATAAATTCTAATAAATAAATTTAATGTTGAAGTCACACTAAATTTAATATTTTAATAAAATTTATAATTTATACTAATCAATTATCTTATTATTCTTATTCTTATTCTTAATTTTCCTCGTTATTCTAAGGTAGTATTGGATCTTATTATACTTAAGGTTTATTGGGACTTTACTTTGATTTTTCTAATATTATCAATATTATGAATACTTGTCGAAATTGGCTATCTATTTTATTCCACTGTTTTTATCTCTTTCCATTGATTGATATCCTCTTCTAATCTTTTAGATGCATCTAAACTATAAAATTTATTTATTACCTTGTTTTCTTATTTTATTTGGTTTCTTTTTAGCTTCTACTTCCATCAAATATCTGAATCTCAACTCAATTCCAGTTTTGTCGTTTGGTAATGCCAAATAAGTGATTAATGCATCCAAAGTCTAATCATTAAAATTTTATCCTGAAATATTATCAGTTCCTATTATATCATTTAATGCTTAATAATTATCTAAAATCAATGCTTCTTTATCCATTTTCTTTTTTTCTTCTAATTCCTTTTTTGCTGCTTCTAATCTTTTCTCTTATTCTGATTATACTTCTTTAATTCTATTCAGCATAAACTCTTTTGTTTATTAAGTTCTTTTTATTGATTTTGGAGATTAATCTTAAGGCTATTCTTAATTCTCTTATTTTTATGGTTTTGGTTCTTTAATGCTTTTTGCTAATTTATTAAAGAATTCATATCCTTTTATACTTATTCTAAAGAGAGCTTCTAAAAATTCTACATAATCTAAAGATGCTGGTATTTCATTAGATCTATATGTAATAGCATTAAAGACTCTAATGAATTCAATTTGTGATATAATATCAGGATAAATTCTGAATCTATCTCCAAACCACATCCATAATTTTAATGGAATTTATTTAAAATCAATCATTTCAATAGATTTAAAATATTCCAATTACAATAATTCATATAAATAACTTAATTTAAAGTTATTATTAGTGAAAATTGTTTAATAAGTTTAATTTCTAAATAATTTTACAATTAATTCACTTGTTGCCTTTTCTTTTACTTTTATTTATTCACCTTTCTTTTCTATATTTTTATAAAGAGCTTCATGCATTTTTTAATGATCTATTTCCATTTATTTTCTTTCTTCAGCTGCCATTTAAATTTTAATTTATTCAGCCTTAAAGATTTCTCCATATTATTCAATTTTTTTTTGATTAAATAATTTGAATTCCTCCTTCTTTCTCTAGATTTCTTCAGCTTTCTATTTTTTTTCTAATAATTCTCTTTTAATTCTTTCTTATTCCTCTTCCTTTTATTTTTAAGCAATTTTATCTTTTTATTATTTCAAATATGCTTCTTATTCTTTTTATTTTTCTTCTTAACGAATTTTCTTTGGATCTTTCTAAGCAGCCTTAGCTTCCTCTTCCTTTTATTTTTATTATCTTTCTTTTTTCAATTTTTCCAATTTTGCTTTTGCTTATTCATGATTTTTTTAGATTTTTTCATCTCTCAATCTTTATTCTTCATCTTCCTTCTTTTTTTCTTCCAATTTATCCTATTAAACCTTATTTACAATATTCCATTTTCTTGTAATAGTTTTTTAATTGTTTTCTACTGCAAATATCATATCTTCCAAAACATCAGCTACCTGTTCAACTAATAATCTCTATTTATGTTAATTAAATGGTATCTTTGCCAATTCTAATTTGATACCCAAACTATATTATCTAAATGGTTCTATTTCTAAATTTCTCTTTGGTTAAGTTGGTACATTTGTCAAAGATTATGCAACAGAAGCAGATTTCCTCATTGATTTATTCTTTTATTCCATATAATGATCTTTTTCTAAATTTTATTTAACTTTGGATTCTACATATCCCAACATATTTGGTCTACATACAAGTTAGAATTCTTTAGAGGTTATTGGCTCAATTAAATGACAATTACAAATTTTAAAAACAATATCATCTAAAATTGAATATGCAATTGTATTTGAATCTTATAATTCAAATGCATAATTAAATTTAATAATCTCTTCCTTCTAAGTTTTATAACCTTCAGGTAAAACATATTTTGGATCTTCAGCTAATTTTTTATTGAATTCTTTAATAACATCTTTTTAATCAAAAAACATATTATCTGGATCATCATAAAGTTAAGTATTCTATCCTTTTGCTGCTGTAACTTATTTCATTCTTTGAATCATCATTTCAATACAAGTATGTGGTTAAATATATTTAGTTTTCTTAGTAAATAGAATACAAGCATATTAAGTAATAATATGTTTAAATCCTTCATAATTGAAATTTGTCAATTCAGTTTTACATTTCAAAAGTTAAATTGCAATAGATCTCATTAAAGCATGTACTTATTCTCTAGATACTTTAAATACTAATTCATAATCTTTAAGAAATGCCCACAATTCAGGTTCATTTATAGTATCTGATTAATCTTTTAATTCATCAAAATCTTTTGGTTTTATAATTTTATTTCCTGAATTAGCATATTTAAAGAAAACATATTTAAATATCTTATGATATTTTCTAAAGAGTTATTCAACTAAATATCGTTCTCTATCTTCTTCTAATTATAAATCCCATACTTCATATTCTGTTAATCCATGTTTATTTGGCTAAGCTGCACTTTTAGATCCATCTTTAAATACTAAATTAGTTTCTCTATCTTTAGTAATTGAAACACCTTATTCAATTGATCTCTTTTCTAATTATTTTCTAAGATTGGTCTTTTATTTCTATTAAGCTTCTTTCATTTATTCTATTTTTTATGCCTCACTTGTAGTTCTATCATCAAATTATTTCTTTAATGTTTCTAATTTTTCTAGTACTTTAGGATCTGCTTTAGTAGTTTTTAATGAAGCTAAAGAATATTATTCTTCTTTTGATAATTTAATAGATCCTATAGATCGAGAATTAAATGGAACTAATTAATCATCATCTTCAGGAGGTCCTTACAATTTACTTGCTTATTATTCACGATATTCAATCTCATATTATTCTAATATTCTCTCAGCATTTCCAAATAATTCTAATATTGCCATCATTCCTTTTGAATTTCTTTTACTAAATTATTTTATTTGAATATTTGTATGTGCAATTAATGGTTTTATTTTCTCATTTAATAATTATTATTAAAATTATATAATTGTTCTAACAATTTCAACTATTTAATTACGTTTTTATGCACCAATTGGATCCTTTGTCTATCTCTTTTTTTCAGATGCAAAAAACATAGCCAATGCAATTTTCACAAACTTTAATATAAATTCTTACATAGTTTAATTCTCTACATTCTTTGATAATATATTAATTATGATTTCAGAAGATAAACTCTAATAAACTAGATTATTTAAAAATATTTTAGCTAAAAAATCTAACAATTAAATAGCATTCTTAATTCCTATATTTAGATTTGATACAAACATAAAGAAGTGCATATCAAATGTATTCAATATATAAGTTACTCCCTCTGATGTTTACATTTATTTGATCAAATTCTCAAGTACTAAATTAATTGGTACTGCTTCCATGGTTGAAAAGATATGAATGAAATTATTCAATATATATTCTCTTATTAATTGGTTATCATGATTTTCCACCAATGACAATGTTAAACTAAACACAATTAACATGGTATTTACTTTTTATATATAAGTGGAGCAAAATTGCTCTTTTATAGACTGAAATGATTAAGTAACTTAAATAAATGATTAAGACACATTAAAGAAAGAGATTATGATTTATCTCTAGATCCTTTTTTTAATAAAGCTATGATTGTATTTGTCAATGATTCATCTAAATCTATATTGCCAAGTACTTCACTTAAAAAATTAAGTGAAGATATTCTAGTATCAATTGTATTTTTAAATTCATTTTCTGCTATTCCTATAGATTAAGTAACCCAATCATTCAAAATACCAGTTGAAACTAATTCTTAATTTTAACTTAAAGGAATATATATTAATTCTATTGAATTTATGAAATCTTTTGTTTCAGGTAATACATTTCTAATCCCTGTTGTAAATACTTCAACAAAATTATTTCTAGCAAACTATTATATCATCTCAACATGAAATGACACTAATTCTGGATGTCTCCTAGTACCCATCAATGCTGTATGTAATCCTCCTTAATCTTCAAGGAACCATTCTCTTAATAATTATACTGGTATCATAGAACCTAATCTAGTGAATAAACGAACTGATTCATAAGCTACATCAAATGATTTGGATATTAATCCTGGTTTAAGAGCCTGATAATAATGTTAATATATAATAAAATACTTATAATGCAAATGTAAGAGATTTTTTAGTGGAATCCTCATTAAATAACTTAATTAATTAATTTCCATTTGCATAAGTTTCTTTATAAAAGGCAACAATTGGTTCAAATACACCCTTTACTCCTTTTGCCAATATGTGAGCAAGATATTTGTTATTATTAGTAAATAAAGCAGCAGATTATTTGATTGACAGTTACAAGTTCTTAGCCAAAGCAACTATAAAAAATTCTAAACAATTTGATGTTTTATTTAAATCTTTTTTTGGATCTAATTTTGATAAATCAACTTATTAATTTGCTAAATAAAATTTAATCAATTATATACCTTGGGAGATTTTACTGTTAGCTAAAAGTTTAGTGTTTCCACCCAAACTTAATAATGAGTCATCTAACATTTAAGATTATTATGACACTTACGATTGTTATTAACCTCTATAATATTTATCATAAATCTCCAAAAGTAATTGATGTATCATTTCCTTATCACCCCCTAGAATCAAAGCCTTAGTATCTTAATCAATCTGGATATCGACCTTCATATATTCTTCGCATAGAATCTTCCAATTGTATAAGATTGAGGATTTCTACTAATTATCTTTGAGAGTGTCTAACTTTGCCAAGGGAGTCGAAGGTCTTTTAAATTGATTAATAAAGGAACCTGTTTCGTAACTTCACAATTTCCCTGAGCAATTATCCAAAAACAATGCCATTTTCTAATTGAGATAATGATGCTTTGCTAATTTCCACTTTGTCTGCATATTTCTTTCCATCCTAAGGTAGGACTTTTAATGAACAAAGCCAATTATATAAATTTTCCTTTATTTGCATTTATTAATATTATTATAATAAAATAGGATTATTAAATTATTCATGCTTTCTTCTTTTAATTCTCTTCTTTCAATTTCTATACTGTTTATTATGCCAATCTACTATAATATTCAATAGGCTTGATGTAAAAGGAACTCTTGCTTTTGATCTCCTCTTCATTTATTTATATCTTCTTAATAACTTCTTATTCCATTTCTTCCTTCTTTTATATTTCTAATTTTGGTTCTGTTTTTGCAATTATATTCTCTACTTTTTCTGCATCTCCACCATGTAAAGGTACATCAACAGCAGGACCCCATACAACTCTAATACACCAATTACCTTATTCCAAAATATGCAAAAGAGTCTTAAAAATTATAAATAACAATACTCTCATTTTCAAATTAAAATGAAACACACATAAAGGTTGAGTCTATATTCCATGCTGAATTTTTTGCAACATATTTGGAGCCCTTTGTCCTCTGGTCTTTATAAATACCATATTATCTGCCACTTCTAAATAGAATCTTGCAATCTACCATTTAAGAGGTCCATTGTTCATAACATCTTCATAAAATCTATTTGAATAAAATCTATACTAAGCAGCCAATTCGTTTGAAAGGAAAAGAAACATGAATTACAATCGAAATCCCCTTTTATTTTCCAAAAATAGAGCTGGATTGCTGTCTGGATATTCATACACAGTAATAACTCTTCTAGAAGGATATTTATCTTCTGTTGGTAAGAATTCTTCAATGACCTCCTAATAATCTGGTGGAATAGGCTTTCCTGATATCATTATTTTTCTAACTTCTTCAGCCATAGCTTCATAATGTCTTAAAGTTTGCATCAAATTTATATTATTGTAGTGTTAAAATTTTTAGTGATTTCAACTCATTTATAATTTCTTGCTTATTTTTGGAATACCTTAAAATTTTACATTTTATACATTAATTTTTTTATAATTTATTATACTGATTATGTTAACTCTTTTTTTATTGCTGCATTACTTAAATGGATAACCATGTGCCACTCCTGTTACATTGATTGGTACAACATAAACTAGTGGGGTCTGCACACCTCCAGGTTTACATTTAAATTCATTTTCTAGTTCCTGGAGCTTCCCTTATTAAATTCCCTTTTGCTACCTTAGGTGCTACTACAGAAGATGCTGTCAAGTTCTCTGTCTCTTTTTGGCTTAAACCTCCTAGTGCACCTACATTGGGTGGTAAAACCTATGGTATTCTTCGGGTAAGTATGGATACTGCAGATACAATCCCTACAAGTACAGAAGGAATTAGATTGGCAGTGTACTTTTCACTTGACTCAGTTAATAGAGGATTCTATTTAGGATACTCAGAATCACCTAGTGATCCTATACTTTACACAGATATTACTTAGATGGCTGCTGCATATACAGGTGATTGGATGTTCATTTATGCAGGTTTAGATTATACTATTGGAGAATTAAGTAATCTTTAATAACAATATATTAGAAATAAGCACTTGGGAAACTAAATAAATATTTTGGCAACAAAAGAAATTCTCAGCTTCAAAGGTTAATTTCAATACACCATTGTCAACAGACACGGCTATTGAAGCATTGTACTGGGGGTCATAAGATAGTTTTTGCGGGGACATTAAAAAGTTAAATTGGATGCCTAATTACTATGAGGCTATAGATGAAAATATATTTAAATTAGCTTACTTCCTAGAAGGAAAAACCAATGCAGGATGCTATTTATATCGTTTTGATAAAGTAGATAAAAACACTGTTACCAACCTTGCAAGTTCAGGAACCCTAACTTTACAATAAAATATGAAATTTACATATTATGAACTGGATTTATCTAATCCTGTTCTAACTATTCCAGTTGCTAAATGGACTACTACTACAAGATCTTATACTTTTGGAACCTATATTCTTTAGAAGAGTTTACCTCAATTTGCAGCAGATATTATATTGTTTTAAAGATAAACATCAGGAGCAGTAAACTTATTTTCTATAAAATTGGCACTACAATCTAATGGTAAATTAGGAATTTTATTAACTTTGGAAACAGTGCCTAAATTAATAGCCTAATTTGATTGTCAGGTGGATAAGTGGTATTTTATATAAGTATCAGTCGCTTTTGCAGGAAGCTTATAAAGTTAGACTAATACTCTATCCCATTATCATATTGTAGCACCAGATGGTTCAATTTTAAGTGGATATGTTTAAATTACTTATACAGCTACAATTAGTACAAAATATAATGGATCTGATAAATGTTACATTGGAGATGCACTAAACCCTTATTAAGATACTATATAATTAAGACTACTCAGATTTGAAGAAGGATTTTAAATATTTATGAACAGTCCTTGTTAGACAGATTGCACAATTGGAAGATATAGTTTAACATCTTCTGAAAATTATTGCTATGTTTGTAGTTTAGCTGCAAAATTGGATTCTACATTTTTGTGTAGTACTAGTACTTGTTCTGCCAATTATTATTTAATAACTGATATGACAAGTCATAATTTCTGTGCATTTTGTGATTCATCATAAAGTTATTATGTAAATCCTAGTTAAATTTGCATAAAAGCTGCTTGTGGAAATGGTTATAAAGAACCTCCTACTGAGGATTGTGATGATAATGGAACTACTGATGGAGATGGTTGTAGTTCTAGTTGTGTTTATGAAAAGGGATATAATTGTTCTCCAGCAACAGATTATTAATTGACAACTTGTGTTAAATATTGTGGTAATGGTGTTAGAGATGAAGTTTTGACACCAGCTGCATTAAGTTTTACAGAGGAATGTGATGATGGTAATAATGTATTAAATGATGGATGCTCAGATTGTGCAGTTGATAATGATTTATGGGAATGTGGTTATTCATTTCCATCTTAATGTACATTATTATGTGGTAATGGGAAATTGAATAATGATGTTGCATTTTCATAAACTGAATAATGTGATGATGGTAATACTTCTAATGGTGATGGATGTGATTCATCTTGTTAAATTGAACCTGATTGGATGTGTAGTGCAGTTCCATTATAAATGAGTGCTTGTATACTTATATGTGGAAATGGTAGTTTAGATGCTGGTGAACAATGTGATGATGGTAATGTGATGGATTTTGATGGATGTACTGGATGTGTAATAGATGCAGGATGGGATTGTTCAGGTACAATATGTACTTAATATTGTGGTAATGGTGTTAGGAATGTGATACCAGCTAAATCAATAAATGAGATTTGTGATGATGGAAACACTATTTAATATGATGGATGTTATTTATGTTTAGTTGAAGTAGGTTGGACATGTGATGCAAATAATCCAAGTTAATGTCATATGTGTGGTAATAGTAAAAAAGAACCTTATGAATTTTGTGATGACGGTAACACAGTTAGTCTAGATGGGTGTAGTAGTACATGTTAAATAGAACCCTCATGGACATGTAATGGTGGGAATCCAGATATATGTAATAATTGTGGAGATGGCAAAAAACAATAAATTGAGGATTGTGATGATGGTAATCTTAGTCCTAATGATGGATGCACAAGTTGCAAAGTTGATTTGTATTATGAATGTTCTGGTGGTTCACCTACATCACCTGATATCTGTGTAAAAACTTGTCCAAATGGCATAGTTTCTGGAAATGAAGAATGTGATGATGGTAATAATGCAAGTGGTGATGGGTGTTATTTATGTGTTATTACAATGGGATTTGTATGTGATAATTCAGTATAACCTTCTGTATGTAGTGTTGATATATGTGGAAATGGACAATCTCATTCATTAAATGAAGATTGTGATGATGGTAATATTGTAGATGGAGATGGATGTAATGCTAGTTGTAAAATTGAAATTGGTTGGGATTGTCCAACCAAAATTAAGTGTTAACCTATATGTGGAGATAGTAAGAAAGTGATTGATGTAGAAGAATGTGATGATGGTAATTTAATAGATGGAGATGGATGTAGTAGTAATTGTAAGGTTGAATTGTCATATTCTTGTGAGGGAGGTGATTTGACCAAAAAAGATATTTGTATTGTTACTTGTGGAAATAATGTTAGAGATGCCAAAGAAGAATGTGATGATGGTAATGTTAGAAATGGAGATGGTTGTAGTAGTTTATGTTTAATTGAAACATCTTTTGGTTGTTCATAAGTCTTGATGTAGGATGATGTTACTAGGGATGAATGTTATCCTTGTATTACAAATTGTGCAATATGTACAGATACAGATATTGATGGATGTCAATTATGTTATCATGGATATTATAAAGCTGAGACATCATGTACAGATGATTGTGGTGATAATTATTATGCTGATCCATTTATGTAAGCTTGTTTAAAATGTGGAGATAATTGTATGAGATGTTATAATAATGCTTAATGTTTTAGATGTAAATCTCCTTATGTTTTGGATGGAACTTAATGTGTATTGAAATGTTCAGATGGATATTACATTAAAGAACATGAATTAAAAGGATAATGGTGTAAGAAATGTCCTATTCATTGTACAGTATGTGAGACAGAAACATTATGTACAAGTTGTGATGATTATTATTCTCCTTTTGGTTCTTGTAAATTCTGTGATATGGGAGATTTGTGTTTAGCATGTAATTTTGAATTAAATACATGTATAAAGTGTAAATTAGGTTATAGACCTATAGAAGATAAATGTATTAAGATTGAAGATAAATGTGGAGATGGTTTGGTATCAATTAATGAAAAATGTGATGATGGTAATCTTGCTAATGATGATGGTTGTAGTAGAGAATGTGCAATAGAAGAAGGTGCTAATTGTAGACTTGTATAAAATGAAGGACCTTCTGAATGTTTTGATACATTAGGATGGGAATTTGAATTAAAATCATTTATTCTAGATCCATAACTCATCTAACTTACATTTACTGATGAAATTAAATATGATGATATTATTGTTAAGAATATTAGTACATTATTTACTTTATCCATTAATGGATTTACAGAACAAGATTATTCTTATGAATTTGTAAATAATAGTGGTTCAAATTAAACAATTTCTATTTAATTTACTTTCTTAAAAAATGTTGTATCACAAAGTCTTACAGTTACTTTGAAAGATCAAACAAAATTGACTAATTATTATGATGTGGCTATTAATCCTGAAAAGATCACCAAAACTATAGATTTAGAAGATAAAGAATTTTATAATGACGCAGAAATTGAATTCTTTACTCTTCTTAGAAACTTAGCATATGGTTTATAAATATTAAATTGGATATTAATGATTGGAGCAGGATTCTTAGATTAATAATATAGAATTTGGAAAACTGTAGAAGTATTATAAGTAATATGTACTCTATATTATATAAATGTGAGATCTTATCCTTTAAATTCAGAAATGTTACTTGTAGATTTAAGATATAGTAATTTATATATACTACCAAATTTTCTATAATAACATACTGAAGAATATCTATTGTCTTTAAGAAGATTCTCAATGGCTGGTTTAACTTATTAAGTTATCAATAATACTGGAGGATTATTCTTGTTTTATCTAGCTATTTCATTAATTGTTTATGCATTCACTAAATTAGTATATCATCGATATGTATTTTATGTTTTTGAAGTATTTTTGGATAAGTTAGAATTTAGTTATTTTTTCAAATTTTATGAAGTTTTTTTATTAGAACTTTTAATTAGTTGTTTACATAATGTTAAATACAATTCTATGGCTTCAAATTGGAGTGGTACTAACACAGTAATAGCCTTAATCTTATTACTTTTTATTATTTTAGTTTAAGCATCATTTTTTTTATTAGCATTTTTTAGAGATTATTTTGGCACAGAATCAGAAGTTAAATCTATGTTTGGTACTTTGACAGATGGTTGTCATGATCATGATCGTAAACGTCGTGTTTTTATGAGTCAATAAGATTTTATCAAAAAGGTTTTTATTGCTTATGCTATGATATATGTTGATGATCCATTCTAATAAATATTACTTATTATTATACCTAGAGCTCTTATTGGTTTTGCAACATGTTTCCTTATGAAAGATTGGTTCTTAAGAATTAAAGAGATATCTTCAGAACTACTTCTTTATGGAATTATTAGTCAATCTTATATTTTAGCTTTAGGTGATTTTGTAGGAGATTTAGAAAAAAAAGTATTCTATGGATCATTGTGGGTATATATGGTTTTAGCTTTTGAATTAATTCATGGATTATGCAATACATATTTAGTATGGAGATTATTGTATGTATTAGAATCTACATTACCTTAAGATGTTGATCCTAATGCTGGAGTGAATACAAAGATTGATTTATTCAAATAGAGAGGAGGAAAAAAAGAGAGAGGCAAAACTTAAAGAGAACTTTAAGAAGAGGCAGATAGATTAGCAAAATTGGAAGAAGCAAAAAGAAAGAAATAATTGGAAGCAGAATAGGCATAGAAGAATTAAAATAGAGAAAAATGGAATGTATGGAATATGTAAAGGGAGGCTAAACCTGAAGAAAGGAAATTTGTATCTGTTAAACATAATGAATTTGGTGATGTTTTAGAACCTATTTAACCATCAATTCCAAAACTAAATTTAAAATAAAATGATGAATTAAATAATTTTGATGATTTTGATTAAATGGAGAATTTCTTTGGAAATCCTTCTAAATCTGTTGTTAATTAATCTTAAGCATTTGGTTAAACTGGATAATAATTTAAAGTACCATCTATGAATTAAACATAATAAAAATTAATGAATTAAACTATTACAAATAATTAGAATTTAAATTAAACATAAAAATCTTAAAATCTTGCTTAACAATGGTTAGGCAATGATACTTAATAACCATTATTCTAAGAATAATCATTTAAACCAGCTAGTGCAGCTTAATAATAATAAAAATCATAAATTAGTGGCTTTTAATTCAAATAAGAAGATCCTCCAAAGAAAGATGATGTTAATGATTCAGAATAAGAATCAATGAATAATGATAATCCATTTGATTTTTGATTTTTCATAATAATAGAAATTAATAAATGATATATATATTTCTTATTTCTATATCATTATATAGAATCTATAATTATATAAATGTAAATGAATGAGAACTAAAATAATGTAATAACATAAATGAACATATTTTTAATAGATATATAATTAGAACAGTGGAATAGGATTAATATAAATGTATTTAACTAATATAAATTATATCCACTAATTAATGTATTTCTAACAAACAAATTCTGCCTAAAGAAATATTCCAGTAATTTAATTACAAACCCCATTCAACAACTAGCAATATGTAATATAAATCATAATAGTACATAGTCTTCCCCTACTAATTAATATTACTCAATACCATCTTAGCCAAGACCATTCCTAGAAAGTCCAAAAGCAAATAATATGAAAGAATAATTAGATTCATTGTACATAAATCTTAGAAAGGAAAATTAAAGTCTCAAAGACAAACTCTAACATATTAGTGCTTAAGTTGATGAAGCTTAATAGAAACTGGAATAATATAAAAAATCATGATATAAGACTATTTGATTTTAGAATTTTTATTATTTTATAAATATGAATCAAATATAAAATACAAACAATCTAAATCCAGAATTATTTTCAGCACCTAAAGGTATCAAAATATAAATAATTGATCCTATTATTAAAATGGAAGATGATTTAAAAAATATCAGGTTATCAATCAATGAAGCTACATTTAGAGAATAGGATACAAATTAGCTTTAATTATAATAACAGAGTTTATTATAGAATTTAGAAGAAAAATATTAATAACTTTAAATTTGTATGAGAGAAGTAATGCAAAAATTTATGAGTTATGAAAATAAGAATTTTATTAGATTGAATGAAAATTATTATGGTAATAATCAAAGAATCAAAAATATCATGCGTGAATTATCTCAGATGTTTAATGTACATTTCTTAGAAATAGGAGTCTCTTAAAGGGACATTATAATCTGCAAGTAGAGAAGACCAAATGATCGATATGATATATAAACTTAATAACCCAGAAGATAAATTCATGGAGAGTAAAACTAAGCTGAATAATAAGTTATTACTTAACCTTAAATTATTGAACAGTTATTTGATTAAATTAAATAACCATTACCACCTGATATTATAAGAGAAATATTTATATAAAATGTTCCTTAAGATTAATATTGTATTAATATTAGTTTCAATAAACCAGAAGAATTTGGATGTGAAATAACTCTTTATAGGATTTATTAATTAGATATATATGATTAATCATTATCATTGTAACCAGCAAAAAGAATTGTAATTGAATTTGGAAATAATAAAGAATAAGTATAATAGTAAAAATTAACCTTTACAAGAAATCATCCATTAAATAAAGGTGAATTACCATTCAATGAAATGATATACCTATCCATAGAAGCTTAAAATAAAAATGGGTGGTCTTCTGAACTTGAATTGTTTCCAATCAAATTATATGTTAAATATTAAGAACCTCTTTCTCTTTTTTTATAAGGAACAATTAATTCTATTTTAATTAATGATACAATACAATTTTTAGAATTATTCTAAATACCATAAATAATAGATGAGGAAGATAAAAGTTATCTATTAATTGAAGATTATAGTTTAGTATTGTTGGAAAGATAACAAATAAGAAATGTATCAATAAAAAAAGAGTATATGTTTATATGAGTCTTAGTACAGTGGCAATGGTGAATACTAGATTTCAGGCCTGTTAATGGGGTAGCATACTTAATTTTTATGATGAAACCATTACTTAACATTTTGATGTAGATCCTATCAAAGATTTTGATATTAGTCCACCATATCATATTAATACAGATAGAGCAATTACTAAAATAGCTTGTGGATTATATCATTCATTAGCACTCACTGTTGATGGTAATGTTTTATCATGGGGATTCAATAAACATGGTTAATTAGGAAATGGTAAAAATAATAAAATAATATAAAATAGGAATGACTATTAGTTCTATATAACCTTAATAAATCTCTTATTTCAAGAATAATTAGATATTTGTAGTTGATATTTCTGCTGGGGAAGAAATTTCAATATGCAGATCTGATTTAGGTGATGTTTATACTTGGGGTAAGATGTAAAATATGTTTGGGGATAATATTATTAAAGTATTGAATGCTTAGAAAGAAGCTATTAATTTATAATGTGTTGAATAATCAAATTCCTAATTGGTTCCAAGAAAAATAAATCTTAAGGCAAAATAAATTTAGGCAGGTTATTCTTGTTTTGGAGCACTTTCCTTAGAAAACAATTTTTATATGTGGGGTTCTAATGAACATGAAGTTTTTGGATTTCTAAAATGCCCAGAATTGGATGATCAAATTATTGTTCATTTATTAGATCCAATTAGAATTAATATTGAAAATGAATATGAAATTAAGTATATATAATATTCCTATCATTTTAGAGATTTTTAACTTGGTGCTTATCATTGTGTAATAAGAGTTATATGTAAAAGTAATTAAAGTGAACAATTTCTTTCTTGGGGATATAATAAATATTATTAATGTGGATAATCTGCAAGTAATAAAAATGCAGCTAAATCTTGTAAGAAAAATTAAATAGAGTAAGTATATAAAGATTTATAAATATAGTCTTTTGCCATAAAAGAAATTTAAATCTTATAGCTGTGGTTTTGATAGATCTGTCTTTGCCTCATATGATAATCATATATATACATTATCAAAAAATGATACAAAGAACAATGATTGTTCTGTTTTTGTAGAAGTAATTAATTAATATTTTTTAAGGAAGTCATGGCTGGAGATCTAATTACATTAGTGTTAGGAAGAGAATGATGAATATAAATGTTTCATTTTTAATAAGTTTAACTTTAAATAAATGATTAAAATCTTATCTTATCATTACAATAAATATTTATTTAGTATTTTATTAATTAAAATTCATAATATATTACAAATTTTATTGATTTTAAAAGAATTAAATATAAATATTCTCATATATGGTAAATATATGTTAAATACACACAAAATAATTCTAAAAACTATAAATTTAATAATAGATAATAAGTATTTGTATTTTTAAGTTATCAAATTTGAACTATTGGATTTTGTTATCTGATATAAATATATTTTAATTAATTAATAAAAATGTCATCTCAAACAACAAACTAATATAGAATGTACTTAGGTGCTAGAGTGTTATGGCCACCTGATTGTCCTGATGACATTCTTGAAGGTGCTATAAATGAAACATAAAGTTGTTTGAAAACATTTGAAGCTAAAGATGGATAAAAGGTAACAGTTTCATAACTTATATTAAGATGGCAGAGCATCTTAAGAAGTATTTAGATAGTAATTTTGAACCATATTGGCATGTATTTTTTGGTAAAAATTTTGGATGTCATTCAATTCATGAAAAAAGAAGATTTATCTACTTTTACATTGATAAAACAGCTTATCTATTTTACAAAACATAATGAAATATATATTATATATGTAAGATATAATGATTTGTTATAATTAAGCTATTACATAATCCTATTTATTAATTCAATATAAATTTGATATTTTTATATAAAATAATTAACACTATTTTACATTGATTATATATATATATATAAGTATTACTATATTTATATATATAATCAGATAATATATAGAAATCTTTTATTAATAAATTTATAATTAGAATTCATAAAATAATTAAAAATTGAATTATAATTGATTCATTTATCATTTTTTTCTTGTTAATACTTTTCCTGCCTAAGGTTCTTAATTTATTATTAAATTTTCCTCTTCCCTTTAACTTTAAGGTATTGAATCAAATCTTGGTGATAAAGGATACATAAGACCACTTTATTTTTTACTCATACAATCAAAAAAGGCTTTAATTTCTTCATCCATCTATTCTATAATAACTTAATCTAAATTAGATGGATTTTCTTTTTATCGAATTTTCTAATAGGCATGAAAAGAATCTTCCAATTTTTAAATTTCAGTTTTCTCTTCTTCAAATATAGATATAGATTCTGCTTAATTAGAACTAGTATTAGGATTGTATTATTTTTTAAATCCGATATCAAATATATCACTTGGAATTAATGGTTTAGGAATATAATTAAATAATTTTACTTATTCATTTGTCATCAAAATACTTTTAAGTTTATCAATTTCATGTAATTTTTTAATAATATAAGCAACATCTAATTTCATCATTATTTTTTAAATAGCAAATCTATATATTTTTTAATTGTTTCCTAAACATCCTAAATACATTAATAATGCATCCTTAAAAGAAATACTAATTGGATTCTTTTTTTTCTTTAGATATTATTTTAATTTTGTTTGATTACTATTTTGAATTATTGATAAATTTTTGGTTTATTAATCTGAACCTATCATATTCATTTCTTTTATTTCATCATCATTTAGTATCTATTTATCAAATTAATTTTTAGATTTATTATTTTCAATTCTAAAAAACTTACTTACAAGTGATAAATTCATGTATGTAAATAAGACAGGTCCAAATATAGCAGAAATAACTAAAGAAATGATTTACCACAGACCTCCTACATTACCCAAAATAGTTTATAATTTAATATATGATCTATAGTATATAGTTTCTCTTTATTCTAAATATAGAAGATTATTAGCTAAATAATATCCATTATAAGACTCTGAATATTCCTTTGTTGCTGATTACAATATAGTTTCATCTATCAATACATCTTTATTAATCAAACCAACATCAGTTTCTGTATTGACTATCTTAAATAAGGAATGCATTTGTTAGGATTTAGCATAAGAAAATTAAGTATTTTAAATTGTGATTACATCATCATATGGCCTTCCAGGATTTTACATTTTAATTAAGACATCAGACAAATAAATTGCATAGTATGAACTTACAAGTCCTTTTTGAATTTCTTCAATTGGACTACATTCCTTATAATTTGTGCTGTTTTTGCATAGATTTAAATTAATAGTTACAAATTAAAAGTTATCACTTTATGAATGACCTTAAAGTTACTATATTTATTATATTTATATATTACTATAGGTCTTTAATCCCATTATTCTGGATTTAGACAATACATAGTAGATAATTTAAACTTTTAGAAATAGGTTTTTTAAAAATCTGTTACAAAATGCTTTTCCAAATCACAAGGTTCTATTTTATAATTGAAACACCTTTTTTTAATTATTTATTATACTCTAATGAAACATTAGACCTGCTATTTTCTTCATCATAGCTTCTTTTTCTATGACATTAATTTATAGTCAGATTATAATATTTCAAATTTTTATCAAAAGATTGTAAAAGTGCATTAGATACGCTAATTACAAAAGTAAAATTGCTTCTGGATAAGTAAATTACCTATATTTTATATATATATTGTTTATACTGGAGTGTTTAGGGGTTGATTGTCTGAAATGATGACTTATGGATTAGATTACTTTGTGAGTTCATCCATTTAAATATATAGATAAAATACACAAATCGTTGATAACATTATTGTAAGTAAGTACCCAAATGCTGTACTGAAGGAAGTCTTTTTTAATACTTAAAATTGAGGACGTTAAGCAAAGTAATCTAATTTTGTAAATAAACTTTTAGAAGTATTCTTGCAGAATTAAGCTTCTCTTTTTTGATATTTGAACATCAAAATATATATGAATAAATAAATAAATAAATTACCAAAACAATAAACAAATTTTTATTATATACTAAAGAATTATTTGTAATTTCTTTGAAAACATTAATTATTTAATTACATAATTGCGACACTTAAAATATATAACTTTTTAATGGAAAATCTTTATTTCAAAATATTAAGTACAAGAGAAGATTTATATATTATATACAACAACAAAACTAATAATTTTAATATTTGAGATTACTCAATTCATCAACTTATTTTATGAAACGATTATATATGTTCTTATCATACTGTTAATGTCTTATTATATCTTATTAGAACTATACATATAATAAAGTATGATATTATCTTATTTTATTATACTATTGATATCTATTCATATATTTAATTTAAACTACTAATAAAAATTTCGAATATTTACTATATATATTCAAATACCAAATTTTTATAAAATTGTATTAGGTAAGACAATTATTACCTATGCTGATTTATAGATTCAAGTTGTAATTATTATGGCATAATTAGTTAGTATTGTTTTTCTAAATTATATATTATTAGAATTAAGTTATAAAAGTTGTTTACTATTTTTAAATTGATGATCTTATCAATTATCTAAGTTTTATCTCTTATTTAATATTCACCTAATATCATATATTATTAATAATGTTGATGTGAGATCCATGATCTTTTTTTAAGTTTTGTAATCTTCTAATGCCCTTCATCTTTTATTCTTATCTATTCTTTAATTAATGAATTATTTATTATAATATTTCCCCTTTTATTCTTTTATTTTTCTATTATTTGATATCTATCAACGTTCTTATTTTAGATTAATTTATTAATATGACTATTTTTTTGATAATTGACTTGGTATTTCTATTGTCATATACTTTAAATTAAATACTTTATTCAATTTTAATAAGTAGCAATACTTACTAAGTTACTTTCTTAATTTATTTCCTTGATTATTAGATTATTCTCTTATTGTTTTTTTTTCAAATATTAAAATTGATTATATAACTCATCTTGTTAATCATCTTATTATATTTTAAATCATTGTAGTTTCTTAATCTCTGAATGCATAGATTTAATATCTTAATCTAAATTCTAACTCTGAAACTTAATGAAACAATATTTTTATAAATTTATTGATATAAATAAATTAGAGGTTAAAATAATCATATATTTAACATTAACTTCAATCTAAACTAAAGAAGTTTGAACATTATGATTCAAATTATTTGAGTAATTTCTCATGTTCAAATCTAAAGAATCATTTAATCTTAATTAATTTGAAAATAGCAATGTCGTATCAATTTAATATAGCCGAGAGTTTCAAATTTAAATTTAAAGGATAAATATTCTTTTTATCATTCTAAATTCATAAATGTATAATTTAATCTTATTATTAGAAGGCAATTTAATCCTAATTTCTTGATTGTTCAAGTCTATAGCTTCACATCTAATTCTTAAATTTGAATAGATTTAATTAATATAATTATTCTGTATCATCTAAATCTTATTATAAAAATTTGTGAATCTCTTTCTCCCAATACTCCAACTCAATCAATATATTAACCATTTCTATTTTTTGATTTAATTCAGTTGATTCCAATAATTATTAATTAATTTACAACTCTATAATCAGCATCAGAATTTCATTATGTCTTATAAGTTACCCTGTACTTCATTTTCCAATTTTTCATAATGATGTTAAATTTTTAATTTTTCAAATTTTTTATCTTTTATACAATTAACTATCTTTCTTGAAACAAAATTATCATCAGGTATATAGATATAAATATATCAATTGAACCCCATTAAATCCTATATGAAATACTTCAATTCATTATTTAATTTATGAAGATACTATATAAATATAGTTTTGTGGATTAACATTGAGAATATTCAATATATTGTTATATAATTATTAATTAATATGGCTGACTTGACAACTTTGAGAAGTCAAATCAACCAATGGACCCTAGATCAAGATAATAAAGTATGAATAATGAAATACCCTAACTTACTTTAGACCTTCGTTAAATTAGATCAAATGAGTACCAATCTCCTTACAAAATTTGGAGCTGTGTCATCCGATATCCGATCAGTTTAACATTCAGCTAACTCTATCCATGCTCAAATTAATCAAGCCTTCAATAAATTTCTAACTTTGAGTGATAGTCGTTTTACTGAATAAGTATTTTGTTGTCTAGATCATTAAAGAGAATGGCTCCTCCATAAGAAGCCCCTCCAAAGGCTGCACCTTCATAAAACAAAGATGATGGACTCACTACAGCTCAAAAGTACACAAAAGCTTTAGGCATGGCATTATAATCACTTGATTTACAATAGATGGCATAAGATGGTATAAAAATTCTTAAATTCCCTAGATGACATATTTGATGACAGAGATGATAAATCAATCTCTGTCTTCTCTGCAGCTACTACTAGTGGTACTGTGAGTAAGTCTGTTAAATTGCCTGCCATGTTTGGCACACCCTAATTCAACAACAACAAATTTATTGGTAATACTCTATACCATACTTAGGTCTTTTTGATGACTTTGATGAAGCTCCTATCTAAGAGCCAGTACGTCAATCTGCCCCTGCACCAATATATAGATAATCTGAAGCACAACCTTAATAACAATCTTTCAATAATTAATAGTCTTAATTGATTCCACCATAAAATCAGTAGCAAATTAGATCATCTATCAGATAAGATTAATCTTAANATTAATTAATTTACAACTCTATAATCAGCATCAGAATTTCATTATGTCTTATAAGTTACCCTGTACTTCATTTTCCAATTTTTCATAATGATGTTAAATTTTTAATTTTTCAAATTTTTTATCTTTTATACAATTAACTATCTTTCTTGAAACAAAATTATCATCAGGTATAGATAGATTTCATATCTATTTAAGTTGTATATAGATATAAATATATCAATTGAACCCCATTAAATCCTATATGAAATACTTCAATTCATTATTTAATTTATGAAGATACTATATAAATATAGTTTTGTGGATTAACATTGAGAATATTCAATATATTGTTATATAATTATTAATTAATATGGCTGACTTGACAACTTTGAGAAGTCAAATCAACCAATGGACCCTAGATCAAGATAATAAAGTATGAATAATGAAATACCCTAACTTACTTTAGACCTTCGTTAAATTAGATCAAATGAGTACCAATCTCCTTACAAAATTTGGAGCTGTGTCATCCGATATCCGATCAGTTTAACATTCAGCTAACTCTATCCATGCTCAAATTAATCAAGCCTTCAATAAATTTCTAACTTTGAGTGATAGTCGTTTTACTGAATAAGTATTTTGTTGTCTAGATCATTAAAGAGAATGGCTCCTCCATAAGAAGCCCCTCCAAAGGCTGCACCTTCATAAAACAAAGATGATGGACTCACTACAGCTCAAAAGTACACAAAAGCTTTAGGCATGGCATTATAATCACTTGATTTACAATAGATGGCATAAGATGGTATAAAAATTCTTAAATTCCCTAGATGACATATTTGATGACAGAGATGATAAATCAATCTCTGTCTTCTCTGCAGCTACTACTAGTGGTACTGTGAGTAAGTCTGTTAAATTGCCTGCCATGTTTGGCACACCCTAATTCAACAACAACAAATTTATTGGTAATACTCTATACCATACTTAGGTCTTTTTGATGACTTTGATGAAGCTCCTATCTAAGAGCCAGTACGTCAATCTGCCCCTGCACCAATATATAGATAATCTGAAGCACAACCTTAATAACAATCTTTCAATAATTAATAGTCTTAATTGATTCCACCATAAAATCAGTAGCAAATTAGATCATCTATCAGATAAGATTAATCTTAAATCTCATATACTGGAGACAACAATTAATTTATTACACGAACAAATTCTGCTCTAGGAAATTCAATGATGGATTAATAATTCGGGTTTACAAACCCTCAATAAAAGGCAGAATTTAATTTAGCCTTTGCACCACCATATCAATAACCACAATAACCAGGAGTTCAACCACAACCTCCTCTTCAAACTGCTTCACAAACACAGAGACCAACAGTAGTTGATCCTCCTCCACCTCCACCACCTCCTACCTAATAACCTTATTATTAATAACCATCAATATAATAGCCAATATTATAATAACCACCTCCTTAAACTCTTTAAGATTAGCTAAATTCAATAATTTAAAAAAAGAGAGAAGAAAATCAACCCTATTAATAACCAATTTAGTAATAATAACCATACTAATCTTAATAGGAATAACCACCTGAATAAAGAAATTCATAATAACCAGTAAAAGTATTTTAACCACCAAATGTAATTGGAGCACCTACTTATGCAAGAGAAAAAGATAAAATAATGAGTTTGTTTGATGAAGATGATGATGATGATAATGATGGTGGGTTATTTAAATCTACAACTACAAATAAAAACAAATTCAATAACCTACTAACTGATGGAGTTGCAAAACAAGAATAAAATTAGAAACCAGTAGCTGTTGTTATAAAGGAGGAAGAAGATCAAGATTTTAGAGTATAGCCTAGAATATCAAGTACTAAGCCTGCTCCTAAAAAATAGTTATTTGATGAAACAGAAGAAGAGACTCTTTAAAAAGCAAATGCAGATAAAATTGCTGCTATGTATGCTTAATAATAATAATAATAATAATAATAATAATAATAAACAAAATAATAAGTACCTCCTCCTAAATTAACTACTTAAAGAAATGCTTTTGAAGATTCAGATGATGAAAAAAAGAAGAAGCCTCAAATTTCCGTAAAACCAACTGAATAATTAACTGTACCTACTGAAGAACCACCAGTTAGACCTTCTATTTAATAATTACAAAATAAATTGAATTTGAATATGTTTATGAAGCCTCCTGGAGAATAAGTCACAATGAAGGACATTAAAAAAAATGAAAGAGAAAATGAATCTGAATTTGTTGAATAATAAGCAGAAAGACCAATTGTGTAAAAAAAGAAAGCTAGAGGAAGACAAGCAATTGATTTTGATGATGATGATTCTAATAAGAAATCAGCTAAACCAACATTTGTTATAAAGGAGAAAACTTAATAAACTTAAAAGGCTGAAGTAGTAATCGATAGAACATCATTTAGAGAATCAATTAAATTTAATAAATAAGGAGATTTTGAAGTCCCAGTTACTTTGGAAGTGAAAACTGAAAAAAAAGATATTCAAGTGACTATTACTCAACAATAACTACCAAGTATAACTTAGAATAAACCAACTTAATAAGATCCATTAACAAAAAAGAATATAGGATAAGAATTTGAATAAAAGTAAATTCATATTTTTATATGATTTAGAGGTTTACCCAATTTTTTTAATGATCCACTTTTGGGAGGAGGAAAGAAATAATAATAATAACCAGCTTAAATAAGTAATCTTCCTGGTTTTGGAGGTAAATATTAATTATATATAATAGGTAAATCTAATACATAGACAACAACTGTTTAAGTAGCAGTCACTCCAACAATTGCTAAACCATAAAGAAAGAATATGTTTAGTGATGAAGAAGAAGATTCAGCTCCGAAATTACCTATGCCAGGCTAAAGAGTTGAGTAAGATTCAATTATTATAGTTGACCCCCTAAACCTGCTGTTTAATTATAATAATAAATTGCCCCTCCTTAATAGAAACCATCAATAAAGAAAAACATGTTTGATGATGACTCAGATGAAGATCTGAAACCACCTTCAAGAGCTACTGTTTAATAGTAACCAGTTAAACCATCTGAGCCAGTTAAAAAACCTGAAGCTCCTAAACCTACACCTGCTTAATAAAGGAATTAAAGAATGCAAAGAGCATTATTTGAAGATTCTGATTGATATGATTGATTGCATTTAAATATATATAATTATACAAATCACCAAATAAAGGGAATCTTTTCTTTCAAATGTTTAAGTCCATATTCACAACTACGATCTTTTTCTTTGTCTTTTTTGGCAAAAGCAATTAATTTTTTTTCTAATTATTAAACATCTCCATCAAATTAATTAATCATATCTTCCAATTCATCTTTTTGAGGTTCTAAATTACCTAACCATCTAGCAGCTGTAATCCATAATTCACTAACACTTTCTGTTTTAGGTAATACAGTTGCTCCAACCCATGCCATATTGATAGGTCTAACATCTCTAATAATTGTTTTAACTTCCACTCTTTCAATTTCATTTAATTCCATCACTTAGAATTTCTCAATCAATAAAGCTTCTACTTCATCTACAAGATCAATAAGATGTGCTCCACCTCCTGTAAATAGAATATTATTTGCTAATTTTTGTCTTATTTCTGGATCTTATACTTAGGCAATAGAATAAGCAATCATATGATCTAGAGGGATCATATAATTAGGATTTAACATTTGATTTCCTTCTATGAAATATTATTATTCTTTTTCTTTAGAACCCCAATACCAACATAATTATATACCTCCACTGAGTTCTTCGAAATTGTCTTCTGGATCATATTACATCTCAAATAGACGTCCTGTAAAATCAAAACATTCATGCATATCTTACTTTCTAATTTCATTAAATGGTTCAGATTCAAATAGTGTATTTGCAGATATATATAATCCATCATTATGCTAAACAAAGAATCTCTTTTCCTTTTGATTTCTTAAACAATGAAGTTCATAATTATAATTGAGTTTATCTTCTTTTTAAGTTAATTAACAAGCCTTTTCTTTAAGTTTTTCCATTTAGAGTAGATCTCCATAATTATTACTTTATAATTGAACTGTTTAATCACAAGCATTTCTTTTAGTAATTTATCTCATCAATACTAAATCAATATCTTTACTACCAAAATTCTTTCTTACATATGTTCCTGGTAAAATAACTCCATCATCTACACATGTTATATTTATTTTCTCATATCCAATATCTACAACACAACATTATTAAAGATTAGCACCAAAACTAGATAATACAGATTCTAAATGTAAATAGATTCCTTTAAATCCCAATTATCTTATTAACATATCTACTAACATTTTCACTTAAATTCTTTGAAAAATGTCAGGAATAACTAAAATACAATAATAATCAGAGACATTCTTCACTTCCAATTTACAACTCAATCCATATAATGTTAATTTATATAGATCCTCTATCACATCTTATATACTGTAATTATCTGTTAAATTGAAAAATCCATGTTTAATTGGTTATCTTACTAAATATTCCCCTGTAAAAATATCATCCTCAAATACAACAGATTTATCTTCAATCATCTAAGCAAGAATGCATTATGGTTATTTTTATTCCTTTTTGCCTACAAATCCTCTAATGTTACGTAAATCTACTTCAATCTTTGCTCTTGGCTTTCCACGCATACTTTTAGGTTATGCTTTTAATGCACATTTCTAAATAAGTTTTTGTTCCAATAATAAAAGACTTTCATCAATCACAGTAAGATCTGTTGATTAACTTTATTTTGGTTATGATTATACTTTATAGCCAATTAAATTTCTGAATTTTTTAGGAAGCATCTCTATATAAAATATAAATAAACTAATTACCGCTTGCTTTATTCATTTTTATACTATGTGATCCATACTATATAATAATACAATCACTTCCCCTTTCTATCAAATTCTCAATATTTTAGATTTTATCTTATAATGATTTGATTGTATTTTGAACATTGTCTTATTATTATTGATTAGGCTTTTCTTACATCAATTTATTAGAAAATAAAATATAATTAATATCACTTATTTATTATCATGACAATAACATTAAGTACATCACATAATTTTACTATGGTAAACATTCATTATCATAAGATAAATTTCATTAATTAGTGTACTTGATATCTCCTAAAATTATGAGTAAATTCATAAATTTAATTATTACTTATAAATATCATCAAAAAAATAGAGTATTTTAATTGTCTGAGTTGAATAATAATTAGTCTATAAAAACTAAAAGAAATTAGAACTAAATAAAAATATGATAATCAAAAAAGATATTAGAGTTTACTAATCCTTTTTTAGACTTCTCTTGATAATATTATGTAATTAGACTTTGGATCAAGATACAATTCATCAAATTAAAGAATAGAGTTTCAAGATAATATTTCAATATCTAATCAATTAAGTTCTTTAAGGAAGTTAAAACAATTTTTGAAATTATTTTATATATAATTAATAAACGAATATATATGTCTGAATTCGTTTGCTTTGTAGTAGAAGGATAAACTCATTACATTGAAGCTAGCAAGTGTTTAAGTATGACTCTCCAAACTGAGAAAAAAGGTCTTGTAAGCAGATTAATCTTATGAAAAGGTATATACTGCCACTATGCCAAAATGGCTAACGATGGAAGCTTTCTCTGTTTTTCAATAGTTCCTCAATAATTAATTGGATATTCAGAAAAAATACACTGATTAAACTCTATAGAGATTATTATGGTTAGGAGATCATTTGTAAATGGAATTCTTTTAAGAGACTGTAATTCGCGATCTCATTTTAGATAGAGTCAGTGTTTAAAATTGCATTTTGTTTTTAAATGAAGCATTCAAAAAGTTGAAAGCATGTGAAGTAATAATGAAATTTCATTCAGGATTCTCCAGAAGTGTGGTATTAGATGTTAAATGTATGTATGAACTTTACAGCAAGAAATTTATTACTTATATATTAATCTAATCCAATGGATCTCAATAAAATCAACTAGAAAGTTATTGAAGAGATATTAGAAAGAGCATTAAAACATTATCGTAAAAAGAATAATCCTGAACTCTTATAGATAGTATAAAAGATTAGGAATTGTTAAGACATAGTTTAAATTATTACTTAACAAAAATAAACTGTATTGGCAAAGAAGATCAATTATTAAACTCATCCAAGTATAAATTGGAAATTATCAAATCTATCATCAATAATAAATAAAGAAACATAATAATTTAAATTTTCAGATTTCACATGGAAATTAGTAGCTAAAATGGAAGATAAAGTCTTGAAAATTTATCTTAAATTAGAAGATATTGATCCTGAATTAAATTTAAGAATTATTGCTCTTTATTTTTAATTGTAACTTTCATAATTTGGTCTAGAACCATTGAAATTAGTTAATTTAGTAGCAAGTAAAGGAAATAAAATTCTCTTATGTGAATTCAATGGTATATTATTAATAACTAGATTATAGATCTAAATAAATTTGATTAACAAAAATTGGAATTTACAGTATATCTAAACACAGATCAAGTATTGACTTTGTGTTTAAATCATCTATATTACAATTTAAATCCTACATATAATTTAAGCAAACTCGATTTGGATGATAGTTTGATTTTATTAGCAGCTACTCCTCAAATATAATAAGCATAAGAAAAGTCATTTCAATTACTTTTAGAATTTGGTATATTATTTAATATATTAATTTTAGTACCTTAATTAAATCCGAATGATTATGAAAGATGTATCAATTAACTCAACATGTCATTAATGAATACAGAATTTTTAATGAAATATATCAAATCACCTTTACATTAGTTTATTTAATATGAATTAGACAAGAGATAACCATAATAATAGAGATCTTATTCTGTTTCAAAGGATTCAAAAAGCTCTTCAAGAATTTTAAGGTAGGTTAGTGCAGGAGGAAGTAAGAATGATAAATCAGGAGATTAATTAGTTAATCGAAGTTAAAGCAGTGAAAAATTACATAATGAAATGCCAATAAATAAATTATAATAATTAAAGAAAACTCCAAGTCAATAGAGATTTGAATAATAGTAAATAGTTAATAGTGGAATTAGTAATTAATCTGCATTATATTCTCGGAAACAATTATTTGATGAGATTAATATAGTTAACTTTTTAAAAGTGAAAGATCCTTAACTTATATAAGAATTGAATGAATTGATTAGAATTTATTATTGATAATTTAAATATAAACAATTTCCATTATTTTTCATTTTAAATAATTAAAATTTATAACAATTTTATTATATTTAATAAACAAATCATTCTTTTAAAAGTCCATGTTTCTTCCAAACACTCTTGAAAAATTCTATTTCATCTGCACTACCTACAATGATTTCACTCTTTTGTTGATATCCTGTGATTTCTGTATCAAGTACAGAATGTTTACCATTGAAAGACTTTCCTTCAGCTTTCTCTGTTAAGAAAGAAAGTGGAGCACATTCATAAAGGTATCTCAATTTTGATGGATTTTTTGCATCACCAAAACAAGAGAATACTCCTACTTCTTTCAAAAAGATCTAACATATATCTGGTGCCATTCCACCTGAATATCTCAATGTATAACCATTATGAATCCAATAATCTACAACTTCTCTGTAAGGAATATGTTCAGCTATACATCTTGTATTTCCAGGACTGAATAACTTGCCTTTTGGTTTAATCTTGATATTGTCTTTTGTTAATTCCCAATGTCCTTATTTATCACCATCTAAACAAAATCAAAATTAATGCCATACCAAATAATGTATATTCTTAGACCTTTTATTCCTTCTCATTCCAGAATACAACATTTGTTCTACTTCCATATAAACAACAACAAGCAGATACCATGTCTCTTCCTCTTTTTCCTATTAATAGATTTTCATCTGATTTCCAAATAGCAACTATTGTGCCCACAGCAAAATTGGTTCCAATAATAGAACTTCCATCCAATGGATCAAATGTCACTATATACTTCCCACCTTCAGAAAGTAGCTTCATCTAAGAATAATTATGATTATCTATTTACTTCTGGTGTTTCTTCACTTGCTGTATGACTAACAAATCCTGTTTTCTTCAATTCTGTATTTACATTCAATTCACATTATACATCCATTTCTAATTGATGATCTCCAAAATCATTTTGAGTGTTTGTATAATCTCCACCTCCAGAACAATATCTCAAAACTCTGGAATTTTCAATGAATGCAAGAAGTAATGCTGAACATACTGAAGATAATTCTGGTTCATCACTAAGCTTAACATGAAGAGAATGCATTTTCCTGGATATTTATAAATTAGATCATAAATTGATAAATTTCCTTAATTAGTGCCTATTATCATGCGCATTATTTTTTAAACTTATATTAAAATGACGCATTTTTTATTTAATTAATCATAATAATTTCATTACTATTTTTAGAGTTCGTGATAATCATTTGAAATGATATTCAAACCAAAATAAATTAATATTATTCCAATCAAACATTCAATAAAAATAATTTAATTAAATCTCTAATTCAATTACCTTAATCTTTCATCTATTAGATTGATTAATATAAATTTAAAATGAATTAAAACATCCATTTATGAATAATAACACATAAAAATCAATCAAATTATTACTCATTATGATTCATCTTAAATAATAATTTTATATAGAAAATATTAAGTTATACTAAAATTAGTAATCATGCTTAGTTAATTTAATTTAATATTTATAAAACAAAAAAAATGATGTATAGTCTAAATACTTCCTCTGAATGAATTACATATATTATTTATATATTAGTTAATTAAATTCATTATTTTAATAATCTTTTCATCTCACAACCACATACTGGACAGACTTTAATAGACTCTATAGATTGTAAGTCACATCCTTTACAAACAAATAATTATTATAAATAGACTGGTTCAATTGTAGTTTAACATCTAATAAATCTATGAGTTGGACATGTAACCCATGTAATTAATTATTATTTACAGATTGGGCAAATATCTTCTTTTCTTAAGAGACTTGGTACAAACTTATTTTTTACTGCAGCAATCTAAATTTTAATTTTATCATTTGTTGGTTTAATTGACTCAAGATAAGATATATAAATATGATTATAAAAGTCTTTGTATACTTCATGTTATTCCATTAACATTAATAAATTCAATATAGCTTTACCAGTTGCTTTTTATAAGTCTTCAAATTTATATTATTTTAGTAATTAATCTTAAACTTTATTTTTTTTTTCATATAATTATTTAGCAATTTCTAAACACATAATTTCCTTTTTGAGATAATAGTAATATATCTTAAAATCATTGATATTAAGTGGTTATTAAAAATTACTATTTAATTAAGGTTAAATCATTAATCTGAAAAGTTCTTATGGATCTTTTTCCATAATAATACAATTTATTGATTATCCTACTTATTCTTTAAGACAAGCAAACTCTAAAATTTGATTGTATGATTTACAAACCGAAATTACTCTATTGATTTTACTCCATTTATTAGAGATCATAATATTACCATTTTTGAATAAGAAATCTTATTCATTAATTGGATAAAACTTGCTCATAAAAGTCAATTGTAATTTAATCTATTTTTCTTAAGATCTAATTTTAAGACTCTATATTTAAGTTCCACATAATATATATAAAGTATCTTCATCTATAATTTCTATTTATAATGCACCAGGAAATGGTATCTCAAAAGTATTTTTATCATCATAAATAAGAATTTAAGATGAATTATATAAAACTAAAAGAGAATGTGCATAAATCATTTCATCTTTATACTCTTAATTCAAATTTAATTTTATATTTCCAATTAAAAGCTCATTATTTCTATACACAGCCAAATTATTATTCCAACATGATATCGCTTTTACATTATCAAACATTAATTATTAATCTATAACTAAAGCCCCATTATTCCATAAAACAATTATTTATTCTTCCATAACATAGAAATCCTTAATTTATGGTTATTCAGAATTAAGTGATATAATTCTTTTTTCAAGATTGCTGCTATATAATATAGGGTAAGAATCTTCACGATATGCTAATGCAATAAATTTAGTTTGTTCATTATCATTAAAAGCACTAGTTAAAGTATCAAATGTTTGAAATTTAGGTATGTTGATTTTTTTTTTAATAATATCCTTTCTTTGAGTTAAACGCTTTATTGATAGTACAATAATCTCATTTGAATATGCAATATATAGGAATTCATTTTTGGCAATCATTTTGATAACATCTTGTGATGGCTCAAAAAATTTCTACACTTAAAATTCTTATGAATAATTCATAATAAGTTTATAATCCCTTTTTAAGAAATATATTATAATTATCAAATAAATAAATTATATTCTAAATAACAAACTAAACTAAAATCATTTATATAGTATTACTTAGATTGCGATCAAATAAATAATTATTTATCAGATTAAAATGGCTTGTCATTTTGTTAATGAATAAGAAGTTCTTGAATATGCTTCAATGACTAGTTCTCATCATGATGATGGTTCTGAGAATGATAGTCAAAGTGAAGATGCAAGATAATCTAATCAAATAAAAAATCCTATACTTCTAAATTCTGAATCATAATTTTCTGAGAGTGACTTATCAAATAAAATTAAATTACCTAGAGGAGGAAGTGTTATAATGACAAAAGTTGGTGCAATACAATTCAGTATGGTTCCTGAAACATTGAAAGATAGCATCAATTTAGGTTTGGATGTACCAGGTATATTTATTGTACCATCACATCGATTTGATAAAAGATTTTGTTTATCTGTTGCAGAATTTGAATTTCCAACTTATTTTAGTTTTTTTGTAAAGAGAAAGAGAGTAACACTAATAACTGATAAGGAAGGAGAAGAAGCAATTAGAACAATATTTTAAGAAACTTTGTTAGGACCAAAAGATTTTTAAAAATTTGATTAAGATTTTAGCAATGATTATAATTGTAAACCAGATATAGTGAAAGAATTAGGACATTTTGCAAAGAATCCGTTTAATCCTAATGAACCATTGACTGTAGATTTATTAATAAATTTTTTAATTTTTGATGAATAAAACCAAGTAAATTTAGGTTAGGATGTAATAGTAAAAAAAGTAGATTAGAAATTTATTATATATGAAAATGGAAAATAGATAGCTAAGATGAAAAATAAAGTTGAAATTATGATAGATGATGTTAAATCAAATGCATATATAAAATATGGATTATTTAGTAATCCTAATGATTAATAATATATTGAACATTATTTTGAATAGACATTTACACCTCCTATTTTTGGAGTAACAGTTTTAGGTTGTTCACATGGATTTGATCCAAAAGGATCAGTATCAGGTTATATTTTTTGGATAAATGGTTTAGGTGTGATGCTTGATCCACCTCCATTTACAACACTACTTTTGAGAAAAAATGGAATACCAAGTAGATTAGTAAAATGGGTAATTATATCACATAATCATGCTGATCATGATGCAGGCACATTTTAAAAATTATTAGAATCTGAAAAAACAATATTAATTAGTACTGCAACAATAAAAGAGAGTTTTGTAAGAAAGTATGCAGCTATGACTGCATTTTCAGTAGATTATATTGAATCACTTTTTAATTTTGAAAGAGTTATAGTAGGAACCCCTTTAAAAATAAATGGAGCTTAATTTGAATTTCATTATTCATTACATAGTATTCCTTGTTTATCTTTTACAGTAAGATTAGGTGGAAAATCAATCTATTTTAGTGGTGATACATTCTATGAACCAAATGGATTAAAAACAATATTTGAGAAAGGAGTAATTTCAGAATCTAGATACAATTATTTGATGAGTGAAGATAAATGGAAGAATTCACTTATCTTACATGAAGCTGGTGTACCTCCTATTCATACTCCTGCAAAATTATTAGCATAATTACCACAAGAAGTTAAAGAGAAATTAAGATTGATTCATACTGCAGCTAAAGATATCCCTTCTGATTCTGGATTAAGAGTTCCAGGAGTAGGATTAGAGAATACTATAGTTTTAATTTAATAATCTGAAGATTCTAGATTAAATACAATATAAGAATTAAGTTTGATTGAAAATATTGATTTATTTAAACATGCTAATATTCATTAAGTAAGATAGATTTTTGAGAGTTCAACTATTAAGAATTATGAATAAAATTAAAATATATGTATTTAAGATGAGATAGGAAATGAATTTTATATAATTCGTAAAGGAACTGTTAAAATACATTCTGATAATCCTGTTTTTGTGAAATATATGCATTATGGTGATTATTTTGGTGAAGGATGTTTCTTTAATTAAAATAAAAGAAAAGCTAATGCTACAGCTATGAATTAATGTTAATTAATTACATTAAGTAAAGAAGACTTTTTAAGAATATTTTAATATGGTGAAGTGATGCAAAAATTAGAGAATCTTTAAGTTGTTCGTTCATAAATATAAATAATGGAAAGAAATAAATTCTTTTCTTAATTAACATCTTATTAAAAGATTCAATTAGAAATGTTATTAAATTAAAAAAGATTTTTCTAAAAACATTCTATGATTCAATAATATGGTGTTATGGCTACTGTTGCATTTTTTGTAGTTTCTGGTAAAGCATAAGTTATTCTACCATCTGATTATGTTGTATAATAATATGAAGGATAATCTGTAAAAATTAATAGATAAGAATCAACTACAAGTGATCATACTAAATAATAATAATAATAATAAATTATTGATTAAAAAAAGAAGAGACTCTCTTTACCTATCAATTTAGCTATGCTTGAATAATAAAAACCAAGTATCTAAACACCAGAAATATCAGAAAAATCATCAATAAATGAAATAAAAGTAAAATCATATACATTATTATTTAGACTTATCCTTTAACAAGTGGAATGTTCTTTGGAGAAATTGATTCTATTGTTAAAAACAAAAGAACTACTACAATTGTTGAGGCTGTAGAAGATACTGAAATTATCATCTTAGAATCATCATCATTAAGATCATTTTTAGCTGACAATCCTGGATTAATGGTACTCTTTTAAGAGAGTATTATTATAGAATGAATAATTGTCATTATATTTATTAAATAAAATAATATACTTAATAATATAAATATTTCATATTGCTACTGTAAATTATGCAAATACAGGTCTATGATCACTACCTAAGATATCAAAATTTGCATCATAATTTTATAACTTCAATTTAGAAGTCATATCTTTAAAACTTTATGATGTAGATTAAATTGTCATTTTTTTATTTTCTTTATAAAGTATTCTATCACACCAACCTGGAATTCTAAAATCTTAATCTAATGACCATGAATTATAATTTTATAATAATTTATATGTTGGTGGAAAAAAGATCATTCCTTCTTAAAATTATGATTAATAGTCTTGAGTATTAAACTAAATTTACTTAATTTATTATGACGACTAAGATACATTTAATCTTTTCCTAACCATCCAAAAAAATCAGAATGAGTTTTAATTGTTTAAGGACTTATGTTTTCATCAATTCTAGAATTGAAATCTCCAGTCCAAATAAGATAATCATATTAAACATGATTATGATTTGAAAATACTTAATTTTAAAAATGAGTTTCCAATTTAGAAAACTAAGTTTATCTTTTAGATTCAGAATTTTATCCACTTTCTAAATGGCTATTAATGAATAAGAAAATCTTATCATCGATATTTACTGATACTGCTATTCCTCCCTTATTGCCAACAATTCCCATAAAACCTTAAGAGAAAGTGTATTACTTACCATTTCTTATTTTAGGTATCAATGATTTATGAGCAAAGACTATGATATGCATTGCATTCAGTGAAGCTGATTATACTTTTATATAGGATTTTCCTAATTCGTTCTATAATTTAACTTCCCATTCATTTTTGGATTCACAAAATATTGATGTTACTATACTACGTTAACATTCTTATGTTCCAATAACTATAATATCATGATATAATATATCAATATTAAATAGCCTTTTTAAGGAATGGTTGGGTATCATCCCATGCATATTCCATGTTATAACAAGTATTCTTATATCGTTCTCAAAATTCCACTCATTTCTTGGTTAATTTAACCATTTATATGAACATTTATGATTGAGATGTAACATTTCTTGATTCAAATTTCCTATAAGTTTTTTATCTTAAGAATATTCACTAAAGAAGTTTTCATTAAAAAGTGGAAATGGTAGAGGATCCTCAATTAAAGGATAAGCAGATTGAGTTTACATTTTAAAGAATGATTTTAATATAAAATGTAGTTATCTAAAAAATTTGAAGAATTTTAAGACCTTGATCCAAATGAACATTTTCCTTAAAGGCGAGTATCAAGAACTATAGGTTATTAGAATAGTGAATCTATTCAAGAAGAAGATGAGGAATAGTCTTCTTCTAGTATGAATTTACCATAACCAAAAAATTCATTTATGATTTCTTCAATCAAATAGCCAGTTGATTTTTCTGGAAGTGATATGAAAGTACCCACAATTTATACGAATATGCATTCAAATAAAAATTTTGATAAGAACCCTTTTAAATAAGATTCAAAATAAAGAGTTGATAATAGTGGTAGTGTATTGATTGATGTATCAGTATTGGACCCATAAGATTCATTATAATCTGAATCTGTAAGAATGAAGATTTATTTTATAGCTACAATCAGAATTGATGGATAAAAATAATAAATCTTCCACACTTAATTCAATTCATGTGAAGAATTTAGTGACCAAATTTGTTCAGAAGATGAAAAGAAATATTAATTGGAATTAATTAAAAGACATTACTTTAATTGATGATTTAACATCAAGTAAATATTTTTAAATATCAATAGTCTAACCCTAATTATATAAATGGTTCACAATTTCCTATTTCATTTTGACTTCTCTTATCATACTTGCATCATCTATATTTATACCTATACACATAGCTAAAGAACCAGGTTTTGAAATTCCTGCATATATAACACATTGCTTAGCAATAATTCAAATAATTGCTGATATTTATTTTAAGAGAGGACCCTTTCATTTGAAAGAAGGTAAATTTAATACTGAATATGTTGATTAAACTAAATTAGCCTTAGATTTTAGTAGATTAGCATCATCTATAGTTTTAATCTTTCCATATTAATATGAACTCAATTACATCATTATACCTTATATCATAATGCAATTGATTAGACAAGCAGAACGTTTTGAAAATATATACAATTCTACTTAATTAATAATTTACATATTAACTCTTTGGGTAGCATTAATAATGACATTTGCTTGTTTATTAGAATCTGATGAAGGTATACATTATTCAATTACATTGGCTGTCTCTGTATTGACTCATAATGGAGCTATATCTATTGATGTTACCCATTCAAATGCCTTGCTCTTACAATGTTTTATGATCATTAGTTCATTCACTATGATTTATACAGCCTCAGCAATTTTTATTTGGATTAAACCAATAATGAAATTAGAAGAAGAAAAAGAAAAACATTTAGCTTCATTTTTAAATGGAATTAAAGACAAAAAAATTGATTATGGATTACAATGTCGTTGTTACTCTTATTTAGAATATGTAATTGATGTAATGCTAATCTATTATCTAAGGTTAGGAAGACATCATTAAGACAAGAGATCTTTTATCTAAAAAGTTGTCACCTGGTCTTTAAGAAGAATTATAAGTTTCCATTCGTTCTAAGATGGTTGATAAAATTAGATTATTTGATAAATTTTCATCGAGTTTGAAGTAATAATTAATATATTGGTTTGATATTGCATAATACAATCCTGAAGAGAATATTGTTTAAGTAAAAGATTAAATTTTAAATTATATTAGGAACATTAAGTTGAAGATTTCTGTCTCTACTTTATATTAAAAGGAAAAGTTAAAATTTAATTTTAGGGATACTTTTAAGGTAAACCAAAAAGGACGTTTCATACATTATAAGAAGGATAAACCTTTGGGGAATTCTCATTCATAACTGGAATTCCTCCTTATATTTCAATTAATAGTTAAGGATTAACTACAGTTTTAAAATTGAGAAGATCAGATTTCTTAGAAATTATTAAGACTTATCCTTAAGACAATGAGATGTTTTGTTTATTCAAAGATAATTGTTACTAGAATCATAATATGTTTGAATGCAATTATTGTAAAATCAAAGGTCATTTATTATTTGAATGTCAATACTTATAATATTATCCAAAAAAAATAAACGTTATTGAAAAACATATATACCCTCATCCACAATAAAGGTTTAAAATTGAAAGAAGAAATAAAGAACCTAAGGCTTTGTTGATGTTATTTGTTGTAGGGGAACGAGCCAAACAATATCAATAGAAATTATCATAAGAAGTAATGACATCTGAAGACTTTCCTATGTCATCGCAACTACCTTATAGTGAAAGTATTTATACTCTTGATATAAATATATATTAAATCTACATAGATTAGACCTAACAATCCGCCAGCTATTTGAGTAAAACCCAATCCGTGCACAAATATAGTCCTGAATAATTAAGTGATAATCCAGACAGTGAGGAAGATCAACTCTATGAAGAATTAGCCATCGATCCAGTACTTAATAATTAATTAAGAAAATAATAAAACAAAACTACTTTAAGAACTGCAGGATTTCCCTTTATGTCTGAAACATTAGGTATTTCTATTTAATAAATTTACTCTAGAAAACTTACATAAAGAGAAATTGCAAGTTATTACTGAATAATCTTAAAGTAAGTAATTTGACTCTCTTAATTCAAAATAAGAGGATACTAATTAATTAAGCAAGTAAAGTAGTGGTTCCTAAGCATTTGCTAAAAAGAATCATCTCTATAGTGCTGCTCGCTCTATGCATGCCAAACTCACATTTCGTTATCAACAATAACAATCAGGATAAATAGATGATCAAATTCAATATCAATAATAACAATAATAGAATTCAATCAGATAAACATCAAATCGTTCTAATACATATTCGAATCCTCTATCTAATAACTTATCTAATAATCCTTCAAGTAATTCTAAGGCTAATACTAAATCTGCAAGAGTCTCTCCAACATAATTTCAATAACCTCCTCCTTAAAAAAAGAAGGAGGAAAGAGGATCTCATAGTGATTAATCACTTTCAGAATAATAAAGACATACAAACAGAAAGAAAAGTACTAAAACAGGAACAAAAGTGAGTATTCTCAATTAAATGTCACAGTTCTAAATAATTAACACTCCAGAGGTATTCAATTTGATTTATTAAAAGAATCATCACTATTAATATAATGATATTGTATTTAACAGATTTGAAAAGATGCATTTATTTAAGTATTATAATCCACATAATAACTACAATAATGTAATTATAAGGTACAATTTATAATCAAAGAGTAGAATGAACAAATTCCATAGAACAAAGAAAAGTAAGCCAATTCATTACACTATAAAATGTTTTGTATCCTCAAAAATAAGGAGAGTAAAAAAGATTTTGGATTCTTAGTTATGATATCTGTTAAATGTTTTACTAAGATATAAGGAGAAATGTTATTATATGATATTTATTGATGAAATGAAATGATTCTCATTTTAAGTTTTAGTTTTCACCATACTTCTCTTCAATCCATCTCATAGTAATGGATCCTGGTCTTTCAATTGGTAATCCGAATGCTCTGGACCAGATAAGATTAGCCATGCATCCTAATGCTCTTGAGACAGCAAATACTACAGTGTAGTATTGGAATTCTTTCATTCCATAATGATAGAGCAATACTCCAGAATGTGCATCAACATTTCTATGATAATAAATAATAAATACGGCCATGGATTCTAAATTTTTCCAATGGTTTTCAAAACAGGTGGGATTACATGATAACATTATCTAACTAAATCAACTAAAGGATCATCTTTAATGTGTCTAGCAGCAAATTCTTTTTGATGAATGAAACGTGGATCAGTATATCTTAAAACAGCATGTCCATATCCTGGAATAACTTTACCTTCTCTAATTGTAGTAAGCACATAATCTTGAATTTTTTCATTTGAAATGTTATCACCTAATTCTTCCTATTATATATTTAATATATTGAAATACTTTCAATTCTAATAACCATTTAAGCACTTCTTAATTAGCAAGACCATGTAATGGACCAGCTAAACCATTGACACCAGCAGAATATGACAAATATGGATCTGCCAATGCTGAACCAACCAAATGTGTTGTATGGGCACTCACATTACCTCCTTCATGATCAGCATGGATGCTTAAATATCCTCTTAAACATTCTCGAACTTCAAATTTATTGTATCCAAGCATGTGTGCATAATTACCAGCCCAATCTAAATTATCATCAGATGAGATAATTTCTCCATTCTACATTATAACAATCTATATACCTTATATTTATGTCTATATATAAGAGCAGCTACTCTTGGAATTTTGGCTAACAAATCCATAGCATCCTCATAGAAATATTCCCAATATTAAGGCTTTGAGACTTTTCCTTAATCATAAGCTTATTAGAAAAGGGAATCTTTCTATAGATACAATAGAGTTTGTGATAACATAGTCATTGGATGGGCTGATTTTGGTAAACTCAAAATAAAATTTTGTGTTTATGAATCCAATTGTCCTCTCTATTTCCATTCCTATTGTACATCAGCGAATTCTTGTTCAGCTAAAAATATTAATGAATCATATTACATGGAAAATCACCTGTACATAGTAACCAGAATAAAGCTTCTGGAAGAGGCTCATGACCATTCTCAGCTTTTTAGAGATACTCTTGTAATTCTGGAATATTGTAATCTCTCATTGTGATACCCTAAGAACTTTAAATTCTAAATCATTACAGTCTTAGCATCCAACAATGATGCATCATAAAACAAACCAAACACATTTCTCATACCTCCTATGGCTTGGTCAACTGTCACCTTACAGATTTCTTTGGATCCATATCTCTTTCTCACATCACGGAGTAAAGCTTGTTTAACTGGCACAAGATCTCTCATTCTTTACTTTAAGAGACCATGAGAGTTATTGTATAAGCTTCTGTAGAATAATTAAGCAACACTTTTTTGTTTTGTATTCATGATGAGATATTAATTTTATTTTCAAGATAAAAAGATATTTTATCACTTAAACACGTAGTATTAATAATATGATAAATTAATTAAAAAGATATGTAAATAATTCCCCTTTTATTTTTATAAAATTAAATTTTATAATTATACACATTAATATTATGGGGATATTAAAATAAATCCAATAACTCATCATATTAATTATAATACAATTGTTTTCAATTTATTAATATTATTTAATAACAAAATGACAAAAAGGTAATACTTTATGATTAATCAATAAATTAGGTGTTCATCCATCTAATTATTTTGACCTCAAGATAATTTATAATAAATCTATAATTTTTATATATAATATCATAATTCCTCCACCTTCTATAGATAAAAGAACTATCCTTGATAATCAGGGTTAACTTCATGAGGCAATTCTACCAAATATACAGGAGTCAATGCTCCTTAATCTATTGTCAATTCAGCCTCATCTCCAGCCATATCAGTTTTAACCCATCCAGGACAACATGTGTAAACTTGTAAACTTTTATTCTTAACTTCAGCATTTTAAGCTAAAGTTTTAACATATGTATTAATAAGCAATTTACTGATTCCATATCCCCAACTTGGCCATCCATTCTATTCATATGTGTCTAAGTTAATTATAATATATAATACTATTCTTAACATGTTCTTAAAATTCTTCTGCCAATTTGAATACGTCTTCTCTTGTAATATTTGGATTTTTGAATCTTTTAACAAGATCATCAGATTTCAAATATTTTGTTTTACCAGCTGATGATCCAACTGTGATGATCTTTCCATTTTGTGTTAATAAAGGAATGAATTTTTCAGTCAATTCGACTATAAAATATATAAGTTAAAATATATACTAGTGCCATAGAAGTTTGGTTTAAAAGTGAATTGAACAACTTCCAAATTGAAATCATCTGATTTGACAGCTACAGCAGCATTGTTAATTAAGATATCAGCCTAATGGAATCTGGTTGTAAATTCCTGTATGAATTTATCAATACTGTCACTATTACTTATGTCTAATTCAATAGTGTCAATTCTATCTTGGGAAATCTAAGTTGACATAAAAGTAATTGAATACATTGTATTTTTCTATCAATTTGGTTCTAGACTTTTAAGCTAATTCAAGAGATCGACAAGCCATGATTATTTTATATGACTACTTTTGAATGAGATTTTCAAGAATGCCAAAACCAATACCTTTGTTAGCTCCTGTAATGACAACTGTCTTTAAGGCTTACATTTTTAAGAAATTATTGATTTTCCAAATTCCAAGAATTTAGATATGAAATGATTTATTAGATGTAATTAATCAGTTTTAGAATTCTTAATTCCACATATTAGACTAATTCAAGTTTAATAATATAAGTAACAGCTAATTAAAATGTCAATATTAGAATAGGCATTGAAAAAGGCTGTGAGTTTGGGATATATGAAATGGGGATTAATATTTGGTTTTGCAAATGGAATAGCTGTGTATTCATATTATAGAGAGAATCGAAATAAATATGATTTAGAGGCTTATTAATAATCAGTAACAAGATATGTCTCTTATTAATCTGGTAAAATGGCTGAAACATACATACCAAAATGGTTAAGAAGTCCTTTATTTTCATTATTTGGTTATGTTTATGATGTTAATTATGATGATATGTTAGAATCACTAGAAAATTATGAAAACTTTCAACAATTTTTTACTCGAAAAATAAAAAGTAGAGAGTTTGATAACAGTGTAAATAAACTAATAGTACCAGCAGATTCTAAAGTGTTATCATTTTGTGAAGTGAAAGATGATAGTCCAATATTAGTTAAGAATGTACATTATAAATTGGGATATTTTTTAACAGGACAAGAGACTTTTGAGATGACTCCATAGATATTAAATGATGCAAAGAAAAGATAAAATACAAAACTATATTCAGTAATATTTTATTTGGCTCCTGGAGATTATCATAGATATCATTTACCTAGTGATTTCTAATTAAAAAGTAGAAGTCATATAGTTGGACATTTAGCACCTGTAAAGATAAGTTACATTTAAAACACACCTAAAGTATATGAGACAAATGAGAGAGTAGCTTTGTTTGGAACTTATAATTTTGGATTAATGAATATTGTTTTGGTTGGTGCTACTAATGTAGGATCAATGACTTTAAATTATGATAAGGAATTTTAAACAAATTAGAAAGCATAGGAATTATTTGTTTATAAACATTATGATCCAAATATATTACTTAGAAAAGGTGATGAATTAGGAATGTTTAAATTGGGGTCTACAGTTGTGATGATGTTTGAAGCAGAAAATGTAAAATGGAATATAGAGGAAGGTTAAAAGTGTAAATGGGGTGATGTATTTGCTGAAGTAAGTTGAGTTTTGAAAAAATATATCAATTTTAATTTTAATGGCAATATTAAGAATAAAAGAATAAGAAGTGTATTACTCTTATCTATATATTGTGGTGTCATATATAGTGATCAAATATCTTTTGGAACAATTCATCAATCTCAGACAATTAGATTAATTGTCAGTGAAACAGATGCCAATTCATATTGAATAGACATTGGGGATCACACAAAAATAATTTAAGAGAAGTTAACGATTTTATTATGATAAACTGTAAAATTGATTTTATATAGCATAGGTCTTTTGAAATGTACACAAAATCAATAAAAACAGCAATTGAGATTATTGTGATATTATGTGGTGTGATGCCATTTATATGGGAAAGGACTGTGACTTTCTTTAAAATGGATCCAAATTCAGAAGTAATTCTAATTTGATTATAGTTTCAAAGAGGATTAGCATATATCTTTGTGGAATTTATACGCCTCAAATTAATTGATGTTCCTAATAATTTTTATAACACTCATGTAATAGAGAAAAGATATGATCTAAGTCAAATATCATTTGCTCTTTAATTCAGTGATCTTGTAATTGAATCAGCATTGTGGGTGGTCTTTGTACCAATACTCCTCTATTCCTATTTATATGTGGCTGAACTTGGAGGAGATTACTTTTTCATAGCGGTATATTCCACTACACAACATATAGATGCAATTCTTTGTATTGTTCATGGCAATAGTGTCCAGTCTAGTCTATCCTAATTATATTCAACCTCTATTCAACGAATTTGAAGAACTCAAAGAAACTTAACTTAAATAAGCCATTAGTCAATTAGCATTAAGAATGAATTTCCCTTTAGAAAAGATACTTGTCATGGATGGATCCAAGAGATCAGATCATTCAAATGCTTACTTTTTTGGAATGTATAGTAAAAGAATAGTACTCTATGACACTCTAATTAATAATCTAACAAATGAAGAAATAGTAGCTGTAGTAGCACATGAATTAGGACATTGGAAATATAAGCATCCCTATATCAAATTATTATTCTTTTGTATTAAAAGTAAATATTCAAAATATATTTAATAATAGTTCTAATTACTTTTTACATATTTGGTTTCTATAGAGATTCAGATGTAGTATTTTTGAGTTTTGGTTTTAATGAGAAATCCATCTTCATAGGCTCTGCATTGTTTTTTTCTCTCTTTGAACCCATGAATACATTGTTTCAAATATTTGAACTTCATTTATCCCGTTTCTTTGAATATTAGGCAGATATCTTTGCTAGTCATCATGGTCTTGGTATCTATTTGATGAGTGGATTGATTAAGCTCTTTAAATAGAATTCAACGAATTTAATGATAGATCCAATCTATCAATGGTACTATAACAGTCATCCTTCATTATTTGAGCGATTAAAATACTTAAATAAATTGAGATGATTAATTAATTACTTTTTATAATCATATTAATTATTTGACATTATTATATAAATTATTTGGACAACCTTTCCCTTATAATCTTAATTTTTAATTGGTATTTATTTAATGAACAATAAACTTGCTGATTTAATTAGTAACTATCTCAACGAATAGAAACATTTAACAGATAAATATACTAAACTATTCAATCAAATCAAACAAGCTGATAACTATTATGGTCGTAATTCAAATTCTATTCTAAATCTTAAGAAAAGATCTTCCAATTCAGATTACAGTTATAGTTCTAATAAAGAAAAGATCCATTGTTAATTTTGTGGAAAACAATATACAAGCAGATTACCATTAAAGAACCACATCGAAAAGTTCCATAATCAAGAAAATTATCCTTCCAGACAAGAACTATCTACTAAATAAATCACTCCTTATGATGATAATGATAATTATGAAAATGATGAAAATAGTTATAATGAAGCAGATGAAGAATTAAGATAAAAACTATTAAGGAATGTTTAAGCTATTTAAATGAGAGAATGTTAGACTACTACTCATTAAGAAGATGTTATCATCAGTGGCATAGATTCAGATTCATAGAATTGATATTTATATTATGCATTCAATTTTTTACCTTTATTATTTATGTAAACTTTCATATACTTTTATGAACAATTTAACAAGGATTTTGATTTTTATACAGATGGTATTTATTTATTTATGGATTTCAATAATATTTATGGATTCACAATAGATTGATTGTCCCCTCTCAGAATTGATGACAAATGATGAAATAAGAGAATGGGCTTTTTCTTTGGATCCTTAACCTGAAAAGAAAAGCAAATTAAATTCATCTATTCCTTAAATAAGCAGTTCTGCTACTATCAATAGGGCTTGTTAAAAATAAAAAGAATAAAAGATTAAATAAATCCCTCGAATCATTTAACCATAACCAATTCAAATAGAAAATCAAAAATAAAAAAAAGAGATTATTCATCGTTTAAAACTTCAAAATAGATTAATGAAAGATATGATTTAATAACAAAAAGACTTGTTAGAATAAATGAAGAAGTTTTGAATTCTATTTTTAATTATAATTATATATTCAATAATTTAAATAAAAAAAAAAGATAACTTATGGATTAAGCCAATAAGTTGTAATATTAACAATAGGTTGAAAAGTATCTTGAAAGAAACAAAGTTTATCATATCTTTGAAGATTTACTAAAAGCATTGATCATTAAAAAACCTGAAGATCCAATTCAATTTCTAATCAATAAATTATAAGAACCTTAAAGTATATATGATACCTGAAATCAAGCCAAAAAAATATTTGTGGTTGGTCCTCCTGGATCAAAATTGAGAGAATTATCACTTACATTAGCAGATTATTTGAATTTTCATATTGTCTCTATTGGAGATTTAATTGAAAAGGAGCTAAGTAAAAAGTCTGAATTGGTATTCATCTCTTAATATATCTATATTAGAGTTAATAAATCTAAGAATCTTTAGACAAATTCTAATATGTGAGTGATGACATTGTAATCAATATAGCACTTAATTAAATAAATCATTTAGAAAATGAAAAGAAAAGTTATATTTTTGAAGGATTCCCTAAAACAAGAGTTTAAGGATTAGCACTTCAAAAAGAAGGTATAATACCTGATGCATTTCTTATTTTGGAAATGTCATAAGAAAAGATTTATCAATGTTGTCTTAAGAAATTAGACACAGAACCTTTTAATAAACTAAACAATAAAGAAGATTTAGTAAAATCACATTCTTTGGAATACTAATTGAATTTGAAATAAGTAAAAGAAATTTATAAGAATTAATATTTTTCAGTAGATGGAGAAAAGAACTATGAATTAGAAGATATGGCAGTATTAAAATTAAAGTATTTAGTAATTATTAAAATATAAACTCTATGATAATGCCCCTAAAAGAGCTCTTAGAATAGTTGTTATAGGACCTCCTGGATCTGGAAGATCTACATTAGCTAAGAAATTATCTAGTAAATATGGATTTGTATATATTTCAACAAGAGAATTGATTTCAAATTTAGTCAATTAGAAGGGTACAACAGGAAAAGAAGCATTTGAAAAAATGAATAAAGGAGAGCTTGTAGAAGATAGAATTATTAATGCTCTAATAAAAGAGAGAATTAATTAAACTGATTGTTAATTGTAAGGGTATGTTCTAGATGGATATCCTAAAACAGAAAATCAATTAGAATCTTTAAATGAAATGAATATATAACCAACTTTAATGGTAATTATTGATGCAGCTGATGATATAATTACAAGAAGACTTGTTTAAAGAAGAACTGATCCAATGACAGGTATAATTTATAATTCAATTGATGATGCTGAAAAAGAAGTAAGACCTAGATTGATAATAGCACCAAATGAAAAAAGAGAAGTTGTTTAATTGAGGTTATTATTTTATATTATTATATTTAGATTGAAAAGATGGGATGATTTGAAATAATTGATAGATGGTACACCTAAATATGCTTCAATAATTTATAAAGTCTCAGGAGAGAATTCTTTAGATAATATGATAGAATCAGTATGTTATCATTTAGAGAAAATGAATTGATTTAATATTAAAAATAAATATAGATATTTTATCTTAATATCATAATCATTATTAACTTAATACTTCTTAAGCTTGTTTTTTTAATAATTTCTTCAATTCCTCAGGTACTTTACTTACTTCCTCTTCTTCCTCTGTAATAGGATAAAGTTTAAAGCGAGGATCACCATATTTTGTGATACTAATTTCACTCTTATCACAATCAAAGTAAAAGCTTAATGTGAAATCAATTTATTAAGCTCCCTCCTTTGTACATGGTATAACTGCATATCTACCATTACTTAAAGAGATATCATTAGTGTCGATTTCTCTTCTCAAATTCAACTTACCAGAAGAAGCTACTATCTTTTTATCATCAAATTTTTATAAACATTTATCTGTTTATCCTAAAGAAAATACACAAAGTAATATTGGTTTCATCACATTTGGGAATGGATATCTTTCTCCCAAAAACAAACGTCCTATTATTATAATTAATTATTTATACCATCTGTCTATTACATTTATATATACATATTAGTTTTGTCTCCTTTCTTTCTTTTCAACTCAAGAATGTATTATGGGTTTTTTTAGGCATATTAAATTAATGAAGCCTCATTCTTCATTGGAGCTCCTGAACTCTAAAGTCCAAATTAATCAAATGCTCTCAATCCACTCCAATCTTTAGGAAAGTCACTATTAATTTATTGATATCTTTATACATGCATTAAAATAAATTAGAAAACACAGTTCTCCAACTTTTGAAACACATAAAGAATGTACCATCATCTTATCCATAAACATATGGTTCTGGAGGTTCTTTACCTTCTTATTTGGCCTTTTCAATTTCCTTTTAATAATAATCATTAATCCAATCAATCCATTTATCTAATTTAGCAGAATAATCAGGATTTTCTGACCATTTTAATTTCCATTCTCCATATCCCCAAGGATTTCTGATTTTTAATATTCTATGTGATTTATGATAATTATTGCAACTCTAATCAGGTATTTCAAACATATCTAAAATACCATAAGCATGTCCACTCATAACACCTGTATCTTCATCATTTATTTTTATATATAATTCAGTTCCTCCTTCTGCACTACATCCCAACATTGTTCCATCTTTTTTGCATTTTAATAAAAGATTCCATAGGTCTTCTTTTTCAGCTTTTGTACATTCTTCACTCAATTTAATTTTGTCAGGTACCTTACCAGTCATATCTGCTAATCCTTAAGCAATATCTCCAGCTGTTAAAGCAAAGTAATTTTAATGAAGTTTTGCATAAGCCTTCTCAATTAAATTAACCCAACATTCTGTAGGCTTTCTACACTTACCAAATACATATTCATTATCTTTTACACATAATTTATCATCTATAACAACATACTTCCATCCAAAATTCTTAAAGAATCTCATTACATATAGACCATATTTCCTTAAGAATTTAAAACATGGTGGATAAACTCCAATAAGCATTCCATTGACTTCTTCATCTGTTAATTCTTATATAGATTCATGAGTAATAACAAAGTCACCTTACAAATATTACTCATATCCTGATATGATTGATAAAGCAGAAACAAACCAACAATTACCTAAATATTTTGATTGACAAACATCATTTGAAGCAGCTCCATCCTCATCAAATACATCAACATGACTATTTTTATATTATTCATCTCCATTCTCTACTATAGCAGCCAAGAATTCCTCAGGTCTCAACCATTTACATTCCTTAGGCTATGGAGCTCCTTCTGGTACATCATTATCAGCAAAATACATACTCTTACTACCATAAGGATCTTCTTTAGTTGGTCCAAAATCTGGGTCTTCCCATTTTGTACCTGGATTCTATTCTAATTTTGATATTTCTTCATAAACATATCTTAAACATGCTAAATCTGAATTAAATATAGTTGTCCATTTGGTTTCTTCTCTATGTAAAGTTTTTCCACTTCCTTCCATTCTGTACTTACCAAAATAATCCTCCTCCATTATTACAGGTTTTAATTTTGATAATGTTGTTGCATATTCTCCTACTGATTTAAGAGAAGCTCTCATTGATTTATTAAGTGTATTATCTAAATTCATTGTTTTTTAAGGAACATATATTAATAAAATCTTTTAAACCTAATCTATAATTTCTTATGCTGATAAAACTCCAGATCCATCAATATCAAAATAAGAAAATAGAGCATCAGAATGTTTTTTGGATGGACATGAGAATAAAATCTATGCCAATTAATAAAATTAATCTTGAGTCAATTATGTATCTTCATAAATTTATTCAGAAGCTAAATGTTAAACTATCCCTATTTCTAAAGCTTACAATTTTCTTGTTAAAATTTCAAACAATAAATCGAAATTATCTTTTGGTGCCTTAAATTCTTAAAAAAACACCATTAATTCATCATAATCTATTGATCCATTTTTATTTAAATCAATAGCATTAAAAAATGATAATTAATCACTTTTTGGAATCTTCTTATCAAATCTCTTATAAAAATCATATAACATAATTCCTGCATCTGGTACTTCTAATTATTAAATAACATTTCTTATAAACTCAATAGCATCAACTCCTTAAGCTTTTAATTTTGTCATTATTGTTTGTATATTCTTCCTATCCTCATCTGTCAACATAATTATTGTTTCATTTAAAAATGCATGTGAAGATGACATATTCATACCTGATTTAGATTAACCCATTTATGTTTGAGTCATTCTAAAGGGATCCAATTATTATGAATTTTGAGATGGTTTCAAGATACCTACAGGTTAAGCTTTAGGTATTGGATTTCCTCCTCCTCCTCCACTACTTGGATTGATTTGAACACCCAAACCTATATCAGATTATGCTACTCTCATTGCTTTACGAACTTCTTAATCATAAAATGTAGCTTAAAGTACTCCACTTTTATTGACATCTATGTGATTAAATACAGCTATAATCTCTTTTTCATTTAATAAACTTGATCCATCAATTCCATGAATGAAAGACCTTATGATAATTTACACAATTACACAAAATGCGATGGAATTATATTATCTCCCATTTTTTTAAGTGAATCTTCAACTGACATTCTATTCATCAATAATAAACGAGCATATTTTAACAGACTCTCTTAACCATAGGTTCTAGCTTAACCTTATACTTTTTCTTCATTTATTCCATACGCTTACAAACAATCATAATATTCTATATTACTTTTTTTATTATACCTTCTCTCTTTATCACTCCTGAACAATCCTCATCAAAAATTCTTACTAACATAGTTAATTAGGTATTATTCAAACCTAATCTAACTTTCGATAAAAATAGTCTCATATCTTCAGTACTTATCTATCCTTATCCTTCCCTATCAGATGCTCTAAACATCATTTCTGGAGTTAGTCCAATCCTTCTACAACTTCTTGAAAAAATTCCCATAACTGCTTGATTACTTAAATCAATTTAATCATGCTATTAATCCAATGGAATTCCTTGCTCTCTTAGTTTGTCTAAAAGCTCTTCATTTTGCTTTTGTAATTTTAGCACTTTTAATTTTAATAACTTCACAGCATTTCTATAATCTTCAATTGATTTTTATTTAGTTGCCATATATTTATTAAATAAATAATTAAAAAATAATTCATACTAAATCCATTAAAAGATCACATAAGATCCAAAAGAATATTATCTATTCAATTACTCAAGCAATTCTAGAATTTACATTCATTAATAAATATTTAATTTATTTATAACTAATACTCATATATTTTATGATTTAAATTGTTTATTTATTAATCTAACCAAATCAAAAATAAAAATATTACTTTTTTTAGAAATGCTACCAAGAAAACAATTAACAATTCAATTAGTATCCAAATCTCGTTAAACATCTCCATCTTCATAAGGATCTGAAACTCCTAAACATAAGAAATCTAATTCTTATATGTAATTTTCACCTAAATTGGATTGCAATAATGGATTATCATTTGTAAATGAAATCAAAGAAGTCAAAATTACATCTCCTAGAACTGAAGATCTTCATTCACCAAAATCACAACCTCTTAAATAAATTAAATATTAGAACATTTTAAAAGATGAATAAATGAAAAAGAGTCAATTTAGTAAAACAAAAAGTGATGATTTCATTTGATATTATTAAAATTTCAATTGAAATCATGTTCTTATTTATCTTAATATTATTTTAAATTTATTCTTTCTTACTTATCTAATATATCAAAACAAATTAATAAGCTCATTTAAGAGTACCTTAAAATTATATACTTTATCAAATAATTTTAGGCATTTCTGAAGAGAGAGTAAATAATAGATTTACATTTTATTAAAAATTTTGACACATTGAAATATATTTATATTTAATTTCTAAAAATAAATATTTAAATGGTATAATAATTATGTAGCTATTTTATTAGATATTATAAATATATATATATATATATAATTACCTCTATTTTAATAAAAAACTTAGATTATTGTTATATTTTAGAATTTAAAATTAAAGCCCATTCTAAATATCAACGAAATTATAAAATATATATAATACTAATCATGATATATATAAATCTAATACATTAATCTAATAAATTATTGTATTTATATCATTATTAAAAAAATCTTGATTTGTTGATAATATTAGCAATACTTGGGCTTTGGGCTTGTTTTGGGGATTTAATGGCTGGCAATCGAAATTATGTTGGAGAAGGAGTTTTAAGAGTCCTTTTACTATGAGATTAAGGTGTTAAACTATTTGGAGATCCCATAAAACTGAGTGCTAAGGACTATCTAGTCACTTCTCTTTTAGACATTTAAGGTGTATTGAATGTACCTTACATAGTTTTAAGCATTTTTTATTTTGATAAAGGAGGTTTGTCTCTTTAACTCATGGGTAATCTTAAATGAATAAATTCTTATTCTTGTTATGAATTAATTTCTGTCATATTAGTTTTAGTATAACGATTACCTTCACTGTCTTTTGGATCCTTCTTTATTGATAATTGTGATAATTTAGTTTAGACCATTAAAGCTTTTATAATCTTTATAAATTTCTATTTCACAATAAATGTGGAAATAATTTCATTTGTAGTAATTGGAAATTATTATTATTCAACATTTTTAATCCATGGATGATCCAAACATTAATAAGCTGACATTCTATCATCAGGTTATAAAGCCATAGTTTTTTATATAAAATCTTTAGCCATAGGTGGAATGTTTTCTTTAAAATGCAAATCAAATTCTAATTTTGCTAATCTTTTAAAGTATTCGGAACTTCTCATTCCAGATACAAAAAATGGATGCTATCCATCATGAAATAACTAATATAAAATGATTCCAATTGCAAAAATGTCTACTGTCTAATTATATGGCACATCTTATGCCAATTCTGGTGCCATGTATAGTAATGTACCACATTATTTATTTGCTATTTTATGTGAACTAATTTAATAGCTAAGTCCAAGGTCAATCAGTTTAACAATGGATTTATTGTTTTCTCGAACCAAATATATGTTTGCTTAAATCCTAAATTTTTCTTACATGGCTTCAAATCACGATGAATAATCCCTTGATTATGTAGATAACTCAATCCTTCTAAAATTTGTTTAATAAGATTTCTAACTTTGTTCTCCAACAATTGCTTTTACATGACTTCTTAAAGAGTGATTCCTTGAAGGTATTCCATTATTATATACAAATGATTATGAGTATAAAGTAACTAAAGTATTATAAAAATACAACTTTATGAAAATGCACAATATTTTTGTGATTACACTTCTCCAATAGAGATGCTTCTTAATCCTAAGCTTTATTCTTATTTCTTTCAATAATCTAAACATTTAAACTAAACTAATTTACTTTTATAGCAACAGTTTAGTTAAGCTCTTTGCTTTAAGCTTTAACAACTTTTCCAAAAGCTCCTCCTCCTAACAATTCTATGTAAACGAATTGATCTGTTAAAATTTAATCATTCAATTCATCAATTAAAAGAGAAACATCATTCATTATTAATAACAATATTATATGAATTTTTGTATTAAGTTAACAATTAATAAAAAACAAATTCATTTTTCTATTTTTTCAATTTTTTAATAATTCTTTTTTTTTATTATTATATATTATATATATATATATATATATATAATTTATCTATATATAGGATAAAATTTAAAAGACCTTTTTATCAGAAGAATTTTAAAAGTGATAAAATATAAAAATAAATTATAACTATGCTATTAAATAGATGATAGATAAATTTCATTTATAAAAGGTTATAATAGATATTAATTACTTCACATTAACATAAATAAATAAATCTTTATAGGTATAATAATTTATTATAGAATATTTAAAAATTCATTCATCAATTCATGTTTTGCTATTCTTAATGTTATTTATAGCAATTATCTTCAATATTAACTTTTTATGTTTATCTAATGAAATTTGATAATAATAAATTTTAGATGATAAAATAAATAAGATTATGGAAATATGATACTAAAGAGTTTGACGTTTTTTATGGTTAATTTAAATTTTTATTTACATATAAGATTATATATATATTATCCTTAATTACATAATGTAAATTATTATGAATATAACTATTCTTAAAAGCAATATAATATTAAATATTATCATGTATCAAGAGTATTTCCTAATCATTTGAATCATTAAATAGAATTTATTGCAAAGTAACACTGGTTTTTATATTCTTTCAAATATTAATTCTAACAAAAATGTTTAATTAATATTTTTATAGTTTTTAAAATGAAAATCAAGTAATGAATTTTTATTTAGTAAGATTCTTCAAATTTTTATTTATTTTAATAGTTTAATTTTTATGCAATCTCTATCTTAATATCATTATTATGATACAAAATAACCCTCATACACATATTCAATTATATGATATACAACAAAATGAATATATTTGCTTTAAATTTAAGAATGCTTTTAAGTGAAATCATCATAATAAAATAATTAATCTGTAATTATCATCTACTTATCTTGTTAAATAACTATTTAATATATTTTATATTTAATTATAAACATATAAGAATACAATAAAAGTAATTAAATATGATAAAATCAAATTTAGTTTTGTATTTGTAGGATCTTATTTAGTTTTTCTTCTTCTAATTATTGTATTAATATTAATTAATCTTCATTTTAAACCTAATCTCTTATTTTTTAGATTCTTTAATTGAAATATGCAACAATTTTTTAAATTTATTTAGCTTCTTAATCCACTTATAAGCTATTTCTCCTTTAAGCAATTCTAATTTTAATTGAATCTGTCTATTGATTTATTTATTCTTTTATAAATTATGATTGCTATTAATGATTGAGCTCTTGTTATTTAATAAATGATTTAACTTATTCCCTTTCTAACTATAAGGAATTATATAATTAATTCTGTTTATTTTCTTTTCTTTATTGATGGTATGATTAACTGTATTAATACATTTTATTTATTAAATAAATATTATCAAATTAACCATTCTATACAAAGTGCATAAAATATAATATTAAGAAATCACTTTGTTATAAACATTTAATAGTTCCAAAAACAAGAATATTAAATATAAATTATCATAAAATTCAGATTTTATCATTAAATTTGTTTGCTTTTTCATGCATTCCATCTAAAATAGAATTAAGTTTTATGCCAATCTTATTTAAATAATTTTCAATTTACTTAATTAGTTGATTCGATTAAAGTTAAAAATGAAGAATCAAGAATCTTTAAAGATTGACTCAATTCAGGATCAAGTTAAGTTAAATTTTCTTACTCAATTTTCTATTCATTTGTTTCATCTTGATTTTGAAGATATAAATACTTTTTTTATTTGATTCTGTATTGCCCATTTGTCTTTAACTAATAAGAATTAAAAAGTAAAAATATTAATTTTAAAACATTGATGCTTCTAATAAATATTTGAAAATGAAAACTAAATTCATTATTTAAATATATTCTGATTCTATGTTGAATTATTGAGATTTTTATTGAATTTCTTAGGATCCAAATATTCAAAAGGATTATCAAGACATTATTTAATAAATATATCCCAATTTTCTGATTTGATTTATTTTTACTCTGCTTATTTATACAATAAGGATACAGGAATTTTTTAAGCAGGACTAGATGTTGGATATCTTAATTTTTAATTTAAGACTTTAGAATAAAAACAACGTTAAGCAAATGTTTTTGGATTAACATTTTCATTTATTTTTTCTGGGGACTATTCACTAATATTAGTTAATATATTATCTCCTTATTGTAATTAAGATACTATTCCTTATTACTAATTTCCACTTTCTAATGAGAATCGAGTTATAGTTGTCATTCGATTCTATGAATTTTAACCTTAACTAATTCTATGGTCTGAAATTACAATTTCTGATTATTCAACTTTGTTAATTAATAAATTTTATAAATTAACATTACTGGGAGTTTAAATTGAACCAGATGATATTTTAGATAATTTTGAATTAAAAGCAGTACTAATTTATGGATAAAAGTTTTATTAAGATTGAGATGGTCTGATAACTTTAGAATTTAATTATTTTTGAATGATATTTATTCTTTGTATAACAAGAGAATGTAATCTTTCTAAATATATTGATAAATTTAATGATTGAATTGGTTCTTTACTCATTATTATAAGTTCTTATTCAAATTATATCAATGATGCTTCTTCTACACATCCTATACTATTGATTTATATAACTAATTCAATAATTCTACATAATCTTTGAGTATGTTCATATTACTTATTTTATAATATTTTTTTCAATTTTTTCAATTTGAAATCATTTTCTTCAAAGCAAATAGGAGAGAGTGCAAATGTTAGTATTTTATTAGAAACCTAAGTACAAATTTAAGCATGAAGATCTACTCTATCTATATTAATGAATTCCTCACAATTAACACATAGAGCAAGAATACTGCTTTTTTCCTTAGTTTTAGGAGCAATTATCTAACTCTTGTTAAATTTATACATTAATTATAATAATGAATGAATTATATTAAAATAAATGTTATTTGAGAATACTCAGTGAATTCAGGTATTTGAAATTTAATATATATAAGGGAACTCAAATTACCTCCAAGAATAACAAATTAAAAAAAGGATAGTCAACAAACTAATTAAATAAAAGATTTATTAAGCAAACCTACAAGTCATCGTAAAATGTTAAGTGAACATTGTCCAAAAGTACCTAAACTTAAAATAGAATATACTTATACTAAAAACAATTCACCTAGATTCCGTATTATTAAGAACCTTTCACCATCAAATACTACTAGAAGTTCTAGACCTACTACTCATCATAAAACTATAAGAGCATATCTTACTTAAACAAAAGAAGGAAAGTTTAAAACTTTACCATAGGCTTAATAATCTTAATAGACAATTGAAGAAACTCCTTAATTGGAAATATCTTCTTGTTAATAACTTACTGCTTTGTAGTCTCCCAAAGAAACTGTATTTTCAGAATTTCAATCTCCTCGTATAATGTAACGTTTTGATTTTGATCATTAATTTGTGAAAGCAAAGATTGAACCTCCAAAAAGATCAAAAAAATAATTGAGAATGATACTTTTAAGGGCAATTAATAAATTGAAAGCAATGAATATTGATCCATAATATATGATTGAAAATAAAGTTTTCTCTAAAAAGCCTTATTAAAGAAAAATGTCTAATGAATTTATTCATGCAGTAAAGTTGAATTAAATGGATAGAGTTAATGAATTGTTAGAATATAATAGATATCTTGTATTTGATTTTGATTTCTATAATATGACTGCATTACATTGGGCATGTAAGAAAGGATTAATAGAGATGGTTGAATTATTGATAAAGAATCATGCAGATGTAGATGCAGTAGATATATTACATAGAACTCCTCTTTATTTAGCAATATAGGGAAATCATCTTGTAATTATAGAAGTAAGAATTTTGATTATGATTTTATAAGAATCTATTGAAAAATAAAGCTTATCCTTGGTCTACTTATTATACAGATTTAGCTGAAGTAGTATAAGACAATAGAAAAGTTTAAAGGCTTCTCACTCTAGTCAGAAGAGTAAGAATTTCAAATTACTTTAGATTGATATCATTAATACTTGGGGTGATAAGAAAGTTGAAGAAGATTGTATTTGAATATAGCTTAATAATTATATTTTCTTTATTGTTAAAGCAATCAACTTAAATTATTTTACTTTATTAATGGATTAATAAGATTAAGACTCATTATTAGAAATATCTGAATCTGATCATCTAACTAGTATGCTCATCTCTAATAATTAAACTGATATCTTTTTGAATGATTATTATAGCAAATTTAAGAATAGTTAAAACATATTAGAGCCATCAATGACTATGTCAAGAGTATCTCAAATAGATAAAATGTCTGAAGACAATTCTAATATTACTCATATTAAAGTAGTTCATACATCAGAAAGACTTGTATTTGAATTGTAAAAAAATTAAGTATTTTCAATGTAATTTACATAGTTATTAGAAAATAAGTTGTATTAATAAACAAAAATGATTTAAGATTTATAAGAATAAATAGATTCCAAAGAATTATAATTACAAGAAAGTATTTAATTATGTGAGTAACTTTAATCATAAATAGAAAACTAAACAAAAATAAACAAATAATAATCTAAATAAATATCGGAACTTAAATTTGTAATTAAGTAATTATTTAACTATAAAAGTTCCCTTTCTAAAAACTTGAATCTAAATAATTTAAAACAAGAAACACTATAATCCTCTATGGAATGTCTCTCTTTTCGACCCTCATCACAACCAAGAGGAAAGAAATCATATAATAATCATCATTCATATTCAACTTCTAGAGCTTATTTCTAAAAGATTCTCACTGAAGATACACAAAATATTTCAAATGACAAAATCATAAAAGATAATAATGTCTTATGTTTTTTGAATACTAAAAATAAGGATACAAAATAAATTGATTAAAATGATATCAAAAAAGAAAAATATTATAGGTCTTAATCCAATTTTTGGTCAAGTTTAACTACATCTCCTAATCCAAATAAAAGTACATATACATAAAATAGTATTTCTGCAGGTAAATCATAATTATCTGATAAGAAAATTGAAAATACTCTCACTCTTTTAAAAGCAATTAAAATATAATGCAATCAATTTTCAAACAATAAAAAATTATACTGATACTTATAGATATATATGTATTTAATTAAAATAATTAATTATCAACTAATTATATATTAATTTATTTCATTAATTATGGGTAATGATGGTGGAAGTATAGCTGAAAGAGCAGAGTTGGTTAAATTAAAGAAACCAGAAAAAAGAGTTGAGAGTTATTTAGTTGCAAAAGTATAATTTTATTCTAATTATAGTAAAGAGCTTAATTTTGTTCATTGACCAAAGAAAGATTGAGAAAGCCAATTGCTTGTTGTAGAGTTGGATATCTATACAATTATGATTCTTTACTAAAAGCCTTCATGGATAAGAAAATTCCTTAAGAATTAAAGCATTTATAAAATGTATATATTTAAATCTATTTTAGATGAAAAAAGTAAAAAAATTGAATATTACTGAAAATCCAGACAAAAATAATGAATTTCCTTTCGTTTGTTCAATTAGTTAAAAAGCATTAAATGGAAAAGATAAGTATTTAATTATTTTTATATAGATTCTTAGCATTATGGACTTGTGGTTGTGTTTTTAATAAGAAATTAATAAAAGATCTTAAAATCAAAGAGTTAAAATGTCCAATTTGCAATAAAGAATATACAGATAAAGATATTGTTTAGTAATTTAATAAATATAATTTTAGATTATGTCCAACTAATGAAGATGCAGAAATAAAAAAGGCATAAGTTTAAAAAGAAATTTAGTTAAAAGATAAATAGAAAGAAGATCAAAAATAATCATTTAAAGTCTCTGATGCAATTGAAAATCTAGAATAATAATAAAAAAAAAAAATATGTACAGAAGAATGTAAAATTATGAGAAAAGCAATGGATAATAATAAATTATAAAATTTATAAAATCAAGGTCAAGATGTAAAAAAAAATGAAAGTAAATTAATTAATTATTATTAATTTTAGTTTACTAATCCTTATTTCATTAATAACATAAACTCGAAGATAATCTATTTACTAGAAATGTGAGATTTGGAAATAGATGAATTATTTGATTTATAATTTACAAAATAAATTTTTAATAATTGATTTAATAATATCCTATTTCAAATGTTTAATCAAATTTGATTATATTATCAAATATATAAAACATTCAAATATGATTATTAAGTAATTGATTGATTTGTTAACGATATTGATTATTTTCATCTAAATATATAAAATGATGAGAGGCCTAAATTTATGATAATATTTTACACTTAAATAGCTTTGTGCAGAAATATAATTAAGAGATGGAAATAATCTAGTTATTTCTCTGAATATATCCTCAACAGAACAACTTTCATCAGAAAATAAAAAATTATCACAAAAGTTTTAGTTCAATTTCATAACATCTTTTACATTCTTAAAAAATGTTTATACATCTCTACTCCTTTTATAAATATCTATCCAATAAGTTATTGTTTTATTTTCTTATATCAATAGAAGAGTTATTGTCTTAATCTAACTTATATCAAAAAAGTTATTTTATTTTAATTCTTTAACAATTTAAATTTATAACTCTTACTACTTTTTTCGAAATAATACTCTTGATAAAAGTAAGTACCCTATTTGAGGATGACAAGCTTTTCCATAAATTTCAATAGTATGTTCTTCTGCCAAATCTACATTTGCTAAGGCTTAAGTAAAATTAAGTTAATTCAAATGACATTCAGCTAAAATCAAATATATATTTATATAAAATATATGGTTTGTTATTTTTTGTTATTAGGAAAGTATTTAAAAGAATTCTAAAGCTTTTTCTGCTGATAATTAAATTAAGAACAATAAATCCTCTTTTGCTGGTTTTTTAGCAAATTTTTAATAAACTATTTATTTAAATGTTAATTTTGCTAATTATTAATTGTAAACTATAACTTCTTATTATGTGTGTTAATGCTTAAAAGATTAATAACAATTAATTAATAGTTTTCTTTCTCTTATAATCTCTTTTGCTTCATTCATAATTTATTAATCATATTAAACTAAAGATTATTTTTCTAAATTCATATTCTCTAAGAATATTAAAGATAAAAGTTTATACAAATATGCAATCTAATAATAATTCTTTATTTTATCCAATAAATTTAATACTTAAAAAAAAGAAAACTTAAATTAATGTATATTTGTCAAAATATCTATATGATTCAAAATTATTTCACAAATAAATTCATCATCAATTAAATGACAATAATAAACATCATTTGATTATTAATTAATCTAAGTTTTACGAACTAAATCTTTAGGAAGAAAATTTGATAAAATCCCTTGAAATTTAGACAAACTTTTATAATGTTTATTCTAAAAATCACCCCCTAATGTTATTTATTTACTATTTTCATAAGCATAAAAAAATTAAAGTACTTAATATGAATATTGCAAAGCAACATGATATTCTTTTTAATTTAAATAAATACGAATAAGAATATGCTTATTAATTGCTGCTATTAATGTATTATTATCATCTTAAATTTATGAATGAATACTTAATATAAAATCTTATGCTTTTTCTTATTTTATAATTCCAATAGAAACTCTAATGTAAATTAAAAAGTTCTCATATAATTATTTCAAATGAGTTAATTCTCTATTATTTTCTATTTAATTTAAATTATCTTCAAAATATTCAATTACTTCAAAAAAATTTTAAAAATAAAAGAAATGATGTATTAGATGTCTTGAATAAATATTAATATCATCATAAAATATAACACTATGAGATCTTTAGTATAAAGAATCATAAGGAGCTATGAAATTTAAATCTATTTTTTTGTTTGGTATATATAATGCCATAATGTTTAAATCATTTTCAAAATTTTCATGCATTTATGCAAATAAAATTGATTTAGTTGAAATAGATTTTTTACAAAATTAAATTAAAAATTCCATTTAATCATATTATTATTATTAAAGTAATATTTGTAATATCATTAAGATAATAATAGATGGTTATATATTAATTGCCTATTCTTTTTATATTATTTTGATTGTTTAAACTAGATCTTAATTTTGATGTATTTTTAAAAGTAAATAAGAATATAAAATTTAAAATAATTATTATTTCTTTAGATTTACATCAATTAATAATAGTGTATCCTCTAATAAAATTTATTAAATTTTCATTAAGATATCTCTATTATCTTTTTATAGATTTAATACACTAACTGCATTTCTAGCTAATTCTCTTAAAGAATTTTCAGTATTTTCTAAATTCTCTATATGTTTAGGAGAAAATGCAAAAAATATGCTTTAAATGTGATACAATCTGAATTATAATAAACCATTACTATGAAACCATGAATCAAAAGGAATAGTAATTGAATGATGAAGTCTTTATAATTATGCAATATATGAATTACTATAAATATCTCTATCTATTTGATCTACTTGATATTTTAATTGAGAAATTCTATAATTTAATGGAAAATAACAATCCAAATGTAAAATTTATTAAATAATTCTTATAAGATAAAGTTAGACTTTTAAATCTTTAGGATTGATTTTTAATTCTTCATGCAAAATTTATTTATTATGTATATTTTAATTAAGATTACTATATGTCAAAACTTATTTCCACATATACTAAAAGTTAGTAGATAATATATATTCTGATTAATAAGAATAGGTTTATTCTATCCATTTTTATAATTTTACACATTCAAATTTACCAATTTCACATTCTTATTCTTTTTGTATATATTAAATAGGTATTTCATCAAAAGTAATACTTTTAAGATAACTACAAAAATATTCATAAGTTGGAGAATTCTCAATTCCCATTAATAAAAAGCTTTTTGCTTTTCTTTCATAAATATCATTTTCAGAATCATGCCATATTACTATTTATAGAAAATAATAATAAAGAAGTTGATGAAAATATGTTGGATCATCTTAACAAAATTAACTCATAGAAAAATTGATTTAAAATGTAAAAGCATCTATTTTATTTTCTTTAGGTGACATTTAATTATAATTATAAAGATCAGGACTTAAATCTTTTAATTCTTTTGTTAATTCTAATTAATTCTTTGATTTTATTAATTCCATTTAAATTTCAATACAATCATCTATTTTTTTAGCTGCAATTGGCATTTCCATTTTAAAATAATGTGATAAACTATTAAGTGCATTAAATTAATTTTAAAACCTTCGAATAGTTTTTCGAAATTAAAATAAATTTTCAATAAGTTTTTTATTTAATCTTAATTAATTAATAAGTTAAATTCTTTCAAAATGCTTTAATTTTATTACATTCCCAGATTAATTCTTAGTAATTCCAAATAATGCTTAAGCTTCTTATTTTGTTATTTATTCTAAATTGATATTAATTTATAATTAAATAAGAACAAGATCTAGATTTTTAATTAGATCTCCTAAGCAATTATAAATTATATCAAATTATTAATTTAATTGATTACTATGTTTAGTATTTTCCTAAATATTATTTATATTATATATAGAATGATTATAACGTCTTGTTTTAATTTGCATTTGAATACAAAATTTAATATAAAAAACCATTGTTATTTATATTATTTCTTCCATATCATTATGACAAATAGAATATTTCATAAAATTATTAATTACATATCCTTAAAAGGCTTCTGAAGCATTATTTCCACATTTATATATTTATCTATGTAATATCTATTCAAATTAATGTATGTAAATTAAACCTTTTTCATATTATTTCATTCTTAATGAAAAATTCCCTCTATGCAAAGTCAACTATAAATATTCAGAGAAATCACACTATTGATTTTCATTATTTTCTTATCTCTCTACAACGAAACTCTCTTAGAATTTCTCTTAATACTTTAAAAATGATAAAAGTTCACTTATGTTACTGCTTCCATTAAGCATTTTAATTATTATATCATAAAGATCATGTTTTTCCATATCAGCTAAAGAATTTAATGAATTTTTAAATGATGTTAAAGTAATCATAGAAATAAGGACTTTTGCTAAACAAAATAAATCATTATCTGTATCTGGTTTAATTGCATTTCCTAAATAATAGCTTTTATTATCTAATAAATAATTTTTGGTTGAAATATCACCATGCTATTCTCTAAGTAATAAAAGTAAACTATCATAAAAGAATGACAATATTTCATCATAACTATAATTTAAATGGTATTTTTTTCGATATTTAATTACATTTTCTAATGTTGTAATTGGTGATTATTCATATACTATTACACAATATCCTTTAACATAAAAATCATCAATCTTATCAATGTGATTAGATAATCTAGTATAACATTCACCCTAAATATAACTAATACCTCTATCCTCATTGATGGATTGTAAGTATTTCAATTTCTATCCATGTTTCAATTATAAAAATTATATTAATTATGGTTATTTCTTTTCATTTATATTAGCTAACCACATTGTATCATTTAATTATCTAACAAAATTGATTTCAGGGATTGTAAACATTTCCTCTTCAAAATATTCCATCATTATAGATTATAATATTAATTTTTAAGTATCAAATATATAAGTATCTCTTACTTTTTCTATTACATCCTTAAAATAACTTGACTTTTTATAAGATGCTGAATAATATTTAAGATTTGTATTTCCTGCTGATAATGGTATCAATTTAACATTACTAAAATAATTAAAATTATTACTTTTAAGTATATTATTAACTAAAATTAATTATATTTTATAAAGAAACCTCTTTAAATTCAAAACCTTTATTATTTTTTTCAAAATGTTAAAAATTTGTTTCTTCTCCTGGATATTATTTAGCTGATAATCTTTTTTAAAAGACATGAATTAAAATTTTCGAATTTAATCTAATAGATGTCTTTCTAAATCTATTAAACCATACAGCTTTTTTGATTTTAATGAATATAAATTTTTAAGCATTTAACCATTTATGTTTATTATAATATTTTCTCATTTTTTCATAAATTCCTTCCAATTCTTTTATATCATGTTCTTCTTTTGAATCTTTTAATTTTGCAATCTTTTTTCTATAAAATTTTTATATGAATTATTTTGCTTAAGATTTTTATGTTTATAAACTTTTTTATATTATATTATATCTTAAGATATCAAAATTTTTAATAAACTATTTCTTTCTAGGTATATAATAATTTCTTTAAATTATTCTTAAATCAGTCCATGATTTATGATAATTAAGTAATAAATTAACTTTATGAAATACTTTTTAAATATTATCTTCATTTTTAGATTTCTTCTTTTTTTGAATCATAAATTTTTCATAAAAACTAGAAGATCTTACAAAAATAGGTGATTTTCTTATTCTACTTTTCAATTTTGGTTTTTAAATAATTATATCTTCATCTTATAAAATTGGTTCTTCCATTTCTTCATTTCTTATATAATATTTTTCTAAATCACTATCAGAACTCATTGTTTCAAATTATTCTACTTATTCTTAGAGTTTTAAACCATAAAATTTATAGATTGGCATTCTTTTCAAATTTTAATTATCTACAAAATTAATAGTTTTATTCTTTTTTTTAAATTTCTCAAGTGTTGATTTCACTAAGTATTTTTATCTTAAATTTAATTTTTATAAATATGAAGGTGTTTCTGAATACCATACTTAATATACAAAATTTAATGTATAACTAAGTAGCATAAATGAAACAAATACAAATATCTAACTTTTATTTTCAAAAACAAGTGAATTAGATAAACCATAACTAGATATTATTACACTAGATAATATAATATATTATAATATATTATTCCAAACTTTAACAAAACAGTCTATTTATGGCCAAGGTCTTTAATAATAATATAGATATTATGCTTTATCAGCATATATCTAAACTACAAACAAAAGCCATTACATAAAGTATGTAATTGGATAGATGTACGCAAAATATGTTAAAATAGTTAACTCAACCATATTTTATTATAAGTTTTCTTCTATACAATTGAAATATTGATCTTTTATATTAGAAGGTTTCTTTGATTAAACTTCTATATACTCATTAATATCATGTTATTAAAATTTGTATATAAACAAAGGTTATCTTCTTAAAGAATAAAAATTAAATAGAAAAACACATAATTTTTCAACACTCTTTATAATTATATAAGTAAGAAAGTAATATCCAATATACTATTCACAAGAATCAGATTCACAAACTAATTAAAATGATTGATTAAAGAATCTCAAAATCAAAAGAGGCCCCAATTATTATATGATTGAAAAAGAATAGAGTTTTAAATTGTAACTTTATTTTACAGCCTAAATAGTACGTTATTATTCAAAATCAACTAATTATTAAATTGCTTTCTATGCATGATATGTGTATAATTTATTAAGAATTAAATGTAAAATAGCAATAATTATAATTTCAAAATTATTAATAGTAGGAGTCTTATTGAATAGAGACTGAAACCATGCACATAAAAAATAAAGAGCTATAAATATGATTGAGTATAGTAACTAAATTAATATAAAAATTAACATAGAAATACATTCCCTAAATATTTAATCTAATTCATTGATTGAAGGTACATTCATTTAATCATTAATAAGGGATCTTTTGGGTTCTCCAATTTATTTATTTGAAGTTGTATCTATATCCTCTTGACTATTTACACCATAAGATTAATTGAATATTTTTAATTATTATTCCCATTTTGATGTATAAAGTGATGTTATCTATAATTAGCAAACAAGATAAATAATTTCTAAAATACTTAAATATTATTATAAATTGGATGGTATTTAAATTAGATAATAAAGTAAACCTAAGCAATTTTAATACAAAAGCATTTAAGAAAAGAAGCATAGAAAATAAAAGTATGTACCTACAGATTCTCCAAAATATTAACATAATAAATCAAATTTCATTTTCATTGGATTTAATAAATGAAATTTCAATTAGGTTGCAATATCAAATAATTTTTCTTAATAAAATTATTCTCTATTTCTAGATAAATTTTCATAAGAGGAATAATAAATGCCATATAATTCAAAATTATCATGTAAACAAAATAATTATTTAATTAAACCTTTTTAATTAAGTAAAGAGATATTAAAACTTTAAAATATATTTAAATAAGCTAATCTCAATCTTTCTGATGATTAAAATATTGTTACTTTCTCACCTTAATTTAATTAATACTTTTTCCAACACATCAACTAACAATGTTTATGATGTAATGATCTATCTGCTTATGGATTTGAATATTTAGTTTTCATATTTAAAGGATGATCTAAATAAACTAAATCCCATAAACATTTTAAATATTTTTTTTCGTTATTTGCTACTTTAAGTGATTCTTTAAATATCTCCAAATATTTCTTAGCTAATTATTCTTTTTTTAATACTTTTATTAATTTTGTATAAGGATTAGTAGTTAAATTAAAAATATTCTTATATTCTTCAATTACATCATTTACCTATTTTTTTAGTTTATTAATTTTTTAATTCTTAATTTCTTCAAGATCTTAATAATATGTTTTATATAAATGCATATCTATGTTAATCTAATTTTCTGATTATGCTCTTCTTAAATATAATTCTAATGGTGTTATCTATTTATTAATTAATGCTGCAATATCATTATTTATTAAAAAGTTTTATCTTGTAGCATTAATTTATTAATGTAGATGAGTCAAAAAGAAATAGTAAGCTGCCCATTCTTAATCTGAAGGACAATCCTAATCATCATACATATCTAATCCATAATTAAATAATTTCTAATTTATTCCACTTTAATTAACTTCTCTAGCTATTCTTTTGAAATCTATTTCTTTTATTAATTCAACTAAAATTGGTCTAAAGTACATAAACATTTAAGATAGATTTTTATAATTTTAAGGTTTCCATAATCTATTATTTAATCTAAGAGGTCTATAACTTTTATCAAGAGGTTCAAATGAAAATAAATCTATAAACTAAATATTTAATAGTTTAAAAAGTCCTTAAGATTCTGCTTAAATTTTTAAACTTTCTTCTGTTGCAAACAAAGAACAAAATATATACTTTCCGTTTTTTGATAAAAATTATTGTGTATAATATCCTTATCTGCATAAAATTAAACATATCAAATTTCTTATTAAAGTTGAAAAATCTTTTGTATCTCTTTTTGTTCTATGCCATTCATTATCATATTTAATTAGGTAACCTCCTTAATTTACTTTTTTATTAGATAAGAATTTCAACAATTTATAATCTATTTCAAATGCTTCATTAATTTAATTCTAATCTGAATCAAATTACCAACTTCCTGTTAATCTATTACTAAGCTTTAATATAAGTTAATCCTTTAACTTTTCTTTCTAATCCTCTTCATTAATTGTTGCACTAGTTTCTAATCTTTTTGATTCTTCAGTATTTTCAAATTAAATAAATTAATTCTCTCTTCTAACCTTCTATCTAAATAATTTTCTACGACCATTTTTTGAACCTTCTTTTGAATCATCCAAAATTTATAATACACCTTCACATGCTTTTAATAATATTTTCTCCTCTATACTACCTTTATTAAATTTTATCAATGTCTTTATTAATTCAAAACCCTCAATTCCAGATATTGAATGTGAATTTGATTTTCCATAATCAGGATTTGGAAATCTATTTATATAATAATTATGAACTTTATTATCGCATCAGGAAGCTAAGTCTCTTATGTTTCCATACTAAAATTACCCCACATCTATTGAAGTATATCAATTTAGTGTTTGTTTAAATCTATTCCCAATAAAAACTATAAAAAAATTTAGTATTTTTCGCATATATTCTAAATTGCTTTTACTTTTCTCTTTAAATAACAAGCTTCTTATTTTTCCTAATTTAAAGGATTATCTGTTTTCTCTTACATGGATGCATCCTTTATATAAGATTAAGAAGGAGTGTCTTCAGAAATAGTATCCATTACTTTATTTAGAGATCCTTTGAGTTAATTATTTTATAATATAATATTCCTTTTTTATAATAATGATATTTTAAAACTTAGATGCAATTCCTACAATTATTAGATATATACATTTTCTATTCATTTAATTATATGAATATAATTTATATTAGTTATCTAATAACAAAATTAATATAAAATTATTATAACTATATAACGTCTAATTTTTAAGATTAACCAAAAACAATGTAGAAATCTATCAATATTTTATATGTATTAATCTTAAAGAATATATAAATAAATATATATTAAGAAAATAGAAATAAGACTTTTATAATCTTAAATTTACAAATTCTACTAAAAGATCATATAAATTTAGATAAGTTGTTTTTTCTAGATTATCCCAAGTATTTACTTACATTTTGGCTAGTCTAACTTTGATTGGAATTCATTGATACTTTATTAAGTTGAGCTAAAAGTGAAGGATTCTTTAATTTTATTAGAGATGTAATATCATTTAATCTAACTAATTCTAAATAGAAAATACTTATTTTGAACAAATTAAAGTTTAGCTTTCATAAAATTATATCTAAATGATACATTTTATCTTATAGTCTCTTCAGTTGCACAACTGAATTCTAATGTTAACATTTCCATGAATTTATATTCTAAATTTTCTATAAAATCTAATTTAGCAGACCCATCCTATTGCATAAAAAATACACAAAAGAAGCTTATTTATTTTTTTATTTATTTATACTGATTAGGTTCCTTATGACTTGAATTTAATAGTTTTATTAACATTTGTAAGAATTATGGATACTCAATAGTAAGTTTCTATTCTTCTTTTATTTTTTTAAAATTTTCTTTATCAATTCTAATTTAATATAGTAAAATACATAGCAATGTAATTAAAAAATAGATCTGTTTCGCTTGTCAATTCTATTTTTAAATTCTCAAATGCTTATTGATCTCCCTAATATTATTGATAAGAAATTACTTAGACAAGTATTTTCACTTTAATCTATTCAAGAGTTCCTATTTCTTAAGGGCCAGTATTTGCATTTGATATTCTAACAATTAAATTTTAGAAAATTAACCTAGTTTCTATATTAATTTCTTTATTAAATTAAATTTTAAATCCACCTTCTAAACTTGGATCAATGTCTTCCAATACTCCTAAATCTTAGTGAGACTCGTCCATTTAATATTATATTTAATTTTTATTTATATTGATAAATAAGTTTGTAACAAAATTGTTTTATTTTATAATCTAAAAAAGTATTATGTAGCACATAATTTCATTTATTTCAGTTGGGATTCTAAATTATTATTTAGATTAGCATTAAGATGTAAATAATCTTGAAAATAATATTAATAATAGAATGGTATAAGTTCAATATCATTAAATAGTTATATATATATATATCATTACTTTCCATGTAATAATTATTAATCTATCTTATTTATAAAATATTTGTAGTATCTAATAATTTTAATATTTTACAAATAAAAAGACATTTAAAATAATATATAAATTTGCTTTTCGAATCTCTTTAAAGTATATAATCTTTCACATTTATATTTCTCTTATTAATAATATAATATATATTTAAAAGTATATATTAAATTAGGATAAATATTATAATTATTAGAACTCAATCTCTATCTGATATTAATAATATTTTAATTTCATTATCCTTGCTGGTTAATCTATTCCTTTAAGTTTATGATGGAGAAAGAATAGATTGTATTTATCTAATTAAATTAACAAGATACTTACTTTTATTGTTAAGAGTAAGTTCTTGATACATTAAATAAATATTATTTAAGTTTTAAGTAATTCTTTTATAATTATACTTCCTTATCCTTCCAATTCATCAATTATTAGTTTAAATAAACAACAAAAAAGGAATTAGGCTTTATATACTTAAATATCTTTATTAAATAAGTAAGATATATTATCTTATATTTTTTATAGTAAACCCTAAAAATATCTTATAAAAAAGGGTAACAAAGCTTAATACATAGTATAGCAATAAGCACTTAAAGCAAAACTGATTAAACATTATTTTGTTCTTATTCACTAACATATTTTACTGCTGCCAAAAATATTGTAATTGAACAAATTTAATCAGTAGAAATATCAAGTAAATTTAAACTTTTAATAATATATGGTTTGATTTTGAGAGCCAATAATTAATAAAATAATAAACATAATCCTATGAGTGAAGCCTTTAAAAATATATTGGATTCAAAATATGTTAGAATACTAATTAATATTGTTTTTTTCCAAATTTTAACAAATTCCCAAAAGAAACTTTCATCATTATATTCATTAAACATATAACAGATGTGTCTTCTAATTTTAATTAAATCAAGTTTTTTTCTCATAAGAAACATTAAAGAAAACAAAATAAATGGTATTAAACATCCTATCAATCCTAATCCTGGTAAAATAAAAAAATATATCCACCTTTCATGTGATTATGTATTAAATTATAGTGAAACATTTCCTTAAATGTAATCAATATTTGAAATTTTCCTTTTTGCTAATAATGAAAAGAATCTAAATGTATTCAAAATATTACTATTTAATTATTGCAGCAAAATTGGAAAGATAAAGATAAAGAGCTGTATTTGATACAATACTTTTATTAAATTTATTTTTAGTAGCTATAGAATGAACTTTGAAACTTCCACAAATTAATAGTAATTGAGCAAATATTAGAATAAATTAAGTTATAATTCTTGAATAATTAACTTATATATCTTATATTTGTATTAGATAACAATCTAAACTATTTGCCATAAAAAAAGAAGTATTACATGCTTAATCAACAAAATCAAAAGAAAAAGAAAAAGAAATATTAAAAGTAAAAATAATAGAGAAAATCCATAAATAATTAAGTAACATTTTTATCATTATACTTTCATGATCTAAAATACTATTATTAATACCTTAATTTAATTTAAAGAGTATCTTTCCAAACTTTTATTTTAATTTTAATGATGAAAATAATTGATTAGATCTATCTATACTTCTTAATGTCAATAGAATCTACAAAACACCCCTATTTTAATTTAAGCAATTACCATACTGAAGACATAAGAAATGGAACTAAACCTTAAAAAAAATAATAGCATTTAGAACAAGATGAATTCTACAAAATTTTAAAATAATGTCCATTTCCTTAAATATTGTAATTATCACATTCCTCACATAAACCACCTATATGTCCTAACACACAAAGACTATTTCCAACTCCCCAACCTCCTATACAGCAATTTTTACATTATAAGCATTATTCAGTTAAGTCTGACAATATATTTGGTCTCCAAAATCCTTCTAATAATTAAATTTTATTAGAAGTGATGTTCTAAAACTTTGCCTTATCAAATATTGAACATTTTGTAGCATTATAAGTAACTGAATAAAATCCTTAATTTGGTTGACATAATTAACAACCGTCATTAATATAAAATTCTCCTAATTGACATTTGAAAGTTTTTGCTTTAAAAATGTATCTCAAATTATTTGTATTTTATTATGTTGAGCAATTTATTTAGACTAAAAGAAGTTCATCAATATTCTTATAAGGATCAAAAGTAAAAGAAAATTATGATAAATCATAAGTACTAGTTTTTAAATCATAAGTTAATAATTAAATAGGTTTAGGATCTTTAATTGATTAATTACTTTATGTTAATGTCAACATTTATAAATTGCAAGTGAAATTAATAAAATTATTTACTTTTTCATTTAAACTGTTTTAGAAATACATAGATAACTCATAAATGTAAGACAAAAATCCTTCATTATTTGGATTATATAATTTGAAATTGTCAATTTGTTGATTACTAGGTAGATAAAGATAATTTGTTTCTAATAATTAGCCTTATTCTATAATTTTATAAGAATTTAATTTAAGTATATTTGTAATCATATTTTCAGTTATATATTAGGAAGATAACATTTCATAAGAATTTACTGTTAAAGTTAAATGATGTGGTAATTCTACAATATTATCTGTTAATTTTTCAGCAGAATTCAATTTAATTAAAGAATCTTTTATATTATTTTTATTTATATGATTATTTCCATTAAAATATATTCCACCTCCTTCTTTAGCTTTATTATCCAATATTAAGGAATTAGTAATTCTAAAATTGTTACTACAATTCTCCATATAAATTGCTCCACCATGTTATCCTGCAATATTCTTTATAAATTAACAATTTTTAATTTAGATTATTACTTATTTTGCATAAATGGCAGAACCATATGTACCATTATTAAGTATAAATTTGGAATTTATTATAATAATTTTATTTTCTAAGTTTTTATTTGCAATAAAGTTAAGACATCCTACTTAATCTATTTTATTCTATATGAAATTAACTTCTACAATCTTTAAAACTTAGAAACCAGATAGATCAAAATAAATTAATCCATGTAAATTTCCTGATTAATTATTTTACATTATACTAAAAGATTTAAGATTTATTAAATTTTCATTTGAAATACTCTAAATAAAAATTAAAGATCCTTTTTAAGATATATTTTAATTTAAATATTATAAAATTGATTAAAAAGAATGACTTGATGAAATTTCATTTGTTGAAATACTTTTTTAAATAGTACATTTATTAAAATTAAATTTAATCTGAAAATCTTTTTATTAGATTATATCCTCATTATTTAATTAATATATTGTTATATTTTTTATGGAAATACCTTCTAAAAATATAGAGGATTTAATTGTTTTAGTTTATCCAAAATATAAAATACTAAATGAATAAAAAGTCTTAATAGAATGTACTTTGCAATTTGTAATTTATATCTTTTAAGATTCTATAATTTTTAAAATAGGAGAAATAAATATTCCTTCTGATATTAATTCTTTAATTATAAGTTAGCATCCATTTAAATTAATAAGAGCATTATCAATATTAATTTTATTCATTTCACTTAAACTAATTGGATCTATTTTATTGAAATAATCTATCCAATCTTAATTAGATTAATAAATAGATAAATTTTCAATTATAACTAAATTATGATCTTACTTTTATTAAGAAAATTCAATTTTCATGAATTGATTATTTAATGACAAACAATTTTCTAATATTACATTATGAATATCAATCTTATTATATTTTTGTGATGGAATAATTGACAAAATTGAAGAACTCAATCTGTTAAAGACATTCTAAAATTATACATTTTTAATTTATAAATTTAACTGACTGTTTTTAGAGTATATACTAACACAACCTTGTGTCTCAGTTGATGATACTAAATCAACTTCAGCTTAACTAATATAGAGTGATTCAAACTTAACAATACCTAAACCTTAGGTTTTAATGTCAAAGATTGAACTGCTTTAAGAATATATCTAAGTGAATTGACCTTAAGTAATATTAATATAGGAAGAAGTTATAGACATTGCCCCTCCTTTATTTTAAATAGTATATATAGAAGATATTATTAAATTGATTTCATCTTAATTGTTTTAATTTGATAAGGGAATAGTATAATATTTTTACCAAATAGTGTAATTTAAATAGTTATGATTCTTTATTCTAATATATTAAATCTAAACAGATATTGAGTTGATATAAATAAATGAATTGGAAGAATTAGTTATTGCATTTTATTAGCATGTAATATTGTTTATAAACACATTACTTTATTAGGAATTAATGAATAAAAGTCCAGCTGAGGTTTATGATGGATCATCAATTTATTCGTTAAAAAAGTCTTCTTAAAAAATAATATTTTCTAGTCGAATTTCTTATAATTTTTCTGAATATATCAATATTTACGAAAAAATACTACCTAAATTTTGTTTTAATAATATATTTCCTTAAAATAAAGCATCCTTGATTTCAATTATTTCTTTTACATTTGGTTAATACAAAATGTTTGAAAGTATATGAACTAAAGAAATATCGATACTAAATTAATTATAAATCCAAATTTTTTAAATGAAAAGTTTCTAAAATCCTGAAACATATAGTAATTATGAAGATTTATCATTACTATTAATACATTCAAATGAATAAGGTACTTATTAAACTTATTATAAATTTAAGTAAGTTATGTTCTCAATTTTAATTGATTATGTATCAAATAATTTAAAATGATGTAGATTTATTGATGATTCTATAGTACAATTTTAAATTAATATTTATTAACAAGTCAAACTAAATAGATATAATTATTCAGAAATTAGTTATCTAATGTTGTTTTTTAATAATATATTACTTATGGTAACTTTCAAATTATCATTAAAATCTATTGATAGTAAATTTAATAATGATGAATTTGTAAAATCATTGGATTTGACACTTAAAGTGTAAATATAAATATCTTTTGCTTTTCTTAATTAGGAATTATAAAATAAATATTAAGAATGAGTGAATTTATTATAGATGATATATGTGTTTTAGATTTATAGATTATTGGTTAAAACTAATATTTTTGAATAGGATACATTATTTTAAGAAAATATAATATTTCTAAAGGAAACTGATAGTTATTAAGTATTTTATACAAATGTTGATAGTATGATTAAATTATTATAAATAGTAATATCATCAAAGAAGATATGAATTTAATCTTCAACAGTAGAATTAAAATTGAATATTGTAGAATTATAAAATTAGCAATTACTAATAGTTATATAATTTATTTTTATATTCTGTTTAGAATTAATAAATTAAAATAATACTGAATTTTAAAATATACAATTATCTATGATAATATTCCAAAATTAAATTTAATTATTAGAATTTCCTAAAGTATGTTCAAATAGTATAGAATTATTTAAATTTAAATTAGTAAAAGATATATTTTATAAAATACAATCATTACTTTTAGTAAAATTAATTGAGTATTTTGATATTTAATTAATATCTCCAAATATGGTTGTATTAGTAATTATTAAATTAATTGGATCATCATAATTATCAAAAGACATAAATGATTCAGGCATAATATAAAATAACATATTTATGATTTATACAGTATCATAATTTGATATTCTTAATTTACTTTGGAATGCCTTATTTTATTTATCACTTCCTATTATTTAAATTTGTGCTTGTTAAATTGAAAAGATATTCTATTTAAATTAATTCTATATAATAGTTTCATCTATAAAATTGCAAGATTCTTCAGAAATCAATATAAAATTAAAAATTATAGTCAATTTATTTATACCTAATTAATTAGAATAATTGAGATTAATCTACTATTCATAATAATCATATTGAAATCCTTTTTAGAAAATGAATTAATTATTATCACAATTAACTTCAAACTAAGATCATAATTTATGATTACTTGATATTTAATATTGTCTATACATATAGAATTTTCACAATATTTAGCAACTTTAGTATAAGGATCAATTACTATATTATTATCTGGAGCTTTTTAAAGACATTTATAAGTATATATAATAGTTTGATCTGTTACTATAAAATAAGGATTGATATTCTAAATTTGAGTTATAATAATACTTTGATTTCTTATTCAGTTCTAGATTAGCATAACTAACATAATTATGGACATTGAATGCATTTACCTTATTCTGATGAAATTATTGGTAACTTATAATAATTTAATGGACATTCATTACAATAATATCTATATGGAAGATCTTAAGACAATAAACACTATAAACAATCAGAATCACAATATTTGATACAATTACTATAAGGATCAGGTTTATAGCCTAGTGAACATTCAAATGGTAATTCAACTATGAAACGAAATGAATTAGGTTTAGGATACAAATATTGATTAGGTAAAAATTACATTAAAAAGCTTTAAATCAATTATACCCAATCATCTTTTAATTAATAATGACCTTCAATGCATATTTTAGAATTCTCAATAGAACATTTATAACATGATCCTGTAGTTAATGAAGTTGTATAACCATCTTCACACAATATACATTTGATTACTTTTTAAGGAGTTTATAAACATTATTTACAATAGGATATATATTTATTGCAACCAATAATTTCAGGAGCAATATTAAAATTATCTTCTTTAGATAGAGTACATATTTCATATCCTTATAAATTTATATAAGATCTAATGCAATTATTTATATATGGTTTTTGATATTTACATATACCTTAAATGAAATCAAAAATAAAACCATCTTTGCATAATGCACATCCTATTTGATGATATTCATTAAAATCAAATTATTCAAAATACTTATATAGAGTACATTTAGTTAAATCATTACTTAAATATTCAAAACAATATTAACAATTTTCAATATTGCATAATTTACATTAATAAGTTGAAGTAATATAATAAGGAGCAAGACACTTATTGATTTCAATTCCCCCAATCATTCCTGTAATAACACAAATTCCATCTTTAAGTTCTGAAAAATAATCACATTTCAAGCATACTGTTTTTGATGCAGTAATCTAACAAATAAAGCAATTTTCCAATGCACAATTAAAACATTCTTTCTCACTTCTCCAAATTGCTTAAGGAGATTAGGATCGAAAACATAAACTCCTAAATTATAATGATACTAATTCTAATTCGTTAATAAGATCTTCATTTATTAGTATTGAATTTTAAATTTATCTTGGTATAATCTCATTACCATCAAAAATATAATATTATTATTAAGTTTATAAAAACTAAGTGACTGTCCCTTAAACATCATTAAAAATATTTGTTTTGCAAAATGGATCACTTGCCCAACTTTCAGGTTAATAAATACATTCTAAACATGTTGTGATTATATTACTTATAATAGAGGGACTAGATATAAAGATTTAAATTACCATTTTATACATTTTTATTCAAATTAAAAATATCCTTGAAGACATTTTTAATTGTTTACATTTTCATTTACAATGATAAAATTATAACTTTAAAAATCCTTACATTATTAATCATCAATAGTATTATATGGACAAACACAAGACTTTTGCTAAGGTTTATAAATACGATTTGATTCTTTAGAACAAGATAAACAATCTTAATTTGTTGGTCCATCACATTCTTAGCAACTAAAATGACAATTTAGTTCAAGTATTACGTCATTATCAACACAATTTACAAAAGATGAATCTACAAATTTAACAGTTAAATAGTTATTGGTACTTTATAATATATTTCCATATTATAATTTTAATTTCATCAAATTAAATTAATTTACTGTCAATATAGTTTTATAATCAAAATGAGTAAATTCTCCATAGAATATTATTGATATTGTTAATTAATTATCTTTTAATATCACTTAAACATAATGCCAAAGTTTGATATCGTTTATAAGATCAAATTCTTTTCTTATTAAAAATGGATCATTTTAAAAATTAATAGATACAATAGGAAAGGTATAACTATAAGTAGTAAAAATCAGTTAAGTTTTTAATTAATTAAACTTATAAAATAATTAAAAGGTAGACAAATTATCATCAGTTAATTAAGTATTTTCAAAGTTAGCAGATAACTTTATAATTTAATATTAAAACTCTTATGATGTTTGGTGAATATTTGTAATTTTAATCCAAGTTTTTAATTAAAATGAATTACAATTAGGATATTAAGAGGGAAATATTATATTATCTAACCAAGTTAACTCTTAATTTATCAAATCTGTTTGCCAATTTTAATTACAAAAGCATTATGATCTAAATTAAAATGTGCTTAATGCAATATTTGCTGCTTATCTTGTAATTGACATTATATCAATTGATAATGGATATAAAATAAAATTACCTGGAAAAAATGACATTGTTGAAATTCCATTTAAAATCTAAATAGTATTTTATGATTATATTTATAAGCCTCCTCCAAAAGTTAAGAGTAAATCAGTGTCTTTATATGGATACAATACATCTTCTTCAATCTAATATAATTTAATTTCAGGATATTGAATAATTAATAATTCAAATCTTTTTCTCAAAGGCCATTAGGTAATTTCAAAGTAATGCCAAATATATTCATAATTTTAATTATCTAATTATACTTCATATTAATGCCAGTTCTCATCAATTGTAATAAATTGAATTCTTCTTACAATTGTTTATTTTTCATAGTTGAGACAATCATAAACAATTAAATTTAACTCTTTGGTTGATTGTTATACAGCATTATGAAGATGAAAACAATTACTTTCTAATATTCCAATCGATCCTACTTAAGCTATATTCCCTAAAGGAGTATATCTGCTCCATAAACCATAGGCAAAGTAAGAATCTATCTCAAAATTGTTTAAGTTTATTTAAAACTGGTATGTTTCTATTTAAGAGTCATCATTCATATAAAGGAGGAAATATGCAGATATTACAAACACTCTTTAAATTATTAAAATTAAAGCCATTGCTCTCATTTTTAATATTATTAAAAATATCAATATTCATATTAAATATCAAAAATAAGTTATAATCAGATCCATCTTTTAAGTTTTATTATTTAGAATATTTAAAAAAAATGTTAATAAAATATAATACTTAAGAAATGTGAAGTTTATTAATTCTAAATATTTTTTATTTAACTTTCATCAATATGATTAAATAATGTTTAATCGTTCTCACAAATAAATTTATATTATATTTTCAATAATCTATATCAAAATTCAATCTATTACTTATTCAACTTTATTTTTGGCTCAACTTTTTCATTTGATTCTTCATCAATTAGAATTTCAGTTGCTTTTAAGGTATCAAATTAAATTTATCTGAATTTCTAATAGGTAATATATCTGTCTCTTTTAATTCCTAAATTTCTTATTATATTCTAACTTTCTATTTCCTTTTATGTTACAAAGGATTCTTCATTCTAAAAACATTATCTTAAATTTTAGTAGATAAAAATTAGATCTAAAATTAATTAACTTGATGTTGTAACCAAAGTATATTTGCATAAATAAACAAAACATGTAGATCATTATCATATTACAATTATCCAAATTATTGAGTTAATTATATGCATAAAACCACATGCCTTATAATTTCTCAATAGATTCTTTTCTCTCTATAAAATGATGCTTCTTAATAAATTCATGTTATTTTATATTATATCAATAGAATTAATCATTTCTTCACCTTTAAAGAACTTATTAAATACTGAATTAGGTTAATTTTAATCAAATCCTTTAACCACAAAAATTCCAACCTTACCTGAAAATAGTTAAGAAAATAGATATATAGCCCAAATCACACAATGAGTACAATTACTAGGTTATGAACGAATTGTACAAGCTGGGTATTATATGTGTGTGATTGTAATAGGAATACATAATAACATACTGTTCCTTCAGAATAGCCATTTGCATATTCTTTGAATCTCATGGATCCAGCATCAACAATAAATATTAATAATGCCTAACACACTTTATTCACATATGATCTAGTTTCTGCATTATCTAATTCCATTATAACAGCATCAAATTATAGAAAAAAATCCATAGTATAACCAGGAATTTTAATTACAGCAAAGTGAGCAATAATATTTAATTATGGTGCCATCTTCTTTATGTTCTCAGCTGCAACCAGAGATTTTGATTAACNATTCATATTAAATATCAAAAATAAGTTATAATCAGATCCATCTTTTAAGTTTTATTATTTAGAATATTTAAAAAAAATGTTAATAAAATATAATACTTAAGAAATGTGAAGTTTATTAATTCTAAATATTTTTTATTTAACTTTCATCAATATGATTAAATAATGTTTAATCGTTCTCACAAATAAATTTATATTATATTTTCAATAATCTATATCAAAATTCAATCTATTACTTATTCAACTTTATTTTTGGCTCAACTTTTTCATTTGATTCTTCATCAATTAGAATTTCAGTTGCTTTTAAGGTATCAAATTAAATTTATCTGAATTTCTAATAGGTAATATATCTGTCTCTTTTAATTCCTAAATTTCTTATTATATTCTAACTTTCTATTTCCTTTTATGTTACAAAGGATTCTTCATTCTAAAAACATTATCTTAAATTTTAGTAGATAAAAATTAGATCTAAAATTAATTAACTTGATGTTGTAACCAAAGTATATTTGCATAAATAAACAAAACATGTAGATCATTATCATATTACAATTATCCAAATTATTGAGTTAATTATATGCATAAAACCACATGCCTTATAATTTCTCAATAGATTCTTTTCTCTCTATAAAATGATGCTTCTTAATAAATTCATGTTATTTTATATTATATCAATAGAATTAATCATTTCTTCACCTTTAAAGAACTTATTAAATACTGAATTAGGTTAATTTTAATCAAATCCTTTAACCACAAAAATTCCAACCTTACCTGAAAATAGTTAAGAAAATAGATATATAGCCCAAATCACACAATGAGTACAATTACTAGGTTATGAACGAATTGTACAAGCTGGGTATTATATGTGTGTGATTGTAATAGGAATACATAATAACATACTGTTCCTTCAGAATAGCCATTTGCATATTCTTTGAATCTCATGGATCCAGCATCAACAATAAATATTAATAATGCCTAACACACTTTATTCACATATGATCTAGTTTCTGCATTATCTAATTCCATTATAACAGCATCAAATTATAGAAAAAAATCCATAGTATAACCAGGAATTTTAATTACAGCAAAGTGAGCAATAATATTTAATTATGGTGCCATCTTCTTTATGTTCTCAGCTGCAACCAGAGATTTTGATTAACTTCTATGTTCTAATTGAAATAAGAATTATCAATTAAGATTGCTAACTTCTATTGTGTCCATGTCTATAATGTGAAATTCTTGAAAAGTGAATTTACTGAGAATTTTCAGAATTTCACATCCAATTACATTAACACCTAATATAAGTATTCGAATATTTGGATAATAATAATAATTCATTTCAATTAATTTAATTAAAAAATATTTTACTTAAAATTTAGATAGAGTTTTAAGTACTTTTAAACAAACTTTATGATAAATTATTATTTTGTATTATTGTAAATAAATCACATTCATAAAATCTTAATTGCTATTATTTTGATATCATTAAGAGGTTTATCGAAATCATCAGTTTCTACTTCACTAATTTAAACTACAATATTCATTCCTTTATAAACTCTACCTAAAATAGTATGCTAAAAATAATTAAATAATTTCATACTTTATCATCTAACCAAGGAGTAGGACAAACAGTTATAAAAAATTAACTTGCATTAGTATTTGGACCTGCATTTGCCATACTAACAGTAAATGGTTTGTCATGTCTTTATTCTGGATGGAATTCATCTTAGAATTCTCCACCCCAAATGGATTCTCCTCCTGTTCCATTTCCCTTTGGACATCCAGTCTATATCATAAATCCTTATTAAACTCGATGAAATATCAAACCATCAAAATAACCATTTTTAGAATGTTGAATAAAATTTTCAACTGTTTTTGGTGTTTCATTTGGGAATAAATTAATATAAATTTCACCAAATGTTGTTTAAATAATAGCTTAACATCCAGATAAAGTCTAAAATATTAGATTAAATATAAACATACTTTATTTTTATTGTCAGACATAATACTAAGGCTTTATTAGTTAAGATTCAATGGTTCATTCAATATATCTCTAGCAACAGCCCATGGTTTATCTGCTAAATCTTCAGGAATTCTACGAGAGAAAACATAAAATTTGTTTGATTTATGTGCACTTATATATAAACTTGGATCAGTCTCTTTTCTATTTAAAGAACTATGAGATTATTCATTTTAAGTATTCTTCATTGAAGGTCCTTAATACAATGCAACTCTCATGAATCTTTAACTACTTTCCATCTTCCCTAATAGTTTTACAAGTTCTCCTGTCTTTATGTAAATAAATTTTATTCCAATAAAAGAAGGATATATCAATATTTAATCTGTTTCATCAAAACACATAGTAATTTATTTTAATTATTCAGGTTATTTATCTATATCTTTTTCAATCAATAATCTTCTTTCAAAATCTTATTATTCAATATGTAATAGAGGATATGTTACTTAATCATTTTATCTACTTGTAATAGCTTCAATTGATTCATCTAATATAATTATAATCTTTCCTGTTTGAACATTAAATACTCTAAATTTTTTGTCTGAAACATATAGAACAATTAGTTTCTATTTATTACTAATACATAAACCATAACATTATAATTTATTTTGCATCAATTCATATAAATCAGTGCCTACTTTACTAGAATAATTAATTTTGAATTCAGGTTTTGCATATTCTTATTTTGGAAAGTCCTAAGTAATAGGATCCCATACTTCCATTCTACCACTTGTATCAATTGTTAACATAAATTAAAAATTACTAAGATATCTCATTTGTTTAACTGGTTAATTATGTAATTTTACCATTCTCAATATTTTACCACTTTCAGTAACATAAATATCTCCGCTATTACCATCACTGATTAATAATAATTATTATTGTACATCCGCTGTATCTACAAACTCACATCCATATGGTTAAAATGGTAGTTTTATCATATCTAATAAATCTTAATTCCAAATATCAAAAATCTTGATTGTTCGATCAGCTGGAGACACACTTGCCATCTTGTCATGTCCATCAGTTAATGTAACACAGGTGACAATTCCTCTGTGTGCTCTAAAATGTTTAATGAATTCAACCAATCTAAACACTTTTCTCCACATCTTTATATATCCATCTGTTGACACTGTTATAATTATTTGAGACTTAAATGCAGATAATACAATATTAATGTTTTCTCTATGCATTAATGACCGTTCATATAATTCACTATATGGCAAATTGTCCAATATAATATCCAAAATTGTTTATTATGGTTTTGCAACATCAGGACCAACCGTATCAGCAGATTATACAGGTATAGGTTATGTAACTTTAGGCTAAGATATTATTCTTCTTGGTTTCTTTATTTTTTTCTTTGCTTAAACAAAATTGAATTCATCAATTTCTTCAGCACCTTCTATTTGTTAATAATTCATAATTAAATATTAAAAATGAATCACAAATAATTAAAATTTACTCTTGAAAATACAACTCTAAAAATGTCTCACTTTAACTTTAGGATATTAAATACTTCTAAAAAATATAAAGTAATTTAATTAAAATAAGAAAATCATAAACCTTGATTATTTTTTTATGAAGAATAAAGTAATTTTCCAATTTATTTTTGTAATTATAGCATAGAATTTATTAATAAATAAATAAATCTTATTAATATAAACTGATATAACAGTTAAACATTTAATTAATTCAAATATAAAATTAAGTGATTATCTTTCAATTTTATTTGCTAGAGAGTATTCTATTATTTCAAAATATTATTAATAAATAAAATATTATACTATAGAATACAAATATCTATGGCAAATGTCAATTATCAATTAATAAACATAATTGTTATCATTACGATAATAAAATAATATAGATATCTAAAAAATTGCAAAATAGATTATGTAATTTATGAAATAATTTGAATTTATGTTTTATAAAGAATCACAATCAATATTGAGTTCTTCTATATGATGATGTGACTGTTTATGATGTTTATTAGATTCCACTTTAACGAGGTGCTTCAGAAGCTCTTAAATTTGTTGGTGTTTAATTAGTCAAATATCTTATACATAAATCCTCAAGGTCTTAATATGTGATTTTTCCATCTTAATTTCTATCCAAAACCCTAATTATAATTAATCAATTTTGAACTTATAAAATGAATCTATATCACCTCTTGCAGGAGAAAAGATTCTATTGAATGATTTATAGACGTCGACAATCATAGGTACTACCTCTACATTATCAATCTACCCATTTCTGTCTCTGTCATAAGTATCAAAAAGTCTTCTGGCAACAGCCTAGTTTCAAATAATTATAATACCTTTGCTCCTTCAACATCAGTTAGACCCAAATTAAGTGGTTTTTAATCTTATCCACTAACTACTTAAGTTCTGACTACTGATTCGTAATTGTTTGTGTATTGTTACATTACTTAAGATTTAAATTAATATAATAACGAGTTCATATCAAAACTTTCATTTTAGTTTTGGCAGTTCAAAAGGAGAAACACTTTATTTGCTGACATTTAATGGTTTTCTCTTTGAGTTAATTCCAAATCCAATTCTAGCTAAAAATCTTTATATGTGAATACATCCATCTCCACATCTTTTATGTACCTAAAAATATAATAAATATACACATACTCTCATATAATTTTCATAATATTTTTTGAAATCTATATAAGTAATAGCTTATGGTGGTTTATTGGCAAACTGAGAGATTATCATATAAAGTTAATCTTACCAAGGATTCTTTGGACGATTTACGAATTATTGATATATTTTTTTCATTGCATCCTCTTTCAAATGATCTTAAATTACTTCTAATGGTTTTCCTAAATTAACTCTTACAGCTTCTAATTCAAAATCAGCATCTGTTTGCATTTCATCTCCAAATACATGGAAATACATTTTTTATTCTTTTTATTCTTTTGTTTCAATATCAAATGGAGATGTTAAACCAGTCTTATTTTTTAGCATATCTTCCAAAATCTTTTGACTTGTTGTTTATCTCTATTTTTTAGCAAGTGTATCTGTACTAACACTTCCATAATTTACTATATGAACATCTGATGTTTGACTAACACTTCTACCTTAATTAGGCTAAATGATGCTGCTTTCATTTGTATAAGAAAGTAACACCTAACTTTTTTATCTACCAACTAAATTCATTGGAGATTCCAAACCTTTTGGAGGTTAAGTGGTTTTCATAATAGATATTGTAGGTCTTCTTATTTATTATTCTGAATCTGTAGTTTCATTTTTTTATTAAACCATAGTGGTCATCTTGCTATCATTAATAGTATTATCTATATTTTTATCTTATTTGGCCTTAGTTGTTTAATCAACTAAAACAGTTGATGCCCTTGATTTTTACCTTTAAGATGGAGTCTTTTCATAATAATGTATGAATTATTATTCATTCAAAAATATTTATTCCAATTTTTTTATTTATTCTTCTGTTAATCCAAGATCAACTTACATTTTTTAGAATAAATTCCACATAAAAAAATCATCAGTTTAAGTAAATTTAGCAGTGACCTTTTCTTCCTACGATCTATAACTTTATCTCATCAACGGGGTTTGAAACCCTATTTAAGAACCCATCATATTAGTGTTATCTTCCAAAGAATTTATAAATGAAGCCTTTATATTTAAATTTCCAAAATTAACTTAAACTCCTCTATTTGCTACATTCTCATCAATTTCATCATAATCTATTTCTCCAAATTCATCTTTGATAGAATGTCTCTATTTAATTTGTCTTATATATTTATTTATAAATTAAGATGTTTAATGAGATTAGATGGTAGATTTTTGATAATTTTAATCAATTTATCCTCTACTTTTATTTGTTTATTATCTGCTTGATGATAGTTATTTTTATTCTGTTTTAAATCTACTTGACTCTTTAGGTAATTATGATTGATTTTATAATTATTATTAAATAGGTTATTATTATTATAATTATTATGTTTAATTTGTAATAATTTTATTGACTTTAGTATCAGATTGATTTTATTTAAAAGAAGATGTATTATTTAGAAGATTTCTACTACCAGATGATGGACTAATAACTTCTTATTTTCTTGGTGAATTTTTTTAAATAATACTATTTTCTTCATTAATTTTATTTAGAGTTTTTTTCTTAAATATACTAATAGAATTATTATCATTATTATTATTATTATTATTATTATTATTATTATTATTATTTATTATAATCTAAGATTCAGAATTTTCATTTGATTAATCTTCAAATTTATTTTTTGTTTTCTTTATTCCTATAAATTTCTCTGATTTTTCTGGTGATATTGATTATTCAAATTATGAATCAGCTCTTTCTAATATTATTTTTTTTTATTTTTATTATTTATTTTTAACTTTTTTAGTCTTCTTTATTGAACTTGGAGAAAAATCTTCATCATCACTTTACATCTCTTCAAATTTTTCCAAGACTTCTTCCAAATTTCTATTAGAATTATTATTGTTTTGCATTTTTTATCTTATTGTTTTATATAATTCATTTGGTGGCATTCTTGCAATATCATTCTCTGAATTTTCAATCAAATACTACAAAAAAGTTTGTAATAATTCTATTTTACCTTCAGCCTATAACTCACTTTAAATAATCATCATTAAAACTTCTTCAATTAATTAAGGTTATAATAAAACTTTCTATTTATCATTTTTAGCTTATTCATACATAATTTAAAGTTCTCCTTTCATATTTTAATTCTCTTCTACAATTTCTTTTAATTGTAATTCTAATTTAAAGATCTTAGGATCACTCATACTTACTTAGATTTCAACATGAATCTATTTCTCATTTGCTTAACTACTAGTAAAAGTGTTATTATTTTTTTCATTTGCTTTTATTTATTCCATTTAAATCATTAAATTTAATAATTTCCTTTCTTGATCTTCAAATTTAGAAAACAAAGCTGATATCTTTTATTCTTTTTCCAAGATTTCTTCATTTTTAGTATTAATTAGATGTTCTAATTCATCTATTCTTTACATATTTTATGATTTTCTCTTATGCATCTATAATCCAGCATTCTTCTTCAATTAAAATTTCTCAAATTCTTCTTTCATTTTTCTCTCAGCATATTTTAATATTCTATCTGCAGTTGATTTTTATACACCAACAACAATTCTATCTTTTATTTCTTATTTCATATCTCTAGGTGGAAAGTCAAGTTCTTAATTAGCAATTCTAATTTATTCATTAATAAATATTTCATTACGTTAGAGTTCTCTTTCTAATGTCTTACCAAGATCTTATAATTTATAAGGAGCATTGCTTGCATTTATTTCACTCCATAATCCTTTAAACTTTAGAAACTTTTCTATTTCTCTAAGATTCATATCATTCTCCTCTTTAGCTCTTTATAATTCCCTCTCTTTTTCACCTAAATATTCTACATTTAAATAACGCATAGCATCTTCACCAGTATCTGTTCCCTTTGATTAAACATTCTTCCTAAACTTAGGCTTATTACTTCTGAATTCTTATTCTGCAGATATGAATTTAGACTTTTAAGAAGAAGATATATTAAAACTTTGGATTTCTGCTCCACCAAATAAAGTTTTAGAAGTTGCATTAGTTGAAAATGATCTTTAACAATATTCTAAAGGAAGTTCTGGGGGATTCTAATGTTTTCGTTGATTAATCTCTTCCACTTTTTAGAATAAAATATTAAAATGATTGCATAACTTTGAGATTACATTAGATTCATCATTCAACCCTTTCTTTTATAAATGAAAATTTATCTCATCAAAGCATAGATTTAACCGTTCTATTATCTTTTCTAAATATTCAATCCCATACATATTTTATTGTGCTAATTGTAGTTCCATTCCATTGTGTTAATGGTTATTTATTCAATTCAGAAATTGCTCTTTCTCCTATAGTTACAATTTTTGTTAGGGCATCCATTTAATATATATTATATAAATAAATAAATATTATGACTGAAGAGTTAACCCTTATGAAAGTTAAGTAGAAAATATTCTGGGCTGATTACTTAAATGAATAGTATAAATTCAAGAATTTTAATACACGTAAACATGGTGTTACTATTAATGATGATTTTTTGAGTGTCTTAGCAAATAATTAATTTTTGACAGCTCAACATTTTGTATTTTTTTAATAGATGTTTTCATATTACTATGGAGAATTTTAAGTATATAATTTATATATATTTTATTAGGTACTTTCATTAGATTGTCATGTTTTCACAGAATTCATACCAGATGTTACTAATTCTATCCTTCCAAATATGATGGTAACTCAATATTAATATGATTCCACTCGTGATTCATTTTAAACGTTTGAATAATCATATCAATAAGAACAACAATAAACTCAATAGACTTAAAATAAAGGTGATTCAGTTTTCTCTAAGATTTCAAACATCTTTAAAACCATAAATCCATTACAATTCATTAGAAAATCCTAACCTCCATAAAACCTTGATTAATAAGACAATTTTTCAAATCAATTTAACATTGGTTAATAGGATTAAAATTCTTAATAAAATGAGTTATTGTAAAAATACAAATTCGAAGTGAAAAATATTACTTATATAAAAAAAGATCCAAAAGAACCATCCTAAGTAATAGCAAAAGGGTAAATCAAAATTAATAATGTAATCTTACTTGAAAATGAAAAAGGAAAATATCAATTTAATAAATTAAACATTCAAATTGAAAATTTAAAAGCTAAATACAAATTCTCCTCTCAAATTTAAAAAAACATTTTTAGTCTGTTTAAATATACATACATTCCTATCAATTTATAAAATAACCATTGGCTTTGTGCTATTGTGGAATTTAGTGAAAACCAAATATAATATTTAGATTCTAATTTTGCAAAATAAGATAATGTTGTTGAAGGTCTAGAAAAAATGTTAAATTATAAAGGCGAACAGACTTAATGGTAAATCATAGAAGGCAGTCCAAAACAAGAGAATAGGTATTCGATTTATATATATATTAGTTTTGATTGTGGAATATTCTGTTTGATGGCCTTATATTAGCTTTATAAAACAGGTAATTTTATCTAACCCAATTAATATAAATAATAGGATATTAAGAGTTTTAGAAAATAATTACTTCATTTAGCAGTAATAGAAAGTTAAAGTGATATTAATTAAAAATTACTTAGTATAATTTTAGATTTTAAACATCAAAATTGATTATATTATAATTAAAATTATATACAAATAAACTATTATCAAGTTATTCATATTTAACTTTTTATCATTAAAAGTATATTAATCAATCTATTTAATTCTATTATTAAATAATGATATATTCTAATTTTGCTTATAAATTTAAATTTTTTCTATGAGTATGTGAATATTTTGATTTACTTTAAGAAATTCATCTATCAAATACTAAATAATCAATCTTGATTTTTGTTGTTCAAAGTTGTAAATATACTTTTTTAGCATTTTAATAAGTGATACTTCATTTTTTATTATCGATCTACTAATAATAGATTTAATATAGAGATATATTTAAGTTTTATTATAAAAATTATAAATTTCTGTTTAATATAGAGTTTAGACTAAATTAATTCAATATTATAATTGGGAGGATTTATTAAATTAAATTTTTAATCCTCTTATAAATGAATCCTAACAATCAATTAAGTAAATAGAGATGTATGAGTTAAAAAAATATAAGTAGTTCTAAATTTTGAATATATATCATATTTGATCGAAATTGTTATTTTTAACTATAATATTATTACTTTTCTAAGTATAAGATTTAGAAAAGAGCTCTTATATTAATATTTATATAATATTTAATTCTAAGCTTTCCATTTTTATAATCACACTAAAAAAGAGTATATAAGTGATTGAAAAATAATAATTACATAATCCAAAATAAGGGATAAATGTTAAAAAATGAATCAAATATTTAATTAAGATATACATATTCTTAGAATGATTGAAAATATATACAATATTTGTAATCTCTATTTAATATAAGTATAAGAAGTATTCAATCAAACTTTTAATTTTTTTTATTATAAATCAGAATGAGTGATTAAGAGTATGGAGAGGATTATGAAAATGAAGAGTAACATCAATAAATTATACAAAAGATAGCACAATGAGGAAGAAAATGAAGATAAAAACGAAAATTTGGAGCAGTCTAATAAAAATGAATCATAAGCTAATAATAATGAAGATGAGAACAATGAGTAGTAGTAAATATTTATATTAATTATACAGATAGAATGATAATGATGGAGATGATGAAAATCAAGACAATAATGAATAGGATTAATAATAAGATGATTAACAGAACGAAGAAGAAAATCAAGATAACGAGGGTGAGAAGGAGGAAGATTAATAAGAAGAAAAAATGGAAAAGTCATAATAAAAATAGGAAGAACAAGAATAGGAGGTTGAAGAAAGCTAATTTGAATAATCAATGGTAAGGTTACAAATAATTAATTAAGTAATCGGAATAGAATGTTAATTTAGAAAGTATAGATGCTGTATCTGTAAAGATTAGTAAAGAAGAAAAAGGAACTTAAAAAAAAGGAACTAAGAAGGCAACTAAGACATCTAATTAATAAGAGATGGTGAATTAATTAATGAAAAAACATAAGGAAAAACAATAAAAGATGCAAAAAAGAGAAGATGAAATATATGTTTAGGAGAAAATAGAAAAGAAATAACCAAAACCATAAATAAAACCAAAAGTAATTACAAAATAAAAGTTAACATTTGACAAATAAACAAAAGCTTAGCTTGAAGATCCATAGTTAAATAATTAATAAAAAGCTGCAATTTTAACTAAAGATTTAGGGAAGAAATTGGATGTTCAAGTTGTAGTAAAAGAGGTTCCAAAAAGTATGATTTTAATATTGATTATAAATAGAAATGGAAGTAAAGAAACCAGGAAAAGGAAGTGAAGCAAAGCCAAAGAAGAATCTATTTGATGTTAGAATTGGGGCAGGAATTAAATCTAAATTAGATGTAGAGGCAGATGACAAATCTTAAAGGGATAAGGAAAAAGAACGTAATGCTTTTCTTGAGTAAAAAAAGAGAGAAAAGGAACAAGCAATAAAGTTTTAATAAGAATAAGATGAACTATTAAAAATTAAACAAAATAATATTAGAAAAGCTTAAGAAAAAGCTTTGGAAAGAGATAATAAAGTACTTCAAGTAAATACTGAAAAACAATAAGAAATTAAATAAGTTTATGAAGCTAAAAGAAAAGAATTAATTAAAGAGAAGGAGGAAGATAATAAGGATTAAATTAAAAAAGATTTAGATATTTTAAGAGCTTTAAGAAAGGAAAATACTTTATTGAATGATGAAGTAAAAACCTAGGAAATGAAGATAAAGGAATTGGATAAATTGATTGAATAAGAGAGTAGGAAGGAGAATGTAATTTAAATAAATGGAGAGTATTAAAGTTTAAGAAAGATAAGACTAAAATAAGGTTTAGATGATTTAAAAACAGAATTAGTGAGTGGAGCATAATCTTAAATTTTAGGATAAGGGAATATATCAGATCCTGATATAGCATTAACAGTAGCAAATTAGATTGCCAAGAATGATTTAAAATTGAATGATGCTTATGCTCTTTTAGATGAAGATAAAGATGGTGTTTTAACTATCAAAGAAATTTAGAATAACATTTGCAGATTAAAGTATAATTAATTTTAATATTTAGTTTAAATATTAAAGAATAAGAAATATAAGAATTCATAAAAATGTTGGATAATAATAGTGATGGTGTTTTGACTGAATAGGAATTCATCACATTCCTTACTCCAGGTTTAGAGAATCAAAAATAATACATTTAGATTATGGGTGATATTAAAGATATCTTAAATCCTATTATATTAGAGGAGAGAAGGTTGCATTTAAAATATTTACAGAAGTATTTATAAAAGGAAATTGAAGATGAAAATAAGAAGGAAAGAGAATAGAAACCAAAATATGATAGATTAATTAAGAAACTAAAAAAAACAGAGAAGTTAGTTGAATCTTTGAAAGGAACAACATCTGATAAAGGGAAAGTTAAATAATAATGTGATTTATTAAGATAAGAATTAAGATCAATTTAAGATAAAAGAAATAAAGTTATTGCAGAATTGGATGATAAGAAATTGATGATTAAAGAGAACATAGATCAATTAATGAAAGATCTTGGAGATAGATGTTAAGAAGTATTATAAATGAAAGAGAAATTAAATTAAGTGCAAACTTAAAGTCAAAGATTACAATTAAAATTGTTATCTATAGAATAAATGAAAAATAAATATAAAAAGGAGTTGAAAGTTAAAAATGAAATTGAAATTTAAGGAGGATAAAAATAGAATGTTCTTTAATAATTAAGATTGAAAGAAGAAAAGATATAATAATAGGAAGATGTCAAAAATTTATAGTATATGCATTATGTAATAATTGTTTAAAAATGCACAAGAGGATTTTTAATGAAAAAAAGATTAACTAAAAAATTATTAGGTTTAAAAGGTTGTGCAAAAGCTTTAGTAACATTTATAGAAAAAAAACATAGGCATCAAAAAATGTAAGGGATTAATTTGTTAGAGGAGTTTGTAAAATAACAAAAGAAAATAGAGATAGCAAGAAAAGAATAAGAATTATTAAAATAATAAGAATAATAAAAGAAAAAATTAAAAGATAAAAAAGCTAATAAAGTAGAAAGATTTATTGCTTAATAATTTGTTAGTACTAAAGTTGAAGATAAATTAAACAATATAGATTAAACATTATCAATAATTCCAAAAATTATTTTAATATAAAAGATTTTTAGAAAAAATAAAAGAGGAATCCCTTTGACAAATTAAGCAATAAATGTTAGTTTTGGTATAGGTTATAGTGAGAATTGTTAAATTTGCAAAACAGATTTAGCAGAAGTTATATGTAAGTAATGTGAAAAACCAATCTAATGTGATAGTTGCTTTAGATTGAGTCACAAGAATTACAAAAGAAGAAATCATGAGTTTTATTTACTCATAAAAAATAAATTTAGAGATGCTAATGGTATAACTTTATATAATAAATAGAATAATTGGAAAATAGAAATATTGAAAAATAAAATGAAATGGATGAAGTATTATCAAACTAATGAAATATTCTATATAATTTTCATAATAAATTACTTTTTAATTTTAGTAATCGATCTTGTCAATTTATTTATCTTAAGAAGATCTTAAATCAATAATTAAAATCTAATAAGTTTTAATGTTTTTTCAGAATTTAATAAATAATAATAATTATTAATTCTATTAATTATATTATTAGTATTTCCAAAATATAAGATAAGATTAATTTGATAATTCAAATTCTGATCTGACTAAGTTTATGAACTATTTACTTATTTTTATAATTTTAGAGACTGATATATTTTCTATAACATAAATTGATAACAGCTGATAAAATAATATATTGTAATTTTTTTAATAAAATCTAAACTAAGGATTTGTAGGTTTATATTGAAAGATTACAAAAATATTGAAAAGTGTAAAATTATTGAACGATTGAAGCTCCCATTTAATTTTTACTTTAATGTAATTTATATTATTTTATATATATATATATTTTTTAACATTAATGATAACAAAAATACCGCTAAGAATTGCCAGAACTCTACTTCCTATGAATTATTCTGGATTGAGATTATACATTTCAGAATCAATAATAGAAAAAAGTAGTTATTTGATCTAAAATAAGATCATTTATATCAACTTATTGAGAGAGGAATGATATTTGAAACTATGGTTTTAAAGAATACACAATCAAATTCAGATTAGACAGAAATTAAAGGATTTAAAGTACAAGATTTGGAAGATGACTTAAAATTAGAATTAAGTAAAACAGTAGGAAATGTTTAAATTTTAATTTGCATTGAATGTTAGAATAAAGAAGAAACCTTTGAAGAAGAATTATTAGAAACTTAGAAATTTACAGTATTAAATTAGACTGAAACTCTAGTTTAGAATTTCTAAACTTCTTATTTGAATCATATTCCTTTTAGTATTTATTTAACTAAAGGAAATGGAATAATTTCTTGTTATGAATGTTCAGCATATAGAAGCAAAGTATAATGTCATTCATTAAATATATAGATTTAAATTAATATGATTTAGATTATTGATGACATTGAAGAACATAAACAAATTCCACGATAAGAAAGAGGAATAACTGACTATATAGGAAGAAATTATATTATAGATGATACTGTAATAATGTAATAATAAATAAGTTATAAAATGATATGCTTAATTATCTTAAGACCTTTGGAATAGATTCTGAACTTGCATAGTTTGTGGAAAACCTACAAAGTGATCGAGAACAGGCTCTGTATCTGAAATGGTTATAAAACAAGATCAATTCTTCATGATTGACTGTTGTAATTAACTTAAATGTAAAAATTTATAACAAAACCAAAACTTTTAAATAATACCATAAAAAAACATATAAATTATGAGGATATTTAATAATAATCAGGTTCTTTCATTTAAGCTAATAAAGAATTGTACAAAATTTGTGAGAGAGTACTTAGTAATAGAGGGCTTTAACAATTTGATATTACGAATAGTCATTCTCTTGGCAGGTCCATTTGCATTGCCTTAAATATTTGGAACTTGAGCAATTAAAATAGGTAATTCAACTTTAACATCATATGGAGGTTCATCTCCATCAGTAAATGAATCCTCTAGCTTTTGTTTTTTGGATCTGAAATCATTATTCATACAATTTTCAAGATGCTTAATATCTGGTTCATTAGGCAAAGCCTTTTTAATTTCATCTATCAATGTCAGATACATTAAAAGTAGTAATCCAGCTATTTTATCCTACAAATCTTGAGCTCTTCTATATTCAATTTCAAGAACTTTTTCACCTCTTATAATGGATACTTTTTCAGCAATTCTTGCAATAGCTTCTATAAATTCATAAAGATTCATTTAATAATGTTTTGGTGAAAATAATTCATCCTTTTATGTTATCATGCTTTATAAGTAAGCTAAGTAGCATTCTCTTTCTGTTAATTCATCACAAATAACATTTGATTATTTTAAAAAGTCTCTAAAATCTTAAGGTGAGATATAATCATATTTATATTACTAGGGTTTCTTACTTAATTTACAAGTATATTTATATAGAATTTTTATCATAGGCATTCTATCACGTATAAGAATATCACATTTTTCATTCCATAATCTCATCTTCCTCCAAGCCTAAGAGGTATCGAATTTAGATAAAAACTCTAAGCATTATTATTATAATTATGATAATCCTTCAGTCATAGTTTGACACAACCCACTTCTGATGTATTTGTCATTACAAAATCTAACCAACACTTCCATCAATTAACATCTCACTATCCCTTTTTCATAAGCTTAAGGGAATTAGACATCTTTAGCACCTGCTGTTGAAGTAAATCCAATATCTATATCATTTGGTTTGACTCCTTCTATAACATCAGTGGATATTAGAAATTCCACATAATCTGATGGACCTAAACATGGGATCTATAATATTATTATAATATTAATACAGGTGCAGTTGAATTCCCTGATGCAAAGTACTTGTAACAATTGAAGATTTAAACATAGAATTATTTTAATATATCTTTAACATCTTGTAATTCAGTTTCTTTTACCAACCTATTTATTTTTGAATTTTGATAATCAAATTCAAAGCATTCCTCTATTAATTTATCAGTATCAGGTGGAAAATATCTGAATATTGATGTTTCAACTGACCATTTAGTGGATGCAACATTCAAATATGGAGAAAAATCAAATAAAGTCATTGTTTCTCTTGGTTTGGCTTAAACTAAAGGTACATATCTATCAAATAAAACTTAGTTGGATGGTGATATTAATTCATTAATCATTTACATAGTATTTCCATCAACTAAAATTTCATTATTGTATAGAAAAGGAATAGAAGGGAGTGGCTTATGTAAATATAAAATATTTTGATCTTCTGCAACACACTAGATTCCAAGAATTGGATTAGTAAAGAAATATTTGATTGATCTATTAGGAGGACACATTTTTACAAAGAAGAATTCTCCATTTAAAAAGGTCATTAAATAGGGTTTATAATCATCAAAATCGAAATGTATAAATATTGGTTCAGATTTTAAGGTTCCAGATTTTTTATTCCATTAGAATTTAATTTCTTACCATCCTTCACATATCCAACAAACATCCAATTTATTTATCATATTTATTTTTTATTTGTTTAATTCAGTTGATTTTATTCTTCTGCTTCTATGATAAGCTAAACATAAATCTTCATCTGTTTTTAATTTATTTTAATCTTCTTATTTATCTTCATCTAATAATTTAAAATATTATGGTTATTTATTTAATTATTCTATTTTTTATTATTTTAATTTCATTTCTTCTTTTCTATTAATTAAAAATCCATTTGAATTCATTATTATATCTTAATAATTACCTTCAAAATGAAATCCATAAATAGTTTCATTTTTAATCAAACCTTCAGCAATTATTAGACTCTATTATTGATTAAATTTATTATATCTTATATCAATATGTACTAATTCATTATAAGAACGAGACAATGCTTTAGCTATAGCCTATGCACATTCCAAAGAAGCAATTGCATTATGAGACATATCAAAGATCTTTATGCTTGTATTCTTATACATAGCTTTCCAAATTTAGATACTTCCATTAATTTAGAGATTATTAAACCCTAAATATAATTCTAAAAGTCTTTAAGATTACTTTAAGAAATTACTCAAAGCTACACTTGAAGATTCTGTAATTTTATTATTGCATAAATTTAAACATTACAATGTATTATTATTCATTAAATGTTTCATAAGAATATTGCAACCTTAGTCTCTTAATAAATTTTATTCTAAATTCAATTTTAATATCAAATTCTTATTTATATAAGCCATTAAAGTATCCATATGTTTAAAATTTAATTTGCAATCTTTTAATTCTAATTCCCTTATTGTATTAGGAAAACTAGATAATAATTCCTTAAATTAAATTGGATCATAAATATTGTTATTTAATTACATTTTCTAGATGCCTTATGATTATGTTGTTTTCATAGCTTCTGCATAAACTTTACAATCATCAATATTTCTCAGATATCTAGATGCATTTACTTGAATCAATTGATTTCCTTAAGTAGTCACTAATCCAAAGGTTTTTGGTACATAATTCTAAGCTAATCAATAAATGATAAGCATAATACAATTGTTTAACTTGAGATATATATTTTATGGAGATTATTAATAAACTTTAGCATATTCTGTTAATTTTTCTTTTTATCTAACGCACTTCATAAATTCTGTCGTTGTTAAATTTGGTAACTGTTTACTAGAATATACATATTTATCATACTTTCCTAATTTCATTTTTTCAAGAAAGTCATCATTATCACAAGACTTTAAATTAATAGAGGATCTTCTATCATTAAATTGTGATTGATTAATTTTGTCTATTTTTGTAGAAGACATGAAAATTTATGAATGTTAAGATTAAATTGAACTTCTTCTTATTTTCTCTGTAGTTTCATTGAATTCTTTGATTAAATCAGCATCTTTTTACATGAATGATTTCCAATCTTAAACTTAAGTAACACCAAGATCATATGATAATTGTTTTTCTTAACTTCTTGAATCACTTCTTTTGTCTTTTTCAATTATCAAAGGTTCTAATTTAGAGAGTTTTCTTGAAAGAATCACTTATTATTTTGTTTTGTATTATGATGGACTTGCAGTAAGAAACATTACACTTTTGGAATCAATTGATCCTAAGGTAGTGTCATCCATTATGATTGGTTTAAACTTATTATACATTTATAAAAGCTATTATGTTTAATAATATCATAGAAATCAAAAATAAAAGTAAATTATCATAATAATTTTCAATTTATCTACTATCTCAATATCTATTATTTATATAGAATTACTATCAATCAAGATTATTCTATATCAAAATATAATTATAACATCATAATACAATTTAAAAAATAAAACAATAATTATATAAATGGAATAAAAGGATTAGTTACCATTCAAAACATTCTAATTACTATAAATTTAATGTTAAATAAGTAAGAAATTCTTGAGTGGAAATATATAATTAAAATAATAATTCATAGGAAAAGATTTTGAAATAACTTCATTAAGTTTATAAATAAATGGAAATGATCCAGATACACATTTTATTATTGAATTATAAAATGATACTGAAAATAAATTCTTATATTATGGAGATTTAATAGCAATTAAACATTTTAAGACTCAATTATATATAAATGTGAATCATGATTAAAGAAGTGATCATTCAAAAGAAGCTGATGTTTGTTTGATGGAATAACCTGAATATTTTGTTATACAACCTCCAGAATAAGATAATACTTCACTACTTAAATATTTAAATAAAACAATCACACATCCTTTTCGTTTATTGTCTTCTGATAATAGAAAATATTTAATTTCTCAATTATACAAAAATGATAATACATTTTAAATTAAATCTAAATAAAAATTGAATGCTAATAATCAAACAGAAGGAGTTTGGAATTTTGTATATATAAATTCTACTAATAATATATTGAAAATGTTTAATAGAGTATATAATCTACCAATCTATGTAGAGAGTGGGAGAAAAGTAATTATAAGAAATTTGTGGACTGGATTTACTTTACATTCACATAACAATATTACTTAATTAAGAAAAGCATAAGAAGTCACTTGTTTTAGTCATCCAAGAGATGGTAAACAATTTAAATTAATATATAGATAATGATTATTGGTCAATTGTTAAATAACAATCTAGAAACACTTCTAAATATATTAATTGTGATGATTAAATTTTTCTATAACATTTAAAAACTGCTCTATATCTAAATGGTTCAGATCAAGAATCATATTCAAAATTAGGTTAACTTGTTTTTTGTAGTGATGAACCTTAATTATTTTATACTTAATGTAAATTTACTATATTATTATAGCATTTGATGATTTTATTTTAGAAATGAATAAACCATTTACTATTAAATTTAATAATTATTTCTTGGCTCAAAGTTCATCAGCAGCTGAAAGTAAGATAGGAATTTAATAAGAATGTATATTTGTTAAGAATTAGACTCAAAAATGTTTATGGATTATCGAAAAAATGATTTGATTTATATTTTTAAAGACTTTTTTAGAAATTATATTATTTTATTTAACAAGAAAATTTGATTAATGATTGTCATTTTGATCCTTATTCATCATCTGACTAAAATACATCACAAAATTGATATGGTTATTTCTCGACCATTTATTCTTATTTCACCTTCACTTTTGTTTATTTCTTCACTTATAATAATTCTTATTCAGATTCATCATCATAATCAACAGTATTTCTATGATGAGTTGAAATCTGAACATAATGTACTTGCAATTTCTCTGATATTTATCTATATGAAAAGCCTAATGAATTAAGATGTTCAACCAACAACCAAAACTCCTGTTTTTGATACGTATATGGTGAACTTCTTCTTCCAACAAGCTTCTATGGAGGAGGAGGATTTAAGTCTTTTTAAATAAATACTCGAAATATGGCATCAATATTTGTTTAAACTTTTTATTGAACAACCTCAAATCATATATATTCTTACTTAATCTTAAATCAATTTTTCAATCATCATTTATAAGGAATTATACATCCTATAAAAGTCTATAGGTTTAATATCATTTGTATTAACATTTTTTATGTCAAATGGGAATTCTCCATTTTCTGGTTTGGGAATGAATAAGGGGCGGGTTTATTTTTTGCTCATATAAATATTTTATTATCATTTAATTAAGATGTGGAGAAATTTCATTTATATATTATTTATATTCCATAAAAATAGTAAGAATATTAATAAGCCATTCAAAAATTAACTAGTTTAGATAAAGTATCTTTGTCTACATCATTCAATAAATATTTATTATTATTTATTTTTAAACCTAAGCAAGCAAAACATAATCGAAATTCTATAGTCTCTCTCATAAATATGATTATCCAATTATTAAAGGATACAAATTATATACAATAACTTTAATTGATAATGTATTATCTAGATCACATATTCATTAAATTCATATTGTTGATATAGATCTAAGATACTATAATAATTAATTTTATGTTTACTGATTTCAATTTTGAAGTAAGGCAATATTTCGAATTATATTTTAAATAATGTAAAACAAGCCTAGAGAAGTTTGACAAGAATATATGACTCGAGAAATGAGCCAAATTCTCTAAAATATCTATTATTGAAATGAACAATCCTGATATATAAGGAGTGTATTCTCACAACAATAGAGATAATAATGATGATATCTTTAGATTGTATAATTAAAGTAAGGATTTCTATTATTGAAGAGAATACGATTGATCTACTCTTTATAAATATATAATTCTATTCACCTTATTAGGTATTATTTAAAAATCATGAAATATTATTAAAATAAAATTTAATTATAGAGTGGATATTAAAAATGAATAGCAATTATAAAGCCAGCCAATCTAATATATTTTAAAATATCATTTTAATTTATCATTGAAATATATAGAATGAATTATAATCATAAATAAATACATCTATTAATTTTCATGTCATAACCATTGAAAAAAACAAATATTCTGGTTAGATAGACTTAATAATATTTTTAAGTTTGAAAAAAAGTTATCAAAATATAAATTCTTTATCATTTCCTTTATTATTATCAATAATCCATTTATGTTATAACATTTAATCAATAGTAATTCTGTTCTCAGGTTTTTGTTACAATCCTCTTCTAACAAAATCTTTAAGTGCAATAGAAAATGTTTGGGGTAAATCAAATTTATTCTATTATAAATATATTGTTATATACTTTTAATATATTTTCCATAATTGATTCATCATCTCTTGGATATTCAGAAAATGGAGTATTACCAGCAACAAGTTCATATGCAAGGATAGCCACTTACCAAGCATCACATCTTTCATCATATCCTTAATCTTTAATTACTTCTGGGGCAATATAATCAACAGTTCCACAAAAAGTATTTCTCCTGTCTTCTTTTGATGGAATTTCTCTAACACATCCTAAATCACAAAGTTTTACATAATTCTTAAAATATTAAATAGAAATACAAGAGATAATAATATATTCTCTGTCTTCAAATCTCTATGCATAAATCCTTATTTATGCATATATTAAATAGCTGATAATATTTGCATAATAAAAGTACTAGCATCTTTTTCATTAAATCTCTTATTAAGTTATTTGTATTAATGTTAAAATAATTCTCCATTATTACAAAATTCTAACATCATATAAATATTTGAATCATCATAAGTTTATCCATACATTTTGACAATATTTGGATGTGACAATTTAGATTGTATGACAATTTCTCTAGCTAATTGTTCTTGCATTGTATGTTCAATTACTGTTTATTTTTTTATGATTTTGAGTGCAAATATTAAACCTGTTCTTTTATCAATGGCCATATGAACATCACTGAATTTCCCTCTTCCTAAAAATGAACTAATTTTAAGATTTAGTTTCTATTCAATTGTCTAATATAAACTTAATGTTTATTTTTATTATGGAAATGGAGATGTAATTTTTTGTTAGATTGTATGAGAATCTTAGGATTTTCGGATGCTGGAATTATTAGTAAGTGTAATAATGCTAGTATTATTAATTGTTATGTTTTTAACTGGATTAGCTGCATATTTTAAATTTGTAAATGTATTTTGGCTTAAACTCTTACTGAGTTCTTATTTTGTTTGAACTTTAAAAGGTGAATTTAGTTTGCAATTAATATTCACTTTTTACAACTTCAATCTGGAAGAAAGACCAGCTGCAGTTGATGTAGATTCTTTGGATAAACGTTAATCTGGTAGTTTTTTAGTCAGATTCATACTAATACTATTTTTGAGTAAAACTAAATTTTCTTGGAGTATCTTAGATTTATCAATTAACTTATTCCAATTCATTTCCATTTATTCACGCTATTTCTTCACATTAGGTGATGGTTAACGTAAAGGTTAATGTTGATTACCTGGTTCTTCTATGGTGATATTGAGATCTTTAGATATTTTACGAAACGCTGTGTTGGTTTGAACAGATGGAACAATTTTCATTGTTGGTCCATAGACTATTTAAGAAGCTGGGTATTGTAGAAATTGTTTGTTTTCTGACCCATCTCTTGATTGCATAAGCTAAGTTAGATTATATTGAATACTTTATCTCTAGATGTTTATTATTGGGAAAACAAGATAGCTGATGTTGTGCCAAATTGATTTTAATATTTGATTTGGCTCTGGTTGGGTTGAAACATTAAGAAATTATATTATTTATATATTAATTCTAAATTTCTAGATAATAAAATTGTTATGTATGATAGTATATAATTGATATTTATAAATATTTAATGAAAAGACCATCTACAGCTGGGATGCCAAAACATAATCAATCACCTAAAGCCTTTAAGTTGAATTCAAAATTATCTGAAGAAAATCTATAATAGAAACAATTTCAACTATCCAAAACATTATCGAAATTACAATAAGAATAAAGAAATCTATAATAGCAAATGAATTACATAGAAGTACATTAACATATCCACAATCTAGCAAGAGAAATAAAAATCAAAAATAACATAAGATGAAAAATAAGGAAATTAAAGTTGGCTAGGAATAAAACTGAAAATCTAAATTAATTAACTAAATTCATAAATTGAAGAGAAACAAAGTCAAATCAAATAATTGTAAAAGAATCCTAATTTCACTCGAAGTTAAGAGCAAAATATTCTTATAGAATATCTAAATTATTGCTCATCATCATTAAAATAGTAAGAAAATTTAATGCCAAATGAAGTTGAAGATCTCAAAGTGGAGATTCAGGAATTAGAAATAACTAAGAAATTATTAGAAGAATAAAGTGAAAATCTTTCAATTTAAAAGAGTTTACTTGAGAAAAAGATTTCATAGCAATATTTAGAATTAGATTAGACTAAAAATGAGAAGAAAGAGAAAGAAAGAGATCTTCGATATTTAAAAAAAGAAATGATTAAATTTGAAGAAAAACAAAAAGAAACACAATAAAATTAAAAAGTAACAATTAAAAAAAAGGAAGTTATTGATATTGATGATAAAAAAGCAGAAATCATAGAAAAAGATTAGCAAATTAGTTAGTAAGAGTAGATAATTAATTAATTGAAAGAAAAACTATAGGAAAGAACAAATTATGAATTAAGAAGTAAAAATGCATTGATAGATGAACTATAAGGATTAAATCAATAAGTATAATAAATGAGAGAAGAATTGAAAGAATTAAATGAATATTATTTGGCAGAAATTCAACCTTTAGAAACTGAATCATTACCTATCATATAGGGTAATAGAGATCACACATTTACAATTTTACATGATGTCTATAATAAATAAGAAAAGAAATTCCCAAAGGCACCAAGGGTTAGGTATGAATAAGTTTAAGATATGGGAAAAGAATTGAGTTTAAGATTGCAACTAAAATAAATTACTGTAAATGAGGCATGTGCTATCTTAATATAACCTGCAATAAATAATTCAATCAGTGTAGAATAATTATAAGAATAATTACTTTAAGAACCATTTACAATGGCTGATCCTAATGAAGCCAAATTAATAGCTAGATTTATTGTAGAAGATGTTAATGATGAAATTGTTAGTTTGGATCCACAAGCAACTGTAAAATTACCAGTTGTGAAATCCGTTTTTAGACATCTTATTAATTGCTATGATTTATTAAATTAAGAATAAGATAAATAATTATGGGAAGAGGTCAGTGTTATTGTTAATAAGTATGAAACTGCATTGAGAAGTTAATTCGATTAATTAAATAAACAATAACATGGATTTATGAAACCTAAAGATTTGTTTTATTGTTTAGATTAATTATTTTTAGATTTAACAGATATTCAAAAAGAATATGTATTATTGAGACTCTTTGCCTATACAAATAACATTAATAAAATAATGCATATGAAAATATTTGATGTCTTTAAAGCAGGATCTTATATAGATAGAGTTTCAAAGGATACTAGAAAGAAGAAGAAATAAAGAACAACTACTAAGAAAATAGAAATTCAAAAGTAGGATATTGATGACTTTGATTGATGAATATAATAATAATAATATAATTTTTAATAAATGGATGAAGCAGTTGTTTTAAAATAGAAGAAATTGATTGCAGGAATGGTTATTGCAGGAAAATATAAATTATTAGAAAAGATAGGTGCAGGTTCATTCGGAATGGTGTTTAAGTCTTAGTTTTTAAAAAATGGAGATTTAGTAGCAGCAAAATTTGAAAAACGAGACGATTCCCAAAAAGGAGTCAGTTTATTAATAAGAGAAATTAAGGTTTTGTCTGAAGTTAATGGATTGAAAGGTTAGATTTACTATTAAGCTATAAAAAGGTTTTCCACAAATCAAGTTTTATGGAAGGGATGAAAATTATAATTTCTTTATGGAAACTTATTTTGGATTGAATTTAGAATAATTGCTAAGGAAATGTGGAAATAGATTCTCTCTTCATACTACATTGAGAATAGGTATATAGATTATCGAAAGATTGTATGTATCTTGTTTGATTTAGTTAGGTAAGCCTTTCATGAAAAGAATCTTATCCATCGTGATATTAAGCCAGAAAATTTTACTATCAGCAGATAAGATGCTACTTAAATTATGGCTATAGATTTTGGTTTAGCTAAATATTACAGAGACACAGCAGGCAAACATATTCCATTTGTGAATAATAAAGGATTGATTGGAACAGCCAGATATGCAAGCATTAATGCGTTATTAGGTTTGTTTCTTATTTGATAAGGCAATGAGTAGAGTAGAAGAGATGATATTGAAGCCATTGCATATGTACTAATATATTTTCATCTTGGAGAATTACCTTGGTAAAATATCTAAGTAACTTCAAAAGAAGAGAAATATAAACAGATATTAATATTAAAATAGAATAATGAATTAGATAAATATACTGATAAAATTCCTAAAGTAAAATTTCAATTAATTTATAGTGTTTGATGAAAATGCTTAAAATTTCTAAGTCTTATGAATTTAATCAAACACCTGATTACATGGGTTTGACAAAATTATTATAGGATGAATTAACAATTGATGGCAAAATGGATTGGGAACCTTTATTAGAAATTAATAATGATAAATTAAGTGTATCAATTGACATTGATGTAATTGAAAATGATAATTAATTTAATGATTTACAAGATGATTAACAATAAGAAGTTTTAAATTCTATGCAAAAGATTGCATAATAATAAACTAAATTTATTAATGGTAGATTAAATAATAGTAGAAATAATATCATTTTTTTAAAAGTTCCAAAGAATAGTATCGTTTTAAATGATGCTTAAAGTCCAGCTGGAACTATTAAATCATTTAATACTTCTAAACTTAATCATTATGGTGGTAGTAACATTAACTTTAATACATAAAAATAATTCAGTGATTTGAGAGTTAAGTCATGTGAAAACTTTTAATATAATGATGATGATAATTATGATGCAGATTCTGACGATTAACCTTGCATACTATTTAAAAATTTAGTTGTTGGTCGTTCTTCTTCTAAAATGTGAATTGATATATATATATTTATCAAATTGTACGCATTTTACAAATTATATAAACAAATATAATAATATTATTATAAGATTTTGATTGATGATATTTAAATCTCTTATAAATAAGTATTCCTATTTCTAATTTATTATAAGTAATTAAATAATTTCAATTATGAAATCTTAATAGTTGATAAACCTATGGATTGATAAATTATTATATAATTGAGATATATACTTTTTTTAATTAACATCTATTATAATTTATTAAATATCTTTAATAACATTGTATATAGATTAATATTATTATATACATCAACAACAACTTTTGTTTTCATCATTTTTTTTATCAGATTTTTCTTATGGTTGATGAAGCTTCTTAACACTTAAATCAGTTTAATTCAGAGCAGGTAATTTAGATTCATTATTGGCACCTCCATTAATATGATTCAAGAATACTAATTTAGCTGTTTCAGTGAATGCCTCATTATTTAAGTAGTCTATACCTCTTCAACATTTTCTCTTGTTTTTGAAGATGTTTCAAAAAAGAAATTAATACCATTTGTTTCCATCCAATATTTACCTTCCTCATATGATACTTCTCGTCTATTGGTATTAATAATGAAATATACTCTGATTCTCTATCATTTTAAGCACCTACTAAAACTGTAATAATAGATGGAGAGGAATGATCCTTAGCTTCTTTTAACCATGAATCGAGTCTTTCAAGAGATTATTTACTAAGAAATATGAATTTGAATATAATACTTGGTTATACTGTAGACTAAGAAAACTGCAGCAACTTTTCTATAAAATGATCTGACAACAGACCTAAAAGATTCTTGACCAGCAGTATCCCATATTTATAATTTCACTTAAGTATTTTAATCAACATTAACAATTTTAGATAAGAATTCTACTCCAATGGTAACATTGTACTCTGTAGTAAAATTATCTTTCATGTATCTCATTAATAAACATGATTTTCCAACTCCTTAAAAAACTATAGATTATTGTAAATTACCTGCATCTCCAATGATAATAAATTTGAACAAAGGTGATTTATCAAGTGAATTCATTTATAAATTTTATTAAGAAAATATTACAAAAAGGAAGGTATATAGAATGATAATTAAAATTTTATATAGTGAATAACTTGGAATAGGTTATTGTATTAAAGATGATTCAATAAACATTTTGATTAAAAGACACTGTGGTATAAAAATAAAGGGTCATTATTTTATAAGTTTATTTGAAATCTATTATCTCTTAAATTATAAGGAATGTATAGTATGTCAATATAATGAAGAATTAAAAGAGTAGTATGATTTTGATAAGTATCTTTGGATAAATGATCCTGTAGATTTTTTAAATATATTAAAACCAGATGTTAATAGATTATGTTCATATATGCAAATAAGAAATATGGATCATTATTTAAGATGTTAATTATCAATAGAATAAATGGAGAAAATAAATTAATAAATCAAAAATTTACCAAGAAAGAAAATAATTGAAGATGAATAATATTAAAATAGAAATTGTGAATTTTTACTTTATAAAGTTATAAGTGATTATAAAAATAATGTGAGAGGATTGAAATTATCATTAGTTTTATTTAAAGATTAAATAGATGAAGAAATAGTTAAAAATGCAGATATAATTGGTTTAATGGAAAATGGAGAAGTGAAATTAATTATGTTGGAAGATATGTGATCATTATTCTTTGATGTGATATTATGATTCTTTTTATAAAACATGTAATAGAGTTTTGAGACTCTCTACAATCTTATTTTTTGTATGTTCAGTTTCTTAGATTGTCTTTTCTAATTCTCTTTTTTCTGTGGCTGTTCTCATTATTGTTTCTATATTAATATTATTAAATATATATATATATACCATTAACACGATCTAATCTTTCTGAAAGTATTTCTAATTCTTTTTCAATACGTCTTCTTTCTTCTTCTTCTTCATAAATTTCACTCTTGAGTTCTTCTTTCTTTTCTCTTAAATCTTCCAATGTTCCAATTAATTCTGCTACCAAGTTTTAATAATTGGACATCTTAGAATTTGAATTTATATTATGTTATATATTAATAATTATTTAGATAAATAAATAATGTATATTTCATTACTATTGATTGGAATAGTAAAAGTGATGGCTGACAATTTTGGATTCATAGTATAATCAGGAGAATAGTAGTGTCTATAGGATCAATTATTGAAAGGATAGATGATGGCATTATAGATTATTGCTAACTCGACTGAGTTCGAGTTTATAGTGGAGGTACACACTTAATTCCCAATCGTGAAAGCAAGGCCAAAAAGACCCGTAGTAGATTGAGTCCCGTAAAAATGAGATCCTCATTAAGTACACTTTGACTATGTGGAGCAATGAATACCTGAAATATTGCTTTAGAGTATTTGGATCAAAAAACGCAAAGTTTGACATCACTTATAAGAAAGGGGATGAAACTGTAGATCGAGAGTAGATGGCCAATAAAGAAGATTTAGATTTAATTGATGGATATTTAAAACAATTAGATAGAGTTTATGCTTAAATGAAAGATTTGAATAGATTCTAAAAAGGTTCATAAGAGAACAATTAAGGTTTGGGAGAAACCATAGGATTATAGATGACTACCTTTACAATGTTAACTTTGTTAACTCTTTGTATATCTACATATGTTATGGTTAAACAAATCAAAGTGACAATAAGAAAATAAAAAGAAAAATGATATATTTTTAAATAAGTATGCTCCTGTTATTTATTTTCTTAATCGAAATCATAATTTGTGAGTTGATCTAAAAATGTGATGTTTCTGAACTCTGTGAAACAATGTAACATCCCATAGATGCTAGACTACATTTTACAATTCACTCACATTTAGAACCCTTTTAATCTTACACCTTTCATCAGTATTAAAAAGGAGTGTATAGTGATAAGTATTCCAAAACTATTTGTGTTGAGTGTATATATGAATAGATCATAGAATCAATGCAAAAATATCCAGAATTTACATATGTAATAGGGGAGATTTGTTATTTTAAAGAGTTTTATGAAAGTTAAAATGAAAGTCAATAAAATATTATCAAACAATTTATTTAATAAGGTAGGATAGAAATAGTAAATGGAGGTTGGGTATAAAATGATTAAGCAAGTTCAAACTATTAAGATATCATTGTATAATTGTAAATAGGCCATTAATGGGTTTATCATTTATTTAATTAATCAATATAAACTGCTTGGAATATAGATTCATTTGGACATTCATACACATAGAGTGGTCTCAATTATCTATTCAATATGAAATAATAAATTATAGAAAGAGTTGATGTAAATGATATCATATAAAGAGTAAAAAAAGGGAGATTAGAATTTATTTAGCATATTAAACCTTATGATTATTAAATTTTAACTCATTTAAGATTTAAGAGACATTCTTAAATTCATATTAATTAATCAAAACTTAGTGATAATACTTAATGTATTCAACTTTATAATTAACTAAAAGAATTTGAATAATTAATATATTACTAAAAATAAGGTGGTCTAGGTAATATATTATTTCATTATAGTGGTGATACATTTTAATTTATTAATGAAACAAATATAGAATCTTAAAATCTTATAATAGAATTCTATGAATTATTTCAATGTCGTCAATTAAAAATATTATGGTCTACTCCATCTTAATTTTTCAATGATTTGAAATCTTCTTAATCATTTACATAAATCTCACATAAATATTCTGATTTTCTACCACATTTTGAAGATGGTGTATATTTCAATGCTATGTATACAACTCACCCATAATTTAAAAGATTTCTAAGAACCATCTCTTATTAATTATAAGCTTTCCATCTATATACAATACAACATAAATTAATGTCTATTTCACTTTAAAAATTAACAGAACTTATTTCATTATCATAACATCATGATGGAATTTCAGCAACAGCTAGATATTAAGTTTTAGATGATTTGTAATAATAAATAGAAAATTAATTTGAAGATTTAAAATAAAAAATTAATAATTATTCACATAATAAATTTGAATTAATTGGTTAATTAAAACATACCTATAAATAAACAAAAAGAATTATTTTAGATTGTTCACAAAATTCTAAATGTGTTTTAGAATATTTTATAAAAAATAGAAGATTGAAATCTGTTATTGTTTTAATCTATAATCCTTAACATACTTAAACTAAAATTATAGAATTAGAAGTTCCCTCTAGAAATGTATAAATTTTATCTTAAGATTTAATACTTATACCACAATAAGAAGTTAAAGTTAACAATGAAACAAATATTTTGACATTCTAAACTCATCTTAATGGATATAGTGAATAATAATTTGTTTTAAATTTTGATTGTTCAATTGAATGTGCCCCTATTAATGAATTTTAATTACATTTAGATTTAAGTGAATAAATTAAATAATTAGAAAAATAATTTTCATATGGTGAACCTATTGAAACTATTAGTTGGACTGAAATTATTTAGAATGTCACTTTAGAAATATAAAGATAAGGAATAGATTATGAATTTATATTCACTCATCTCAATCATTCCTTTTCTATCAAATACAATTATTATCCTAATTCAAAATCTTAATCTGAAAAATAGATAATCAAATCCCCTGGAAAATCAGTATTAATGAGTGATTTCAATAATGGAGGACTCATATGTGAATTTGAAAAGATGTATACATTAAAATAAAATACTTTTTTCTAAGAAGTAATACTTTAATGTGGTAAAATCTATACACTTAGTCTTCTCTTTATTCAAGATGGAATTGAATTAAGAACTTCAATGTATGCAAATACACTTACAATGGGAGATTACACAATGATGATAACATTTTAGAATATTACTCAAGATTCTAATTTTTATACTGATTCAAATGGTTTATATCCCATATAGAGAGAACGATTCAAAAGAGAAGATTATGAACCAATATGTTAAGAAAATGATTAAATCAATTGTAATGTTTATCCATTTACAGCCTATGCATTATTATAATCAAATAATTTAGTGGCTTCTATCATCACAGATAGATCATAAGGAGTCTTTAATTTAAATTCTCAAACTATTGAAATTATTATAGAACATCTAGCTGGAGATGATGGAGTAGGTGAAGCTTGTGCAAAAAGAAATAATCATTTATTTAGACATTTCATTTAATTTAATCCTTAATGTCTTAGATGTAAATGGAATGAATTTATGTTTACTAATGAATTCATTCGATTAAGTAACGAATTCTCTTCCTTTTAATATAAATAAATTATCCATTCAAGATAACTTAGATTATAATTTCATAGAACTAATTTTGATCAAATTTTATTATATGCTGAAAATCTTTAAGAAACTTTTGATAATTCCTCATTACAAAATAATACAATTACCATAAATACAACTTTAATTGAGAATATATTATCAATTGAGAACATCACCTTGTAAGACACATACTTAAATGGAATTCCATAATAATAAACAGAACCTTCATTGATTCTCTTACCTTTGGAAATAAGAACATATATTGTAAACCAATGATATTCTATTCATGTTGTCTATAAAAATTTATTAATTCTATATAAGTATATTCTAATACAAAAAAAATAATCTAATATAATAAAAATATTAGTAATCAAATTTGTTTTTAAGATTAATAAATTTATCTACTAATTTTATAATACACATATAAATATCAATATTTATTTTCCTGTCATTTTGGCAATTCCTTTTATAACTTCTCTCTTTATTTTTTCTTATCCATAATAACTTTAAATAAAGCTCCTACTATCAATATAGATCCTAAAACACTTAAATAAGATATATGAGCCCCTCTAAGTATATCAAATATATATCCATATAAGATTTATGTTTAACCCAACATAGACATTTCAGTTAAATCTCCCTTCATATATGCACGATTAAGAAAGATTTATTACAAATAAGAAACTAAACCAAGTAATAGTAATAAAATAGCCTCAATTAAAGATGGATTTCTCCAAATAAGGGTTGGATCAATTATGCAAACTATTGATGAAATAATTAAAGAAGTGATTCCAAAATATTATGGTATTACTAATTGATTTACCTAAAAATAATAATTGATAATTATACTTTATTTGATAAATTATTAATTAATACCTAAACTAATGAAAAGAAGAAAGCAGAAAATAATAATAAAATGCATCCAAAAAATTATGTTTCAGAATTTTTAATAATATTAACACTTTAACCAAGAAGTGTTTTTAAAAAGGGAGGCTGAGTTATAAAAATTATCCCTATAAAACCTACTATTAAATTTGTAAATAATTTCCATGATAAAGTTTCAGTTTTTAGATAATATATGGCTATTAATGTTGTCCAAAAAGGGGATGTTTATAAAAGTACTTATGCTTCAGCAATATTAACATATCTAAGACCAGTGTAAAAAAGTAGAGTTGCAAAACATCCAATAATACTTCTTTAAAATAATTTGATATAGACATCTCTTTAAAATCCATAGAGATCCACTTTTGAAATATTTGCTATAACTTACCCCAATAAACACATAACTATTCCTCTAACATAAACAATTTAATTAGCATTCATACCAACTGTTTTTCCAAGAAGAGAATTTATTGAAATAAGAAATGTTCCAATCAAGATGTAAATGATTGGTGCAGCTCTATTCCACTTATTTTCAATTACCTTAGCACATTCTTAGGTTTTAAGAATAATTAATTCCATTTTAAATACTAAATTCTGAAAAATAATGAAAGAAATTTAATAATTTTTCATATCCATTAAATATTATTTTATATTTTCTTCTTGATAACTATAATGATCTCTAATATTAATATATATATAAATTATTATAATTATAATTCTTTTAAACATATAAAATCTTCAATATTTTAAAATAGCATAGTAATATTTCCAGTATTTAATCAAAAGAAATTATCTTTAGTAATGTCAAATAAATTACAAAACATAATTCTTTTAATTTTCTTTATATAAAATATATAAGTTAACAATTAATGATTTCTTACTTTATTTTAATGTTGTATAATAATGTTTTAGTCAAATATTATTATAATTAGAATTATACTTCGGTTAATTTGGAATATTTAGTACAAATATTATTTATTATATTCACATATAATTAAGTGCTTAAAACTAAAATATAACAAATTTAGCATTAAACAAGTAAGTCATGGCAATCAAAATAGTTTTTGGTAAAATCTTATCATTGGATAATAATACACTAACTACGAACTATTTAATTAATTAATTTATATTATATGAGCTCTGATTATGAAAGTGATTCTGAACATTAAGAGTTTGTTTCAAACTTTTTTAATCTCGTTTAAGATATTAATAAATGTAGTCTTTATTAATCATATAAAAGATTGCCAAGTTCAGGCATAGAGAAATAGAACTGCTAAATTCATAAAAAATGCTAAAGCGCGAAGAAGTAATTATTGTTAAACTAATTAATTTTAGAAGCTGGATAAATAAATTTCAAAATGCCATAAAGTCTTGATTAAAATGTATCAGAAATAGTTTCCTTCAATAAAAACTAAGCAGAGAAATTAGTTAAACCAATGAGAAATTAAACAAAAAATTTAGAGAATTCATAAGTTGAACCTTTTATTTGCAACGTCCATTAAATACTTAGGTAAATATATTATGAATTAATCAAGAGATATAAAATTGAAATAATAGATCTTAAGAAATGTTTAAAAATAAGTTTATTTGAATTTAATCGATCATCATAATAAAAAGCCATCTAAATTGTAACTAAGAACAAGCTGCTTACATGTGTAAATTCATATCATATTATAACTCTAGATATTTAGCAGAAAAAATATATGCTGATAAAATAAAAGATGCTGCCATTAACCAAACAGTTCATGAAACTCCTAATATAGTAATCCCTTTGTTCAAAAATATCATGCAGACTAGAAAAGGAAGCATGGATTGAATATAAAGTTTTGATTTACTTGTTCTTTTTAAATTTGTTTTAAGAATAAAAATAAATCTGTTTAAATTGTTAAATTTAAATTTAATTAAGTGTGAATATAGTAGTATTAGATATCTAAAAACTCAATATCAATCAAATACTAATCGCTTTATTTCTAACATTGTTCAATTCAATTAATTTTAAACTCAATTTATTAACATAATTAAGAAATTCATTACTAAATACTCTTTTTCAATTTAGATAATATAATTATAGAATTTCTCTCAACCTTTATACTTTATTTTATTTTCTAAATTGTAAAAAGACCATAATAAAAAAAATTTAATTATAATACATATATTGGTTATTAATTTACTTCTTTTTTTATTAATTTTTACCTCATACTCAAATTTTATAAATGATTGCATCTATAAATAATTCTTTTTTTATTTCTTCATTCTTTTTAATTATGAAAAGAAATGAAAATATATTAAATTTAATAGATATTAATGAAAAACATTTTCAACTTTACTAAATAATGAAATTTTTATAGGTACTACTAAACTATAAGGCAAATCCAACTCTGAAAAATTAATGTATCATTTTTTCAGTTGCCCAAACAAGATTTTATTTTTTCAGCATCAATCGTTAATAATTTTTATATCTAATTATGTTAATTATAGCTAATTGATTATAAATAAGGTTTATTTAATAGTTGAACATCAATTATTTGATTTCTTAAGGATTATTATTATTCTTAAAATGTAATAATAAAACAATCTTGATGAAATAAGCTTAAAAATTAGATAAAGAAAATAAACCTTAAGTTAAATAAGAGAAGTGCTAGTTCATGATAAATATTTTGAGGAAGCTGTGTCTATTTCAAAGAATGTCGATATTTTAATATCTAGAGGAAAAATAGATGTAGATATATTTTTGAAGAAAATAATAATATTTGGAATGCTTATTAGTATAAAATCATGAAAATTAGAGCTTAATCACTTGAAATTAGAAATAATTAAGACAAAATAAATGCAATAGGGGATTATTGTAAAATGTTGAGAGATGCAAATTTAGTGAAGCTAACACAAAAAGAAGAGATGAAAGCTTTGATATAATAAGGACTACCAGATGTTCGTTTAAAGCTTTTAAATGATATGCAATTGATTTATAATGGAATGATATTTCCTTAGAATCTTAGTTTTAAAAGCGTTACTAACAAAATATGTCTTATAATCGATATTATTTACAATTCATTTGCTGGTAAGTAGATTGTTAATATAAGATTCTATTTACTTGGGTCAAGATTATATAGATAAAATGGATAAGAGTGATTAGATTTTATATAGTATGGTGATTGTACCAATTTAAAATTATATTGAATAACTTGTTAGCATTCAATTTGAAGAAGAAACAGTATGAAGAATCTATATTTGTTAGAAACATTTGTTGAGCTTAAATGGGATTTGTGTGAACATTGACTTAGATCAATGAATGATTTTTTATTAATATTGTTTCCAGCAGAGTGTTGTATATCTATATATATTTAATTTCTAATTAACATGTTCAATAAATAGCCTTTCTATTTACATACATCAAGATTTTAAAGACAATCCCAAAGAGCAAATGTTTTACCATCAGTGGCTTAATATTTATAGAAAGTTAGAACTCCTGAAAAAAACATTCCAAAATAAAAAGAATCTCCATCATACAGAATTAAAAGCAATCCTAAAATAAATTAATAAAGATAAGCATCATCATCAAGTCCAACAAGAGAAAAACCTTAACTTAAATATAATTCTTTTCATTCTTAATAAATAAGACAAAAAAGAAAACTATAAGAAATGGTTAATGATTCTTAAGCTATATCGAGAAAATAAAAAACAGAAACTGCATTAGAAAATTAAGTCTAAAGTCCTAAAAAAAATGTTTTATAGGAATCTTAAGAGATTATGTTAAAATTACAAAAAAATGCAGCAGTTAGAAGAGTTAAAACTGAAGAATGTGATAGAGAAGATCATTTGAATTCTATTAGAGGAACAGTTTAAAGATAAAATAAAAATTAAAAATTTGAAAACTAGAACCTCTTAGATTTATTATTGCTATCTACAATAGAATTGAAACATCATTTTGAACAAACTAGAACAGCCAGATAAATTATGCCAACTAAAGCTAAAGTGGCTAGATTAAGCATCAAACAATTTCCAAAAGATTTCTTTTGTTGAAATACTACTTTTTATGATAATATTGGAATAAATTATAAAATCAAATTGCTTTGAGTTCTTACATAAAATCTGATATTATTGTATCAAACTAATGATTATTTTCATCAGATTTAATATTCTTAATTAGATTATAATATTTGATCAATAATCTATCTATTGAATTAATCTCATTAAATGCATTATCAATAAATTTTTTTATTAAAATTTAAGGACTAAAACAATTAATTTAATATTCAAGAATGATATTATTTTTATTATCTTAATCTAATTTTTGAAATAACTAGTAAAATTTTAAAACCTTTGTATCTTTTCTAACAAATTTGTTCAACTTTTAAGATTAATTCATTTCTCCTATAAAGAAAAAAAAAGAACAGGAGTCAATAATACTCATTATTAAATTCATAAGGAAAGTCTGAGTATCTAAATCTTATACTAAAAATTGTTTGTAAATTAATAGTATTGATTATTAATTAATTGATTTATATATAATCTTAAAATTTTGATCCTCATAAAGTAATATCCAATGATCTAATAAAATACTCTGATGTTTGAATTTAACCTAAATTAAATTTTATGCTTCGAGATTTGCAATCATATCTGATGAAATTTATTGTGGCTTCATTCCAATAAATGAATTTCTAACAAATGTTGCATACTTTTTTTAATATAGACTATCTTCTTCATTGTGTAAATTATCATTAGAGCTTTGATCTTGATCAAATTATGTTCTATTTTAATCATTCATCTTAAACTCTTTAGAAGAAGCTGTATTAATAATAAATTTATATATATATATATTAGCAAAATTAATGATCAAGCATTAATAATAATTTTCTTCTTAGCCAATTCAGCCTTATATTTATCTGGAATTGATTTATCATTAAGATCCTTTAACTTATGATCTTTAATGGTCTCTAAAAGCCTTTTTTCTTAATTCAATTTATCCTTTATTTTCTTACCTTCCTCAAGTCTTTTATTAAAATATTATAAAAATACTTATCTCTTTCCTCCTACTTCTTTCTCTCTTCATTCTAAATAATTTATTTTCTAAGTTCTTCTGCATGTTTCTTTCTTAATGCTTCTTTATCTTATAAGATTTTAATCTCATTTTCTCTTTCTTATTTTTATTTCTAAATAACCCTTTAGAATTCATCTCTTTCTAATTTAGCCTATTTATAATAATAATAAAGAATTTACTTATTCTTAATATCTCTCTTATTTCTCTTTTTATTATAATTTTCTAGCTTCCATAACTTCATAATTTAATTTCATCTTCAACTCTTATTCTTTTCTTTCTTTCTCTCTAGCCTATCTTTCATTTTATTCCATAGCTCTTTTAGCTCTTAATAAATCTAATTCAGCTGCTCTATCTTAAGCCTTTTCCTACATTTCTCTTAATCTCTACACCTCTCTTTCTTTCTCTTCTTTAATTCTCTTTTACTCTTCTAATAGTTCTGCTTCCTTTTACATCTTTTATAAATTATATTATAATATTTTTTCCTCTTCCTCCCTCTCTTCTTATATTCTTTTCTCTTTAATCAAAATAGCTTTATGATTGGCCTCTAGAATCTCATCTTGTACTTTAGCTTGATGAGTTTTTCTTAGCTAAGCTTTTTGAGCTTCTTCTTATTATAATTATTTTATTTATTTAAGCATAATCTATCCTTCTCTTTCTTATTCTTCCTTTTCTTTTAATCTTATTAATTCTCTTTCTTTAATTTATTCAATAATGATTTCATGTCCATTTTTTAATTATTGTTTTTACTTCTAATCTTTTTCTTCATGATATTTAATTGCTCTAAGTCTTTCTATTTCCATCATTAAATCCTTGCGTTTTTCTTGCATTTTATACTGATCATATAACTCTTTTTTTTCTTACAATTATTTATCTCTGATTGTTACACATTTAGCATACATTACCATTTTATTCATTTCTTTTACATCATCAATTTATTCATTGATTATTTCCTATGCCTAATAATATAAATATTTTAATTAACTCTTGATATTAAGGAATCTTTGGCAAATTTATCTTCCTGCTCTTATTAACTCAAAGGAATAGATTTCTTCTTCTCTTCTTCAATCTATAACATTCTTTATTTTTTTGCTTAAGCAGCTGCCAACTGTTTCTCTTTCTATTCTTCCATTAACTTTTTGTGTTATAATTACTCCTCTTTTGTTGTTATAACTGATAGATTCTATTTTAATCTCTTTTATATACCTTTATTCTCTTTAATTCAGACTCTGTCAATACTATCATGTCAGATTAAGAAAGATCTCCTTTAAAATAACTTTTTGTCATTTTCTATCTCTTCGATTGATTATTGGATGTAACTACACTCTGTTTTGTGGATAACTCAAAAAATTTATTACTCTATTACCATTTGATGACTGGCTATATGAAATACACTAAAAAAAATAAAATTTAATATTTTAATGGACAAGCAGATACGTTTAAATTAAGAACAGATCTTGCAATGTATTAGAAATCATAGAGATTTAAATGAAATCTTATCAAAATAGAAAGACCATAGTTCATAAGAATTATTTGATGAAATTGAGAGAGTTACCAACAATATGTCTAATGAAAGTAAGGAGAGTTAAGAAAGCAAGTCAAATAGTGATACAATCGATAGGGCTATTAAAATGTTTGCAGGTAAATTCAATATATAAGTTAAATTCTCTAGAACCTAAAGTGATCCTTTATAAGAAAGAAAATAGTCTAGGCTCTGATCAAATAATGGAATAGATATCCCAAGTCTTCAACAACAAATCATTTGATTAGAAAGTGGGCTCAAATCTTTCTACTGAGATTTCTAATGAACCTTGTTTATAATTAGGCTCATCCCGTCAATCTTTGTTAACTAGTGGCTCAGAAACAGAAAGGAGAAAAAGAAAGACTATTTCTGAGGAGGAATCTCATTATTTTGTTGTTAGACTTGAGGATGTCATTAATTATTCAGATGAAAGAACTACAATAATGATCAAGAACATACCTAATAAATACACAGTATAAATGTTATAAGATTTAATTGACCTTAAACATCATGATTCATATGATTTTTTATATCTCCCTATAGATTTCAAGGTAATTATAACTTAAATACTAAATATAGAATAAGTGTAATATGGGTTATGCATTCATAAATTTTATCCATCCACTTTACATAGTGTAATTTTATAAAGACTTTCATGATAATGGCTGGCCACATTTCAATAGTGAAAAAGTAATCTTTTTTATTTATTTAGATATGTGAATTAAGATATGCCAGAATCTAAGGGCGTCAAGCCTTAGTGTAACATTTTTAATTTTCAAGTGTCATGAATCAAAAAGTAAACCTATATAAAATTTTAGGATAAAAAATTAAAGCCAGTAATTGTACCATAAAGCGAATTATCCAGAATTCATTAATTAATACAAGTAAATCACTCTTTAATTTTAAGCGACAAAAGTAATGAAATAAATGATATAATTTTTAACATTTTTTGGTGTTTTTATGCATATTAACTTATACTTATACTTATACTTATATTTTTTCTAAATTATTTGATTTAAATTATTTTTAAATATCTATTTATTTTAGAAATAACAGAACTTAATATTATATATGAATAAATAAAATATTCATATTCAAAATAATTAATAAATCTTTATATATATTAGAGATATATTTTAAAATAATTGATGATAGAATCATTTTTTTTTTGGTTATTATTTAAGACCTCCTTCTGGATTAATGATTACTTCAATTTCTATTGGCACAAATTCACCTATTGAATTTGTTGATTTATTAGAAATAACTAATATAAAGGAAATCAATACCATAATAATATTTGCCAGGTGGAAAATCTTCAGGGTATTCTAAATTTTCGATTCTAACCATTCCTTCTTTTGTTTCTACAATCAAAGATTCGTTATCTCCTTCAACATACAATTTAACAGATAAATCTATTTGATCTGGTTCAGGTTGTTTTTTTGCTTATTTTTTAGCATCTTTCTTTTTAACAGGCTATTGAGCTTATTATTCTTCTAATTGTTTTTATGCTTCAATTTCTGCTTTCAAACGAGCTACTTCTTCTCTTCTCACAGCTAATTTTTCTCTATAATCAATTCTAAATAACTTATCTCCTTATTCAGTTTTTTAAACTTTAATAAAATTCATATATATTACTCATCTTTAATTCTAAAAGTCTTCCAGATTCCTATTTGATGTGAATTGGAGGAGCAGGTATCATTCTCTTTGCCCCAAAATCAGGCATTGGTGGTGGATTTTTTTATTTTTTAGCTTCTTTTTACCAATTTTTAACCATTTCATCAATTTCTTATTAAGTAGGTTAAACTGGATCCTCAATATCAGGTCCTTAATAAACTAATTAGAGTTCAAAATTGATAGTTTTCCCTGACTTTAATTCATGAACTAAAACTTAAGTTAAATCAATAACAGGTTCTCCCTTCTTGGCTTTTGGATCTATAGGTTCTTCTGGTTATGGATCTAATTTAAAATTAAGTTTATTAGCTTGCACTAATAATATATAATTTTAAATCTATACATGTAGGATTATCTTAAAGAAATTCACCAGCATAATAATATGGATTCTCTCCTTTCTTGACTAAAATACCTGGACCATGTTTTTTATCATCCAAGAATTCTCCTTCATAATCTTCTAATTTGCTTTCATACTTTCCTTTTCCTGATCTTTTACCTCTATCAAATTCTCCAATATAATTATATTCTTCAGAATAATAATTGCAATGTCCATGAGGTTTATGTTATAAAAAAGTTCCTTCAATTCTGTAAATAGGTGTTTACAAAATTCCACTTCCTTACATACAATTGAAGGACCATTATCCTTCATATGTCATATTTGCTGATGAAAAAACCCCTTATCCATGTTTCTCTCCTTAATGAAACTCCCCTACATACATTGATCCATTTGCGTAATGAAATTCTCCATGACCTTCAATTTCTCCCTTTTCAAAATTTCCTTAATAATAACTGCCATCTTTCATCTTCAAAATTCCTTAACCTTGTTTAATTCCATTTTCCCATTATCCTTCATAAGTAAAAAATGAATTTTCATATATATATGTTCCAAATCCATGTCTAACCTTATTTAAAGGTTGAAATTCTCCTTTGTATCTCTAAATTATAGTTTTAATTTGTGTACGTCTTTTTATATTTAATTAGTTGATGCCATTCAAATATTTATAAAAATATTAATCATAAGAATTAACTGAATGAAAGTATACATTAAATAAAATAATAATCAAAATGGATAGAGAATGCAAATAAATAAATAAATGTATTTAAGTGATAAAAAATTGAAATTCAATTCTTATCTTAACCTTTAGGTCTCTTATAGGGAACCCAATGAATACAATCTTTTTTAACAGGAAGACCTGGTCTACCTGCTTTAGAATATATGAGATCTAAATAGGCCATATCCATGCAAATGAGAGGCTAGGATTATTAATATTTTATCAAATGTTTCTATTCTAATGTCCACCAAGCATCTGTATCCTTGATTCCAGTCTCTTTAGTTAATCCTGCAATAGTAATTTCTCCATCTTTATTCTTTTTCAAATAATCAATGATAGATTATGTCCACCATGAAAGATAACTTTCTCTACCTAAATCAGATAGTGGTCTTTCAGGGGTTCCATATTTTCCTTCAATTAATGATAATTGATAACTCATTGATATAAGGAACTTACCATAACCTTTCCTTTAATGAAATGGGAATGTTAAAATACAACTTAAATTCCATCCTTGAGAAGATTCTTTTTCCTTACTAAAATATCCAACTATATGAAATCCAGTTTCATTATATTCAGTGAGTACAAAAAATAAAAAAGGTTCTACATCATAATAAAGATTTTTATGATCTAAAAACAATTTAGCAATATAACAGAGATTTTCACAATAAGTTGGATTTTTATGACCATCTATTTCAAACATTGACAGTCTTCTTTCTGTATCTCTATACATTTCATCTCCAGGAGGATGACCTAATTTACATAAAACGCATTTCAATTGATGTCTCTATAATTCAGATTTCCTTATGTAAAAAGACAAACAAAATTCACAAATGAAAAGACAATCTATATTATGATATCCTGAAGGGAATGGAGAATAATACCAAGTATCACAACGATATTATCCAAATTCAATTTTCTCAATAGTTTTAAATTTAGTATGCATTTCATGAGTTATTAGACTTTGATGATCCATTCCTTCATGTTCATCATTTTCTGCTGTCACTTCTCTTTTATCACTTGGTCTAGGTCTCTTCTTAGGTTATGTATCTTCAATTATTGGTTCCTCTGTTAATTAAATACGTTCTCTTCCTATCCATTCATCCATTCTTCGATTATAAAATTCATAATGCACATAATATTCATAAGATGAATCAACTTTCTTTTATTTTGGATCATAATCTAAATTATTATAAATCCAAAATACCTTTTGATAATCTACATTCAATAATCTTTGCCTTTTCCCACTTTCCATTTTTCATTTGAGCAAGCACATAATTTGAATTGTCAAGAGCACCTTCATGTATTTTTGTAGATGAGGTTGGTACTGCATTAGGCAATGTTGCAAATGCCTTGGCCTTATTTTTACCTTTAGCAGACATTTTCACAATTTCACAATTTTATGATAAATTTATTAATGAATTTAATTTCAATATTTCATAAAATATAATAATAATCATAAAAATATACTTAGAAATATTATTTAATCTTATCTCAAATTAGCTAACTTTTGTAATTAATAGATTATTTAGTTCTATATATTAATAATTAAGCAAATTAGTTTATTAACAACAATATATTATGATTAATAATTCCATAAAAAATTAAATTATAGAATAGACACAAAATTCAACCATAAATTTATTGAAATATAAGAGGATATTATAGAAAAATTGTAATTCAAAATCATGTTTGAAAAATAGTAATATATTATCAGGATTTATCAGAAGATTTTAATTAAATATTAATACAATAAGGTAAACTTATAATGTTGAGATTATATTTATTAATCTAAGATATGGCAATTTATGATGTAATTAATCATTTTATAAATGAGAATTACAAAAATGAATTCAAGATGGATGAGGAAGCTAATCTATTGATTAATTATTCATCATTAATTTTTAATGACACTAAAGCTATCAATAAAATAGAAATTACTTAATTTAACAATAATTAAATAAGAAATACATTCATATAGTTGAATTATAATAATTGTATAAAATGATAAAAAAGTTTATTCATTCATTTTTTAATAATTCTATTGAAATACCTTTCTTCTAATTTAAATCAGAAGGTATTATTGTAGATTAGCATCTGAATTTCAATATTAGGAATGACTTTTTATTTTATATCAGAAGGGTTTTAAATAATAATGAAGTTCATAAATCATTAATTAACTAATCCTCATGAATTCAAAATTAGTATGAACATATTTTATTAACTTATTCTTATCTATATTATCTAATAAGAATGATCATATTCTTGAACTAAATTAATTTTTAAAATATATCTTTAATGATAAGGGATATATTATTAATTATTATTTTCAACATCCTTTTTTAATAAAACTTGAAAATTATTGTAAATCCATATTGATTTTACTTAATTGCTGCTAAAAACATATATATAATATGATTTTATTATATCTTATGTGAATTAATTTAGAATATTATTATTAAATTATATTTTATCCTTTAATTATACACTTAGTCTGATAGTAATATAAAGATATGGATAAAGTATATTTATTGAAATAATAATTAAGCATGACTAATTCTTATTATGTTTTTGAATTATTTAGAAGACTGATTATGATCAAATCATAAATACAAAATTAAGTATTATTAATTATTTACATTATTCGAAATTTGAATTTTCTGATATCTTATGATTTTTATTATTTTTTACTTAACAATGAATCTTATGTCAATAAAGGGTAAAAATATGTAAAGAAATAACTTATTTGATAGTTATAATAATTTCAGCAAAAAACAGAAGTAAGTTAAGAAAAACAAATATATATTAAAAAATCATTAAAAATAATTTTAAATTCTCTCCTCATAATAAAAGTGAAATGAGAAATTTTCTTCTGTAAGCCAAAATCTTTTACATTCAACAGTTCCTTACTATAAAAGGATTATGGAGAAAGTCTTTTGAATTATCTCTGGTGTTACTAATTATGGAAAATATTTAGTTATTTTCATTGATAACTCAATCAATAAATGTACTCAACAACGCAAATTATTTCAAGCCAATTCATTCAATATTTAATTTATTTCGGTTTTTAATTCATGATATATAAATTTTAGGCTTTATTCAATTATTGGTGAATATATTGAAGTGCATATTGTGTATATGCTTATAGGATTTGTGCTGACCCTTTGTACATTTATGTTTTTTATGAATTTAATTGGAAACACAGGCATTATTATAAAAAAGAATTAATAAATGTTTGAAATGCCTCTTGAACTTGTAAAATATCATCTTGAATATTTTAGAATTAAACAAAATAAATTGAAAAAAATAGGAAAATAAAAAAATTCATTTCTATATACTTGCAAATATATCAACCAATAATTAGAATTCCACTCTAATATTCACATTTTCATATTCTATCATATTATTCAATGACAAGTATAATTTGTTTTTATTAGATTAACCTACTTAGTTCATTCTTTTTGTTACTACTGTGAGTGTTTTTTCGATCACACTATAAATAATCTTTAGTTTTTTTATTGATCTACATAGTTTTGAATTCAAAATGAAAAAATAAGATTTTTTAGGAACATTTAATACATAAAAGGTTCATATTATATTTGCTTTTCAAACTTTACTAATAATTCTTTTAGGTTTAGAAGTTTAATCCATCATAATTTAAGTATTTTACATTATTTTTTTGTTTGCTAATATAATTATGAGTTACAATTAACTTATATTTGTAGAAATTCAATTTTCAAGATTATAATTACATATATCATCCTATATTTTGATATATGAAATTACATTATTGATTGCATAATATAGAAATATAGGATTTGATTTAAATCTTATAGAATTGATGTTATTTGAATATCCTTTACTTTCTTTTATTTTAAAAATAATAATAGAGAGATAGAAATTAAAGTCGTTGAAATTTTCATCATCATAATCTTTAGAAAAATAACTTAGAGTAATTTATTATTTATTTAAAAAATAAATTAAATTAAAGAAGGAATAAAGATCTTTAGATCCATTAGAAGCATTAGCTATGTATTCATTTATAACAAATCATTTACGATATTGTTCATTAAATAGAGAAAGAAAATTATAAAAACAAATAAAGATGAAATTTAAATGCTTTTGTGAAGAATTTGCTGATAGAGATAATTTTAAATTTGATTCAATTGATGAAATGAAAGTATTTGCAAAAGAATTGATAGCTTAAACTTTAGAGGATGAAATTCTAGAAACTTAAGATACTTATTTAGCTTTAATATATATTTACTTTTTAGTTTAAGTTAAGAAATTACCTACATAAGCAATTTATGAAGTGATTCGACTTTCATTGTCAACTTAAGTAAAATATTAATTATAATAAAGGAAATGGCTTTGAAAGAAAAAGCAATTATATATAAATTAAAATATGATGCATTAGAAGAATTTGATAGTTTAGTAAAGAAAAATGATTTAAAAAATTAGAAATATGTTTTCAAGAGAGTTTATTAATATGAAGAATCATTATCAGTGATTAAATAGAATATTATATTTATTGCTCGTCAATTTAAGGTAAAATAATGATAATATATATAGGAATGGTATGGATTAATTTTAACATCAATTATTGATATTGATTAATTAGTAATAATAGGATTTAATATATTAAAGAATATATCATTTGTAGAAACTTAATTATAAAATGCATTTTAAATAAATCCACTTTCAAATGAATGTGATGCTTTGTATAATGTATTTTCAAAATATCTATAATTTAATAAAACTAGACCAAAATTATATAGATAAGAAGGAAAATTAGTTCAATAATTTATGCATTCTATTGAGAAGACAATATTTGATCCAGGAAGTTGTGTTATACAAATAACATTATTACAACCAAGAGGAAATGTATTAAGATATACAAGATCATTCTAATAAGCTATAGGATTTAAAGATGAAGAAATAAAAGATTAAAATATTCATAGATTTATGCCATAAATAATAGCAGATGATCATGATAAATATTTGGATAATTTTGTAGAGAGAGGGAGAATTATTGTTGTTAGATCTGAAGTTAGAGTAATATTAGGAAAAAATAAGGGATAATTTTTGATACCTATAAATACAAGATTGAGAATAGAGACTAGTCCAACAGAGTTTGGAGCTACAGCTTTAATTACACCAGTTAATTTAACATTTGGATATATGATGTTAAATGAGAAAGGATAAATAGAAGAAATAACATAAAATATATTTGAAGAAATGTTTTAAAAGAATTTAGGAATATAAATAGGACAATTAAGAAATTTAGATTGTTTATTTTTTATTCCTGATTTGGCTAAGATTTGGGATGAAATTTATGATGAAAATTTTGAGAAATTAGATAGAAAATTTGAATGTTAATTTATTATACCTATAATATCTTAATGTAGGAGTATGTCATAATCTTAAATTTCAAAGGGGATATCTAAAAATTATATTTAAAAATAGATATATAGGAATTTTGAGAATTAACCAACAGATAATGCTATCTATTAAGTTACATTACATGTTGTAAGTTTAGTAACTATAAATTTGAAGTATTATTATATTTATAATTTATTAGATTAGTAATATTAGAATTGCAAGATTTTAGATTGCTCCCTAATTAAAAAATTACTAGTAAATAGATAATATAATTAAGAGGGAGAACATCATAGTAATTCAATATTTCGTAATTTTAAAATTCTACTAGTTATAGAGAATAAATAAGTGTACAAAATTCCCCTTGGGTAATAGATTGTGATTTAGAATATGATCTCTTATAAGAAGAATAAAGAATGATTGATGAAGTTAAACATCAATTAGCCACTGTTAACATCACAAATACTACAAATCATTAACAAATTTAATTAATTTAATATGCTTAAGATGATGAATATTTACTTCCAGAATAATAATTATAACAATAAGATGAATAAATAATTACATCTGTTGTTAAATTAGATGATATTTAAAAATAAGGGAAATTATAAAATTAAAATAATATGTCTATTGGAAGTAGATCTTCATAAAATAATCAAACATCTCTTAAAAGATAAATGAAAGATTGCATAAGTGATTAGACAATTATTCATAAGAAATTGGCTATTATTTTAATATTATTTTATAGCACAATAATAAGTTGTTATGTTGTAAATTTTTTAGTTTTTTAAAATAATTATGAAAAAGTTTAACTAAATTAACTTAATTAAAATTTACCATATCAATTATCATACTTTTATAACGAATTTATTATTTCACATTATTACAAAAATAATTCAAATATTTTCTAATTTTAAGAACTGTAATAAATATGTTTAGATTTCTTTTAATAAGAAATTAAAAATATTGATAATACATTATAAAATATACCAGAAATATCAAATTTATTAAGTAAACCTTTAAAATAGAAGATTGTCGATATGATTCAATAGATGGCTAATTTAATGTAAGAAAATACTATTGTAATTGAATCTGAGTATTTAAACAATACTAAGGATTTCTAATTAATTGTTGAAGTCTTGTATTAAGCTGATACAACTTAGAATATAACAAATATTTAGTATATGTAAATTAATTATATTATTTATGACTATGTTTTATAGAGTAATCGCTGAAGAAATTGCGCTCGTCTTATTTATATCGTGGTATGCCTATAAGTGTATAGAAATTATTTAGATGAAAACTAAAGTATATAAACTATTTAGTACTTTTACAACTGATGTAATCTAAGAGTAGTATATAATATTTTCTACATTATATTCATTAATGAATTCTTCTAAATTTAGGAGAGGTGAAACTAATGAAGATAGCTTTGATTCTATCATAAATTAAGCCTTCATGAGATAAAACAGTCATGCATTATTGGAAAAATATTAGAAAGTAGGAAAAAGAATTAAATAACTAAGTAATTATATTATTATTATTATTTATTTATAGAGAATAATTCAATACAAATAATCTTTTTCTTGTTTGTTTTGATATTGATAATTGTTTGTTCTATTTATTTTGTTGGTAGCTATATTTTGCATAATGATACAATCAATACCATAATTACAGAGTTTAATGATAAAATCATATTTTCCTAAGCATATCATGAATTAACTTAAGCCTTTGCTTAAACAGTTGTATTTATAAATACAAACATTACTGAAGTTTAAATAAATATATAAAATTCAACTGTTATTAAACTTACAGAATTAAAAAAAAGATTATAACTTTATTAATAAGATCAAATAATCTATAATATACTTACAAAGGCTGCTTGTGACATTTTTAATTACTCATTGTAAATATAAACATAATGATATATAAGGTCTGGTTTTTAGGCTTATGATGATCTATTTTCCTATGATTAATGTACAAGCTATTCAATTCTAATGAGAGGATTGAGTGTGACATTTGCTGACTTATGTGATTAATAATTAAGATTTTTTCAAGATATTGTAGGTAATAGTTCAAAAGAATATTTAATATCCAATTATTACTAAGTTACTTCATAGATTGAAAGATTATATGACTCAATGGGATTTTTTGTTATTGTTTCTACATTAACTAATCAAATCTAAGAACAAATATAAAATAATATAGATATTAACATAATAATGGTAGCCTTTTCAGGACTCCTTATGACAATATCAATGATAATGATGGTATTGTCCATGAGAAAAGTGAGGCAATCCTATTAATAAAGCAAAAGATTATTAACTCTACTACCCTATGATAGACTAGTAGAAAATGCCTACATAATCAGCTTTATTTAATAAGATATTAAACTATAAAATTGATCCTATACAATATTTATCTTTTTTATTTGAAATAATAAATCAATATTTTCTTGTTATTAAATATTCAATATTTCTAGCAATTTAAGGTTCCCACTTATCACCATTTTCAAGAAGCTTAAATTTATCATAAAATAAATCCTCATGTTGATATGTTGTGTATTCATAATTAGGTCCCTTGATTTAAATAATTAATTAATACTTCAACAATTGCATCGACAGGACAAGCTTCCTAACAAAATCCACAATAAATGCATTTAGTCATATCAATATCATAACGTACTGTACGTCTAATAAGATATCAAAAATTAAATATACACCTAGAATTATCTGGTCTTGGTTCTGTTTCTATTGTAATTGCTCTGGCTGGACAAGCACTTTAACACAATTTGCAAGCAATACATCTATTTTATATTTTTAAGAAAATTACCTTTCTTCACCTGTAGGATATCTTCTTAATGCATGTTCTCCTCTAAAAAGTGGTGAAAGTGGACCTTTTTCATATGGATAATTAATTGTCCATTCAGGCTCAAAACAATACAATACACCGCAAAACCAAAAGTGATATAAATATTCTGGTTATGTAAAATTTTAATATGCAGTTTCCCAAACATCAGTCCAATCCAATTCATCAGGCATAAATTTACCTAATTAATATTATAATAGTTAATACCTTAGTAGTAATGCATTTACACATTATTTTCTTGATCCTTATCAAAATCAAGAATGCTTGAATTAAACTAAGGAGTAGCAAATTTATTATTAGGATCTTAGCTATTAGCAACATGATAATTGACAGAATTTTTGATATAAACTATGATTTCTTCTATTAACAATTACCACAAAAACTAGCTTGTCTTGCCTTTAAAAGCAATTTAGTCAACATTTATTATAATTAATATATATAGTTTAAGAATTAATTTTAAAATTTTATTTTATAATCTTATAATAATCAATGATATTGTAAATTTATTTGTATAGTTTTTATTTTTGATTATTGTGTTTCTTCAAAATAAATTTAATATAAATAACATATTTAATTATTAAATAATAAAGATTTATAAGAAACTAATAAAGATTTCAAAGTTAAGAATATTTATTTAGAATTCATACTTATGATAAATATTAAACATTATCAAAATTTATGTTTTTATACATTCTAAGTTAAACAAAACAGAAAAAAAATAATTAAATAATATTCATTTACATTTTGTCCAGATTATAAATATACAAAAAGTACTTATTTTACATCCATACAAAACTATAAAAATATCAAAAGATAAATTTTTGATTTTAATATTCATAATTAGGATAAAAATATTATATATAAATATTATAATTAATTATCTTTCAGATATAATAAATCTAAGTTCTTATAAAGATTATCAATCAATTATTATTATCTATTTAAATATCAATAATAATCTTCATGATTCATCATAAAATATCAATTATGCGTTTTATTATAATTCTAATATTAAATAATAAATTATTCTTTAAAATCCCTTCACCTTTTTGTAAATGCAAGATTTCCTAGACTATTCTGGAATATAATAAAATGAAAAAAGTCTGTTGTTAGATATTTCTGCTATTCCTTTTATTGAAGAGAAATTTACTGATGATTTAATAAATTAACAACTAATATTACTAAGATCTCAAGACATTATAAAAGAACCAAATAATGATAAATAATTAACTAATGCAGCTATTTAACTAAAGAAGAAAGTAATAGCTTCATTAGAAAAATATTCATAATTGCTCATTTGTAAGGATAACTCTATAAGATAAGTTATTAAGTAGGATTTAATATTAATCAATTAAGAATATCAAGTATTATTAAATATGGTAGATCAAAGTGAAAAAGTATCAGATGAAGTTTATTAGATAATTAAATTGTTAGGAGAATTTATGGAATAAATGACTATTAAATCAAATGAGAAAAAGGATATATTATATTCAAAGACATTATCTGATTAATAATAAATTTACAAAAATCAATCAGAATCATAATAAACAAATTCATATGAAAGTTTTTAAAAATAAAGATCATTACCAATTAAATTATATTAAAAATAAAACAATAATTCTTTTGAATCAGATGAAAGCACTATAATTTCAAATTAGACTGTTAGTGCTATTAATAATAAAATATAAAAATTGATATCAATATTAAAATCTAATTAAGAATATTAAATTATGATAAATTTAGCTTAAGAAATACTAAATAATTCAGATAATAATGATACCTTTAGAAGATTAAGGTAGCTTTCAAAATAATATGAAGATCCTGATATCAAGAAATTAGTCAAAGTTTGTTATCTAAAATAATTAGCTTAAGAATAAAGCCAAACAAATACATCAAAAAGAGAATTTTATGATTTAGTAATAAAAATAAAAAGTCAAATACCAGAAAATAATAAAATCCATAAAATGATGATAAGTTCTTTATATGATGAAATCGTAAAGAAAGGAGTTCCAAATTCAGAATGGGAATCATATATGAAACAATTATACAATTGAAATATATACTTTTATGTATGAAACTTAAATGTTAATTACTATATATATATCATTTATCAGTTAAATATTGAATATATTTTTTTAATTCTAGATTTTCTGTTCTATATTCTGTTAATTACCTTTCAAATTATTATATTCTTTTAACAGCTTCATCATAATCTTAAGTTAATTAAGAACATAATATTTTTAAATTTTAATCTTCTTTATATTCTGTATCACATATCGATTAAGGATAAGAATTTTATTATTATTTAGTAGAAACTATATGATTTTTCAAAATTAGATCAACATTTTTAGCCTATTATTTATACTATAAAATTTATTTTGTTTATGTATTTAATTGAATAGTTAAATTATTATTTAGCATATCTCTCTCTTGTATAATTTGTTTATACTTCTAGATTTCTGATTCCATATGCTATATCTTTTAATTATATTATGATTTAAGTTCATTAAGTTCTAATCTTAGACTACTATTTTGAGAGATCTGATTTACTTCTTTTTCCATTATTGCATTATTAAAATCAACTAAAAGTGTTTAATGTGTTAATTCTAATTTAGCATAAGATTCTTAAAAGTCACTTAGTTTTTTTTAAAGCTATTTATTTTAATTTTCAATTTTCTCTAATTATTCTAAAGCTGATTCAAGTAATTTCTTCACATTTTCATATTTTTCATAATATATTTTAAATTATTCCACTTATTATTCTAATTTACAAATTTCTTATTCTTTTTTAGAATACTCCTTTTTCAAATTTTCTATTCTGGATAATTATAATTTCAATATTTTTTATTATTCAATATCCTGTCTATCCATATCCTCCAAATGTCGAAGATCAGTTATAATCTATGCTTTTATGATTTATAATTTTACATAGATTAGGTTTGTTATTTTACTTTGGATTATAATTCTTCATTTATTTTTAATTATTGCACAACTATAACGATAAAATAAATTAATTGAATTTCTTAAAAATATAATAATCTTTGAACACAAAATCTCATGCATTTTTATGCTTTTTTTTATTTGAAGTTTACTTTTTTTAAACTGGCTTATTCTATTTTTCAATTTCCATTTATGCAAGATAAGGAGGAACTTCTACTTTTCTATTTGGTATTGATTTAATCATTTTTGCTATTGATTATAATAGAGTATGCTCTAATATTAAGTAATATAATACTGCATTTAATTTATGGATTATATGGCTTTTTATCTTCAGCATAAAGACGAACTTTAATTCTACCTTATTAGAAAATATCCCTAGGATATCCTGCATGTTACTTAAATAAATTTATTGAGTACATCAATCACATGTCTCAATCCAAGTGAACTTAGACATTAAGATATCTCCATCATTTATGGATGAGGAACACAATTAGATTTTCCTAATCTTCTACCTATATTATAGATTTTATATCACTACCTTATGCTGTAGTTAATGTTGAATCAATATAAGGAGGATATATAGTTTTCCAAGTTTTCGATTCCACTTTGATTTATTCTGGGGTTTGCATAATTTAATGTCGTGTTCAATTAATAAATTAAAATTAATAATATACTAATAATAATAATTATTCATTATATAAATTATCATGATGAATTAGTGGCAAAACTAAAGTTTTTTACTCTATTAGTCCTATTATTTTCTTATTCATAATCTTAATCCTAAAAGATAGCCTAAAATGATAAAAAATAATAAAAACTTTTCCATTATATCCTAATTCATCCCCATCAAAATCTTATTGATCATCATCATCATGCATCTCTGAAAAATCAGTGATTGGAGGTTTATATTATCTTTTATAAACTTTATCCCAATCAATTCCTTTGAAAAATGGATCTTATTTTATTTCATCTTTTGATTTCGTTCCTATTCTTTTGTTTGGATCCCTTTCTAGCATTTTCTATTAATAGATAACATTTTATTACAGCTAATAGATTTTTGGCTTCAATAGACATTTTCTTTGGCCATTTCAAGGTTCCACTTTATATATTTTTATACATCTGTTGTATATCATCATTATAATATGGAGATTCACCAGTCATCATTTCATACATTACACATCCAATTCCATAGATATCACTAGGTTTACCTGCACCTTTTTGACTTAGAATATCAGGTGATAGATATGCAGGAGATCCACAAAAACTCTTTGCTTTATCTTAATCACTAACACCTTCTTTTGATAATCCAAAATCTGCTAATTTAACATGACCTTATATATCCAACAATATATTTTCAGGTTTCATATCTCTATAGATGATATCTTTAGTGTGTAAGTATTCAATAGCTAATAGGATTTCTGCAGCATAGAATCTAGCAGCTTCTTCAGAGAATTTTCCTTAATTTGCTATATGATAAGATAGGTCGCCTCCTTAACAATAATCTAAAACTAGGTATAAATAATTTGGAGTCTGATTTTATAAATTACAAATAAAATAATACTTAGAATGCAAAATGTAATCCAAGAATAAATGGATGTTTACACATTTTTAAAACATTAGCTTCAGTAATAGCATACTTAATTTATTTCTTCAAAATGAGAGTCTTTTTTTTGAGTGCTTTCATTGCAAATATACCACCATCTTCCTTATGTTTAACTAAAAACACTTTTCCAAATGCTCCTGATCCTAATTCTTTTATGATTTCAAATGATTCAAAATTCACTTTGCTATCTTTAAGTAATTCATTTTGACTCTCCATAATTGATGATTATAACTATTATTAAGATTAAGATATTGGTTTTGGTTATTCTATTTCTGAATTTCTGGGAGGACTTTGACTATATCTATGAACAGGTTCTGGATTTGATAATCTTTTTTAAATTAGAGATGCTTCATCTCTTGGTAAGGAGATAGATTATTCAGGTGATAATTATTTTGGAAATGGATCAGAAGATGGAGCTTTTGCATTAATATCTTCAATTAAAACTTCAGTATTTTTATCTATTAGATTTGGATCTAGTGTTCCTCTTTCATAATTATAATTATTTACTCTTTCATTTTTTCTTCTATATATTGATAATACACAGTAGCTTTATAGATGTACTCTACCCATTTTTTTGCTATATGTTCATGTTTACATGCTAAAATAATTCTAGTAGAATAAAGTAATTCAAAATAGTGATATCCTGATTTAGATATAAAACCCTTTTGAGTCATCAACACACTCCTTACACTTCTAAGAGGAATGATTTCTCTTAAATCTATTAATTTCATTATTGTTACAATGGTTTCAAAGGATAATCTGAAAAATTCTTAAATCTTATGAAAGTTCCTTCATCTGGATTTAATACAAAAAATCTTTCATTTAAGGTGACTAACATTTAACCTGTTTTATAAATGAACCCTTTTGCAATTGGTGGTCTAGGTGGAATAAAATCATCGGCATTTTTTAATTAATCTTTCATTTGATTACTTTTCTTCATCTATTCAATAGCTATTTTAGTTTCTTAATCACAATAATCATATGCTATTCTTTCAGTTTTATCTTATAATTTAAGATCAGCATTTTTTAAAAGTAAGAGTTCTATTATTTTTAATTAATTTGATTTGCATGCTAAATTTAATGCAATACCTTTATCTGTTATCAAATTCACATCAATTTAAGGATGATTCAATATTACTTTTACAATCTCAATATTATGTCGATGTACAGCTATTTATAATGGAGTCCATCCTTCATCAGTTACTTTGTTTATATCAATATCTTTAGAAATTAAGAATTCTACAATTAATTTATACTCCAGAAAAGTTGCAAAATGAATTGGATTCCATCCACCAAAAGAAGCTTGATTTAATAATTAAGGATTTATTTTTTAACAAAGTTATTGTAGCATTTCTAAATTTCCACTTTTCACTGTTTAAAATATTTTATCATCATAATCAGATTATATAGGTTCGACATTTGTATTTGATGATTTTTATTTTGATGAATTAGCTTCATCATCTGAGTTTTCACTTGTTTCAGAAACTTCTGATAATTTTTAAGGCTTTTCTCTTTAGTTTATGAATAATTTGTTCAAATATTTTTCAGTTTGTCTCTTTTATTCCTTTTATTTAGTATCTGACTCATTTTCTCTAACTTCAACTAAAATATTCTAATTTTCTTGTAATTCATAAAATTCTATTGGCCAACCTTCTACTATTTTTATCTAATATATTATGTAATTATTACAGAATACTAATCTCTTTTACACTTTATCACTAAATCCTAAACTAATCGTCCAACTTTCTAAGCAATAACAGAAATCAATTAATCTGATGTATCTTCATCATTAATTTCTATCTTAAATGTTTTTTTCTAACCAAAACCATAATATTACTATACAATGAGTCTCATTATATAATATATATAATTAAAACTATATAATTAAAACACTCTTAATTATATTTTAAAAAATTAAACAGTACTATTTAGTTCTTCCAGATTGTGAATAAACTAATTAGAATATTGGAATGCCATAAAATCATATTTATAAATACTTTTTATTTAAAGATTATATAATTAGATTTTGCAATCAATTAGTTTATTAATTATAATTATATTCAATTATTTGACAGTTATCATAAATTGGTTGTATTTAATGGATCACAATTTTACAAAATTTCAATAAATCCTTAAATAAATTATCTAATCCAACATGAATTTTTTTTAATTTCTTCTACTTGATCATTAAATGTATTTGTAAAGAAGTTTATATTTCTAATACTTGAATTTTAAAACAAGTGAATTTGTGCTTAAAGTGGATTAGATTCCTATATAATATAAATTAATTTTATTACAATATCATTAATAAGAGCAAAATCATCTTTTGTTAATTCATGAATTAATTATCTATCAAATATCATTTTATGATGTTAATAATTCTCAACTAGTTTTCTCACTATATTATCCACCAAATTATTTTCAATAAAATCATGTTAATTTTAAAAGTATTCTTTAACAATAAATTTATAGGTATGAACAAAGTTCTTAGAAAGTGATTTCATTACTACTTCTAAACCAACTTTAGTTTCTTCTGATATATTATTTAATTATAATTTATCTTCACAATTGCTATTCTTTTCTAAAAACAAATAAGTTGTATCTTCTGGATAATTAAGATATTCAAGAAGTCTTGAATTTTTATTCTAATATATATATATGAACATTATTTACTTTTAAATCTTTCTTGAGTTAAATTGAGTATTTTTTTTTATCCTAATGAGTATTTTAATCATATTTCATAAAACCTTTCCTTATTTTTGAGGCAGGTACTCCTGTAACAACTTTAGATATCATGTTTCCCATCTTACATAAATATATAATCATTTTCATTGAGATATCTCTACCAAACCATAAACTAGAAAGAGCCTCATTCATAAATTATAAATTCTATCTAGGATCATCTTTAATTTTTGTGCTTTTAGAAGGTCTTCCTGAACCCCAATTACTAATTTTTCTTTTTGCTAAAGGTTTTCTAATTTTTTAAAGTTAATTTTTCTTCAACATAATTTAATCATGTTAATCAGAATCAGAAGATTGATTAACTTTAAAAGATTATTTGTCATCAGTCGATGAAGAATTTTAATTTTAAGATTTAGATTGAAATCCCATATTTAATAAATAATAATCTATTAATGTATTTAATTCTAATTATATCGTTTGAACATCTACCATATAATTTTATTTACTCTGCACTTTAACATAGAAAATTGTATATATTTAATTTATTACTCATATTTAAATAACATTGCAGATAGATTCAAAATCAATAAAAATTACATCTTATCTATGTATTAATTTAAATAAAACATAATAAATATATAGTTAATTAAAGAATTACATAAATAACATTTTGGTCAATCCAATACCTTATATAATATATAAATTATATAAATTATTATATTTTTGTAGTACAAAGAATTTAGATTGGGATTGATGTATTTAAATTGAAGTACTTATTCATTATATTTTTTCTAATTAAATTTCAATCATATTAAATAATACAATTATTTTTGTTGCTTTATAAATCACTATTGTTAAAATTATATTTCATTTACGTTTGCATTTGAAACATTAAGAAAAAATATGGTTTAAAATTAAAGATTTGATAATTAAATTATTGTTTATAAACTCAAAAATAAAAATAGCATAATTCTTTAAGTAAAAAACTCTTTATATTGTACTTTAGAAAAAATAATCAAGGCTAAGAATAGTCATAAAAAAAGATGATTAATCAGAGATTTCAATTTCTCTCAAGATTTATTATTTTATATAGACTAATATTAATTAATATTTTTGGCGAAGGACAGTAGATAATAGTGTTCGATTTATCATGTTTCAATATATTCTCAGATTCAATGTCTAAAAATTTATTTTATAAAAAGTTTTTTTAATAAAAAATTATTGAGTCAAGACTGCTTAATCAATTATAATTTATTAATTAGTAGAAAAAATGTATAAATATTTGTTAAATTGAATCCAACATATAGAAAATTAAAGTAAATTAATTTTGGTTTTTATATATAGAATTGTTATATTTCTTAAAAATTTTGGTGGATTATTTTGAAGATATTTTGAGTGAACTTAAAATTGAAAAGGGATTTATATATAGATTTGTAAAATTTTATGATATTAATTTGGTTTATTTATTTCATGAAACTGCTAATTATTTTAATTAATTTTATATTATGAATAGATAATAATAGGAAGCTGCTCAAATTCGTATGATTTTATAATTGAGAATTTAGTACTTAAAAGAGTTCGTGATGCTTTATAAGCTAGGGGATCGAAGACAATTAGACAGTTGGGAGTCTGCTTTAGATGTCTTGATTCATATGATGGGAATAGAAAATTAGATAAAAATGAATTAAAGGTAGGTCTGGGTGAAAATGGAGTTTAATTGTCTTGGAATGAAATTGATGTAATCATATTTTTTTATTGTAGATCTTATTTGCTGCTATGGATAGAGATAGGAGTGGAACTATTGATTTTGATGAATTCTTAGTTTCTATAAGAGTAATAAATATTTATATTGTAGGGGTAATTGAATCCAACTAGAAAAGCTATAGTAGATCAGGCTTTCAGAAAATTTGATAAGACAGGAGATGGATACATTACAGCAGATGATTTAAAGTGAGATTTTTGAATATATTTTAGAGGTGTTTACAATACTAAATTACATCCAAAGGTTAAGAATGGTTAAATGACAGAACAGTAAGTGTTTGATGAATTCCTTGTTAATTTTGGAGATGTGGATAGAAATGGGTAATTGACATATTAGGAATGGTGTGATTATTATGCTGCAGTTTCAGCTTCAGTTGATAATGATGAACATTTTGTGTTAATAATGAAAATGGCTTGGAAATTATGACATCGATTTATCATAATATAATTTTTAGATTATTTTTATTATTCATTAAATCATTTAATCTTTTACTAATCAAGAAATGGAAGATACTGTACTAATGTACCTGAAAAAACATAGGTTTCAAAGATTTCTAGATTCAAAAGGCTCTAAGATGAGTATAATTGGGTGGTCTTTATGATACACAATCTCTTATTAATAAAATAGAAGAAAAATGTGACTTCCATTCACATATATAAATAGGGTTTTTTTACTATTAGAATACTTTAGAAGAGGCTTTTATTAATATTAACAGTTAATAATCGAATTTTAAAATCCTGTTTTCTGCAGGATTTTAAATTAAATTGATTTAATTTTATAAATGAATTCTAGAGACCCTCCTAGTAAAATATTGTTATTGATTATAACTTACTTACCTTAATCTTTCCCATTAACAAATGATTTTTTATTTGAAACTTTTAAATAATATGGGGAAGTCAAGAAAATATTAATTTTCGAAAGAGGAAAAACTAACAAAGCATTTGTAGAATACAATGAAGTTAAATAAGCTATTTAAGCAAGACGTAATATGATAGGAAAATCCCTCACTCCTTAAGGAGGCAAGTAACACTTTCAGTTATAATTATACCAGATTATTGATTCATTATTCTCGCTTAAAATAACTAGATCTAGAAGTGGTTGATCATACAAGAGGCTCTGAATATCACTCTGACGATGAAGAAACATAACCAGAATAGAAGTCTCCTTTATAATCAATGACTCTACCTAATTCAATACCAGTATCTCCTCCTTTAATCAAGCCTCAATCTATTGAATAGATATCGAATAATATTAATCAACACAAAGGAGTATTAAAAATTACTCAAGAATCCCCTACCAAAGCAATGTAAGTATTTTAGTTTATATTCTAGAATGGAAACTCAATTACGTCAATTAGAGAGAATATTAGATGACGATTATGAATAAGAAGTAGCCAAAATTTAATTGACTCAATTGAATTCCAATGATTTTGCTATTCAAGAATTATTAAATCAATAACCATCTAAATATTTAAAGGTTTCAAATCTAGATGAAAGAGTCACTCCAAGGATGTTGTACAATCTATTTAATAGATTTGGACATCTAGAAGCCTTATTGTTAAAAAAAAATATTCATTAATCAATTCTATAATTTGTAAATAAAGAGAATGCAATTATTGCTAAAGAATTACTTAATAATGTTGTCTTTTTTGGAAATGAGGTTGATATTTAATTTGATTATAATAGTTAAGAATATTATTCTAGAATGCTCAAAATATTCAATTGCAGCCTTGCAATCATAATGAAGAATATTATTAAGGAAGTCAAACTAAATTTAAAATCGTTCCTTTGACAAGAGTACTATAATTTTCTGGTATTACTTAATTATTAGAAATCCAAGATATGGTTAAATTAGTTGGTAAGATTTAAGGTAATCCTATTCTCATTTTTTAGAAATCAAATTAGATTCTTAAACTATTTAAATAACTATGGTAGATATCTATGAAGCATTAAAAGTGATCTCAGTCTTTTCGGAGTATGATTACAAAGGAAATAAAATTAGTTTGACTTTAAAATGACTATGTATATATATATATTGATTCAAAAAGTTTATAATTTATCACTATATAAATTTAAGATGAATCAACAAGAATATACAAATATGATCATTATGGCCTTCTAGGCTAAAGATAAGAAAACAAGAGATAAGGCAGAAGACTTATTGATTCAAACCTGCCAAAATGATATTAGATCTATTGATAGTTTATGTGAATTATCTTCTTAATAAAATGATTTACTTTTAGCTGAATACGCTGCTATTACAATAAAAACTGCTATTAAAAAATTCATAAGCAACACATGTAAGACAGTATCATATTGTAATTTAGAACCATATGCTGTTGAACTGAGATTACATCATGTTGATCTATTTGTTTAAATACTCACCAAATAAATACCTGATAAAATAAAAGTCAGTGTTCAATAAGCTCTATAGTAATTAGTTTGTTATGATAAATGTAAATTGATTTATATTATTCAACTTTAGAAAATCACTTCAAAACTCGTCTTAAGTAGCATGTCATATAGTCTATTGAAACAAAATTAGAAAATATGGTTGTGTCTGCATGTTATATAGCTGAGACTTTAAAATTAGATGATCAATTTGAATGGTTCTAATCAATTATCCAAATAGGTAAAATAATAGATAGTTTTTCTTAATCTACTAAAAATCTATGGGCTAAAGTTCTATTTAATTAATTAGATCGACATCTTAAAACTAATTAAATGAGAGGTATTCCAGAACCCATTTAATAATACTTTATATTTAATGAGGAATTATGTTAAGTACTCATTCTTAAAATTCAACAATTAACATTTGTAGGTGATAATATAGAATATTGTCATTTTATTGTAGCATCATAAAGATTGATTTATGGATCTATTTCTACATAATATAAAGATGCAATTATTGCAAAAAAGTGCCCATTTTAAGACATATTAGGTATTATGTGTGAAACATTTATATAAAGTCTTGTGACATTTACAATGTCATCTAATTTCTCTTATGAAAACCTCAATCAAAATCAATAAAATTTAATAAATGAAATAATTAAATTATTGGCAATTACAAGCAAAAGTGTTTCAGTTTATCATCTATTTGCTGAATTTCGAATGGCAATTTTTGTTGATATTATTATACCATTCTTTTCATCAAATTCAAAAGAAATTAATGATCTTAATGAAGATCCTAATGAATTTGTTTAATTAACTTAAGATCTATTGGATGAATAAAAATCAGATATTATTAAGTCATCTATAGCATAATTAATTATGTCTTATTGTTAACACATAGATGGATCCATATCCTTCTTTTCATCGTTCACAACTCTAGCTGCTTCATATTGCATTCAAAAACTATAGAAAATAGAAATAAGCCAATAATTAGGATTGATTATGGAATTTAGAGAACATTATTTTTTAAAATCTATGAATGTTCATATATTATTAGAAACTTCATTATTAATCTTATCAATTTTGAGCAATTATCTTATCTAAAGAAATGAAGTTGGATTACTTTTCAAATCATTTATTGCTGAATATGGTGATTACTTAATTAATTATTCAATACGTACATAAATTATAAATAATTTAAGCTCTTGTTAAAGCTAGATTATGTACCTTTATTGGATAATTTTGTAGATCAATTCTGAATGAGAAAGATGACCTCTCTTATTAATTACTTAATTTTTTAATGAATTAAATTAAATCTGCAAAAAGTGAATTATATTCTAATTGTTATTGTGCAATAGAAGCTATCAAAAATATTATCGAAGAACCCCATCTAGAAAAACTTTTGGAACCAAATATAGGATAGATTTTACTTGTATTATGTGAATCTTTAATATAAAGTGATTTTGAAGGCCATTTTGACACTATTAAATAGATTTTCAAGTATATTTATTATGATTGTATAAAATTAGAACATTTTAAATAGAACCTTCTGTATTAGATTAAGCATTAGGTTTAATAGTTTTGAAAATATAAAAAGAGTAGGAATGTGTTGGATAAGGATAAACAGAAAGATAAATTTTTATCAATTAAACATGGAATATACTTAAATCTTTACCTGAGATAGAGAATATCATTCCTATACATTTTAATCTTTTAGAAAAAAGAGTATCTGTTTTATATTAATATATAATAAGTAATTAATAATATATTTATATATTAGATCCAAATATTATTGATTTTGATGAAGATATTGTATACTTTATATCTTAGTTAATATTTAAAACTAAATTTATTAGTGATTATTAAGCTGAAATGTTCTTTTAATGTAAAAAAGTGATAGAAAAATAAAGATTCATCCTTGGATAATTATTTGAACTTTTTAATTATTATATTTATTATGGAAAGTCTTTATTTTCAAATATTAATGCTTAGGAATTTGTATACATCTTATATCTTAATTTAGTTAATTTAAATGTTGGAAACTGTGTTTAATAATCCAAAAATTGGTGAAGCTTCATAAGGTGAAGCTATTTTACTATTACATTTATTACTTTAAGAATATTAATTAAATAAAGAAGTTTTAACATATATTTATACAAAAATCTTATAAAGATCATAATTGTTAGTAAAAAATGATTTTTTGAGAGCTAGATTAATGGGAATATATATTTCAGGGTTTATTAAGAATTGTACTTTAACATTAGAATGGATAGAATAATAATAAGGATTTATTTATGATCATATAATTGATTCAAGTAAATATTGCTTACCTGATTATGACAGTTAACTCTATTTGTTTGGATTTTGTTAATTATTAATTTAGAATCCTAGATACTTAAATTTAGCATTGCTTAAAAAATTTGTAGAAGTTTTAAAAAATTAATATAATCATGATTTAAAAAAGGCTAAAGATGATAATGATGATAATGAAGATATGTTTGTATTTAATGATGAATTAGAGGATGCAAAAATAATTATGGAAACTTTTTAATCAAATATTACTAAACATAATGAATTTGAGTAATTTCATCTTACATATTAACATGTGAGAAAAACTATCAATATATCAGAATTAATATAGAATGATTCTCTTTTAAAAAAAGATCTTGATGATATGTTGAAAATCAATAAAATTAATTAAGAAGCTAGAATAATTTTAAAATTAAAAAAAAGAAAAGAAACTTGAAAATTATATTGTTAATAAATATATTCAACTAAATTTATACTTAATTTAATATTGAAAATATCATTTTTCATATATATATATATAATCATTCTTAAGCTGCCGAGAAACCATTAAAATCACCATTTGTTTCTATAAAATGTGATGAAGGTGTTTCATATATTCTTTTACCAAATTAATCTTTCTTCACTTGAGGCTATATAAATTATCAAATATTTAAATTTACATAAACATGAGTATTTTCTAATATAGGAGATGGGATATCTAAATTATAAAGTTAAGTCCAATTTATATCACAAAAGAAATTGTGATCTTTTATTTCTTATATATTTTTTGAACCAAGTCTTTATGTTGGATCTTTATTTAATAATCTATCCACAATATCTTTAGATTAATCACTCATGAAATTTGGATATGTAATCTATCCATTTTTAATATTATTTTCTATAGATTTATGGTTTCCTGAAGTATCACAAAACGGAGTATAACCAACTAACATCTCATATATTAGAATTCCTAAACACCAAAAGTCAACCATATGATTATGACCTTAATTAAATAAAATTTCTGGAGCCAAATATTCAGGTGTTCCTGCAAGCTATTTATTAGTAATATTTAATACAGTAAAGAATTTTGCTTCTTCATTTTCATATTATTTAGATAGACCAAAATCAGCCAATTTTAAATGTCCTTCTTCAGTGACCATTACATTTTCTGGTTTCAAATCTCTATATATTACTCTTAGAATATTATGCATATATTCCAAACCTAATATTATTTCAGCTGCACAAAATTTAGTTTATTCTTCTGTGAATCTACCTTATTATCTTTTTCTTAATACTTTAGCTAATTAACCACCCTTAATAAATCTTAACTTCATTAAAATATATTTTACTCCATCACTAAATAAAGCTTTTGTTCTGTTTAAAATGAGTATTTCAATTTTACAACAAATGGATTCTTACTTGCACCTAAAACATTCTTTTCCAACATTGTATGTTCTACAAGTCCATATTTTAAGATATCAGCTTTTTTAATAACCTTCATTGCATATTCCCTATTATCTTTTCCTTTCATTTTTACTCTCAAAACTTTACCAAATTTACCCTAACATTTCAATCAATAATAATAATTACTCTTCCTATTTCACCTTAACTTAAAAAATCTTTCAAAGTCACCTTTGATTTTTCATTCCTTTTCTCAATTTATTAAGCAAGAAAACTATCTACTTTTTTAATTGAAGATTTCTGATTCTTTTCTTCCTCCTGTAAAAAGCAATTTCCCATTCAGAATTTAAATATTATTTTTTATATTATCAATTATATTCTTACTTTCCTTAATAATTAATTAGCAACACTATTTTATTAAATTGACATATAACTGAATGAATAATGTGTATATATCATCTCTATTATACCATTAAAGCAGTTGGTCTCTATAATCAAATATTCTCTAGAAATGACTATAAATATAACGATTATACTCTAAAATTTTTAGTAACTTAAGTTAAACTTAGTCTAATTTATTTAGAAAGAAGTAATTTATGACTTTTTTATTAATGTAGAATTATTATTAGAAATTTTATAAGATTGGAAATTGAGGAATATTATAACATTAGATCTTCTAATGATAATGATTAATTTATTAGAATTAAAAACATTTATATATTTAAAATTCCTATCTTTTTTATATTATACTTATTATATTAACTAATCATATCTAGATATTCTCATTCAAATTCTATTTTATTTAATAATATTTCAATATTTTTTGTATATTATTCGATTTCTTTATTTTATTGTGTTACTACTTATTTTAAGTTTGCTTCTATCAATACTTTTATTTAATCATTTTCTGATGTAATCTTCTATTGCTCTTGTTTCATTTATTGTATTAATAGATAATCTTATTATTCTTTTTTTACTTCTGCTTATAAATCTTATAATTTATTTTGTAAATCTATTAAGGATTGTAAACTATATTAATTTGATGAATTGTTTTTTTCAGATTCTGCCAATTTCTATGATTATAATTGCTCTTTATTTTACTGTAATTTTTACAAGGCTAAATTTTCTTATAGGATTTTATTTGATGCTGTAAATATTTAATCATTTGATTTTTCAAAATTTTTATCTTCTTGTATTAAAGCTTTTTCAGATTCTTTTATTTATTCAAGAACTCTCAAAAAACTATCATAATCTTAATATAATTATTTATAAATCTTCCCTATTTTGAATGTTTCAATTTATAATTCCTTCTAACATTTATCAACTTCAATTTACAGAGCTTCTACTCTTCTTAAACTATCATTTACTTTTTTTTCTAAATTTTTTGGATCTTTAACAATCATACTATAAATATAATTAATTGAATTACCTTTCTAATATTGATAATTCATTTTAAGCTACTTACAATTTCTCAATTAAATTTTTAAACTTTTTTTCAGCATCCTTCTATTCATTTTAATTTTATGAAATAGAATTTTATAATTTTAAATTTAAATTTCTTTTAGCTAATAAATCTGATTCAGCTTTATGTTTCATTTATTTATATTACTCAAATTTTTTATGTTTTAAATCCATGTCCTTATATTTCATTTATATCAAATCTTCAAGTTCACTTTTTTATTTTCTATTGTTTTATAAATCAATATCTTCAAGTTAAATCTAATATAATAATGATTTAATTACAATTTCCTTGTCTCTTTTTTCCCATTTTTAAGTTTAATCTCTTTTCCATATACTATATTTACATAATAATGTAAGTATATGTTTCATTCTTTTTTAGTCAGGATCTGTTAAATCCATCATTTAAAAATCTACTACTCCAACTGTCTTACACATTAGTTTGCATCTGTAAAATAATTACAATGTTAAGTTTTCTAAAGTAAAATTATCATCAAAATTTATTAAATCACAAAACTAACATAAAAATATATGTAATTACTTTTTCATATATCATAACTAATTAGCTATGATCAGGATTAAAGTTGTTATCAATAGAATTATAAATTTGAAGATCTTTTAACATTTGAACCAATTCTTAGTTAGAATTCATATTTATAAATAATTATAAATTAATTTTAACATATATTATACTATTTTAATTGAATTTACTAAATTTTAGGATATAATTATATTTATCAAAATATCAAATAAGTTGTAATATTTCAAAGAGTTCTTTTATTATTAATGGTTTAGTTAACACATCACTCATTCCAGAGTTTAAACACATATTAATATCATTCTTACTATTAAATGCAGTTAATCCAATAATATGAATTTATGGTATTTAATGTTAATCCATCATTAATCTTAATTATTTAGTACATTATAATCCATTCATTATTGGCATTTAATAATCCATTAAAATTAATAAAAATAAACTACAATTTAAGTTACATTTTGGTGTATCTTTAACTATCTAAATAGCTTCTTGCCCATTAAATGCCTTTTAAATATAATATTAAATAATACCAAAAGAATTTCAAAACCTTATTATGATAATAAGAATTGAATTGATTTTTAATTAAAAATTTCATCATCAACAGACAATATTCTCTTACAATTACATTTTTTCTTCTTCATTATTGCTTTCAAATGTTATTCACTATCTAGTTCTTCTTAAAGTTTTACTTATTTATAACTTACGATTTTTGCTTAAGGATGATTACTTTTTGGGGATAAATCTTACTTAGCTAATTTAATTCTTTGATGACCTGTTTCTGAAAATAAAAATGGTTATAGATGATGCATTTCAGATATTTATAAATCTTAATCTAAGTTAATTATACTATCAGAAAAAATTGAATTTTCATTTGATTTTAAAGATTTTAGAGTTACTTTTTTAACAAATGGAGTATTAATATTAACTTTTCGATTAGAAACAAATAAATCACTAATTTAAATAAGTGTTCCATTTAATGATAAATGATGATATGAACCTGATAGATTACTTTATCTAAGTTTACTGTTAAGTCTTATTGGTTTATCTTTATAATGAACACTTGATGATTACCGAATTAATTTATGATTCTAAATATAGAATGTCACTTTGGTTCCTAATCCTTATCCTGCAGATCTGATTAATAATGATTTATAATCTGCAGGACATAATTTTGATAATAACATTGATGAGATTAGTAAACCAAATCCATGCCAAGATTAATATTAAGAAAAGTTTTATTTTTATTCAACATCTAAAAGCATTTTATGTATTTTAATTAATCTATCTTAATCTATTCCAAATCCTTCATCTTTAACTGTAACCTTTAAGAAATTCTATGAATATGTTGACAATTTAAGTAAAATATATCCAGAATTTGAATATTTAATAGAATTCTATAGAACATTTACTATAATTTAGACTAATCTCTAAAAGTCTGTAGAAATACTATTTAATTAATTTTCCAATAAATCAACATACAAAATTAATTTTTTCATTTCTATAACAGATTTAAATAATTTATTAATTTCATCTACTAAATCCATAATTAAAAAATCTTTAATATCCAATTCTAAATTATCAGCACATAATGAACTAAAATCAATAATATCATTAATTAAATAAGATTGTAATCTTAAGGCATTAATAGCTGGTTAAATGAAGTTGATTTTCAATTCATCTTCAATGCCTTTATGATTTAAACAGTATTATAAAAAGTTACATGAACTATTTAAAGGTGTTCTTAATTCATGTGAAAAAGATTGTGCTATCTAAAATAATAAATAAAAATATTTACTGAAGTTTTAAATTAGTCTTTAATCATTTCATCAAAGTATTTATTTTGTTTTGATATGTCAATCAATGTTAAAATAATTTCATCATCATCTTAATTAAAAATGATTTACCCACTATAAGTAGAACATTTGAAATCTTCCCATTAATGTTAACAAAATAATTCTAAAATATTATTAGTTGAATTAATAGTATCTAATAATCTACCTTCTTTATAATTTTCTAAAATATCAGATAATTTGTTGGCATCTTTAAATTTGATATTTATACTCTCTTAATCAGAGAAATCTTTTTTTTCTTAATTACTTTTATTGGAAGGTAGATTATTCCTTAATCTATTCTTTTTTATATTTTAATCTGTAGTAATGTTTTTTTGATCTTCTTGAGATTCTAAAATTATAAGTTTTAAGAATAATACCTGATATAATTGAAAATTCTAACTAATTTAGAATTAATTTGTCATATTCTATTTCAGTTTTACAAATTGTTGAAAAATGTTTATAAACAATTTAATTTTTATAGGTTAATTTCAAATCATTTTTAGAAATCATAATGAAAAATATAGGAAGAGTCGATATTCTACTCATCCAAGTATTTTCTTTATTACAAATAGTTATCATTTCTTGATTAATTTTATTTTAAGAAAAACTAAATAATTCTTGATTATTTAATTATTTTTATTATTTAAAAATTAAACCTAATTAGTATGTATCTAATAATATAATACTTGCAATTATAACAATATCCATAAAATTAAATTAAATGATCATTATAATAAAACATCCGATTTATATTATGATCTTTTGAACTAAGTATTCAAAGTGCTCAGAAATAGCTGAATAATTATTTTGTTCACATATTAATACTATTATTAATATATAATCTTATCCAATCAACAAAAGAATTAGGATTGAGTTAAATTTTACCACAACCAAAAATATATTGATTATAACATGGGTTAGTTTTTTCCAAAATGATATTATTATGATTCCCATAAAAATATTAAAAGATAGTTTAGGAATGATGTATTCTAAATAGTCAGGATACTGAATTAATAAGGTAATGTCAACTAGAGAGTGCAAAATCAAAAAAATCAAAATTTAAATGACATTTTATTTTGTAACTAATCCTCTCTTATTAATTAGCAGATTTTCTTAAGTCTTTTTCGAGTGAGTATATGAAGAATTTTGTAACATTATAGTTTTTATCTATTTTTAATAATAATTAGGACCTGGAAGTAATTATCATTGAAGTCAATAACAATAGAAAGAATATTTGAAATTAGTATAGATTAAGAATGTTCATAGAATCAAAGACGGTTAGAAATGATATTTTTTAAGCATTCATATCGTTTATTATTATGTTTCATAAGATTCAATTTTATTATTAATAAATATATTAGCCATAAAATTCAAACAAGAATCAAAATCTCTTTCAATTCTTTCAAATTTAAAGGTTTTTGTAGGACATCACTCATACCTGCTTTAATACAATTTGAAATATCAGTAGCGTTAGTAAAAGCTGTTAATCCAATTATGTGTATTTTTGGAATAATATTTTAATTCATCATTTCAACTAACTTTGCAGTTGCAGTACATCCATCCATTATAGGCATTTAATAGTCCATCAATATTAGAGTGAATAATTAGCATTTTGGACCACAAGGAATGGCTTCTTCGACAATTTTAATGGCCTCAGCTCCATTAAATGCCTTAATTTATATTTTATAAAATTATACTAATATTACGTCAAATCCTAATTTGGCCAATAAAATTTGAATGGATTTCTAATTAAAAATTTCATCATCAACTGATAACAGAGTTTAACAAATACATTTCTTCTTTTTCTAAAAAGCTTTCGAAAATTCTAAATCTTCTTTAATTCGTGCTTCAATTATCATTTTTAGATTTACAATTTAAAGATTATTTTAGTGATCATTCTCCATTTTTTATTAAATAAATAATTTATCTGTAATCAATGAAGGTGTGAGAGGTGAAAGTTATCCATATTTAATAAATAAAGATTCAAATGATTAGCTGTCTGTACAATTAAAGTCATTCTTATTAGATTCTTTTTTCTTCAAATTATATTTATTTGATTATTATATGTTACCAAAATCTGTTGCTTAAAATATGGCACAATTTATATCTAAATTAAATAATTATTCATCATGAGAACTTTAAAATCTAGAAACACTCTATCTCAATGTGCTTTATCTAGGTCTTTCAATTCTACGTTAATTTTCAACATAAAACCAAATTTTTGTACCTTATTATTTACCAGATGAATCAATTTATAAAAATTTATTTTCTTTTGGTGCTAATTAATTAATTAGAATAGCAGTAATTAATAATCCAAATCCTTACCAAGTTTTATTTAATTAAATATCTTTAAAATGTTCAATATTTTATAGAAGTGATTATAATTAATTAAGATTATCACTCTCTATTCCTATACCTTAATCTGAAACACATATTTTTAGACCATGATTATAAGTAGTTATTATTTGTAATGTGACTACACCATGTGATGAAAATTTTAATGAATTTGATAAGAGATTAACAATAATTTAAATAAGTCTTACATAATCAGATGTAAATTTAGAAGTAGTACATTCAAGTAAATTAAACTTTAATTCTATTCTTTTCATTTCAAATTAAGTTTTAAATAAAAAGATTATCTCATTTAATATTTCACTTATAGAAAATTCTCTTACAGATAAAATAAAATTATTTGTTGTAATTTATGATAAATCTATTATGTCACTAATAATATATGATTGTAATTTTAAAGAATTTATTGCTGGTAATATATAATCTTCTTTAATAAACTCTTATACTTCTTAGACATATTGACAAGAAACAAGAAAATTAAGTGCACTATTCAAAGGAGTTCTTAATTCATGAGAAAAAGACTCTATAATCTTCATTAATATTTTAAATGATAAATACCTTTGATTTAAATTCAGAATTTGAAATCAATTCTTGTAATTCATTTTATTTTGAAATATCAATAAGAGTAAGCAATACTTCTCCTTCTTATTCTGAAAAAATGATTTAACCTAATAATTATAACTTTTATTTCGAAAAAGAATAATTATAGTTTATAGTAATTGTTTACCAACTTTAATCTGAAAAGATCTCAATATGATTATTATTATTCAACTATTCTGATATAATGTTTTATTTGTAATTGTTTAATATTTCAAAAATAGAACATTAATTAATTGTTTAGAATTCTAGAGAGTCTCCAATTTTAGACTATTCTTATTTTTACTAAGGTGATAAATTAAGAGAAATAGAATCACTTTTATAATTCCATATTTATTATTTCTTTGTTTACCTTTAGTTCATTTTAGGCTTTGAGAATAATTACTTTATTTTATCTATCTTATCTTATATTATACTGAATTATAATTTATGTAATATCAATTCATCTAATTAATCATCATTTTCATAACACTATTTAAAATAGGTGTAAAGATAATTATTTTTATATGTAACCTTTAGAGTAGTCAAACTTATAACCATTAAACATTATGGAATTTAATTTAAACGATAATTCCATTCTTAATCTGTAGTTCTAATTGTATTTTGATAACTACTAGTAATGTTGAATTGTATTTATTTATTTTCATTAGATCTATCTAATATTATTTTATTTATTTCAATCAATATTGTGTATACAAGTGTTATTGTTAAAAACAAATTAAAATCAAATGTCATTATAATGAGAGTAATGATTCGTAATAGTATCTAATCAAATTATTTAAATGTATTATTCTGAGATTATATTAAATCTAAACGCTCGAATAATGCTATTATTAAAATTGCTAAATCTGATCCAACAACTACTATTAATATAATGGTTGCCAATTTACTCAAAAGTATACAGATTTATTAATAAATGATTGCTTTTTCTTTTGGCAATATTAATTATTAGATAGCAAAAAATCCATGAATTGAACAGATCACTACAGATAATAGTTGATTTCTTGCATCATAAGTTATTACTAATATACTAATTAGTATTTAAAACAAAAAGAATAATACAATAGAGTAATTCTTAGTATAGCATTGAAATTAAGTCCTATTTTTTGATTTTTCTTTTGTCTTCATATATTTCTTGAATATAAATTTATGTTTTAATATAATTTTTAATTAAAATAATGGAATTTCAAGCCAAATTTTATTTAATCCATTTATTATTCATATATTTAATATAATTTCTTTCATATATTATATTGAGGGTAGATCCTAATTTTTGAATTTAAATATTAAACAAAATATAGATAATAATTTCAAATATTTAATTTGAATTTTCCAAAATAATCAAAATATTTATCTCATATATTTTAAATTACTGAATAGAAGTTTTTTAAAAATAGCAAATATTTCAACTTAATGAAAATGATCTTATTGAATAGATAATTTAAATTATGTAGTATTCCAATAATATATAAATTATATTCAATTAAATTAATCATTTTTGTTCCAAAATATTCTCAATTAATTTATTTTTACTATGATTAATACTATCACTTTTGGTTTATTGTTACTCAACTTTTTCAAAGTATTGACAATTGAATTTGAAATATCAATTTCTTAAGGTTCCTTATATTCACAAAAAAGAATTGTGAATACTATTTCTGCAAATACGACTTTTATTGTTAATTGTTATCAACAATTTGCCTAATATTGTACCATTGAATTAAATTAAACATCAAACAAACCAGCTGAAATAGCTTTACTTTATTTAGAAGGACAAGCACCATTTTTAGATAATAACAATGATTTTATATATGATGGAATGGACTATGACAGGTATTGCTAATCAGAACAATTTTCATAGTTATGTATAAAAAAAGAGAAACCATTTTATCTAGATACCAAGTTCAAAGGGTAAAATGTATTTTACTGTATTGACAAACATTCCAGTTTCCTTTGACATTTATTTGAGAGGATCATAAACAATGTTATGTCAGAATAATTGCAAAGGAAATGGAATATGTATAGAGGGAGAATGTAAATGTGATTCTGGATTCATTTCTAGAGACTGCTCATTGAGAGCATTATAATTGGAATAAGAGAAAACAATATCTGTGAATGGATCTCATGATCCTAACTTTTATTGTTATTATGAATATAAGGGATCTTAAGATTTATAGTTAGAAATTTCTGTAATTTAAATGATATATTGTAGATTAAAGATGAGAATGAAGCTCAAGTTTATTTACTTATACCTGATTTAGTATATTTACCAACAGTTGATTTCTATAATGATGCAGCTAGAATTACAAAAAAAACTCCATTTAAAAGATAGATAGAATAGAGAAAATCAAAAATCAAGAATGATTAAGATAAATATATTCCAGATAAATTGATTATATTACTTTAAGGTGTTTAATTTAAAATTAGATTGGAGTAGATTAATGGTGTAAATAAGGAAGAATAAATGAAATTAATTATAATTGTTGTTTGTAGTATAGCAGGTTCTATTTTACTGTGTTTTTGTATATTTTTAATTAGAAGAATAAGATAAAAAAGATCAATGGAAAAATTAACACCTGAAGATTATGAAATGAGAGAGAAATAATTTACATATGGAGGATGTTTGAATAAAAAAGAAGATGATTAATTTGGTACAATAGATAATTAATTATAATCTAATAATCTATAAGATAATTGTGCAATTTGTTTGGATCCTTTGTCCAATAAATAACCAATTTTATAAACTATATGCAAGTATATTTATGAATTATATTTATAGACACATATATCATGTTAAATGTATTGAAAAATGGCTTGAGAAGAATCAATTTTGTCCTTTCTGTAGATTTGATTTAAAAATTGAGAATTTGAAATAATAAAGATAGTAAATTATTAAAGTACCAATAACAAATCAAGTCAGAATAGTTAGAAGAAATAATTGATAATCATTAATACCAGTAATATAAATATATTTTGAAATCATTCATTTTCAGTTAATAATGATATAAATTCTTCATAGGATATCTTATTATTCATTTCTTCTTTTTTTTCACCCAAATGTATTACTTATTGCCAATCTGATTAAGATAATTTAGTATTATAGAAAAAGACTTTAAGTTCATTAGCAGATATTTATTTACTATGATCTCTATCTAATTTATTAAAGAAATTCATTAAATTTTCTTCATTAAATAAAGCTGTTTTATTACATGAAGCAATTAAAAATTCATTGAATTCTAAGAATTAATTTTTATTGATATCTAATTATTAGAAGATTCTATCTACTTCTTGTCTTGCTAAATTTTCATTACCTGAACTTTCAAAGTATTATTAATATAATTCAGTTTTAGATATTTTACCATCATTATTTATATCTATTTTTTAAAAAGTTTATGCTATTTTATCTCTTTCTTCTTTAGACATTAAATATTCTATCATTAAACTTAATAATATCAATCTTAATTCATTTTTTCTTTAAAATTCTTTTATTCTTAATAAAGCACTAGTTATTTTCATTGATGATTTTCTTATAGTTTTAAAAAACTTATATTTTAAACATTCCTTAGTATTAGGTCTCATCTTATGATCTGGATTAATCATATCACTAATTAATTTAAATGCATCATCATTAATTGAATTTAAATCAATATCTTCTTTGATATTATTTCTTTTAATATTTTATACAGTTAATTATCTAGTCTAATCTTTGAATGGATGTGTTCCATACATTAATTCAAATAAAATTATTCCAGCAGACCAAATATCTGCAGCTTTATTCCATTAATAATTTTCAGCAAAAGTTTCAGGAGCTCTATAACTGATATCAGAATTGAAATCTTAGAAGATATTGTATAAATCATCTAATCCAATTAATTTAATTAATAAATTAGACTTTTATGCTATAACTACTCCACTCATTGTAATATTTTTATGTATAATATCTTATTAATGTAAATAATTAATTGCTGACAAAACCTATTAAAAAACATATGCCACATGAATTTTCTCTTAACTATGCATTTCTGTATTTAATCTTTAATATAAATCTCCACCATCAGTGTATTCTTCAACCAAGTATATATGTTTGTCATCATGATAAAAATCGAATAATTTTATAATATTAGGATGATCCTAAAATTTTTATAAAACTTACTATTTTTTTAAGTGATTGCAAATAATCTAAATATTCATTAATTTAATTATTAGTTAATACATTTCTAGCAATCTTAGCTATTCTTTTAAGTCCTGTAACTTTATTTTCTACAACAAATATTTTTCCTTAAAATCCATTTATTAACACTTTTTCTTCAGTAATAAAATAATCATGTTAGAATTTCTTATTTCTGTAAATTTATTAATGTTCTGCTTAAAATAGTTCTACTATTTTATTTTTATCTAATGATTTTGGTTATTTGCTTTTTCTTTCTTCTGGTTTTGTCTCTAAAGTTATAAGTTTCTATTTTTAAAGATCATTTGAACCATCTAGTAAACTAGGACGATTATCTCTAGAAGTTTTACGTTATTTTTTAGATGCTTAACAACCCATAAGTTTCAATTATTTTATTTAACTATTTAAATTACTAAACAATTAAGTCATGAAAGTAAAATTTATAAAATTGAATATGATAACTATAATTTTAAATTATTAAATAATATTATATATCCCTTATCACTTCTATTAATAATAAGTCTATAAAATAATTTAAATAACATATTACCTTATGAATTGCAACAGGTTTCTTATCCTATTCAAATTTAAGTAATTCTGATTTATTTATTTCATTTTTCTTTTTTATGATAATATCTTTTTATTATTGCATTTTTAATTTTTAATCATGCATTGCCTCATTAGATAATATAGCACTCTCTTCTAACAATTCTGAACTTACTCTCTCAATTACTGGAGGTTTAAATGAATAATCTCTTATTAATTAAGGTTAATGATTTTAATTTTGAAAGTCCTATTAATGAAGTATATGACTATCAAATTGTTCTTGATCTTAATTTAAGTTATTCTAATTATATCTTTCTTCTTGTCTTTAAGTATAACTTGTAAATGATGGATATTTGACATTTTTGATAGATTTGAAGATTTCTGATTATCTATATTGAGGTTATGATTTGAGTTCTGATTCTCTTTTTTAAACATTTTCCAATTTCTTTTATAATTCACTTAAATTATTTTATGAATATATTTACTTAAATTCTAATAAACTTTGTTCGAGTATCTTTTTAAGGAATTCATCATTTTATGTTTCCATAAGACGCTTCTATTCTTCTTCTGCTTTTTTTGACAATTCAATAGCTAATTCTAATTCAGTTTTTTCTTTTTCTATTTATAATCGTTTTAATTCAAATTGTTAATCAAATTCTTGTGCTGGCTATCTTAAGTAATATTATATTTATTCATTACTAAATATTCATTTTTTGTTATTATTATTATATTAAAATTCTATCTTATTTTTCTAGTTCTTCTAATGCTTCTAACTCTAATTCTTTATTTCTATTTATCATTTATTTTCTGAAAATCTTATAATCATTTATTGCTATTATCTGCTAGAATATATTCTTATGTTAGGGATGTGCCAATCCGATTATAATTTATTTAGTCAATAGTTCATTGGTTAATCCATATTCATTTAACATATTATCAAATTAAGAAGATATTAATTCTTTAAATTATTGGAATTTCTATTCTTATTCTGGTGTGTATTGATCTTCATCATCAAATATAATGCAATTCTCATCTATAAATTCCATAATTGCTATTTTCCAGATTGGGGATGTAAGATGTTCATAAACTAAATCATAAACCCAAATCTAAATATTAAATTATATTACTTCTTCATCATTTTGTTTATAATTTAAGCCTTTCTTGTTGTTACTAAAAAAATAGGTCAAAAACACCATGAAAGTAAAAAAATAAATTAAATATAATTATATCTAAATAACTATTTGAGAGATGTTAATTATTTTTATTTAAAAATATAGAGTTTTTATATAATTAATACTTAATTTAAGTTTAGAAACAATAATTAATAATGGAAATAGATTATTTGAATACAATAAAGGTAATTAGTATGATTTTGATGTTTTTGATGATTATAGTAATGGGAAATATCCCCTTAAGATCAACAGCTTTCAAAGGAAATCAATTTTTATTAGATTTGACAGGGGCATTTTCAGGAGGTTTATTTTTATCAGTAGGAATTATACATTTACTCCCAGAGTCCATGAAATAGTTTCACATGTATTATAGGGATTAGAAAATAGAATCATTTGAAGAATTTCCATATGCTTGTTTGATAACAGTCTTAAGTTTTACTTTGATTTTGTACATTGAAAAGATAGCCTTCATTCATAATCATACTAATTAAGATAATCATTCCTATTAGGTTTCAGTAATATAACAATAAGAATGTATTGGTGAATTGGAATGTCCTGAAACAACAAAACCATAAATCTAATAAGTTTCTATTAAAGAATTAGATGAAATTACAATAAATTCCTTGACTCCTTATATATTATAGTTTGCTATTGGTAAATTTATTATTTAATGAGGAATTCATGCATTTTTTGAAGGATTAGCTATTGGAATAGAATAATAAGTACCTCAATGTTTAGGAATTTCATTAGCAGTAGTTTGTCATAAATGGGCTGAAGGTTTGACTTTGGGTTTATCTTTTAAAAAAGCTAGTATTCTTTATTCTTACTTTGTATAGACACAAAAATACATAGTGCTACAATTATGATCTTCATCTAGGGAATTATTAACCCTATAGGAATACTAATAGGATGGATATTAGCTAATCAAGGATATATCATAACTGGGATATTTTAGTCTATTTCTGCAGGAACATTTATTTATATAGCCACAATGGAAGTGATTTAAGAATAGTTTAACTAGAAATCAAATTCTTATTATAAGATGATGATGTTTCTATTTGCAATAGGATTCATTAGTACAATTTGGAAGATAGAGAAATTAAGTTTTTGATATAATTTATATTTTGTATAATATTTTTTTATTACTCATAAACCAAGTGATGTTTCTAAATTTTTGATGCATTTAAGACTGCTGAAATCCTCAGATGATCCATCTTCTTTAACAGCAAAGAAACATCTGGTTTCACCATGATCTGGATGTTAACCGACTGTAAAGTGTTTCAATCCATTTAATTTTTAGTCTTTCTTATCATGATATTACAATAAGGAAACTAACATTGAATGATATGGTTCTTTCAAAGGAGTATTATTTTCAGATCTAGCTAATATAGTTTTGAATATATTCTTTAATTAAGAAATATCTCTATACTAATTTAATATATATATAAATGAATTACTTTTTAATTATGAAAAACAATATCCTTTTTTTACTTTCTTTATTCATATTTCTTATTACCTCCTTTGCCAGCACCACCATGAGCAAATGTTTCTTTAGCTCTTTTAATAATAGTTTCATAATGTTTTCCATGATGTGACCAAAATTATGTTAATTCTTCTCCATTTGTTACATGAATTTCTAATTGATGTTCTCCAATCTTAATTCCCTCTGAAGTTAAACGAACAATATTATCTTCTGGAGTTCTTGGTTTAGACAGAGCAAAGTTGCCTTCAGTCTTACCATATCTAACATATGGAGAACTAATATTATGTTATTTCATTAGAGCCTCTGTGATTTGAGTCCAACTAACTGCAACACCAGCTGGAGCCTTGACTGTAAAAATGAGTGGTTCAAAATTATGATATGGATTATCAATAACTTCTTCTTAAGGTTTTTCATCCTATTATTATTGTACAGCAACTGCTTCACCATTGTTAGTTTTTACTTTTTTATTTGTTTGAGTAATAATTAATTCTGGTAAAGGCTTATTATTTAATCTTCTAACACCTATTATGTTATGAATAAAGTAATACTTGTTTAATCCTGGCTTAATTCTACCTCAGTTGATGTTTTAATTGCTTCAACAATTTATTCTTGAGTGACTTTCATTTACTTAACCTTATTGCATTTAAGTATAAATTAGATTTAGAGATAACCATCTTAGCTTTGACTAATCTATTTATGGAAGAATTCATCTTAGGATAAGTTTTTATCTGACAAATAATACTCTACTTATCTTTTGATTTCCTCTGTACTCATAATTCTTTCACTTATTTATAATTTAATTGATTAATTCTTTTTTATATTTTACATATGAATGATGAAAATTGAATTATATGATTATTTAAATTTCTATGTTATTTTATTCAATCACTTTATAAATTCAACATTAAATCTATATTCAATATACAATTAAATAATTAAAATAGAAATAGAAATATCATCCAAAACTTCTGTTATAATAATTCCTCAATTTAATAATTTCTTTGTTCAATATCTCTTCATTTTTTGATCAAATGTTATAATATATTACTAATTGAAGACACTTTCTTAAAAACCAAAGATTTTGAGATTCTTAATCAATCCCAAAATAATGAAGTTGAATTCTTTAAAGAGGAACAGTGAATTATTTAACTAATTATAATAATAAATATGTTAAAAATTTTTAGAAACCTTTCACTAATTTCAAAGGATGAATTTGATTATTCTCTTTACTAATGTACATAAAGTGAGAATGGGGATGTTCCAAAACCAAAATATATGAAAGTACTATTGATTCTTACATAGCCAATTATCGAATGTTTGAAAGGTGAAGATCAAAAGATTTTACCTTTAGATGCATTTAATAAATTCTATGATATCTTATGTCAAATACAATACAACAAATGGATAAGTGCCTTAAAAATTGCCTATGTCTTGCATTATTGCTTAGAAGTATAATCAAATTTTTATGTATATTATCAAAGAAATAATGTAACATCTTTGTTGATGCTGTCTGCAATAATCATCTCTATGATAAAATCAAAAATAAGTAATAAAGAAAGCCAGAAGATCCGATTGCATAATTGCATATTAATATCGTTCAAAACCTCTTTTCGTACCTTTAAATTAGATATGAGAATTATCTGTTTTTCCTAAATGCTCTTTCTGATTTTGAAGAAAAAGAAGAATATCAAAAAACCTTTATCATACATAAAATCGTGTCTACCATCCAAGTCCTAGTCAAAATCTATAAAGATTTAGATATTTCCTTAACAAAATTTCAAAACATAGAAATTACTAAATATATCTGTGTACAACTCCTAAATGATCTTTATTTTTTTTATCCTAAAGTCCAAATTTACTTATAATCTCATATTAATCAAATGCTGTAAATGGAAAGTGAACAATCATTAAAATTATATTAAGTTTATACTGAAACTCTTAGATTAGGAAGAAGTGTAACATAAATGTTAAAATTATGTAATGAAGTTACAGCAATACAATCCTTTCCTCAACTTATATTATTTACTGTTGAATAACATATTAATAGACAAATTGAATTACACTTTAAAGAATAAAAAAGATAACCCAGTCCAATCAAATTTGATATAATTAAATTTGATGATGAAAATCTATTTGATTAATGCAAAGATGATTAAATTACTACTCCAAAAGTTCTTCAACAATTTCAAAAAATGGTAACTTAACTAACAGAAATTCAAGAACCTGAACCAGATTAAATTGAATTTCGAATTTCTCATAAACCAAAAACTGAAAGATAATTATAACAATTTAAAGTTAAGAAATTAGAATCAAATGAATAATCTATGGTATAATCTATCATTTCAACATCAGATAATGGTTCAAGTATAAGGAATATCTAATTTAGTCATTAAAATAGCTTTAGAAATGAATTTTTCACTCAATCTGAAAGTCCATTAAATTTTATTGATTTTTCTCATTAGTAATATCATCAATCAAAAAAGAAACAATGATCAATCAATTTTTAGTTATTTTTATGAAATTATTAATAATATAATAATTATTCTTATTCTTTTAATTTTATATGAGTAAGATCTACTCAATTTAATTTAAAAGATTACAAATGAAAAATAATGTTCTATCTTTTGTAGTTGATTAATTAGAAATTTTTTAATATTATTTATTACTTAAAAATATTTTAAACTTTAAATGAGAATTCAAAATGGCATATAATGATAATGATAATTAATGAATGATCATTCTAGATAAAATAATAAGTCTTTATATAATTATTATATTTTATTATTTAATTTATATTACCGTTAACTTAAATGAACTAATTTGCCAATTACTTAGAATATTACACTCAAAGAGACCTCCCATTCAATTAAAGATCTCCAAAAGCCAAAGATGTAAAAAAAGAATGGAATTTCAGTCCATAATTTAGTCCTCATCGATCTAGATACAACATGAATGATATATAATTAGATAATGAACCTTAAAGTTAAAGACTTACAATTAATAGCAAAATCAAATATAGAAATAAATTAGAGGATAAAGAGAATTTAATAAATCGATAAAATGTTGTTTTAAACTAGTAGATGAAAAAATGTCAAAAATTAATGAGTCCTCGAAAAGAAAAGAAGAATTCAATAGATAATTCATATTTATTACCAATAGATTAAATCTTAACTATTAGTATATAATCATCTACAGATGAGAATATTGTGTAGATAGATTCTGTCAAAAAATAGTCTGATAATTCAATAGATAATTATTAAGTTCAATAATTCGAAAATGATACTTATTTCAATGAAAGTGTGCTTAAATCATTTAAAAAGATTAAAATTTAAGATGATTATTCAAGAGTAAGTTTTATAATTATGAATTTCTAAGGATTACAATAAACAATTAAAATTAGAGGATGATTTCGAATAAATTAATAGTTTTAGATAACATATCCATACACCAAGATAATAATAGATGAAGAACATTAGTTTTGTAATGTATAAGAAATAAGTGGAGGGAAGATTTTGAATGTATTATAGTTAAATTCTTAAATTTTTGATATTCATTCATGATAGTATTCATTTTGTATTCTCTTATCCTTTCTACGTTTCAATTCCTAAACTCTTAATACAAGATATTTCATATCAATTAAACTTTTGGAATGGATTTTATCTAATTCTTTTAATTTATCTATAATATCTTTAATTACTAATTTTCTATATTTAAGCACATTTTCTATAGATTTAGAATATTATTCTAATAAGGAATCATACAAATTCAATTTATCTTAAGCACCACAATTAATAAGTTCATCAAGTCTCATTTGATATTCATTAGTTTATTATATACGAATTTATAATTCCTTAAAAATAGTTCGAAATATTATATACTTTATAATTTTTAGCAAAATTGACAAGGAAAAAAGAAGGGGCAAATTGATTTTTTAATTACTCTTTATGTGTTTTAGAGGGTTCAATAGTTTCAAGCATGCTTTAGACTTCTGGTTTTGTGAATAATTATTTTTCATCCCATTATTTTATTAAGTCCTTGATTTATTATTTTAAATCTTTAGTCCAATTATAATCTTAGAGTTAACCTAAGACTTTGATAATTTATCTTTTTAATGTATCACTCATTGAAGTGTCTGATAAATCTAATAAATAATTACATGATCCTTGAAATTTTATTATAGATTCAACAACTCTTTATGCCATATAAAGTAATGATATAATTACTTTATCACCATCAACATTCCCTTTAGCAAAATGAAAATGGTTGCACCATTCTTCACAAAGAGATTATTGAGAGTTTTAATCATGACTATGTCTAATATAGAAACGGGCTGCTTCATCAACATGAGATTAAGATAAATGGATATTATTAAGTAGTTGATTGAGTGAGACTATGTTGATTTCATTGATCATTTTGAAGTGGGTTAATTTAATATTAAGAATTTTAAGAAATTGAAGAAAAGATGGGGGGGGGTTAGATTAAACATATATATTTTATTGATATAAATTAAATAACAGATAAATTTTATTAACAAATTTACTTGTTTTTCAATGAATGATTAAACACCTATTAAAGAAGTCGATCTTAACAAATAGTCATGGACCAGTCCAAAAGATAAGAGTGATCGAGTATAGATTTGTTTGTATGTAGTTTATTCCTCGTAATGTGTAATCAAATCTCTATCAGTTATTTATGAGTGAAGAGAATAGTTAAGGCTCTCTTTACAACAATTTACTTTAGTCCTCTATTCTAGGAAAATCACCTACTGTAAATTAAAAGCTTTTCAATTATAAAACTGAAAATAAATAAAACGAAATGAATAAAATTATTAATAATGGATTAAAGTATTCAGCAACTCCAACTAAAGTTGAACCTGAAAAACCACCAAGGAAAATCAATAAACGTCCTTATAAAATCTTAGAGGCTGAGAATCTATAAGATGATTTTTATCTCAACCTTTTGGATTGGTCACCTTTTAATGCTTTGGCAGTAGGACTAGAAAATTCTGTATTGATTTGGTCAGGTCATACTTCTAAAGTATCTCGTTTATGCACACTTGAAGATCCAGATATGGTTTGTAGTGTGGCTTGGTCATAACATAATCAACATCTTTCAGTAGGAAATAGTATGGGAGAAGTTGAAGTATGGGATGTTACTAAATAGAAAGTTATTAGAAAATGGAATGGACATTAAGGAAGAATTGGATCATTAGCATGGAATAATTATTTATTGGCTACTGGAAGTAGAGATCGTAATATTTTGGTTAGAGATGTTAGAAGTCCAAATGAATCAATTTAAAAATATGTTGGTCATAAATAAGAAATTTGTGGTTTGAAATGGTCTTTTGATGAATAACTATTGGCATCTGGTGGCAATGACAATAAATTGTTTATTTGGTCATTAAAAAATCAAGGTGAATTCACTCATTTCTCATAACATTAGGCAGCAGTAAAAGCTATAGGATGGTCACCTCATCAACATAATATTGTGGCTTCAGGAGGGGGTACTGCTGATAGATGCATAAGATTCTTTAATACTTAAACTTTAGAGCAAGTGGATTGTATTGACACTGGATCTTAAGTGTGTAATTTAATGTTCTCTAAAAATTCTAATGAATTAGTTTCAACTCATGGATATTCTTTAAATTAAATAATTGTTTGGAATTATAATAATATGTCTAAAGTAGCTACTTTGACAGGCCACACTTAAAGAGTTCTATATTTGAGCGGGTCACCTTGTGGTCAAAATATAGTAACAGGAGCAGGTGATGAGACTCTTAGATTTTGGAATGTATTTCCTCAATCTGCTTCTAAAAACGATCATGGAATCACTAGAGCAGAGACCATTGATTTACGTTGAAAATACTATTCCTATATTACTTTTTTAAGTTATTAAATCTTTATATTATAATGTCCGTCAAAGTGGCAGTCAGAGTGAGGCCCTATAATGCTCGTGAACTTGAGCTGAATTGCTAATTATGTGTGGCTATGAATGGCCCAACCACCATATTATTAGGTATATCATTTTAATATAACCAAAGATATCGAGGATCCTAAGAAAAATAGAGATTTTGCTTTTGATTATTCTTTCTGGTCTCATGATTCCTTTGAGAATGATGAAAATGGGTACAGCAGAGCTATTCCAGGAACTAAGTATGCAGACTAACAAATGGTGTTTGACACTGTTGGTTAAGAAATTTTAAATAATGCTTGGTAAGGTTATCATTGTTGTCTATTCGCATATGGTTAAACAGGAGTAAAAATAATTTAAATAATTAAGGCTGGTAAATCCTATTCGATGGTTGGTTATGGAGCAAATAAAGGTATCGTACCTATCTCATGCGAAGAAATCTTTAAACGTATTAAAAAAAATTCTGATTCTCATTTAAGTAATGTGTTTCGATTATCTATTCATTAGCTTATGAAGTATAAGTCAGTATGCTTGAGATTTACAATGAAAAGGTTTAGGATCTTCTTGTACCTGTTCCTAAAAGACCAACTGGAGGTCTAAAAGTTCGAGAACATAAAGTTTATGGAGTGTACGTAGAAGGACTTACAAAATATCCTGTTGATTCTTATGAAGCCATTGAAGCTAAAATGGATGAGGGAAGCAAACATAGAACTGTTGCTGCAACATAAATGAATGCATCGTATATTATTCCATATTATCCAATAGATCTTCAAGAGCACATACAATCATATAGATTGAGTTTAAAGAAATAAAGAATGTTGATGGAAGAAAATCAGAGAAACTATCCGTTATTAATTTAGTTGATCTTGCAGGTTCTGAAAAAGTAGGGAAAACAGGAGCTTAAGGGGATCGTTTGAAAGAAGGTAAGCTTTGGTTATAATGGTATATATAGCTGGTAATATTAACAAATCATTATCTGTTTTGGGATAAGTTATTGCAGCATTGGCAGACAAGGCTATGGGCAAAGGAAAAAATGCAGTTGTTCCATATAGAGATTCATAATTAACTAGAATCTTATAAAATGCCTTGGGAGGTAATTCAAAGACTCTGATGATTTGTGCTGTAAGTCCTGCCACTGACAATTATGAAGAAACCTTGAGTACTTTGAGATATGCAGATCAAGCTAAAAAGATTAAGAATTGTGCTGTTGTTAATGAAAGTGATGTTGATAAGAAATTAAGAGAATAATAAGAAGAAATTCATTCATTGAAATAATAGTTGATGATGTTACAATAATAATTAAAAGGAGGTGTAATTAATCCTGAAATGTTGAAATAATTATCATAAATCTAAGATGATATTGAAACCAATGAGACTATTATGTAAGAGAATTAGGAATCATTTGAATCAAAATTGTAGAAGTAAAAATAAAAGGATGAAGAGGAAGATGATGAAGATATATAGAATGAAGGAATTAAAGATCATCCTCATTTGTTAAATTTGAATGAAGATCCTTTGCTCAATAGAAAGATATTGAAATCATTAAATTAAGAAGAAACTCATGTAGGAAGACCAAATGGAAATCCAACTCCTTAAATTGTTGTAAATGCAATGTGTGTATAACCTAATCATGCTGTTATCAGAAATAAAGATGGTGTTATTGAAATAAGTCCATTTACTAAAGAATGTGGTGATTTTATATTTGTTAATGGTTCACCAATTACTGGTCCCACTTTACTTCATCATAATGATAGAATTATTTTTGGAACTACTACAACATTTTTAGTTTAAATTCCAGGATCTGAATAAGTAGAATAGGGACCTGAAATTGATTGGGAATTAGCATAATAAGAAATGTAAAAGAAGGAGGAAGAAAAAAGATAGGAATAATAGAAATTAGCAGAAAAATAAGTTCATGAAGAAATGCAAAGAAAGAAATAAGAATTAGAAGAATAGAGAAAAGAAGAATAAAGATTATATGAAGAATAAATGAAGAAATAATAAGAAGATTTTGATAGAAAAATGAAAGCTTTAGAAGAACAAAATAAGGATATGTTGAATAGGGCATTGATGGCTGAAGAAGAAAGGAAATTAATAGAAGAGAGAAAGAAATTAGAAGAAGAAACATTATAAAAATAATTATAAAGAGAAAAGGCTAGAAAATAATATGAAGATGAAGAAACTATGAAAAAATATAGAATTAAAGAAAAAAATTTCATTGAAAATAAATTATAAAAATATTTGCCTAAAGTATTAGAAGTTAATTTAATTGCTAAAGAACTTAAACGTAATGTTACATTAGAAGCAAGATTAAAATATGTTTATGCAGATGATTAAGAATATTCTTAATTTACAGAAGAAAATGCTCAAAAAGGATAAATATAAATATAAGTTAATAATAAAGAGGAAGGATAAATATATTATTGGGATTTACATAAATTTTCAAATAGATATTATATTATAAAAGATTTATTAGAAAGATACTTTGAATCAAATTAATTATTATCATTACCAAAAGATTAAGATCCTTTTTGGGATCCACCTGAAGCAAGAGTAATTGGTTCTGGTTTCCTTAAATTATAAGCTTTGGCTTATTTAATGGATAATCCTTGTGATTTGACACTTGTTGGAGAACACTTCTAATGTGGAACTTTAAAGGTTAATTTAATTCCTACAGATGAAACAGGATAAAGAAATTTATCTGAAGATATTGAAGATGGAATAGAACCTCCTGTTGAAGATCCTTCAGAGTTAGTTGGTAGAAGATTTGATTTTAGGGTTTCTATTGAAAGTGCAAGATTACCTGAAAACTTATGTAAAGATACATATGTTGAATATTCTATTTAAGTTGAAGAGAAAAAGAAAGAATCATTTAAAACAAAAACAGTATGAATTAATTCTTATATATTTAAGTTGACTGGAGCTCATCCGAATCCTATTTATAATTATGATTAGTAGCACACATTTGATTAACTATCAGAGGCTTAATTGAATTATTTGATTAATGGAACAGTAATAATTTATTTTTCTATTTCAGATATGCTTCAAAGTCTATGGATATGATGAAAATAAAAATAAAGATGTTAAAAAAAGGGAAATACCTGTCGAAAATCTTATCCCTTAATAATAGACTACTTAGTAATAGAGTACTTAATAATAACAATAAATTTAATAATAATCACATTAACCAACATAATAGATAGATTAAGTTAAAAAGCAAGAAGAACATATTGATATTTTGACCAAAACAATTAATTAGTCTAAAAATATTTAATAATAATAATAATAAGTGTCATAGCAACAACCTAATAAATAATCATAACAAACTAACTAGGTTAAACCACCAATCGAAAGTAAATTAGTTAAATTTCTATATATTTAGAATTCACTCCAAACTAGCCAATAACACAACCTATTAACAGATAATCAATCAAAGAATTTGAAGATCATACTTCAGAATAATAATAAATGAAGGCTAAATTATAATAGTAATAAATGAATGCTCAAAAACCAAGAAGTTCATCCTAAGATAGAACACCTGCAATGATGTCAAAAGGAAAACCTGATCCAAAGAAAGGTACTAAAAAAGACGATGGATGCAATATATTTTGATAAATACATAAATTCAATATTATCAGTCAGCTGATCCTACATATCTATCATTATCAAATATTCCATCTACTTACACTCCATCATGAGACATATACAATCCTTTCCCATTCATTCTATCTTTATCCCAATTGCCTAATATTTTAATGATTTTTATTACCTACATAATACGAATTGTCATTCCATTGATATCTTCCCTATCCTTATCTCAAACCATCAACAAAATAACCATCATAAATATCATGATTTGCAAACCTATATAATCCTTTTCCATTCTTTTTTCCTTATATCCATTCTCCTTCATAAATATCTCCAGAAATCATTTTCAATACTCCAGATCCATGTTTTTAGTCATTTACAAATTCTCCTTCATATTAATCTCCATTATTATATTTATAGCAACCTTTTCCATACCTTTATCCTTTTTACCAAAATCCATCATAGAAATCTCCATTTGCATATTTCATTTTTCCGTTCCCATTTCTTTGATCTCTCAACCATTCTCCTTAATATTCTGATCCATCAATTGCATACTTATATACTCCTTCTCTTATTTTCTATCCATTTTTAAAAATTCCTTCATACCTATCTCCATTAGAAAAACTTAAAATTCCTTATTAATGAAATTGATCATTAAGCCAGATTCCTTCATATCTTGAACCAGACACGAAAATATAAGTTCCATATCCATTTTTCTTATTATTTTTCCATTCTCCTTAAAAATGATCTCCATTCGCCAAAATCAATGTTCCTTACCCTGATTTGAACCCTCTAAACCAATTACCCTCATAAACATCTCCATTTTGATATCTAAATTTACCAAATCCCTCCCTCTAATCATTAACCCATGTTCCATTATACTCTGCACCAATTAAATAATAATAATATATTCCTTGACCCTCTTTCTTTCCTTTATTGAACTATCCCTTATATCTCTCTCCGTTTTGATAAATGTATGTACCTTCTCCTTCAAATGAATCATTCCATTGTCCAAAATATATATCTCTATATAAAATTAAATGATTAATACCCACTACCAAAAATATAAATTCCCAAACCCTTCCTCATGCCTCCATCAATTTCTCCTTCATAATTTTCACCATTATCAAATTTTTACACTTGAACTTTATTTCCTTTTTTTTTTTCTACCAATGAAGCTTTAAACTATTCGATTAATTTATTATTTTCGTTGATAAATAACTATTATCTCATCAAATTTTCATCGTTATTCTAAGGTTGAGGATTCATTCTGAATTTGTTAATAAAATTATAGTCAATTTTAATATCTAAATGATTATTAACAATTTCTATTAAAAATTTTGCCTTTTTTAAGGAAAGAAGAAAATAAAAATATTTATTAAATTATCTAACTTTTTATAATTTATTTATTAAATATATCTTTTTATTTTGGATATATGAGTAGTTCAAAATCCTCCTTTGCTTTATTTTTCCTATATTTAAGTATATATTTGTTTTGAATCATATTCATAATCTTGAATTAGATTTTTCAACTCTACTAAAAAACTACTATATTTTGCATCCTTTATTTATTTTCCTGGGTTAATATTTTTGGCGTAAAAATCTAAACTGTGATAGAAATATATTTGATGAATATCCATAATTTTGACAATTTCCCATAAGATATTTCCTTTATTTCCCTTAGTTATAATTAATATTCTTACTTATACTAATGCTGTGTAAAATGTCAATTTTCTTGTGTCATCTACGTACACATTGGTTGGCATTCTTTCTTTTTAGATGGAATTAACAAAATAAGCAATATCATCAGCAGAGTCAATGCCAAATATTATTTCTGGAACACAAGTTTTAATCAAATAGCAATTCTTATCTTCTAACATTTCAATTTTATATTAGATTGTAAATTTCTTTAAATCTTTGTCAGTCAATACACCAGATTAAGTTATTGACATAAATATCAGATTTTGTGGGTTAATCCAAGAAGCCCATTTTATTTCAAATTATTCAGAGTTGATGTTCTAATCTTGACTTTGTGAATTTGTTGCAGATTTTGCTTATTATTCTTTTTGCCTAACTTATTATTAACCCTACTCCTATGATTTTTAAACAATAATTAATTCCAATTCATGTTTAGTATTGATTAATTTCCAATTTCTCCTAATCTTAATACCATTTTCTTATTTAGTTAAGGCTCTTAAAAATGATGTATAGATATCTTAACTAATTCCTTAGAGTGGTTTATAACTTTTTAATTCTGAAAAGAAATTCACAACATTTTAAGTCAAAGTAAGCTTTTCTGTTTTATCTTCTGTACCACTTTTGTTCAAAATCTTTTCTTTTTTTGCATTTTAGAGTTATTGAGATACTTTTGTATCATCATTAGCCTATCCTAATAGTACTTATTCTAAATCAAGGAATTTTTACAGTTTTCCTCTTAAAATTTCATTTTCGTTTAATTAATACAAAAATTAGGATTACTTTAAACCATATCTAATCATTTTTTTTTTAGCTAAATCCTCAGAATAAATAAAATCCGCTCCATAACATGATTCATTAATTAAATAAGGATCAATTTCCTTCAGTCCTTAAGGAAAGGTGTACTTTTCTTTAATTCTTTTATACAAATTGATATCTTCATCTTATTACTTGATTAATCCAAAAAATTCATCTAAGAGACGTAGTAGAAAAATAAATGTCTATATATCATAGAAAATAAATTTACTAAATTTTGATAAGTCTTACTTCTAAAAACATCAAGATCTTTGATCTGGAGTGTCTTTTGATCACTTAAAAATTAAGCAATATAAGTGAAACTAGGAATTAATACATAAAAATCAGTTTCACCTTCTTTGTATAGAAGATGGTCTATAGTTGGATCTAAAAACATTCTAACATAATAATTAATAAATGATACCCAAAATTTGCACACCAATGAAAAGTTTCTATCAAAGATTGAAAGACTTATTTTATTCCAATAACATCTATTTTTTGTTTATCTGGAAATGTTTCTGAGAAGGGCAGAGCTTTAGAAAATTATTATAAACCCCATATAACTTCAGTTTAATTGCCATAAAGCCCTTCATAATAGAATGTGATATGCAACTCCATTCCTTATTTTTTAATTGAACTAATTTTTGCTAATCTGAAGTATTATCCCATAGGTAATCTAATCAAATCTAATTTTACTTTACTTTAGACTAACCTAATTTTAAAGCTTTTGATAAGCTTGAAAATATTCTTCTAACCTATCTATTGAATTTTCTTTCAGTGAGCAGATTTTGAATATTTTCAGTTGCTAGTCAAATTCATATTTTTAACAAGACATTAATTTTTTAATAGAAATAATTAAAATTATATAACAATTCATTTATTAATTCCAGCAGACTTACCTTCCTAATGTATTTATCTTCTTAATTCTTTCTCAACCCAATAAGGACAATCAGGGATTGAAACATCTAAAATATATTTGATTAATAGTAAAATATGTTCAATGGCAGCTAAAAAAAAGGCACTATATAGGGCATCTTGATTTCCAATAATCCCTTTAAATTATTCTTTATTGACAGTTCCAATAACAATACAATTCATAAAAGTTGAAGAATAATTCAAAATTTCAAATATATACAACCATATTCCAATTGAATCTGCTGCCTAAGCTCTTTCTCTTTTTAAGATATGTTAGTAATTATATATTGATGATCTTAGATTGATATAGCAATTGATCATGAAAAATAATGGGGCAGCTGGAAAGGTTGGAGCAAACATTGTTGTATATCCAAATTGTATGGCAATATTTGTGTATTCATCATATAATATCTTTTAAGGGCCTTTAATTCTACTCATTTCTAATTCTTATAAAAAAAGTAATTATTAATCATGAGTTAATTTCTCTGATGAGAATACTTAGTTACAGATTTTAGGTATATTCTTTTTTTCTTATATTCTTCTTTAGAATAATTATTTAAATTCAGAAAATAATTTAGTAAATGAACGTTTTTCCAATTTAAATATGGCAAAAGGTAATAAATTGCTTTTTACATTTGAAATTACTCCTCTTGTTATTATAATACTTGCAACTGATACACTTAATGAATTTGCATCACTTTCAAATATTGCTACATAAACTACTGAAACATATGAAATGAGAAATTCAAATAGAAATACTTTTAAAATATATGAATATTCTTATTCTGAATCATACATATGATTTTCCCATGTCACTAAAGATTTACATAGTCTTTTGTATAAATCACAAAAAACAGTCATAGAAACACCATTTAAAGAGTTAATAACTATTGACATTACAGGATCATTAGAGTTTTCTTTTAACCATAGATTAAAAGCATAGAAACTCAATACAATTATTGCAATCCCTATTAAAATGACTGGACCTTCTGCTATTAATCTCCTTTTAAAAGTAGTAAAATAATCATAGATTTGTATTTTATGGTTTGCTTCATTAATAATATATTATCCTGTATACATAACTCTTTATGGTTGAGTCTATTTGAATTTATGCATGTCCCAACAAAATTTCAATTCTGATTCTCTATTTTTCCACTTCTCCATAAATAATGTCTACCATAGAGTCATTAACAATGCATAAAATGGAACAATTGATGAACTTATATAATTTTAATTGTTACTTTACTTATTGAATAATGATTATATATATTCCTAATGCTGCTCCAAAAAGAGAAGGAATCATTAACCATCCAATAATTTGAACATTCAATGCTATATACCATGCAATAACTGGACCAAAATATGAGGATATTGCATGTAATGGTCTTAAAGCTATTTATTAAGTTTCATATCTTAAAGAATCACGAATACAATTATTTTGTTGTTCATTCCAAAATTAAGTAATTTTTTCACATTTTTTTTAATCTTCTAATGGAAAATGAGATATAATTAATTATTCCAAAACAAATTTTTCAACATTGAATTCATCATTCAAAGTTTTTAAAATCAACATTTAAACTTATAAATCTTTAGGAAATTCAAAAAATCTACTTTTTTCATAATTGAATTAACATATACACTAATAAAATATTAAATATTTTTACTTTTGTTTAAAAATTATAACAAGATATTTAATAGAGATCTGCTAATCTATAAATCACATCTGGAGGTAATTTCAACACATAGAAATGATATAATGGTCTAACTATTTTATTATGTAAATTCTCCTAATATAATTCTAATTATTCAAGATTAGGAGCATGAAATATCAAAAATTCAAAACTCCATCCTCTATCTTTAAATGTTTATTCAATATTTTATAATTACAAAAAAACTATATCTTATCCCACACTAGAAGTTCCTTTAGTCTAAATTACATATTAATATCCTAATTCCGCCAAACTTTTTATCTCTTATTTAACTTATATATTTTCTTCATAGAATTCCATAAATTTTGAATTATAAGTTAATTCAAATGGTTTTAAACATCTACTATTAACAGCATCCACTGATATTCCATGAGATATTAATGTTTTCATACAATGATATTTCTCTTATTCAATTGCTAGATGAAGAGCATTAGATGGATTTTAATCAGTGAGAATATTTATACATTCATTCTTAGACTAATAGATCAAAATTAATTACTTTATTAAATTTAATATTTTTGAGTTTCTTTTTGTTTTTTTTGTTAACTTCATCTGAACTATCATAATATTCATAATCATTTTCTAAAATAGTTTTTAACATTTTTGGTTTTCCTCTATATGCAGCAATATGTAAACAGTTGAAACCTTAATATACATTCAGAAAAGGATTGCATTTTCTTTTGAGAAAATATATAAAGAATTCCTGAATACCTTATCTGGCTGACCAATATTAAAGTCGAGATTCATATTTTTAATTAATAGTCAAATCAGCTTTACTATTAAATATAACATATTTTTCTTTTGATCCATTTTCTAAATCATCATTATTAAATATTAATGTGGTTTTCAATTTTTTACCTTTATGATGTTTTCGTTTATTTTAAGGTACTTCACTATTTGGTTCTACCAATGTAGGTTGATTATTATTAGAAGTATATTGATGAAGTTGAATTAACTCATCTTAATTTGTTTCTGTAAATATTTTACTATTATTTGTATTCCTAGAATTAAATACTCTTATTTCAGGTATTTTTTCTTCTTCTGGTTCCTTCATTTCATGATGAGAATCATCAAATAATGGAATATCTGCAATCTCTTCTAAAATCTTTTATTAAACTCTTTAACATCCAGTTTTTGGTTAGGATTTTAATACTTATTAATTATTAGGCGTTTTTTATGTGCTTTTAATATTTGTATTTTTAGAAAGAAACGAATTTGAGGCAAAACTTCTATTGATATTTGAAATATTTAAACAAGGTATCCCATATCTGGATGGCTCTGATTCTGGTGATGATTCTTCCTCATCCTCTTTAAAAGGTTATATAATTGGAATTTATGCTGTAATTGTTGTTGCTTTTCGTTATTTTCTTTTTTTTATTTTCCTCTTTAGTTCTTCTTTAGATGTTATGTAGGCATAGTTAATTACTACATTTTAGAATATATCCCAAACGTCTTTCCTAAATAATATATTTATTTATTATACTTATATTGTTCAGGTCTATTATCAAAAAACAAATAATCAATAGGAAAATTTCCTTATTGTTCTGTTTCCAATTACAAATTAAAATTTTATGCAATAAAAAAATCGACTAATTCTTTATTACCATAATAACAAGCCCAATGCAATGGATTTGGTTTATAAAAGCATTAACAAGGTATTGATGCCCCATTATCAACTAACAATCTTATGGTTTTCTCTTAATTTTCTGGATTGTATTCTCCAGAATATCTAAATGAATAAAATTTTATATACCCTTTGATGCTTGCTAGTTCCAATGGAGTATAAGAATGCATATCACCCTTATTTAAATCAATCATTTATTTATATTCTTAACACCACCATTTTAACAATTTATATTAACCTAAATAAGCTGCCCAATGAACCACACTTCTATTCTAATCATCAACCATTTTAAAAAATCCTAACAATTTTTAATGTGCCAACTTCAATTAATCTTCAAAATGTTTCTTCAATGTATTAATATCTCCATCCTTAACCCATTCAAATAACTGGGTTTAAGTAATTTACATTGTAATTTTAAATATTAGAATAAAAATTATAATCAATCCAATTCCAAAATCTATAATTATCATCAATTCTTAATTATCAAATCATTGTTCTTAAACTATTATCATATTATAGCTAAAACTTTAGAATATTTATTTGGAATTCAAATTTAATTTTTTTAACAAAAACTACTTAAATCTTTATAATTCTACTCAATAAATCTACATAGTTAAAATCAGAATTATAATATTTATTTATCATTTCTATTTTATTAGATTACAAACTAAAAATTAATATATTTATTATATTGAATTCTTATTTTTAATTTAATTACTTGTACCAAATTAATTATAAACAAAAACTATTATAATCGCATAAATTTAGTCTGTTAAAAAATTTAATTATGATGATAGAAATTTGGGCATTTATTGTTTTTATAATTTTTCATTAAGAGCTAAATTATATGATTAATATAATTTAAATTGATACTTTATTAGATTTATTATAAATTATGAAAGATTTTAAACGAATTATAAATAATATTTAATAAAAATATTATTTAAAATTATTCTAATTTCTTTAGAAGAACACTAAATTTTATTGGATTTTGAAAATAATATATTCATTTTATTAGCTGGTCAACTAGGAGTTGATATGGAAATAGAAAAATGCTAACAGAAATTAGGATAAACGTACTTATTTTTGTTTTAATTCACCTATCCTTCTGTCATATGATTAATTTTAAGAAAATACACATAAAATCCAATCTCTAAAATTAATTAACAGTAATTGCAAACAAAGTACTATTGCTCATCCAATCAAAAAGGAATATTAATCTCTGTTAGAAAATATCAATCAGATAATTTAGAAATAAAATTATATTTTTTAAATTAATTTCTACATTCAGTTGGAAGATGATAAAATCATTTTATTTTTTAAATGAAATATTTTATAAGGAACACAATATTTCACTATTTTCATTTATTTCTAAAAAAGATAATTTGTATTGACTTTAGAATATTCTATTGTAAAGTCAATCATGTTAGTGGTTCTTTATTTACAATATCATAAAAAGAAGAGTTAAGAGATATCTAAAATGAATATAAAATTAAATCAAATTCTTCAAAACTGTAATTATATTATTATTTTTATCTCATTTAATGAAATTGGAAAATCTTAGATTTAAAAGAGTTAATATTTGATTAAATAAGTAAGAAAATAAAAAAATTAGTGGTTTATAAGTTTTCTAAAATAAAAAAACAATTTTACTTAGATTTAAAATATCACTTTAAAATCAATAATTTACAACACTAATTTCTAATATTTTGAAATTTAGAATGAGAAACCAATTTATAAAATTAAAAAGAGGTTAAACTCAATTGAAACAAGGAATCAATAAATTTATAGACTTCCCAAAACATATCAATCTAAGCCAAAGTTTCATAATTCAACACATCATTAGTATAAAGATATCATCCGTGTAAAGATATTAATCAACTTTCATTTAATGTCTCATCTAATATATTAATATTATATCATAGTTTTAAATTACTGAAAGAACATAAATTGTTGAAATGATGTATTTTTATAAATTTTGTTTATATTTAATAAATAAAAAATTAATGATTACTACAATTCCTATTTCTCTTCATTAATCAATAGATCGAACAGGATCTACTCATAGATTTGAGAATTAAAAATAATAGAGCATGAATCTTTTACAAAGAGTGAAATAACACTTATAATATAAGTCATAAACATTTAGGACATTTAGATAATGTGTTATTGATTCATAATAGCTTGACAAACATGTTGATGATGAACTAAATGATAAAAAGTATATAACACATATGGATAACGATGATATAAATCATCAAAAGTTGATTGATGATTGTGTTAGAGATATATTAAATTATAATAAACCAGTACCTAATGAAACCGACATATCCCCTATATTAAGAAGTGGTTAGAGATTATCATTCTCGTAAATTGCAAAGAGTATTCCTAAAAACAGAGTGAAAAGACTATCATCTACAATTTTAGTTGGACAAATGGTTAAAAATAAAGGATTAGAAAAGCCAACAATAAATTAAATAAAATTATAACAAATAGATAAAATTATTAGATAAGAAAGAGATAGAAATAGAACTGAGATAAACCAAAAATCACTTAAGATAGTTTTACCAATTATTTTGACAAAAAATTAAGAAAGAAAATCTATGAATTAATTATAAAAAAAAAATAGTATGGTAACTGCATCTTAACGTTTATTAAAAACTAAAAAAAGAGTATTCTCATAAGATCCCTCTCCACTTCTGGAAAATCATACTAGTTTTTCAATTATATCAGATTCATTTGATTGTAGTCCTAAATAATATGAATCTAATAGAAGACTTGGAACTTTAATATAATAATTAAATAATGAAAAAGATGAGATTACTACACATTAAAGAAAAATTAGAAATTCAATTGTTTTAAATTAATAAAACTTTAATAAAATTGATGAGAGATTATAGCCTGAAAATTAAGAGAAGTATAATTATCTAAAACATGAATAATAGATTTTTGGAAAAAAAAAAAGTTAATAAACATAAGTTTTTAATATTGATTCATTTAAATGATATAGCATCTATTTTACTACCTCTTTTTTTAATTAAATACAATCACAAGGAATATTTGTGGGATGTTTTTTATCAATATAATTCTATTTAATAAATCTTGTAATAATGATAATTAATATATGTCATATTATTACCAAGACTATTACTTATTTAGTTTAATCTGTATCTTTTAAAGTGAATTTTTTATAATTATTATTAACTTTAGTAGGTTTTAATTAAAATTGATTTTGTATAAAATATTTTTATACAATGCTTTTCAAAAGTAAATTAAACTTAAAGGTTTAGTAATTTGGTTTAAGATTTGATCTCTTATAGCTCTTCTCAAGTTTCTCCTTATATCTAAAGCATATTTTATAAACTCCATACCAAATTTTAAGAATTTTATCACAGGATTTGTCATAAAAATATATCATTTTAAAATCTCTTTTCTTTTTTAATCTTTATTTAAATTGTTAAAACTTTCCTATTTTAAGGAGAGATTTTTTTGAAATTTGAGCTAAGTTTAAATTAAGTATTCCTTGTTACTTTTTTTATTAGCTCCTTAATTTTCAAGTATTTATCCAATAATGAAGATTTCAATATATTTCGAATAATTGCTGCACTTGTAATCTTAAGTAAATGGAATTTCTAATAATTACAAAATTAAATTTAACTCAGAAAGCAAAAATGACATAAATGAATAAAAAATGTTCATTTTCTTAAAATCATTAATTATATTGAATATTAAAATAAATGAAAAAAATATCAAGAAAATAAGACTTTATCAAAAATAATTATCGTTTAACAAAAATTTACCTTTAACTTTGTGCTATTTTTATATTGATGTAAAAAAAATCTAATAGATAAATAAATAAATTAGAAAAAACTTTTTTAACTTTACATTAATTTGATTTGTTTTATATCTTTTTAGGTGTATTTTTTCGATTTCATATTTATTATCTTTTGGTAAATCATTTCTATAACTTCAGAATAAGAAATAAAAATATTATATCATAAAGAATATAGTTGGAAATGAAAATAAAAATTCAAAATTGAATATAAAATAGTTTATCAAATTCAAAATTTAAAATTAGTTTGCAGATCATAGATAATTGTGTTGAAATCTGTATTATTAACGATATTTTTAGAGTTCTCGCAATTAATCTAGCAGTAAAATATTTCTAAGTGTTCAATTCTAAATAATTTGAAATCAATTTTTAATCCATTAATATTGAACATAAATCCATTTTAAAAGTTCTATTTATAATATATAATATTTACTTATATTTATATTAATTAATATTTCTCCTCTAGGTATTTTTGGATTCCTTTCAAAAATAATTAAGGATGTTTTGTTGTAATGAAAGAAATATTGTATGGACCATAATAATTTTCTATTCCTTTAATATCTTAGATGCCTTGCTTTTATGTTTATTTTAATTAGGAAGGAATAATGACATTATTGAGTCTGGAAGTGAATTTTTCGACCATAAGTTTAGTATTTTCAATAGATGGTTTTGGATTATCATTAAATTAGAGTATAGAATTTTCTTCGACATTAGATTATTAAGTATGAAAGGATTATCTTTCCATTTACAGACTTGCTTATTTTTAATGAAGTGATCTTTTAGTTGAATTTATTTAAGGAGTATTTTATTTAATTGGTGTTTTATATAAATTTTAGGGTTTATTTAAATTAATCTATTATTTTTATTATTATTATTATTATTATGCTTGTTACTAAATTTATTATTATTTAGTTTAAGTAGGCTAAGTTTTTAGAGAATGAGACTTTTCCTTATTTTCTTTTAATTATTCCTAAATGATGCTCAGTTTGACAGGAGGTATAGAATTCTTTTTTGGGATTTCAGTTTTCAAATGATGACTTACCTATTGTGAATTATTAGATGGATTTTGTGAGATTGTAGAATTGTTATTTTACTATTTAGCGCTTGGTGTATTTGGTTATTTAGCTAATTTGCTCTCAAAATTTGGAGGTTCATGCAAAGATTTTGAAGGTACTGTTTTTGTAATTGATTTCTTTTATTATAAAGTTTGTTGTTGTTATTAAGTTAAAACAGGTTTTTTTGGTATAACTTAGTTAATTTGAGAGTTTTATTATTTAGTTGGAATAGATTATTTGGTTTTAACAGCCTAATTTTATTATTTTAAGGGAGAATCAATTTATGTATGAAGATGGGTTATAGATTAAATTGATTAACTTGATTTCTATCTAGTTAATGATCGCATAGACTATTAGAATTCAAAGTGATCTTCAACATTAGTAAATTATTAATCTAAATCTTCTTCTACTTTTTAAATTTGAGGATTCTATTTGATTTCCTCTTTAATAATTGACTTATTAATAAAATCTTCTTTGTCTGTAAATTGTATATCTATAGATTGTTGAGCAGTGTCACAACAAGTCTTCACATCTTCAGAAATATTTCTTTCAATATTTTTTTTTACACATGATTTATAAATACTATTTGGCAAAAGTGTACAAGAGATCTTATTAAAGGATGCTTTGAAAGGTGTCATTTAGACATTCTAAATAAATAAAAATTGATACATCTGATTTCCAGAGTTACCACCACTTATGCTATTTGATTTATTCAATATTAAACCTTTTAGTAGGATCAACAGCTAGTATATTTTTAATAAGGTCTTTGCCATCTAATGAAACATATCTAGGTATGTGAAAATCAGCAGTCAAAATTTTCTTATAAAGAACTTATGTATTATTATCTTCAAAAGGGAGATATCCACATAACATTGCATATAGGATTACACCACAACTCCAGATATCAGTTTATAATCCATAATAAGGTTTGCCTTATATCATTTCAGGAGCAGCATAACATGGACTTCCACAAGCAGTCTTTAGAGTATCCTCATAGGTGTTACTTAGTCCAAAATCAACAACTAGGATATTCTTTTAAGCTGTTAAAAGTAGATTTTCTGGCTTTAAGTCTCTATGTACTATTCTTAATTAATGAATATATTAGATTGCTGAAATAATTTCATGTAGGAATTTGCATGCTTCAACTTCATTGATCCTAATCAGATTACTTCAAGAGTACCTCTTCTTTAAATCGATATAATCAAATAATTCTCCACCGTCTGCATATTCCATAAATAAATAAATATGTGTGTCAGTTTCAATCATCTAATCATAATTACATAAGTAACTTCATAGAGCTACACCACATTTGGATGATGCAACATTTGCAATATAGTTATTTCTCTCTTTACTCTTTCAATATCTAATTCATCATTGATTCTCTTCTTTTCTAAAATCTTTACAGCCACATCATGACCTAATACTTAATGTTTGGCATGACACACTTTTCCAAATGTTCCTTCACCTATAGTTTTGCCTTAAATGATAATTCACTTTATAATAAATACCTATCAGATAATTTCCCAATTCAGTCATAATAAATATTAATTTATTCAAATTCAAAAATTATGGACACAGATTCTCTCCAACAACAACTATAACTCATTTACTAAACATTTAGTCTTGATTAATCAACATTCAAATTAATGTAAGAAATGACAAATAACTATATTTTAAATAATAAAACGAATGATTATATAGTCATTCCAAGATTGGCTTTGTGGTTGGCTTCAAAATAATAGTAAATAGTTGCAATAGACGGTTCTATTGTGTATGGTTCAGGGATATCCTTAAATTCCATTATAAATGATTGTTAAAATAAAGGAATCACTAATATTGATTAATTAATTGATGTAGCTATTAACATGGTTACAGATTTAAAAGTTGATTAAACATGTTAAAAGACATTAACTCTCTTGAAACATAACAATTAAATCCTAAATATGTTTTATTAAAAAATGGAGGCACTTTTACTTCATTTCAAAATGAATGATTAAAACATTCTTATTAAAAATATCACTTGGCTCCTATTTTTGATTACAAAAAGTAAATATCAGCAATATTCAATTAGAATCTTTAAATTTACAAGACGTTGTCCAATCTACATGCATACTGATATCAATTCTAACCACTATACTTAGTTAATTATTGAATATTTACACAACAACAAATAAAATACTCTCAGAAATAAAGAAATAAGCAAATGGAGAAGATGAGTAATAATAACAAATTTAATAATTTCTAATCAATCAATTCAAAATTTAAGACTTAGATCTATTCTCTTCAATCAATTTATAAGTCAAATAACAATATGCTGAATTAATAAAATAGAATGTAATTAAATAATTAAAGAGCAATTCAGGGTTCTCCATTTTCATGATAAGCATTATCAATTCAAATTAATACAAATTGGATTAATAATATAAACAACTCCTCAAATCGGATGAATTTGATGAAAGATTGCTCATTCCTGATAGATAAAAAAATTTAACACCTAAGAAATTAACTCCAAATCTAAATAGTCTAAAATCAAATAATATTAAATAATTGGCTATGTAATGCAAATATGATTAAAGTAGAGAATTATAAACATCATAATAATAATAATAAAATAGATATTAAAAATTGTTAAATTATGAATTAGATACTAAAATTACACTCACAACAAATTTAAGAGAAATTAAATTACCATAAACTGTTTTAATGTCTCCTTATGCTTAATAATCAATAGTAGCCACACCAATGACTGAAGCAATGGAAATGTACAATTGGATACATGAAAAATAATAACCTTTCAAAAAACTATTTAAGAATGGAACTTTAAATGTAAATTCATTATTATCCCAAACTCCTCAAACATTCTAAAATCTGTAAAACCAAACTAAATATTTTGATTTAATTGACAAAACATTTAATGAATGTATATAGTATTGTTAAGAGAGTAATCTTATTGATGAAAATAAATCAAAAACTAATTAATATTGGACTTTATATATGTTAATGTTAGAGAAATCCAATTTCTAAATTGATGAATAAATGCTCAAAAGTTTAATTTGTTTTTGTATAGAATGTGTTTATTTTGTTTTAAACAAATAATCACAACTCTTAGATCAATTAATGTAAAAATGTGAAATTTAACATTATCAACTTTGGAAATGGCTAGATTTCTTCTTAAATTAATTTGATACAAAAGTTCCACATTAACTTAAAGAACATATATTAGATATTGAAGTTAAATTTGTATCCTATTCTATTTGGTCTTGTGATAGTCAATCTGAATTGATCAAATTTCTTAATGAAATTCATTTAAGCAGATACTAATAAAATAATAATTAAATGAATCGATTATTCAAAAGAGTATTACATTATTGTGCATTTCAAATTTAAGTTATTTGTAGTAACATTAAGTTATAAGAATAATTATAAGAGTATATTTGGATTACCATTAAATATATTATCAGTGAAAAAACTGATCATTTAAGACATCACTCATTAGATTAAGTTGTTTTGGCTAGTATTTATGCTGTAACTAAGTTAACTGGAAACTAATTAAAATTTTAATAAATTATCAATGCCTATGAACTCACTAATACATGGTATTCAAAATAGTTTATAAAAAAGATTGTTTGCAATACATATATTTCTAATGATAGTATGGGTATGTATTTAATTGACATTCTTAGGTGATATTGTTTCCTATTATAACTAGAGTTTTATTCCATAAATTAAATCATTTATGTTACAAATGTCTAATGAAATTAAATCAAACAGTGTCCCACAATCACCAATGAACAATAAAAATCCTGCTTTGAATAATAAGATATTAGATTCGCCTTTAAGGGATATTCTACCAAGATAATAGAATTTTACATCAAATTTACAATCCTAGCATGCTGGTTTGATGACACCTGCAACTTAATTGTTATATGCATATTAAGAATCTCCTCTCTTAAAATAATAGGTTAAACCATAATAATTGCCAATTTCAAAAGAAAATGTTTACAACAATTCGAATATCAATAATAAAATTGATTACAGCTAGGAGACTCAAGATTTTATATTAAAAAAATGTATATTTTAATTTAATATTTGTAGTTGAATAATTAAAGAATAATAAGAGTAAACAAATCAATAGCAAAACTAGTTTTTCTATTTTACAATAGGGAACCCCTAAAATTATAAATAGTAGCAGAACAAATAATAGTGCAATGTTATAACATAATTAAACTCAAAATAGTTAATAATCAAATGAATAAAACTCAACATTTTGCAAACTTTTAAACTTTGAATAATAATGATATATATAATAATTTTAATAAATACATAATATTAGTTATTTATTTCTATTTTAAATAAAAAAAAAGAACTTTTTTTAAGAAATTAAATTTATGATAATAGTTAAATTGAAAACAAAAGCCCTGATTAAAAAGTGATGGAGTATTATAATAAATTAACTAGATTCATCTGAAATTTTAATTTAGAATCCATTTATTTTACATATTTAATGTAAAAAAATATGAGATAATTTTATGAATTTAGATTAAAAAAATGATATATCTTAGGATTATTCGAATTAGTATACATTAATTAGAATATTTATGTTTATGATATTCTTAATAATGACTATAACATACTATTAAAATCTAATAATATTTGAGTAATTCATTAATATTTTACAATATTTAGTAATTAATGATTAAATATTCTAAGTTAATTTACTTTTCAAGTGTAAATTTCAAGAATCCTAATGATTATTCAAAACTTTAATTTAAATTAAGTTCAATAATTCAACTTAAATGGCTCAGGAATAAAATCATATATATATAATGTTTAGTTCTAAATTTCTTTTTTTAATTTTGTTAGAACAACTATTTCGGGGGAAGTATATGATTAATCAAATGTTTGTTATTAATCTTAAATTTATTTATATAAGCCTCTAGATTTCTTAATTCTGAATAATATAAAAATATAATTTTATGAAACTCATTCACATAATTAGTCTTGTAAAATAATTAAATATTTTTATTAAATAATTATGAATATAATTAAGGTTGGTCTTAAGTTTAGTTCAATTAAATACCCTTCAATTGATATTCATAATTATTAATTGTATAAGTATCATTCTGATTATGGAAATTTGTTAAAAGGTTTAAAGATAGGAACATCCTTATTGCCTAATCAATATGAAATTGTTCCTTCCAAACTTAAAGGATTTCTAATAGAACAATTAAAACAGGATCAATAAATATTAAAAAAGCCAAAAGAAGTGCTATTTGTAGGCAGATCAAATGTTGGGAAATCAAGTTTGATTAATGCAATATTAGGATAAAAAGTAGCATAAACATCAAGCAAAACTGTAATAAATATTGTATTATATGTAGGGTAGTACTTTAAGATTATAATTTCACAATATTCAAACAATTAATGGTTATGTAGTGGATAGTCCTGGATATGGCTATTCTTAAATAAATGTAGATGCATAGAAATATATGTAAGGAATGATATACACCTATGCTAAATTATCATCAAGATTATCTAGAATATATGTACTAATTGATATAGAACATGGTATTAAAGATAAGGATAAAGTCATGTTAAATATGTTATAAGAATAAAATGTTAATATATAAATTGTGTTAACCAAATGTGATAAGATAAAAGAAAGAATGCTTTATGATAGATAATTGTATCTAGCTAGAGAGATTAAATAATTTAAAAATATTCATCCTATCATTCACACTGTAAGCACAAAAGATAATTTTGGAATTAATGATATTTAATATTCTCTTATTGACTCATTTTTGGTTCATCAAAGCAGATAATTATTGAATATGGAAGATCGATTGATCAAACTTATTTAAGCTAGAAATAGACCACAAAAATTAGATTTAAACAAGTTAACTAAACAATTCAAAAAAGGTTTACAATTACCAACAGACTAGAATAGTCTAGTGCATACTAAAAAGCCTAAACACTAACTCTCTTGAATTGATTGCTGTATTCTAATGTATAAAATATCACTTTATTCTCATCTATTTTATTTGATGACAACATTAAATATTTAAATTACTATGATTAAATAAAATATTCTTATAATATTTTTTTAATATGAATCAATTATTTTAGAAAAGCAAAAGTAGCTATAAGAATTAATAATACAGATTTAATAAATTTTTAAATTAAATAAATATCTAGTCTAATACATAGTTTATATTCATATTTATTCTTCAACTTGCTATTAGTCTAATTATTGTTCTCTAGTATGCTTATTCTTCTTAAGGGCATTAAAATAAGTTGCCATTTATATTACTTTTTTTATTAAATAAAAGTTTTTCTATCCTAATCTGTTTTTCCTTAGAGATGGGTTTTGAGTTATTAATTGAAGTAGCTCTTATACTACATGATAACGGTGATTTAGTCATTTATAATTTTGATTATTCTTCACATTATATTTATTAGGTTTAACTAAGTTACAAGGCTTGTTTTTAGGTATTCTTTAACTAATCGCTCTTTAAAGCAATACAACCCATAAAATTAATAAATATAAAAATATTTTAAGAATTTAAAGAGTTTTATAGATTAATAATCAGCAAAGACATAAATAGTAATTCTTGTTTAATTTGAATATAAAAACTATAATATATATATATTTTATTTTTATCCCCCATAATGTAATATGATTAAAAGCATTCATTATTAAGAAAGTAGGAAGGTAAATGAATGATATAGTTTAATGGGAAGAAATTATGCAATAGAAAATACAATGTTATTATTTTATTAGATTATTCTGTCTGAGAATAACAACTTATAATATTGATTTTAATCTATCACTTTGTTCCACTCTATAGTATTCCAAAAAAATTAGTGTCGTTAGGTTTTAAGGACTAAAATAAAACATAAAATAATACTTTTAAATTTTTTTTATTTTTTTTCTTCTTTTTATTTTTATTTGGAGTTTTATTTTCTTCAATTTGTTCTTGTTCTTAACCCTATTCATTTTCACTATCAATTGGAATATCTTCATTCTAATCCTCATTCACATCTTTCTACTAAATAGGTTAATTAATATTTTAAGAAACTTCAACTTATTTATCAAAATTATCATGAGTATTTGTTGTCACATTTTTTGTTATTTCATCAGAATTTGATTTCTACTTTTCTTCATAAATTACATATTAATCATTCTTTTATTTATTGTTTCCTTTTAATTATCTCTTTTAATTATAATTGTAATTGTTATTTGTTGTATTATAATTTTAATAATTCTAATTATTTCTATAATCCTTATATTATTCTTTTTCTTAATAAGGAACTAAATTATTATCAGATGTTGTCTTATCTGTGTATTTATAATTATCATATTAATAATATTTTTATGATTGATAGTTTTCTTTTGGTTGATTTTATTCATTTCTATATTTATTAGATTTATTATTAATTTATTTTTCATCTTTTTATTCTCTAAAATCCTCTTCATAATCATTATAATTATTATTATTATTATACTTTTTATTTTTGTAATTTATTTATTTATTAAAATCTTTCTTATCTTATTTTCCTTTATATTATGGATTTTTTTATTCATATTATTAATCTTCTAGATTGTCCTTTTCCTTATATATTTATGGTTGATCATTTTCAATTTTATCGTAGTTATTAATATCCTATTTAATACCATTTTCAGATTTTTCATTGTAATCATTTTAATCATTTACTTTGGAACTGATTGCATTTCTTTGAAATACAAGAGCAGGTTAGATTATTTTCTTTTCCTTTTCTAAATATCTTTTTTTTGCATAATATTCTGATAATGGTTCATTAGGGAACTATGGATAATGAATTGTTAAAATCGAATCACCGATTTGGGCCTTTATTTATAAAGTATATTACTTTAAATCTATGATCCTCCAATATATACAATCCAATTTTAGGGGATATCAATAGATCAATCTAATTAATATCGTTTCTTGGAAATGCCTTAATATTCTAATATTGTTTTTCAAAATATTCCTTAACAGTCTCTAAGTTTTCATTCCTATTCATAGGTTTGACCTTTAAAAGGATTTCTTAATTTGTTGTTTCAAACAAAATATTGTAAACTTCGTCATAATTACCTACATCTTTAATTCTTTATTACTTTTTGTTTATCTATTTTGTTTATTGTTTCCTTTGTTAAAATGTGAATTATTTTATTGATAATTTTTTAGACCACTTCCATCATTGTCTCTTTACTTATAATTTTTTTGTCTGTCATTTCTTGTCTTTGGTTAAAATTCTGAAATAGATTTTGTCAAAGTAGGTTGATAAGGAATCTCATTTCTGTCTAGAGTTTCGGAATTAGTTGTAAATTAACCATTTTCAATTTCATCATCTTCCTCTTCTGCTAATTCAGCCCACGTTTTCTTATTAGAACTTAATTATTCTGTTGTCATTATTGATTAAACTTATTTTATGTAAAATATATAGAATAATCATTCTAACTTAAATTCATATATTCAATTAGAATTTCTGTATTTTATCAATATTTAGAGGGGAATAATTTTGATAACAAATTTGTATATAATAATTGAATAACATATAATTGACAAAATCAGATTGATCTTCGTCAAATTTGGTTGACATTTCTCTATAATTAAGAGGCAACTTCTTCCTCAAATCTAGAGTAATTTTTGTTCCAAGCATTCAGTAAAGTAGTAGATTGAGAAGTCAATTTACTTTATTAACTGATAAATTGGATGTCTTCATTTTGGATATCATCTGAAATGTTATCCATAGTGTAGGCTAACAAAATGTCTTTGATTGTCAGTCCAACCTAAGGAGTAGTTATTTCAACAATAACTTTGTTCCCTTTATTATACCATTTTGGATAATCTAAATTGTTAATTTGAATATTTTACGTTCCATTTAATCAGAAATATCAGAAACTGAGCTCATAAAAGCAAAGCTTTCCTTAAAAGTAGGGAACTCAAATTCTCTTTTTATGACTGTCATAGCTGGATTAAATTGCCATTAATCTGATAGCTGTTGAATGTCTTTGAGTGAATTTATATGTTCTAAGTTCAATTTTGAGGTTGCTAACTTTGGAACATCTTTAAAGTCTTTTATAAAAACTTTTATTTAATCCATGATTAAATGATTTTAAGTAAATGATGAAATATATCTATACATTGTAATATTTTTTAATTTAATTATTAGAATTTCATCAATTTCTAGAGGTATATAAATCAAGAAAATGCGTGTTATTAAAATCTTATGTATTATGATGTGATTTAATAACATTTTAATTTAACTGTTAAAATCTGAATAAAACATGATAGAAAAGTATACTCATGAGAAATCATTGAATTAAAGTAAGTATTATGTAATATAATATATATATATATGTTATCAAAGTTAAACTATATTCTTTTGGAAACCTTAGAAAACATCTTCGGTTTTAGTAAAATTTGAATTCCAATTGTTCAACAATTGATTTGTAGATACCTTAATAGTATCACAAACATTTTCAACTGTTTGATTTTCAACATGATTTGCAATACTTTCCATAGTATAAGCTAATAAAATATCCTTGACTGATATTCCTCTACAATCCTAGGTTGTCATTTCGACAGTCACTTTATTTCCTTTTTAAACCCATTTTGGGAAATCTAATTATAGAATAAAGAATTACGTTGCATTTAATCAGCAACTTAAGAGACTGATCCCATAAAAACAAAGGTTTATTTGAAATTAGAGAATTTAAATTCTTTTATAAGTTTTGTAGAATCTGTGCTTTATTGCCATTATAATGAATGAATTTCCAAAGCTTAATTAATTTCTTCTGTATTTAATCTCGAAACAGAAATTGAAGGAATATCTGAAAAATCTCTTACGAAAATTTTAATGGAATTGATTAAAGCAGGTGTTCTGAAGCCAAGCTCACTTGAGACATATCTGTACATGACAATTAGATAATATAATTAATAAATATTGAATATAATTCCATCTAACTTATCAAATTGTGAAAAGTGCGAACCATTTAATTCCAACGTAATAAATATGAAGAATTAATATTTCGGTTATTTTTTAATAAAATGAAATAAATCATTGTTGTATGAAAAAACCAATATCCAATGTCAAATAAAAATCATCTATTACATTAAAAGGAATAAGTAATACAATAATAACAATTGAAATTTACAAGAAAGAAAAGAAATGGATCAAAATTTTCTAAAATTCATTAAAAGTGAATTCATCATTTTTAATCCCATTTCAAATATAATTGTTTAATTCTTATATTTCTATCAGAATCTTATAAGGATTGTTTATTTTTTTAGTTTTCTAAATTGTGTTTCTTTCAATACTATATAATTTTATATATATTTTGATAATGTCAAGCATATTTTTTTAAAAGGTCTATTCAAACAAAAAATAGAAAGACTTAGTTTCATTAATGAAATATATTTGATTTGTTATTAAACAACGTCATTATAAATATTATTCTTATTAAAATACATATTTTATTAGTTATTAAATTAATAGAGAGTATAAAGCGGAATGACGCATTTTCATATCTTTATTATTTAAAATATTTTGAAAAAGAAATGGACAAGTTGTATATTGGTATTAGAGCTGAAGATAAGTCTTATTGGGAAAGAAGAACTCCAATTCCTCCCCATGATTGCAAATATATTATGGAAAAAGTAAAACTTAAATTAATTATCTCAGCATCCTTAAATTTAAATCATCGTACAGCCATCAACAAAAAGAATTTTTACAGATGAACAATATTTAGAAGTTGGATGCTTAGTTTAAGAAGATTTATCTTAATGCAAAGCCATTGTTTGTATTAAAGAAATCCCACTTGATAAATACATTGAAGGAATGACTTACCTACATTGGTCACATACTATAAAAGCCTAGCCACACAATATGCCTGCATTGGATATGATGTTAAAGAAAAATATTAGACATTTAGATTATGAAAGAATATATGATGAAAAGGTAATCAATAAAAAATATATTATTAATAGGGTGTTAATACTACTGCATTTCCATATGCAGGTATAGCAGGAGTAATTACATTCATGAATGAATATGGAAAGTATTTACTCAAAAGAGACATTGCCACTCCATTCCTTTAAATAGGCCCAACTTATTAATATTTTAATAAAAAAGATGCTTATTAAGCATTGAATGTGGCAGGATAAGCCATCAAAGATAGAGGATTACCAAAAGAGGCTGGATTACCAATTATTATTGGTGTTCTTGGTTCAACAGGATTGTGTGGTAAAGGTTCAATGGAAGCCTTATAAAATCTTCATATCACACTGGTTAAACCATCAGAATTGAAAGAATTAGTGAATACTCCAAATGATCCTAAACACAGAAGAACAGTTTATGTTTGTCCATTCAAAACAACTGATTTAGTTAGACATTAAGAAGATTATGATAAAGAATTTACTTCATAGGATTACTACAATCATCCAAATTAATATACACCTGTTTTTCATACTAAGTATTTACCTTATTTAACAATTATTATTAATGACATATATTGGGATCATAAATTCCCTAGATATGTAACAAATTCATAAATGAGAGTAATAATAAAATATAATAAATTTAGGATTTAGTTTAATCAGGAAAAAGTAGATTATAGGCAGTATGTGATGTTACTTGTGATATGGAAGGATCAATTCAATTCTTAAAGAAATATACAACACCTGATAATCCTGTTTATTTTTATGAACCGGTTTCTGAATCCATCCATGATGAATTTGATGCAAAATCACCTAAGGACATCATGTACATGTCAATCGATTTCCTACCATCATAATTGCCATATGATGCTAGCATTGATTTTGGTATTGCTCTTAGAGATATTGTTCCTCATCTTGCTTATTCAGATTCAAATAAACCATTAGAAGAATGTGGTCTACCTGTGTTTTTACAAAATGCTATGATTACATTACATGGATAGTTAACTCATAAATTTTAATATATTACTCATTTAAGAAATATAAATGATTAATTAAAAGAAGCTGAAAGTTTCTAACCTAAAAAGGCTTTAAAGAAAGTTCCTTCCTATTTGGCTATCAAATTAACAGGACATTTATTCGACACAGGTGCTATCAATAAAATCTTATCAGTAGTTTAATCGTAATTATTTTACTTATTCTCTTAGTGGTTGCAAATTCAACATTGTAGATATTCAAGCTGGACAATCTGATAATTAACAAACTTCTTGTTTACTTTAATTATATAGTAAAAACAAAGGATAATTAATGGATGAGGTTGATAAAGTTATTTAATTATGTGAGACCTTAGATATCTAAGTTGATATGGAATGATTCATATAATTCATTTAATATGATTGAAATAAATATAAAATCTTAATTATATATTTATATATATATGTATAAAGTAATCTAAATAAAGAAATTTTTAGAATAAAAAAAAACTACACATAATTGTAATATTATGTTAATCATTAATTTTCTACTTAAGTTAATATTAGTCCTTTTTTATTGGTTCGAATGAACCCTTTTTTATTCTTATAAAATTTACTAAACTTTTTAATTTTTTTCTTGATTATTGGTACTTTGTCTTTAATAGGTTCAATTGTTGTCATATTTTTGCATTAAATACATTTGCAATTAGAATTACATTACATACCTTTTGCAAAACAATCACAATAACCTTTCAAACAAAAGTTTTTCTTACATTTACATCCTTTTTATTCTTTTTATTCATAAGCAATAGATCTTTGTATTTATTAACTCATAAATGATTTATTATTACTACAATCTACACATTTACATAAATTTGAACATGATTAACCATCTTTTGCACAAAAACAATATTTAGAAGAACATTTTCTTTTTGTACAAGAACAACCAACTTTTTTTTTTTTGTATTTTGGTTAATCTGTTAAATCTAATTTTGTTTTTGGTTATAGTTAAATTTGACTTAGTTAAGAAATGTCTAATATTGGTTATGAAAATTATTATGACTCAAAAATCTAATTAACAAGTGATTAATCCTCGTCATCCTGTTGAGAATGTATTGGTGAATTAATACCAAATAAAGGAGCATTAATTGGAGATGCTTACATTATTATTGAATTTTCTGGAGATTAAATAGGACTAGCTTATTAAATTTAAACTGGATGTATTATTGCTTGTTGCATTGAACTTTATGGATGATTATATCATACTTAATTTGTATAATTTATTGGAATGTTGGATAACTACTCATAATCTAATTATTTGATGCTAATCTGAAAAAATCATTTGATTCTGGATCCATTATAAAATAAACAATAAATATAATTGTTATTTTAACTCATAATCCCTTAAGAATTTCATTAAAATGTACACTTAATACAAGATCTATAGTAATTATATGAAGTAATTAAAGTGAATTAATAATTATTCTGAATTAACAATTAGAATATGAAGCCAATAAATTTAGAATTACATTTAATAAATTATTTTAAATTAATATTTCACTTTTTCTTTTTCCCTTTTTGTTCCCTCAATTTTCTATCTTATCTTTATTAAATTTCAAGTTTTTCTTTCCATTATTAAGATTAATCAAAATCTTTCAATTTCCACCATAATAAATCCATTCTGAAATTAGCATCTGATGGAATAGGATATTATGCTAATTACATTTTAACAGGAAAATCATTATGAATACAAATTAATTTTTAATTATCAATCTATTAATAATAATAATATAATATACTTTTATCTCATTAACCCATATTCCTTTTATTTTATGTCTTATTTACTTTATATCTTATTTTAAATCTAATCCTTTATATTTACGATATCCATCTTTGTGATATTTTTAAATTGCTACATCAGTAACATCACAAATAGCTCCACATAAATAATCTTATTGATTTAAATATTCTATATCAAAATATTAACAATATTTCTTATCTGGATTAAAAGTAACTTCACCAATTATTTTATTTTTGATATCTATTATAAATTACTTTTCTAGATAATTCATAACTTTATCACCATAAGTTGTTCCATTCAAACTACCAGGTGCCAAAGTTATCAATACTATTTAATGAGGATTTTAAAAACTAATTTTTAATGTTCCAACATTTCTTCCAACTACTGAATTTGAATTAAAATTAGCTATCAATTCCAATTAAGCATCTATTCTAATAGCTATTATTAATTATATTCTACCTATATTATCTACCATACATTTAAATGGCACAAATAGGAGGATGATGACTAATCTATTCACAATAAATAGGACAATTATCATAAAAACCTTAAAATGTCTCTCCTAAAATTGGATTAAAGGGCTTTAATATATTAATTCAATACTTTTTCACAAGATAAATACATAAAAATAAATCCAAATTAAAAAGCAACACATTATTTAATTCTATAATAAATATCTTAAGATTAAGCAGCATCTTCTAAATAAATAGGTGCAAATCCCATACTATTACATACTCTTTCAGTATTTGATCTAGCTTCAAAAATAGTAACTGGCATTGATATACTAGTAATAGATTTACCCATCATAAGAGAAGCACCAATTCTAGTTAATAAAAATTTAATGACAGCTTTTTAAGCAGCCAATTTTTCTTCATTAATTACTTTTAATCCTCCATTCTTTTCTTCTCTTATAAAATCCTTCTTGAAAATATAATGACCACCTTCTTATTAGGTTAATAGCTAACGTTATAAAGGATCAAATTCTTTAGGTTATAATTAATGTATTATTTTAATAGAAAAATAATTATAATTCCCAGATAAAACTAACTTCATCTTTTTATCAACCCAATCTTGAATATTATCTAATGAATCTACTTATGATGGTAAAATTGTTTATTTTCTTACATTTTATTCATATTCATCAATAATAACATCATCTTTATTAGAATTACTTTCAACCATAAATAATTTATCATTCATGGCATCTAATTCTTCACAATCATAAAATTAATCATTATCTTCTTTATTATTTATTTCTGTATTTTTTAATTCATTTTATTAATATTATTTATCTTATTTATAGATTTCATTAGACTTATTTTAGAGATTCTCATTTTGAATAATAATACTTAATTCTTACAAATTAATTATTTGTCCTAAGAATAATTATATAAGATAAGCATCTTCATTTGAATAAGTTAAACCTTACATTGATTGTTCAGAAAAATAATACACTTTAGTTTATTTCTCACTAAATATAGAAATACATTTAATACTTTGCTTAAATTCCCCATACACCATATTTAAGACTTCCTTAATAATTTTTAGTGTATGATTTTTGATCAATTTATTTTTATACAATAAAATCAAGATTATCAATTTTAAAATGATGTTACAAATATTGAAATTCTCTTTTAAATATAAATAAATTTGATAATTCTCTTATTTCACATATCAAAAATGATTTATCTTCATATAATTCTTTAATCATTTTACTATCTTATTTACAAATATATGCATTCCACTAATTTATTTTATTGTAATCTGTTAAATTCTGAATGATTGTCTCTTGACCTATGTAATTTCAATAATTATATGAATATTACAATTGCCGTCAAATTCCACAAAAACTTTAAATTAATGATGATTGTATTAATTTCTATATATTAATAATTTATTTTCAATTACTAATTTAAAATTCTCCAAATTATGTGATCCCTTTCTAATATTAGCAATACTACTTTAATACAAATATTACCTATCCCTTATCTCACTAATATCAAAAAAGCTTGGAATTTCGTAATCTATTGAATTTATCATCATTTCTGACTAATATTTATTAAAATGGTACAATGTTGATTATTGTTGATCTGATCTTAGATATTCTTTTAAATATTCTCATCTTTATTCGGTATTACATCTATTCTATTACATAATTCTTAAAGAACACTAATAATTTCATTTGCTTTCTATTCACTCTCTGTTCCAAGAGTTAAACACTTTCCTCCAGTTTTCGAAGTTAGATCAAATGATATTTTATCTTTTTTCCTCTCTTTATTCTCTACCTAAAATTTATATTAACTATAATAAACCTAATACTCTTTTAGAAAATAGGGTTTCAACCTTGTTTTTCCTTTAGAACTCCTTAGAGCAAAAACTCTCTTTTTCTCATCAATAATAAATTTTTTAGATTCCCATCTACCAAATGTTTTTCCTTTCACTAAAATTTCACCTTCACTTATCTCCATTGAAGGTTGATACTAAATTGGATGAGAATCCATCACTGAATTGACGCATTCTTGAATAAAATTAGAAATATTCATAAATATTAACCAAATTTATTGATACTCAATAATCATTGCATACTAATAAGTATTATCAAAAATCTAAGATTCTAATAATTCTCTATTATGAATTTTTCATAATTATTTAATATATTTTCTTTTCCTTTTTAAATATCTAAATTTCCAATCTGAATTTTAAATATCTATATCAATTCTTTACCTTTATTAAATATGAAATTAACATTTATGATATATTGAAATCATATATTCATTTTTCTAATTTTCTTTACCATCATATTAATCAATTGCAAATGAATATAATATCCAATTATATTTATATTTTTGAATTTATAAATATAGAACAGAATAATCATGCTGCAAATTCTATATGCCGTTAATTATTATTGATAAAATACATAACTAAATCATATTTTAGTTAAAATTAAATTTCTTCAATCTTAATATCAAGTATGCATTTAATTCATATGCTAATTGTTGCTAATTTATTAATGTATATAAATTTTAATTTTCTTAATTCAGTATCTAAATTTAGTATTTGTATATTTTAACTATATTTTCTCATCAAGTTCTATTGAAATTGATATCCATTTGATTATTGAGTTAAATATGAAATTACTTTAAATTTCTATATAAATTTTCAATACATATTTAAATAAATGATAATAGTTTATAAAACAAAATTATTTTCTGACTATAAATCAAATTGTATAACAATTAGATGTATTTATTACATACAATATTAATATATTATAAATATCTTTTTTTCTTTAATAAATTTTATAAACTTTTCAAAGATTATTTTTTTGATTAATTGATCTCCTTTCTATATATAGTTTGAGAAAAACAATGATAGATCTATGATTTCAAATATTAATTTTTTAAATACACATACCTTTATAAATTGATTATTTAAGGATTCATAATAAAATCAATTTTAATTAGAATATAAACTAAATTATTTTCTTTATTTTATAATAATAATGTAATTATTTTATTACATTTTAGGTCTAATGAAGCATTTAAATGTCATTTAAAATACTAAGATAATTCAGAATATTAATAATACATCGTAAATTCAATTTTATAGGATAAAATCATTGGCAATATTTTTAATGAATGTTAAGTTCATTAACAAGAATTTAATCAAAATATAATATAGATATTGAAAAATCATAAAAGATTATAGGAACTACTTAAAAAGGTGAATATTGAATTTAAAAATAATAACATAATTACATTAAAAAGAGTTGAAGTTTTTACTTTAATTTTAATGATGTTCTTCAATTTAATAGAAAGATAATTTAAATGTGGTAATTTTTATTAGATAAATATGGAAGAGTTGAAATCATCGAAATAAATAGTTACATAATAAAAATTGAAGTGTATTACTAATTATATTAAATTATTTTTTTCTAATAGAGAATTGATTGAATAAGAAGAAATTCAATTTATAAAAAATAGCATAAATGAAGAATAATACTTTAAAAAATAATCAATTCTTAAATCAAACTAGCCTATAAATTTTAGATTTACAAGATAAAAAAATGAAGATCAAATTTAATCGACAGTAGTTGATTTTGCCAATTAAAATATAGGAGGTTAGGCATTAAATTATAAGAGTTGTACTCAGGAAGATGTATTATAAATATATATTAAACAAATAGATATTAATGTTATTATATACTGAGGCTATAATATGTGTGTTATTTGTAGAACCAATGAAACCAAATGAAGCTGTTTTAATTCAAAATCTTATCAAATATAATAACTATATGGGATATGAAAGTACATTCCAACATAAAAATTTGGAATAATTCAAATGGGAAGAGAAGTATCATTTATTAGTAAAGAAGATATAAAAAATATTTTATAGGCTATTGATGCTGAGGAATTCTTTGATGATAAAGATTAATTTAGTTAAAAAAATATTAATAGAGAATTAATTAAATGTTATTCTGGATTTGAAATTGCTTTATTGAGATAACCACATTTCTCAATTTCGACTGGTAAGTGGGGTTGTGGAATATTTAAGGGAAATCCATATTTAAAAACTTTAATATAGTTAATGTGTTTTGGTTAGGCATGTAATGTAACAAAAGATAAAAAAAATTAAATTATATTTAATGTTAGTAGTGATATTGAACTTTTTAATTTTGGTTAAGAATTAATTAAAAGGAAAGAATTAATAACATTGAATAATATATAGGTAACATTAAAGACAATTTAAAATAATAAATTTAATAATAATGAAGAATTGAAAATGAAAATATTGAATGAATTATAAAAATAATATAATTCAAAGAGATATCCATTTAGTAAAGCTTTATTAGGTTGTGTTATAATAAGTTTTGCTGGTGTTTTATGGAATTGGCATAAAAATTGAAGGTTGAGAATTATTGTGTGATTTAAAAATATAATTAATAAACCAAATAAAATATGAGATAGCAACAAAGAATTTATTTCAGCTTAAGATTAGTTGAATATTTTTTCCTATTCATTTCTGCTACAATTCCTTAATTCAAATAGTTGTCAAGTATAAATGTAATAGTTATTATTTTAAAGGAGGAATTTCAAAAGGAAGAAAAGCCTTTAATAACCTAAAAGTTTTGAGAATATCAAGAACTTCAATATTTGGATATATTTAATCTGTTTATTTACTTGTTGATTAAATTTGTTTTATTTAATATGTTAGTGGATATACAATTATACCAATGGATAAATTATGTAAAACCTTATGGACAATAGTGATCATTCTTAAACCAATTAATTAAAAAAGCAGTTCTTTGATAGGAATTTTTTTAATAGGGAAGTTTTTAGATGGTCTAATTGGATTCTCATCTTCATATATCATGTTGTTTGAAATACCAGTAGCTATAGCAGGATTGTTAGGAGTTGGTTCCAGTTTGATTTAATTATATTTAATATGAAAGTTAATAAAAGTAATTAAAATGATAGGCTGCATAAAACTATCTGAAAATCTATAAGTATATCAATTCAAATCATATCTTAAATTTTTTAAGAGTAAAATAAAGAATATTAAATAACAAGTATAAAAATTATAAACAAAGGTTTCATAAATTTGTTTAATGCAAATTTACATAAATTTTTGGCAGAACTCTTCATTTAAATACAAAAATATAGAGCGAAAGCTTAAGAAGTTTAGGATGAGTTTCTGAATGGCCATTTAAAAAAATTCTATATATGAAATTATGTTTGAATAAAATTAGGAATAAGATTTTAGCAAAAGAAAATATGTTTACATATTTGGATTAAGAACCCTAAAACAGAGATTGAAAAGATAATTAGAGCAATTGAATTATTTTTATCATTCATCAAGAGATCTGACAATGGCTTATATAGAATTTTTGAATTCAGAAATATATTTATTTTTATATAATAATATCATTCAAGTTGGATTCCTGCATGTTGTAGTGATCTAATAACTAAGTCTTCATATTCTTCAAGTGAAACTTAACCATCATCATTAAGGTCAGTCATTCTCATCCATGATTTGACATCTTCTTAAGTGGGATTATATTGAATACCCATAGATTTATATGTCTCAATCAATAATTAAGGAACCTATACGATATTTAGAATGAACATACTTCATTTTCAGTGATAAATCCAGAATTATCTTAATCAAATTTACGAAAGAGTCTTCTAGCAACATCTAGACGATCTTCAACAAATTTAGAATACTATCTTTTGGGTCTTTTAGGTGACTCACCAGTTATTCCAACTAAGTATTTGATAGCCAAAGCTTCAATATCTTAGATTGTAATTTTGCCATCTCCATTTCTATCAAGGATTCTCAAATAGGTATCAATATCTGATTTGCTTGGATTGAATCCTTTAGACATTCCTTTATATGCATCTACCATCATTGGTGCTACTTCTCCTTGATCTAAGATTCCATTTCTGTCTCGATCATAAGATTCAAAGAGACGTCTTGCAACATGTTTTGCTGACTCTACATCACATATTCCTCCTAAAGGAATTTGAGAACGAAGAACTGATGAAGCCATTGAAATTTCAAATTTATAACGATTAAAAATAAAAATGATTTTTTATTAAAGTATTTCTAGGAATCATGATGTTATTTTGCAATTAAAATATTTATGTATATCTGTAAAAGAGAGAGAGAAGAAGAACCTTATAGACATTAATTAACCTTATATGAAAAGAGAGAACTCTGGCATACACTCCTTGAAAATAGAGGGAATGTAAGTTTAGTGGCATAGAGAATGGGAAAATCTTAGGAAATAATAGAGTAAGAAATATTGGAGATATTTGTCGAATGTTTATTAATAGTTAATGATCATTTGGGATAAAGCAAAAATGAAGCAATAATATAGAAATTGAAAGTAGAAAATGTAGTCTCTGTAATATAATTGGCTTCTAGAAATAATTCCTATTATACAAGTGTAAAGAATCTAAATTTATTATTAAATATGATTCAATGTGCATTGCAATAGGATGATTTGGAAAAAAATTTGAGAGATTTATAAAAATAATCTAAATTTGAATGTTTATTTTTTGAGATAAAATGCTTATTTTGGGATCAAATAAATGATCTATCAGATGAAGAGTAACCATAAATAGTAGTTGTTAATAATGATGCATAGACTAATGGAACATTTAGGGATATATATATAGATTTAGATTTAGATTTACAATAAGAGGAATAGAACAAATAAGACAAGAAGAATATGATATCAGATAAGCAATTTTTAACACATTTAAATAAAATAATGGCAGATAAATAGATTCCATATTGGGAATAAGTAGTAATTAGATGGAATCTTATGTAAAATATATTTAATAATTGATTTTTATAAATTAATAATTTTACTTAATAATGAAATATTTTATATATATTATTATTATTATTAAATTAGAATAGATTTAAAGAAGTCTCTCATATTCAGTATATTATAAATCAATATATGTATAAAAATATAGAAATCAGTTTATCAATTTAAACTATTCTTTGGAAATAATAAAGAGATCATAATTTGATTTAAAAATTATCATTTATTATAATTCAACGTATTTTTGAGTGCCTATAAATATGTTGTTACAGTATCCACTTCCTCTTTTCTTAAAGCTACTTTCTTTTATTCTGTCATTTTTTTTGCTGCTTAACAACACTGTTTGTTCTGGAATTCTAAATCAAACACATTATTCTAATTCTCAAATCTATATGTAACATGAAGCATTTTTAAATTAAGTCTCTCTACCATTTCATCTGTATATTTCAAATTATGTGAAACTATACACTTAGCTGCACTCTACCCTTATGTCAGATCCATGACTACTAAATTATAAGAATCCTCTAAAATGCAACAATCAATGTTTTGATATTTGCATATATGTTAAATAAATTAACAATATGGTTCTTCTTACAAATTATAGACATTTCCTGAAACATATTTCAAATTAGGACCATCCCCAAATGGTTTGGGATTGTCAAGTATTTTTTATTCTTGTTCTTCAAATCCAATTAGAACTGATGCTGTATATTTCAATATCAATAAAATCATCATATCTTTTCTAACTTTGTCTTATTGATTTGCAGGTTCCATAAAATAAATACTTTCATTATGTTTGATATCAATTTAACAAACACCTTTTGGAGTCATTTCATACAATAATTATATATGTGTTTATGGCCATATTGATATGGATGTCTTGCTATAAATGATATAAATTTTTTATTACTTTAAGACTTTATATTCTGTATAGAAGAATTCAATAACATAATGAGCTTCTAATGGATTATTAATATATTCATTAATTTTTTGAATATGAGTCAATACAATATTTTTAAATTTATCTTTGTAACGTAAATCATAACTCTCAAGATCTGTTCTACAAAAGTCAATTAACATTTAAATTGATAATATATATGTTCCTAATCTATAAGGTGGTAATCCTGTTTCTAAAATACCTAATAATTTATCTTGCATAAAAAATGAAGTTTCTGAACAATTTTTATACAATTCCATGTTTTTATCAGGAGTGATCATACCAACTTATTCTAAAATAGAATGAGATATATTCTTTTAATGTCTAAATGTTTTAATGAATAATAAGACCATAAATACAACAGTATCATCATTACTTTCTAAATGTTTCATTAAAGCATAAAATGGTGTTTTATTGTTATTTGTATTTCCATTTACTTTATTTTTATCATTTCTTTCCAAAAAACTCAAAGCTGATGTTTTACTTTTATTTTATGATTTTACTATTGTTATATCACACATATCAGTAATACTAAGTAAATCTTCATATCTTTTAGAATCATTTATTAATGGTTTAAAGTGTTCACAATTTACTTTTTAATATAATCATATAATTATACATTCTCTTTTTATTGATTATGTTTCATATGATGAAACTCCCTTTAATAATTCATCTTTATCATTTATATTGATATCACCACTTATTTCACAATCTTTATATATGAATTAAGAATATGCTTGAATGAATGTTTTCTCTTTTATTATCCATGTCTCACTCATACTAACATCCTTTTCATATGAATTTAATTTTGAATTAGAATCTAATATTAATTAACATCTTACTTAAATCAGTTATAAAATCAACAATTTCAGGATCCTTTCCTAATATAAATAATGTTAATAAATCCAGAAATTAAGTGAAACTAAAACTTTTGTATATTTGAATTAAAATAAATAGACAAAACTTAATATCAATTATCTATTATTATTATTAATTATTTGTTTATTAGGATGATGAAAATATATTAGTAAATGTAAAATTACCTAATGATTATCCACGATTATGTTAATATTTTTGAGATTATTAATAATTCATTGATTATCTTTATGGTTATTAATTTTATTTTATAGATTATTAGCCACTCTTAATAACTCCCATTATTATAGTTGGAATAAATCCATATACCATTATTGAATTAACAATTATTGGCAAAGCATCTACATTAGTTTTTAAGAGATCTTCCAAAAAGTATAAAATATCTAATTAGTCATCCAATAATAATTTTATTATTTTATGTGATTCTTGTCTTCCTTCTTAAATTAAACCTCCAATATAAAATAGAGCATCTCTCATATAACAACTAAATTGAACATAAAACAATGTGAATGGAAAAGAACTCACATATCTACGCAATTATGGTATGTTTATTTTAGTAATTCCTAAAACTATATTTCTCACACTTGTTCTTATTAAATTTTCTTTATGCTTGTAAAAACAGATGGCCTTCATTAACATTGGAAATGTGCTAAATTTCTATGGAGATTGGAATTACATACCAAATTATAAAACAATTATAAACTCTGTTCATCAATCCTAATTGAAACACATTTTAATAAATTTATGTAATAAGCTATGATTTCATCATCTCTAAAATTATAATCTGCTGTGATTATGCCATTCAATGCACTATGACTTAATATGTAATTTATGCAAACTGGTCTTTATATATTTTGTAATAGCATCGTAATTGCTTTAATTACTGCCACTACAACTTCCCTTTATCCAGTATGCACTAAATCTAAGTATAATGACATTGTCTTTTGATCACAAAAGTAACTAGATTAATTTTTAAATAGAATGCTTACTCAAAAAATGTGTCATTGTTCTTATCTCCCCACATAACACTTTAACATATCTATCCAATTTGATCTACTACATCATAATTATGATGTGACATTTTGCATTGTAATTACTCATATGCATCACTATATTAAACTCAATAATAAAGTACACTAAAGAATCTGGGTCAGATTATAAAGGTGTCTATTTCTACATATCAATATAAATATATATATATATTTAATAATTTTATTCAATTTTAATTCTGAAAATCCATTAACAAATTATCAATGTTCCATAAATCAAAATAATTTAAATTGTTCATCTTCAAATTAAACTTTTTTTATGATTTTCAAAATATATTTCATGCAAATTATTTATATAAATCATATAAAAAAATATATAATTGTTTTATATGATTAAATTAAATATTTCAATTCTAATAGAGATAAGTGTGATGTTATTTATTCCCTCAAAATATATATCAATCTAATTCCTCTATATATTTTTATTTACCCTAAATCTCATTTTTTAGAATCATTAACTCACAAAATTAGAATAATAGAATTAAAGATCATATTTATAAAGCTTAAAATTTATTTCCAGAATAATTTTCTTTAAATATCATTAAGGTTATTTTGATTTTCTATTAATTTTTGGAGTAATAATCTCGTTACTATAAGCATTTTTTTATGTTAATATAGCAATTATTCATATTTGACTTAAAAATATAAATATCTAAATTAATAGATATGCAATTATACGAAGAACATCTGAAGTCTTTTAATGTAAGTCTTTCCTTTCAAAGACTTCTATAAGATAAAATAGGCAGTGAAGAAATAGTCCTCACAACAATATGCCAATTTTCAAAGCTTCCTGTAACAATTCCTATTAGACATTCTCCTATCAGCTATGTTCACTGTATTTTCGATTTAGAAGCCTGGATGGAGCATTTCAAAAATATGCAAAATAAAGTTGAACCCACGTAATGAAATTTTATATTAATAGTGGGTTTGCTTGTCCAGGATGCAGGAGATACACAAATTTTAAGGATTATGGAGTAGATTATACATTCTATCATGTGTTAGAAGAATTAAGACAATTCAAATAGAAGAATTCGCATCTCTAATTAAATGAATAATAATTGATCTATTAGCCAGGCAAAAATACTTACCTTATTGAAACAAAAGTTAACAATAAGTTGTCTTCTTCCTTGAAAAATAAAATAAAGTTAGTACCTCAAAGATATCAATTACCAGGTTCAGTTCCAATATTAGGTGTGTCTAGAAGATAAAAGTAAATAAACAAAGAACATTAAAATGATGATCAAAGAAGAATACTCGATGAAATAAGTTAAACCATTGTCAAATTACAATAACTTTTATTCAGTAAACTCTATAAGGTATTCAAAAAGAGTCAAAACCTCTCTTTTATAGCCTTATAAGACAAAGTTGCAGAACATAAGCAAAAATTTAAATAAGCTCTAACTCAATCTTTAAAATTAATCTCTTTAGGAAAATAATCACTTAGTGATGATTATGTATTTGCTTTAAAAAAGATCTATACTAATAACTAAATCTATTCGATTGTAATCATTCAGAATTAATTATTAGTTAATTGTTTATTTAGTCCAATATGGTATATGGTATGAGTATCCACTCACATTCAAAGGCTAACCTTATATTCAATTAGAACAGGCTTTATATATTAAAGGAGAGTCTGATCAAAATTAGAATGTTATTTATGTTATTGGTGGACAAAAGGCAGAAAGATTCACTCAATCTAACTAGTGTTTGTAGATAACATTTCCAAAAAACCCATTTTAAAAAATTGAAGAAGATGCACTAATTACATAATTACCTGATTTTCCTGTAGAAGGATATAATTTTATGGGTACAAGTTATAAAGGGTATATTAATTATGATAAAATTTAGAAATCTTTATGTTTTTTATGGATAGAAATAATTGAAAAACCATGACAATTAAATTAAATGTTAATTATTGAATAGTCAATATGTTTTAAAAAATACTACATATAATAGAAAGTGGGAACAAATGAAACATAACTTGATTGAAAGATTTGATGGTAGTTTCTTTACTATTTCACATTAATAATTTGATAAGTTAATTGTATTCTTTGGTGGAGTAACTAAAGATCCAGATGGTTTACCTAACCATAGATGTTAATAATAAAATTCAGGATAGATATTTATCTGCAAGGATGAAAAATTTTTGGGAGCTTAAAGATAAGATTTCACAATTTCATATGCTGGAGAGGAAGCATATCATAGATCAGTTTTAGCTTCCCCAGTTTTTAGTTGTCCTTATTATGGAACAAATCAATTAATTCTATCTGGAGAATGCTTAAAATTTAAAAATACTGAATAAAGAGAAATTTATTCATTTGATTGGGCAAATGCTGTAATTTAATAAAATGAATTATTCTCATTGGAACCTCCTGAATAAATATTTACTCCCTATAGAAGAAGAACTGTAGGTTTTGAAATATTTTCTCCAGTTTAAGATCCTTAGGGAGCAATATCTTATGGATATTTTTATGCTATTCATTAATATGAAGTTGAACAAAATTTGAATGATTAAAAACCCAAAATTATGACTTAATTGTTGAAAATCAATTTGACAAATGGACTATGTATATTTTGTATTATAAATATAGTTTTCACATTACCATATCAAGACTCCTCAACTTCAAGACAATTGGCTCTATAAAATTTACAAAAATTAGGTGACAGACCCAATTAATATCTTTGAGAAATAATGTTCATTTATAAAAATGGTAAAAGAATATAATATTAATAAAAATTAAAAAACATTCAATATCTAAATTGACAATTATCTTTTCAGTCCTTTTTATTTTATAATGATTAGTAATTAAAATGGTGCCCTTTTGATTTAACTCTGAATAGGTTCATAGTTATCTTTATAAAAAATTGACATTATTATAATATTAAGAAATATTTTAATGAACTTTTTGTATTATTAAAATTATGCAATAGATTTGTGATTTCCATTTGAGATATATCAAATTCATTTGTGTAGATAATTCATGTAACAACAAATTACTATGTGATGATTGTTCCAGAACCTCTAATGAACATAGCAATCATAAAATAGTAGATGCTGCAGCATTTTTGTAATAGACAGAAACATTTTTAAAAGGAGGAAAGTAAATTTTATATTGAAATATCAGTCCTGACTTTGCATTATATGGAAGTGATCTTGGTAATAAAACTAAAATCTTTCTATCTAATAATGGAAACATTAGACATGAAATTAGAATGAATTTTTTAAGAAAATTAGAAGACTCTATTGAAAAATATTTACATTAAATGATTGATGGATTATAATCATCAAAAAAAATGATTGTTGATTTTATTAATCAATCAATTGAAGACTGTTTTTCAGCATAAGTTTTAAAGTAAGTTTCATAAATTACAAATAGCAATCGAGAAACTGGTCATATGATAGTTTAAACAGTAATGAGTGCTTTAAATGCTAAAATATCAACTAAGGAAGCAAACATTCTGTTATATCGTTTACATACAGGAGACTTAGAAAGAGAACATTATGAAAAGAAAGTAAAGAATATTTAATAACATTATAATAGATATAAGCATTAGTTGAATTATTTCATTAAAATGTGAAGATATTATTAGAACCTATGTCTAATTAAGTCCATAAATATTTAAAATAATTTCATTAAGAAATGGAAAGAATAAGAAACTTAATTAAGGAAGAGCATTTTCAAATAAATAAGATCAATATGTTACCAAAGACATTTAAAATTAAAGATATCACAAGCAATCCTAATTTATAATTAAAAGTACCTCCTTAATCATTTACAAAATATTAAACAACACAAAATACTTAATAATAAATATATACATTAGCTACAGATTATGATTAAGATGATTTAGAATAGTTATCAAGATGGAAAATAAATAAATTAACCAAATCTAGAAAATTAGAATTATTAAAAAGTTTAGATTACACACATCATACAATGAAGACTGAACAATCTTAATCTATTATAAAATAATAAATTCCGATCACTGCTCCATATGATTCTACAGGAACAGAATTTAAAAGGATTATCTAAGTAAATACATAACATACCTTTTTATTGAAAATTATAAATATATAAAAGAATGTATGTTTAACAGCAGGTAAAGAAGGAACACTTAATATTATAACAATTGAGATTGAATAGAGTGATTTATCTATTGTTAATTAACATTAATTAAAACCTCATTAAGAATTGAAGGATGTTGAATTATGTTAGACTCCAGGAATGTTTTTGACAACAGGTAGAAATATAAAAATATTAAATGATAAATATATTGATTTAGGATTTACAGTCAAATTATTTTTGTATTAGGATATGAAATAAATAGAATAATTAACAGAATTTAGAGATTTGCATTAATAACCTATTGAACAATTAAAATTTATTAATGAAAAATATTTAAGATAAACTGTTGAATATTCTAAGTATAGTAATGAATTGGAATTTGCAACAATTTGTGCAGATTTTATTAAAGTTTGGAGATTTTGTTTTGATAGTTCAAAAATATATGAAGGAGAAATGTTAGAATAATATAAAATAGAATTGAAACCATCTATAATTAAAAGTGTTGACTTTTCTGATGGATTAACTATTGCATCTGAGAAATCTACAACATATCTATTTCATGATTCTTAATTATTTAAATAAATAAAAAATGTAGCTGGAAAAGATCAAGTTCTTAGATCAAAATTAATTTCAAATCATAGACTTTTGATTATGACATAGTAAGGTGTATTAACTATTATCGATTTAAAAAAGATATAATTGCCACCTCATTTAACTAACTCAAAAGATAATAAACCATATGAACCACATAAAATTGTAATATAATATCTAATTAAATTAAGAATGTCAAAAAATATTTACGTTAGATATTGTTTGAAAAAGAAGACAAAGAATTAGAATTGATAGATGTAATATAAGTAAGGAAGAAATTTCTTTGTCTTCTTCATAGTTCTTAGTTTGATCATTATTTGATTCTAAATGAATAATTTGAAGTAATATTATTTATTTATCCTTTAAAGCTTGAAAATAAATATAGAATAACTCCTTCTGAAACTCGATACCTCAAATTTTTAGAGATTTAAACTCATGATTTAATGATAGCAATTGAAGGCAAAAGTGATTATAGTATTTGGGATGTCAGTAAATGATATTACAATTATTTTTTTTATTTTGTAATTCATCATTCTTTTAGATCAAGAAACTTTATTTACATTTTAAGTAAATATTAATTTTTTTGTTTTAATGTATGAAAATTAAATGATTTATTAATCATTAGAAGATTCCTCTTTTAGGAGTACTACTTAAAAGAGCTGGTTCTGGTTTTTCATCAATAAATTAAATAGCTTCTCCTTCAGCTAAAAAATCATTATAACAAATAATTACCATAACTGGTATCTATTCCTTAGGATTCTTAAAAGGGATTTATCTTAAAAACTCCAGTTCCCTTTAAAGGAATAACGAATAAAGCTATCAATAATCCCCAACCAATCAATGCCAAAACACCTACAAGTTATAATCCAAATTATTTAAATCCATGTCCAGTTACAAATCCATTACTAATTGTCAAAACTCCAACTAAAAGAGTACCCAATAATCCTGGTCCCTAAATTTATTAATTATATATTAATTACTAAATGTGTAGCTAAAGTATAAGCAGGATCATCAACATGAGATCTTTTAATGACAAGTATAAGTACAATATACACTAATCCAGCTAAAATACCAGTTAATGCTGATTCCCAAATTCTAACATCATTAGCTATTGCTGAAATAGCAACAATTCCAGCAACACTTCCTCTTGCAATAGCAATCAAACTAGTTTTGTGTGTTTTTAAATATTAAGCTATAAAACTTGTTAAAGCTGAAAATGTTGCAGCAACTAATGTATTAACTGCTATTAATCCTTATTCATATTTATCTGTTTTTCCTTCTTAATTTGCACCATTAATAAAAATGAGTGTGGCAATACTTAAAATTATTGATCCATAACCAATATTGATTGGGGAATGATGAGGAAAGATACCTGGATGAACATTTCCTGCTTAATCTCTTCTTTCTTTTAAGAAAATAGAAACAACTAATGCTGTCACTCCACCAAATAAGTGGATATAGCTAGATCCAGCAAAATCAATAAATCCAAATTTATTTAACCAACCATTTGGTTGAACCCAATGTAATGCAGTTGGATATAAGAAACCTGAAATAACAGCTAGACAAACGCTGACTGAGAAAAATCTGGATCTTTCCAATGTTCCCAATCCAAATAAAGATGACACTATTATTGCTCCAACACTCTAGAAAACTAATTAATAATTAGTTATTATTTGCTTACTTAAATTTGTATAATCATCTCTTGATTAATCAACTCCAAATCCAGCTCCAGCAAATCTACTAAAACCAATGAATTTATTTCCTTTATCATCTCCGAATGCAAATCCATATCCTAACTAATCAATTGTTAAATTGATATTTTCTTACAAGCCAGAAAAATACTATTGTGATCACTGCTCCTAATAAGACTGTGATAACTGCAGATTGCACAGATTTATATCTCACAGCTCCTGAACTGATAAAGGCGAATCCCAAAATTGTTAATAATGCACTAAATGAAGTAATCAACACCCATGTAGAATCAACATTTGCTGGGACTGGAGTACTAGAAGCTCCTTGTAAATGATTCATATATTAATTTATTTATTTTGGGATATATATTTTCAAAATTCATTTATATCATCAAAAATAAATACAAATAAAAATTTAAACATAAAATTTCAATAATTATTTTGATAATATGTAAACTCTTGTGGGTACCAAAAAAGGATAAATTTATCATCTTGAAATCAATAGACCTAAATAACTGTACATCCTATTAATAATCCTAGCAATGCTATGTCAAGTCAACTCTTTCAAGATTTCAAGACTGTCGTCGATATTATTAATTAAACTGATGATGTTAGAGTTGTAGTATTGACAGGAAGAGGAAAACATTTCTGTGCTGGTCTTGATCTCAAAGAAGCTCCATAAATGTTCTAAGTACTCAATTAAATTTATTATTACCTAGTTTCCAGATGAATTAGATTAAGCAAGAAGATCAATTAGAATCTATGATCTAATCAAGGATTGGCAATTTGCTATGACTTCATTATCTAGAATCAGAGTCCCTGTAATAGTAGGCATATAAGGATACTGTTTGGGTGGTGGTATTGATCTAATTACTTCTGCTGATATTAGATATTGTTCGGAAGATGCAAATTTCTCAATCAAAGAAATTGATATAGGAATGTAAATTAACATTCATTCATTTTTTAGGGCAGCTGATATAGGAACACTTTAAAGATTGGGTGTATAGAATGCTAATACATCACTCTTTAGAGAATTGGCATATACAGGAAGAATTTTTAATGCTTAAGAGGCCTTATCATTGGGTTTAGTTAGCAAAGTAGTTAAGAATGATTAGTTAAATGATGAGATTTTTAAGCTTGCTGAGATCATAGCTTCAAAGTCTCCTGTAGGATGCTATACAATTAAAAGCATTGTGACTAGAGAATAAAATTTAGATTCTTAATTAGATGTTATGGCAAGAACAAATATGGCCATGCTTTTTACAAATGATATGGCTACTGCAATTACAGCTTCAATGACAAAAGGAAAAGCTGAATTTCCAAAATTATGAGTAACAAATATCAAATTCAAACAAAAACAATTTATTAAATAGTTTAACAATATTATATATAATAATTTTATACAATTTAATTTCTAATAGCGAATTGATTAAATAAGAGTGTTTATTCTAGTTTCATACTTTTTCTACTTTTAATTGATAATAAAAATAATATTTATTTATTTAATTTTAGAGATAAACCGAATATTTAAATATAAAAATAGACTCCTCTATTTTTTTTTATTTTGAATGATTAACTTTGAAGTTGGTCTTTTATATTATAATCAAATAGTTTTTTTTAAGAATTTTAACTATTTAAAATAAGTGAGAAAAAAATATAATAATAACTCACAATCTTTAAACATATTTTGAAATTAAATTAAATATTTTTGTATAATCTATTGGTCCATCTCTTAAATAAGACCATAATTCAATATTTTTTGTTTCTTAATACAAGACAACAGAAATATTTTTTGATGAATGATGTATTTAACTTTTAATAATGTTAACTTTGAATTCTCTAAGTATTTCCATAGCTAGATTTCTAGCTTCAATTACAAATTTAGGTTCACTTGTACAATATGAAATTTGAATAGTTGGAGCTTAAATTTTTTTTTTCTTTTAATAACATGGTTAAGAGGCTGGATAGTTAATTGAATCCAATTATTGTCTTTCATATTCTTTTTGTTGTTTTGTAAGTAGAAAATCAAAAATTTGAAAATATAATTGTTCATTTCCATTAATATTTTTTGAATCATTTTCTCTTTTATATTATTCCCACATTTCTGATATCTCTATCATCATTTCTTCTCTTGAAATATCAACTTTGTTTTTTTGATATTCTATACATTTGGCTTTAAAAAATACTTAATATTCATCCATTTTATAAAATAATTATAATATTCAAAATCGTTCCTTAGTGATGATTATAAAATAAAATATAAATTTTCAAATTTTTTAAGTAATTCAATAATATCAGATTTATTAAAGTTATAAAGTAGTTTTACAATTATTGAGACTTAATTTAAATAATAAATTTTGTAAACTCTTATTTTAATATTAATTTCTTTATAACCCCATATTGAGATCATTAAAAATTCTTACAAAAGACAATTCTAAGAAAGAATTACTTGATATAATTATAAATTTATTTATTTAAATTTTCAACAATAGAATTTAGATATTAATTCAGAATTTTTTCGGACCAGCTCTTGAGAAAAATTTCTTCAAACAAAATCCAATAGTTACTAAAGATGATGCTACACCAACACATATATAGGCAACAGATAAAAACTCATTTTTTCCTCCAAATTAATTGGTTGTTGAAAATACAATATATTTCTTACCTCCATAATTAGTTGAATCATAATCTAAAATTAATATTTATGAAATACTATTTGATATATATATTGAATAAAGACCTTATGGAAGGTCTTAATTGATTACTCCCCAAAGTTTTCTAAAATTTGGCATAGCTGCTACTCTCATCCAAACCATGAACCTCTCATCTGTAACATTATACCATTATTAACTGATATTTGTATTTTAATATAGTTCTAAATCAGTTGGCCAAGCTATGCCTTAGTTTGACGCTTCAACTTTATACACTGTTCCATTACTAACTTGATATGATATATCAAAAGTATCATTAAATAAACTTTAAGCAATCAAACCACATGGAATTGCTGGAGCAGTTGGTTCTAAAGGTGTGCCATCTATTGCTACAGTTTTACCCATTTAAGCATTTGTAATTACAGGATAACATGAAGATAAATCATCCACTCCTAATCCCTTTTCTCCAGATAATTATTCTACTGATTTTGATGTGATATATCTACATAATAGATTATAAGAATCATTACCTTCTTTGATTTTAATAGAAATTATCCAACTAATAATATAAATAGATTGGAGCTGTGTAATTAGTGTCCAAAGCTATTGTAAAATTACAAAATGGTTCTTGCCAACAATATGCATCATATCTGAAACTTTATTAGTTAATTTTCCCAGAATACACATTAAGTACAATACCCATACTTAGAAAATATACACTTAATATGCCAAACAATATTATAGTGGAATTAAGAGTGGGAACAGGTTGCCAAGCTTTCAAGACTTGTTATTTAATTGCTTATCCAATGCTTGAAGGTTATTTTTAATCTTATTGTTACTATGAGTCCATATTAATTAAAAGTAAAAATATATATAATTCAAATGCTTAGAATTTAATCAAAATTTCTAATTCCTTAATTTTATGAATTTTTTCTTGAAGTATCTTCTTCATCTTGAATTTTATTTTTTGGCATAATTTATAATTCCTAAAATACAATCTGAGAATTGCTATCATTAAGATTATTTTTCTTTCTTAATTCTCTTTCTATAAATATAATAAGCAATTATACCTTTTTCTATTATTTTTTTTCCTTCCAAACTCATTCCTTATATTCTCTCTTGTTAAGCATATTATCCTAAACCTATAGTTCTCATTAACTTATCACCAATATTGAATAAATTGAAAAAACACATTATCAATAACATTAAAGGCAATATAGTCTTGTAACTCTATACAAAAAGAGATTCTGCCAGATTACCTACAGTCTCACTAAAAGAAGTTGTTTAATCTTCTAATATGTCTGTAATTTAAATGAAATTGAAACACAAAGGAAAACTTACTCTAGCAAAATTACTAGGAAATTTATTAAATATAAATACATAGATCCAAACATTAAACTTGGTGCATCTGTATGATGATGTTTATTAAAAGAAATTAAACCTGAAATTTTCATTGCAAATAAACCATAATATGTACAAAACATCATATATAATAAAGGTAACAACAAAATAAGTTCTGTTAAATAATACCTATTAATTGATGACAATAATAAATAATAAGGATTCAACTCTTTATTTGTTTTAGCCACAAAAGTGATCAACTCACAAAATAGTATGAATAAACTAAGAAGAGCATATGTTATAGCCAATACTACACAATAATATTTTCTGAGCTTTAAATTCCAAATAATTGAAATTTTATATATCATTTTAGACCATTTAGTTTCAAATTAAGTCTCATCATCTGCTAAGTCTTTCCTTTCAAATTTTAATGCTTTTTAATTAACTATATTAAGTTTTGTTTAAATTCTTTATAAATCAAACATAAGACATTTTATATATTTATGTATTGAAGCTAATACTTCTAAATTTAATGGTTTATATTTATCTGGAATATTGGAAGCATTATATTTCTATAAAGTTTATCTTATACTCTTTTAAAATTCCTAAGGAATCTTTTGTAAAATTATCATCAAATATCTACTGAATTCACTATCAGAATGTTCATTCTACAATAATTGAAGGGTCTATTTATTTCAAAATATATTACAACCCTACAAATGTCTTCAAGTTCATAGGTTTTCTCAGTTCTTTATTCATCTAATAAAACAGCCTATTAATAACATTATTCCAACACTTCTTCCTCTTTATGTTCTCTGTAATATAATTTTGGAATTGCTACTAAACCTTAACCCAAGAGAATGACAACTAAAAGTAATCCACTAAATGATAATTAATATCAATTACAAGAAATTGCTCACACCTATAAGAACACCTTCCACATGAGTTGAATCAAAATTATCCTTAATCAATAAATAAATGGCTAATCCAACAATTATTATAGTTCCTACTCCATATATTGTTAAATTTTTTTTCAAAGAGTACCTAATTTTACCTCTTACATCAAAATCCCCAGAGCCTTCATAATCTTAAAAAAATGGTAAAACCAACCTGTATAATAAGAATTTTTACCAAGCCAAAAAGAAGTTTCCCCAATACATAATTCTCCATAATATTTTAATGTTACCCATTGTTTCTAACTATTAAGTTTCATTAACCTATTTGGTTGACTAATATTTAATATTGTATATAAAACATTAGCAATATCAATTGGTAGGACTAATACAATTGAAAATGTTAATGTCCAAGATATAAAGGTTAAAATCTTGATGTATAATGGCACATCCTTTGCTGAGTATTCCCATATCAAGTATAAGACATAGATTAAAAGGATTGTAGTAGCAATAGAATAGAATACAACATCTTCTGTTAGCATTAAAAATAATAAAATTATGGAATGCTTATTTCTCTTTGATATTTCATTTATGAGATTTATAGGGTTGATAAATATCAAAAATAATATAACATAATTTATCAAATTTCAAATGCCTTTTATAATAGAGTCTATATTTCCTTTTCATGTAATTAATGAAAACCTGTAGCTGGTGATCCACTTGGTTTCCTGCCAATATATTAAATAGGGGAATTAGATATATTTGTAGTTTTGGCCAATACACTTTGAATTCTTGGTCTAACAAATGCCCAAGGGCCATAATTCATATGCTCTTCTTAGACCCAAACAAATTCTGCTTTATTGTATTTGCCAATAATTTTTTGTAAAAATTCATAAGGAAATGGAGCTAACTATTCAATTCTTAAGATTGCCACATTCTATAATAATAATATATGAGATAGAATTACATTTTATTTAAGTTCTTCTCTTTTTTTAATAAGATCATAATAAACTTGTCCAGAACACAAAATAACTCTTTTAACTTGATTTGGTTCTACAAGGAATTCAGGGAAAGCCTCATCATAAACCTAATTAAATTAAGTAGTAAGTTCAATTAGCTTAGATTTAGCAGCTTACAATCTCAAAAGTCTTTTAGATGTCATAGCAATTAATGGTTTTCTAAAATCTCTTCTTAATTATCTTCTAAGAGCATGAAAATAATTTGCCGGAGTAGTACATTAAACAATTTGCATATTTGAATTTCTCATCTATCTAGTTAATCTGACTATAAAATATAAAAAGTATATATTACCTCCTAGATTTTTTTCAAAGACAGCAGGATCATCATCACTCAACTATAAAAATCTTTCAACTCTTCCTGAACTATGTTCTGGTCCTTATCCATCCATACCATTTGGTAATAACATAACCAATCCACTATCAACATCCCATTTTGATTCTGCACTAGCTATATAATTATCAATAATGATTTATGCTCCATTTGCAAAATCACCAAATTATCCTTCCCATAATACTAAGGTGTTTGGATTAGTTATAGAGTAACCATAATCGAAACCCAAAACTCCATATTCGGACAAATGAGAATTATAAATACTGAGCCTATGTTCTTATCCTTTTGGTATAACAGAATGTAAAGGAACATAATCTTAACCATTAGGATCTTTTTGATCATGAATAACAGCATGTCTGTGAGAGAATGTAGCTCTTTATACATCTTCTCCAGATAATCTAATATTGAATCCTTCATGAAGAAGAGTTCCAAATGCCATAGCTTCAGCAGCAGCAAAATCAATAGGTTAATCTTTTTGAATCCATGATAATCTTTCTTCATAGAATTTCCTGATTTAAGGATGGGCATTAAATTCATTTGGAATCTTATTAATTTTTTCCCCTAATGTTTTTAAAACATTCAAAGGAACACCAGTATCTTTAATTCTTCCCCAAAGAACTGGGACTTTAATCATTTCCCATGGCACAGGTTACCAATCTTTAAGATTATAATCCATTTTTCTAGATTTCTAATAAGCTAGTTCAAGATTGTCTTCATGAGTTTTCATCAAATTATCCACTTGTTCTTTGGTTACAATACCTTGAGCAATCAACTTATCACTATATTTTATAAAGACAGGTGGAGTCTTATCAATTTTTTCATACATTATAGGTTAAGTGAATTTAGGTTAATCTTATTCATTATGTCCATATCTTCTATATCCTACTAAATCAATAAAGATATCTCTCTTAAATTTATATCTATATTCAGTTGCAATCTTAAACACTTTATCAACTAATTCAGGTTCATCAGCATTAACATGAATAACAGGTGCTGATATAGCATGTGCAATATCTGTGCAATACAATCCAGATCTGCTATCTTTAGGAACAGTAGTAAATCCTATTTAATTGTTTGAAACAACATGAATAATTCCACCTGATTTATAACCTTCTAAATCTGCCATTTGTAAAGATTCATAAACTATTCCTTAACCAGAAACTGCAGCATCTCCATGAATCAATACTCCAAAAGCTTTTTCTCTCTTTGAATCTTGGAAATAATCTTAGATAGCTCTAACTTTTCCATAAACACAAGGATCCACTGTTTCTAAATGAGATGGATTAGGTAACATTTCTAATCTTAATTTCTTATCTCCAAAAAGTACATTATGAACTGAACCCAAATGATATTTCACATCTCCAGAATTACCCCAAATATCTTCATTAAAAGTACTCTTCAAATCCTAGAATTCAACCATTATTTCTTCAGCTGACTTCTAGAATACATTATAAAGTGTATTAAGTCTTCCTCTATGTGCCATTCCAAATACAACATGTTCAGCACCTGCACTTGCTGCTGCATCTATTAAAGATTATAATCCAGAAATCATTGAATCACATCCTTCTATTCCAAATCTCTTAGATGTGTTAAATTTCTTCTATAAAAATGTACTAAATGCATGTTCTTATCCCAATCTATTATAATCATAAATATTAATTCATACCTTTCAAAAGTTTTTAATTTCTGCTCTTTACTTGGCATAAATTCATCATATTTTTCTATTTGATCTCTAAACCAATCTCTTTCTTCATTTGATTAAATATGCATATATTCATATGATATTTTTCCGCAATAAGCTTTTTCTAAGTAATTTATTAGGTCTCTTAATTTCATCACTAATTATTAATATTATCCATTACTTTATTTGTCCTTTGTTATTCCTGTGCTTCCTATAGCATGTATATAAAATTCTCTATCCAAATCCTCTTATGTGAAATATTCACTATAATCCAATTTTGTATATCCTTTTACTTTGCCTATTTGTTAAATATGCTCTAAATCCAAAGGGTCTACTTATGACTTCTCATGTCCTCTATGTCTGTATTTATTTATTAGTAACAACACTCTGAAATGATCACTTAATAATTTCCTTACACCTGATTACCCCTAATTTCTTATGGATTATCATACATCTAATCTAACAGAAACTGACTATCCATTTTATGGCTCAGGAGTGAAATCAAAATTGTTAGATTCCAAAACTTATCTAAAATATGAATCCCAAGTGGCAGGGACTGATTTATTATCCAAGTACCATTAGTCGAATAGATTTTCCAAATATTCTGCATTTCCAGAACCAAGAAAAGAGACTCCAAACTTTTACAATTCGGAAAATTTATAAACATTATTGAGATTTCTGGCTACAAATCTAAGCATATTTAATTTATTTATCGATTTAGAATGATTATTTTTTAACATAAATTTATAATAATAATCAATATCCTGTCATAAAATCTTGCATTATTATTTTTAATATGCTTTAACACGTATAAATTAAACATTAATTTTCTATTAAAATACACTCAAAAACAGGATCGAACTCACCTCACTTTCATTTATATAAATCATTATTATTAAAATTGACAATCACCTAAATATTTTACAAATATCTCATATCAGAATTCTGATCAATATCACAAAAGAATAACTTATTGAATGTAAATATTTAATAGAATTTAAAATAAAATCTTTAATAACAAAAAACAAAAGGATTGATCTTAAAGTAACCTTAGACCTTAAAAAGAATGTTATTAATGCTACTAATCAAAATTGTTTGTGATTGATAAAGTACGATGAAATAATCACTCTACATATATTATGCTTACTTAAATTAATTAAAAATTAAAAGAATTATATAATTAACATCAATATTAATAAATATTTTAGATTAGCAAATATACTCTTAGAATCAATTAATACTAAATTCCTAGAAAATTAATTTGATTAATATATCTTTAATCTTTTGAAATTTAGATGAATACTGAAAATTCTTTTAAATATATAAAAAATATTCCAAACTTAAACGACAATTTGAATTTTAATCTAAAAACTTTAATTATTTTATTAATGGAATATTATCAAGGTATTAAAATAGTTTTATATTTAATCTTATTAAAATTTACTAATTTATTTTCTCTTAAATTATAAAACCAATTAAGGATTAGCAAGCATAGTTGAATATCAATATAAATAAGAATAATAACTAAATATAAATTAAGTACCATTATGATGCTGTTATTCTTAACATATTTTAATTAATGAAATTTTTTAGAATAAACCAAACGACATTTTATTATTTTTAATGAAATATGAATATAAAATGGAGAAAATACAAAAATTAATTCATCTATGGAAATGATATCAAGCTTAGATTATAAATAGTTTAATACATCATAATAATTTATGATGTTACTTTAAATATGAAATTTATTTTTCATTCAATTTTATCATTTACCCTTTATCAAGCAAGTAATTATTTTATGAGTCCATCAAGTATCCTTTCTAATCCACATGGTAGGTTTCATTAATCATATCGGTTGGACAGGTTTTATCTTTTAAAAGACTCAACTCGTTAGCTATTTGTTATGTCAATAATTTACCTAATTAATTGATTGAATTATAAATATCTTCAAATTCCATTTTAGATTCAAAGAATATTTTCATTCTATTTTCAAAAGAAATTTGAATGGATCGTACTTTTTCTTCCAATGACATTTGTTTGGTTTCATAGTCAACTTTCTATAAAATAATTATACTTTAAATACCATTTCAGAAAACTTGTTTCCCAATTACATGATTTCTTATTTTAATTTTTTTTGATCATCAACTGCTCTTCTATCGAGGTTATTTGAATTAGTATAAGTTGGAGAAGCAGCCATTTTTAATTTTTCAATCAACTCTGAATTTAATTCTTTCATTTTTTCCAAGTCAAATTTAATCTAAGTAATTGTTTCATTTTATTAGTTTATCCTGGAATCTAATTAGATTACAAGTTTTTTGAGTGTTTAGATTTCATTTTATTGAGAAGCATTTAAACTATTTTGATTTTTAGGCGACTAAACATCCTCAACTTTGGTGTATTAAGGAGTGTAGGTTTGCCCTCTTGTTTTATCTCGATCGACACTTGCAAAATTTGATATGGGAATCTTATTTGGACTAGCTGATGTTAGAGGTCTCATATATTTTTATTACATTAAAAGTTAAATAAATAATTTTTTTTCAATACGCTTAAATATAACACTTTAAAACAATTCCGTAGAAATACATCAAAATATCAATGATATCTTTTTCTTAATTAATGAGCCTTTTATTAATTCATTTCTACAAGTAAATCAAGTCTCAATAAATTGTCAACACCTAATTTTGAAATGGTAGAGTTTTCACTTGAAGTATCACGTAGTAATTTTGTTAATTTATCTTTCTCTCTCTATTTCTTTATTAACAGTAAAGGTTGATCATCAGGTGCATTATCAGGTATGATTGGTGCTGGTTATTTACGAAGAGTATCAAAATTGATATCTATATTAAGAAATATGTTTACAACCCTTAAAAAATGAATGCCTTTTGGCTTCTTCAACAGTCATCCTAGTTTTATAATTGGGATCTAATAATCTCTCGATAAAATCTTTTGCATTTAGACTCAATTGATTTTCTCCATCTCCAATTTCTGGCCAAATAATATTCCTTTATAAAATATTTTCAAAGATCTTTTCTGGAGTATCATCATTAAATGGTGGAATACCAACCAAGAATTCATAAGTAATTACACCTAAACTCCATTAATCAAGTGATTCATTGCTTATAGACTCTCCTCTAATGACTTCAGGAGCTATATAATCTGGAGTACCAACAACTCTATGTTTATTATGATTGCTGGCCTTTATTGATATACAATGATCAAATCTAGGAGACTTTGGTTCACTGCTTACTAAATCTTTTATATTATTGTCTAATTATTGTTATAATTTAAGAGCTTAACTAGGTTCAGATTATTTCATATATAGTTTCATTCCTATTTCTGATAATCCAAAATCAGTTAATTTTAAATGACCTTTACCATCTACTAAGATGTTTTGTGGCTTCAAATCTCTATGAATGATTTACTTTTTGTGTAAAGCCTCTATAGCCAAGAGTAATTCACCAATATAAAATTTAGCAATTGGTTCATCTAAAGCACCATATTTTCTTAAAATTTTATCAAAATCACCTCCCTTCACATATTCAAGAACATAAAATAAACAATCTGAATGACTAAAAGAATAGTAAGCTTTTGCAACGAAATCCCCTTCAAGAACTGAAAATATAGTACTTTCAGCTTTAAGGGTTTCAAAAAAGTTTTAACTTGATTATTATTAAGTGTCAATAACTTTCATTGCATAAACATCATTAGTTTTTAATTTTCTAACCTTCCAAACTGCTCCATATGCTCCAACACCCAATACTTCTTAAAATTCAAAATCTTTTAATCCTACTGTCATTCTAGAATTAATGATATTATAAAATAAATTACATTTTTTAAGTAGATTATGGAATTCGCAATGTAATTCCAGAATCAGAATAATAACCTCTAATGAATAGATTTTATTGAACATCATCACTATCATCATCTTCTTATTGAGAATAAATATGAATATTTAATAATTATTATGTGTTAGTATTCTAATTTACATTCTCTTCTGAAGGAGAAAATGTTATATATTCTAAAGAATCAATTTTTTATTCTTAAATAGGAGTTTATTAATTTTAATATTAAGATTCCTCCTAATCCTCCTTATATTATCTTTGATTAAATTTAGATTTATTGGGTTTGACTAAATCCATAATTCTTACTTTACCTCCATTATTGACTCCTTTTTTGTTTCTACTATTTAATGAAGTTCCTGCTTATTTATATGAATTTGATAATCCTTTTTAGAATATTTTTTTTAATTTATCAATTGATCCACATTATAATTATAATTATGCTGTATCTATTTTATTTGCTTATTTATTTAATGCTAATCGTTATGTTATTAAACTTAAGGATCTTTTCATTAATTCACTTACATCATTTAAATGATTAATTTCAGGTAATCCTAATTTAATCAATGATTAAAATTTAGCATCAATATCTAAACCAAATGAATTATCCTATTTTAATATTTTTTAACAATATTGTTGAGTAACTTTCAGTAAAGATATAGCACATTTTATTTATTTTTAACTATCTGGACTCATACTCATAGATGATTCTAAACGAGTAAAATTCCTACCTGGTTTTCTTTAATGAAATGTTGGAAATTCACTAATGCTATTATCTTCAGAGATATTTATGGTTTTTGCTCTATATAAACCTCTTTATCTTTGATCACTTTATTGAGCAAACTTCGAAAGAGTAATTTATTATTTGCTTCTGCTCATTACTGGACTGTTTTAATGACTTAAATTTTTTTCAGACATCCTTTATTTAGTATACAAATTTATTTTAGTAATAAGTTCAATTTCCTTATTATTTATTTCCTCTGATAACTCTTAAATTTTATCCTATATAGCATAAATATCCTTATTTAACATATGTTTTTTTAGACATAATTGTGAATGTTCCTCTACAATACTTAGCAATATTTCTTTTTCACATATACAACACACCATTTTTTAAGGATGTAATTTGAACATTAATTCTGAATATAGCACTATTTTATATCGTTTCCCTTCTATTTATTGAATACCTTATAAATTCAATTAGGGAAATCTTGAAATTCGATTATTGATTATTTTTTGATAATAGTTTTCATATTTACCTTTGGTTATTTATTATTATGATAATTTAGGCCACATTCTAGTTAAATTTCTATACCCATAGCATTGTCGAATTATAGTGTACAATGTTTATTATAAAAAGTCTTCGGTATCAAAAATTCTTGTTAATGATATATCATATAGGGGATAAATCTCTTAAGAATCACTATCATTAGGATATATAGAAAGAATTTCTAATTTATTCTAATTTTTCATATATTTAATATATGAATTTTATATTACATTGTCATCATCTATTGCTAATAATTTTTCAGTTTTTTTGTAGTAATCCAAACAAAATCATTTAATATCGATTATTTATTATTTCAAATGAAATATGTATTAATTCAGTTTAAGGTACTAAAATTTATAAATAAATTTGTATCCTTAATTTTATACGATTGTATATATACATAAAACATATAATATTTAAATTAAAGTATCAAATAAAAATAGAGTTTAGATAATATTGATTATTTCATTCAATAAAATCAATAATTTTTTTAAGAATTATAATATTGCTATTATCTAAGCAGTGTTATATTATTCATTTTGTTTATAATTCAAAATCTTATGTCTTCCTTTTTTCGATTTCTAATAATGCATAAGGTTTTGGTGGTTTCCTTACAAGCAAATAGATTAAGACAATCCCAGTCCAGGAAAGTAATGCTATAACAAATACATTATAATCAAAGAACCAAGTAAAGAAATATAAATATTAAATCTAGCCTAAGAACATTAAAGCAATTTGTGAATTTTAAGTATATTCTGAAAAAGCTTGTATACTAAATTGAGTAACAGCAACAGAAGTAATGAGTAATAGATTTGCATTGAAAAGGAAACTGTTCATAAAAGTCTCATTTATTTTCATAGGATAGATTGTGAAGAGAAAAGGAATTCTGAGTCCAAACTTCAAGTTACCCTTATATGTACAACCCAATAAATATAAAGTAAAAAGAGCTAACAAAATAGTTCCAATAAATGACATTACTGTTCCCTCTAAATAAATAAACATCTTATTCAAAAAACTATAAGCAGGAAATCCATTTATTTTAATAAGCATATACAACAATCTATTTTATAATAAAAAAAGTAATACATTTATAAAATCCATAATAATGATAAAATTATGAATATAATTCCTAGGATTAATTTGAAAATCCAAACAATAGGATTAGTTTCTAAATATTTTAATTCTAATTTAAATATTTGGTATTCATTTTCAAGTACTTCAGCAGCTGCTTAAAACTTTTTAGCTTTTTATTTAATTTAATTTTTCACTTTTCTTTCTGCCATAAATCCATTAACTAAAGCTAACTCTTTTTCTTCTTCTTTAATTTATTAACCAAATTAGATTAATTCTGCTGTTTATTTTTTTAATCTCATCTTTTTTTCCATTGCTTCAGAAGATTTTAGTTGTTTAGGTCTGTTAATGTATTCCTAAATCAAATCAATAGGTAATGCAGAAAGACCAACTCCACCAAACAATACTAATAAAAACCATCCAATAAATGCCAAGAATCCCATCAAAAATACAGGAAATGATACTGAAATCTCTACATTAGTATCACTTTCAATCTAATTGTAATATAATTTATACTTAATTGAAAGCATAATTGCTTAATACAATAGGATATGTAGCTGAAATCTAACTATTAAAAGTTTAAGTAATTGTATGAACTGGTATTCTAGCAGTTCCAAGATATGTAAATCCGACCAATAATAAAGTTAATAGTACACCCAATAATATGAATTCATAGCACATAACTTCTAATAATCGTTTCATTATTGGCTTATCTTCATCACTTTCATAAAAAAATTAAGCACATGGTATTAGAAATGCAACCATTCCCAGTATTGTGCAATATATAACATACCACACAATCATCATGGAATCCCCTTCGGTAGTAAAAACACCCCTAAATGATATATCTTAATACTTAGATGCTGATATGTCTGCTGATACTAATAGGATTTATCCCCATGCCAAAGTGAAACCAAGTACAACTAATATTTTACAAAATAAAGAAGCTCCAAATCCAGAATCAGATGCTAAATATATTTCAGATGAATGTTATACGATGACAATATAAGGCTAGTATATAAATGTTGATTCCTAGCAACAGAACAGCTATTATACAGGAGATTATTATTAAAAATACGTCCATTCTTATTCTATATTTTAATTAATTTATTTTATAACATAGATTATACTAAAGAGTTATTATAGGATAGATTCATGGCTATGTTTTCTTCATATTCTGATATTCAATTGTAATTTTAATTATACACAATTCAACTATTTTCAAATTGGATAATTTCAATAAAAATTATTATATAAATTTAAAAGCATAACATTTATATGTTAATATTAGTATGTTTTTCTTTATTAATAATCAATTTGTTATAATTTATTAGTTAGAAATTATAAAGTATGATTAATTCTCAAAAATCAGTATTAAGTACTATCAAATTTAGTTAATTAATTTACATATCAAGCATTTTAAAATGATTAAGGATCTTAATCCAAGGTAAATTTAATTCTAAAACTTTCCTTAGTTCTGAATATAAACACAGTAAGTCATTCTTTTAAATTACTTATTCAACAATGCAATGGTCCAAATCTCCAATCCCTATAGCCATTACTAATCAAATCATTTCTGACGAAGTTAAATTTATAAATTAACAAGGAGTGGTAAGGTCTAAAACACTTAAAAGTGTTGAAAACTATTTATTTTATGAAACAAAAAAGGTAGAACATTACACCTTATTTTTTTTTTAGGGTAAAACCAAATGGATTGACATAGAGAATGCTATTATAGAACTTTTTTATCATCCAAAATTTGGTTCAGCCTTGAGATTAATAAAATGTTTCGACGTTGTTGAAATCTTTTGTGATGCAAAATCATGGCTTGGCTACCTTAAACGCTTTACTGTATAATGCGATTTTAATGCTACATATATAGTTAAAAAGAAAATCGGCAGAGGTTAATTTTCAGATGTAAAAAAAAATTTCACTATTTCCATTTAGGTTTATAAAGGCATTAACAAATATGATGGAAATGAATATGCAGTCAAAATCTATTAAAAATAAAGTTTAATTGATGAAATTGATAGAGCTGCATTATTAAAAAGAACTTCTATTCACAGAAGACTTTAATCTGAATTTGCTCTTAAATTATATGAGATCTTTGAAAATAGTGAATAATTGATTGTAGTCTTAGAATTAATTACTGGAGGTAATCTAATGGATTATATTACCAGAGAAAACTGTTTTCTAGAAGATCAAGCTGCTAAAATCATTTTTAGATTAGTCAAGACAATAAGTTATTTACATTCAAAGAATATTATTTATAGAGACTTAAAACCTGATAACATTGCTTTTAGAATAGCAGATAATATTGAAACACTTTGTATAATGAAATTTTAATTGGCTGATTTCTATGATCCAGAAACAAACTACGATTATGTATGTTGTGGTACACCTGGTTTTATTGCACCAGAAATCTTACTTCATTAGAATTATGACCTAAAAGTTGATGTATTTAGTATTGGAGTAATTTTATACATTTTAATGACTGGAACACCACCATTTGATGGTGATACAAGATTATAGTAGAATATTGAGAGTGATGTTGATTTCAGTTCAATTAATTTAAGTCCACTTGGCCTTGATTTTATTGTTGGTACACTATAACCAAACCCAGAAGAAAGATTGACATCTCATTAATGTCTAAATCATTAATGGTTTATATAAGAACAATTAGCAAAATTAAAATAAATGTAAATGAAAAAACCAACTTTATTCTAAAATCAACAAATTGCTAGAAGAATTAAATAATCTAAAACCTTGACTCTTAGTACTTCCTCTCCTAGAAGTCAACTCTCTATTTAAAGTCCAAGAAACCATAATTTACAATAGAGTTAAAATTATCCTTCTAAACTTACATAATTCAATACTGAAAAATTAATTGGACCTTCTTTTAGTTCTAAAGATATCATTTAATTTGAAAAGATCTAAACATAAATTCCTGATCATGACTAAAACTAAGAATAAAATAATTAAAAAGCATCCATTTAAAGCTAAATTAGATTATAAAGGAAAAAGACTTAATCTTTTGTTATTAAATCAAATTCAACAGCAAAACAATTCAACATTATTAAATCAAAGTTAAAATGAAAATATTTCTATAAATTTTTAGATTAAATATAAGGAATCCAAAAATTATATATTCATAATTTATTTTTTTATTATAGGATTCATTATAATATTTTATTAAAATAAAATTATTTATATTTATATTTAGAATATTACTTTTAGATTTTTACATTATCACTAACAATATGTAAATTATAATTTTTATGTAACAAAATCTTATTAATTATTAATTAATAGACTAGTTTGTAAATTATATACTTTAAATAAAAATTTTTTTCTTTTTAAATGATTTAGATTTAATACTTTTAAAATTTATAATAATAAAATCTTTAAGAATATAATAAAATTCAATTAAATATTGTTGATCTATCTACCCAAACACCATCTCTTAAAATTCTACATTTACCTTTGAAGGGATTATTATTTTCATAATGGCTATCATGATCAGTATCTGTTAATGCAACATCACATTAAGCACAAAAAGTATTCTTACCCTAACATTCAAGTGAATGACATCTTATATAATTACATCCATTTTCAGCTCTATAAAATATTTATTCACACCAAGGACATCTGCAAAGATTAAGGGCTTTTTTATTTTAAATATAAAATTTTATCATTTCCCTTCTCTATTATTAATATTAGAATTTTTCATTTTTATATTCATTATATCTTACTTAATGATTTTAATCAATAATTTCTAAAACTTATTTCTCATCTGTACACTTTTAACAAAGAGGACATGTAAAATCATCAATATTTTTTTCATCAATTCTTTATTCAAAATATTCCTTTAAACAAACCTTGCAAAACTAATGTTAACAACTTGTAATTTAGTAAGGTTAATTTAAATTATCATAACAAATTAAGCATGTTTCATTTTAATCTTAACAAAATTCTTGCATAATAGAAAATAAAAAAATAAATATATTATATATTTGAGAGTTGTGAAATCCTTTCAAACTTTATTGATATTCATACATAATAGATTTACATGATTATCTATCAATCAAAAAAATAACAAAGTTTGAAAAATATATGAACTATTGATATAAAATTTTTATTATTATAGAATTTCATATTCAATATGCTTTTAGGTTTGTATTTCTTCATTTTCTAGATTATTCCATATTTACCTTCTCTTGATAAAACTCTGACTTAGCATATTTTTATAGACTTAATTCTTTCTATTAGTTCATTAAAAAATGTAAAGTTTCCATTCTCTATTTGTAAATGTTTAATGCTAAAATTTATAATAGCTATTAATTTTCTGAGTTTTCTATTTCTGGATATTTGCTTTCATCCAATATATCTATGGTTGATTTAGCTTATTAATTATCTTTATTAACAATCATATAATTTTATTTCTAGACATTTGATAGTTGATTCATATTCTTCAAATAGCAGACTCCATTAAGCCTTAAAGCTTTGGATAATTCTGAATCAAAAAATAGATCTTATTTAGTTATTTCTTCTCCACATTAAATGCATTTAAATATATCATTTTCTTAATCATATTTCTATAGTATAACCTAGATAACACCTTACTCATAAACACACTTTAATGTCTTACACTTCATGCTTCTAATAGGTTATGTTAAATTGTTCAAAGTAAAAGCACATTTTTTGGATATTTTTCTTTTGACTTCCCATGCAAATTATGCTTAACTCTCTATTATTTTTGTATAGAACTGTTAAGATTTTGCACTATGGCCTTTAAAAAAATCTTACATTATACTTTATTTAAAAATAATTATGTAAATTTTAATATCTCTTATATATTATTAAATAGTATATTATTTTATTCAAGTAAATATTTTAGAAAATAAATTCATAAGTAAATAAAGGTATGATAATTAAATGATATAATTTATAAGGATATTCAAATTAATAAAGAATCATCTCAATCTTAAAAATCAGTATGAGGATTAAATTTCAAAATTTCTTAAATACCTTCTTATTCCATCAACCAATTTCTCCAATCATCATAACTTAAAACATTTTATTTAGATGCATGATTTTAATAAATTTCATTGACAATCTCTTCTAATGCAAGTTCAATCTATCTATCATGAGATTCACTTATTCTTTATTTTAAATCATTCAAATCTTAATTCTCATAATTGATTGACATCATGCCCTAAAAGATAATATTATGAACTACTTCTAAAAACATCATCATTAAATTATACATCTCATCTTTTTCTATACTACCTTCTAAATTCATATCAAACATGGAATACAAAAATCTTAATCTCCCTTCATCATTTTATTAAGATAACATAGAAATAGCTTTTAGAAACTTGGCATAATCTAAGAATGGTCTAAATCACATCGATAGTTATTAATATACCCTGTTTTTTTCTATGAGAAAGTTGATTTAACACATTAAAAAATCCTATTTCCAAGTCTTTTATTATCTAGTTCTGCCATTCCAAAATATTCTAGTAACTTTTTTCTACTCATTTTATTCTCTTTAGAATAGGACTCAAAGTCTTCTCGAACTCTTTGTAATTTCTCTTTTGAAAAAACTGTCTCTTCTAAATGAATAATTTCCTTTTGAATATTTTCTACATTATGTTAGTCTTCCTTAAACTATTATAATTTATTTCGTCCTCCTTAATTATCATCATCTAAATCTTCTCCTTCATTTGCATTTTTCAAATATGCCTTCAATTTACTTTCTACAGCTAAAGTTGTTCCTTCTCTATAGGGAGCAATAACATTAGATTAACTTTAATCTTTTTTAAATTATTTGTCATTAGTTGTCAATTGTCTCTGAAATTTATTTTAATTCACTGAGGGTTTATTTCCCATATTATTAATTAACTATATTATAATATTATTTCATTTAAACATTTTATATTCTCTCAACTAAAATTCAAATTTTTAGTTATATATATACTATTATTGTATTTAACATTTATATAATAAATTCTTGATAATTTTCTTTATAAAAAAAGTAACAAAGTTTTATTATAATTAATTAACATTTTACATAATAATGGATGATTCATTTGAAATAAATCATGAATCAGAAGAATTATCATAAGAATCTATTAAAGATGAAGATGATTTTGTTGAGAGAGTAAATCAATTAAAGAAGATTGTACCTAATAAATAAGAAGACTTTGAAATTATGGAAGAAGGATTACCTGATGATTTATTGGAATTATAGTAAAAAATATAAAGAAAGGAATAAAAAAAGATTGAATAAAAACCTAAAAAGTAGAGCTATGTTCCAATTAATGAAATTCGAACGACATTTATTATCCATTTATTTAAATTATATCAAGATCATAAAATTTTGAACAATTTAACTAAATTTGCATTCAAATTTTCTAATTTTTAATATTCTACAATTGAAATGATTGAAACAAAACTTAATTAAGCTTAAAATTTATAAGAACAAATATTTGCTCTTTATTAAGGTTTTGCATTGACTTACTCATTAAAAAATCAATTTTCTAAAGGTATCTAAATTGCTATTTTGAGTCCGTCTGAATATATAATAACTTTTGGGTAATTATGTAAATATTATGGATTGAATGTTAGATTAGTAAGAGCATTTGATATAGGATTTTTGGGTTTAGAATTAAAATTTAAGATTCGCACAATAAAGATAACTGATTAAGAAAATGAAGAGGGAGAATAAAATACTAAAACAATATTTGATTTAAATTCATAATTTATGACTTAATCAGACAACATTGAATCATTAAATAAGTTTATTTATTAAAAATCTACTAAAAAAGATAAAACTTTAATAGTATCATAAGAATTGTAAAAAAATTAATAATAGAGTGAAAATAAAAGTTAAATTGATTAAAAATAAGAATTATAAAAACAAAAAAAAAAGGATAATAAAAAATAAATAAATGAAAGATAAATTAATTAAGATATTTAAATTTATAATTAGAATATTTGGCTAGAATTTTATGATAATAATTAGAATTAATGGATTCCATTTGATCCTATATCAGATAAATTTGTATTAATGGATATAAATATTTTAAAAACAAAACTTCAAAATAGCTTCAGTCATTTTATTATTGCTGCATAAGATTTAACATTTAAAGATCCAAATTTTCATTTAAACAGATTATTCAATAATACTCATTTTGTAGATGTTACATAAAAATATTCTTATAATTATTAAATTCAAAGAATTTAATTATCACTTGAAAGATGGTTCAATCAATTAGCTTATAATGCAAGTATATGAATGAATATTTTAGAATTAATCTACAAAGGACTCTAATAATTAGTGAATGAACCTGTTAGTGCAAATATAATAGTACCATCCCCAGAATAATATACAAAAGAAAAGGAATTTAAATATAGTTAATTTTATGCTTTGGCATCATAACTTTCACAATATTAGATGATACATCCAGATGCAAAACCAATTGGTGTTAAATTCAAAGATGAAGATATTTATTTATAAAGTGATGTAATTATTCTTCATTCCAGAGATAAATGGAGAGAATATTTAAGAGAAGTTAAATCTGATTAATAACCTATCAAAGAAGTAAGTTAGAAATTTGATAAAACTAAAACTACTGCTTTATATGCTATTTGGTAGACTGATGATATTAAAGTAAGCTTATAAGATAATGATGGAAATTTGCCTGTAAATGCTTATGGAAATTATGATGTATACAATTCTAATTCAATAGACATTTTCTTTTCCACCTCCTAAAGGTACTAAACTTGTTAGATTACAAGGAATCAAACATTTGTTGGCAAAGAACAATATAAAATTTATTGAAGCAGTGGATGGATTTGATTCATAAAATGGTAAAATGTTTGCTCAAAAATGTGGTTATTTGATTTTTAATGAAGATTATCATAAAATTATTGATGTTTATGAATAATTCAAAATTGAAATTTCTGAAAAAAACAAAATAAATAAAAAAAAAGAATTAATTAAATTATGGAGTGATTTATTTAAAACAATTCTATTAAAAAGAGACTTATAAGCAAAGTACTAATAAATTAATTGACAATCTATGTATTATAAAATTATATTTCATTAACTTATTAATATATCTTCCCATTCCTTTAAAAAATCATCTCTAAATTTGGCAGGATATATTATACTTAATTGAATTATTAATTTTGTTAAATTTCAATGTTTCAAATATTTATTTAATTTATAATTTGATACTTTAACTTAATCAACTAATAAGCTTAAACTAAATCCTATTTATTATTATCTCCCCTCTAAACTAAATTTCTTAGTTCTTTTTCTTATTACTTTATTTTCCTTATGATAATTAATAATCTCTATGAGTTTAATTTATAAATAAAAAACTCAAAGGATTTCAATTTTTTTTAAATGAGCAATATTTTATAAATTTTGACAAGTCTAGTTGATTTAATTAACTAAAACAATAAGCCAACAAAATAATTTACAAATTATATAATTACTGTACAACAACTAATATATAAACATCATTAATTTTCCTCTTCTTCTTCTTCTAAGCTTTCATCCCCACCTTCCTCATCATCTAATTCTTATTGTTACATCTCAGCTATATACTCATGATCTTCTTTCAACAATACATCAAGTAGTATTTCTAAACATTCTTTTGTAAACTCTAGTTATTTACAGCACTAATTCACAGCATCTCTTAAGAATTCTAAATTTTATACTATTTTTTATTACATGGAGATTTAGTTAACAATTAAATAAACACTTCTGTTAAGACAACTTTTGCTTTCTCTGGATTAGTCTTTACTTTTTTTTTAATTTGTGGTTCCTCATCTTAAATGTCACCTGCAATATGTTGAAACTCTTCCAAGATTTATAATCCTTCATCTTCATTAAGAAATGAAAACATAAGGATTGTATTTACTAAATGTTTTATACACTCTTTAGGTTATTTTGCAGTAATCAATTTATATTATTTCATTAAATCTGATTTTTTTAGTTGTTTCAAAAGAGACTTTGTTAACTCATCAAATTCTTAAATATTCTACTATTTATATATAATATTTACATTAGCCACTTTTCCAATAAGTGAATAAAAGAAACTCTAACATTAATCTAAAAACTTTTTCTTTATTTCTTCAAATTAGTATGCTTCCTTAGACTCCTCATCTAATTATTCATAAATCTATTGAAAATTTATGCAACCAATTTCAAAAATATATTTTATCATAGATGTTAAAACTTTAATGTTGGTATTACTTACAGTTGCAAGAACATAGATTTCATTTAAATAATAGAGTTTATTTATTGGATCAGTAGAAGATTATTCCTATTATTTCATATTCTCAAAATATTAATATATTTCATCTTCTGTAAACTTTGCCAATAATTTTTATGCAATACCATTTTTAGGATGAATTCGATAACCATAAATATTTCTCAAATAAACAATATCTTCAAAAGAAACAGTCCTTTAAGTTAAGTGTTATTCAATCTTATTTGCTAATCTTTTCATAACTGAATTGGAATTTCCAAATTACCTGTACCATAATTCAATTAATTATTAATTTCTCATAAGAGATAAGGGAATGGTAGTTGATTTTAGAAAATGTTTAAAAATAGATAAAATGATGTAGTTTAATTTTCTTAAATCTTCTTGTTAGAATAAGTATTCCCAAAACTCGTCAAATATTTTTTAGTTTTCTTAGGATTGACTAAACTATAAATATTAATTAGATATTATACTTTTCCCATATATATAGCTAAATATTAATAGAAAAGTTGTTTCTTTGGAAATTGTTCATTAGCTTATTCTAAGAGTTTGTGGAATTTCTATCTATCAAAGACTTACTCTTAAAGATATTTATCCCATTAAAATTATCCTTTTTGACTCAATTATTGAAGTTTAACTAAAATGCAAAACACTCTTGGTGTTAAATTTTACAGATCATTTTTTATTTAATTGCTTACTTATTTAACATTTTCAGGTTTACTAGATTATTTAATAATTAATACAGATGCTTCAATAAAACATAGGTTAAATATTCTGAATCTTCGGTTTTACGATCTTCAAGTATAATATTTAATAAGTTCTAAAAATCTAAATAGGAATAGACTAAATATTTTGTTAGCATAAAATGTTTAAATTCACTTTTACCATATGAATTCTTTTTGCTTAATGTTTTCTATAATTGATCGAAAATAGCTTTAGGTTATAAAGTTTGATGTTTAGATGAATACTTCTATATTAGTTACTTTAATAATAGAGCATAATTGATTGTAGTGTCAAAATCTGTTGATTGTAAACAATTCATAATTTTAGATAATACATAGGTTATATCACCTTCATTTACTCTTTCTAAAATTTATTCGCTTGTCTAGAACACTAATTTTGGATCATTAAGTTTAGAGTATTTTTCAAAAAGCTGAATAATTTATTTGTCTTACATTATAATTTTATTTATTAAAAATATTTGTATATTTTTTATATATATTTACTAGAAAACCCTTTCATTTCTTTTTATTTTAGACAGTATTACTTGGTTTCTTTATTGATACAGATTATTAAGGTATTTAAGCTTATGATGGCATTTTCTCATTAACTATGTCAGCTGTTTTTGCTATATTAAAATCAGCAAGAGCTTAATAAATATATAAAATAATATTGATACCATCAGTAATTGCTGTTTTACCAGCTGATAATATTCCTTTAGGTAATCTTTTATCAGGACATGCACCTTTTAATTTCATAATACTTTCACTTTATTCTCTAAGTGTTTTTTACATTTTCATCATTGTTGCTACAAACTTTAATTTGTTTTTTAATTTCTCAGTGCCTAATATTAAGAATAAACATACTTTTTCCTGTACTACCAGTACTGGAAGTAGATTATTACTTATTGAATTATTTATTTTATTAAGTTAAGATTTTAAACTGTTCAATATCTTCTTATTTAACATCATCATCATCATCACCTTAATCTCCTGCTTAAATTAAATTATATAACATTTCTGTAATTTTTTCTGCTACAAATGGAATGGACCATGTAAAGATATCCATAAAATTTGGTAGTAAATATGGATGAGGAGTATACTAAAATTATTGTATATTCAAAGTATTATTCTAAATTTATGATAAAAGTAGATATACTTCAAATTTAATAACAGCTCCTCTATTATTATAAACATCACAATAATTTGGAGCACTAAATATTGTGATAACAACTGGAAAATCTTGACCTCCATTCCATCTGTGCATTTTATAACCATCAAGTTGAGCCTATGATTATATTAAATAAATGAAACTTCATGAGCTCTTATTATGCTTATTAGATTATTTCTTTATAGAAATTTATTGCTAGCTTCAATACCAAAAAACCAACTGCATCCTCTTACTTCATTACCTTTCCATTACCCATCCATATTTCCTTAATCTTAATCTACAGGATCACTCCACAGAATATCACAAAACAATCCACTTCTAGGTGGTTCATGATATCTGTCTAGTTTTTTTAAGTCTTCTATCTTTTATGTTAGTAAAATGAGTTACAGATTTTAAATCAGGTGATATACCACCATGAACAGCTATAAATTTTGAATTGATTATGCATGCTAATGGAAATAAATCAAAAGAATCCATAAGCATCTCATAAGTTTCTTAATCATATTTATACAAACCTAAAGCTTATATTAAAATATATACATTCATCTTTAAAATTAAAAAACGCTGTCAGTTATCTGCATTCGTGATTCCCACGTAAAAAGTATACAGTATTTGGATAATTTATTTTTATTGCATAAAGTAAAATGACTACTTCAATTGAATATGATCCTCTATCAACGAAATCTCCGAGAAATAAATATCTAAAAATTATTGACGATATTCTTTTACTTAGTTGTTTCAGGATTTCCTCCAACCTTTGGTTCAAGTAATTTTAACAAATCATAATATTGTCTTCATTTAATAATACAAATACCCATGAATATCACCTACAACAGTAAGTGGATCTTATAAATAAAGTACATTTCCTTCATTTTCTAATATTCATTTTATCAATTTACTCAATAATTTATTGCAATCTGCTACCAATTTGAATAATTCCTCTTTTGCAATTCTTCCCTCTTTTTAAAGATGATCCTTTAATAACTTCCAATCAGGTTTATCTAATTATTTTACATTATGATCATACTCTTTAATTTATCAGGAAACATTAAATTTTTAGCCAATGGACGATGAGGAGGTGGCTTAAGTGTTTTTACAAATCTATCATTAGCAGGATCCTTTAGACAGTCCATATTTGATATTAATATTATATTTATTATTTTATTTTTTATCATTAATCAAATGCTCAACTTCAACAACTCTGATCTCAATCTATTAACTCTTGACAACAATGAGCAATCCAAGAATTTGTTGCCAGAATACATTTATAAACCTCCCAAAATTGATGGGTCAACTTTATATTATACAGAGAATTAAACATTAGGGTTAGATTCCTTTAAGGCTCCAACAACTTGGGATCTAAATCATTTTTCTATATTGTTATACCTTTATTCTTCAGATAATGTTTCTGCTGATATTATTGTAATATTTTCTTCTTTGTTAAAGATTCTATAATATTCAATATATTTCTCAGCTGTTTTAGTTAAATATGAAATTCTTTGACTATCAATCATAGTATTTAATAAATTTATTGTGACCTCATGAAATCCTTCCTACACTTATATCAAAATCTCTTTACTTTTGTTAATGTTTATAATACATTTCTTTATTGATTTCTTTTATATGCAGAGTTTAATAGGAAGCCTGCAAATACTGGACTCTTTTCAGCTAATTCTTTGAAGTATTTCATATCCTAAAGCACCAAATGAAGAGCTTCCCTTTAAGATGCAGTTGAGAAAAGCACACCAGCATATTTACCTTATACAGTATCTTCGAAAGAGGGTGGCTTATGTCCTAGACCTTTCAATACTCTATACCTGGTACTGATGTTATTTCAGCTTCAGCCTTGCTACCAGCAACTGCATATCTGAAGCATGCTCTTTGAATTAATTTAAACATATTTAATTATGATTTTATATTAAGGATTCATAAATTTTATTTTTTAAGATGGATGTTTTTAAAATTATTCTAAAAAAAATATTTTTTTAATTTATCAATATTAATTCTATACTTAAAAACTTTTGATTAAAAGAATGAGATTGATAATTTCAGATTTTAATATATAAGGATTAATTTGATTGTAATTTAAATGAATTTCATATATAAATATATTATCTAATTTATTAATTCACAATAAATAAAGTATAAAAATCACCATAAAAACAACACAAATCAGAAAGCAAGTATTCTATCCGAATGATGATTTTAATAATTCTAGAATATTAATAATTATTTATACTGCCAATCCCATTTATTGATTTCTTAACCATATCGATAGATTTATCATAATCATTATTTAATTTATCTAGAGAAGGTTTTTCATTCTTAAGATAAGTTTGTATGTTTAAGGATACATGTTTCAATTTTTGTACTTTATCTAACAATTCATCTTATTTTAAAATATTTTCTTCTTCTAAATTCTTTTAGAGAATATTGTTATTTTTTTTCATAAAATTTAATATAATAACACGTATATTTATACTTAATTTTTTACAACTAAATCAAATAAATATTTAATTAAATGAAGTTAAATACAGAATAGTTATCTGAAATTAAATAGGAACTCAAGAAATTTTCTTCAACCCCAATTTCAAAATCTTATAAATTAATTGCTTAAATTTATAAGAGCAATATTGAGACTTAATCATTAATTGATAGTGAGATAACAAAAAGCATTGTACGTATAGGATAGAAAAAATACACAGATGATGATGAGGAGAAATATTCCAAAGCTATAAAAATATGTAGGAAATTAGTGAAATAATGGAAATAAATCATTTTAACAAATGATCAAACCATCACTGATAATATAAAAAAAAATGATTCTAAGAAAGATGGGCAAATAAATATATAAAAATAAAAACAAATTAGGGCTGAAGAACCTATAATCTAAAAAAAAGTCAAATAAGAACAAGAAAAAAAAGAAATTAAACCAATTTAGCATAAAAATGGAACATCACTTAGTACCAAATTATAAAACAATGATAGTTAAAATGGGAAAGGTGAACTTGTTGATGATGATAAAAGAAAGAAGGCAATTGAAGGATTAAAGAAATATTTCTTACAGTAGACAGGTGAAGATTAAGTGGAATGGTCAAAAAAAGTTGAATAAACAATTTATGATCTTAACAAATATTCTGTTTAGAATTATATGGATAAAGTTAAATCAGTTGTAAAATTGATTGATAGAAATGCTGAATTCAGAAATAGATTGCTGAATGGTGAATATGATCTTGTGTCTGAAATTAAAAATTTAAAATGAAAAACAAGAAAGAGTATAAATTTTATTTTTTTATTTTTTATGCATTATCTTTAAGTTATTATTCATTTTTATAATTTCTATGTTACTAACAAAAGATTGAATACTTTTTACTCTTCTTTAGGAAATTCAAAGAAATAAGTATCTTTATAGGTATTGATATATTCTTCTTTAATTCATTTATAAAAAACTATAAAATTGATTAATAAAACTCATATCTGTCTAGAAGCTATCATTTATGAATATTATTTAAAATAAATTCTAAATATATAACTTGCAATAATGACTATATTTTCAACCATTAATATAAAATGCAAATTATTAAATCATTTTTATAGTTTAGCTTTCCCACTTAAAATATATTATAAATAAGTTTTCTTATTCAAGAATTTATCATGTTGACTTTCATGCTTGGGTAATTTTGATTGAGACTTAATTATTTATATTTTTTAGGGATCTTTAAATGAATTTTAACTAACAATTTTTTAAATTTTCGATTTTGCAGCTGGACTTGGAACTAATAATTCCTATTATATTAACAAAATATAATACACATGAGGCTTCTTTCTTTTTTAAACTTTCAGCTCTTGTTATATTGACTGATTTATTACCATATTACAATTTAGAACTATTTTACACAGTTATTTAACCATTACTTGTTCCTAATTTAGCTTTCTACATTTTAATCATATTTTCAATTGATTTAAACTTTTCAAAAGCACTCATTTTCTAATTTTGATTGTCTTCACTTACCTTTTTCTTGACTTCTTACTTTATGATTTATTTATTTTCTGAATTATTATTAAAACCTTCAATTGAATCCCCCTTTTTTTTTCTTTTATCTAAAGCACTAGTAGGAGTAGTTGATTATTAAAGTGTATTTGAAGGTTTGCTGGCATTTGCAGGAGATTAATGTGAACTAAACCAATTTTATTGTTAAACTTATTATGTGTTTTTCTAATTGATATGCTAATAAAGTGCTGTCATATATTCTTCTATACTATATTATACATTGTCATCCATAAAAGTTTAAATTGGAAAATCTAGTAGAATTTAATTACATAATTTACCAATTACTGTTTCATCCTCTGAACCTGCAAATTCAGCCATATATGAATGAGCTAATGCCTATTCAACAGTCAATCTTTTTTAAGGATTAAAGACTAACAAATTTTTAAGGAAACTTAATGTATCATCACTTTCTTAACTAAAAACAGTCTTAAAGTTTTTTGGTTTCACATATTAAAAATCATTTATGATATGTTTTGCCAAAGGGGATGCAATTGACTTGATATCTTCTTCTGTTGGAGTACCCAAAATTTCTAATATCATTTCAACTTGATTCATTGTTGAAGTTCCTGGAAATATTGCCTTCCCTAGAATCATCTCTCCCAATATACAACCAATACTCCACATGTCTACTGCTTTAGAGTATTTTTATGAACCTAAAAGTATTTCTGGTGCTCTATACCATCTAGTAGCCACATATTCGGTTAATATGGGAACTTGTTAAAATTCTAATTTTATATTTACCATCATCATCACTTGAAGTATTCACTGTTCTAGCTAATCCAAAGTCTGCTAACTTTACTAAACAATCAGCATTAATTAATAGATTTGCTGGTTTTAAATCTCTATGAATAATGTCTCCAGAATGCAAAAATTTAATTGCCTTTAATAATTAATAGACAACATATTTTTTGTGGATTGGTTCTAATATATTTGCTCTTATAACCTAATTTAATTGAATCTATATACTTTATGTAAATCTGTTTCCATGTATTCAAAGACCATGTATAAGTCTCTATTATTTTATGCTTTTATCACTTATAGTAATTTAATGATATTTGCATTTTTTGATACTTGTTCCAAAAAGATTACTTCTCTAAAGGTTCTTTATGAATCAGTTTTATTGTGAAATGCATCAAATACCTAAGCAATATCATTATATAAACACTTTTTTTAAAGCAACAATTGATTTAGTTTATTTATCATGTGCCTTCCATACTACTCCATATGCACCTTTGCCCTTAAATTCTAGAAGTGTAAATCTCTATAAGATATGATCCTCAAATTAAGATTATTTATCATTCTCCATTTCTGTTATTTTTAAATATTATAGACAATAATTGAGAAATAAATGACAATAATATTCAAATGAATCAAAAAAAGAAAAGATTCAATTGTATACTTTAAATCAATTTGATATTAAAATATCATTTTATTTCTTCTCTTGTTCTTGTTGTGCAAATTCCTTATGATAACAATAGTAAATTTTACTTTTACTAAAGAATTAAGTTCCTCTTTAAGTAACTCTACTTTGGCATGTGTTTCCATTCTTCTATTATCACTATTATCAAGATAGGATCTAAAATATTTAGAAATATAGTAAGTACTTTAAAAGTTATCTAAGTCTTTTATTCTCCTCCTTCACTTTTTTAAGTTTTTTAGTTTAGTATTTTATTTTATCTGATTCACATTGATTTAAAGGATCATTTACTATTTTTTCAAATTCACAATTTAGAGTTTATAAGGATTCCTTACATTTTTAATATGATGCATGAAGCTATCTATTTTCTTCAATTAAAATTTCTATATCTCGAAGATTTAATGCTAATTTATTTTGCAATCATTATTACAATTTTATATTAATTTAACTCCAAACTCTTTTCCAAGCTTTGATGGAATTTCAAATATTTCATATGATTAAGAGGAGATGCAAAGTATTTATTTTAAGAGTTAATTCTTTGTCAAATAGTTAGTAAATTTACAATTTAATTTTCATGTTTGACTATAAAAGCAGGCAACATAATAGAGACAAATATTCCGTCTGTCATTATTATATAAAAATAGAGTTAATGGAAAAATAATTAATATAATAATAAAAAATTAATATATGAATTCTAGTGAATCAGAAGATCAAGATATCAATATTGAAGAAGAAGAATTAAGCAAGCCAATCTTATAAGTATAGTCTGCAAAAGGAATGGAAATTCAAGTACTTATTAATATATTAATATAAAACAGGAAAATTCAGATCCATTCAATGGAACCTTTGTGTTTTTTGATGAAGATCATACATTAGGAAATTCATTACGTTATATTTTAGCAAATTAACCAAATGTTGAATTTTGTGGTTATAGTTTACCTCATCCTAGTGAAAATAAAATGAATCTGAGATTATAGACAATGAATGAGACAAAAGAAAAAGTTATGAATGATGGATTAAAATGCTTATCATAAATTTGTGATATAATTGAAGATAAATTCAAATAAGCTTTAGAAAAGAAATGATTCTTTTTATATTAGTGTTTTTGCTATTTATGAAATAAGAATTTAAATATAGTAAATTATATTTTCATAATTCATTTATTCAAGTCCTAAATCTACATGACTTTTAAGTATTCTCTAATTCAGATTACAATCTTCCTTTAGCTTATAATAATTTCCCTATTAAAAATTTAATCTCATTATTTATATGTACACTCTTTGGAGGGTATTGATTCTCTTTATTCTACTGCTATTAAATATATTACATTTTTTGTAGTATTAGAATCATTTTATATGGAATCTTCTTAACCATTATATCTTGCTTTAATTGATTAGATATGATTACTATGAGAATCATTATTCCTTAGAGTTGTCCATGGTTATTAATATAAACTATGTTTCAAATTATTTAATTAACTTTAAGTAAATGCAGGTACTTTAAAATGTGAGAATGATGTATTATGAGTCTTTTATTAAGTTGAAAGTTAAGTAGCTTACTTTAAATTACAATAATCATGTTATCCTAACATTTTACTAAGATTTGCTGCTGATTACACAGGATTTTTATTGATTCCTTATTATGAATAAGATCTTATTTATTCAATTTCATTGTTGTATCTTGAAGTCAATTAATGTGACATTTTATGTTTTATTAATTCATCTCCATTTTCTATTTCATCTTTAAAAATACAAGCTTCTTATAAATATTAATTTATATTATTATTTTATGGTATTGAATTAGTTGATTATGATTGTGATTTTGATTTTTTAGTCATTTTATTATTATATTCATCTATAGACATAGGAATAGTATCTTAATTATTAGGTTTTATTTTTTCAAAAGACAAATTATTTTTAAAAATTTATTATTTTTATTTTTCATTTGATTTATTGAAAGAAGTTGATTAGATTTTTGTTTATGATTATTAAATTGACTACTTATTATCAGGTTAAACAATATGTATACTCTTACATTAAATAGGACTATCTTGAGAAATAATAGAATTTCTCAATTTTATTACTTCAACACTTTTCTTCTTTGAATTAGTATCACAATTATTTTAAATGCTATAATAATAATAGTAAATTTTAGTTTTACTTTATTTAATCTTCCATCTATTTTTTAAACATATTTCTTTCTTATTAAAATTAGATTTGTTATTCTTAAATCTATTATTTTAATTCAGCTATTTCATCTTAGTATTTTTATTGCATTTACTAATTTTCTTAATTTGATTCAATATGATCTTAATATTTTTTAATTGTATTTTAACTTTTTATTAACCTTTATTATAATTGATCCTTTTCTTTTTCATATAGTTAAGCTAATTATTAATATCTTTAATCGTAGTCAGATTATTTCTCTTACATATCTTTAAAAGAACTATCTTTTATTTTTTATATCTCTTATTCACATTATAATTTCAGTAATTATTCTTTTGATTTGTAATTTTCTTCAATTTTTAATAATTAATCTTTTAATGTATTAACTTCCTAATTCAAATACTATTTATCCTACTCTAAAGTTTAGATTTTGTGTTCATTCATAATTTACTATTTTTATTATAATATTTCAAGGTCTTTTAATTAATTTTCTTTATCATTTAATTATTCATTTATACATCTAAGCTAGATATTATAAATAAAGATTACTTTCTCTTCTAATTTAGTTACACATTCTTAATATTTTTTATTATTTGTAAATTATATTTCCATTGATTTTTGAAATTCAGAATAACTTTTTTACTTTAAAATTTATAGATGAAATCATACTTAAGTTTTACCTGATATATCTATTGCCTATGTAATAGTATCATTGAGTTTCTTTTAATTTATTTCTCTTGTTTTGTAATCCTCTAATTGTAATTCCAATAATTGTATCTTTTATTCATACAGAGCCCTATCTTTTTTCCATTCATGTTCCTTAATAAGAAACTAATCATATTACTGATGAATTTACATTTTTCTTTAACTAAATACAATCTTCTTATTCATTAATTTCCATTCAAATTTAACGATTAATTATGAAAAATATAATAGAAAATATTTTTATTTAATTAATTCGTAACTTATAAGAACATCTAAATTTATTTTATTCATCTATTCCATAATTAATATATAAGTTTAAATGATAACTTATACTAAAAAAAGAATTTAATTTAATTTTCAATATAAACAATACACTAAATACATCTACACAAAAAGTATTAATAATAATATATATAATTTTAATTGAATATATGTATTTATTATTTGAATAGATCAAATACAAATAAAAAATTAGTTATGAGATTTAAATTAAATTTGTTCATATATATATTAAAATTTAATAATATTAATATGGGAAATTGTAAAAGTTAATGTTATTAAAAGAGTCTTAGTTAAACAAATAATGTTGATTGCACAAAGTTAATAATTCTAATAAAAACTTGGCATAAGGATGCCTTTTCATTGTTCGATTATGAAAATGCTATTAATGTACAGGAATAAAGGTTTATAGTAATAATTAATAAATTATACTTTTAGATAAATAACGATGGATATTTAGTTGGTCGAAATTAAATAGAATGGATAGAGAACAAAACAACTATTAAAGATTAGCTTTGTAAAATAAAGAAAAAAAATGATAATTATTTTATAGTTAATCCAAATTTTCAAAAAGATTACAAAAAGTAAACAATCTAAGAAAATGAAGAATCACATAATATATTAAACAAGTAATATTGATATATATTATAAGAACTATTTCAGAAAAAATTGGGAATAAGATTTGGAAAGTGATACATGAAAATGGAATACTTTTATAAGAAGGAGATGTTATTAAATTAGGAAGAGTTAAATTTACTATACGCTAAATAGGATTAGAGATTAAATCATAAGAGTAGAGATTTGAATATGAATCATCATAATCAATTGAATCAGATTAAACAATGTGTAGAATTTGTTGTTCCTCACAAAAGAGTTCAAACAATCCACTTTTGAATCCTTGTAAATGTAGTGGATCAATTAAGTATATACATTTGGAATGCTTAAAAACTTGGTTAAGAATGAAATTAGAAAATCGATAAAGTGAGAATTGCATAGTTTATTTATGGAAAAACTTAGAATGTGAATTATGCAAATATAACTATCCTTCAAAATTTAAGAGTGATGATTCATATTATGATTTAGTAGAATTAAGTAAACCAAATGATTACCCTTATTTAATGATGGAATTTACAAATAAATAAGTAATTAAATCATAATATAACTTATAGGGATAGTAATTAGATTATAATAATAATAACTCTGGAGTTTATATTTTAAAGTTTTAGAATGTTTCAGAATTAAAAATTGGAAGATCAAATGATACTGATATAAGACTAAATGATATATCTGTAAGTCGAAATCATGCTAAATTGTTGGTTCATGATAAAAAAGTTTATCTTTTTGACAATCACTCAAAATTTGGAACTCTACATTTAATAAGAACAGATATATTATAAATTTAGAGAGGAATGGAAGTTTAGATGGGAAGAAGTCTCATTTCATTTTAATGATCTTTATAATTGATTTTTTTTTGAATCTTTTTAAAACTTAAAAAAATTCTTAAAAATTAATTAATCTGATTTTTAAGTGATAATCTTAAATTAAGATTCTAAATTGTTATTGGATTTAAGAAATTAAATCATGTATTAATATTTTTACTATATAATACTAACACTTTTATAATAATTTTATTGATAACTATCCACTTAAAACCCAATTTTATCTCTAATTCTTCCTATAATTTCTCTACTTATAAAACACAAAAGTTATAAACACTAGCATATCAATTCCAAACAATATCATTAGGCTTGTTTTTAATTTTATATTTAGTAAATACAACATTAAAACAGAATAAAATTATTCTTTTAAAGACTACTTATTAAAAACATTAAGTGATCATAAAAATCAGGATTTTATCTACAAAATCTATAAGTACTTATATAATTTTATTTGAGAAGCATTTTAATCTATATTTTAACCTATTATTTATTCCCACTAATTGATCTCCTATTTTAATTATGTAGTATTACAATTCCTGAAATTAAGAAAATCATATTTATATATTTAAAATTAATAATGCAAAATTTTGGATCTAATGTATTACTTATCTTAACTAGAATGAATTGGATGAGAAAGGACATGTCTTGAATGAGTAACCTAAAATCAAGGTAAAATTTGAACCCAAACCTAAACCTTCTAAATGTCCCATTTGCACAATTGAATATTATTAGCAGTTCTTCAATATTGAATAAAGAGATGTATACATGAGAATACGTTGTTCAATTTTATCTTGGAAACCTGAATTTCATTAATGTGTTGGAAAAAATCCTGATTTATGGGGACCTTTATGGATTTCAACCACAATTATCTTCATCTTATTTGCAGGAGGAAATCTATCTCGCTTTTTATTGGAAGAAGATAAAAAACATTTTAAATACGAATATAATTATATGTATGTAGCTGTATTAATAGTGTATGCTATGGCATTTATAATACCTATAATATTAGGAGTTATTATGAAATATATTCTAAAAAGTGAATTAGGAGTTTTTGATATAGTTTGTATGTATGGATATTCATTGAGTGCTTATATATTTGTGCTAATTTTATGCATAATCCCTTATAATGAAGCCTAATGGTTCTTTTTAATGTGTGGACTTGCAAACAGTACTATATTCTTGTTAGTTAATTTATGGGAGTATTTTAATATATTATTATTCATAGTTTTATGAAAAAAAATAAATAAACTGTATTAATAGCTATTCCAATTATATCATTTAATGTAGCTTTAATTTTATGTTTCAAATTTTACTTTTTTAGACTAATTTACGCAGTAGATGATTGAATTATATTTATTATTTTAATACATATTTATTAAAGAATAAAAATGAGAAGATAGATGAAAAAACTTAAGGAATAAAATGAACCTAAAGAAGTTGTGGATGAATAATTAGTAAAACAAGTTCATCAAGTAGAACAATAGAAAAAATAAAAGTAAGTATTTTAGATGATGGAAATGTCAGATTCAGAAGATGAATAATAACCAGAATTAAAAAATGATGAAAGTCAAACTCAATAATTAAATCAAATAATTTAGCCATAAAATGATTAAAATAATAATAATTAACAAAAAAAGAAAAATAAAAATAAAAAGAAGAAAGATAAAAAATAATCATAATAAAATCAAGATGATGATTTAAAATTTTTAGATAAAGTTTAAGCAGAATAAATACAACAATAACAATAATAAATAATATAATTTTAAGAATCTTAAGAAAATGGTCCTCTTGCTATTAACATCAAAAGATTAAACTATAATAAAGAATTATAATAATACTTTAAAAATGCTAAAATTGCAGGTGGTTAATAAAAGAAAGGACATAAAAATATCAAATAATCTTACCTTACTTATAATCCAGAAATTTAAATTCCATAGGCTAATAAATTTAATGTAAAATTTGGAAATTAAAATGAGTAAGGTTTGTAATTATTCACTTTTGTGGCTTCTTAATAATATGAAAGACTTTAATAAGATTATGCAACTGTTAAGGGTTATTATGATCCATAAGCTATTTTTAATTTCTTATAAATGAATCCATCACATTGTGAAGCATAATTTGATGTTAGTGAATATTTTAGATTAAAAGGAGATTATAAAGAAGCAAATGAGCTTTTAGAAAGATTACTTTATATTTATGAAAGCAGTTTAGGTTTTGGTTTCAATAAATTCTTTGAAGATGCTTCAATTAATCTAGAGATTGAAGAAAATGCTCATAGCAAAGTATTTTTAATGTCCTTATTTAAATTTACAGATGTATTAACAAGAAAAGGATGTTATAAAGCAGCTTTAGAGTAATTATATATATATTATATTAAGGTTTTCGAAAATATTATTGAAATTTTGTCCAACAAAAGATCCTTATGGTGCAATATTTCTAATTGATTGTAATGCACTTAAATCAGAACAATACGATTATTTGATAAACTTTACTACTAATTTTGCAAGAAGTGTCTATAAAACTAATAAATGTTCTATTGTTTTTATGCCAAATCTTATTTATAATTGTGCATTAGCAAAATTTTTAGAATAAGGAGAAAATCATAATTACTCTTTTAATGATTAAAACATAACTGATGCTATTAATAATTTTGGTCCTAATCCTTTACAAGCATCACATCAAGTATTAATCATTTAAGCAATTCTTTTATATCCAATTGTCCTTAAATAATTAGCAGAAGCTAATGAATTCTCTAAACAAAATGTTGGAAATTTAGAGAGCTTTGTTAATAATTAAAGAAAACCATTTAAAGAATTATTGACTGAAGAATTTTTATAAAGAGATACATATTTACATTGGTTCTTACAATTAGATTCTGAGGATGATAATGAAGGATTTTTAAAATCTATTAGTATTTTCATTGAAAAAAGTAAATCTCAATGGAAATAAAATGAAATCCTTAAATGGATCAAAGGGTATTCTATTTATAGTTAATTAATTAGTGCTTTGGGATTGATTGTCAATCATATTAAAGACCAAAAGTTAGACCTTATTTCTTTTTATGAAGACCTCAGTGTTGTTAAAGAAGGAACACCCATCTGTAATGAAATTCCTTTCCAATATCGAAGATATAAAGAATTATCCAAAAGTCATTTCTTAGAGAATCCAGAAAGGTATTTCTTAAATTCATTTAGACTCGATTTCAATAATATCTTTGCTGAAAATATAGGTGCATAATAACAATAGCCTCAATAATAACTTCCAGACAATTTTAATCCTATTAATGTAAATCAAGAGTTATTGTAAGCAGTTTTTGAAACTCTTTTGCAATAGGTTAATGATCCTAATGACGAAATGTGATTAATATTATAGATATTTACATTAATTAACACTTTAATAGATTTTTCATTTAATTAACATTTTATTAGATCATGTATGATTTAATCAAGTAAATCTGGCTTAAATAGCAATATATGAAAAAAAATAATTAAAATTGTAAAAAATTTTTAGGGTTGCAAAATGAAAAATTTTTAATAATTTATTAAAGGATAGATTAATAAGGAAAGAATACAATATTTTAATTTAATTGGTAGATTAAGGGTAATAATTTTGGCTATTTTAAATCTATAATTGAAATACTTTAAAGAGTGAGTTCACATAATTAATTTATGATCATTTCATATTAACTCAAAGTATTTCATCATCAGATTTTATTAAAATATAAAAGAATATTCAATTAGCTGAAATTTAATAATTACGCATTTTATATTTAAATTATACTCTAGAATAATATAGATCATTATTTAAAGAATAAATGGAAATACTTTATGACTTGCACATATTAAAAAAATCATAATTGATAAAATATCGAGGTCTATTATATATCAATTTGATTAAAAATCCTTTTTAAAGACACAAAAAAATATAGTGTGATGAAATTGTATAAATATATAGAAAAATTAATAAACTAGTATTCAATTTATTAGATTATCAAACAGGAAAGTCTTGAAAAATTAGATAAATGAAGTGTTGTTATATTTTTTAATAAATTTCATAATAATGCTAAATCAATAACATAGATTTAAGGTTTATGGCCAGTTGAATTTTCTATCTGGATTATAGAATTTAATAAATTCTCTTTAGAATCAATTTTACTCTATAATAAATTTTCATGATGCTGAATAGATTTGAGTAATTCAGATTCTTATGTTATTTATGCCTACCAATTTTTTTCCAATTCTTTTATTGTAATTTAATTTTAACTAAACAAGTCCTATATTTTGATGACTCTATTTTAAGCAAATGCTCTTTAAAAGTAAGTTAAACCCAATTAATTGATTTCATTATCTTCTTTTGTGTCTTATAAAATATCTGGAACTGATACTGATTTTTAGTTTAATTTTAAATTAATTTACTTCATTAAATTGCTAGTTTATTTCTCTTATGGTTATCTATTAGTTGAAGTACTATTTTTATTGATTGTACTATTTTCATTCTCTTTGTTTTCATGATGTTAAGTTCTAACTTTTGCTTTTGTTGATGGAGTCTTTTATCTAAATATCCTTGACTTTTCTGGAGTCTTATAGATTGGTTGAGTTAAATGTGTTTATGATGTATTTTATCGTGTAGTTGTTAATGGATGAGATTATTTTCTTCTAGATATAGTATTGTTGTCAGAAGTAGTTAAAACATTATTTTTCATTGAGGACTAAAATTTAATTAATAAAACATTTTCATTAATATAAATTGGAATTCTTAATTATGGATCTGTTATTATTAAAAAAATATAGTTTATCAATCTATTAGTAAAAGTATTGAATTTTTTTATTTTATAAGAAATATTAGTTTCTTTATAAATTAATCTCTTAATGGGCAATTTATTCGAGAAACTAAAATCATTTTTTTCTACTTCTAAACTCGAAGTATGTATGGTTGGATTGGAAAATGTAGGAAAAACTACTATGTTGAATTAACTTTCAATGGGTGATCCTTCATTCACTGTGCCTACAGTGGGTTTGAATGTCAGGACTGTGAAAAAGGGAGGAGTAACGATGAAAGTATGAATAAAAAACGATTAAAAGATATGGGATATTGGAGGATAAGTTTAATATAGACCAGAATGGGGTAATTATGCTCAAGGTTGTGATGCAATAATATTTCTTGTTGATACTTCAAATGTAAACATTATAAATTAAAGACAAAGTAAGCTACACTTGGAACTTCAAAGAAAGAATTACATAATTTATTAGATAATAAATCTTTGCGTAATATTCCACTTTTAGTGATTGGAAATAAAATAGATGTGAATCCACATTTGAATGAAAAGTAATTAATAGAAGGTATGGTTATTAATTAGATTTAAAGGTTTAAACTTAGATTACATAACCTCTAATGCATGGGCAGTGGCTATGTGTAGTGCTTTAACTGGTAATAATATAACGTAAGTTGTCGATTGGTTAATAACTAAGTCTAAGAAATAATGAGTTATTTTAAATATATATATCTATGTAAATATTTATATATATTCATATATCAGAATGTCCACAACAATTTCCATAATCCCTTTAAGTATATTTAAAATTCTGATGCCCCCAATTTCGATTCTCCAAAGATTCTTTCAACAAAAACAATAGGCACCTTAAATTATCTAATATATTTATACTTCCTCTATTGTATATCCATATTATCTTGCTCTAATGATGATTTCCATTTGAAAAGCATATCCTCTTGAGACAACATCTTTAATTACTTTTTCTAAGACTTCTCTTTTGTATAATCTGAAACTTCCTGTTAAATCAGAACACTTCACTCCTAACATTGTTGAAGCTAGAAAATTGGCACCTCTAGATGTAAGTTTTCTATCAAAACCCCAATTCATAACACCTCCTTTATTTATATATCTAGATCCTGTCACTATATCACAATTAGTTTATTTCTATTTTTGGATAAAGTCAACTAAATATTTTGGATGATGTGATAAATCTGCATCCATAATTACAACAAAATTGCCATGACAAAGTTTGATCCCATCCATATAAGCAGATCCTAAACCAAGTTTTTTTTCTCTAAAATGAATGATCAACTTATCACCATATACTTTCTTTAATTCTTATGCTACCTGTAAAGTACCATCAGGAGAATTGTCTTCTATTATGATAATCTCAAAATCCAAATTACTTTTTAATATATATTGAAGAATACTTCTTTTTAGCCATTTCAAAGATCAAATAAGTGATAATTGGTAAATTCTCCCTTTCATTATAAGTGGGTAGAATTACAGAATATTTGGACATTATTAATTTAATAAAAATAGTTTTCTTATTTTGAATTCTATCTAGAAAACACTTAATGTTTGATCTTATTTATAAAAGATGTTAGATTTTACTTAAAATTAGTATTACTTTATTCAAAACAATGACAATAACATTATAAATTAATTTAATTATTTAATCAATGTCTGAAAATCAAAGAACAATGACTCTTACATAGATTACTCATATGATTGAGGAAAAGGTGACAGAAATTCAAGCTAATCCAGATTATAAGATTTCAGAGTTACCTTAATTAATTGAATTACTTAAACATGATAATGTATTCATTGTTCAAATGACAATTATGGCATTAACAGATTTGTTTATTGATATTGCTCCATTATATAAAATTGATTAATAAGCTCATGAATTTAAAATCACAAAGTTTATCAATAAAGAAGAAAAATAAGTGCTTAACTTTGAATTGAGTTTAATAAAAAACTATTATCAATTTATTAAAGCTTAATTTACATTTGTTAAATTAATATCTTAAGGTCCTCTTGTAGAAACCTGTTATTAGAGGTAATAATAATATATCTATTATATAGTTTAGGTAAATTATTGAATTCATTATTTCATTTTAATTACAATAGAGAATTAGTTTAATATGTAACATATGGTTTATTGACTTGTAATGATATATGTTATAATTCTCTATCTAATATATTAAGTAATAAGAAACATTCATTACATGAAGCTAAATTATAAATCTTAACATAAATATAAAAGTTATATTAGACTAAACATGAAGATCAATTACCAGATAATCTTGTTGATTTAGTTAATTAAATATAGATAGATACTAAATTTTTACCTTAAGAGTTAGAGAAGTAAGAGAAAGAGAAGAAAAGAGCAGTAAAGCAAAAGAAGAGAGAATATTTCAGTTAGAAAGAGAAGGACAAAAAGAAATAGAAATTAACAAAGGAAGAAATGGCTAAATAAAAGAAATTGTTAAAGGAAGTTTAAGATGAATTATAAGAAGCATAAGGAGATTTAGATAAAAAGACTTTGGCTAAAAATGTAATTTATTTTATATAATTATTAAGAATGGAGAGATTCTTTCAAAAATGTTTTATATATATTTTAAAGTACTCAAATTACCTCGAGTATCAAAATATTATGAATCTGCTTTAAATGGTATATTATAATATGTCCATTTGATTAACATTGAATTGATATAAGGAATATTTGAATGTTTATTATAATCAACTAACATACTTAGATAGAGAAAGGATAATTAATTGAAATATGTTAATTTAAGATTACAAACTATACTTGCACTTTAATCTATAATGGATGGACCTGCATCTGTTTTTGGTATAGATGACAAAGAAACAATGTAAAGATTTTATGTTTGTTTATTGGACATATGGACAAATTAAAAAATTAAAATTACTGAAGAAGAAGAGAGTTTGATTTTAAGAATATTGGATAGTGGATTTATTAAGAAAAGACATTTTTCTTAGGAGGTTACAGGTTCATATGTAAAAATACTTATTTAACTGGCTAAAAATTCTGATAATATAAAATTTGTATATGCACTTTGTTACTGCATCAAATTAATGACATAAAAGTATTAAAAAACATAGAAAATGTTGGAAGAAGACAATGAAGGCTTTGGTATTAATTCTTATAATGTGAAATGTGATGATCCATCATGTACAAATGCTTTAAATTCCTCAATATATGAAGAAGTGAAGGAGATAAAAAATGTATTTTAGTTTATAAATATGATTAGAAATTCAACAACTAGCAAAAATTGATATCAATAGTATCAAAACTACTTAAAAATGAACCAGTCCCTCAACATATGCTGAACAAAAGTGTTTATGATGTATATAGATAATGATATTGATTAATCACATATTAGTAAAATAGTCTCCAACTTCATCATCTTCAAAATTATCATCACCGAAGCCATCTAATCTGATAGAAAAGATTGATTTTCTAGTTTGAGTGATATTTTCTTAATTGACCATTAATGGGGAACTTTGAGGTGTATGGGAAGGAGTTCTACGAGATTTAATTAAATTGGATGAGATTTCCAATTACTAAATACTAGAAACATCAAATTGTGTTGTATTTGACTTAATGAATTACTGTTTTCGTTTAGAGTGAAAAAGTTCTTATTTGATTGTAGGATCAGTTTTCATTTTGATTCCAAGTTATCTGAGATAGTTGACAATCTCTATTTCTTTTAAGAGAAATGAGTTGTTAGGATTTTGTTTACACAATATATCTAATTCGAAAGAATCGTCCATGAAGTAATTAAAATGCTGTAAAAAAGAATTTAATAATGCTTTGGTTAAATTGTAAAGTAGTAGATTTAAAAGACAGAATCTCTTAAACAAATGTTGGATCCAAAGTTAGAGAAACCGATAATTGTGACAGAGTAAGACTAAGATCATAAATATGTCTAAGATTATACAAAATCACCAACCAAAATGGAATTTGTAGAAGAAGACCCTTTATCAAATACAATAACAGCAAAAATAGTTAATGATGGTAAAGAGATTACTTATACAACAAATACAAAAACTACAATTGAAATGAAGCATAATCCTCTTGCACTTAAAGCAATGACTGAAAGTTAAGTTGCTATAGATGAAATTAATGTTGTTAGTATGAAATCTAATGTAATTGGATAACAATTCAGATAAGCAGATTTAGGTAGTGTTTTTGTAATGCCAGAAAACACTATTCATATAAGTGAAGTTGATGTAAATAATATACCAGCAGATAAAGATATATAATTAGATAGAGAAGAGAAAATACTCTATGCTATTGGAACAAAGAGCAATGAAACAAGTTATTCAGATAAATTATCTCTTAATAATACAATCATAGAAGATGTCACTTTTTAAGAATACAAAGATAAATACCTCTATAAAATTGAATAACCTTTTGCTTATTTAAGCAGAGCCAAAGCTCTTAAAAGATTTATTAGGTGGTTACCTATATATTTTGTTATGTTCTGTTTTTTAGAAACATGGTGGGAAGTACATCATCTCAAAAAGTATATATACAGCCTTGAAGTTTAAGAATTAGATCAATCAAAAGAAATCATAAATGCAAAGTAAATTGAATTGCTGCTCAATGATCCTTTATTTAAGAGATTCTGAATATTTGTTATATAATAATAATAAATTTAGGATATATTTTAAGATTTTTATAATATAAATCATTAAATATTAAATCTATAAGATCATGAAATTACATACTCTAATTATTTTATGAATATATATCCTAATAATAATTATTATAAATTAATAATTCATTTATGATAAATGTATTATATTTTATAACAACTATTAAGCCTACTTACTTATTATATTTAAATTTAATCTATGTTAATTGTATTAAATTATGATTATCAATCATATAAAAAAAAATAGGAAAATTTTAAATATTTTCTAATTAATCTTTAAAACTTCAATTAATAAGTATTACAATTATTTTATTTAAAATTAAAACTAATAAGTATATTCAATAATAATTAACAAATTTTCATTTATTAAATTAATCTATCATTTAAGCAGTAGAAACAACTTTAAATAAATCTCCATATCTATCTTCCAAATCTACCTTCAAAATATATTCAATTTTCTAAGTATTGATTAATATATATTATTACATTTCTACATAAATAACAAACCATTTTCTATTTCCAAATATCAATAGCACATTAATAACATGTTCCTCCATGTCCACAATTCATAAATACTGCATTTGGTCCTCTTTCATAACACACTAAACAAATATTACTTGTTTGACTCATACTCAATTCTTGGTTTTTATTTTAAACACTTTCATCATGAGCAATCTAATATATTAATATAATAATTTACTGTTACTAAATGAGAATTACATCTCTTTTTATCAATTTATAACCTTAATTCATTAGATGTAGTTTTATTTAAAGCATTAGATGATTATTTATCAATAACTATTTAATCTAATTCTTAAAACATTTATGAAGCAACTCCTTAACTAGAAAATGCTCTTTTATGTCCTTTTGAAGATTTCTTAAGAACAGGAGAAGCACTTATTGAATCTTGATCACCTTCCTTCTTGATTCTTGTGGGAATTCCAAAATATGTTTTAGATATTTTTTATACAACTTAAGGAATCTAAGTTCTTGAAGAAGTTGGATTGATTTATTACATGGTTTGATTATTTCCTTACATATTAATAGAAAATTATTATTAGTTAATTGGTTCATCATCTTAAAGTGTTATGAAGATTTATTCACAAATATCATTACGAAAATATATGGAATAAATAATAATGATGAAGAATTCAACAATAATGAAATATTGTTATATTATGAAATTATGAGAATAATTTGGTTGATTTTCCAAATACTCTAAATATCCTAAAGAACTTAATGCTAGAGAAACACTTCCAAATATTAGAAGTTAAGTTATCCAAATGTTAGAAATCACTAGAAATTTATTATAAGAATAAATACATTCTGATTTCTATAGATTTTATCTGTCAAACATATATTAAATTATCTTACTAAATGAAACTATAAGTGAACCTGCACTAATACCAATAAAACAAATTAAACCTACCCAAACACTCCATAAAGTGGGAGTCCAATTCCAAATTATTATGTTATCAATTTTCAAAGTTATAAATAAGGAACAAATTAATATGTAAATCCTTATCAATAATGAAATTTTATTCAACATTTTAAGTGATTCTAATAATGCTCTATCTGAGTAGAGTGAATAAAAATTCATTAAAATTGCAATTACCAAAAATACATTACTATAAACAAAATATTTGTATCCCATCTTCGTTAACATCAATAACTATATTAAATAAATGAAATCTAATAATGTGGTTCCAAGATATACTAATATCTTTTTCTTCTTGCTGTATAATTGATAATGTTTACAATCGTATTTACAATTTTTTCATTTAAAAATTGTAGTAAAACAAATGCAAAAAGTCAATCAAATAGTAGATCAGGAAAAGGACAAATATATAAATAACATCCAAATAATATTATATCTGTAGACTGAGCAATAAAAAGAGTAATATGGCAAAGAAGAATTTAATAATTGTTGTTAAGAACAACTTTCGAGATCTGATACGATTTCTAAGACTATTTATAATAAGGAAATTACTTTGTTTCTTATTATGAATTGGTTAAATTCTGTTATGTTTGATTGATATGAGTAGACATGTTGTTATTAATATATATTTATTGTTAATAATAAATCAATGATGTTCATCAATACGATAAAATCCGTATGTCCAATCTACTTATTAAGATGTACATTACCATAAACTGCTAAACAAGCTAAACCAATTAATATGGGTTTAATGGGTCTAGTGGATTTCAAGACTAATTCAATTCATAATATTTTATACAATTTGATTTATCCAAAGTGTTGAATCTCCATCTATTGACTCTTGTAAGAAACAATTTCTATTCTTGTTCCTATTGAATGCTTTTATCGATGTAATATCTGAACAATTTCCTTTAACTCATCTATTTTATATATTAATATTAATATAAATATGGGAGCAAAATGTTGTGCTCAATAAACAATACTAAACCCTCAAGTTATTAGCAATAATAATGGATTTATTGAATAGTTACAATATACCCCTTAAGAAAATTAAAAAATAATGCCTTTAGAGGTTTAGGCTGAAATAACAGATGAAAAGAAATAGGAATTGGAACAAAGAAAAAGTGAGGATGATCCAATTATTTTCAAATCTCATTAACAACATTCATAAAAATAAGACTTGTAAAAAGTAACTGAAATTCCTTTGTAGTTTTAACATCCTGATTTAAAGTTTTATGAATTACCGATCGAAATAACGAATAACAACATCAAGAAAACTCTTGAAAGAATAGGAAAATATGTTCCAAACTAATAGAATTATATTAATGGTTAAGCTCAACCACCTTATTAAATAAAGGGAGAAGTAATATATATAGGGACTTGGAATGGTATTAAGAGAGAAGGTTATGGTAAACAATTTTGGTAGGATGGAAGCATATATGAAGGATAATGGTAGAATGATATGATTACTGGACATGGCAGAATAATATATTCAGATGGAGATGCTTATGAAGGATATTGGATGAATGGAAATGCTAAGGGATTTGGAATATATTTTCATTATGATGGAGCTAGATATGAAGGATAATGGGTTGATGATCTTCAAGAAGGAGAAGGTAAAGAGTATTGGCCAGATAATTCATTTTTTGAAGGATAATACAAATAAGGAAAAAAGAATGGGATTGGTATCTTTATTTGGAGTGATGGTGCAAAATATCATGGATAATTTGTTGATAATTAAATTCATGGATAAGGAGAATATACTTGGGCTGATAAAAGAAAATATTAAGGAGAGTGGAAAGATAATAAAATGGATGGAAAGGGAACATTTATTTGGCCTGATGGTAAGAAATATCTAGGTACTTAGATTATTTAACAATTTTTTTAGGAGATTATAAAGAGGATAAAAAGTGTGGTTATGGAGAATTTTATTGGCAAGATGGAAAAATATATAAAGGTTTTTGGAAAGATGGAAAATAACATGGTAAAGGTGAAGTCATTGATCCAAGTGGTAATAAATAAACAGGAGAGTGGTAAGATGGCAAAAAAATTTGAATTTATTATGTTTTAATCATTTTCTATTATCTTTAATATTGTTTTATGTTGTATATTTTACTTATTCTATTTATGATGATAAATTTATAAATAAATAATAATTTATTTATTTTTAATTCCTAATAGAATTAATGGTTTATCTTTTATATAAAATGATGGACTTATAGATAAAGTTAATAATCAAATTAAGAGTCAGGAACTATTTTAAAAACTAATTATTATTATATGCTGCCTAATATAATTATAGCAGAAAAGAAGACTTAATTTCAAAAAAAGAAATCATATTTGAATTTCTTAGAAATCATAAAGAAAAATAAATATTTTTAGAACATATAATTATAATCATTATTATTATTAAAATAATGCACTATGATAAAATGCTATTAGCAATTCAAAATATCTTTTCAAAATTTGATAAATGCTAATAGAAATAGATGCTTATTTCCTTCATCTTTTTAATATTAATAGGAATATGGATTCTGTTTCTCTGTTATTATTCAAAATAAAATAGAATTTATAGAAAAAAATTAATTTTGATTGGACCATCTGGAGTAGGAAAAACAAAACTATTTAATATTGCAACAGATAAGAAAGTTTATAGAAAATAGATTAATTAAGATTAATTTTATGAATTTCCTATTGGAAATAATCTTGATTTAGTTGATACACCTTCAATTGAATTTGATGATTCAATAACAAAAAGAGAAGCTATTATAAAATAATTTAATTCATATTTCAAATTAAATTTCTATTAGATCGAAAAATTTTATTTAATTGTTAATTTTGAAAGAACAGATATTATGAAATAAAATTGTTTGAAAGTTTATAAATACTTTAAGAAATTTTCAAGTATTATTGACATAGTTATAACTAACTTTTAATTAAGTGAGGATGAAATTGAAGACAAAGAAAATTTGGTTAAGGCATTTAGGATGTTTATAAATGATTAAAAGAAAGTTCATTTCGTTAGAGATGATATTCAAAGTGAGGAACTTAAATAACTTTTTATTTAAAGTGCAAATCTAATTGATTTATAAGATATTAATTTTGAAATGATTAAAAATAGAGAAATTAACAAAAATGAACAAAATCAAACATAATAGATATTTAATGGAAAATAATATCAATCTATTGATGAATTTTAAATGAATCAGGAATAAAATTTTATACAAATATTATGATATTATATAATTGATATAATTCCTTATAAAAATGTTAAATTAATGTTTATTCAATGATCAATTTTTAGAACAAAACCTAAAATGTCTCTAATACCTAATTATGATTAATCAATAGGTTTGTGAGATGTTGCATAATTCCAAAGAGATTTATCATCAATTATATAACCTTCTCCTGGTTCCAGACTCATTTCAAATAATAATTTTGATTTATCAGAACTGTAAATTTAACTTTCTGCCCCTTGACAATTAACTTTATTTACTACACCAATAATTTCCAAATCATTTCCATCTCTATTAGGACCTTCTGGAGTAGGTGAAGCAGGTTAATCAATGTAAGATATCTAATATTTTAGAGTATGATACAGTTCGCACAGCATGAACAGAGATTTATGCTTTTTGAAACTGTTTTAATTGCCAAGTGATTTGAAGAGTATTATAAAGAAAATCTTTATAAATTTGATCTTATTTCATCTCCTTAGTTAGTTCTTCATAAATATTTGCATGTTGTAAGCACTTAGCTTCATCATAATTATCAAGACGGTATTCTTCATGGAATCTAGTCATGTTTCCATCTTTATCAAATTCTATATGATAATTCATCATTCTTCTCTTTCTCATTATTTTATCGGATGGCAATTTTAATCGTTTTTATAAGTACTCATCAGGGACTAGATTCTCAAAGTGATGTTTTAGAAATTGAAAATCTGATTTAACATCTCTGTTAGTGAATGAAGCAAAGGGAAATTTGGTGGATTTGAGTGCTTAAACAACTTTCATTTTGAAATAATAAAATTAAATATGTAATTATTTTTATATTCTAAATAAGATATTTTATACGCAAAAAAGAGTTAAAAAAGTTTAAATTATTAACTTCAATTTGAATGAGATTATTGAAAATCTATGAATTTGTTAAGAAAAGTAATGTCTAATTCAATTTTCTCATTTTATTAGAATTTATATAAAAGATTCACTAATTAAACTATTGGAAAATGATGATAAAAGTAGAATACTTTTATATAACAATTATCTTAAATATATCAGATTTTACTCTCTTGAATAAAATACTTTATTAGAGTTTAATATAATAGATAATAAAAAATAAAAATGAATTAAAATACAAATTTAAATTGGCTTTTGTGTATTGCCATAAAGTTTGTACTTATCTGAATAAATGAAAAATTTATATTTAGAAAATATAGATAGATTATGGATATAAAAGAAACACTATAATTAAGTAATGATGTATCTTCATTTATACTATTCTTCATTTTTTATTAATTCAAAACAGATATTCAATTTGTTTCTATAGAAATAATAACTTAAATTGAATAATATAAAATATGATTTACTAAAATTATTTAAGACATATCTTCAAATAATTTAGTCATGAAAATTATTATTAGAATAATTATACTTAATTAGCAAGAAGTATTTGTTTTAACATTCACAAAATTTATAAAATTCATATTTTATAAAATAACCATGTTGACTGATGGGCATTTCTTCTATAAACTAACTAAAAAGAATTCTTTTTATTTCCTTAGATTTTATCCTATAATCAATATTTAATGTCCTTAATTAATAGGTTTAATTTAGTTTAAAAATTTCAATCTAAAACAGTTTGTTTCAATTTGTTAATTTAGATATCTTGTAATTATTGCACTCATTTTAATATATTTAAATTATTTTTTTTATAAACCAAAGTAAAATAATAATCAACAGATTATGAATAGATGGATATTCAATTAATAATTGATATTAATTATATTAATAACTCATAATAAGAGTCATCTTATTTTCTTATATTTATTTGTTCTGAATTAGATTTTATCATTTTCAATAGACTTTCAATTTCATGAATGTTTTAAAATGAAATATTTTTATGTTTTAATCTCTAAAGAGAGTTTATAAGAATTTAAGGAGCATTTGATATTGTAATTCTTTTAATTTTAAAGTATATACATATTAATAAGTAATTGAAATTATTATTTACTTGTATTACATTATATATAAATTTTAATGGAATCAAATAACTTTGAATCTAAATCTCTTAAGTATAGAGGGAAGGATGAGAAGATGACCATTAAAATGAATCAGAATCAAATCATTGTAGTACTTGAGCCATCAGATTTATAACAAGCAATGAAATTATAGATCGAATAGATTAAGGACAAGGCAGCTAATAAAAATTATAATTGGGAAATCTTTGATATCAAGCAGGTAAGATGGGTAACATAACTAAGGAAATCGGAGCAGGTACCTTTGGATAAGTATTTGCATCATTGGATTAAAAGACAGGAAAGAAATATGCTCTAAAATTTATTGGATATGACGATGAAAGTGATTAAGATCCAGAGTTTAAGGCAGCTGTTAGAGAAATTGTTATTATGCAGACATTATCACAAACCTATTGTTAAGGGTTGCTTAAGATATATGATATCTATCCCTGCCTAAAGGATGATAATAAATATCTAGTGATTGTTATGGAATTATGTGATTGTAATTTAATGGAACTCTTGAAGGTATATTTCCTTTTATAATTCAAGGTAAGAATAGAAGAGAATAAAACAAAATGGACTGATGAAGAGTTGCTGTACATTTTAAATTAATTGATTGAAGGCTTTGTAATTATGAAGAAACACAATGTTACTCATCGTGATATTAAACCATAGAATATCCTCTATTGTTAAGCAGATAAATCTTATAAAATTGCTGATTTAGGAGGAGCCAAATTCCTAAAACCAAAATAAGCTTAATTAAATACAGTTCGTGGATCTCCTGCCTATTGGGCTCGTATTCAATAATATATTATTTCATTTAGCTGAGATTTACTTTTTTTGTGATTTGTAAAAAGACAAAGAAGGTCGTTTCTTTGTTGGAAAATAACATTTGAATTATGATCCATATACATCTGATGTTTATTCAATTGGTATCACTTTTTTATTAATGCGCAAATTAATTCCAAGATTGGATAGAGAATCACTCAAAATTGAAGTTGAAATGTTAAGAAAATTAAAATAACCATCTATTTTTGAATAGATTCTAATTAAAATGTTAGAATATGATGATACAAAGCGTATTTCTTTTGAAGATTTATAATAACTCATTTCATCTTATAAAGATTTATTTAAAAAACCTAATGAAGATGTATTTGTAAACTGTTTAAAAACATAATAAGATAAAAAAGTAAATAAAAACTATTAATATACATTAGAATTTGAGTACTTAAGATTTGATGATGAGAGAAGTCAAATTAGCTGAGGCATATGAAAAGTTGAATTTACCTGAACATGCTAAATCTCATTATGAATTAGCATTGAAATATGCTATCAAATTATCCAAAGATAATGCTAAGGCTGATATTATGAATAGTTTGGGAACTGTAAATTGTGATTTAGAACAGTATGATGAGGCTGAGAAAAACTTTAGTGAATCAGTTGCTCTATACAAAAAACTTAATGGAGATAAACATTCTTCTGTGGCAGATGGTTATAATAATTTAGGGATTGTTAAAAGAAAAAAAGGAGAATTTGAAAAGGCCATTAAACATTATGAATAAGCTTATCAAATCAAAGAATAGATATTTGGAGAAAACAATTTAGGAGGAGCTGTTATATTATAAAATATAGCTATGGCACACAAAAAATTGAAGAATTATGATCAAGCAATAAAATATTTTAAAAGTGCTTTACAAATCAAAAAATTATTGTGTGGAGATCGTAGTCCAATTCTTTGTTCAACTTATGACAATTTGGCAAGAGTTTATTATGAAAAATAATAATTTGATATGGCAATCTCATTTTATTCAATAACTGCTGAAATCTATAGGAAACATCAATAATCTAATTAATAGAGATTATCTGATACTCTTTTTGAAATTGCTTTATGTTTCTAAAAAATAGGTAGATCAGCTGAGACTATCAAAGCAGCCCAAGAATCATATTAATTGAGAAAACAAATATATGGATAATATGCTAAATAGACTGTGAAAAGCTAAGAATTATTATCTCAAAGCTTTCTTGAAGAAGGTAGGTATGAGGAAGCATTGTAACACTACAATTAATTAAAATAATTTTATCTTGATAATTTGGTGAAATGTACTGTTGATGAGAAATTTGATAGTATGGCAGATATACTCAAAAATTTAGGAGCTTCTTACATGGGAATTTAGAAATATGATAAAGCATTGGAGCATTATAAAGAAGGAATAGAGTTTCTTATGAAGAGAAATAATAATGAAAGTACAAGAATGGCAAAAATATACTATAATATGGGATTAGTTTATAGAAAAATAAAAGATTTTAAATCAGCTGAGTAATATTATTAAACTGCAGCAAGTTTAATAGCTACTAGTAAATCAGCATCAGATCTAATAACATTAGGAGATATCTACAACAATTTTGGAGTGTTGTTTGGAACATAAGACAAATTTGCTTAGGCAAAGAAATACTTTTAAATGTCATTAGAACATTATCAAAAAGTTTTAGGGCCCAATCACAGTATATGCAAAGAAGTATAAATAAACATCAAAGAATTAGAAAAATGGTTAACAAAATGAATGCTTTTTATTTAACAATCATAGTTGTCTATAAATATAGAATTAATATTATGATCAATAAATTTTAAATTATTTTATTGTATTAAATAAAATCCTTAATGCAAATAAATTATATAAATGTAACGTAGTATACTCTTTAAGTTAATGTTGTATCTAAGAATTCAGAAAATATAATCTTGTCTTTATGTTTTAGCCATCATTTAAGCCAATCTTGAAATTTTTAAAGTGATTTTGTTGATAGAGCACTTTTTGAAATCAAGACTAATCCTAATAGTATTCTTTAATGGGCAATATTAATATTTTGTATTAGAATATGTATTTGTTAGCCGTTTCTTATTGATACTATCTTAAGGATTCATATTTATTGGTCATCATAAATTATATTTTTATGAGAAAGAAGTAACAATTGAAAAAAGTTGAAAAAGAGAATGATTCTTCTCAACCTACGACTGCAATTGCATCATAAAAGAGTAACTATATTAGATAATATTTTAAAAGAGTTTGCCAATAAGGATTTGGAGAATGATCTTCTTGAGTACAAAGCTAAGATGATCAACCATATTGAGAATAGAATATTGCAGTCTTAAAAGAAATTAGAGGACTCTATAAGGGAAGAGATGGAACAATTTGAATAAGAGATTTCAAAAACTATTCATGAATTAAGAGATGATCAATTTGACCACAAAGTAAGTTCAATAAACCATTAGGAAAAATAAATGGAGAAAGTATTCAGGTAAGAATCAAATCATAAATCTATAGATATAAACCATCTCTATTGTCTGAAATGATGAAATAGTCTGATTATAAAACTCTTTATCATATGATGATGGCTAGTATGTTTATTTTGATGGGAAACTTATGGATATAGGACTATTTGGAAAGAGGTATAATATTTGATATGGAAACATTCTTCTGGTGCTTTTAGACTCCATTGTTAGTAGCAGAAATTTGGTTTGCTTTAGTGTTATCCAGTTATTTGACAGTGTATTGGGTGTCCTATTGCTACTAAAACAAGATAAGGCCATTTACAGCTATTCTTGTATTCAGTCTTCATTAAATAATAAGCATTTTGGCAGCTTGTTATATGACAAGTGCTTGGGTGGTAATGAAATTAAAATTATATAGAATGGATTTGGTTCAAGAATGATAGTGATGTGTGAAGCAGTAAGAATGATGATGAAAAACTATTCTTATGCTCGTAATAAGATGCTTTATGGTACAGAAAATGAATAAAAATATTTTATTCTTTAATCTTTTGAAAAGAAAGGAATCACAAAATAAAATGTTTTACTTCCTGAAATCAATATTCAATCACTTTCTTAAGAACTCAAAAGGTACACATATTTCTTCTTGGCTCCTACTTTATTATACAGAGATTATTATGTTAAGGCTCCTCATTACTCTAAGAAAAAGGTTATAATAGAATTCGCAAATTTCTTTATGTGCATTTACTATGGGTTCATTTTATTCAGATCATTCTGTAAAGAACCTATACTTTAATTGAGGTATTATTTATACTTAAAAAGTAAGAGAGAACTTGACATTGATGAATTTCATTGTTACTTTATATAAGTTGATGATGCCATCTACTTTTTCACTTGTTCTGGTCTTCTTTGGTTTACTTCACAGTTGGTTTAATGGATGGGCAGAACTATTGAGATTTCCAGACAGAACATTTTATCATGATTGGTGGACAGCTTCAGAGTTTGGATAGTATTATAGAAAATGGAATGTTATTGTTCATGAATTTCTCTATTATTATGTTTATTTGGATAGTGAGAAATTGAGTTAAGGCAAAAGAAGTAGACTGTTTAGATAATTGATCACTTTTGGATGTTCAGCAGTCATACATGAGATTATTCTTACATTTGCTTTGGGTTTTTTCTATCCCATATGTTTTCTTTTATTTACTGGTCCAGGAATTTTATTCATATAGGCTAAAGAGGTCTTCAAATAGGTATTAATATTTAATATAGTAGGGTTGGTTTAACATTCTATTTTGGGTATTGATGTATATAGGAACCTCTGTGATGATAACGTTATATTTAACTGAGTATTATGCTAGAATTCTCATTAATGATCATTTAATTGAGTAGAGATGGGGAATTATTCAATATCTGATTCCAAGAACATTTTATTTAATTACAGGAATTTGATAGGTTTAATAGCAATTAGTAAAATTAATTATAAATTAAATGTAAAAACTCTTTCAACACTATGACCAATTCAAAAGAAAGACTTATTAAGTGCTATATTCATCTTTAATTTCAGCTGCATTTCAGAAATGGCGAGGTCATCAAACTTGACGGATACTCTACTTATTCGAATCGCATAAATAGAACCTCCTCCATTTTGTCAATTTTTTTATTCGCTCCTTTTAGAATTGTTAGGAATAACATCATTTATTGCACTCTGTCTGTAATTTCTTTGATTTTACTTGCTTCTATTTGGTCTATGTAATTTTCAAACTATAGTAGAGATTCAGCACAATATGAATTTTATTTCATCCTTTCTTTTTAATTTTTTGCACATATAAGTGTTGAATTGTATAATAAATACAGAATTAATGGTCTAGATATTAAATTAAACAATCAAGAAAATAAAATATTAAAATAGTGGGATGAATGTATAAGCAATAAAGAGATATTAAAGCGAATCAAATAAAAGGCATCTTAAAAACCTAAGAATGAAGAAATTAAAGAAAAGGATCGTATTATACCAATTAAAAATGATCACACTATAAAGAATGATTAATTATAACGTTAGTTGAGTTAAAAAAGTAGATCTTCTGGAAGTATTAATTTCAACTTTTTTTTTAAATAGTTTAATCTTAATTTTCTAGATAATCAATTAATTAAGGTCTTCATGCAGGATCTCCAAGATAAGATAGATTTGATAGAATGGGATCAAGAGTATCAATGATGAGTCCACTTATTCATGAAGACATGGTTATTAAAAATGAATTAAAAATAAAATTGGTATAGGATCCAGCAATTAGAAAATTCATGCAAAAAGTACCTTGTATATTTGAGAAACATACATCTAGATCAAAAAAGATTATTGATTTTAAAACTATTAATACATCTGATAAAATGGATCTCATTAAATCTATAACTGCAGCTGAAATTAAAATAGGAGATGTTGTTATTGTAGAAAGAAATCAAATAGCTTCTTGTGATATACTAGTCTTGTATTGTAATGATGAAAATTTTGCTATTTCATATCAATTATGCGAATATTCAAACACAACCATTAGGAAACCTTTAGTTTAAAATAAATGTAAAAAATAAATATTATTTATTTCTAGTTGATTCCCATAATCTTGTCTTATTCAAAAAGTCTTTTACTGGCAATATTTAATTAAATGAAAATGCAAACAATATTTCAGGATATTTCTAGCTAAAAAAAGATCCATAATCCAAAATTATAGAAGATCAAAATTTTATTTTTGCTCAAGAAAAATTATTAAACACTCCTTGGGTAATTGGAATAGTGATTTAAGTTGGTTTGAATTGTCGTTGTTACAAATAATTTAAAATTAGACCATAAGTTCCTAATTATTCATCAAGATTACTCATATCAATGATTTTTCTTTATTTTGCTTTTTTAATTGTAAATTATTAATATTCTATTAGAGTTAATGTACATTATCACATATTAGAATAGCTATGTCAATGAATATTTAGATATCATATCCTTATTAATTTAAGATTTACTTTACTTACTATTTTTATTACCTCATAGTTTCAGATTCTATTATGATCTAATTTAATTATTCTAATAAAGCATTATTTATAAGATAAGTTAATTGGATCTAAAATAAATCAAAGCATTTCATCCAGAATACTATCAATAATATAAGCGTTTGACAATGAATTTAGATTCATTACTAGAGGGAACATTTGAATTAAGGGCTATTATATGCAATAATCGAATTTGCCATTGTAGAGAACAAGATTTAATGCTTTAAGCACAAGTATATGCAACTTCAATCTCAAGCTAAAATATTTTTAAGACTGCTGATTCTAAAGATGATTCTAAAATTGTTGAGATTTAAGCATCTTACAATAATCAAATATAAAATCCTAAATAATAAAATAATACATAAAATTCTGGAAGATATTTAGAAGATGAAATCTTTAGTTATGAAGCTTAAGAAGAAATGGTTCTTAATATGCCTTAATCTGTTGGTTTTAGATTAATTAGTAATTTTACAAATAATGATAATACTCAATAAGAATGTAATGGACTTATATAGCATTAAAGTATTAATCCAGATAAAAGTGAATATTTACAGAAATCAACCATTAATAAAGTTCATCTTTCAATGTAAAGCAAAAGTGCTAAATAGGCAACTCTAAAGGATAGCAGATATGATAAAAAATCCATTTTATTAAATGATTTAATCAAAATAATTACTAGCGAAGATGAAATCTATAATGTTATTTTGCTTTAATTAGCATTGAATCATATTTCATATTCCAAACTTAGGTATACTTAGACAGGAGAAGAAAAAGTTAAAAATACCTAAGTTAATTTGTTGGATGAGAAACAAATTTATATAGCAAAAGCATTTGGATTCGAATTCATTTGTGTTAATAATGTTTAGTAAATATATATAAATATAATTAATTTAGAAATATTTCAACATATGTTGTTTAAATCAATTAAAAACTTTACTCATTTAAGTTAATTGATTTTCAAATTCATCATCATACTCAAAGGCTCTATATGTTATTTGAATTAGATCCTGATTTTGAAAAACCATTAAATGCTGAATATATTTTATTAGTAAGAGAATCTAATTATAAAAAATCTGATATTTTAGATGAAAATAAATTAATTCAAAGATCATCTATTCATTTATTACATCAGACAGATTTAGAGTAACTTCATTAAATTCATTATTATTCATGTCTTCTTAATCAAGAAGATGCTGCATATTATGTTAATTAATAATAACTACAATATTAAAACACTATTGAAAGTGAAGAATTTATTTATAATTATTTAGAACCTTTTTTGTAATTTAATATTACATTAGGCTTTAAATATAACTTAAAACCAAAAGCTTAAGAATTTATACGAAATTTTGAAAAATCGGAATAATCACTATTATTTTACACTGAATAACGCTTTTCTTATGCTTACTCTATTATTCATTAGACAGATATATCGAATCATTTTAAATTAACTTTTGATTAAGATAACGATGATGATTTAAGAGCTTACCTCAAGAAATCTTTATAGTAATTCACATAATTATTCTCTGATTCAAATTGTGTATCAAATTCCTAAGTTCAATCTTTTAATAAACTAATCAACCCAATATCTTCTTAACTTTCAAACAAAAAAGTATAAGAGGATTTAAATGCAACACCTCCAATTACAATAATTTTGAACAGTTAAGCTTGCAAAATTATGTAAAATAATATCTATATGACTAATCATATGAAATTGTTATTTTCTTTAGCAAAAGTAACACTATTATATGATGCAAATACTTAATCTTTGAATTTCGTATAAAATTTGTTTGATGAACCAAATCTAACATTAAATTTAATATTTGAAAATCAAACTTTATTAAAATGTCATTAAGGATAGCATTTATAAATTGCATTATTATAAGAATTTAGTTACTTTTAAAAAGTAAAGTATGAAAATATCAACAAACAAACTTTCTTCAAAAATATGATATAATCCCTTAAAGTTAGATTAGTTTATGAAAGATGTAATAAATTTAAATTATGAAATTAGGTCTCTTTAATGAATTATTAATCTATCATAATACTGATGCAATACTACAAGGATTTAATGAACTAAATGAACTCCTATTTTATTATGTTCCTTTATTAAACATCTTAACTAAATATTAGTTTTTGATTGCTTTTCAGAGAACTATATATTTTTCATCTTTTACTATTACAATTTACACAACCAGCATTTGGTTTTTCAATAATTAAAAGAATTTAATAGTGGAATTTTTATTTTATTCTTATATTTATTCCTTAATTATGTATATTGCAATTACAATACAATTTATTAAATATCAAGATATAAATACTAAAAGAGATTAATATTAATAGAAAATCATAGAATCAATAATTAGTTAATCAAAAAATAAATCCCATTATATTTAAATTGCTATTAAATGTAAATTATTATTTTAATTTTAGCAATTATACAAGGCATATTGACTTAACTGATATTTACATATTAAAGTTAAATTTAATCAGTTGAAGTTGTTATTGTTTATTGTTTTCTTTCAATAACTCTGAATGATTTAATAAGTTTACTACTTTAGATAGGTTATTAATTAAAGATTGTTGTCTTTATAATTTACAGTCTATCATATTTATTTTATTTATTACTTCATTTTAATATTATGGCTCCAAATTTAGAGTTTAAATTTGAAATTTCAAACTTTTTTGAAATATTATTAGTAATATTGATATTTTAAGTAAGTGAATAATTTTTTTAACATCATTTTGTTTTATAAGTACCTTAAATGAAAGGATTATTTCAATAGATAGCAAATTCAATAAATCGTCAAAAAGAATCTATTAACTATAAATCAACATAAATTTTAAATTTGTAAAGGGAAATAAATAAAATTTTTGAGAATATTGAATAGGTGGATTTTAATCTATAAAAGCGTAATTTATTATAATATCATTAAGTTTTGCTAAGCTAAAAATAATTGTTTTAAAACTTAGGTTAATGGTAATCCTAAATATTCCAAAAAGCATAATCAATAATGAAATGGAAAAAGAAATCAAGAATTCAAGGATTATAGTTAATTTTCTTTCATTGTCAAATGCTCATTATTATTTATTCTTAATCTGATACTAGTTACTATTTTCTCATCACCTACATAGTTTACTAAATATTTTTAATAGTGATATTTGTTTTTCAATTACTTTATCATTTGAATTCAAGATAGATGCAATATTTAGAATTGGTTAAATACATGATGTCAGGAATAGTCACATTAATAGCAGTATTAGGATTATCTGTAACTGAAATGTCATCTTATTATCATTCATTTTCTGAAATCATTGTGACTTTTTAAATATCAAGTAAACTTCATCCGATTTATGATAATCGATTGTATCTAATACCTATAGTTATTGTTTTAATAGCCTACTTTATTATGTAAGATCATAATTATTATATAAAGTTTTTCATTAAATGTTGATATAACTCCTTACTTTGTAATCATTAAGATTTCCATGATATTATTCTTTTCTGTTCAATAATATTTAATTAAAAGCTATGTAATTAATAAAAATATATATATATAGTTTATATTACTTGAAGAGGATTAAGCTACAAACTAAATAAATTTTATTGAAGAGAACAATAAAATTAATGATATTTTGGGAATTTTATTGCCTAAATTTGTAAGACATCGTCTAAATGAAAGTAAATTAATTTTAAAGTGTATTAGCTGGCCAATATAACATTCATTAAAATTAGGGAAATGTAGCCATTGTATTTTGCGATATTTGCAATTTCGATTAAATTATCATGGAAGAACAAGAAAATATCATACCATTTTTGGATGACTTATTTCGAACATTTGATAAATATTGTGAAATATGTGGTGTTTAGAAAATTGAAACTGTTGGTAAAACATACATGGCTGCAGCTGGCCTTAAAGCTTGTGAATAAGAATTAGCATATCTATCAGAAATTCAACCAGTTTAAAGAGCTTTAAATTTGGCTGAAATGATGATTACATATATAAGATCAAAATTGTATCATTAATTAATTATCTTAGATGGGGTCATTAAAGTTAGGCTTTAATTGGTAAAATTGGGATTCATTATGGCAGAGCAATTTCTGGTGTTATAGGATTTCACAAACCATAATTTTCATTAATTGGTGATACTGTCAATACTACAAGTAGAGTATGTTCAACAGGCTAAGAAGATAAAATTACATTATCAGAAAGGGCCTTTGAATAATTAAAAAATGATAAAATAGAGTTTGAAGTGAGATATGTTGAAATGAAAGGATTAGGCTAAAGGCCAACATATGTTTATGTCTAGAAAGGAAACACAAAAAATTATATTGCAAAAAGTTCAATTAATAATAGTAACAGTAACAGCAGATAAAATACAATGAACATAGCAAATAGAGTAAGGACTTAATCATTACAAAAAGGAGGTTTTAAAAAGAGATCTATTGATATCCAAGATCCTTTAAATTAACGTTCAAAATAATTATTACAATTTTAATTATCATGGAACTTCTAATAATAATAAAATGGTTAATAGAATTCTTAATCTTTATCAGAAGAAAATAGCATAAAAAATGGATTATAGAATTCTTTATCCATTAACAATCTTAATCATTTATCGTAAGATCATGATCATGAAGATAAATTAACTAGGAATATCAAACAACCAGAACTTATTTAACAATTAGCAAGTGTATTTCATCACAAATTTCATTTAGAAGAGTATCAACCTGAAGTAGATCATTATATAGATTACGATTAATTATTAGTAATTATTAATATTATAAATTTAGAATGTTATTTTACTTAAGAATGAGAATGGCTTAGAAGAAACCCTAATTCTTTAAAATTCTTTTCTATCATTGCTAAAAAGATCATATAATTCTAATAAAAATAATTATTTAGAATATCATTAATATATTTATAAATAATCTGAGTAAGTGACGAATAAAATAATTTAAATTTATTCATTATATTACTTGATTAAACAATTTTGCTTGATTGGAGAATATAATTTTATTTCATTACCTTTGATAATACTATAATGGATTGGATGTGCACTAAATATTATATCTTTGATGATGTACAAAAAAAGAATGATAAACTATTGGGTATAATTGATTTATGTAGGATTAAGTTTTTAACTTATCATTGCTGGTATATTTGTGATTGTGGATATGTCTTTGTTTTTAAGATATTCTCACATTATAGAAATGATATTTGTTCAATCGTTTTTTAGCAATATATAATTGTTGCATTTTTGGATTAAAATATTATTTTGCATTTGCTCCTTCATTTTTGAAGCCTTAGTCTTGATTTTTTGGAATGAACATAGTATATCACTCTTTTTTGCCTTCATAGTGATGATCTATAACATAAATTATTGCTACTTTTTGGAGGAGCAACAAGTGGCTTGTTTCAATTAGAAAAATATCTTTTAAAGTCAATAAGCTAAAGAATCCCAGTTATTATAGTATCTTCTTCCTAAACATGTAAATCTTAATTATATTTGATAGATTTTACAAACATTTCTTGATGATAATAATAGAACAAGATGTTTAAGTGATAAAATAGAAAATGTTACTATTTTATTTGCTGATATTGCTGGATTCACTGAATATTCAAGTAAGGTTACACCTGAAGAAGTCTTGCTTATGCTTAAAAATCTATTTGTTGAATTTGATAGAAAATGCTATGAATTGAATGTTTATAAATTATATACAATTGGCGATTGCTATGTAGCATTTGGTATGATAGATTACAATGAAAGAAACCCTGCAGAAGAAGCCAAAAATATTGTCGATCTTGCATTCGAAATGATAAGAATTATAGAAGTTGTTAGAAAGCAAATCAATTTTGATGGACTTGATATGAGAATTGGTATACATACAGGTTGTGTATTTGGAGGAGTTATGGGAACAGATATAGTTAGATATGATATCTATGGACAAGATGTTTTAATTGCAAATAAAATGGAATCTAATGGTAAAAAGGGATAGGTTCATGTCAGTGAAGTTACTAAACAACTGCTTGAGTAAGATTATGAAGATATTTATTCTTTTACTTTCAATACTAAAGTTACACTAAATGCAATTAACAGAAGTATAGATGGCTACATCATTGAAAGTTTAGCAGAAGATGATTTTCCATCAGATTAAATTAATTCTTAATAAATTTAAGTATAATCTTTGCATTCAGAACATTGATTTAATTTATATTATTCTATATGTATCTTAATTTTAGTCACAGTTTTCTAATTATAATCAAATGAGCTTGCTAATTGGAAATTTAGTTTGTAAAGTATTAGATTTTACAATGTATTTATTCAAACAACACTATTAGAATTCTTTTTTAATAAATAATTCAATCAACATCTAAAATACTCACCTTTATTATTATATTAAAATTAATTTAAATTTATAATTTTTTATAAATATGTATTATATTGAGTAGATTCTAATTTATTGATTCTTCTTTTTTTATTTTTTATTTTCTTCTCAAATTTGTTAAATTGGAATATAAATTGTTGAAAACTTCTGAAAATACTTCAATACTCTTTCTTTATTATAATAATTGCATTTAGTTATGAATAAGTTTATTTTTCAGATTAAATACTTAAAATCAGTTGATTCATAAAGTTTTTATTTTAAGATAAAAAATTAAAAGAAATTTCTTTATAAATTATTGTTATCATTTTAGGTAAATATATTACAAAAAAGTAAAAAATTATAGAATTATTTAGAAATCGATTGTTTTACTTGATAATATTCAATTCATTTTTATCATTTTATTTACACTTAAAGGCCTATGATATATAGATTCATATTACATTTGAATGCTTACATTAGATATCTTATTTCAAAAAATAAATATGTTTTTAAACTCATTAATCTAAATTATTATATTTTATAGAGTATCTAAAATAAAATCAAATTAATAATGTTTAATTTTTATTTTAAATACTCCACTTATTAGATAAATAAGCATTTTAAGGTAGGAATTATGAATTAAATTATTTAGACTCTTACTAGAAATATCTAGCCAAGATTTAATTCTTTTTTAAGTTTTAATTCATCAAAAATGCATAAGTTTATAGAAAATTAAAGATTCAATATTACTTCTGCATTTATTAAATAGATAATATCATTCTCAGCTTTTTACAGACTTTTAATAAATTTCATTAATCACGGTTTTTAGACTAATAAATCCTTTGAATTTTTCCTCAATTTTTATAAATGATGATTTCCCTACTTTATTTTTAAAAAGAGTTTTCTTTTGTAAGTGAATTTTTCTTTTAAATGTGTCTATCAGACTATCCTTCTTTACTCTCTCTC